GCGCATGGAGTGAGGGTGTGTAGAGAGGGATAGAGAGCGAGGCGTACGAGGGAAGGATGGGAAGAGTGAGGTAGAAGAGAGGAGAGGGAGGTAGAGGAGGGAGGGGAAGTGAGGAAAGCAGCCAACTCACCCTGCTCTTTATACGAGTCCGAGGGGCGCACGGACTCTGCAAACATTGCCACGTCTTCCCCTTGATGCCCCACCACTGCCCTAAGCAATTTCCGCCCCATTGTCAGCCGGATATTCCTTACCGCCTCGCCCTCCTCCCGCTAAGACAGAGCGGCGCATATTCCGCGCTTCTCTTCGAAATCCAGGAGTCCGCGCTCAGAAGTCGCCGCGTTTCGATCATTACAAATGATCAGACCCTGAGTGATCGGTGTTGAAAAGTGGACTCCGCGCCGGTGGAAGTTTGGAGGCAAGGCGAGGCGGTAGGAGCGGAGGTAGCAGACCAAGGAATCGGATGTCGGGGAGGAAAAGAAAGACAGGGAGGCAGACTACTTAGTCGAACAAACAGGGGCTGGGTAAATTCGAGCCCCCCGACGCCGAGGTGAAGGTGCAGCTGCCCAGCCAAGTCGGAAGAGCGCCACTGAGGATATAACACGATTTACGAGAGGAAAAGAGAGAGGGAGTGCGCCAGAACTCTTGAGGAGGGTCGCCACGTCGTCCCCACTCACTTCGTGTGTCCCGCTCGGGTCTTAGAGACGATGAGCAGAGACTTCAAAAGGCGCCGTGATGGTGGAAAGTGAGTTTGCCGCATAAGGCAGGCTTTCAGCCACCCGCGAGAACGAGCGCGGAAAGCCCGTCCGACTCCGCCTCGCGGGACCCTGACATGACTGAGGTCCCTGCTACGCTCGTTGATGCGCTGTGAACGTCGTGCCCGGTGCAGCATTGCAAGCATGGCGCAAAGTACACTGATTTTCATTGTTAGCATAAATTCCAATGCCGCGCTGAGGGCCGCTTGCCTGCATCAAAGTTCCGCCGCTAGGGCAGTCGCTGAAGCTCCGTGCTCCATTGATCTGAAGCTCGAGTGTTGACGTCGAGCGTTGGGAGAATGCAGTCGGGGCGAAATCTGGAAGTATGTCAATGAAGCGTACTTCCCATTGTCTTACGGTACTCGGGAATAGCAGAGACGATGCTCGCATGATGGGGGAGTACTCACCGTCGACTGGGGGCGCGCGGCAAGACGAGACCGCGAAGCTGTCTGCCACGAGCTGAACGGGGAACTCATACACTTGAGCTGATTTTCCCCGCTCGAAGCCCAGGACGTGCCCGGTTCTTATCACAGGCACATGGGGCTTGACCTACGTTCCTTACAGGTCAGTCACACTCCTTCTCAGGCATTAGACGCGCGTTGGCGCTTCCGACTCGCGCGTCTCATTCCCGCCGGCTCGGTTGGCTGCCGCTGGACTCTTTGAGAACGGCGCGGGGGAAGGTCTTCGAACTTCTGTGATTGGTGAGTTCTGGCTCGTACCTTCCTCCCCCTTCGCCTTTGGGTTGTCCGCCTCTCCGCGCTGAGGTCTTCGTGGCTTATCTGATCTTATCTCGACGCGGGGGTCGCTACGCGCAAGTTGGTGGATTTTGGTGTACTCTCTGTGTATTGGGTACGGATGGGCGTCGATATGGTCGTAGTAGCGGTAGGTATGCGTATCTAGGGTGTTGGCGTCGTAGGTGGCCGGAGGACGGTGGTGGACGCATGAAACAAGAGTCGTTTTTGACGTCTCTCGTCGGATTCGAACGCGGCGGCTCATCGGCGCGGCTCCCCGTGGATTGCTGATCGCGCCGCCGACGCGATGAGCGTCTTGCTTCCAACCGTCGTGCGCGACGCCCCACCTTTGGGAATGGGTCCGGGGTGTTCAGTACGTTGTCTGCTATGCTCTACTAACCACGAACTCACGATTCACTCAGTGTCTATCTTGCTATCTCTCTTTCTCAATGGCTCATGAGTTGCCCACGACTTAAGCTCATCCTTGCTAGGTTTCTCGCCATTCGAAAGGCTTGACGGACTCGCACCCTGCTCCCTAGTATCCTTCTAGATCCTGTAGACTATGGGTGGCTTTCTGTCTTACTATTGAGTGTTTGAATAATCTACACTCATGAGTTTCGAGTCTCGAGTCTTGATGAGCAGCTTGCCATCTCGAGCTCGCTGCAAGCAACCCCACCGCTGGAGAATTCAGCCGAGGGCCTCACGGTGTAGAGCGCCCGAACAGGAAGGTCCTGTAGGCGGACACAAATGCTGAGTTGATGGGTTCGGGCTCAGGGTCCCGCGCCACAGACGGGGATCACGGCACTTGCCGTATGTTTCGTCACATTGTCACCTCCGTCTTATTACTTCCTGACCTCCGTCTACCCACTTCCTGCCTCCGTCCACCTCCCTGCTTGCTGTCTCTGCTTTATCTGACCCTCGACTGTGCTCTTTGTGCTTGCCCAACAACCTGTGAGCACAGTCAGCAGCTGCCTTCAAGCAAGATCAGCAAGAGGAAGAGGACGACACCTTTGTGCTCGCATGCACAGAGCACAGGCGAGCACCGACACCGAGCGAGCATGGGGTGAGAGCGGACCCGGGATGACGACGGCGAGAACGAGCAAGCGAGCGAGGCAAGCAGGGGCCGATCCGAGCGCAGGACCGGGCGAGCGGCGAGCCAGAGAGCACGAGCGAGGCCTCCGAGGAGCCTGTCTAAGTCAGACAGGACCACGGTGCGTACTTACTCACCTCCGCAATGCAACACACACTTACTGCCACATATGTGGCCCTTCTCCCGAGCACGCGAAGCACGGCAATCTACAATATACTCGATGAGCTCAAGATCATCACAAGCACACAAGCATGCTCGGAGGACGACAGCGATGCCTCGAGCACCCTCAATGACCCCGAGAACAAGGTGTGCAGGTTATCAAACAATTGAATTCCTATTTACTCACAAATCGTGTAGACTACGTCTCTGTTCTCCACGGACTCGACCGACAACTCGCGAGCTCAAGATCAGCTCATCGCGCACTCGAAGTCGCGGAAGACCGAGCGCGGACGTGTCGCGTGGTGAGTTCGAGCTCACCAAGGGACACATCCGATTCCGGTCCGCTGCGAGGCCGAGCGCGCGCGCCATCCGACAAGCTCGAGAGCAACGAGGGTGAGCCTAAGCTCATCACGATGCGCCCGAGCTAATCACCGTGTTCCCAGCGCCACCGCAGCAATCCCGAGCCAACGACGACGCTCGCGAGTTCAAAACAACCTCCCGGCGCTCAGCACGCCTTCCCAAGCGCATCGCGACCTCCCCGACCCCAATTCGCCGCTCCCGCCCCGACCTTATCTCTCCCACCCCGACCTTATTTATCCCGCCCCAACCTGGGCAATCGCCAGCCCATCGCGCCATCCTAAGCCCCACGCGACGACCCCGAGCTCAACGCGCCACCTCCGAGCTCAACGCGTCGCTCCCAACTCAAGACGACACCCCACGAGCACGCACAAGCGCGTCTCGTGCCCGCCTCATCCCCATCCTTCCCGGCTCCGCCCACGGCGCGATAATTCGCCGTCGCGCGTTCAATCTGCGAGTAAGTGATCATTCGGGCTGTCTCGACCGTGTCAGCTAACATATTCCCCAAAGCGAGCTTACCGCGTGGCGCTCGACGCCACTCCGTCGCTTTCGGCAACCTCAGGACACGCCGGCACCTGTCGAGGTAAATCAGCGATGTGCACGCTCGGTGAGTGGCAGCCCCCTCGGCTCGGCAGACGCTGACTCGGCCACAGCGCCCTCCCCCCGCCTCGCCTCCGGACCCTTTCCCGACCTCCCCCTCGGCTCGTCCTCACCCAAACACGGGCGGGGAAGAGAGGGGGAGGAAGGGGGAGGGGAAGGAGGGAGGGGAGGGAGAAGGAGGGGGGAGGGGTACTTACCAGAGCCAAAGTAGCATAGTGATGGGATGAAAAACGCGCAGCTTAACCGCTCGCTCCGCTGGCGGACGTGCGCTAGCGCGCAGAGGGGGGATGGAGCTCTGGGCCGCGCGAAAAAACGGGGGTTTCGGGAATTGCCGAACAGTCTCGAGGGGGGAGGGGGCGGGGCCGGTGGTAGGGTAGGGCGCGGGCAGGTCTGGAACTATAGACTAGGTGGGCGAGTAAGGTACAGGGATGGGTCAGAAGCCTGCGCGATCCGACGCGCAAGCTCCGGCGTCGTGTGTGCGTCCCATGGTCGTGAGCTGGCCAGCCAGCGCCTAATCGCCGCCGACCTCGACCGCGGGCTGGGAGACGGGCGACTTGGGCGGTTCGTCGTCGGGTTTGGGCGCAGCGTCGTCGAGCTTGGGCGGCGCGTCGTCGAGAGCGCGGCCGCTCTCCTTGTTGATGGGGCTCGTGGGGTTCGTGGGCGAGGTGGACAGGCCGTTGTTGTGCCCGTTGCCGGAGGGGGACGAGGCGTGAGGGATGCTGGGCGGCGGGTCAGCAAACAAGCACCGGTGTAACAGGACAACGCGGCGAGTAGCATGGGCAGCGGAGATGAAGGGGGCGCGGTAGGAATACATCGAAGACCCGCCCGAAGCACGTAAACACAATAGACCGTATCTGAAGCGGCGGACAAGCAGTTCGAAGGTTGTTAACCTCGTTTGTCAGAAACAAGCTGTGGATGTTCAGAAACTCGGCGGGCGGGCGTTCACACGGTAACGTCAGGTATCCCTGGGCGCAAACAGGCGCTGCTGCCCGCCAACCCAGGGCTCCAACGCGAGTTCCAAACTCTTTGCGAACGTCGCTGGTCGAGTTTCTAAACACCGTGGAGTGTTTTCTGTTTTGAGTTTCGCCGCCTCAAATACGGTCTGATGAAGGGCAAGATACACCGCGAAAAGGCATGAGATGGTATGCGATCGGACTCACTTCTCGGGGTTGGGGATCGCCGTACCGACGGTGCTCTGCGGGGCTACGCCGGCCTTCGACAGCGCGTAGTCGCCCGAGTCAAAGTACTTGCGGTCCTGCGAAAACGCGGGATGAGCACCCTCTCCACACCCGAGACATGTGGCGCGCGCACCTTCTGCATCTTCATCAGCACGTTCTTGTGCGTCGGCAGCTTGCCATACTTGGCGAACAGCTGCTTTTCCTGCTCGGAAAAGCCCTGCAGACGCCATCGTCAGCCTCGATCCGCGCTATGCGGATGGCAGCACGCACACTGGTGTCGATCTTCTTCAGCTTGGCCGGATGCATGCTGTTAGTTCCCCTTGATTGACGATGGCTCCCTCAGGGATGCGCGCCTAGGCGGCGAAAGAAGATGTGAAGAGACGCGGGAAAGCGGAAACGGATCGCGAGATGGGATGGCGGGTCGCGATATTCAAGGTCGAGAGACTTGGTCGCCGTGATGAGCACGGGGCATTATAAAGGGCGGAGCGCAGTCGGAGTTTTAACTGACGTCGTCCTGCCAGATGGGGAACGCCGGTGGCGGTGCTGGGCTCTGTTCGACTTTCACACTTCTTCGTGTCGAATATTATATGGTCACTCCCTGGACTTTGGCGCTGCTTCGAGGCCGTCTGCTGTCTCCCCCGGCCATCACTTATACTCACCTACTCGGTCTGCCAGCAAACAGGCCCTCACGCTCCCCAGTCACACGCTCAGCCTCGCACTCCAACATTTCCCCAAGTAAATTCCACGGCACGGCATGCCACAACTTGCAGGCCTCCGAGCCCAATAATGACCCCAGGATTGCTCCAATGCCTCCACGTCAACATCGCAGCGCAGCATTGGCATCAGCCACGGGGCTGTGCACACGGCAACCCGCCCTCGGATATCCCAAAGCAATCCAACCTTGAATGGCTCGCGCTCTAGACCTGGCAACTCACTTCATTGAAGTCTATCTTGAGACGGACGGGCGCTCGTTTTGCGTTGAACTCGTGGCGAAGACATAACAGAGATAGACGAAGCCCAAATCGAACTCAGTTTAGAGTAGGTATCGGTACGTACCGCAAGACCAGCTATCGTAGATCGTCATCGCTGTCGGAGAGCAGACCTTCGTCGTGCGAAAACACTCCAGCTTTCCACAGAACATCCAAGGAGCCCGCAGTCTCCCCTCCGAGTCGCCAGCGTCCTTGCTCCCGATCCGACTCGTCATCCTTCTCGTGGAAGGGCGCGTCGTCGGATAGATCCTCGAGTACATCGTCCGTCAGATGAAGCATATCGCCCGCCAGATCCGCCTTCCAGCCCAGCTCCTGTCCGCCGGCCTTCAATCCAGCACTCGAGGCGCCCAGGCGCGGCTGACCCGCTTCGGCAACCACTGTCAACACCTCGAGGTCATTGTCGGACCAGATATCGTCCTGTGGCGATATGGGGGAGGATTGCACCGAGTGCATGGAGCCTCTCTTGGTATCCGCGCATAGGGCGTCCGTCTCTGGGTCCATGGTGTCCTTGCCTAGGTGCACGGTGTCCCTCTCCGGGCACCGCACGCGCCCCTCCGAGCACAAGACGCGCCGCTCCGGCAACAAGGCGCCTTCGTCGAAGCCTGGAAGGGCTGCGCACGAACCTTGCCGAGCGTCATCTATACGCGAAGTTGCCACGTTCAAGGCTAGCCCAGGGCCGCTGAGAGGAGGGGTGAGACTGTTGAGCGGCGAAGTGGGAGCGCTAAAGTGATGGGTGAGAGCGCTGATAGGAAAGTCGACACCGCCGGCAGAGAGAGCACGACCGCTGACAGGGAGGGCATCACTGCTGACGGAAAGGCTATCACAGTTGACAGGTAAGGTGACCTCGTCAAGGGCGCAAGGGGCTCCGGCGCTATCGGAGGGCGCATTGTCTGCGGAAGACGCGCCATAGGACAGGGCGCAGTTGACTTCGTCGTCCATGGCACAATCAGATTCGTCGAGTTCCAGCGTAACTTCGTTGTGGGAGAGGTCGCCTTCATGGGGGTCCGGAGGAGTACTTCGAATGATCGAGGAGGCTTCATGCGACGCATAAGTTGGGGAGGCGTCGCGCGGATCGGAGGGACCTTGACCATCGCCTCGACTGGGAGGCATATCTAGTGGCGCGCTAAAGACGCATCCGCTCTCGTGAACATATGGTCGGTCTTGCGCATTGAAGTCGCCGTCATCGTCAAAGTCCAGCGTATCGCCCAAGTCTGACGCAGGCGGCGAAGAAGAGCGACAGGGACCTGATTCGCAGGTACCGAGCAAAGGGCCAGGAGTAGCACGATGGTATGGGGAAGTACCCGCCTCTTCGTACGAGGTCGTGCGCCCTTCCGCCGGATCAACGTCCATGTCGGAAAGCAGAACGTCGGACTCGCCTTCGGAAAGCAACGAGGCCTCGCAGACACGGTCAGCTGACGGAACGCGAGAGGCTGGAGCGGTCGAGGGTGAAGCAGGGCGAGTCGAGGGCGCAGGCGGGTCAATCGAAGATGCAGAAGGGCGAGGCGAGGGACAAGAAGACCGAGTCGTAAAAGGCGAGCACTGGTCCACGGGCGAAGCAGGAGGATTTGAGACAGAGGAAGTACAGTTTGAGGAAGAAGAAGAGAAAGTACGGTTCGAGGGCGTGTCAAGTCGGTCCGAGGGAGGCACAGGTTGAGTGAGAAGCGCTTCAGAGCGATCCAATGACGAGGCTTCAGACGAGGAAGAGTGACCCGATGACAAAGACGAGGAATCCAGGGCTTCGATAGGCGAAGGGGGCTCCGGCGATTTGATCGACGCGGGTTCTGGTGAATAGGTCGCCGTGGGTTCTGGTGGATAGATAACCGAGGGGAAGGGCTCGTGGTTGACGAAAATAGAATCGTGGTCGACGAGACCCGGATGAACGGGAGCAGGAGCAACTGGCGTCGCAGAAATGGCAGAAGCAAGCGTAGACGAGTTCGTATCGAAGTCCCAGTCGTCGTTCTCAGAGTCGGAGTCATCGGCAGTCAGAGTCTCTTGCGATACTGGAGGTATTTCTTCATCTTCATCTTCGCCGAGGAGGTCGTGGTCGAAGTCGTAGACGGTAACGGGCCGAGCGGCAGGAATAATGAGTACACGGGCAGCGCGCGGCGTGAGCGTAGCAGCGAGGCTTTGCGTCAAAATAAAGTCATCAGACGACAGCATATCATCGTCAGAATGCTGGCTTGGTAGCCACGACCTCGAAAGGACAGGCTCGTGAGATCTCGCGTCCTCGTCCGTGTCAATGTCGATAGCGTCGTACCGCTCGCCCAGCAAGCCCTGTGCAACACGGCTGACCGGATAGTCGTCTGCGACATCGACCAAGCTTGTATATGCGTCGTCAACATTGTCAGAATTGTCGGCGTGGCACTCGTGCTCGACTAGAAGAGAGTCGTCGGACTCGTATACAGACATATCCGAGTGCGAGTTCGAGCCAGCGTCGAAATCATCTAGCGCCTGGTGGAAAACACGAGGGTCAGGGCTGGCCTCCCACTCATCGCCGTCGTCAAAGGCGTCGCCGTAGTCGTCGAAGGTGTCGCCGTCGTCGAAGGCATCGCCGTAGTTGTCTGTAAGCATCGCCTTCTCGCCCACAATATCCTCATCCTCCAAGAGCATCTTCTCGTGTTGCTGGAGCGACGATACTACTGTCCTTCCTAGCGCCGACGGTGACGCCGCCTCCAATCCCACCCACAGCGCATCGTCATCCATGGGGGTGAGGGGCGGACCGGTGGTGGACGACTCGTCGCCGGACCCGAGGCCCGGCGTGTCCAGCAGATCCTGCACGGCATTCGAAGACCGACAAGGCGTGAGGTGCGCTTTGGGCGAAGGCCAGCCGAAAGCTTCGGGCGAAGGCGAGCAGCAATTTGTGGGCGAAGGCAACCGGGTAAGCTCCTCGTCTTCCGCATCCGAATCACGGCTGGGCCGGGCTTGGTGGGAGCCCTGCAACAAGGGGTGAGTTCAGAAAGATATGACACGCGGGGCAGCGAACACAGAACACGCGGGCGAAGAGGACGAGGTTGGTAGAATGGATGCATGTGCGGTCCCACTAGTTCGAGGAAGTATGATGAGTCTTGTGTTATTGTACTAACTTTGAATCTAGGTTTCTTCACGGTCGCACGGTACAGCCGCTGCATGGCGAATTGCAGGTCAGCGAGGTGCGATGCATCCTCCTCATTATCAACCTCGTCGATATCATCCTCGATAGTATCGTCCTCGTCGGTATCGTCATCAGCAGCAGCCTGCGGTGGGTCGTACGCGGGCCCCATATATTCCTGCAACGCCGAGGCAGACGATTGCGTGGCAGCCTTCCGCTGGCGGTGGAGTTTCTGCGTGGCGGGGTCAGTATAAGGTAAGATCTGCGAGGGCGGATGCACGCGAGAGCTGGATTGTGTGCGAGAACTGGATTGTATGCGAGAACTGGATTGTATGCGAGAACTGGATTGTATGCGAAAGCTGGATTGTATGCCAAAACTGGATTATATGCGATAGCTAGGCGGATGTATGCGAGGTCTGGGCGCGCGCATACCTTGAAGAGACGGCCGCAGGCATCCCGGAAGGCGTTATTAGATGACCGGGAGATGATCGAGGTGATAGAGTCGTAGATTTTTGCGGCGAGCCGGTGCTCGATGTCCATTTGCTGGAGAGGGGGTCAGCTGCTGGGGAGAGCGGAGCCGCGAGCCCGCGAAAGAATGGCGCACTTTGTGCCATGTACCGAAGATAAGGGGGTAGCGTCTGGGGTACTTGGTGAGATATATGCGGTAAATTGACAAGGGTAAGGGGCTGACCTGATGAGGTGGTATGTGGCAAAGCGGTGGATCGCGTCTGATAACAGGCTGCGATGAGCGAGAGATAGGCGGGCGGCGAAGGCGCTGGAGTCGGATGTAGAGTCGCTACTGGTCGTCCATCTAAAGTGTATGCTGATTTGAGTCAGAGTGAGATGTTGATTGGGTTGACAAGCGTCTGAGCAGCGTTCGATGTCGAGGCGTACTGCAGATATCAGTACGATGCGAAGAGAGCGCAGAGCTCGACGCACTTCGGGGAAGGCCATCTGAGCCGTCGCAGCATACATCCCCAACTTGTGCCAATCCGAGCTGAGCAGCATGCTACAAGTCCATTAGTATGCATATGTATGGCTGTTGAAGCTGCTTGCAGTGCCGATAAACTCATGAAAGCACTTAACGAGCTCTGAGTTGCACAGATCTGAGGAGCTTATCTTTTGTCGACCCACGCTGCCGTAGAGGACGAGGGAAACGGTGGAAGACGCAAGGACGTCAACGCCGTCAGGAAGCTTGCATTTCACATCGTGGACAGTTTCCGTCGCATCCCCTGCTGTAAGATAATGTCTCGCAACGAGGGCGACGCCGTTGTGGTCGGACGATGCGACGACGCGCGTCGAGCAGGCGATGGTGGGCATCAGGAGCAAGACGCGTCGCGTCGCGAGAGCGCGTGACTCCTGGTGACTTTGCGTTACCGGTGTCACAAAGCCGTGTAGTCACGCCCACAGCATCGCAGCGGTCGACTGATTTCAGATTTTGAGGCTGGGCTAGCATTGCTTGCTCCCAGCGGCCACCATCGCCAACGCCAGCGCCCCCGCGGCACCCACGCTATCTGCCCATCGGCCATGGTACGTCCGCCGACGTCCCCAGCGTCCCCAGCTGACCCATCTCCACGCACAGGCGGAGAACATCGACCAGAAGATCCAGGAGGTGTACAAGCACATCCAGAAGGAGCGCAAGATCCTCGAGGCGTCCCAGCTCCTGCGCCGCGCTACTCAGAACCAGGATGTCCTCAGCCGCAACGAGGCTAAGATCAGGGAGACCGAGCGTTCCCTCTCGTACTTCGAGGAGACCCTGCGCGAGCTTCAGGCGCGCAAGAACGAGCTCGCAAATGGCAGGGATCGCTCGCGATCAGACGGGACGCCTGCACCTCAGGTACGTGGTCGCGCGTCGTTATCGAGCAGCTCTTTGATACTGCTCCAGGTGCCGCCCAAAGACCCGCGCGGGCGGGGATCGTCGGACATGGCGACGGGCCCCGGCGACGGCGCTCCCCGCACCAACTACACCCAGCTGGACCTCATCAAAGCGGACACACCACTCACGCCCGCCAAGATCTCCCGTATGCTGCACCAGCTAGAGTTCAAACTGCAGGTCGAGATGCAGTACAAGAAGGGCATCGACAAAATGGCCAAGCTCTATCAGGCCGACGGCGATAAGAAATCTCGACTAGATGCGGAGAACAAGAAGGTGGAGAACGAGCGCAAGATACAGCTGCTTCAGGCTGCGTTGAAACGCTACAAGAACTTGCATGTCATAGACGACACTGGGGAGGATGATCAAGGTGCGTGGCGCCGCAAAACGCACTACTATCGACTTGCTAATGAGCCGAATAGGTCCGGACGGCGAGCGGAAGGACAACCTGCGACAAAAGCCCTTGTCGGGAACCCTGTACATTTCCCTTAAGGGCGCTCGCGAACTCGACCATGCTCCCATCGTGCGCTCGAGATCTGCCTCCAAGCAGATTTCGGAAACTATCGTCTCCATGAAAGTGGAGGGAACACAACTGGCCCGCTCTCACCCTTCACGTACCGATCGCTGGAACGAGGACTTCGAGATCACTGTTGACAAGGCCAATGAAGTCGAAGTTGTGGTTTACGATCAGCAGGTCGGGCAGCCCATGGTGCCCATCGGTTTGCTATGGATCCGCATCAGCGATTTGGTAGAAGCCGTTCGACGACAGAAGGTGCTCATGGAGAGCGGCCAGGGCGGCTGGGTCACCGCCAACGCCATGGGCGACGCATCCGCAGCTCCCGGAATGTCTCAAACCGACGCACCACTATTTTCTGCGCAGGGCGGCCAGCCGGGCGCCCCCATGGGTTTTGGTGCGCCAAGCGCTGACGGAATCGAGGCGTGGTTTGCCGTGGAGCCCGCAGGCGCCATCGCCCTTCGCTTGAACTTCGGTGAGTATCTGTATGCTTTCCAGGTCACGAATTACCGACCGGCGCCACAGTCAAGGAAAATGTTCGCAAGCGGCCTTTGGACGCTCCTCTCGGTGGTCTCGGTCGTCAGGGCGCCGTGCGCAAGCGCAAGGGCGAGGTGCACGAGATGAACGGTCACAAGTTCGTCCAGCGGCAATTCTACCAGCTCATGCTGTGCGCGTTCTGCAACGACTTCTTGTTCAATGCTGCTGGATATCAGTGCGAGGATTGTCGCTACACGTGCCACAAGAAGTGCTACGAGAACGTCGTCACGAAATGTATCTCCAAGTCGAACACTGGAGTACGTCGGTTCACATGCAATATGCGTTCTGCTGCTAAGTTGCCCTACAGGACGACGAGGAGAAAATCAACCACCGTATTCCCCACCGCTTCGAACCTCTCACCAACATCGGCGCCAACTGGTGCTGCCACTGCGGTTACATGCTCCCCCTTGGCCGCAAGAACGCGCGCAAGTGCTCCGAGTGCGACATCACCTGCCACGCCAACTGCATGCACCTCGTCCCCGACTTCTGCGGGATGTCGATGGAGACGGCGAACCGGCTGCTGCGCGACATGCGGCTCATTAACCAGCAGAAGGGCGCGGCGCGCACGCGGACGCATGCACCGGTGTCGAGCCAGGACGAGAAGCTGAGCACGTCGATGGATAGGATGCGGCTGAGCCCGACGCAGCCGACGGACCCGTACCGGCAGCAGCAGCAGCCTGATGCGCGATATAGCGGTGGGGCGGCGCCTGGGCAGTACCAGCAGCAGCCCGCTGGTCGGCCACCTCCAGGTCGCGTACCTCCGCCGTCATACGAGCCGACGCAGGGTCGCCCATCGTCACAATACGAGCAGCCAGCCGGTGACCAGTACCAGGCTTACCCTGTGCGTGAATCTTGCCATCTTTGCTACTTCTCACTCATCCCTCTATCAGGGCCAGCGCACCCCTACCTCGACATCTCCTGTGCAGGCCAAGACACCCCTGCCCGCCCAGCAGCAACGCCCATTTGTGCCTCCAGGCCCGCCACCACCACTGACACAACCTGTCTCGCCGCCGCAGACGCCGATGGGCGGTCGTCCACTTCCACCAACGGGTCAGCCGCAGCAGCCCGTCCGCCAGGCGACGCGGAAGCGCAAAGTCGGCCTCGACGACTTCAACTTCCTCGCCGTTCTCGGGAAGGGTAACTTCGGCAAGGTCATGCTGGCGGAGGAGAAGAAGACGAACGGGCTGTACGCTATCAAGGTGTTGAAGAAGGAGTTCATCATCGACAATGATGAAGTAGAGAGGTTCGTGAATGTTTTCTTTTTGCAGAGTTCGAACTAAAACGCGACTTCAGCACGCGGTCCGAGAAGCGTGTGTTCTTGGCTGCGGCGCGCGAGCGGCATCCGTTCTTGCTTGGGCTGCACTCGTGTTTCCAGACGGAGACGCGCGTGTACTTCGTCATGGAGTACGTGAGCGGCGGCGATCTCATGTTGCACATCCAGCGGAAGCAGTTCTCGCTACGGCAAGCCAAGTTCTACGCGTCCGAGGTCTTACTTGCGCTCGAGTACTTCCATGCAAACGGGATCATCTACCGGTAAGTCTCACTCGTACGGCAGCCTTTAGATGCAATGCTGATTCATTGCGCAGTGACTTGAAGCTCGACAATATCTTGCTGACGTTGGACGGACATGTCAAGGTGGCTGACTACGGTCTGTGCAAAGAGGAGATGTGGTACGGGCAGACAACGAGCACATTCTGCGGTACTCCCGAGTTCATGGCGCCGGAGGTGCGTCCAAGTTTTCTTGTGCAATTGGAAGTCCTCTTATTCTTGGTTCAGATCCTTCTCGAGCAGCGTTACGGCCGCGCCGTGGATTGGTGGGCCTTTGGTGTTCTCACGTACGAGATGTTGCTTGGCCAGTCTCCCTTCCGCGGTGACGACGAGGATGAAATCTTCGACGCTATCCTGGAGGACGAGCCGCTTTACCCGATCACCATGCCCCGCGACGCCGTCGCGATTCTGCAGAAGCTGCTCGAGCGCAACCCCGAGCGGCGACTGGGCGCGGGCAAGGAGGACGCGGAGGAGATCAAGCGGCAGCCGTTCTTCAAGGACGTAAATTTCGACGACGTGCTGAACAAGCGGATACCGCCGCCGTACTTCCCGACGATTGTGAGCACCAGTCGAGGGGGAGATGGATGATGATAGCTGACTTGCGTCAACAGAAAGGTAGTGCAGACACGAGCAACTTCGACGAGGAGTTCACGAAGGAGCAGCCGACGCTTACGCCTGTGCACGGCCAGTTGTCGGCGCGGGACCAGCAGGAGTTCGAGGGCTTCAGTTGGGTGAGTCCTTTATTGAGCTCTATGATGGGCCTATTGCTGACCGGATCCGCTAGGTCGCAACATGGGCGGACATCTGATGAGCGGGTTGAGGATATCTGGATGCAAGACTGCGAGTGGGCCGACAGCGACGAGCAGGGCGACGCCCTTTCAACGAGCCGGCAGGAAGGGTCGCCGCTCGCCTTACGTATTGACGAACCGAATGACTTTGTACATGTCTTTTGTACTATAACTGTAACGCGCGTGTTACCTCAAGCATCGCTTGCTGTCCCGCTCTCTAGAGAAATGCGCGTGAGCTCTCTTGTATGTGTCACCGTGCGAGGTACAAACATCCTAGCTGTGGGAAGTATGCCGCCTGCGCGGCATCGAACTTTGCTTTGGGCTATCAATGGTCCCGTATATTTTTTCATTTATGCTCCCTTTGGGTAGAAGCCTGACGGGCATGAGACCATCCCATGAGAGAAAGCTACAGGACCGCCCGCTGGCACACAATGTGCTTCCGCGGTGCAAAGTTCGCGCTATTGGGTTCGATGGTTCAATTCGCGCTCGATAAACAGTCAAAGCGTGCTTGAATTGCATAGACGGCTCTATCAGAGCTCGTATGTGGCTTTCAACCCCTTCGGTACGCCGCCTTATCCTTTTCTACCATGCGGGGATATCGTGAGAACCAACCGACAGGTCCAGCACGTGATGCGGACGGAAAGTGCCGATGAATCCGTTCTCAACCTCGATAAGTGTTTAGCACTCGGGTATGAGGGACTTAAGACTCGAGATGGAGGACAGGGATTCCTATGCTTTCATTGCGACGTGCATTGTTCTGCTGTTCTGACTGCGTTACTATGATAATGCACTGCTTCTAGAGTTGACAAGTGAATACAGTTGAGTCCAATCCTTCCCCAGTGCAGCTCCAGATATATCTACAGAGACATGAGGCTGGGCTGACGGTACCATAGATCGATGATGAGGGGAAAATATAAATGGTAAGGGGCGAAGGTGTCGTGGTATCCACAAAATGCGCGCAAGGTCAAGCTCCTCATCCTCGTCGTCGGAAAAGTCCATCTGATCCATGCCGACCAGGTCAACGATCCAGTCAAAGCACACGTCGGTTCCGGATTGAAGCCAGCCTGAAGTGCGTTTGAAGTCGAGCTGCGAAGCGATCTCGTAGTGAGGCTCCGCCTGCAAGGTGTCGACGTCGCCTGCGGGCGCACTCCAGATTCGGATCGTATGATCTGCGGAGCCCGACACGATTGTCCTTCCGTCTGGAGAGAGCGCCACAGAGGTGATTAAGCCATCGTGCCCTCTCAGTGGTTCCGTTATAGGTTCCCTCGTCTCTGCGTCCCAAATGATAATGGTGCGATCACTGGAGCCGGACACGATTCGTTTGCCATCGCAGGAGAATGCAACAGAGTTAACCTCCCCGAAGACGAGATCCCCAGCTCCAAAGACGCCGTGGTCGTGCTCTGTGAGCGCGTCGCCCACTTGCGTCCTCGACGCGACGTCCCAAACTCGCAGTGTTTGATCATGCGAGCCGGAAACGATTTGCTTGCCGTCTGGAGAGAAAGCGATGGACGTGACGGACGCTTCGTGCTCGGCGAGCGACTCTCCTAGCTGTTTCCTACTTGCTACGTCCCATATACAGATTGTGTGATCCTGCGAACCGGAAGCAACAAGCTTGCCGTCCGGTGAGAAACCGATGCAAGCAACGCCGCCGCCATGTCCCTTGAGCTCGTCAACGGTTTCGCCCGTCGTTGCATCCCAGAGACGAAAGGTGCTATCCTGCGAGCCGGACGCGATCAACGTGCCGTCGGGTGAGTAAGCCACAGCAAGTATATGGCCGCGGTGGCCATCAAAGACTTGCGAGGACTGCGCCCCCGTCTCGACGTTCCACAGCCGGATTGAGCCGTCGCTGGACCCGGACAACAGGCGTTTGTTATCCGGAGAGAAGGCGACGCAGTTCACCTGGGCTGTATGCCCTTCTAGTGACTGGCCGATTTGATGGTACGTCGCCACATCCCATAGACGTACAGTGCAGTCGATTGAGCCGGATGCTATGCATTTTCCGTCAGGAGAGAAGGCGACGCAGTTGACCCAGTCCGTGTGCCCTGCAGCTCCGTCAGCTGACAATGGCGATAGTGTCGCCTCGCCATTCGCACGGGATAAGGGCTTTGGCCTGTCGTCGCCGCGATGCTCTATTATCGGTGCGTCCCATATACGGATGGTGCGATCCTCCGAGCCAGACACGATGGACTTCGCATTTGGCGAGAGCGCTACGGACATGACAGAAGCGTCATGGCCTTGCAAAGTCGCACCAATCTGCTGGCCGGTCCCCGCGTCCCAGACCCGGACAGCGAAGTCATACGACCCAGACACGAGATGTCTGCCATCCGAAGAGTATGCGACCGTCCAAACATGATCGTCATGCCCTCTCAAAGGCTGGCCGACCTGCTGGCCGGATGCGACATCCCACACGCGAACGGTGCGATCTGCGGATCCGGACGCGATGTATTTCCCATCGGGCGAGAACACGACGACGTTGACGTTGTCGCTGTGGCCATTGAAGGTGTGAACAGATTTTGGCACGGCGACTACCTCCCAGAGTCGAATAGTTCGATCCCAGGACGCTGATAGTATGTGCTTTCCGTCTGGAGAGAACGCAGCGGACGTGACGTTGTTTGTATGGCCTCTGAGCGCCTCACCGACTGCACGTCCGGTCAGCGCGTCCCATACGCGGACCGTGCGATCGTGCGAGCCAGTGACGATATGCCGACCGTCTGAAGACAACGCAACGCATTCGATCCAGTCGTCGTGTGTCGTGACTGTCGCGCCGATTTGTTGACCGGTGTTTAGGTCCCAGACCTTAATCGTGTGGTCCTTCGCACAGGACACGACCTGTGACCCATCGTGTGCGAGACACACAAGGGTTACATCGTCATGCTTGACCACGAAGGTGTCGCCAATCTGGCGCCCGGTGTCCGCGTCCCAGACGCGCACGGTATCGTCCCTCAAGCGAGACAGAATGCGGCTGCCATCCGGCGAGAACATAACTTGGTACGCGCCCTTGCCGGCGTTGATTAGCGAGCGCTCCGCCGCAGGCCAGTCGTCCTCTATCGCTTGTTCAGATACGCGTATGAGGCGACTGAACATCGGGCTATACAGCCGGCGGACTTGCGAATTTCGAGGCGCGAAGACCAGTCCGCTGATATAGACTTGCGGCGCGGAGGCGATGATGCCTTCCCTGAAGCGGATGAAGAACTTGAGGTAGTCTGCCACAAGCTCTTCGTAGTCTGACACACCGTAGGACTGCACGCAAGTTAGAATCACACTGCGCAGAGCACACGAGGACCCACTCACCCTGCTCCAGGCTAGATAGCTCTGCAATTCAGATATCGCCCCTTCATCTGCTTGCAAAAGGCTGCACGCCTCCAGCCAAAACAGGTAGCCGCGACGCAGAAAACGTTCCACAGCAGGATAGATGCGTGGAGAGATGTTTTCTAGCCAGGGCAGGTGAGCGAGGCCCATCGCGACGCAGAATCAAACGCGTACCTGCAGGGGCACTCGAGCTGAGCTCCAGATGACTTCCCGTCGCACGGCAAGCATACTGCAGGGACAAGCTCATGTTTTGTTCGATCCGCTTGGGAAGATCGGCGATGTCCTCGTTTAGTGAGAACGAAGTAGGCAGCTGGCAAATATTGAAGCGCAGCTCGCCGTTCAGAATGCAGAGACATGCGTCCGCCAGGTCCGCATGCGACTCGGCTCGCAGCTCAATAGCGAAAGGACCACTCGCACTGCCATCCAGGAGGAAATCTCGAAAAGACGTATGCAGCGGACGGACAGGCTGGTCGTGCTCCTCGACCGTGCCCATCAGCAGCGACCCCAACCCGCTCAAGATGTCCTCCACCGCCACCCCCGGCAGCAGCACCCCAGCAAACCCAGCAAATACCGCGCGCCGCTGCGGACTCTGCACCAGCAGAATCCACGTCAGGATGCGCCTGTATACCTCCATCCCCTCCTCATCCTCCGCATCGAAGTGCATCTCGAGAATCGCGCGGTACGTCGTGTACAGCGCCTGCCCCGGCGCGCGCATCACCCGGGCGACGAGGTCTCCGCGCGGCGCGGCGCGCTTGGGACTTTTTACTTTGGTCAGCTCGCGGCACAGGAGCGCGGCGCACTCGAAGAGCGTCTGCGCGGCCTTCGCGACGTCGTCGGCCATGTGCGCGACGGGCGTGCCGGCGAGCTTGGCGCGCACGAAGAGGCGGATGTCACTTTCGGTCCCGCGCGCGTCGTCGATGGAGGAGAGGGTGATGGGGAGGCTCTGCGACGAGGCGAGGTAGGTGCGGATATCGTCGTCCGGACGGCCGGTGATGAGGAAGCGGATGTTGTACGGGAGGCGGTCTGTCGAAATGCATTGGCGGAGGCACTCGAGGAGCGTGCGACGCTCTTCAGCCAGCCTTGTACTCCGCGCCTCGTCGATCGCATCCGAGTCCGGGCACTCGTCGAGCGCGTCGATGACGAAGACGACGGGGACCAGTACCGTATCCTCCGCACCCAGCAAGTCCATGATCAAGTGCCCCATCTGATCCTTTATATCGCGCGTGCCCAGGTCGTCTGCGTCCATCTTGCACAGTCTGTCATGGTAAGCCTTGTTCCTCCTCGCTAGCTGCGACCCAAGGGTCGGGAAGAGCTGGTGCGCCTCGCGATCGCGCGTGGTCCGATCGAAAGCAAAGAAGGGGCTGAGGGCGCCTGAGGTGCGCAGTCGCAGGGCGACAGCGTGCGCGACGGCTGACTTGCCCTTGCCTGCGGCGCCGTATAGGAAGTAAGCGCGCTTGCCATCGGGGTTGAACGCCCAATCTTCAATCTCGCGAAGCAGCTCGACGCGTGTACCTGGAGCGCAGCTTTTGGTCGAACCGGGCTGTACGTCCTTCGCGGCGGGCAGGGAGCTCAATATTCTCTCATCCACTGTGGATGCAAGTTCAATGAAGGCGAAGGTGAAGGATGCACAGAAGGACCTCACCGAGCTCTTTCGCTAGCTTCTCCGTTCTGAACACAGCCAGCTGCGTATCCAGATACCCCTTCGTCTCCACCTCGAATATGAAAGTCTTCAAGCTCTTCGAAAGGGCATCCACGCGCTCGCTGGTCTCCGTCGATAGTCTCTTCACTGTAGTTCACACCTTGTCAGCCAATGCCCAGCTATAACAGATCACTGCCCATCTATCGAGCTTAGCGAAAGACACTCACCCACCCCCACCCCGCTCAACGACCTGATAAACGACAAACAACAATAAATCTCCATAATCAGCGCATCCCTCGTCTCCCGCTGCTTCTCCCTCTGCTCCTCGAACTGGGGATCATCGCGGTCAATGGTGACTTGGATTGCCGCGCTCATGTCGTCAATGAGAGCGAGGATGGCGTCGTTGCGCTTGAGGCGGTCGCTGAAGGCCTGGGGTGGGGATTAGCACTACTTGAACCGTCATGGCTCACACGGCGTGCGTAACATGATCAGTTCGTAGTACTCACCTCGAATCCGAGATTGAGCAAGGAGATGACCATCTTTGCGCGGGGGTCCATCTGTATAGCTTTCGCTCAGCGACAGGATCATGGTTCTCAGATGCGGGGAAAGTATCGCACCTCCGACAACACGTCGCCAATCGCTAACAACGCCCTCACATGCCGCTCCATCTTCACCCACTTCTCTGGGAACGCCAGAGGTGCAGCGAGCTCCTTCGTATCAACCTGTCCGATTCGCTCGACTTTGATCTCGAGCGCGAGGCGAGGCGACTTGCTCAGGAGGGATTTGTCGACGATGTCGAGGGTCACTGTGGGGGTGAAAGGTCGATCGCGTGCACGAGAAGTGGATGTCGCATACACAGAAAGTCGAGTAGCGCATGCGCAGGGAGAAGCGAAGGAATCATAGTTGAAGGTGAAGACGTACCATGAGCAAGTTGCCTCTCTGTCGCTAGCGCCGTCATATCGCATTCTTTCGAGGCAAGGAGGTCATCTTTGCCCTTATTTCCTTCGGCATAGAGGGCAATCTTGAGCTTCGACGTTCCTCGGGCAGAGCTGATCCGAGTTGTACGTTCGGTAAAAGAAGGGTTTGAAGGTAGTGAGCCCGGCAACATTTCCCCGAGATGAGTCTGACTCACAAGTTTATCGAGACTTCCTTCTCGCCGAGGTCGCAGCGTTTGCTCTCGTCATTCACTGTTGCAGGCTTCTTACCCTCGCCATCGTCGAGGATGAATGTGGCGTATATTGTCCTATTGTTGGCCTTCTTATCCTTTGACTTGCCGAAGTCGAGGTGTAAAGCCCGCGCAAGCTTGCTAGCCTTCTTCGCAGGTATCTGCGGAAGGGTGCTCTCGCTGGATAGATCTGTGGAATGGCGGTGAATTCGATGGTTGTTGAGCCAGAGTGCATAGGGTACGAGTGAGTTAGAAAAACAAACAAACCCACGCACATCGCAAGGTATATAGCGCCGGGCGGTCAGCGCCAGCGCTAGCTTTCCCGTTTGCCTGCGCTGGGCTAGCAGCCTTCGACGCTGCTCCCTTCGTGGCTGGCCCCATGATGAGCGTCAAAAGCAGGCCGCCTCTGTGAGCGCTCCCAGTAGCCTATTTTGCACCCCTGTTGCAGCAACAGCTGATGCATGTTGTTCATTTCGCCCTGTTGCGCCCTGGCCATGGGTTGTTTCCCGCGGCAGCCGTACCGGGCGCGCGCCCTGGCTGCGCTGATCATGCGTTATTGATATCGATGCATTGGTGTATCAGCCAAGTATCAGCTCTGCACAAGGTTTCACACAGAGAGTAGATATTGTGTATAGAGAAAGGCAACCATCCAGATGGAAGTTCAGGAAAAGGGATGGACGCGGGCGGGGAGGAAAGCACGTGGAAACGAAGTCAGCAAGTTCGAGCAAATATGCGCAAGCAAACGCAAATATGGATCAGCAAAGCCTGCGCCACCGTAAAGCCCCAAGATCTATGCTACTTAGGTACAGATAGACTGCCTGACCATGGAGCAGGTCATACAGCTGTGCGCATTACTACAGCCTGACCTTGATCGATCGGGCACTAGCCTTCAATGTCAACGCACGGCCCCGCCCGCCAGATCGCGTCTGCACGACCGAAGGCCGACGCGCAACGCCCATCGGTTTGAGCAGTACCGCCAGTCGCTCCGTAGCGTAGGGAAGGGAGACGGCGGGCCTCTCGTCGGTGAGATCAAATCTATCGCGGCTAGTGACTGTTGACTGGCAATCGTGTCGTATGCGGGGCTTGACAGAAGGCGAGCACACTCGTTGCTAGGCATGGCAATATCTCATAAGATTCACTGAAAGTCAAGGATGATATGCGCGCACCTCATTCACATTCCGGCAATCTCACTCCTCTTCCTCCCTCTTCTTCTCTTTCGCCGCAGGCGTGGTGACAGCAACGTGATGCCCACCTGTACCCGGAATGCCCGCCACAGGTGCATCTTCGCTTGTCGCGGTCACATCGCCGGCATTAGGCCCTCGCATCATCTCATGGAAAGCACCCCATAGGGCAGCGACGGTGTCGTATTCCTTCGTCATGCCGAGGGCTTCTTCCAGATGTCGATTGAGACCGTTGGTGGAGGAGAGAAGAGACTCGAGGGACTGCCGAAGAGATAGAGCAGCGTGAGCGTAAGAGTAAGGGAAGCAGTTGGGAGATTGAGGTCGATTCGGCCCAGTGCAGTGCAACTCACGATGGCGATCTCCCGCGACAGACGCTCACGCTCCCTGGTAAAGAAGGACTGGTCATCGTCAGGACGCGAGACAGACATGGCGCAGATGACAGTATTTGTCTGATAAAGGTCGTGGGCAACGGCGGCGGCGCGCGACACGCGTCGTCACACGGTGACAAGACGCGCCGCGATCGCGATCTCGTCATTACCTCCACCATCATGGACGCGTTACGCGACGAGCTCAAGGAAAAGTTCGGCGACGACCTCGCCAACAATGACGCGCTCCTTGAAGAATGTGAGTGACGATGATTAACGACTGGTCTCCCTCGCTGACCATCACTTACGCTCCCTCCAGCCGTGCAGCTCTGCACCCACCACGGCCTCGACGCCGACAGCTTCCTCTGGAAATGGGAGGCCATGAAGTGGGAGATGGGCAAGGACATCCGCGGGAAGCCGCCCGCCTTCGACGCCGACAAGCTCAACGCCATCCGCGCGGGCCTGCATCGCAAGCTCGCGGACGAGGAGCGCCAGCGAGCGAAGACGCGTGCACCTGCAGTGGCAACGAGGGGAGCGGCGCGAGCGCTACCGGGCATGCGGGCGATGGGTATGGGGTCCAGCGGCTCGCGTCCTTTGCCCCCGTTTGCTCAGCGAGGGAGGGCGGCGCCGGTGAAGGCAGAGCCTATGGATGTTGATGTGCCTGTGGCTGGCCCAAGTACGGGTGGGTCGACGATTGTGGGCACGAGTAGCTCGGCGAGGGCTGCGCATCTCCACTTTGTGGGCCCGGACATGAGCGAGGAGGCGAAGAAGGCGAGGGCTTGTGAGTGGTCAATCGTCTGGACATGAATGCGTCTTGCTGACTGGTTTTCTTCACGCTCCTTTATCCACCATAAGACCGCTACATGTACTCCACAATCCATGACCGCTCCATCGCCCTCGACGACCGCATTGAAGATTTCGTGAACCTTGTCCAAACCCATTACGGGACAGAACCGCCCGAGGACCCAGCATCGAAGTCATCAGTACGTTCATGTCTCTGCCCCCTTCATGTGTAGATCATAGTTGAACGTCGATACATGTGTTTAGGACCTCACTCTTGTCGTCGGTCGCGTCACCTCGGACACTGACGGGGCCAAACTTGCCGACAGTACCCTCCGCATCGAGACTGCGAGGTATCTCGGCGCTGTGGGCGGGGCACCATTGAGGCTTGCGGAGGGGTTCAGGGTGGTGGGAAGGGCGTGTGGGGTGGCACAATCCGCGGTCGACAGTACTTCAGCCCTTTCGCCAAGCGCGCAGGCCGGTGATGGCAATGCAGAAACGAACGGAGCGAGTCAGGAGTTAGGTAAGTGCCTATGGCAATATGTGAGCGTGGCCTCAACTAACTGGCGAATGGCCTGCAGAATCCAGCACACCCTCGCAAAAGAAGAGCAAGAGAACGCCCGCACCTATCGTCACCATCCCTGGTGCGCCGTTAGCTCTATTTCCGGGCGCAATCGTGGCGCTGAGAGGAAGGAATGGCGCGGGAACGTTCGTAGCGGAGGAGGCGCTGGTGGTGAGTAGGCACATTCTCGACATCTTCTCCTGCATGTCGTGGTCCATGCTTTCGCATTTCGTAGTACGTTCGACTGACGCGTCGTCTACAGCTTCCCCCGCTCCCTCCACCACCCGGCTACTTCCCTTCTATCCCTTCCGGCCTCTCATCCTCAACGCCTTCAATGACCCCCTCATCTTCGACACCTTACCCGGCACCCTCAACCTCCTCCGCCCCCTTCACTATGGCTGTCTTTGCCGGCCCCTATACATCAGATAGCGACCTCAATTTCGCGCCGTGGCAGAGCGCGCTCGCCGCGCTGCGGGAGGAGGCGGTGGATGTGGTGGTTTTGGTGAGTGATGCCATTCTGCTGCTGTTTACTTTGCTTCTTCGCCCCCCTCCACCGGCTGTGTGCTTAAATTGAAGCCTACTGCTGCCCGCTTGCCCCCCTATATCGAAAAACGAGGAACACCTATGCTAACTCACCCTTCCCAGCTCGGCCCCTTCCTCGACTCCGCGCACCCGCTCATCAAGACGGGCGACGCCGACGAGCCGCTGCACCGTATGTTTCTCCGGCGCTTCCTCATGCCACTCAGGCGGTGGCTGAATGGGGTGGGGCCGGTTGGTGGGGCGACGGGAGGAGGCGGGGGTGGGGGTGCTAGCGAATCAGCTGGCGGTGAAGGTGCGTTCCTGCGTGCTACGTGATGAGTATTGTAGCTGACGCATGTATACTAGACGCCGGCGAAGGCGAGAGCAAGCCCTTAGGCAGCAAGGGCGGCCGCCTCGCACTGCTCATTCCGAGCGTGCGCGACGCGCTGAGCAACCACTTGACGTTCCCGCAGGCGGAGCTTGCTGGGTTTGAGGCCTTTGATGAGGTGAGTGGGGTGATCTTAGTTTCAAGTCGGCTGGCAGAACTATGTATACCACTGGCGAGTATGCTTTACGCAACCCCCTCCCCCCCTTCCGAAATCCGCGGTCGCAAGTGACATTTCGCTGACACCCATACCAGCGCATCCGCTTCCTGCCCAATCCCGCCCGCTTTGCCATCAATGGCGTCTCTTTCGCGGCGACGTCGGCGGAGACGGTGTTCCACTTGCAGGTGAGCAGGGTTCCCACCGCGACAAGCTCGAAGTTCATAGTTGATGCTCTCCTTAGGCAGAACGCCTCCTCAAGCGCGGCGCAGGACCTCCAGAGTCGGGCGATCCTGTGGCAAATCTGTATCGGGTGATGCTAGAGCAGAGAAGGTAGGTTTCGCTCTCACATACTCGTTGATAACTCTTGTGACTAATCGCAATTGCCCTTAGCTTCTATCCCCTCTTCCCTGGACTGCACCCTGGAGACGTACATCTCGACGTCGCGCATCTGAGTGGGCTGACGATTGGGACGACGGACTCGCCGGAGAAAACGAAGCCCAATGGTGCAGGCAAGTCCGAGAGCGAGAGCGTCAAGGTTCAATCAGGCGACGGGGAACCTCGCCCTTGGGAGCAAACTGCGCCGGACGTGCTCATCGTGCCGACGAGGTTGAAGGAGATGGCGAAGGTGAGTACACATCTGGCTGTTGAGGGACAACGGTGTGTGCTTGTGAACAAAATCGCTGACGCTTCTTCCTCAGCGTGTCAGCACGATGTACCCAGAACTCTCCGCGGCTGCTCCCACGAGCTCATACACGACACTGGCGGTAAACCCGTCATATGTTGCCAAGGGGCGACATGCGGTCTTGCAGGTGAACCCAGGGGCGACGGGTGAGGGGAGGGTACAGGGAGAGGTGAAGACACATTGAGGATTGTAATTATGAGTAGAGTAGAGTTGGAAGAATCAGTCAAGCGACCAGCACATTGTTCTTGTGTCTGCAGTCTATCCCGAGCATACCAGTGTTCTTGGTCAAGCCTGCTCGCCTACTTGCGACTTTTGTGGCAAGCGCCGTCATCGTCGCTGACAGCGATCAAGCCACCTTCCCACGTCATTACTCTGCCTCCTCCCGTCATCGTCGCAGCGTGCTCCCTCAACGGACCTCTTTCCATCCTCGTGCCCCTTTTGTAACGACCTGCAATGTCCAAATATGCACCCCATCGCTCCTCAAACGCCCGCCCCCGCGCCACTCCGAGCACCGTTTGCCAAAAATGCCTCGGCACGGGCCACTTTATCTTCGACTGCAAGGGCTCGCGGCCATACGTTAGCAGACCATCGCGGACACAGCAACTGGAGCAAGCAAAAGCGCTAGCAAAGAAGGGCGGGCCCTCCGCGCTGAAAGCGCTGGGCGCGACACCAAGCGTCGAGGTGCCCGAGGAGTTCAAGCGGAAGGAGGGAACGGCGAATAAGATTCTGGAGCAGAGGGAGAAGGAGAGGAAGGAGCGGGAGAGGAAGGAGGCGAAGGAGAAGGGGAAGGACAAGGAGAAAGGGAGGGATAGGAAGAGGGCGAGAAGGTGCGTACTGAAGTTGATCTGTGAGGTCGGCGTGCTGATCAGCCTTGCAGGGACAGTAGCGCATCGAGCGCGTCGGACTCGGGGTCAGATTCGGATAGCGACTCGTCGAGTTCGGCGTCGTCGAGGTCGTCGGACTCGGACTCGGGCAGCGGGTCGGACTCGGGGTCGAGCGCATCGTCGTCTTCACGCGGGCGCTCGAGGGATCGCAAGCGTCGCAGATAGATGCTGTTGTTCGCCATCTCCTCGCTGACCTTTGTGTTCCCCGCCGAGTGCGCTATCACGCACCGGCGCTTGCATCTTCTCTCCCCATTGCACACGCGACGGGAGTTGGCATACGCCAGCTTCCGAATAGCGTCGCCAGATTGGACGCTGGAACGCGTACCTCTCGCCTATATGAGTAGTAACTCGTTCCGCATGTGCCTTGTATAACCACTATCTGACGCGGACGAATCGACTGTGAAGGAGAGATTGTGGCTCGCTACCTTCATCCACCTCGAATTGCCCGGCGCATGTCGATATTTTGGTGTGCATATCTGCTACAGGCAGAGACCCGAACGCAGGCGGTACGCAAGTACAGTCGTCTCTCTCCCGCTGCTATTGTTTTGCATACAGTGGACAGTGGGTGCACAAAACGCAGGCTTGGACCTTTGACGCCTTTGCACTCCTCCTTAGTATTCTCCTTCAGGCCACAATAACTGACCCTCCAGGTCAAGATGGTACTGACTATGCATTTGCACACAGCCATTGACTTCCGGTATTCTATTGCTTGTCTTTCGGCGCTCCATTGACTGACGCCCGCGTTCAACAGATCAGTCTTCACGCCTTTCACCCAATGTACGATGGATCTCACTCCTCGCTATTGTTCCCTTTGGAGTAGCAATGTGGGTGCCCCGCATGTGTGGGCGCAAATATGCATCCTCCTGAGCCATTGGTGCTTATTCTGAGGCTTAAGGTGCTTATTCCACAGCATGTCATCTCGCGAAGATCTGGATGCAGTGCAGAGCGCACAGACCATCCGGCGATTCTAAAGCGAAGGTACGTGCGTGGGAGGAGTTTGTACATGTGTGGGCGCTGAAGAATCGGAGGGAATGGTTTATAAGGCTGGTATTGGCACCCTTTCCTCTCATCAACACATCCCTCTCCTCACTCTTGAGCCATAGGTCTCAGGACGCGCCACGAATCGACAAAGCATATAGCTTGTCGACGTATTCACAACCTATCCACAACGACGAGCGCTTTTTCCCTACAACACAGTATATCGTCAACAATCTCAACCTCTTTCATCATGTCCAATCACAGCGACAAGTCTTACACCGAGCAGCCAATTAGCGAGCGTGCTCTTACCGGTCGTCGCATCAGCTATGCTCGTACTCAACCTGGCGAGCCTGAACCGTCCGCGGCCAACGCCGTCATGCGTCGCCCGCTGCGAGTACCTCACGACACTCAGCAACCCCATCCCCTCACATCCTCATCCCGATCGGGGCCTAATCCCTCGCCTTCCTCAGCACCTCAAGGCCTCCCTCAAATGCCAGCGCACTCCCATGCGCTGTGGCCGAACTTCGGTGCCCTTGACTCGCTTCCGGCGTCCTCTTCCCACGCCACTGGACTTTGCCACTCCGCAGGTCTTTCTCTGCCTGTTGCACAGTATCCTTTACCATCCCTGTCCATGTTCGCCCATGTAGTCCTTCCAATTTCTCAAACGCCGCAGCCGTCACTGCAGCACGTCCCACCACGGCACCGAAGCAGCGCCTCGAGCGCGAGCTCAGTCGAGGTCCACGCGTATCTCACCGACATCTCCAGTAGCGAGGAGCACAATACAGATAGCGCAGAACGAACTCTGGCTGGAAGACCTGATAGAGCTATCGTCAGGGCTGTCAGTAATGACCGCGCCGACATCAGTGAAGGCATGGGCAGCCGCGGTGGCGATGAACTAGAGTATGCTGAGGACGATGATGGGATGTTGGTGCACGAGGACGACGCCGTGCATGTGGGCGACGAAGATGACGGCTCCCCCTTCAGCGGCTTCAGCGAAAACGTCGATCAGCTTGACGACGACCAGTACGAGCCTCGCTCCACGGTGACCGACTTCGGGTCGACACTCTTCTTCCGCGACTTGGACGACCGGGAACGTTTCGCCTACATGGAAGATGATCGCTTCCAACACGATGTCGTTCTTTCCCCTCGTTCGTCGCCCGAACAGGTAGAGGCGGCTGCTCTGCGAAGTGCCGGGGCCGGCCCTTCTAACATTACACAGGAAGCACGCTCCTCGTACGCTAGGACAAGATCACCGCCTACCTCGTCCATCACAAACTATCGCCGACACGCAGCTACGCCAGATAATGGTGACAGCAGCGCCGCAGATGAGATTCCTGTCCATCGTTCTCCTCAAGAGGGTCCTCAACTCGAACAAGCGTCTTGGACGCCCACAAGTGCCACAATATCGAGCTCGGGGACCACCGCACAGCAAGAGCCATTGGCCCCGCCCACTATAATACGTCCTTCCATCCCCAACTTGCTCAACGCAGAGGATAGGGAGGTCCCGAGACCTTGGGGACCCAGCGCAATCACAGGTGAGTCGTTGACCAGGTGCTACATTTGTGGCGTGCCATATTCTCACGACTGCAAAAGTTGACCAACATGCAGATCCATACGCGACCGCGCCTCGCGAAGCTGAGAGGCTTGTTGACACAAGCCCGACGTATCCTACCGCCACCGATGCAAGAGGCCAAGGTGCGCAGACCCCAGCTGCAACCGTCTCATACTCAATCGACAATTCCTCTCCGATCCTGCTAGGTCCTGGTTCCCAGCTTTCGTTGAGACTGTCGATCCATTCACCTACTCCCCGGACAGAACCAGCTGTGCCATCGGAGGATTTCACTGGCGCGGCTGAGCATGGCGCGCCCGATCGTTCTTCGCCCTGGCCGTCAGACGCAGACCTTAGGGTAGCCGGCCCTTTTCTCGAGTTTATTGCATCTGCAAGGGCGACGGGTGTGTGGTCATCTCCTGGAACAGGCAATGGGCGTCTATATCCCGACACGGGCAACGTCCTATCTCCTGGTGCCACTTCCGAGTCGGCAACGCTGACCGGCGGAACAATCAACATCGATCTACCCAAGGTTGTCCCCTTCGCCACAGCGCCAGCTTCCGTGCTACATGATTCGACGCAATTTGGGCAGCAGGGCCAGAGCCCTCGTCCACTTTTGGCTCATCCACCTTCGCCTCATCCGCCTTCGCCTCGTTCACGTTTACCTTCGCCACTTCCGTCGTCGTCGTCAGCCCCGGAACAAGAAACGCCCACTTCCCAGCCGTCACCCCCGTCAGACTATGTCGGTTGGGTCGATCTTTGGCGCGCAAAGGTGGACGTTGTGCAGCAGGCTGTAATTGGCGAATTTGAGGTTGATGAGACCGGACAAAGTAACTCCTCCCCTGCCGAGCATGCAGCAACCCTGCCTTCTACCACTGGCACAGCGGTAGCTCCACTCAATGAAGGGTCAGGCGAAAAGGGAAAGAAGAAAGGTGTTGATAAGAAGAAGAAGACCCCGCCCAGTAAGGTGTGTCAGATCACTCGTGTCCTCCCCCTTGATTCCAGATCCATCGACACTGACACTGACCGCAGGCTCGGCAAGCCTTTGTGAACTCCATCAAGTTGGGCGGCCCATGGCTATTGAACGCGGTGCGAACGGCCTGCAGACTGACTGGCGAGCTTTTCCCCGAAGAGGCCATGGTACCAGATGACGATCTCCATGCGGAACTTCAAGAGCGCTCGGATGCGAGCCCGGAAATCGTACAAGATGGAATTACGACCAGTCGCGGTCTCGAGGGAGAAGCGCGCGACCAGAGCGTAGACGATTTTTCACACGCTGCGGACGAAGAGGGGCTTGAATTTGAACATCAGGGGGATGGAGAACAGGGCGATGAGTCGCGCTGTCCGATTCCCTTTTTACTATATGTGGTCCCGCGCTCGGAAGACGAGACCGTGGAGGAGGCCCTTCAGATAGGCCAGGGCGAGATCCACGAACAAGTGAGTGCACGACCTTTAACCGGAATGCCTTTATCCTCACGTAGCCTGCACGACTGATGCTCTCCTTCAGGTTCAAAGACTTTTCTTCGATTCCTGGAATCTCGCAATCGCCACGGATCGGAATAATCCACCCGTTGTTGACCCTCAGGGCCAAGCAGGACCCTCCACATCCGCACAACCACCGGCACGGGGACCTATGGATCCCGTGTACCCCGCTCAGACCAGGGTCGTCCTCTTCGTGGCCTGCGAGAACGCGTACACCTTCACGGTCGCTGAGCTCGGCGACGACGAGTCGCCGCTCCGCGCACCCGACGGGAGCGAGGGGAACAACAAGAAGAAGGGTGCGAAGAAGGGCGGCAAAAAGGGCGGCAAGAAGGGCAACAAAAAGGACGGTCAGCAAGATCAAGACCCGCTTGAGATGCTGCCCAGACGCCGGTTCAACTCTCCCGGCGACGTCCCTGTCAACTACGGGGACTGGAATGTTCCGACTCGTAGCACCGTCGAAGCGAGGGCGATGGAGGCCGAAGGCATACCGGAAGAGCTTCACGCAGAACCGACGAACAACAGCGGGCCGGCGCAGGTCGACGCGACGGCAGGCGAACGTGGAATTGTCCGAGGTCGGCAGGATGAAAATCTCGGCGGCTGCAGTGCAGGTGCCGGCCAAGGGAGTGAACCCCGTGACGAGCGCCAGTCGAGCCAGGAGGGGCGGAGGCAGGACAGCGAGGACGAGGAGGAAAAGAAGAAAAAGAAGAATGCCAAACCGCGCCCACCACTCCGGTCCCGGCGCGAGATCCTCGAGGAACACCAGGAATGGTTACCCATCCGGTACGACGATCGCACGCTGGGTCAGGACCTGCGTGTCATTCTGGCGGAAGTGCACCTCATCATCAGTGAGTAAGATCCAACCATAGTCCCAATCTATCCATTTTCCAGAGTCGTCTCCCTCCCTCTCTCTCTCTCTCTGTTGTCCATCCAATCTTCTTGAAGGCGTGCTGACACATTCTTATAGGACTGTCCTACTCACCTCTGGATCCGGTGTTCGGCGCGCAGCTGCTCATCCGCAATCTCAACTCCACCGCAGCTGAGATGGCGACCGCAGCTGAGATGGTGCAGAACGCAGGCAATGGCGCTCAAGGCAGAGTCACGCGCTCGAAAAGCCGGAAGCGTCAGCGCGCTGAGGGTGAGGACGAGGGCGGGAATAACGCCGAACCCTCCAAGCCGACGAAGAAGCGCAAGACTGCGTCGGCCACATCTTCGCAACAACCGCCGAGAACGTCCTCGACACAACCCCCCGCCCCTCGCGGCAGCAAGCGTCGCCGGGACGAAGCGACCGAGGACGCTGCACCTGCACCCAAGCGCACGCGGAGGGACGAAGAGGTTGCTGGTGATGCTGACCAGCGGCCTTCTGCCCGCGCCTCTGCCGCGACCGGAAGTCGGCCTCCGAGGCTGATACTGCCAGGACCGTCGGTCGACACGTACGCGAGCTTGAATGAGTCACTTCGGGCCGCCCACGCGTTGCCAGTGGATGCATCTGTGTCCCAACCCGGGGCCTCTATATTCAGGCAGCCTCCAAGGTATCCCATATATCATCCACCACCAGAGCAACCTATTGCAGGACCGTCGCGTCTTCCTATGGCAGGCCCGTCGCGCCCCTTCCGCAAGCGCCGTCGGGGAGACGAGACCGACGACGACGAAGACGACGACGACTATGTCGAGGAAGGCGGCCCTGTAACCTGGGAGAGCGGGCGTCGCGCGAAGAAGCCCAAGAAGCAGTAGAATGAAGTGTGTAATTTGTGTTGCTGTACGGATATGCGTTGCTATACGGACAGATGATATTGCTTTTGGATAGGACTCGCGGACTGCTGATTCTCGTTTTCTGTTTCTTGTTTTACGGCTTCATCTTCCTTCCATACCTTATTTCTGTGTAATCGGACTACCTGACTTGGACTAACGGCTACTTGTACTAGTTATACCCATATACTACATATACCCTAGTAATTCCATCTCCATTCCCCGCATGCTCTCACCTTAATGTTGTGTTGTGGGTCCCGTTCGGCGATAACGCTTTCCTCTCTTGGTAGGTTCTTCGTGTTTGTCGGCGATCCGTCCCGATCAGCCGTACATCGCCTCCTCCCCTCCGGTCACCAGGGCGCCCGCGATGCTATCGCAGCGCAGTAGTAGTGATCTATGGGCGCGTAGACTTGATCTATGGGAATCTCTTGGTTCAACAGCTTCCTCTCCGCCACCACCTGGCTTAGCACTGCCATAGCCTGTCGCCTTTGCGCCATCGTCAGGTATATATCGCGCGGCACTGCCGGGAGATAGCGCATCCTAGCCTTTGTCCCGCATCCCTTTGTTGACGCGCAGCCTTTGTCCATCCGACGCGTACTTAAGCCTCAGCGCTAAAGCACAAAGCATCGTTCGCAGCTTCCCCCACATCCTATCGCAAGCCAGTTCACCATGTCCCTCCTCGACAAGATCGGCGACGCGCTCGGCGGCGAGCACCACCAAGAGAGCCGCGGCCACAATCAGCACAGTGGCGAGCCCCTCGCGCCCGTCCCCCCTCCCGTCACCGAACAGGTCTCCCCACCCGTCCCTGCCACCGAGTCTCACACCCATCACCACGGAGGCCTCCTCGACAAGCTCAGCGGGGCGATCAGTGGCCAGAAGGAAGAGCCCCAACCCGCCGCGCCACCCCCTCCCCCGCCCGTCCCGCCCAAGGAGCAGTCGTTCTTCGAGAAGATCGGGGACAAGCTGTCCGGGAAGGAAGAGGAGCCCGTCGCGCCGCCCCCGCCGCCTCCCGTGCCCGAGAAGAAGGAGCCGGAGGGGTTGTTGGGGAAGATCAGCGGCGCGTTCGGACACAAGGAGGAGGAACATCAGCAGCCTGCGGCCCCGCCGCCCCCGCCTCCGGAGAAGCACGAGCCGGAGGGCCTGCTGGGGAAGGTGTCGAGCGTGTTTGGAGGGAAGGAGGGGGAGGAGCATCAGGCGCACTCCACGCAGACCGCAGAAACTCACGAGCATTCCCACCACTCCCACCACGCCGAATCCGCGCCGCCCGCCCCCGAGAAGCACGACGGCCTCCTCGACAAGCTCAGCGCGCTCGGCCTGAAGGACGAGCCCGCGCCGCCGCCACCCCCCGCCAAGCCCGAGGGCGTGCTCGATAAGGTGAAGAGCGCGCTCGGTCACGAGGAGCCTGCGCCACCTCCGAAGGAGGAGGGCGTGCTGGACAAGGTGAAGAGCGCGCTGGGGCACGAGAAGGAGCCGGAGAAGCCGAAGACGTTTGGGGACAAGGTGAACGAGGCGTTCGGCGGCGGGCACAAGGGGGAGCAGAAGGAGGATGGGCTGGATAAGGGTGAGCTACGGATCCATTGTTAGTCGGGGTACAAGGCACTTACGGCATACTTTCAGCCGTCGACTTCGTGCAGGAGCATGTGCTGAAGCAGGGCGACCAGAAGAACGAGTCGGCGTGGGAGCAGGCGAAGGACGAGCAGATCAGCGACACGATCCGCAAGACGTACAAGAACGCGACTGGGCATGAATTCTTCGTCAAGGACAAGGAGTAGAGGAGAGCGCTAGCACAGACTACGAATGTACAATTACTACTGTATACCCAAGACTCGAATATGTTGCCAGTTGTGGGTCCAACCCGCCATCAATTAGCACAGCCACCGGTGTAGCGCGCCTTGACTGCGAATTTTGCCGAGCGCGACTGTCAACGGTCTCCAGGATGCAGGCGCTACCGCGGGGCCCCCTCGCGCACTGCGCCGCGCGCCGCTTCAGCACGTCCGCCGTCGCGCGCGTCCGCCTCCCCCACATCGGCCGCGAGCCGCTCCTCTGGAAGGACCCCGTCAAGCTCACGCCCACGCCCGAGTCCATCCTCGTCGAGGGCCCGCTCGGCCGCACCGCTGTCCCGCTCAAGCCGTACATCACCCTGCACTTCCCGGACGCGCATCAGCTGCAGATCGGCGTGAAGGACATGGGCGAGCGCGAGCAGCGCATGATGTGGGGCACGACGCGCACGCTCATCGCGAACGCCATCGTCGGCATGACGGAGGGGTACTCGGTGCCGCTCTACCTCGTCGGCGTCGGGTTCAGGGCGAACCTGGAGGACGACCCGCGTGGGACGCTGGACGGCGGGAGCGGGAAGCGGCTGCACATGAAGCTCGGGTACACGCACTCTGTCTACGTGCCGATTCCGCCGTACATGAAGGCGGAGGTGCCGAGCGCGACGAAGATCTCGCTGTTCTGCACGGACAAGCAGTTGCTCGGGGAGTTTGCGCGCAAGATAAAGAGCTTGCGGATGCCGGAGCCGTACAAGGGGAAGGTGAGTGGCGACGTCGCATACATTCCGGGCGTGTGCTAACGAGAGTGCAGGGCATTTTCATCGGCAAGGAGACCATCCGCCTAAAAAGTGCGAAGAAGAGGTAGTCGAGCGCACGCACTCCTGCCGTCGAGCTCGAGCGTCGCAACCTCGTGCTCCCACCTGCTCCTATCCTCTTTTTCTGCCCCTCTATCCTCACCGACCTATGTCGCTGGCATGCGGCACGTAGAGCACCTCCCGCATACTCATACACCGGCGTCCAACCACTACATCCTCGTAATGCTTTCGATCTTGCTGCAATCCACAAGCACCATATACATCACTGCTCTGCCAAACTCATTGTGATATTGCCCCTGTTCTTTAAGCATATAGCCCGGTGCGTATAGTTGTGTGCAGGTTACGGTGTCTTCTGCCAGCTGTTTGCTCCTCGCTACCTCCCCTCGCCACCGCGTTCACCTCTTCGCCTTGATCATCCCGGACATGATGTCGAAACTGTTGCCGTCCGGCTGCAGGTCGATAAACTGCCCCTCAGAACCTCCCCTGGACGAGCCCGCCCCATAACGTCCTCCTATCCCACCTCCACTCTCCGGCATCGCCCTCAGTAGCCCGTGTTCCGTGATGCCGACGATTCTAGCTCGCAGCGGCGGGTCGACAGTGGTGATCGTGACGAGCTGGTCGCTGAGGGTGGCGTTAGCGTGAGGTGAGGGCGGGGAAGAAGATACCAGGAAGTCTGCGCGCATATATGCTGGTCACATGCAAGTCCTCTTGTGCGCGTTCACGCAGCCCGGGTGTAGGGACAACGAAACGCCAACTACTCACGAATGCAGCCACCTCGCCAAATAGCGGTCCAAGAAGGGCTCGAACGACCCGCCTCCAGCGACGAACTGGGTCCACATAACGTCGAAGCGGGCGAGGATGGTCGCCGCGGTGCGTTCGAGGGTAGGTGGCGCAATGTCTTTGGTGGGGGGAATGGTTCTGTGTGAGTCCGACTAGGCGTCTGGGGTGTGTAGGTGTACTTACTCGAGTCCGGCAACAGCTGCGCCAGCGACGGGATCGGGGGCGCGTTCAGAACGTTGAGGCCGCTCCCGATGATGACATCCGCGTTCGGCCCATTGAAGCCCGTGTTCACGAGGATGCCGCCGATCTTCTTCGTCTGCTTCTGTCCCCTGTCGTCGTCCCCGACCTCCGCGTAGACGTCGTTGGGCCATTTGATGCGGACCTTCGAGAAGGATCGTGTCCGGTAGGATGAGGGTATGAGGATATGAGTGACATTGGCAGGACGAGGATATCAGTGACATTGGCAGGATGAGGATGCCAGTGACATTGGCAGGATGAGGATATGAGTGACGTTGGCACTACAGCAACACATCGCTCTACTGACCTTGCGTCCGTGTCTGCCTAGCACGCCCTCTTCCTCGCACGCCTCGGCGACAGCGAGGGCGAAGAGGTACTGCACGAAGACGAGTTTCTGGGCGGGGAGCTGGGGGGTTGCGTCAATTCGACCGTCTTTGCACGCTTGTTTTTCCTCATCAAGGCGAAGTTGTCGAAGAGGAAAGCCATTAAGCAAGTGGAGATGAAAGCCCTCCAGGAAATGGAGACGAAAGCCCATCGAGGAAATGGAGATGAAAGCCCATCGAGAAAATCGAGACGAAAGCCCATCAAGGAACTCGAGTCCGACAGCGACGTGGTCAATAACGCACCTTACTTAATGGCACCCTTAACAACACCGAGAACTGCAGGCACCCCGCGGGCGAGAGCCAGACGTTGCCGCCGCGCCCGCGGCCGGAGAGCTGCGCGTAGGCGAGCGAGACGATGGGCGGGGGGAGCGCCCAGCGGAAGGTGGGGTTTCTGGGGGTGGGGGTCAGCGACTTTTGGGCGAGGGGCAATGCGTCTGGAGCGAATGAAATGGGGGGGATATGGTAGAACTTAAAAAATAGTGCACCTCTCAAGCAGCGTCTGCGTGCTGGTCACTGCCTCGCCGTAGATGAGCGCGTCGCCGAGGGGCCACGGGGATACACCTGGGAACGTCGACTGTGAATTCAGATCACAAATCCGGGGTGCACAAGGAAGCCCTCACCATTGTCGCCCCCAGCCCTTCCCCTCGCCACCTCGAGCGCCTCATAATACGCTTTCAAGTCGAAATTCGGAGTCAGTTCGCGCGACGGGAGCGCCCCGTCGGGGCACAGGACGATGTGTCGGTGCGAGGCTTTCTTTTCCTGACTGTCTTGATCACTCTTGAGCTCCGTATCCGCTCCGTGGCTGTCCTGCGCCGCATTCACCGCATCCCCCGCGCCCGCGAGCGGCCAGAAGTAGAACGTGTCCTCCGAGTCTTCCCAGACGGACAGCTGAGAGGCGAGGGTGTCCACAGTCTGGTCTTCCGCGTCTTTGCTCGTCTCAGCGGGTGCGCCTCGATGAGCAATGAAATCACACACCTTTACAATGCGCGGCGCCCTTGCCTTGTTCTTCGGCCTGCGCGACCGCCAGCGAGCGCGTGATTCTACTTATAACACCCGCCGTCCCCGGGTTCGCGGTCAGAAACTGGGGCTGGGGGCGCGGGAGAGTGATAGCGGCGGGCGAGTCTGGGAGTCGGAGCCCGAGGCTGGCAAGGACGGGGTGGAGGAGGGAGACGTGGGGTGAGGGTGTGGTAGAGTCGGATGACGACGACTGTGTAGATGCTGATGGAATGGCAGGCGGTCTTGATGGACTTCCTAGGTCAGGCGCAACCACGGCGACTCGCCCCGCGCCAACGGGGAGTTGGATGGCTGCAGCGCAGGCGTCCTCCGAAGGTGCGGAGCGAGCGTCTGCTGAGGCAGGTGCAGCGTACCGCAACACTACCTGTACTCCTGCCTCGCCCGCAAATCCCGCGAGCGTGTTATTTGGGTCCAGTGGGACGCCGCGGACGACATTGCCGGCTAGGTCTTCGACATCGGCGGTAGGGTCCGCACTAGCATCCTGCCGCGCTGCGCTATCGAAGCGCAGGTACCTCCCCGGCCTTGAATAAAACTGCAGCACGGGGTCCACGCCGCTCGCCGCGGTGGGCGACAGCGTGGCGCCGGCGGAGAGTCCGAGGAAGGCGCCGCCGTTCTGGACGTAGGACTGGATGGCGGAAATTGCCTGTAAAATGGTAAACGACCGGATATTAGTCTCAATAGGGCGCAAAAGTTAGGCAGTGAGATTGTGCCGTGGAAATAGGAGGACTGGTCGTCTTGCTGCAGGAAAACAATGTCAGACTCACCTTCCCTCCACTCAGCTCCCCTGGTCTCGGTACGACAAGCAGGGCGCAGTTGACATGCCAGGGTTGGCCAGCGAGGGCCTGGGCAGACACAGGTTGTACAGCGTAGTGAGGTAGCAGGGCGCTACGTAGAAGCGAGAGAGCAGGAGAGTCTGGCGCGCCGTAGACGAGGACGTTCATGGCGTCGAGGTACAGGAGAAGGGAGGTTGTTGGCAAAATTCGAGTCCGATATAAATTTATGTACGACGGCTTTGAAAGTCGTAGGTAGCGCGGAAGAGAGCTGTGACGGAGTCTGATAGAGGTAATGGTGCCGGTTTTGCGGGACTTGGTCGATGGTCCGGCTGAGGAGTAAGCGCAGACAATGTGAGCAGCCCACTTAATGGATCGATCTTGCAGATGAACGTCTTGCAAGCTTTGAGTGCGTCGGCTATATACGTCTGTTCATCACCGTGGTCTGCACAAAACGTATGCGATTTACACTCACCCGCGCCGCTGCTCTACCTGAACGGCCGACTGAGGAGTCACGCTGAGCGAGGGGATCGTGGGAGACCCATTGTGTCACGGGGTGTCACGAGCTCGGAAGTTCAACAGGGGTAGAATCCCACGATGTGGTAAGCCGTTTTCACTGCCCTTATCGAGGCTAAATTTACTAGTGGTTACGACGGAAGGGCTGTTCTTACCTTCTCGCATACACAAGACAGATTTTGCGACACCGTGGTCTATACCCTTGACACGCTGGCAGTAGCATCTGAGATACGTCGCTCACTTCAAACGCCTTCTCATCTTTATTCGCGCCTTGGAAGGTGCAATCGGTACCAACTGACAGTCCTGTATCTGGTTCCGTGATACTGACAACCTACACCTGGCTGGGTCCAGGCAGGCTAACCCTTGTACACCTCAACCACAGCGCGGCAACAAGCTGCAACCAAAGTCCATCGATTCACCAGAATAATCGACCGCGACACGACGGCCGCGGCGGATACCTAGGATATACGTATATAGGCCAAGAAACGAGATACGAGGGGATAGGGGGAGGGAAGCAGGAAGGACACGAGCGAGTGGGCATAGTACGAAGTACTACAAGTCCATAGAGGAAGCCTGGGTTACGAGAAGCTCCATACGTGAGATATGGAAGTACGAGACCCGATGCTTCTCGAGTCTAGGCATATCGGCATGGGTACGTGCGCGATACGTGTCCAAGTCAGAGTCCACCGCACAACGTCCGAGATACAAACGACACGAAGCGCGCTGTCTATCTGTCAACGCCCTCTTGACACGCAATCACCGACCGCTAGGAGTCAGCAATATGCACCAAATGTCACCGCTTTACGCGAGCATGGCGCCGACGAAGGCGAGGGCACCCGCGAGGCCGGCGGCACCGAAGGAGGTTGCGTCGGCGGCGTTGGAGTTAGTGGCCGACGCGGCAGAGCCGGAGGTGGTCGTCGCGGCGCCGTTGTGCTCAGAGGCGGTCGGCGGGATGGTCGCAGTGCCGGCGCTCGTTGCGGAGCTGGAAGAGGATCGGGTGTCAGCGATGTTCGATGAAGGAAGTGGCAGAAATGGTAGTAGAGGCGAAGGTGGAGAAGGCGGCGATAGTGAGGGGGATACTCACGTCTTCGAGCCCGTCGAGCTCACGCTCGAAGAGGAGGACGAGCTGGACGAGGTGTCCTCCTTGATGTCGAACTCATCGGACTGCGCGAGGATGGTGTTCAGCTCCGTCGTGTTCTTGACAAAGTTCACGCGGAAGGAGCCGCCCGAGGGCCAGCCGCCGCTGGGCGCGTTGACGGTCGTCTCGCCAAGCGAGGAGTCGACCTCAGCCGCGAGCATCTGGTTGTTGTCCGGCATCACCGAGCGGTCCTGCATGCAAGTGAGTGTGTGAACATAGTGGAAAGGTATGAAGGACGTACGGTGTTGGTCAACAGGATCGTGAACGAGGTCGGGTCTGTGTCGACAGCCTGCCACTTGACGCTGCTCCCTCGTCAGAACGTGTATGAGTGTCGACGAGGCACCACTCACGTCTGTCCACCCTTGTTCGTCCAGCTCTGCGAGGAGTTGGGCTCCGTGATGGTGATCGCAGAGACGGCGGCGGCGAGCGCGAGGAGGATGGTGGCGGCGTACATCTCGGCGTGAAGTGGGGAGTGTAGGTGGATGTGAGAAGGAGGTAGAGGGCGGGAGAGAAAAGACTGGAGGGCGCGAGCGAGCGGTTGAGGCCTAAATGGACGCAGGAAGCAAGGAGCGAAAAGCGGCTGTGCGTTGCCGCCGCTCGCCCGCCGGACACACGATCGGGGCCAGAATGCGGCCCCTGTAAAGTCCTAAATTGCATGCTATCCGACGAACTTTCGCGCCCTGCCCCGCTCAAGGCTCGAATTGACGTCGCGCAGCACTTCAAGGCCGCCTATTCGTCGACGCCTGCAGGTCTAGCGACTGTTTACCGTGTATCTACTAACGTAGGACGCCCTCTAGCCCTGCCAGCTCTCGACGGCGAAAACTTCGAAACGGGGAGGCTACCCCGACGGCCGGCCTCGAACCTGACGGGGGTCCGGGGGCGCAAAATGGGCGGAGATCAGTGACCGTGGCAACGTTGCCCGCGTCGGTGCCTGAGCGAATCGCGTGAGAAGTTGAACTTCATTTTGTGGCAATCGTGAAGTTGGGAGCGCCTGGGGTTGCGACAGTGAGCGAGCTCGCACGGTGTACCGCATTACTGTCTACGAAGCGCCCACATCTCCGAGCGCCAGCCGAAGACGGCGAGCCCAGCAGCCCCCGTGAAGCAGGTGCCCGTATAGAGGATCATGCTTTCGAATCTTCCACCACCGACCGCGAACCCCGTAGCTCCCTTCACTAGATGAGAGCCCATACCAGTCAGCGCCGTTGCGATTGGCGTCGACAGTACATTCCCAATACCGCGGCCTAGGGAGATGTACCCGAAGAGGGTTGTGGAATTTGTCGGGTCTTCCTCTGTGACAAGGTCAATAAGTGCTGGGCTTGTATGATCATGTACATCACTTACTTGCGTACATCCGGGCAAACGAGAGGAACAGGCTGCTAAAGCTGCCCGCTACAATGCCATAGGCAATCCCGAACGCGATTAGGCCAGCGAACGTATTGCCAAGGACGCCCCAGAGAACAAAGGTGGCGAGGGCAGTGGCAACTAAGGAGCTCAATGCGAGGAGCCAGGCATTGAAGTGGTCAGAGAGATACCCCATGACCATGCCGCCAACAACAGAAGCACCTGAGTGGCGCTGATGTCAGTGTCGCTCGATGCTGCTCGAGAATGAGGATACCCTCACCATTCAGCGCAGCCAAGACAGCAGCAGAGTGGAGTGAATCCAGTGACAGATCGCTCGCGAATGCTGTGGATTCCGATCAGTCTTCCCACCTCCCGCCAGTACCAGACGCACACTCACTAGGCAACCACACAATCGGCATAAAGTACGCAAAGCCCTGAATCAAATTCACCACCGTATACAGCCAGAACGACGGATTTCTCAGCCAGTCGCGTTTGCTCGACCGCGGCGCGGGGCCATACACCCTCGCAGGGAGGCGGCCCTTGATGTAAGGTAAGACGGGCAGCAGCATCGCGGCCATGGCTACAGCGAAATAGCGCAGTGTCTTGGGCGCGCCGTACCGGGCGATGATGCGCGGGAAGGCGAGGGGGAGGATGAGCCCGCCCGCGGCGGTGCCGGCGAACATGATGCCGGTCGCGGTCCCGCGCAGGCGGACGAACCACTCGTTCATGTAGAAGATGGTGGGGAAGTAGAGCAGGCCTGCAGGGTGTGTGGTTATTGAGAGTGTTTGTGGTAAGCCAGGGACGCCACGTACTGCCACCGATGGCATAGATGACGCCCTGGAGGGCGAAGAGGGCGGGGATCTGTGAGCAGGTCAGTTAAGTATTTCTGATGCTGTCCGTGGTCGAGCGGTCGCACCTGCGTCGTGAAGCTGGCGCCGAATAGACTACTTGCGCAAAGCGTTGCCCCAATCCATACAGCCGGACGACGGACGCGGGGATACTTGACGATGACAGGATAGACAACTGCACCTGGCATGGTTGTAAGCTTCATTTCCCTATCCTGTATAGCACTCCTCCACTTACCAGCACAGTACATGATACCCGAAGAGACCGTGCCAATCAAGGGCAGCAACGAAGCTGCGTTTTGCTGCGATGTGTACGTCGGATCGCTCAGATAGCCTGTTTCGACGGTGAGTTTCAACGCTGCAAAGTACGGAAAACAACCACTGGATACATACTCTCGAGAAAGACTCCATATGCAAATGGAAAGCTCCAAAGAATGGCCTCAACGACGAAAGCTGCCAGAAGCTATCGATTGTCAGCATGGATTTTGTAGGTGGCCTATTCGCCAGTGAGGACACTCACGAAAAACCAGGCCTGAGTTCCCTTGTCCGCAGGTGGAAAAGCAGATTCATGCCCTTCGTGATCGGTAGTATCCAGATCTGCAAAAGAGGATGTACCGGATGAAAGGACCCGCGACGCTGAGGACGAAGGGATGGCGTCTTCGATGCAGGCAGCCCCCTCCCCATGCCGGAAAGCAACACCATCCTCAAGCTCAATTGTGTCAGCAGGAAACGCCATGCGTTTAGTGAGGGGGGTTCCGGTTAGCTTTTGAAGCCTCTAGCTATCGATGGCAAAAAGAGAGCACGCCCAGAAATGAGTCAGCTGTCGCGTCATGAAATTTCTCCATGTTGATTTTTTATGTCATCGTAGGCGCGGGCTTTGTGTCGCACTGTCTGCGACGGATCAAGTCTATACATGGCCAGTAGGAATAATGACGGCTGCTCGGCGTGCGAGAGCATGCACCACGTCAAGCTTTCAAGAGTTGAGGAGGACGAGCTTGAAAGCGTCGATCAGCTCCGCTGTCGGCATTCTCCGATATCGTCACGTGCTGGACCCACAATGCACGTTGCCACAAAAGGGAAGAGTTTCAATGGACAGGCTGACGTTCATAATACAACTATCAATCGCCCCGCGAGGAAGGAGAATATCAGTTATCAGGACCTCGAGCCTCTATGATACAACATTCGTAGCTTCGTAAGTACAATTGCATGTCCTTCGTCTCCTCGTTCGTTGGCGATTTGTACACATCCTTCCATTCTCTCGATCGTTTCCTTTTTCAGTATTCATACCATCGTGACCTTGTTTCGTCATTATTTCGTCCGCCCGCCATCTGTCATCTTTCTCATGTCCGCCATCGCCGGCGCGGGCGCCTAGGTTGACAACTCCTGCCTGATGTTGCGCCAGAACTCGCACCTCTTCCTCAGACCCCACGAGATCTTCTCTGTCTTGATAATCTCTGTGTTGAGTAGCAGCCGCGTGTCACGGGCGAAGCGATGCTTGTTGGACTGTCGATTGTCGTCAGCTTCTTCTCCACGACATTCACCATTCGGCATCCGCTATCCACCCGACAAGAACAATGAAACAGAAAGTAGACAGGCCACTCACCACCCACGCTGCCACGCCCTCCGCTTCAGGCTTTCCCTTCGTAGCAAATGACGTCCAGTACTGCCGCATCGCCTCCCAGAGCGGGAAGCTCGATAGGCTCGGATCGCTTGGGTCTGCAACGCTACCAGATCCATGGAACGCGACGAGCTCGGCAGCGTGCGTGGAGCCGACGATGGGGTTGTCATACCTAGAGACGTAGATGCATTCAGCGACTGACATACACAGGGGCAAACGAACGGCCGGCCAACCGAAGCCTACTCACCGATATTGATACACCTCCCTTCCAAACTCCCCAGCCAGCACGGCAGGACAGATGTACCGGGCCTCGCCGTACATCTGCTCCCCCTGCGTTCCAAAAGACCCATTATAGTCGGACAGCGGGTACCAACCCAAGGCTTTTGCGAACGACGTCTTCGTCAACCCGGGGTATTGACCCCGTAGAAACTCGTATACGGTTTCCTCCGTTGCGTTCGGCATCGAGGTGTTTGCCCAGGGCGCGGGAAGGCCGGCGGACCAGCCGGCGCCTTCGTGGGTGTTGGACCTGAGGGAAGAAGGTTAGCTATCCGATCCTGAATGGTAAGCTCGCCCAAGCGATAGGTGGGGCTCGTAGCCCCAGGTCCAAACAGAAAGGGGCTGATTTGGCTACTCACCCAACCAACAGCGGCACATCCGCCACCTTGCCCTCCTCGAAAGCATCCACGATATGATTCGTCAAGAACTTCCCATCCAGACACGGCCCAAACGCGTACTCGGTCGCGGGGTGCAGCGCGAGGACTCGCGGGCTCGCGGCGGCCAGGGTACCAACGTCAGCTGCGCGCAGGCAGGAGAGGATGTCGGTGGAGGTATCGCAACCCCTGTCAAAGTTTAGTAGAGTTTTCTACCATCAGGGCTGACGGAGTTGATACTGGACGAGGAAAAACGATACTCACGCTTCCGTCGCCACCTCCTTCAACAAGTTCTCCTCGTAATCGCTCGTGCACTCGAACAATGGCCCGAGCGATGGGCTGTCTGCGATGGCACGGTTATAGAGGTCCTCGTTGTCGCCGTCCTTTGCAATGAGCTGGAAGGAGGCGTGAGCTTCGCGGTCGCTGGATAAAATGGAGAGGATCTTCGAACGCTCACCTGGTAATATATCCCCGCACCTCCCGCCGACTCGCCGAAGATTGTCACCTGGCTATGCGAAGGTGAGCTCAGCAACGTCCAACAAAGGATTCTTGCACAGACGACTCACTTCGGATCCCCACCAAGCGCACTGATATACCTCTTCACCCACTTGAGCGCAGCGCGCTGGTCGAGCAGGCCAGCGTTCAAATCCCCGGAATCAGCGACGGATTGGCCGGCTAGGAGGTCTCGTCAGTCGCATTGCAAAGGAGTGCGCCATTCAAACACGCAGAGCGACGCGGTAAGAAAAGGAAAACAGGCTTCGAGACGCACCCAAATACCCAAAAAGCCCCAGCCGGTATTGCAAGGTGACGAAGATGAGAGGCTCGGGCGAGCTATGTAGGAGGTAATCCGGTGGCTGGTCAGCGTTTCCGGTTTGGAAGCCGCCACCTGAGGGTAAAGCGTCAGGTGCCGAACCATAAGTAGCGACGATGGATGGACGATGATGGGAGGCGGTGCAGAGAAACGAGATGAGAGGGTGAACATCGAGACGCACCATGAATCCAGACCAGCACTGGAAGCTTACTGTCCGCGTTATTGTTCGCAGGAACATTGACGTTCAAGAAAAGGCAGTCTTCAGAGGCGCCCTCCGTTGTATTGCTCGAGGCTTGAAGGCAAGAAGGGGGATACTAGGCAGGGTCAGCATCACTGACGGATATCAAAGTCAATAGCCATAGACAATGTACACACCTCGGTCGCATTCACTTGCCCCAAATTCATCTGTGGAGGCGACACTGGCGCGCGGAAGCGCAGATCGCCGGTGGGCGGCTCCGCATAGCGTATCCCTCGGAAGTAGGTGATGCTGCTGTCATTACTGGGGAGGCCGGTGAAGGTGCCATCTACGAGGGTCAGATTTGCATTGTGAACTAGCACGAAGAGACAGATGGTACCGAAGACGCGGTGATCACTTACAGTCTAGAGTAACAACGTTACCGGTGATCTGCGCACCGGTGAGGGCTATCCCCCAAGCAAAGGTCGTGATCGTCGTTAGTAGTCGCATACTCCTGGTCGTCTATTCCTGTAAGAGTCGGCTGTTCGTAAAAGGGTGGAAATCTCTCGGAGCCGGCGCGTCAAATAGCACAGCGCGCTTTTAAACGGCTTATAAGGCGCTCTGGGCAGGCACACGTGCCCATCGCGGATGGAAATGCAGCTGAGGATGTGTTATCAGCGATGCGGAAGACGTCTTTGCTTGGGCTGCGTGCCTGGACGAGCAAGTGGCCGGAGGCCATAGGTCATCCCGCACTGGAGCAAGATGTCGTCAATCGCATTCATCGGCGGGAGGAGAGCAGTCGAGATGTCGATGAGATTGTGGCTCATGTGAGGGAAGAGTCGGCTTTTGGGGCGCCGGAAGAGAGGCGAGGGTACAGGGAGGATGGATTTAGATCTGCATTAGACGCTCTGAAGGGGACCCAAAAGGGAACAAAAGGCGCGTAAACTGCAGGGTATTCAGGGATATTCATCCCCTCGAATGAGCCACGCTAGGGCTTCCTTCGCAGAGAAAGACGGAAGGATTCTGGATTCGCTAAAGCGGGATGCTGTGCCTCGTCTTTGCGGCCTTGCTGCTCCTCGGACCGACGGCTGGTCAGATGGTCTTGCGGGTTGGTCATCGTCGGTAGCGCCAGTCCAGACGTTGCCGAAGGCTCAAAAGTATATGCAGATACTAGATGTGTACACAGATAGCCAGCTGGGAGTATAGGGACCTTCCACAGTGGTGGAAAAGGAGATGAAGGACGATGATGGTCGCGGAGACGGAGTCGCACTCGGCAAAGCCCGAACCCGTCTCACGCTGCGGCATCTCGGCTCACCTGTGCTTGTCCTCCTCACCGTGTGTCACGACGTCCAGCAGCGCGCATTCACCTCAGGTTGCGCCGGTACCACCTGAAGCTGCACCATGTCTACGTGCCCTCCTTATGCGCCGTTCTTTGGCTTCGCGGGTGTCGCGTCCGCGGTGCGTGTACATGTTGCTCTTGGTCGAGCGCTCGCTGACGGTGTGCGGGGATGCAGATGATATTCAGCAGTGCGTGAAGTTCATGAATGGAAGGGAGGACGCGGTGTTAACAAAGCTATAGCTGTGGGTGCTGCATTTGGAACGTCGAAGGCCGGCATTGGCATCGCAGGATTGGGGACGTTCAAGCCTGAACTGATCATGAAGGTGCGCGTCCCTCTATGCGCGCTTGCGCCATTGCTGACAGGACCCCAGTCCCTAATTCCCGTTGTCATGTCCGGTATCATTGCCGTGTACGGTCTTGTTGTCTCTGTCTTGATAGCCGGCAACTGTACGCGCCTACCTCCCGCTAGCTTCCTCCTACTCACCTGTGCGCAGTGAAATACGACTCTTACTCCCTCTTCGCCGGCTTCGTCCACCTTGGTGCAGGTCTAGCTTGCGGCCTTACGGGACTTGCGGCAGGATACGCGATCGGGATCGTCGGCGACTCCTGCGTGCGCGCATTCGTGCACGAGCAGAAGGTGTTCGTCTCCATGGTCCTCATTCTCATCTTTGCCGAGGTGTTGGGTTTGTACGGGTGCGTCGTCCTTTCCTCCCCCGCCGCATCCGATTGCGCTAAACTCCCCCTTTCAGTCTGATCGTAGCTCTAATCATGAACACGCGGGCAGACGCCGGGGACATCTCCTGCTCGTAGTCCGTGTATCTGTTGCTATTATAGTTCGTCAAGGACAATGTGCTGATACCCCGCTGCGGAACAAGTCACACATACTCGCTGGGCTACTCTATAAGCATTGCAAGATGCGCCTTCCTGCTTCGCCCCCGGCTCCGGCGGAGTGGGGTCCTCCGCCTACATATTTCCGCTCTAGCGGCAGCGCCCTTGTCCTTCTTGCGGTCGTGCGCGACCCACTGCTCCATTATCACCCTCGGCTTCTTCTACTACGAAGACCCAAGAGGGTCTTCACCGGAGTCGCACTTTGCGCGTAGCCGAGGACCTTCGCATCTAGCGGGGCTGGCCTGGCTTCCGCGGCGTTATCCCACTATCAAACCGCCTGGGAGACCCGCCAGACATACGTGGGCATCCCGCAGCGGCGGTTTGGGCCTTGTTTAGTGAGTGAGATGATCCCAAACGTGGGTCGGATCATCCTTATGGTCGTCTTTACTGACTTCTGTGTGTCCCTTGCGACTCGTGAACCGTTCATGGGCGCTGCTGCTATCCCTATCCTCAGCTGGTGCGCCTTTGAGGTGCCAAAAGAGTAGCGGTGGGATCTACTATATAAGCGCGAGAAGGTATGTGCTCTCTTCATTCGCATCTGCTCTATCCTGCGCTCCACCCCTCCATTCCTTCCTTGAAATGTCGTCCATGCGCTCCCTTACCTTTTTAGCCCTTTGTGCGCTCGCGAAGAGCGCGTATGGCGCACCTTCGAACGTCAGCAGCACAGACCGCGCCACTTACAGCGTCTACAAGAATTTATCCGGCCAGGCATTCCTCGACTTCTTCCATTAGTAAGTTTACACATTTCCGACTATCACGCCAGCTCACCTCGCCCAGCGAAGTACACCCTGCCGACAACCAAGGTGTTGCCAACTACGTCGACGGCCCCTCGAACGGCCTCACGTACGTCGACGGCAACGGCAAGGTTGTCGTAGCCGTCGAGACGACCAACAATGTGAACGGTCTGCGCAAGGCCGTGCGCATGGTCTCCAACGAGACCTTCAACCCATCTCAGAACCTGCTCTTCATCTTCGACGTGCAGCAGATGCCCGCCGCGTGCGGCACGTGGCCCGCGCTGTGGTTCACAGGCTCCAACTGGCCGTACGACGGGGAGATGGACGTGATCGAGGGCGTGAACAAGTACGTGCAGAACGTGATGAGCGTGCACACGGGCCCGGGGTGCTACTGGCCGGACTACACGATGGGCGCGCTCACGGACCTGACGGCGAACGAGCCGCAGGTGCACAGCTGCGACGCGACAGCGGACTACCAGTCGTGCGGGGGCACGCAGAAGAGCAAGACGAGCTTCGGGGAGGCGTTCAACAATGCGGGCGGCGGGGTGTTCACGCTGGAGTTCTTGCAGACGGGGATTGTGATGCACTTTTGGAATCGGAACGAGATTCCGCAGGGTGAGTTGGAGTGGCTCAAAGGCTTTGGCGGTTTGCGCTAATACGTGGATTAGACATCACTAACGGCAACCCGACGCCTTACACCTGGGGCAAAGAGACTTACTGGATCCCCCAAGACCAGTGCAACATTAGCGACCACTTCAAGAACCAGATGCTCGTCATAAACACCAACCTTGGTGGTATGTACTCTCTTCGTGCTCCTAGTCTCTTGAGATCCGGTCCTGGATCCTGGTGTTCAGACATGTCCGCATGCTCTGCCGCTTTCTCGACGCTTGTTCGCCAGCAAATAGGCACGATATTAACCTACTCTCGCAGGCTTCTTCCCAGAAGGCGTCTGGAACACAGACTACGCGGGCGGGCAGGTAAGCCGTCCGCCAGCGGAGATCCATCGCATCCGGGCGCTAACCCATCCTCTGCTACTTCAGACCCAATCCTGCAAGAAGCAGACCGGCGCGAACACGGCTAAGGACTACGTACTAAACAACGGTTGGGCCTTTGCGGATGCTGGCAAATGGGTGAGTGACCGTCTAGCTTGCTTTACGGCGTCCATCGCGTTCAGGTGGCGTCTATTGTGACCAGGCGGCGTCTACCACACGCAGGCGCCGCCTGAGGCCCCAAGCACTAGACATGGAGCTGACCGGCTTCTCATTAGGTCTTCAACAGCATCAAGATCTATCACTAGGCTCATCTGCTTTGAGGTTATCGCGCGATGATTGTGCTTATACCCATTGCGCTGGAGTACGTCGTTCGTTTGGAGGTGCTTCTGGCTATACCCTTCCTTTGTATCATTTATCGGGGTCTTAGGCTAACGGGTGATATCTATAGTGTCGGGCTACGTACTCAATAGAGTGATTGCTGCAAGCTACGCGCTAGATCGAGTGACAGAGGTTACTAAGTGCTAGCTGCTCTAATGCGTTTGTGGTCGAGAGAGATACGACAGACGTCGAAGTTCAAGACAATCTCGGCAAACATACGCCGACGATGGTGAGCCGTCATTCGTATGAATATGCTGGTTGCCGGGTTTCGTCGTGTACGCACTCTTGATTTGACCAATTGGCGTAACTGAACTATCCCTAGAAGATCTGTTGCGAGCGTCGAGAGGTCCTGCAAGTTCTGACCACCATGGGTCTTTGAGTCCAGATGTCGTTGTTGTACGCATCATGGTCGACGAAAACGCGCGCGTGCGTACCATGATGGCGTGAAGGCATTGGAAATCTAGCATTACCGCCGTCAGAGCCCCTCGTCTCACTCCATCTGTCTCTATACAGTGTCGCATCTGCTCTTCCTGATATCGTCTTGAGTTGCCTGGTCGCGCATCCGGGTGACCACCAGCAGCGACGCTAGCAATGCTCTGCCCTTTATATGCTGACCATCCAGCTGCAATTGTCCATACCATCCCAAGCACCACTTGTTCTATACAGTGAGTACGGGGCTCTCCCGCGAATATTCAGGACTCGATGCTCACCTTTTCAACAGCGCAATGAGGCTCCCCGTAATCCTGCTGTTCGTAGCTCTGGTTGGGACGAGCGCGGTGGCCGAGTCCCTCGAGCTTCGCGATGCAGAAGAGCAGGACGACCTCGTGAGATGCGAGTTCAGGCCCAAGCGATTCCAGAGTTATAACGCATGCAACCAGCAGTGAGCATTCTGTGGACTCATAGACGGAGTGGCAGGCACTCACCGACGCATAGTGACCGAGCGCATTGCCGTTTGGGCGGGGGAAACTGCAACTATAATTCCCTGACGAAGAGATGCAGCAATAACTCCCTGATGCGAGGGCGAAATGCACCGATAGCTTGTCTGCGCTGCTCATGCTACAAGAGGAAGTGAGATGGCACTGTTGGCTTAGAAGATACATTCCGTGACAGTATAGCATGGATCGCAGCTCGCGCGTTCTGTACTGGGCTGCTTCATGTTCTATGTGGGTGAAGTATGAAGCATCTTGGCCCGAAGCGCTCTTTGTACCTCTCGCTTTCACGGTCAATCAAGGCGGGAGTCAAGCCGGCCGATCTGTAAGGTGCGTCGTGCACGCTTCTGAGTGAAAGTCAAGACTCGGAGGCTTTTATATAAAAGAGGTCAGCTGACGAGACGCAGGAGACCTTCGCTGCCTCCACAACGGCACGCTGCGCCGCATGAGGCCTAGTTTGCGTTCGTCTGACCCTGAATCTGTCCAATCTCCGACCCGGCGAAGGCCGCGCTCTTTTATAAAGCTCGACCTACCCTCCCACCCCTTCCTCCCAACTTCCACGACGGACCCACGTCGTGGCGCAGTGCATGCGTCCTCACAGACGCGGTGCAGATTCTGGATCGATCCAGACTGACTTGTGTCAGTCTGACGACGCTGTGAAGCGTCGAGGATGGTCATAACCATCCTCTACTCTCACGATTCAGTGAGAGCCCCCGGACGCGAACGCGCCCGGGCCCGCCGCAACATGAGTTGCGCAAGGTCTTCCGATCTGCACTTTGGTGTACACCGTCGGCGCGTGCGCGCGCTAGGCGCTGGATTGAGGACACCGATCTACCGTCGATGTCACATGAGTCCAGCGGTGCTGGGCTTCCGGAAAGCTCGAATTTTTTTCCACTCTGCGGTACTGTATTATTCCTGCCAGATCGCACATAGCTTAGTAGATATGCCCGGTTAGCGCTGTATTGGATGGGTATAGTATGTACTCAATGCCACCTCGAGTTCGTGAATGCCAGGATGAGTCTATGTTCGGCCGATTGATAGTTCGACTTCTGGGCGTGCATGTGATCGTGAGATTTCGGTAATCGCCGGACGCCTCATTCCTCTTGTGCAAACACCGTCGGCAGACACTGGTGTTCTCCTCTGTCTTCGCGATTCCTACCTCTCCGTTTCCTCAAACACCCTATCTTCTGTAGCGCGATTCATTGGGCTCAGCGACGGCTCTCATCGATGTCCATTCAGTGCATCCATCGACTTGCAAGCACCTGGCCGTTCATCTCCGACGAAGTACTAGGATTTGGAAGCCTACATGGTGCGACGCATGACCTTACGACGCTCTCATTGGCCCACACGCTGAATTGCTTTACGGGAGAACATCTACAAATCACGATGTTGCGGCGCTTGGCTGAGATCCAGCTTGACCCCAATGTGGCCACAATTCGATCGGATAAGCCCGCACGCCGTATATAAGGGATCGCGCGGACGCAGGAGCTCCTCAAAACCACGACGCCTCCGCGTTGTGGCCCAGTGTGCGCGTTCTAACGAACGCGGTGCGGATACATGGACGACGGATCGCTTCTCCAAACCTGGCAGGGTTTGGAATGGCGATGCACCCATGAGAGGTCTTTTGATCACCTTGGGTGTCGTGCTCCTCGGAGCATCGAGGCTGCCAGTGGTCGAGAGTCCACTGTCGGTCCCAAGCTCGGCCTCTGGGCAACGTCCGAGGTCGAGTTTCCAGTCGTCCCATCTGCACTTAGCCGCACCCCGCCGGCGCGTTCTGTAGCGGACGCGCTGGGCGCTTGACAGGCGACCGCGCTCTACGACGGCGGGATATCCCAGCTGCCTTGTGTCTGGCGCGCAACGCAGGGTACTGGCGCCGCGCTAAGTCACTGGAATCCTTTGACGAGGCCAGGCGATCGCGCGCTGCGCGCGCGGTGGATGCCATGTCGTATCGGAAGATGAGCTACGGATGCCACGTTTAGCGGTCCTGAGTATTCCGGGAAAGCTCGAATTTTTCGCTCAGACCTGTCTATGCTTTGCACTCTAGGTGCTTCGCTCGTCATAGATCTGATAGCTACTAGTAGATGTATCTCATTGCTTCTTGCAGCTGTATTTCCTGAATATCGACTAGCGTCCTAAGTCTGCCTACAGTCGTACCAATCTCAACATTGACCCTCATAATGATCATGACCTGTCGATGAGTCGCCGGTTTCGAACTCGAGCGTCGGCCCGCTGCCCCGCCGTCTGCAGAAAACACGTTCGTGCGTACTTGCCGCGTTCTTGCCGCGCGTTCTCCTCCTCTTCACGCCTCCCCTTCACGGCCCATCTCACGGTTCCCCCCACTTTCCCCACCTTTTCACATTCTTGGTGTATCTTCTGAATCTCCAAAAGCCCACAAATCTCCCGCCGTCTCACATACACAACCTCCGCCGCCTCCATCATGTCCGCCCTCATTCAAGTACTTCAGAAGGAAGGCCTGGCCGGTATTCTCGACACCTCGAAGCCCTCGCTCGCGCTGGCATTGGCAGCGATCGCGTTCAACCCGACGGCGTGGAACATCGTGGCAAGGAATGGTGAGTGGGGGAGCGTGCCAGGCATACCTAATGAGCGCGCGCGCGTGTCTTCGACGCGAACGCCTTCCTCATTCATGCTTGGCGCACTTCGGGAGTATGTATCACAGCCTGTACTCACTCGCGCTCTCAGAGTACCGCAACAAGACGATCACCCGCATTTTCGGCGGGAACGCGAAGGCGGGGTGCTACTTCCTGGCGCTCATGATCTTCTCGTTCGGGATGTTGAGGGACTCGCTGTGAGTAGGAACTCCCTCTCGACCTCGTCCCCATGTTCCCTTCCTCTCTCTCTCCATCTTCCTTCCCTCCCCCGAATCCTCCTCCCTTCTTCCCCTTCCCTCTCCTCCCTCGCCCTCTTCGTACCTCCCCACACCCCACTAACGCTGCCACCCAGCTACCAACGCGCCCTCGCCGATCAACCGCGCGTCCCCCTCCTCCCCGAGCCCCTCAATCTCATTGTCCCCGCCGCCCTGGCCGGCCTCGGCCAGCTCTTCGTCGTCACCTCGACCTGGGCGCTCGGCATCACCGGTACCTTCCTGGGCGACTACTTCGGGATCCTCATGGACCACCGGGTGGAGGGCTTCCCGTTCAATGTGCTGCGGGATCCTATGTATGTGGGGAGCACGATGTGCTTTGCGGCGGGTGCGCTATGGTGAGTGGGCTGTCTCTTTGGCGAATGGAGGGGGTTTGCCGGTTGCAGGGTCGGACTGAAGATGGTTCAACAGGTATGAGCGCCCGGCGGGACTCCTCATCACGGCGTACGTGTACATTGTCTACTTGATTGCGCTGCGGTTTGAGGGGTGCGTTGTTCAAACTCACTTGCTAAAGATGCGATACTGACAAGCCCATTTCCTAGCCCCTTCACCGACATGATCTACTCCAAGCGCGCGGAAAAGAAGTCGTTGTAGAGTGTATCTGGGCTGCTTACCGAGGGCGCGTTGGGGCTATTGCCCCAGGGGGGAAAATTGGAGGGTGTTCACAGGACGACACGAAAACACGACTTGACGATCCGTAACGTCGAGACGACCTGACGACTGACTACGATAGACGGATCTCAACTATCCGCGCGTAGAGATGGGATAAAGTACAGTAATGGATGTATAATGAGATTTCAACATCTGCTAATAAGACAGGCTATTGGGATAGATATGCGTTCGGATTCCAAACGAAGCGAGTTTGCTGATTTGAGCTGAAGTATGCGAGCTGGCTGAGCTATTTGGGTATCCTACAAGTAGAGGCTGCAATGCTTTCCTTATCTAGGCCAACATGGTCTGTCAATTGGAGGAACATTAGGCAAGAATGCGAAGACAGCAGGAACTGTTTGACGCGGAGGACATTATCCGCATTAGGCAGGCCTTGTATTTCTTCCACGTGTCCCGATCGCGATCAACGGCGCCTAAACTTTCCCCTGCTCACCACGTCTAGTGATCCCCTTCACATTCTGCCCCTTCCCCCCTTTCTCCCTCCTTTAACAGTACCTTAGGTACTGAGTATATTAGACCATGGGCCACCTCCGCGAACGCTACAACGCGAAGGCCCGCCAGTCGAGCGTGGGGGGAAAGAAGAAGGCGAAGCGCGCAAGAGGCGCCGCTGAGGCCGACGCCCTCGCCGACACTAATGCCGACATTGTCACCCCGAAGACAGACGAGGAGAAGGAGCGGGAGAGGAAGGAGCGGATGAAGGAGCAGCTGATCGCCGAGTCCGACTCGAAGTGGAACGCGAAGAAGAAGAAGCGGTTGGAGAAGTATATCGTGCGTGGCCCGTTCTGCTCCAGCGAGGCGTATACTTGTGGTACACTGGATTGCATACTGAAGATTTGCTTCAGGACAAGAAACTCAAGCAGGAAGAGCGCGTGCATTTGTTTGAGAAGCTTGCGTGCGTGTTCTCGTCTCTGCTTTGCCCATCATCGCGTCCTCCTGTCCTTCTTTCCCATCCCCTCCGTCCTCTCCATCAGCATGCTCTTCCATGCATAACCCGTCTGCTAACACAAGCTCCCCAGCAAATCCCAATCCGAAGTCTCCAACGTCCTCCAACTCCAATCTTCCGCCACTCTTGGGACCCGCAAACCCATCACGCACGAGGACGTACTTGCGCAGGAAGAGGACAAGGAGGTCCGGCGCGCATTTGACAGCCGGCCAGGGAAGCGGAGGAGGCTTGATGGCCCAGCGGAGAGCGGGGACCTGAGTAGCAGCGAGGACGAGGATGTGGGGATGGACGGGAGCGTACCGATGCGCGCCGCCAGGTCGCGATCAAGTTCGCCTCAACCCATCATCGTCGAAGACCAGCCGTTCCAGCCACAGCGGAGTGTAGCCCAACATGAGCCCGTCGTGGGCGGCGCGCTGCAGCGGAATGCGGACGGAACACCGGTGGCGCCGATCGTGAAGAAGCGGGGGACGAAGGTGCGTAGGCTGCTTTCCATGCGCATATATGCTGCTTGTTCTCTACCATCATCATTGCAACATCACTCATCGTTGTCACCCACACATAAACGCAAACGCTGCATACCCCCATATACCGAGCCCTCACTGACGCCCTCACCAGACGAAATTCCAGTCGTGGCGGCACACAGGGCGCAAGTCCGTCCCCGCTCAGCAAGAGGACTCGGACTCCTCGTTCGACAGCTCGGACTCGGCGTTCGACTCGGACGAGGATGAGGAAGGCGATCTAAGCGAGGACGATGGGCGCGTAGCTGCAGAAGAGGGTGGGGACGACGACGACGAGGAAGGTGATTCCGAGGACGAGAGCTCAGAAGACGACGAACCCGCACCTCCGCCCAAACGCAAGAGCCTCGGCTTCAAAGCGTGGGCGACGCAGCAATTGAACGCGGCGAAGGGATACACTGCGCCTACCGATGCCTCGGGCGCCAACCACACCGCCGAACCCCCTGCGTCCACCGACCCCGCGCACAACGACACGACACCTCCCCCACCCCCCAAGAAACGCAAGCGCGGCGGCCCACAGGAGAAGATTGGGCCTCTGGGCGAAGAGCTGGTGCTCCCGGCGACGTCCTTCGCGGCACAGTTCCCCTCAGCATCAGCGAACCCGTTCAAGATGTCGGCTATCACCGAGCCAGCGCCTTTCACGTCGACTTCTCAGCCCTCCGCCTCATCCCAACCCATCTCAACATCCCAACCTACATCAACATCAGCCCCCCAATCCCTCCCCGCCAGATTCGTCCCCGTTACCCGGCCGTCCGACGTACAAGAGGCGCGCCTGCAGCTGCCCGTCGTTGCGGAGGAGCAGCCGATCATGGAGGCGATACGGCTGCATCCGGTGGTCGTGCTGTGTGGTGAGACGGGAAGTGGGAAGACGACTCAGGTGAGTCTGGCCGTCATTCACGTGTGCAGAATAGCGGGGTGTATGCACAGAAGGATGGGATATATGCGCGTCTCTAGGCTTGTTTGTACGTATCGGCGCGTCAACGAGTGCATATATGCACTCGAGATGCATCGCAAGCATTTAAAAACGCATAGGTGCACTACACATATATTCAGCTTTGCTCTGGCCAAATCATCGTTTCCCTATCTTAACCTTCTCTCCAGGTCCCCCAATTCCTCTATGAGGCCGGCTTCGGCGCCCCCGACAGCGAGAACCCGGGCATGATCGGCGTCACGCAACCCCGACGAGTTGCTGCCATGGCTATGGCGCGCCGCGTTGCGCATGAGTTGGGCGTAGGGGTTGCGGATGTGGGTGAAGAGGAGGAAGATGCACCAAGTCCAAGGAAATCGAAGAAGTTGAAATCCAAGTCCACCGCCTCTTCATCCATGAACGACAAGCTGGGTGCACCTATCGCTTACCAAATTCGCTACGCTGGAACAGCCGGCCCAGCGACGCGCATCAAGTTTATGACCGATGGTGTCCTGCTGCGCGAGCTCGCGATAGACTTCCTCCTCACCAAGTACTCGGTCATCATCATCGATGAGGCGCACGAACGGAGCATGAACACCGATATCTTGATCGGCGTACTCAGTCGAGTGGTGCGATTGCGCGAGGAGATGTGGAAGGAAGGAAGGGAAGGGGCGAAAGTAAGTTCACTTGCCCATCGTTCTCAACGAATGAGTGAACTGACGAACGATCACGTCTCTCCAGCCCCTCCGCCTCATCATCATGTCCGCCACGCTGCGCGTCTCCGACTTCGCCGCCAACACTACCCTCTTCCCCTCCCCGCCCCCCGTCATCAGCATTCCCGCTCGCCAGCACCCGGTCACCGTGCACTTTGCGCGGCGCACGCAGTCCGACTACGTCTCCGAGGCCATCAAGAAGGTGGTGAAGATTCATGCGCGGCTGCCGCCCGGAGGCGTGCTGGTGTTTCTAACGGGGCAGAGCGAGATTGTAGGTGTGGCGAGGAGGCTGGAGGCGAGGTATGGGAGGAGGGCGGTGGAAGAGAGGAGGGCAAGGAAGGCAGGGGGAAAGCCTTCGCGGGCGAAAGAGGACGAAAGGTTCAAGGAGATTCCGGAGGAGGGTACGAGTGCGGCGCAAGGTGAGGGAAATCGAGTGATCATCCCAGGCCCTTGGTACTGAATTGCATGCAGCGGACGTTGAAGCTGAAAACGTCGACTTGGGAAATACCCACGAGGATCTCGCCGCGGATGTCGACGGCGACGGAGATCAAGACATGGACCCTGACGCGCTAGACACAGACGACGAAGACGAACTCGATGCCGAGCTCGGCCTCAACGCAGACGAATGTGATGGTGCGTTCATTTCGCTGGTCATCATGGTGCATGCTTATAGTCCCTCCAGTACCCATGCATATCGTCCCCCTCTACGCCCTCCTCCCCTCCGCACGCCAAATGGAGGTCTTCAAGCCGCCTCCACCAGGCACTCGCCTCGTCGTTCTCGCCACTAACGTCGCTGAGACCTCGCTTACCATTCCCAACATCCGCTACGTCGTCGACACCGGCCGCGCCAAGGAGCGCCGTTACGACCCCGCCTCCGGCGTCCAGTCCTTCCCTATCTCCTGGATATCGAAGGCTTCCGCGGCACAGCGAGCCGGTCGTGCAGGACGTACGGGGCCTGGACATTGTTACCGCCTGTACTCGAGCGCGCTGTTCGAGAACCACTTTGACGAGTTTGGCGAGCCGGAGGTGCTGCGGGCGCCCGTCGACGGGCTCGTGCTGCAGATGAAGGCCATGCACATCGACACGGTCGCAGGCTTTCCGTTCCCAACGCCGCCAGATCGGCTCGCTCTGGCGCGCGCGGAACGCGTGCTGGCGAGGCTGGGGGCGCTGTCGAGTGGTACAGGTTCTGGCGAGGGCCGGATTACGGAGCTCGGGCGCACGATGGCGCTGTTCCCGCTGACACCAAGGTTCGCGAGGATGCTGGCGAGCGGTGGGCAGCACGGGTGCATGCCGTATGTGATCTGTCTGGTGTCGGCCCTGTCGGTTGGCGATCCGTTCTTGAGGGAAGAAGGGCTTCTGCAGGATGATGAGGAAGACGCGGACGAGGGGAAGGAGCTCACGCACCTCTCGAGCGCAGCGGCGAAGGCGAAGGAGGTCAGGCGGTTGAGGCGGAAGGCGTTCTTTGAGAAGCAACATGTGAGTTTTGCCATGATTGATGTTGAGTTACGGCTGATCATCCCACAGATTTACGGCGCTTTGGGAGACTTCACGAGTGACCTATTCAAGGTCCTCTCCGTCGTTGGGGCCTACGAATACGCAGGCGGAGGCCACAAGTTTTGCACCGACAACTTCGTACGACCAAAGGCCATGGAAGAAATCCACAAGCTCCGCTCGCAGCTCAGTCACATCGTCCAGAACGATTTCCCCGACATCGACGTTGGCTTCGTAGCCAAGCTCAAGCCACCTAGTGACAAGCAGCTTAAGGTCCTCCGCCAGCTTCTCGCCGCGGGCTTCATCGACCAGGTCGCCGTGCGCAAGGATCGCCTCGACAGTGCGTCCTCGGGAGGCACGCAGTATACGAACTGCCGGGGCGTGCCGTATAGGGCCATCGGGATTGAGGAGGATGTGTTCATACACCCGTCGTCGGTGGTGCATGACCATCGGCCGCCTGAGTATGTTGTGTTCAACGAGGTCGTGCGGACGTCGAAGATTTGGTTGAAGGGTGTGTATCCTCGTCTCCTCATCTACCGTCAAACGGTCTTTCTAATCTCTCGCTCAGGCATCACCGTCGTCAACCCCGCCTGGTTGGCCTCCATCGGCAAAGGCTCGATGTGCACATACTCCAAGCCCAAGAAGAACCGGGCCGGCGAAGACGTGGTCATCCCGCACTTCGGCCCAGATGGCTGGGAGCTACCACCCGTCAAGGCATCGTTAGTAGCATCATAGCGAGGCTAAGCTTACTCGCCACTGTTAGAAGCATTAGGACCATCATAGCAAGGTGTACAGTAGCCTCCTCTAAGTTAGGGTGAATGTTGTATGACTATGGATACAGGGATGTGCATGCTGGAAACGAAAGCGAGTGCGAGGGAGGTGTATGCAAGAAATAAACGCAAGATGCAAGAGTTATCATCCGTTCTTCCTCTGGACCTGTATGCGTTCGTCAGACCCACAGTCGCAGGGATAGGACTGTTCACTCACGTTCTTCGGCATGAACAGGCTGGGGCCGCCTTTCTTCTTTTTCGCTGGCGGCTTATGAGGTGGTGCGCCACTGTCTCTTCGTTTCTCTCCTGCTCTGGGCGGCGCGGGAGGGGCATAATTCTGAGCTGGTGGTGCTGCTGAAGACGAGGAGGAAGCGATAGGCTGGTCGTCTATCTTGTCTTTCCTGGAGGTGGGCTTGGCAGCTGCCTCCGCAAGGTCCTTCTTGCTCGACGACTTTTTCAGCGCCGTCGGAGTCATAAGGTTGGCAGGTGGCGGGGCAGAGGCTGCATTCTGCGATGTCACGCGAGATCGTGGCGCCGCCTTCTTGGTCGGTGTCTTCGGGACAGAGGTCTGTGTGATAGGTGCGGTAAAGTACGACACGTCGACCTGCAGAAAATGTTCAGCTGAGCTTCCGACCGTAGGTAGAAAGTTTCGTACGTCGGTCATGAGCTTACGCTCATTTGCGTCTGCGACGATCTGTTTCCACGTCTCGTCGCTCCGCGAGAGGGTATCGGCATGTCCAAGTATGAACAGCGACGACTTCGCACGCGTCAGTGCGACGTTCATGCGACGAGTGTCTGTACGACTGTGTCAGCTGATCATCGGGGCTCCAAGCAAGTTATAGTGCTTACCAGACATGAAACCGATATTCGTCGTCCCAGTACCCGCCCTCACACAAGAGAATATGATCACATCCTTCTCCTGACCCTGGAAGCCGTCCACAGTATTGAAAGCGATCTTCTTCGTAATATCCCGCCCAAATCGATTCTCGAACCGACGCCGCAGCTCGACGATCTGGCCCTTGTACCCCGCGATGATGCCCACCTTCGCCGCGAAGTCCCCAGAAGAGCCGAACTGCGTGACAAGGCGGGAGTACAAGGCGACGGCAACCTCGCACTCCGCTATGTTCTTTGAAGACTTGGCACCTGCGCGGTCCTCGACACCTCGGAAGACGTTGAAGAAGCGATATGCGCCGAACTTGGGGTCGAATTGCCATGGTTGCTTCGTCTTTGCCTCCATATCAGGGCCGTCCTTCAGCCTGGAGTCGTAGAACACCTTGCTAGGCAAGGCGCTGATAGAGGGATGCATGCGGTATTGGATGCTAAACAAGACGATTAGCAGAGTACGCAAACGAAGACGGATGCGATCTCACCTCAGCAGGTTGACTGCGTTCGGCGACTGGCGTTGCAAGCGGACGAATAAGGATTGGTTGTACCGGAACTTTGTCGCCTGGACAACCATGAATATGTATGTGAAGGCAATGATGCGACGAGCCCACCTGCATGGAAATGACCGTAGGTGGAAGCTGCTTTTCATCTCCGACTAAGACGCAGTGTGAGCACGAAAACTTGAAAGGAATTAACGAGCTCAGCTCGATAGCCTGAGCCGCCTCGTCGATGATGATCATCTGGAACTCCGACTCGTTCAAGGACTCGTGGCCCGCGCCAGACAGCGTAGAGCAAACGACATGAGCCTCCTCGAGAACATCACGTCGCGCTTTCCGCCTGCTCGCATCCATCGTCCTGCGGTTGTTCTTCTGCACCTCCTTCATCTGGTCGACCTGCTTCGACACCTGATGGCGACGCGACTTTAGCATCCTCAGCTCATCCGACAGCGTCTGCGCGCGCGCAGAGTTGTCCACGATCTGTGCCAGCTCCTTCTGCTTCGCATTTATCTCGTGTTTGGCCGCGTTGAGCTCCCTAAAGAGGCTGGAGAGTTCGCCCTCGACGTTCTCCGTGTTGGTCGTGCTGACGTTGAGCTTCTTGTCCGCCAGGGTGTCAAGGGTGATATCCTTGACGGCGTCACCGATGGCTTTCTCCGCGCCTATGCGTACAACGTTCAGCTTGCCGGCGACAGCGGCAGGTGAGCACTTCAAACGGAATGCGACTTCGTCGATAGCAGCGTTACTCGGAGCACACAGCAAAATACGCGGCTGGTTCGGGTCATTCTCCATGGGTCGAGTGATGCGGCGGTTGGCCTCGTACAGGTATGCGGAGACAAGCCCGCAGATCGTCGAGGTCTTGCCCGTACCAGGTGGACTGCAATGCATATATAGCGATCAATCGTGAGGCTGGAAAATGCACTTACCCTTGGATAAGCGAGAAACCCTTGGTGTGAATTGACTTCGTAATCGCGACAGCCTGTGGCTCGTTGACGGAGTACTTCTCTTGCATACGCTGGACCTCAGAGGCGCTGATGCTAGGACTGTTGTCGAGATTTGGCCGAAGGATGTTCCCAGGAAGGTCGTAGTATGGCACTTGCACCAGAGCGGTATACTCACGGTGTATGGTGGACAGGCTGACATTGTCAGAGCGCGTGCGCACCATTCATAACCATCACTCACCTCATGACTTTCGACATCTCCCAGGCCGTGCCATTCTCCGGCTTGACGCCCGCTGCACCCGAACATCGCAAAGTCGCTATCATGTTGCTTGCCGGCGTCACTGAAGACTGAACTTTCGCCAGTAGGGGCTGTCGGGTATCGACCTTACGAAGCAGCACAATATCTGTCTCCGCGAGATAGAATTCGCGCATATCCTCCGCCCGCGTAATCGTCACCTCCAGGTCGATCCACCGATCTGTATACGCCCTCGAAGAAATCGTGCAAGGCAGATTCTCCGTGACCATGACATCGTTCTTCGACTGCTGCAGCTGCGCCCAGCACTCGAATAAGAGCAGCGGCGAGAAAACGCGATCGTAGTGCTGGAAGTTGTCGAACCGATCTGGCACGGGCTGCAACCTCCCCTCGAAACCAGGCGGCTGGTCGCCCATGTGGTCATAGTCCCAGGACAGCAGCTCTGCATGCAGGCGCGAGAAGTCTGGCGGACTGGCGCGCATTGCGCGACGACGATCCTCTTCCCCACGGCGTAGCTTGCGCTCGATGTGGCCGTCAATTTGTGGCACGTCCAGGAGCTTTATTCCACGCGGCTCGGGCTTCTTTATCGGCTGGCGCCTACGCTCGGCCTTGACCAGGTCTCTCATACCGTCATCGTCGTCGTCGCTATCATCTTCTTCGGTGACAGGCGCAGACGAGGTCGAGGCCGCGCGTCCCTCATCCTTCCGGCGGAAGTGCAAGTTCTTGAGCGCCGCCTTGGGTTGTTGCTCGACGGCACCCGCACGCCGCATCTTGGGCATAGGCACATCCTCGTCGATCTTCTTCTGCTCCTCCTCGCTGAAGCGATGCGAAACCTTCGCCTTCTTCGCAGGAGGCTGCACGGTCGACGGCGCCGGACGCGCGAGCGGCTTGGACGGTTTCGGAGGCGCAGATGTACTGGGCTTCGTGTCGCGCGAGATAAACCCAGTGAGGCGGGACTGCCCCTTCTTGGCGGGCTTCGCTGGTGCTGGTGCTGGCGACGGTTTCTTCGGCGGCTCGACAATCTCCACCTCCTCCTCGTCGAACGCCGCCAGACTGTCCTGCAGCTGCTTCAGGCGCACATTGTTTAGCCTCGTCTCCCCATTCCTTAGCTCCCTCTCCGACATCCCCGCTCGCTTCGCTGGATCGCGCGCGTTGAGTGCATCCCGCACGAAATGGTCTAGCTTCTGCCTGGTCTCCTCCTCCGGACGCACGTCCGCGCTTTCGAACATCGATAGCAAGGACTGCAGGAACGAGAACGTCTGGTGCAGCAGCTCCTCGTCCGTCAGCCGCAGCCACTTGGTTAGGTCGAGCAGCACGGGCTGCATGTCCTGCAGCATCTTCTGCCCTATTTTGGCTTTGAACTTCCTGTCCGCGGCCTTCGCTTCCTTGTCCGTGGTCTTCGCGTCTTTGTCCGCCGCAGCAGCGCCCTCAAAGGTCTCCCTCTGCGCGATCATGTCCCGCCCAAAGATGAGCGCATCGCGCATCCACTCCGTCATCGCATCGTTCTCGAACCACCGCGCCCACGTCGGCGTCCGGCGGAAGATATACTTCAGCGACCCCGCCATGCCCTCCCACAGTTTCGGAATATCGCGGCGCAGGCTATGACTTGAAGCCGGTGCGTAGGATGTGGAACGCAGAAGGCCGCCAGGCGACTCGCACAGCACCTCGATGATGTCGGTGAAGCAGCGCACGAGCATTTTCGCCAGACTACACGCCTCGGGTGGTTTGTTCACGAATGACATGAACATCTCGAGGTGCCGGAGCGCGCCTGAGAATGCCGGGTCGGGAAGCTCTTTAAAGAGGGCGCGGAAGCACTCCGAGCGTACGTCAACATCGAACGCCACGCCAACGAGGTCTTTCGCGCCGGTGTGCAGCACCTCAACGGGGGACATCATCAAGGAGACGACGCGCTGCGTGATGCTCTCACGCCGTAGGAGACCGAGGGCGGCGGATGCGCTGTTGTCCTCGACATATCGCCCCAGTGCGCCGGAGATGCAATCGTGCATGACTTGGAGCGACCTCGACACGTCCTCGAGGGCCACCTTTGGTGAAGCCGAGTCCGTCGGCCTAGTCGCAGTAAACACCTCCTGGTACGCCTTCTTCGTCGGGATGTCCACATGCGCAATCTCGTACGCGATAGTGAGCAGCTCCGCGAAGGCGTCCTGATCGCGACTATCCACGGCCTGACAGATGGTCTTCCACAACATTTCGCGAGAGGTATGCTTGACTATGACCGTCTTCACAGGTATCTTCCTGCTGACCTCCGCAAGCGCGTGATACACCCCGTCGAACGCAGCCAGCACGGTCCGCGCGTCCACTTTCACTGCGCTGAACAAAAGCGACCGCGAAGTCTTGCGCGCCAACGCCCACTTATCGTTGTTGAAGCTTGGGGCGAAGGCGACTTGGGAGAGCTTGGCGACATGAATATCAATCGCAGACGCAACTGCCGCTGCGTGCGTCTGCGAATGTCTTCGCACTAGCTTCTCAAGGATCTACCAATTTCGATCAGTACTAGGCTTGTAGTCAAGATAGCCATAGTTGACTGCCTAGCTCCCTCACCTGTGCTGCTATCGCGATGGTTGCCGGTGCGGAGTCCTGGAACCTCGGATGCTGCAGCTCTTCGCACAGCAAGCCAGCCATCTTCGCAATAACCTCTCCATATACAGGGGTCGGCTCAACAGTGACAAGGAACGGCTGATACCACTTGATGTACGGACCGGCGGCCTCCCTCGAAGTCGAGAGCGCCTTCGACATGCCCTCGACGTACGCGGGGTTGTCCTTGATCGAGTCGAAGATGACTTGCGGGTACTCCGGGCCCTCGCCTTGCCATATCTTCTCCTTCAGGCGGCCGAGGAGCAGGATGAAGGTGTTGAGAACGAGGTGGAGGTCTGTGCGTGCAAAATATGCGCATGTAGTCAGTAAGATACGGCGCATATAGTCGAGGAAGTAGATACCAACGTGGCCCATTGTCTGACAAGTGACCGAGGACTGTTCGTCGGATGTCCACGCGTAGGCGTAGGTGGTGCAGGAGAAGCTCGGGGTCCATCAAGGCGACGATCTTCAGTATGCCGCTCCAATATACTTCGATGTCCGATCGTATAGGCGCCGCCGGTTCGCCCTGGCTCGAGCTCGCGGAGTCGCTCGCGAGCGCCCTAAAGATGGTCTCCGCCACGGAAGTATGAGCAAATGTGAGGCTATCCGGCGGTATGGGCTTGTGCTTGAGAGCCGAGTAGCGCTCCTCCGCCCATTCGCGCAGTGCAGCGTTCTCGTCTACAAGTAGCGCCAGCATGCCGGCTGGGAGCGGGTCCGTTGGCCACTTATCGAGGGGTATAGACGCATGGCATTTCTCTAGAGCGGCGCGTATCCTTGGATCGCGGAAGACGACAAGATTGGCCACCATCCTGTACGTGAGGCCGATGGGGACGCCATATAACGTGGGTGAGGCGACTACATTCTGGCCGTTGAGGATGTTGCGCTGACAGAGCTCTGATATGACGTTGGATAGCTCCCAGCCCTCCAGTAGCGTGAAGAAGTTGACCAGGGTATCCGGGGGGAAGCTTGACATATAGCTAGTCGCACTCAGTCAGAACAATAGACGCCGACGAAAGGGCATGCCACGCACATCGAACGCGCCCGCGTCTTCGCAATCTCTACCCCCAGCGCACATTGCACACACTCGTTGACACATAGGCTGTACTGCGCCTTCCATGTCTCCACCAAAGGGCTATTGTACGCGAACAGCCTGATCAAGAATGTCGCGGCTTCGCTGAGGGTCTCCGACGCCTGCGAGCAGAACCAGTGTATCTGAGAGGGTTCGGACGGTCCTGTCTTGACTACAAGGCCGAATATGGCGCCAAGGACGGTATCGCTGGGTTTGTTGTATTTCGCGGGTTCGGCTCGAACGTCCGCGAGGAGGTTGGCTATCTCGCCATCGGCCATGTAATAGCTGGCAGAGAACGTCTGAAGGGAGGAAAAGGTAGCGTTCTAGAGACTGGAAGGAGCTGAGGGGAGGAGGGGAGGAGGACAAGACGAGCCTGAGCCTGAGCCGGCGGGTCTAATGACCGTCGCGGACGCGTCTGATGGCGGTCACTGATGCGCGTCACACCGATCGCGAAAGCCTGGACATTGCCACGATCACGGGGTCGATGTTGAACTTTGAGTATGTGTCCAGTAAGTAGTCCAATGAATCTGGTTCGGGGCCCTTCTTGGGATTGAGACAAGGCAGCTACGAATCACTCAGAATGACTTAGCTACATTGCCCATACCGAGCAAGCATACGATGCACCTAATGGAAAAGCACATAGCGAAAAATTCGAGCCTTTCCGGAAGACTCAGCACCGCTCAACGTGGTGTACAATGCTCATTTTCCGTCACAGTCGGGCGTCCATTGCGCGTAATGCGCAATTGTCCCGCCACCATCCGGATCATCTCGTCCTGTGTTTGAGTTTCCTCAGACGCAGGGTTGGACACCCTTGAAGTGGTGCGCGACGCCCATACCCTGCACCGCAAAGCGCATGGGAGCTGGGACAGCCCGCTGTCCGTAGAGCAATGCCGCCTGTCGAGCGCCCAGCGCCTCTGGAGGAGAATGCGCCGGCGGGGTGCGCCTATGCGCAGATAGGACGACCGCGAAAGCGCTACCTCGCAGTATAAAGGGATCAGCGAAGAGCCGCCCGATATAGCCCAAAGTATCGCAGAGTATGCATGCCGAGCTGAGCTGATAGCTGAGCCAGGCATGCACGAGTTCCACCGCCGCCTGCAACGACATCGGGTCATGCGAAGCGGTAATGGGGAACGATCGGTCGTCCTAGAATCTGCGCCGCGTTCTCAGGGAACGCGCGCACTGGGCCACGACGAGCGAGCGCGCGCCGTGGAGTGAGGAAGCGCCCACCTCCGCTGACGAGCTTATATACAGCGCGCGGACTTCTCCGACCAGTTATCGAGATTGAAAGAAGATGAAGAACCTTAGCCAAGCGCCGAGTACCCAAGAAGAAGCAGCGAAGGCTTGCCGCTCATCGTCAGTTGACCCATCAGTTATCATTGTACTTGGCGTACTGGCTGAGAATGCCGTTGATGTTGAGGGTGAGGCATATCTTGCACGCCACCGTGCTTGGCTGAAAGCTTCAAGTTGAGCGAGATGAATAAATCGTATACCGGAGCGACCTCTCGATGAGCAACGCAGTCTCTTATCGCGCAGAATGAAGAGATGCCATAGATAGAGACGCAGATAGAGCAGCGCCGCACACGCTTCCAATCCCTAGTACGGCGGCGGAAATAGATGGCCAGAGGCAAAGGCATACCATCGCGTACAGCACGACATCGTTCTGTTCAGTCGGTCGTGCTAGAAGTCATAAGCAGTAACGGCCAGAGAGGTCATGATGAGACCAAGCAGGCTGCAAAAGCCCTGAACAGTGAACCAGGAAGCGATTCGGTTTGAAAACCGGCATCCCCGCGATCCCACGGTCACATGCACAGTCAGAAGTCGAACATTGATCGCTTCCGGCCGGAAGCCCGCTCATTTAAGTACCTCGCGAAGCTGCATACAGAGCGGCTCAAAGTCTTTTATCATCTATTTCTACTTACTGAAATAGCTACGAGAATTACTGCACTGCACACGAAGGCGGCTCTGCCGAAATAGCTGTCAAAAATTCGAGCTTTCCGGAAGCCCAGCACCGCTGCCATCCAGCGCGTACGCCGACGCAGCGCCCAGCACACGCCTCAAAGGGCGCGCGCCGGCGGTGTGCATATGAGTGCGGATCGGAGATCGAGGATAAGTTCGCAACTCGCTTTCGACGAGCACGATCAACACCGCAGGTACTTTTGTACGAGCGGGCCCCATTGCTCAGGGACGCAATGCTCCCTGAGCAGTCTCATTGCGCACAGCCAAAAGGCCAGCACGCACTGAGCCGGTCGGTGCCCTAGGCCTTAGGGCTCGACCGGAGGTCTCCATGAATCCGCACCGCGTCAGGGGGACGCATGCACTGCAACACGACGAGCTCAGGGCCACGTCGTGGTTAGAAGAAAAGAGATGAAGACGAAAATCCAGGCTTATGAAGAAGCGCGGCCTTCGCCGGGTCGGAGTGCGAATAGGTTGAGGGCAAGCTGGACCTCAGGTGCATGCTGTTCCAGAAGCTGCGCGCCTCGTCAGCTGGGCTCAGGCTTTATTGAAGTGGAAATGACGCACCTTATGGCCGGGGTGCTAGAATACTTTGGGTGCTCAAGGAGTCTTCCAAATCCTGGTACACACAGAAGCAGTCGACGACAACGAAGACTTGAAGCAATTCACGCAACGAGGAACACCACCATGCCACATATGTTCAAGAGCGAGCGAGTACATGGCATACTACTCAAGAGCGCGAAAGCAGAACCGCTTCGGAGGGTTACAAAAATTCGAGCTATTCGGAAGCCCAGTACCGCGAACGTGACCGCCTGCCCTCCTGCATAGGCAATATCTCCCTTCGCAGCACGCCACCTCCACCATTCCGCGTAGGTGCGTATGCGGCAAAAGTGCGTCTGCGTCTTCCACCGCAGCCGCACCTACGCGTAACAGCTTTTGCCGCATACGCACCTGCGCGAAATAGCTTCAGAGTGACCACTGCACCGATAGCCTGCGGCTCTCGACGCGGCCGACCAGCGGATTGTGTTCCTCTCCTCGGAAGACAGCGTCAGTTCGACGCCGGCGCTTTCGCGCCAGCGTGGTGCGCCTACATGGACTGTGCACACTGCATGAAATGCCTGCGCACGGGACAAGCCCGCCTAGGGGCGCCTCCCACACAAGCGGGGGTCCGTGATCCACGCTGCGTCCAGAGACAGGACGCGCGCACTCCACGACGGGGGACGTCGTGGTTGGGGGAAAGAAGATGGGCAGCCGAATAGCGCTTTTTATATGGCAGACGGAGTTCGAAGTCGGGGCTTCAAATGGTATTTGCGCGGCCTAGTATCCTCGAGGTTGTGCACCTTTCCTACGATCAGTGGAAAACGGTCACATGGATTGAGAGCAAACAAAGAACATTGCTAAGTCGAGGTGCACAAATGAAGTCAAGAGGGGGAAGTGAAGTATGTAGGCGGATGCCATATCCTGGATCTCGAGAGAGTGCTCGAAGGGGTTCCAAAAATTCGAGCTGTTCGGCAGCCCAGGACCGCGGACACGAAAGCAAGTTCATTACCAAGACAAAGGGAGCGTCTTCGCCATCGACCACCTCGAGCCATGCGGGCCAGTCGCACGCACACCTTGCGGTGTGCGTGCGACTGGACATGTCTTTCAGAGTAGCCTCGGCGCCAACGGTCTGCGAAGCGCAGCCTTGCGGATCGCCGGCGACGCCAAAAGTCCAGTGAAAGCGCTGCCAGTCCGACAACGACGCATGCTGTTCGGCGCACCGTTGTGCTGCGCGTAACGGGGACCGAGCTGATTCCCTCGCTAGAGTGGACCCTCAGAGTCCCGCGTTGCGCCCATGAAGGGGGGGCGCGCATTCCACAACGCGTGAAGGGCGTCGTGGGTTGGGAGGCGGCCGAGCTGGAAATTTATAGTGCGGCTGGCGGAGCTCAAAGTCGGGGTTGCAATTGGTGTTTGCGCGGACGGGCGGAGGTGCGGAAGCGAGCTACAGAGCGATGCCACTGCTAGAAGCAGGGGATTCGCTAACGGATATGTGGCAAGAGGTCCACCAGACTGAGCCGGAATAGAGGGCGAGCCCAGATAGCCGGCCTTTCGTCAGAACTTCGAGCGCTGAGCCGTGCGCAATATTTGCTGCCTGCGTACACGATCGACGGGAAAAGCGAACATGATGGTTGAGGACAAGGGAAGGTCGGCGCCTCGGACCGATATGCGGACCACGTTAGCACACGTTCGCCATTGTTCTCGCGCTTGCTTCCCGCCGCCACCGTCCTGACTTCAAGACGTAGTACTCCCTCAGAATAGCGCCTCCACTATGCCCGTCGGCATTGAAGCATGGTTCCTCCAGATACCTCCAATCACCCGATGCTGGGTCGCTTTAGCAGTCGTGACCAGCATCGCCGTGGTACGTCCCTACGCGCTCGACTCTGACTATCCGTGCTCATGAACCTACGCAGCAATCACAGATGGTCACTCCCTTGTCGCTATACTTTAGTCCGCGCAGTGCTTTTGTGAACGGGCAGGTGCGTGGCCACACACCTCGTCTTGGAGGCCTGGCTGACTGACCTGTTGTACAGTTATGGCGAGCTGTCACGAATTTCTTCTACTTTGGCTCGTTATCCTTGGACTTTGTGTTCCATTTGTTCTTCTTGTGCGTACAGCCGTACCCTTCAGAGCCATGTATAATTGCTAAGACCATTCCAGCATGCGCTATAGCCGCATGCTCGAGGAATCATCCTTTGCAAATCGTAAAGCAGACTACTTCTGGCTCCTCCTCTGCTCCTCCGTCATGCTTCTCGTATGTCTTCCCTCCAATTCCCTTTCCCCACCTCACGACTCACTTCCTCCGCTTCCTCCAGGCCCTCTCCCCCCTCTTCAACCTCCCCTTCCTCTCCGCCTCACTCGCCTTCGTGCCCATCTACGTTTGGTCCCGCCGACACCCCCTCCTCCCCATCTCGCTCTTCGGGCTCGTCACAATAACCGCGCCCTACCTCCCCGTCGCCCTCATCGCGATCTCGTGGCTCCTCAACGGCTCGTTCAAGGCCGTCATCGGGGACTTCGTCGGCTGCGCGGTCGGCCATGTCGCGTGGTTCTTGCGGGATGTGTGGGCGAGGGAGATGGTGGGCGGAAGTACGGTTCTGACAGTTGCGCCGGAGGCTTTGTGAGCGTTCATAACTGATGCGGAGGGTTATTGAAGGCTGACGAGGTTGACAGAAAACGTCTATTCGGCGACGCGTTCTGAGGGTACGGACCGGGGGATGTACTAACACTGTACTAGTATAATATGGATGCTGTCGATTGCTTCCCTGTCCTTGTTTGCTTTGGGTCGATGCCCTTCTTGACTTGCTTCGCGTGCCATTGATCTCACAACGTCTCTCGGAACGAGTTCCCAGCAAGCTATTGCTTCGCATTGAGTGAGCTACAGTACGTATTCGTACATTGTGGGTTGGGTAGGCTGGATACAAGTAGCGGTAACAGATGTGAACAACACGAATCCCAGATAGAAATAGAGATAAAGATAGGTAACCAAGTGCCTTCGAACAGGCATTATCGGATGCAGGTCGACCGGAGTCGGAAAAAGGGTAGAGTAAGGTGAAGGTATGGTCCGTGAGATGAGCATGAGAATACAGTCAGTGAGTAGATGGGGGATACAGTCAGTGATGAGATGAGGATGATGCATAGGGATACAGGCTTCCGGTGAGTGAGACACTCGATGAGTAGATGAGGATACAGCCGTCCATTGCTGAACAAGTCGAGAGTGGTTGGATTGCGCGCGCGGCCTACGACATCGCCCCCCGCGACAAACAGCTCGTCAAAAATCCTGAGTTCTTCCTTGGTGACGTGCGTGTCGGGCTGCGGGACAGAGCCGCCGAAGGTAAGGTCGAGGCCACCGATCTTCGAGAAGTCCAGGTCGAACTGCGAGAAGTCGATGTATGGGTCGTTCGGGAGGTCGAAGAGGGGGTCGTTGGAGGACTCGACGAAGGGCCCGTTATAGGACTCGACGAAGGGCCCGTTATAGGTATCGAGGAAGGGATCATTCGACGAGGTAAAGGACACGTCGAGCATCGACCCCCGCGAGAAATCGATCATCGGCTCTGGTGATGACTTCGTCTGCGCGACGTCGAGGGAGGACTGCTGCTGCGCTAGGTCGAGGGCCTGCTGCTGCGCTGGGTTGAGGGCCTGCTGCTGCGCTTGCTCGAGAGCCGCGGGCGTGGTAGGGGTTGCGGGGAACCCATAGTCCTCAGGAGACGAGGCGACGGCGTCGAAGGTGAGGTTCTCGGGGGGAGAGGAGATGTTGTAGGGGGAGAGCTCCTGGTTGTTGTATGGAGAGGACTCCTGGGCGTTGTACAGCGAGGAATCCTCGGCATAGTACCAAGAGGCATTGACCTCGAGCTCGGCAGCAGCGGAGAACGCGTCGGCCTGCGCAGCAGGGAGCACGTTGTAGGCAATCGGCTGGTCGTTGCGGCCCGCAGAGAACGAGAAGCCTGCGAACTGGATGTCCGAGGCGCGGAGCTGCGGGATAGTGGGGTCTTCCGCAATGTAAAGGGAGCTCGACTCGGACGCAGAGGCGAGACAAGAGCCCGATGACGACGCCTGGCTCGAAGAGGAAACCTGGTTGAAGCTCAAAGTGGACGCGTAGATCGTATTCGGCGCATCAGGCGCGTAGTTGGTGTTGTAGTACGCAGCGGGCGGGTATACGGGTGCTTGCTGTGTGTACGACGGCGCAAACGCGTCGTAAGTAGGCGGTGGCACAGGCGGATAGATCTCGGAGGTCGCGGGTGGGGAGTACGAGGTCGCAGGCGGGTTGTACGGGGTCGCGGGCGCGTTGTAGTACCGGTTCTGCTGGCGTTGTGAGGGATGCACCTCGTAGTACACATCCTTCTGCTGGATGGGCTGCGCCTCGTAGGTGGGGGAGAGGGGACGCGGAGACTCTGCCGCGAAGTTCTCGGACGGGGTCGCCTTCTTCGTTGCCTTCGCCTTGTTGACGGCCTGCTTGGTGTACGGCGTGTAACGCTTCGTCGACCGCGTCGCACGGCTGCCTCCGCGGACCGAGTCGCGCTGCACCTTTTGCGGCGCCTGCGGTTGCTCCCAATCGTCGTCCTCGTCGTTGGTGCTCTTCACAGCGGTCCTGCCGTGTTTCTTCTTGTGGCGCGACAAGCCGGCAGGGTCCGCGAAGGCATCGCCACATGTCTTACAAACCTTCGGCTTCGTGCGAAGACTGCAAGGATTGTCAGTATCGTGGGTCACGGAAGACGGTACAGTAAAAGGATGCAGAGCCCAGGAGAGAGGTATAAAGAACTACACCACGATGAACGTTGTGGCAGAGCAGGGCAGACGGCCCGACGGTCCGATGAAAGGTGACTCACTGTATCGCGCAGATGTGCGTCTCCACCGTGATTTTCTGTGGTGCCCGGTAGGGGCAGAAAGGGCATGCAAACGGACTGTGACTGACATCAGAACATGGCAGAGCCTTACGAGGTAGCAGAAACGCACCGAGTCCTGACAACATTAGACCAGATCTCCTGATTGAGGTGTGCAGTGCGCAAGTGGCTCTTTTGCGCGCGCTTCGTCTCCACGAGCTTGCCGCAGACCTGGCAGCGAGCATTGACAAATTGGGGGATCTCTTCCTCATGGTCATATACCTGCACATAATCCTCATGAGTGGCGCGCCCTTGACCCAATAAGGAAATAACACCACCACCCACCATACGGGTCGACATCAGAGGCATAGTAGGCGTTCTGCGGGTCCGGCGGGCGGGATAGATGCTGGAAGGTTAGTTGGGGGCGGTGGATGTGCAGAAACCGCCCCCGCCCGCCCCCCTTTATAGCTTTCTGGCGCGGACGTCCTCGATTGCTCCTCGATTGCTTCGATTGCTCTTCCCTCAAGAAAGGAAATTTTGACTGTTTGGCCATGTTAGCCAGAGCTCGAGTGGCTCAGTGGCGAGCCAAAGATTCGAGTGGCACGCGCGCATGAGGCCGCCGTTCGCCCCGAAAATCAACTTGTGGGCGGTTGACGGTGCGATGCTTGGTTTTGTGGTGCTACTTGGGTAGGGTGAGTCCCGTGTGCAGAGGAATGCGAGTTCGGTGGTCCCTTCCAAAGAGAGTAATTTTGCTAGGGGGCGGCGGTGCTCTCGTTGCTAGGCAACAACTTTTTTACCCAAAAGAGCGAGACATGCCGGGATGCCGGCGTTTATGTCGAGGCTGACGCACCATTCATGCCCGGGCCTCGTGTACCAGGCATGGCCTGAGCGCCAAACAGCTGCTGTGAGGTGGAGGGCGCCCACAGAGGCCCATAGGCGCCTTCAGTGGAACGCGCTGGTGAGTCAACCAGAAGGCAAGAGGCAGAACGTGTGGCGTGACACTGAGACCAACTTCATTCTCACGAGTGATGGCTCTGCGCGGTCACTGTGGATCTCGAACAAATAAGACTGGCCAGCGCTAGCCGACCACAGTATTGTGGCAAGGTCTCTTTTCTCAGTGGCAGTTCATCTTCCCAGTTGATAGGCATCTATCCCAGTGACTTCGTTCTACTTACGCCTCGTCTCAGCCGAACCGTGAACAGAGTAGCGACTTCGAGCCTCCAGCCTTCCATTATCGTTACCCATAAGCTACCATAGTTTATGTACATGCCCGGTACTTGCTACATTAGAACGATTGTTGTGAATTGCAATTGATACCTCGTCCTTGACTTGAACTATGCTATGCAGCGCGGGCATGGGCCTCCCGCGGTCTCCTCATCTACTGACACCTCTACTCCGCCACGATGCCACGGTAACGTCACGGCGCCACGGTAACACACGTCCTGCAACGTGCGAGCGTCAGCTCAGGAGTCGATCGCGCTGAGCGTTCGGACGAACCTGCCGCCTTACGACGCCTGACCGCCGCTCGAGCCCTTCCACCACTTGCCGATCTTCGCTGCGCTGTAGCGCGCGCTCTTGACCAGGCCAGAGCTTAAGATGCCCTTCATCGTCTGGATAGTTGCAGGACCCTTGACGATGGACGAGGTTTCTGTTGGAGGATTAGCCGTTTGCCAGGCAGAGTGAGGCCCTAGGACACTTACGTTGGCGAATAACCTCTGGCAATCGCTCGTCCCCAGCCATGCGAACCCACGCAGCGCTGTCGCTAAAGTCGTTGATGTCAAGAGTGCTCGAGTAATGACCCTTGACACCAGCGAGGAGGTGCGACGGGAGCTTGCGCAAGTGTGCCGCCCGCGCGTGTGCGGACGTGTCCTGCTTGATAGTCGACGAGAAGGATGGCCAGTGCACGCCAGGGAGGCCGACGACCAAACGATGGTACAGCTCCTTGAACTGCGGCGCCTGCTTCTTGACGATGTTCTGCACCTTTGAGCGGTTCTCAGCGGGCAGGACCATGCGCGGGTCGCCGTTGTAGCTGATCCCCGCGATGCGTTCGAACAGCTCAGCCTCGGTAAACTCCTCCGGCATGGTGAGCAGCGCGTGTCGGACAGCGGAGGTCAGATTGACCTGCTGCGTCAGGCGTACGCGCGCATCGTCCTTGATTATCCGCAAGGGCTTGTGCATACGGCCAGCAAGGTACAGCGTGCGCCAGTTCAGGAGGTCCGAACAGAGGTTGTCGACGGTGGTGACGCCGTACTTGATCGTCTGCGGCGCGCGTCAGCGTCACGCGACCCGGGGGGAGGATTCTGGTACGCACCACGCCGTTCATCGGCACGTACGCATTGAACCAGACGCCGGGGCTGATGTTCTGCACGCGCGACACGTAGTCCGAGCCCAGGACGCGCGCGGAGAGCGGGTAGTGGGAGGGGAACTGGTTCATGTTGATCGAGTGGAAGTGGTCGGCGTGCGTGACCGCGAAGAGGAAGTCGAGCATGGGCTTCTCGCCGTCGGGCGCCTCCACGGTGCGATAGCCATCCTGCTCGAATACGCCGGAGCCGTATGCGAAGGCGTAGCGGATGGGCGCGTTGAACTGGGCGACGATCGACTCGAGCAGCTCGCGCGTCGTGCTAGAGACGGGGAGAAACTGGTTGCGCCCGAAGTCTGGGGGAAGCGCACGCGGGTAGATTATCCGCTGGGATGATGTCTGCCGCGGCTGCGGGCCCAGCGAGGCCCGCGGCTTCGAGTTGTTTGGGGGCTTGGGCGGGATGTACGGCGGTAGTTCTGAGCTGCCGCCTGAGTGGGTGGTTTCCGTGGCGAGTGTGCGGGCGTGCAGGAGGAGAGGTAAGGAGCGGGCGCGGGGCTTGACGGCGGCGATGATGAGGCTCATTGGATAGTTTGAGATGACGGTTGGGGAGGAGGGGATTGGTGACAATTATGGGGTCCTTTCATCCGTGCCGACGCGCCACGTGCTGACGTCAAGTCCCGCCGGCTGCGCCGCTGCGGCAGGTCCACGGCTTGCAGCGGCTCACTAGGGTGAATGTAGACCTTACGAGGCGGATAATAGCAAGGAATACAAGGGCCTTGATGAGTCACTGACTTTGGCCAAACTGGCGCTAGCCGTGGTCCTCTCGATGATACAGCACGTGGCGCACGCAGTCTACAAAGCTATGCGCGGCAAGTTGAACCAACTTGACATGTCGCTCAGTATCTTCACAGACAAGGCGACATATATATGGTAGGCTAGATATAATCCGCCACGAGTAGCCCACCTTCCCTCAAGAGCGCATAGTACCTCCCCGAAGCGACATCGAAATCACGACGCACCCTCGATGCCACAAACTGAAAGCTCTGAACGAGCCTAACAGAAGTTCGGCACAGCACCTGCTCCTCCGCCGGTCCCGGCCGCGCCAAGTGGACGTTCATGTCCCGGTTATAATCCAGATTGCCTTGTTCCTCTGAATAAACCTCGCCGACATCGCACGCTGTCATCATGATGGTGCTGAATACGATGAAGTGCTCGTCCCCATCGGGCGCAGGTGGGACGTTGAGGTGCGCGAGAGATCGTTGGGTGCTCTCGAGGTCGCGGCGGAGCACATACGTGTGAAGAAGGCCTTCTTCGCCCGGCCGGAGCGTGTGCACCTGGAAGGACAAGAGTGCGCCTGGTAGCACACGGCGGGGGCAATGCACAAGCTGGTTCTGTCCAAGGCACATAGACATGCCTGGCCACAGGTCGATGCGTCCCACTGCATCGACAGGTATGTCGAAGATAGATATCCTCGCGCGGATACCAGGCTCTTGCGCGGATGGCGACGCGCTAAAGAGGCCGAAAGACTCCGTCAGATGCCCTGCTCCTTTCACAACAAGTCCTATTAGGAGCACACGATTCTCGTGTAATTGAACGCGCTGTATTGAGCTGAGTAGCCTGCGATGCGCATGGCCAAGCGGAGACTCACCACATCGGCCATGGTATCCCAAGAATGAGTCCACGAAACATGTCGATCGAGTGCAAAGTCCCATACAACGATGCCGCAGTCGTCAGCAACAGCTATGCGGTTACCGAAAAGCGAAATGTCACTGCGCGCGTGGTCGAGGCGAAGGGAAACAGAGGTAGAAGCAACGAGGCGGAAGCCCGTCTTCGCGCCTTCTAGTGCGACGTTGAACACCGAGATCTTCCAAGGTTCGGCAGCACACCTTGAGAGATACTTGTGAATACAAGTGATGTTTGTGGTGCTCGAAAGATACTTGCGATGTCTTTCCCCATGTGACGATCTGCAGGACGGTTCCGTCCTGCAAGAATTGATGGGCAGCCACGGGGTTGCGGCCTCGAAGATGGGTATCCCTACTACCAAACTCCCCTCGAGCGCTGTAAAGCAACGTGCCGATTCTCTCGAGACCATTGGGATGAGATTGGAGGCGATACAAAGTCATGTCCTCGTTTTTATTGGTGATCATGAAGTACGCTCCGCCTGGAAAGACGAAGATCAGATCGTGAATGCCGAATTGTGTAGCAAGATTAGGATAAACGGTCTCGTGCCGCGGGTTCAATCCAGGTGGTAGAGCGTCTCGCCCAGCCTGGAAGGGGCCCGACGCCGCTGCAAGAGCGCGAAAAGAGCGGCTCGGGGCTGTAGCAAAGCGCGCCAAGTCGGAGAGGCCCATCGCCGCGCGTTGAGTTGGAGTAAGAGGCATTCCGTGGTCGAAGGCCGTCCTCTGCGCAATGGAGAGCCAAACCCCGCGGTTACGCGACGCGGCGTGTAGCGCAGTGCATGTCTGTGAACGGTGTCAGAGACTTGTCAAGCGTACGAGCTGTTGGGCGTACCTTCCGCATCGCCAGCACATCGAAGGGACGTGACCAGCTGAGGATGACCTCTACAGCGTCGGGCGGCAAGTCGAGCAAGCGGAAGCGCTGTGCTTCCGACGAAGGCTCGCGAACGCTTTCTGTCTCGTGCATGCTGGAGTGCACGCTGAGGTCGCCGCGAGCTGAAGTTCTCGGTGCAGCGAAGGCAAGTGTGTAGGCGTTGGGCAAGGCACCAGACCGCAGTTCGCAGTGTCAGTTATAAAAGCTAGATAGGTCAGGAACCCCGAAGAACGGTGAGAGAGTCGTTTGACCACCTGGCTGAGGGTTGGAGTCAACGTTGGTAGTTGAAGACGCGTGCACACAACGTGGTGGATGACGGAATCGAATTTCGCGTTCACGTCCGTCTTCTCAGACAACGTGGATACCATGTAGCGGCCCGCGCACGATACGTGCCACTCGGTGTACTCACACATGCTGCTTCAATCTCCTCGGTATCATTTTCGTCTATGGAGTTGTCAGGTTACGCTTTCCCTCCCACAATCGCTATACAAAGTCTTTCCCGTGAGCTGTGGTAAGGCATCTGTTTTCTCCTTCGTGGGCATGCTCGACATGACCCGCAAATGGCCATCCCATCAATGCTAGATGTAGTCCGCGACGAGGAGCTCGCCGTCCGCGTAGAGGGCGCAGAACCTCCCCGAAGCGACATCGAACGAGTGACACAGCTTGCGCAGGTCATACCGCGCGCTCTGCACGAGCCTGACGGAAGACCGAAACAGCATCTGCCCCTCCGCGGGTTCCAGCCACGCCAAATGCACGGTCGTGCCCATGCCAGTGAGGACGCCGTGCTGCTCGAAACAGGCCTGTCCAATATCGCACGCCGTCATCATAACAGCACTGTAGTAGGAGAAGCTCTCGTCCAAGCTGGGCGAGGGGGGAACAATACAGTGCGCGGGAGACCGGCGCGTGCTCTCGAGGTCGTCGCGGAGGGTATAAGTGTGGAGGTGACCCTCCGCGCCGGGAAATTGTGTGTGCACCTGGAACGCAAAGAGCGCGCCTGGTATAGCACGGTCAGGACAGTGGAGAATCTGGTCCTGACCAAGACACATGGTCACACTCGGCCACAAGCGTATGCGATTGCGGCCTGCGGCATAGGCTGGAACTTCGAAGACGGCTACCTTCGCGCGCACGTTAGGCTTTTCCATTGGCGTACCACGTGTGTTGAAGGCCAAGATCAGAGCTTCTGGGTCCATGGGACAGCACATTAGAACTACACGATTCTCGTATATGAGAATGCGCTGTGTGTGGAGTTGAGTGGCCTGCGGGATGTGCTATCACGCACTCACCAAGTCTTTCACTACGTGGTCCTCCAAGCTTAGCTTATGCCCCCATGAGGTTCGACGGTCGAGTGCGAAGTCCCATACGAGGACATCGAAGTTGTCAGCAACTGCTATGCGGGTGCCAAAGAGCGCCAGGGCATTATGAGAAGTGAGACGCAAGGAAACACAGACGGAAGCGACGAGCCAAAACTCGGACTTCTCGCCATCGAGGGCGATTTTGAACACGGAAATCTTCCAGGGCTCACGGCGGGAGCTTCGAAGACATGAGCATGGCGACTCTCATCGAGCTCTGTGAGTTACATACGCTGTCTTCGTCAGAGTCACGATCTGCAAGACAGTTCCGTCCTGCAGAAATTGGTGGGCCGCTATGTTTCGTTGTCCGAGGCGACGTTCTCTCGGCCCTCGCACCCCTCGCGCACTGTAAGGTAACGTGCCGAGCTGCTCGGGACCAGCGGAATCGAGCCGGTAGAGAGTCATGTCTCCGTCTTTGTTGGTGATCATCAAATATGACCCGCCCGGGAAGATGAAGACCTCGTCGTCAGGAAAGAATTGTCCGGCCATATTTGGATACACGGTCTTCCTCCGTGGATGCAACTCGGGAATTGCGTTCCAGTCAGCGCGGAAAGGGCCTGACGCCGCGACGAGAGCGCGAAAGGAGCGTCCCGGGGCTGTGGCAAAGCGCTCCAGGTCGGAGGTGCCCATCACGGCTCGTTCAGTCGGAGTCAGGGGCAGGCCATGGAGGAAAGCCGTCCTCTGCGCGACAGAGAGCCACACCCAGCGGTTGCGCGACGCGGCGTGCAGCGTGGAGCATGTCTATGCCAAATGTCGTCAGAGTCGTGAACAAGCACGAGGTACATTGCTAGGGCATACCTTTCGCACCGCAAGGACATCCAAAGGGCGTGCCAAGCTCAGAATGACTTCCAGCACTTCTGGCGGTAAGTCGACCAAGCAGAAGTGGGGTGATTCCGACGAAAGTTTGTGAGCGCTTCCTTCATCACGCATCTTGAAGTGGAGGAGAGAAGTCGCCTGGAGATGGGTTGTACGATGCTAAAGAGCGGCAAGAAGGAATGGATCGAACGCCTAGCTGAGGTTCGGTCGGAGTCAACGTCGATACTTGAAGACGCGTGCAAACAACGTGGTGAAGACGGAACCGAATTTTTGACTTTGCTTCCGCCTTCCCTGAAGCGTGGAGCGCACGATGGACCCACAACACAAATACCACGCAGCGTTATTACCCAACGCGAGTGCCCGCCTGGACCCTGAGGGAAGCAGCGTGTCAGTGACTATTCAGTCTATTCGATAAATGGTGAGACATACAGCCTGGTCTTCGATGTCCCTAGCACCATCCTCGAAGTTGCAGCACGCCCAACTCTACATCACGCATCCATCGAAACCCCATAAACCAAACGTAGACATAAACACCGTGGATACTGTACATGAAGAGGATAGTACTACAACTACAAGGTGCCGCGCAGCGACAATGAATCAACGCCTCGTAGAGACGATGAAAAACGAACAAACACCCGAACACCGGGCACCGTCGCAGACGGCGGCTGTCGCTGGGACGTCGATGCCGTCGCAGACGGTACCACTGCTCGACGCGAGAGAAGTACAATGAAGTCTGATGCTCAGAACTTCATGTCGATCGTCGTCTTGCTCCCGGCAACTACAAGCAAATCAGCGAAGCTAACGCGAGCAAGAGGAACACGACGTACCAGGCAACGAGATAATCTTCTTCCAGTCGTGCATATCCTGAGCGCGGCGAGGATTGCGGCGGCGTACCAGCACGAATATGAGAAGGCCAATGGCCGACAGGCCTGCCAGAGCGCCAAGGACACCGCCTACAATTGCGCCAATGTTCACGCCTTTATCCTTGTCCGCAGCCCCGCTTTGAGAGAGCTTGCCTGCCGTAGAAGAGCCGTTGTCGCCAATGTTGTTGAAGGTCGCATTGTACAGCACAAAGTCGATGCCAAGCGCAGTGCCCGCGCCCGCGACGTTGGTCACGTTCACGGTAAGCGTGTGCGCGCCGGCGGAAAGACCATCGGCGTGGAATAGAAGCGTCTTCGGCGCGGCCTGGTTCGGAATAAGGGCAGGCGGGAGGGCAGAGGAGGTTGGCGCTTCGTCGTCAATCGCGTAGGAGACGGTGACGTTGTCCGCGCCCTCGCTGCCAGAAGGGGGCAGCGTACCGTAGACGGCAACAGAGTCCCCTAAGTGTGTAGATTAGTGACACGCGTTAGGCGAGAAGGTGAGCAAAGGCGCACCAGAGAAGGAGAAGGAGAGCGCGTCTCCGACGGTGTTGCTCCAGTGCGTCGTACCCGCGTAAGGACCGGTGGAGCGTCCCAGCACGAGATTGAATGGCGGCTCCGTGGACCACTCGCCGGTGTAGGAGAGCGCCTCGTCGGCGTCATCCGTGATGATCGTGCGCCCCTCCAGAGCGGTCGACTGGCCGGCGAGGACAGCGATATAGTCAAGGGCGGGGTGCACGGAGGTCGCGCTTGAAGAGAAGACGAGGGTGTGCTCGCCGTCGTCGAGGTCCGCGAATTCGAAGCCCGCGTCGGTCAACGAAGCCTGCGCGGCCGCGCCGTCGATCGTCGCAGAGTAGTCGGGGGAATCAGACGAGCTGGGGGCGGAGACCGTTACGCCGACACCTGCAGGTCGCCTAGTCAGCGCGAGTCCACAGTTCACTGCGCAGCACACGCACCACTAAACGTGAGCTGGAACCAGCCATCGCCACACGACTCGTCCGAGATCGAGGTCCAGGTGTTGTTGAAGTACGAGCCCAGCACGGTCTGGTGCGTTACCGGGCAGAGGTACGCGATATCCGCGCTCTGGTCGTCGAGCAGATACTGCATGGCGGTCGGCTTCAAGGAAGGATAGAATAGAAGACTGGGTGGGAAGGCGAGAACGAAGACCGGGGTGCCAAGAGGGGGCAGATGACGAAAACGAGGGAACGTCCTAGAAAAGAATGGCGGGGCGCGGGAAGGAAGCGCGCGGCGGGTTCGATAACCTCAAAGGAGTGGATGGGAGCAAAAGGGAGGCCAGTGTCAGTGACAGCGAGACCAAAGGGCTAGTAGCGCCATCGCCGATCGCCAAGGGCGTGACGGGGACAAGGTTTGCTGTCATGATCGTGGCAACGGGCTCGGCTGCGAACAGCGACCGGGCTGGGCTTGACGGCGTTGAACCAAGGTCAGACTACATTGTTCACCAACAGGTTCCATCAGAGCAATCACGCTATGGGAGTGTTAGATTGAGAACAAGGATGGAGAATACAGCAGAGCGCACAACAGCTTCCGGCCCGCGCAGGACCGCTGCTACGAGTTCGAGGCAGAGCACGAAGACTGTTGACACTAGATGCGTTGGGCGCAAATACAAGGCCGATGGGTCTACAGCGATGGATAAGTATGTTTGGAATGAGGTGCGTACCCTTCCCGCCTCTGACAGGATGGTAAATGAATCAGTGAAGGCTGCGTTGGCGACTCATCCCATGCTGTTTCTAAACCGGAAAGTGGACGGCTATATTGAGGCCATTTCCGCTCGAAGGATGTACAGCCCATACTCTATGCATCCTTCCGAACATGGAAACAGACAACTAGACACTGACTTGAGCTTTGCTGGGTTTTGCATAGAGACAACGCGCCCGAGTACGCCTGTTGGAGTATACCACGAGAAAGGATCGGAGCGGCCAAGGAAGAAGTCGGTGGGTCTATCGTCTTTGCCCATGGTGGCAGCAGGCAAGAAAAGGAAGCAAGGAAGCGAGTAGGGACGCGAAACCTGTCATGCACGTGGCTTGCTAGTGAGTAGCAGTAAAGTGGTCGTGAATTTGTTGAAAGGTCCTACCTCACAGAAAGCGCCAGGAAAAGCAAGAGACTCCGGAGAGCAACTTCAAGCGATAGCACTACGAACCTTGCAGACGACGAAGAAACCAGGTTCACAAGGCAAGGACAGGCAATCAAGTGTATGTGCAATTGAACGCGTTCAGTAAGGGAATATTAGCATTATGTAGGGTGTACAAATGCATCAGGAGGGGAAAGTAGTCGAAAGCAGTAGTAGCGAATGACGGTATGATACAGTGGCAGGGTAGATTTCATTGAAATTCTAGAGGGACCATCTGCAAAGCGCGTCAGCTACCCATTCTTGAGACATATGTAAGAAGCTACTCACGTCGCTTAGAGCGCGAGGACCTGAACAAGGGCCGTCACGTTAAGCTGGAGGATGATCGGGGTGATGTCGCCGATGAGGCCGACAACAACACCGAGCAGACCACCGACGAGGCCGAGGACACCATCAACGAGGCCGAAGACGGTCTTCAGGAGCTCAGCGACGATGCCGGCGATGTCCTGGAGGAGCTTGGAGATGGTGTCGGCCGGGGCGTTGTTGAGGACGTTGAGGACACCGCCGAGAGCAGTGAAGACGAGCTAGGATGACAATCAGCATTCGGAAGGGTGAAAGCGAGGGGGAGGAAGCTAACCTTGAGGAGGTCAGCGACGGTCTTGCCAACGGCGCTGACGTCGGTGACATCGCCAAGCAGGCCGGAGGTGTCGAGGCCAGTGAGGCCCTTGACGTCGGAGAGGAGCTTGCCAAGGACGGACTTGACATCGTTGAGAAGGTCAGACACGGCCTGCTCAGTCGCGTTCGCGGGCTGGAGGAACACTGGAGCACGAATTAGCCTCGAAAGAAACTATTTCAGGAATGATCACATACGGAGAGCCTGAGCGGTCTCGGTCAAGTCAACGACAGCCTGGTCGACGAGGGCGATGAGGGTCTGCTGGCCGCGAACCTCAACATCGGCGTCCACGGCCGCCTCGAGATCGAGGATGTCGCGGCCAACCTTGGCGTCGACGTCCGCGTCCGCATCCAGGTCGAGGAGGTCACGGAGCTCGACATCGGCATCGACATCGGCCTTGGCATCAACGAGCGCGCGCACGGAAGGCGCAGCAGCCGCAGCCGAGCTGGTCGCCGCGACGACGGAGCTGGAGACAGCAGCCGCCTGGGTCGAGGCGATAGCAGACGCGGACGAGGAGACGCCCGAGGCAGCGGCGACGGCCGAGGAGGTCGCGCCAGAGGCAGCGGCAGCCGCGTTAGGCGCAGCAGCAAAGCCCGGCAGGGGGATGGGGCCCGCAGAGACGTACGAGGCGAGGGCAACGGTGGCCGCGAAGGAGATCTTCTTGAACGAGAACATGGTCGGTATCGGTAATGAGTGCGGGGGTAAGAGAGTGTCGGTCAAGTCGGGTGACTTGGGTGGTGTGGGTGGGTTGGGAGAGGGAGAAGTAGCTGAGGAGCTGAGGAATCAAAGGTCGAAGTTCGCTGGGTTTTTATAGATGTTCGCAGCCAGTCGGGTAAGGCGGCGGTAACATCACGCGCAGCGCGCATGCTGGGGGAGAGGTGGTGGAGCATCAGAGCCTCGCGCGAGCGCCGGCGGGATGGAATTCAGGGTCTGAGGGATCTTGTTGGTCCCGCCTCAAGGCGGATATTTTGGCCGAAGGGGGAAAAGAAGCAGGCAAAGATGTTGATGTTGATGGCGTGTTCTCACGACGCCTGTTCGCGACTGCGCTGGTGCATACACGTTCGCCGCCCAGACAGCCTTAAAAGCTGAGAAAGAAGTCCCACTTTCCGAAAGAGAGCTACTGGTCGTCGTCGCGAAGCCTCAAAGAGTCGAGCGATATGAGCAAGCATTGGCTTGCAGTCGGAAGTACTGAACACAAATCCGTCATGAACGACAACATAGGAAGTTGCTGAAATTGGATGTCGTGGAGCCTCTGGAGGACCGGGGATCAACTCGTTGCGAAAGGACGGAAAACGCAACCGATGCTCACCCCAAGCGCAGCACCTCGAGCCGTCGCGACCGTTTCAATCGCCGCCTCGAGCTCGCCTTGCTGTTCTGGCCAGTCTGCCCACCTCGCCGACTTCAGTCTGAGTCGACTGGGGTCACCTTCCAACGCTTCATCGCGTTTGCCGAGCTTGCGAAGACGCCTTTGGAGCCGAGGTGTGCGCCCGCATCGAGCACAAAAGTTCCGCGAAGGTTTCCCCACAGCGGAGGTTCGGCAGCAGTGGTTTAATTGAGTGGAGCGGAATCCATCAGACGGTTTCTATGGGGACTGGCATCCGGCATGAGGGATCGACAGGAGGATCGACATGGGGCGCGTGCAATGACGCTGGACGACTTTGTTGGACTTCGACAGGCGAAGTTGAGGTCGAGGCGAAGTTGAGGTCGAGGTCGAAAGCAAAGAAGCTCAAAACACTATATATCGAAGGAAGGCGGCGACCCTTGGGCGATTTAGCAGGGAAGCACGGAGTGGGCAGCCCGCATCTGTCGGACGCAGCCCGAGGTGAAGGGTTGAATTGAAGTCGGCAGCGCAGCTGGCGCTGGCCACGTCAAGAGCGCGTAATGGCATCGTCGCCGACTGCAGCCGCGGGCCGCGAAGGCGCACACCAAAAATCGAGGCGATGCTTTCGGTCAGCTGGGTGAGTCGCTGGCCGCTGACAGTCTGGGTTGACAAGACTTCGGGGAGGTTTCCGAAGGGGACGAGGTCGCGATATGGCGTTCGATCTATACATGGACAAGCGACTTGAATTTGGAGCTATAGCAGTAAAAGGAGAACGCCTCGGCCAAAAAGCAGTCCCGCAAACGCCGAGGGCTAATGCTCTGTCGACTCAAGCAAGAGGGGAGAAAATGAGCAGAGGATGGAGGACGAAGGCAAGGTGCGTAACGAAGCCCATAGAATTGTGGGTCCACCACGTGCGCATGGTCGCACGCTCAGCCGAAGCAAGCCGGATTTCGAAGTTCGTTTCTTCTCTTACCACGTTCATTTTGCGCCCACACGATCTCTCAGCCGCCGACTCCAGCGAAGCGCCAGGGTCAGAGGCAGCACAAGTTCCTCTCTCTGCTCTGCTGGACTGCACATAAAGATCGTGGAATCTTTTCTATCGCTGGCCAACACTGGCTCACGAGCCAGACCTATTTTCCTGGCTGCAAGCATGAGCATGCTCGGCGAGAATCTTCGCCCGCGAACGCTTCTGCGCAAACTTTCCAATGTCGGACGACGATCGCGCTCGCGGGCGTCGGCTGTCGATGAGGTGCAACCATTTCGCCTGCTCGATTTGCCACCCGAAGTCGTGGAAGTCATTCTAAGTCTATCCCGCCCGATGGCCGTGCTGGCGTTGCGAAAGGTGAGTATTTACCACATCTCACTCTCATTGGACAAATACTCAAGAGTTTGAATGGTTTTCTCAGACCTGCACGGCTCTGAATATCGCCTCTCGCGACCGACAAACATGGCTCGTTATCGCGCAGAGAACGGCTTTTGAACACAACATGCCTTTAGGTCCGAAGAAGCGAGCGGCTATGAGCTTCTCCGACTTGGAGCGCTTTGCTACGGCTCCGGCGCGCTCTTTGCGTGCGTTGAGCGCGGCATCCGGTCGTTACTATCTGGGTGCCGATGCGAAACAAATTCCCAAAATACGTGCACGCAGGGAGACCATTCATAAAGGGATCTGTTCAGAACACTCTTCCTACGACGAGATATACATTCTACCTGGTGGCCAATATATGATCAACGTCGACGAAGAGGCAGATATGACCCTTTGGCGACTTGACTCTGCGACTCCCATAACACTGGGGAAGATACCTTTCCAACCTCGTGCAGAGTCCGAGCCGTCGCGAATAAACAGATTCCACAAAGTATGCGCCCATGAGCTTATATGCGATGGAACTGAACTTCGCTTCGTCACTTGCATGGGAAATCTGTAAGTGAACGCGCGTTTTGCTGTGAAATGTATACTCAAATTTCTGTAGCCGCGAGACCGAATTGGTGCAAATATCTGTATACGACATCTGCCTCGAAGGCGTCGAGTCTAGTCTGCGTCTTGTCGCATCCACTCGTGTCCCTTTGCGCTCTGGAAGCCTCTTCTCCAATGTCATATCTCTTTTCGGTACACGCATAGCAGTCGTTGACAAAGACGATATCGTCGTGTGGGACTTTGCCCATGATCAACAGACTTCTTGGCCTCATTTATTTGGCCATATTCATGATTGGGTGAGTGCATCCAGTCCTGCCCGCTAGCTGACTGACTGAAGACGGACACAGCGTGTTCTGGCGTACGACAATCGTGTCATTGTCGTGGGCTGCCCCGCAGACCCAGAAGAGATATTCAAGCGGGAACGCGGGCAGGAAGTCGAAAAATACAACGTGCGGGCCAAGATATCCGTCTTCGAAATACCAATCGACGCAGTAGGCCCAATACAGCTGCTGCCAGGCCTCTCCTTATGCCTCGGCCACAACCAGTTTCTGCACTTCCCTTGCCGCGCAGTACCAGGAGCGCCATTCTCCTTTCAAGTGCGCACATGTCAATCCGAGTCGAACGACCTGTTGCACACGTACGCTCTCCGTCAGGATCTCGGGAGCACGCGCCGCTCGTCCGAGTACCTCTCTGTCGCGCTAGAGCCCAGCGCGGACGAATGCCTGGCAAGGACCAGCGTCACAATGAAGGTGTCGTGCGATGCTGGTCATGCGCTTGTACAGACGGGGTACTCGTTCGAATCCGACTCTCGCTACAAGAAGATACACCTAGCGTGGCCGGAGCAGATCAATGGACGCAGATTGCTCCGAGGATCGGTGATGCTCGCATATGGAGGCAAGTCTCGCATGCGAGCACAGGCATTCGATCCTGTGTCGGGCAGGTTATGTGCCCTCAGGTCAGATGGTGGGCTCCTTGTCGCGGATTACATCTAGGACCGTAATGGACGCGGATGTGTGGGTCCACTCTTCCGGCGTTTGCCGACTTCCTGATTTAGTAATTTTATGGTCGATTACGATCCTTGCCTTCGACCGCCGTAGGCAAGCTTTTGTCACACATATTTTGGGATTGTCTTCCGCCTCGTCTGTATACTCGCGCTGCTGCTCTACCGTACGCATTGCGACGGGGGGTTCACGGAAGAGCTGGATTGGGAGAGCGTGTGCGTGCAGTATATATGGCCGGGGCGAGGGCAGGGGCGTCCAAACGCGAGGCGAGGCTAAGGCAGGCGCGAAGGCGGGAAGGGAAAAGGATAGCAATGGGCAAAAAAATATGCGGAGGGCACCTAAAGCCAGTCTCGTAAATCATCCTTCTGTGAAACAGTAAAATATGCGGCCAAGTTGACGGAGGACAAGCTATCCTTCGACCCGACGTCGAGAAGAACCGCGTGCTGAGGGAAAATAGGACGTTAGTGGGTGAGGATCATCTGTGATTGATTCACGCCAGTTCGTACGCGGAGATGAGACGCGTATCTGACAATGAGATGGTGTAGATGAGAGGGTTGGGAGCTGGTGCAAGAGAGAAGACCGGTCCGGTCCATGAGGCGGAGAGTAAGTGAGTGGCAAACTTTGTCACTCAGTCTGCGGGCTCGTCGAGAACAAGGGGAGTGTCAGCGAGTAGACGTGAGCAATCAGATCGACAATCTAAGCCTTCGGTCATCGACGGCACCCTTGCATGCATGTTCGCAGCATCGACAGCATGATTCAGAATAATATGATTACTGAGTTGCACAGACGAAATAAGAAGGTGGCGCAATGACGACAAGCAAAGGGAACTCGGCGAACGCAGCGAGGATCAGATCATGAATCCTGCGAGTATATCGTCCGCCCATGGTCGACATCCGCGAACCCTTCTGTCGTCGTGGGGTTCATTAGCGCGTCGAGGCCCATCGACGACCTGCTCGCGCGCCTGTCGAGGGGCTGGGGTACCACATACGGCTGATCTTGGATCTCCTGACTCGCCCGAGAAGGCGGCTCGCTGGGCCCGCCAGTCCCCCGTTCGCCATGGACACCGTACTCATGCGGCGGCATCGGCGCCGGTGAGGCAGACGCGGAAGGCGCCAGCGGGACGGGCGGGCGTGCGCGCTGCTGGGGCGGCGGTACGGGAGGGAGAGCGTGCCCGTTCGCATTGCCGTTCATGGTGGGGGGATACTGGTTCATCGGAGGTGCGTGCTGGTAGACATCCTCCCTATACGGGTGCCGCCGCGCGTACGGGTCGTCCTCCGCGCGCTTCGCGCGCCCGTTCGTGGCACGCGAGTGCGCCTGGTGCGAGGAGGTATGGGCTTGATGCCCTTGGTGGGGCGCAGTATGCGCTTGATGGGAAGGCGTATGTATCGGCGTCTGTGCTTGCGAGGGTGGGTGGGATTGGTGGGATTGGTGCGCGGGAGGGTGACCTTGCGCGACGGTTGGGCGCGTTTTCGAGGACGCGTAGCCAGAGGAGATGTATGTGGAGGGGACGTCTGCGGGCGCCTCGGGCGCGATGGCGGGATCTTCATTCATGAGCTCCTTCTCGCGCTGCTCGCTGGCGCGGAGCGCGTCGGTGAGGGCCATGGGCTGGGGGATCGTCTCTACATGGGAATCAAGTATTGTGGACAATTGGAGCCGAGGGCGCGTCGTACCTTGCAAGAAGAAGAGCTCCTGGTATTGTTGTGTTGTTGCGGCTAGGGGACGTGAGGGAATGCACTTTCACGGCATGAGAGGGCGTACGCACCGACATCGTGATAGTTGATCACATTTCGCCGCTCTCCTTGCGCCTCTTCATAGGCTCCCCGCACCAACCGTTTGATGAAGTCTTCCTGCAGAACCGTCAGCGACGCCCGGGGGCACCAAGCGACGTAGCTCACCGTCGCGATCGACAGCACATACGATGCCTCGCGGGACATGCCAACTGTATGCGTTGCTCCTGCGGGATGTTCGTTAGCGACGGAAGTACAAGCGAACAAGGGACGCACCATGGCTTTGTGTTACTCTGTCAACTACGTCTGAGGGGAACAGCGACGTCCCCGGCAGCCTGAACTCCTTTGCTACCTCTGGACTAGAGGGGACTTCCTCTTCCGCATCTGCAAGCTGGTCTACCTCCTCGTTCTCGGACGCCGTCTCCGCGTCGTATGGTTCCTCGGGTGCGGGCGAGGGTTCGCTCAGCACGGTTATATGCGACGCCATGTTCCTGGTGAGTACTTTCTCTGAAGTTTCGCGGACTTTGTGTAACAATCAACGCGCAGCTGCTCGAGAGATTAGTCGTTCGGGAATCGAGCGTCTTTGGCGCGGTGGCGGCGCCTGGGCGGCGCGTCAAAATGACCGGCCCGCGTGGTCCGCATCCCGGCCCTGTCCCCGGAATCTCAACACAATGGCTTCCTATCTTGGCGACTTGTCCTTGTACCCTCATCAGTGACTCGAAAGCTAGCAATGGCCGCCCCCAAGCCCGCTCGCCTGCCTATCATAGACATAGCACCATGGCTGAGCGATGATCCAGCGCAGGCAGATGCGCGCGCGGCTGTCTCCGCCGCCCTGCACTCCGCTTGCGTGAACTACGGCTTCTTCTACCTCGATATCTCGTCCTACGTGCCGAAGGAAGAGCCTGAAGAGCTTACAACTCTCGCACGCGAATTCTTTGCTCTTCCGCAAGAAGAGAAGGAGAAGATAGCGCTGAGGAATGAGGATGGCGCGCGAGGTAAGCTCGACATTTGGCGCCATCGCGATATAACTGAGGCGCCCAATCAGGATACGCGCGCTTGAAGGAGAACGTGACAAATGGCAAGGCAGACAATCATGAGGGCATTGACTTCTACAAGCCCGTCGAGAATCCTGACAAGACGAAGCCACTGTGGGGAGAGAATCAGTGGCCGTCCGTCCCAGGTTTCAAGGAGAAGTACGAGGCTTGGGTGGGGAAGATGAAGGCGCTTGGTATGATTACCATGCACGCGTATGTATCCTTTGAATATATCATACATCGTGGCATATTGACACTGTGCTGCAGCATGGCGGTCGGTCTAGGAATGACCGAAGAAGAGTGGCAAGATCTTCGGGGTCAAGTGGACGACAGCTTCTGGGTCATGCGCGTAATCGGCGAGTGTCATCTCGCCTACTCTTCCAGCAATTACTGACAGGGTCGCACAGGATACCCGCCCCTTCCTAACGACCACGACGGATTTTCGTGCGGTGCCCACAAGTAAATGTTTATCCCACCGTCGAGATTTACCTCTGACTCCTACGCTGCCCGCAGAGACTACGGTTGCCTAACGTAAGTATATTCCTTCACGCGCGTTCTCCCCCGCCGTCGCCTCCCACTCACCTCCACCTCTCACCGTTCGTCCACACAGCTTCCTCTACACAGACCCAACGAAGAAGGCGCTCCAGGTCTTCATGTCCGGCACCAAGCCCGACGATATCCCCGTCGCCGACGAGCTCCGGCCAGAAGACGATGGCGCAGACGGCTTTTGGATCAATGCGGATCCCATACCCGGCTGTGTGGTGTGCAATATTGGCGAGAGTGAGTGGCTGGCCAGGTTGATCTACGCTGAGCCCGGATCTCTACGCCGGACCTGGATGTTTGCGGGGGATGGGACTGATTGACTTTTTATCCAGTGTGGGATATCTGGACGAATGGACTGTATCGTGCGACACTGCATCGCGTCGTGCATCGGGGGAGTAACTATCGGTTCGTGCACTTGTCTTTTCCTTACCCGAACAGTCACTAACCATTGCGCAGCGTATCGTGCGTTCCCAATGAGGTTCCTTCCTCTCCCTTCCTGAAATTGAAGCTTATCTTAGCATCCCATTCTTTTTCGAGCCCAATTTCACAGCGCACGTCCGTCCGCTCGATGCGGCGTTGCGTATACAGAAGGTATGTGCTGCCGTTCCTTCATGCGTTCTCATCCTTGCGCTTGTCATTTCTGCGTTCATTCCCGCGCTCTCGCGCCGTCTGTTTGCATTCTCCGTTCTCAGACCTCTTCCTCGCTGCACTAACCTCCATCGGTCCCTTCACTAACCTCCATCGCTCCCTACCCACTTTCTTCGCGCTAACGCCCTCACAGTCCGGCAAAGACCACGGCGGCGGCACGGGTACCGACAAGAAGCCGGTCGTGTATGGCGACTTCTTGCTCGGAAAGGTCACGAATAACTTTGACAAGTACTAACGGTGCTGGTGTATCAAATGCCGATGTAAACATGTTAAAGTCAGGGAAATGTATTCGCTTGTTCAGAGATATGGGGCCTCGAAGACTGACCCCTGATAGTGGAAATCTTCTGCCCCTCCTTGCTGACGTCAAACAGGCTGATCTTGCCTTTGAGAAGCGTAAGGACAGGGCGTCGGAAATTCGAACATAGTCACGTGCAAGTCTCGGCATTCTCCGAAGGCATGGCACAAGGCTGCAACCCGAGAGCTTTGTAAGTTGCATTGCAGATATACTAGGTCAGCATTACATATGAAAACGGTCTTGTACTCGAGCAATAGAAATATGGTACACAATTGCGTCGCCTGTTCGTTTCATGCATGGAAATACGGACATCATAAACGCAGTTGAGACTCCGTCCGTAATATCACAGCAGCGCTTTCGAGGCTAATCACTTGCAATCCCCAGAGAGATCAGGATACTGCGTCCAGCGCTAATCTAATTCATCCTCGGCACTTTGATTGCTGACAGGTAGTGGCTATAAGGCTCAGACGTTAGCATGGGTGGATACTATCTGTTCGTGTTGGAAACTGACCTCCAGATCGCTTTGTTGCATTGCCGTCAGCTCTGGCCACTCCGGAAGGTCGAAAGCATTGGGAATCTGCCTCCATAAAGCGACACGCCACTCCCTGAAATTCTTGCGAAGCTTCCCAGCGCAATCCCGGCACATGTGATCCACGACTTCAGCGGTGTCAATGACCCAAGTTAGACAGGTCAGCGGTGCATCCTGGAAGCCAACGAGGATATCCTGATTGAAAGAGATGGTGCGCCTCTGGAGGCAGGTTTGCGAAGGCCGAAAAAGCGGGCAGCCAAGGTCATCTACAAAGAGGACGTTGTGTGGAATACTAAGCTTTCGTAGGGATTGAGCGCCTGCAAGGACACGTATGATGTCCTCCTGAGTTAGGCGTCTGTCGCGACCCTCCCAATTCTCGGTAGAGAATAGCTCGTGTGGCGCCCAGGACATGGTCCTATACATCAGGTTGGGGAGAAGCCAGAGGGCTTGTACGTCTCGAGCAAGTGTGATGATAGCCTTGACTTCTGCTATGGCAGAGGCCGAGTCCCGCGGGTACATGGCCTCTGGAGCATAGGCGTAGACGAGCATCTGTTCTGCTATCACGTTGGATTTGCAGAGAAGTTGCAGTGCGGTGCGGCGCAAGATGTGCGCGTCGTACTTGTGGGCTATACGCAAGACACCCTCGATGATAGGAAAGGTGGTAGGCGCAGGATATGGTAGGAAGTATCTAGTAGATAACAAGTTACGTTTGGATTGGTGTTCAGGGTGCAGGTCAAGAACGTACTGCGGTATATAGACGGCCTTGAGGAACTGGCGCACGTCGCGCGGGTCATCGTCACTCAGCGTGACAAGGGCAGCGCCATCGTATGTTTCCCCTGCATCCGGCTTTGAGAGAGCGCTCATATCCCGGAAGAAGGATGAGTGAAGAGAAAGGATGCTGGTATGAACGCGGAAGAGGTGGCGATCGACACGCAGGACAAGGTTGCCATCAGGAAACCAGAGGCTGGGGACCCTTTTGTATCCGTCGCTCATATCGGTAAGGACAGGCCTAGGAGAATCAGGCCGACAACGGTGCACCAGTTCCGTGAGGTCGATACCGTCGGGAAGAAGGGGCATGATGCCGCGTGCGGCAATACGCGCCTTGCGGTGGCGTGGGAGTTCTCCCGGCGAAAGCCGTTATAACTGTCGGTCCGACGGACCGTGCCAATAATTCTCGAAAGGTCCCAAAGTCTTCTCGTCCTGGACTTCCATCGTATCATGCGCGTCCTCTGCTTCGAACGTTTGCCGTATACCTCTTCCAGCGTATGTATGCCGTACGGCAGAACCTCATAGTTGGATATAGAGCACGGTCCGAGGTTGCCTCGACGGACGCCGGCTTCGTCGACCGCGGCCTCATGACCGTGAATGCGAATGATCATCGTCGCGATTATCCAATTTCCTTGCCCAGAGATGTGGACCATCAAGCTACAAAAGGCATGTTCTCTCTTCACTGTAGTGTTCCAGACGTCCCCGCACGACAGCAGCGAGTCCGAGATGTATATCTCGTTCTGGCTGAGCAAGATCTTCTTCACCGACCACCGCGACAAAGCCCACACCATACCAGCCCACACATTCGCGCCCCCGAAGCCCGCTATGAAGTCATCAAGCGGCCTGATTTCGCCTACCCCCTGCTATCACATCGTGCAACACAACATCTCGCCCCGACGCGCGACCACGGGACCCCTCCCTCCGCCTTCGCGGTCCGCCCTGGGCCCGCCGGACCCTGCCTTCGCGCAATGCTTATAAGCCGCGTCGCGCCGCCGCCCCCTCTCCGCATCTCAGGCACCCTTCCCTCGCCACGAAGACCGCCCCGACCATGAGGAGCTCCACCCTCGCGTTTGCCGCGTCCCTCCTTGCGCCTGCACTGGCAGCGCAGTCCGAGATCACCCTCGAAGGATCCCCTTTCCTCCCCGCGGACGCTTCGCACACCCTCGACCGCGCGCTCGGCAGCTTCAGCATCGAGACGGCATTCACGACAACCTTCTTGGGCAACCTTTCTACACCGAACGCCCTCACACGCTCTTTGCTGGAGGGCCTCGCTCAGCGCACGGGAGTCCCTGCGGAGATTCGATTCGGGGGTATCACGGCGGATTCGACGTATTGGAACCCCGACTTGGAGGACGAGATATACAACTACTACGACGATGAAGGAACACTGTACAATACAACCATCGGACCGAAGTACTTCCAACTGTTGACTACGCTGCTGCCAGCAGGGACGAAGATCATCGTAAACTTGGTGCGTCCAGGATCATGACATGAGACGAACAATTCGAACTGACTACATATAGAATTTGCAAGATATGGATACTGAGGGGGCCTTGGCGGTCGCCGCGGGTGCTTTGCAGGGCATCCCGGAACCGCAGCTCTTCGCCTTCGAGAGTAAGTGATCTGCACATGTGTTACATACTTTTCGTCCGCTAACGCATGCTGCAGTCGGCAACGAGCCCGACCACTATCTCAACTTCACTCCAGAGAATTATACCGCCATCTGGAAGGTTAGCATATCCGTACTTCCTCGCCATTCCCCTGGCTCGTCGTGTCTTTTCTTGTTGTCGCCAATATCTTCCTCTCGTCGTCGCTCACTTTTTTTCTTGTCGTCGCTTACTTCTTTTCTTGTCGTCGCTAACATGTTCCTACCTCAACAGAACATGGCTCAAAACATCACCGCCGACCTCGGGCTCGAGTCGCCCATGTTCCAGCTCGGCGCGACCGCGGAGGACCCACTGTGGCCGTACGACACACCCCAGGCGAAGGGGCAGCTCGACTGCGCGAGCGCGCTCGCGGCGGGGGCGAATGAGGGCGGCGTTGTGAAGACGTGCAGCGAGCATACGTATCAGTATAGTGTGAGTGTTTTCTCCTATATTATTGTGATCTTGCGAACTGGTTCTGTCACCGTGCGGGAAGTACGATGCTAACGGCTTCCATAGGTCTGCGACCCCAAACGTGCCGCGGTGGCGACGTTGCCGAACTTGGTGAACCATACGCGACTGGCTATGTGAGTGACGCTTGGATGTGAGCGAGCGAACGGGAGCTCATATGACCTTCAGGTACCTCGACCTCTGGCAGCCGCGCATCAAGACCGTGCGAGAAGCTTTGGGACCGGATACGTTTTACATCGGTCAGTCGTCCATGTAGATTCTCAAGTACACCAGAGGTTGACGAGCTTTACAGGCGAATACAGCTCCGTGTCCTGCTCCGGGCACGCGAATGTATCTGACACCTTCGGGCAAGCGATGTGGCTGGTACGACAGTACCTACCTTCATGTCCTAACCCTTTCGCTCACATATGCTCCAGCTCGACACCACCCTCTACGCCGCCTCCATCAACGTCACCAAGCTCTTCACGCATCAGGGCGGCCCCCTCGCCCTCCAGTCCTCCTCCCAGCTCAACCACGGCGGCCTCAGCCTCTACGACATGTGGTACCCCGTCGAGAACGTGAACGGCCCGGTCAAGGTCTTCCCCTCGTACGCGGCATACCTTTTCGTCGCGGAGATGCTCGGCACTTCGGGCGATCTGCAGATCGCCAACCTGTACCCCGGCCGCCAGGAGAACGGCTCGACGATCACGCCGGCGCTGGGCGATACCAGCAAGGGACAGATCAGCGTCTATGGCCTTTGGGATGAGGCGCAGCCAGTGTACCCGTCGAAGTTTGCGGTGTTGAATTTGGAGATTTATAATGTGACGCAGGTGAGTGTCGTTGACAAGGTGTTCGTGCGCGAGGCTGACGAGGTGTTTCTCCAGGCTGAGGCCGGTGAGGCGCGTCCGAATGCGACGGTCGACTTGTCAGCGTACTTGCCCGAGGGCGAGACGACGCTGCGCGTGCGCAGGATGCAGGCGCCGGGCGCGGACGTGAAAGAGGGCAGCGTGACGCAGTGGGCGGGGCAGACGTACGGAGAGGGCGTCGCGGCGGGCGACCTTGTCGAGGAGACCATCTCGGGAAAGAACATCACGGTGGAGGCGTCGGGGGCGGCGTTGATCTTCGTCGAAGCCTCTGCATAGGTGAAAGGGAAGTCAACTCGTGGACCTTGGGTCTGAATGTATTCTATCCTCTGAAACTGCTTTCTCGATGTATTGACCTGAACCATCGAAGTCACCATCGGACGTTTGCATCCTCCTTCCGTCCTGCCGTTGGACATGGGCGCTCGTCGTTTTCGGGCACACCTGGAGTTGTCATCTATTGGGCTGACTGTTGCCGCTGTCCGTAAGCTATTGATCCACATTGTCCTCATCCCGCAACCTGTCATCCGCCGCTGCCTCTCCTTTGACTTGTCCGCTCTACTCGCTCGATCTCCCCCTGGTTTTCTCGAGCTGTCGAGAAGATGAGCTCATGCGGTCAGTCAGCCACAGAGAACGCTGACGAAGGCATGAGGGAACACATATAAGCCGACGCTGAACGCCCTTCTGACATCACTGAACGAGTTCACTGCATACATAACCTCCTGTCGAAGTCTACACCTCTTTCAACCCTCTCGAACTCAACGACAATGGCGACGAAGACGATCTTCATCAACGGCGTGACTGGTGAGCAGGACTGATTGCCATCAGTGGGTGTGTTCAGCGCGCTCATCATCACCACCATGACCAGGCTACATTGGCGGCACTGTGCTCGCAAACTTGCTCAGGCGTCCGGATATCTCGTCGTACAAGATCAGGGCGCTTGTGCGCAACAAGGAGAAGGCGGGAAAGCTGAAGGAGCTGGGCATCGAGCCTGTAATCGGCGAGCTCGATGATGTCGACATCATTGAGAAGGAGGCTAGTGAGGCGGACGTGGTAATTGCTACGGTGCGCGGCGCGTCTTCACTAGCGGGTATCTGTGTACTGACAGACGTGTAGGCCAACTGCGACCACGAGCCCTCCGCACATGCCATTCTGCGCGGCGCGAAGAAGCGCTTCGAGACGACTGGCAAACGCCCCGTCTTCATCAACACCGTACGCCCACCCCGCCTTTCCCCACATCCCTCCACTAACACGCACCCAGTCCGGAACCGGCGTCCTCTCCGACAACGCGCGCGGCCTCACGACCACCGACACCATCTACGACGACTCCAACGTCGAGCAGATGGCTTCCATCCCCCTCACCCAGATCCACCGCCCCGTCGACGTCGCGATCGTCGATGCCGACACCGCGGGCTACGTCTACACCTACATCATCCTCCCCTCCACCATCTACGGCTGGGCGAAGCACGACCTGGTCGACCGCGGGATCGCGAACTACCGCTCGGTGCAGGTGCCCGTGCTCGCGGCGGCGTCGCTCGAGCGCCGCCGCGCGGGGATGGTGGGGAAGGGCGTGAGCCTCTGGCCGAGCGTGGAGATTCACGAGCTGGGCGACTTGTACAACATCATCTTCGAGAAGGCGACGAAGGACCCGGAGAGCTTGGGCCACGGCAAGAATGGGTACTACTTTGGTGCGAGCGACGAGCACTCGTGGTACGAGATCAGCAAGGCCATTGGCGAGGCGCTGGTCAAGCTTGGCCGCGCGGACGACCCGGAGCCCACATCCTTCACCAAAGAGGAGCTCGACAAGTACTTTGCGGTAAGTGAACTGGAGTGCAGGTCTTCGTTCCAGGAAGCTCACGAGGTCTTTAGGGTTCTGAGTACTGGGGATCCAACTCGCGCGCCCGGGCCAATCACTCGAAGTCCTTGGGGTGGAACCCGAAGAAGACGACGACGGACCTGTTGGCGAGCATCGAGCAGGAAGTGCGCGGCTGCATCGAGAAGCCGTTCAAGGTGCCCGCTGGTAAGGAGTACCCTACCCATTAGACTTGTACGCGTACAGGCAGCATAAATGTACTTGTAGCCGACGAATTTGAAGCTGAAGCCTTGGAGATGATTATCAAGCGGAGGTTCGCGTATACAACAGCAACCATATTCCGGTTCAGACGCAGAACATACAGAGTACACAAGATCAACTTATTCCAAGGTCGTATGCGCAGCCCTACAAGAACACCAGACATCATACCAAGATCGCAGCCGCAATGTCCTGGACAAGTCCAACTCTGAGTCAAATACAATCTCCGCCGCACATACGCTCGCGCACCCCTCACCATCGCATGCTCACCAGTGGTACACTTTCAAGACTCTGCTAGCTTGGTAAGTACAGTTAAGGGAGTTTGATGCGGCAGCACTCACCATTCGCAGGCCCATTCAGAACTCGTCGCTGCCGACCTCATTACCATATAGCATCTGCCCGATGTGCGTGAGGAGGAATCCCTGCCCCTTGCGACGAAGGTCCATGAGCGCTCGGAGCACCGCGCTCGGGCTCTTTTCGAACAGGCAGGCCACAACGCCCAGCGCCGCACGGTCAGCCGGCTGCGACACGAACCCGTCCACACCGACCTTGCCCTTCAGCGCGTCGGGGATCTCTCCAAGATAGAGCCCGAGGAGCTGGCACACCTCTCGGTACGCGGCCTCATTCCGCAGGAAGAGATTGCCGGCGAAGAAGTTGAGCTCGTGTATCGTCGCATTGGTGGGCGGCAAGCAGGACGTCGCAGCCGGCGACGGCGTGATGAGGAAGGTCAAGTCGTCGAACGCGCGCGTGTTGCGCGAGACTCGCGGGGCGTAGAGATGTAAGCGTACGTCAGGCGATTGACGGATGTTCGAGATGATCTCGTTCGCTTCGAAGGGGCTGACGAGCAGGAGCACGTCAGGAAAGTTCCTCGTCGAGATGATCCACTGCACAGGGCGTATGAAGCCATCCTTCTGGTTGTGCGCCGCGGGTGACAGCACGATCGTCTCTACGAAGTCTTTCGTCGCAAGGATATGCCGGCCTTTCTGGAAGAACCTGGTTGACGTGCTACGAATGGCATTGTAGACTGAGGTGACGGCAAGGCAGTCGTGCAAAGTGCTGAAGCGAAGGAACGTCGAGGTCCCGGTCTTGACAAGGGACTTGAGTGCTGGATCAACGGCATGCGGCTTCGGCTTCGCTGGAGGGGCGCGCTGGACCTCGCGCTCCGTCTCCTTCTCGTGGGCAAGTTCGCGCTCCTGCTCTTCCAGCAGGCGGCTGCTGCGCGACACCGCGAATCCGAACTCTTCGCAGCGACGGTATATTTCGCGTTGACGTGCAGTCTGTTGCCCCATGTCTGCAGAGCTTGGCGTGACATCGCGCGGCCCATAAAGCTCCTTGAGCGGGTGCGCTTCGGGCTCGCGCAGCACACGAGCAAGTGCAGCGTGATTCACACGACCACTGGCCTCAAAAGCCTCCCATCCCGACTGACGAGCGTCGAAGTTAAGACCCTGGTTTGCCCACAGTGCGCCGCTTTCCGTCGTCTGCCGTATGGTCTCATGTATCGTCCATATGAGAACGTCAGAGGACTCCAGCTGTGCCTTCTCTTCGCGTATACAGTCCCTGATACGACCTTGGATCTCGCTGGAAGCCAGGAAAAGGACCGAGTGGCCATCGGAGCGGCCCAGCTTTCTCATCCTCATACAGCCTACGTGAACTATTAGCGAAGCATCTTCCTCGTTGTGTTGCGACTCACCCTGCATGAGCTTATCCTTTGTCAGCTTCGGTCCAAGTGTCACCAACGCTCGCGTCCCCTCCGGAAGCTTGAGGTCCGTGCCCCGTGTATGTGCCTCGTCTAGGTAAACGAGCGTCTTGCCCAACTGATCGCGATAGAAGGATCTCCGCAATTCCTCTACACGCCCGTCCCTCGTGCGCACGTACAACTCATCGTCAACACCGAAGTAGATGGCAGCCTCTATGCTGGGCCTGGTGTCCTTCTCAAGCCAACGACGAGCCATGTCCTCGTTCTCCAGCTCTAGCACTTGCGCGCCGACATCCAAGATCACGGATACTGCAGGGGTGCAGGTGACGACCTCCGCAATGATGCCGACGGCGTCGCAGTCCTTGCAAAGAACAGTCCGATTCTCTGGGCGAAGGACGTGATCGAGGACCAGAGCATTCGTGTGCAGCTGAGACGGGATATCTTCCTGCACGATGGAGGTCGGCAGGAGGTACTTGTTGTCGTTCGTGCCACTGAACCCTGAGGTAGGACGGCCTTTGCGGCGAGCAAGATCCCAAGGATTGGTAGTCAACTTGTGCTCGAACTGCCGAGCCTCCTTTGGAAAGACGCATTCGGATAGGTAGAAGTCGACGACAGACTTGACGCGTCGGAGGCTCGGGTACACCACACTGCAGCGCTGGTTGGCGTCCTTCAAGTTGATGCCCTTCAGTGTCTGTAGGCTAGGCGGAAGATCGAGGTCTCTGATCCAGTCGTTGTAACGCAATGCAGGGTTGTCCGTCTTAAGAAGCCGGTCGAAGGACGTGTCGAGCTCGTCGTCTGATAGTCCGCCGTAATAGTAGGATAGTGAGGTGAGCGTCAGGATAACGTCGGGATGTCCGAATTCGGCTCTTAATGCGGGGGAGTCTTTCGCGCGATACGGGACAGCCAGTCGCGATCGGCTCAAGTCCAGCCCGTAATCCACCCGCCAGCGTTTCTCCTTGAAGGCAAGCTTCAGTATGCCATGCGCGAACAGACCTCGTAAGAGTAGGAGATGGGGGTACGAATCGCCGCAATACGCCTCGAGATCTTGCGCCGCCTCGAAGTCCACGTCAAGGACGGAGATGAACTCGCGGACCGAGTCAATGCGCCTGGCGGGGTAGCTTCGGAAAGGCAGGAGGGCTATGGCATTTCGATGGACGATCTCGTCAACACATAATGCGGCCAGTTCGTTGTAAGCCGTATCTGTGAGTATGCGAATACGACGGAAGTGTTGAACCGAGTCGTGGCCGGCCTCGACCTGGATGTCAGCCGGATGCGTGCGTAGAACTTCTACGGCGTTGGTATTGACCAGGCCCAGCACCTGTTGGAGCAGAAGCCATCGCTCCGGGTGGCCCTCTAGAGGACCAGGGCTTCCCATGGTGTATATGAGCTGGTACTTGTGGCTCAGAATCTCGTCGCTCTCGTCGAGGATGAACCGAGAGCGATCAGTCAACCATTGCTGGATTCGCAGTAGTGATTGCGTGTCGGTGTGGTCTCCGTGAGTGCAGAGCATGCTACTACCCATCAACTGGAAGGATAGGAGGTGTTCTGGCTGGCAAAGGAGAACTCCGCCGGACTGGGCGCAGTCTTCGAACATGCGTCCAATGGTCCTGATATCGTCGGCAGCTATCGGCGTATCGCGACTGAATGGAAGGTAATAGAGTCGACGATTGGCGAGACCACAGACGCGCTGGCCGAGCAGGTGGAACATTTGAGAACATAGCGGCTTAAGAACGACAACGCAGGCAAGATCTTCGCCGTTGGCACATGCTGCAGCGGTGATGGGTATGATGATCTGTATGCATGGTATCAGTTGCCCTCGACAATATACACAGGACAGCTAGGGAACCCACCGACGATTTCCCTTCGCCCATGTTGAGCTGCATGACCCTGTTTTGAACACTCATCATACACCGGGCTATCTCAGCCTGCACCGCGCGGATCGTCACGTTACTATCCAATTGTACGAGAAGCCAGTCTGGATTCTCGTCCGCATCGTAGCCTTGGCCCACAATCGTGGCTATTTCCCTATCCAGATCGGCGCCCTGCAGGACATCCAGCCGTCGTTCTCTTTGTCGTTGGACTAGTGTCTTGGCAAATAGTATCAACGCCGTCTTCCACGAGCGACTCGCAAGCTTGTGACGGAGTGGGAGGGCGAGGTACGCCAACAGGCTACGAACGCCCAGACTTGGCCAGTTCCCAATCTCATATAGCGCCGATTCGAATGGGTTCATGGCCTTTAAGGCATCGACCATATTTTCATGAGGCAGTGTCGCAACCTCTTGTATGGAGTACGAGAGCGCCGTGGTGCTGGAAGAGGGCAACCGAGCCATCGCGTCAGCACACGCAGAGAGGTCTCGCTTGTACTGCGCCCCGAAGCCATCTTCAGGCGCGAGACGGGAGAGAAGCGTGGAGACGGTCAGGGAATGGCACGGAACGTGGGGCGAATTCGACTGCCCGGCGGACTTGTCGACTATCCGCACGCGAACCTTCATTGTTGCCTCCGGGGGTGCATTTCTCGTCGCCATCAGAGACAGGAGATTGGGAGGGTCGTACGCCGGCCTTGGCTTGGTGACGGATGAAAGCGTAGGTATAGGAAGAAGCGCTGGTAGAGCACGTTTGCGGCGGACGCGGTCGAGGATGGCTTGCACGATGGAGGCGTGACGATGAAGTCGACGATTCCGATCCATCGATTCGAACAACGCATTAACCCTGGATGATAGCTTGGAGACCTTCACCAGAGGGTAATTTGCTGTGAGGAGGCGAGACCAGTCCGGTTTGGAGCACGGCCACTGGCCACTAAGCTCCCGGACAATGACCTTTGTCTGTTGCGTGAGGTTTTCGTCGTATGCGCGCTTACACCGCTTCTTGTGCGCCTTCGGGCCCTCGCCAACCAACTTGGTGATGCGATACTCGGAAGACTGGTTGAACGGGACACTTTGCTGGTCGATGAGATCCTCAAGCTTCTTCGCGCTTGCCGCCGACACCTCCCATCCATCACTGAGAGTGATAGGGCATAGGGGGAGACTCGAATTTGCCGTTACAAGATCTGGGCCTTCGTTGGGTTGATGGACAGCGAGGCTCAGGACAGAATGTATCAAGTCATCTGCCAGACCCTTCCCATACATCACAAAAGCGAGAGTGAACGCAAGGGAGAATCTGCAGGGCGGATCCCGCGCAGAGGTGCATCGTGCGTACAAGGTGAACCAGATCTCCGCCGATGAGAAGGCCGAGAGCAGACATGGTCGAGAAAGCGGGAAGTCGCTGGGTGTCGTCGAAAACGAAGACCATTTCGTGAAACGCCGCCAAAGCAGCGTAGTAGTGTCGACGTTCGTATCCCATGTGTGTGAGTGGAAGGCAATGCTTTGCACTTGCAACAGACGGCTCTTCTCAGCTTTGTTGTCCAGAATGTACGCAGTATCCACTGGATGTACACCTTGAATGGACAGGTGAGGCGACGTTAAACAAAACCAGGCTTAACATCGACTGGGAAACTCACTTCTGTCAGCGTATTGCTCCATGTCCGTTGTGTAGGGCGATAGTCGCGCGTTCCGATTGTGCGCTCGCTGTCGCAGATGCTCTGCGCCATTGTATATCGGCGCAGTTCCATTGGACCCGTCAGAAGGCCCGTCGAAGACGGACCTCTGCTCGGCGAACGACACGATCTCCGCGACGAGCGGAGCAAAGAGGTCGCTCTGCGTAAGCGGGGACAGAGATGCGTGCCAATTCGTCGTCTCCATGACCTTGAGATGCTTGGGGTAGAAGTGTCGGACAGGAGTCAAAGCCGCAATTTGAGCTAGTAAGCTCATTTCCGCGGGAGATAAGGCAGTGAACGCAAATGACGACGCGGACTGCAACATCCTTATCGCCCTGTCCACCCCACGCTCGTCCGTGAGAGGGTCACGTTGATGCGACGACGACAGGGCGTGGAGGTAGACCAGCATCAGCCAGCTGTCCAGCCCCCCATCAGGCTTGATTTGGCCGACCGACAGGTCTACATCGAATACATGTGTTCGAATATGCGCGGCGGGATCAGCAATCGGGTGAACGGTAATGCGAGGATGACACAGCTGGGACTCGACGGTGATGCTACCAGTCGGGAGCAAGAGCCGTTTGCTAGAGCGTTTGCGGTCCTCAAGCACGAGTTTTTCGACGCCGTAGAGCGCTCCGATATCACGTGAAGTAGACACGGTGCAGCCCGGAAACTCTTGAGAGGCCAGGCATCCTTTTTCATCGAAATAGAACTCGAGCTTGTATCGTGGCAGATGGGCGATTACTCTTTGATTCTGCCCTTCAATCCCGGTCGTCGTCACGACGATGTTCAGAGACGAGCTCTCGAGCGACACCAAAGCGTCACCGAGACGGGCGACCAGCGCACTGTGCGGGCACAGTCCTTGGCGCGTTTGCACGGTGGCAGAGACGAGCTGAGGAGACGTAGCCACACCATATAGCGTCCATGTCGCGGAAGCACACGGGTTCCATCCGATCTTGCTTCTTGGTGTGAAGTCAAGCTGGTTCGTGTCCGTGCGATAGAGGGCGATGCAATCGACGAGGATTATGTTGGGGATGTCGCCCTCGAGTTTGCTTCGGGGGACGAACTCTGACACGGCGTCGTCTTGGTCGCGAACTCGAATGACCAGATCAGACCCCACAGCAAGGAAATGCACCTAAAGAGACCTGAGTTTACCGTAGACGAAAGACGAGGCGATGTACTGCGCTTACCTCGTGTCCTTCGATTGTATACTGCGATTGGTATGTCATACCCGCCATAGTCGATGGTAGGATTTGCATTTGATACTGCCGGGTGAACGATGATTAAGACGCATCATTCGAAGAAAAGGATGCAATACATACCCGAGCTGGGAACACCTCTTGATACAATGAATGCTGCAGGATGCTCTGTGGTAGTGCTTGGAAGGAGGCGCCGTCCACGTAGATAGAGCCATCGAGGAGGTTGACGTGCACGACTCGCGATTGCATGCCCTGATTAGTCGATGTGCGACAAGTCACCCATGGGGTACCAGCAACGGGATGCCAAGTCGTGTTCGTGAGCCTTGCAAACCCAGGCCATGTCTTTCGTATAGCGTCGTCGATGCCGGTATTGTCATCCTCGATTGCGGCCTTGAGAGCACGAAGCAGAGCACGAGACGAAAGGAGGTCGTTCTGGACGAGGGCACGCAAGGAGCTGGGTAATTGAGACAGCCTGGGAGGCACTTGCTGATGCAGGACGAGAGCGCATTCGAGGTAGTCGGACACGGCGTCGGCGTTGTCGAAAACGGCGTCTTGTATGAAATAGGTGTCACGGGCAGCGACGCAGACTTGAATGAGCCGATGGCACAGGGCGTTCCTCGTGTCGCTGGACGTGTCGGGCCCTGCTTCACGCAAGACTACGGAGATCTCCCGAATCCAGTTCATGCAAACGCGCCGCAGGTCTGTGCGTAAGAACGTCCTCATCTGGCTCCGCACTGACGCTGCGCCCGTCGCGACCTCCGGTAACAACTCGTACACACGATTGCCCACCAACGACAAGGTTGATGCGGCCCACGCCCCCTCCCAATTCTCTGCGCATGCTGAGCAATGACGGCGAAGAACATCCAGCGCCTGCCGAGCGAACTCCCCGCACGAAGGGGCGACATGAGCCTCGCGCGCGTATGCATGGGTTGGCGTGGCTTTCTCGGCCTGAAGCATTGCCTGCCGAATGAGGGTATGCACGGCTGGCTCCGCGAGCTTCAACGCCTCCATCTCGATCGCGAGGACAACGTTGTGCCACTGCAATCGGAGACCCGCACGAAGCTGTCCGAACGCTGCCCATTCGTGAAGCGAGAGCTGATTATCGCATTCGGATTGTCTCGCGATGACCATGTTCGGTGTATGGGTCGTGTGAGACAAGGTCCAATTCAGAGACTGGTATGCTCCGGTCAAGGGAGAGGGCGTGCAGTGACTGCGTAGATCCATTGCGGGCATAGGCGAAGGGAGATATCTGCCAACCGAACGCTCGTAAGGCCACCATCGAGGTCCATGATTCTTCAGAACGCTGTCCTCGCTGCAGGGCAGGGTGCATGTGTTGTAGTGGGCGATGAGAAAGGACTTGTGGTCGGACGCAAGGGTGATGTGATGATCTACCTGTCCCGCGGCGCGACCAAACATGGAGCGTTGCATGTCCGTGTATTTGTCGAGAGCGTGATGCGCCTCGCGCTTCTCTACGACGAGGTCCGACGCGAATGCCATGATCAAGTTGAAAGTCGCTGATCGCCAGATGGAGAACATCTTTGGGACCTTCAGTTCGAAGACCAGAGCGTCTGCGAGATGCGTATCTGCCGGCAAAGGCTCCTCAAAGACGGTGATGTGAAGGTTCTTGGCTTGTTTCTCCAAGCTACACTTCTCGCACCCGCCCGAGTGTTGCCTACACTCTTCACCCCAGTAGTCAATGGTCACAGTGTATTGACAAGCCATGCCCTCGGCCTGAGCCAGCAGGGATAGACGTTGTTCCTCCAGAGATGCGAGCTCTGCTCGTTTCTGCTGTCGCTTGGACCTCGCCGCGTCCTCGATGTCGGCGCGTAGACGACAGAGTTCGACGTTGTCCCGCGCGAAGCGGGCGGCAAAGGAATTCACGCAGTTGGTCCAAGGGTTAAGATGGAATGGCGACCCGTACGAGGCACAGGACATCCTGGTCGATAAGTATTGTTCGATGCGCGACAACCGCTCCATCGACGACCGATCACGAAGCAAGAGGGCCTCGAAGGATTCGATCGTGATATCCGGGCGGTACTGAGCAAGCAGAGGGATAGCCTCCGTCGCCGCCTGGTCCAAAACAACCCAAAGATCCAGAACGTTGAGGAACGCGGTGGAGAAGAGCTCCGGGTTGGCGTCGCCTCCTGAGACGCCGAACCGACTGAGTGAGGCCAGCCCGCATTCCAACAAGCCCTTGACGACGTCCCCCCGGGTCTTTGGGCTCGAGGAATGCATCCATTGCGAGAAGCGGCTGGAATTCAGCCACGTAGAGACGTCGTGGATAGCTTCCAGTACGCTTTCTAATGAGGCAGACGCGTCGAAGGTCTCTGGCGGCGAAGATCCATTGGCGCGCCAGGATCTGGGCAAAGCGGCTTCGAACGAGCTCGCATTGAAAATACTGCATGATCGCTGTAGACCCTCATCGCGCGAGATGACCTCTTGGATGTAGGCGCGATTGCACTGCAGCGAGAATGTCTTGCCCTCTCTGACCTCCTGCCCAGAGGGCGGTGCGAGACGCTTCGGCTGCGCCTCTGCTCGCTGCAGTTCCTGCCACCGGCCCTCCAGAAGCTGCGCGATGTTTCGGCTCTGATTGCAGACATAGTCGATGGGGAAGACGTCGGCGGACACGGTGTGGCGAAGCTTGTATATGCGCTGAGCGACTTTGGCGTTCATGACGTATAGCAGGTCGTCCACTACCGTGCCAGCCATCGCCGCCTCGCGTAGCGTTCGACAGAGGAGGAACGTCATGAAGGCCTTGTAGCCGTACTGTGCAGGTACGTCGACAAGTGCGGTCTGCATCGCGACCTTCAGCACGAGGAGCAGCGGTGAACGTCGCCAAGGGAGCTTCGCGCTGGACCAGAGCACATGATCACCCAAGCGCTTCGTGACATAGTCGGTGTGTGACAGGCGTTCGTCGGGTTGGTCCCCCGAGAAACTGCGCACGACTGTCGACAGGAACTCGGTAACGTAGTGTGGGTAAGCCGACTCGCGATATTCGGCCTGCTTGTTGCCCGCCTTCTTGGTCTGCGCGATGGCGTCCGGGAATTCCAGGGTGTGCATTTCCGCAACGTAGCTGCATAAAACCCTGGCGAGATCGGGGTTCGCTGGGAGTGGCAAGCGAGGATGGGCTGGAAACCTGGCGACGACCTTGCCGACGGTCTGCATGACCTTGGCAGTAGGAAGAGACGCGAAGAAAGACTCGTAGGTCAGCCCTACGTCATCCTTCCGCAGAATGACAGCCGCGTTTTGTGCACCAACGTGTATAGGTAAGGAGTCTGGAGACACGACTTGAGCATCACACGGCTATGAGCATGCAGACATGCAACGTACCGCCAGGGGACATGCTGTTGACGATTGTTGCAAGCAGTTGAGCGTCCATCGACGCTCCCTCTCCTTGATTGACGCGTCCGGCGTTCTTGAGCATCCGCACGATGCGGATCCAGCTATGAACAGCGACGGGCTCGACATCCTCGACATCTTGAAGCGCCGAGAGGAATTCCTGAGCGCAGGCGAGGAAGTTGGAGATGAGATTGCGATCTCTTTTGGGGGACCGGTCGTCTTTCTGCGGTAATTTGGGTGGCAGAAATAAGTGGTGAATTCTGTAGTGTATGTCGTCTGCGCCGGGCTCGATGCTCATCCTGTAGTGAAAGGGTAAACGTCAGGAGAAGCTCCCTGCAATGCTGGACACGAACTTGCCTTGTACACGAAGAAAGGCGGGAAGAGAGAGATGGCGGTTAAGGACAAAGGACGCACTTCGGGGCACGTTGCAGTCACACCCTTTCAGACATCGATAGCGGAAGAAACGTACTATTAGAAAGCAAGCCAGTGCACACATCCGATAGGCGCGCGCTTGTTTGCGGTTCTATTGCGCCTGCGCGACTTCCTCCTTGCACACAACGGCATTCTCCGAGTCCAGAGTTCTTCCTTATCCTAGTATCTCCTGAAGTCAGCGTATGATGCGCACTGCGTATGGAGATATTTCACCTCGCAAGCCGAGGACAGTTCTTCTAGTAATGCCAACGATTGTTTGCGCCTTGACGGACGCGTGTGTCGTTGAATGTCAGGTGCACGGTGCAACCAAAGGTTTTCGACACAATGTGGTTTATCAGGAGAAATTGGACTTCGTTGGTATGAGGGCGCTACTTTGCAGAAGCAACTCATTGCACTTTGGACCGGCGACATGGTTGCCACTCTTCCGCAGGAGCTGTTCGTAAGTAGATGATTGACCGTGATGGCGGATGCGAACTTCGGGAATCGTTTATTGTTTAGGCACGACTGCTGGACAAAACATGGACCCACAAGCACCCATCATCAACTTCCGAGGCGAGGACGGTATGAACTGTCTAAGAGACGACTCGACATATGTTTTCACCTATGCGCAACCTCCTCCAGCACAAGTCGCTTCTCGAAGTTACGAACTAAGAAGCAGGGCTGACCCTTGGATGCAGATGGGACGGTGTATGGTATCGAGCTCAAAGCTTAACTAATATGCAGTACCTACGTCCGAGCCCGATGTCCGCATGAACGACTCCTGTAATGGTACTGTCCGACCAAGCAAGAGCTTTCCGTTGACATACCGAGCGCTGCTAGGAGGTTTCCACCTCGGAATCCCGCTCTCGTCGTACTGATCCACAGGGAGTACGCAAGGCAGCTCATCGTCGGTGTCCGTGTCGCTCCCCGTCTCGTACCCTCCATCCGACGAGCCATACAGATCGCGGGCATGCAGGACGTGGCCCGGAATGAGTGCTTCCCGCTCGTCATCATCGTCGACCACCTCAACATCGACATCTTCGTCATCGAGAGCCAAGGGCTCAGTTGGACTTCGCGTGTCGTCGACCTCATCTACTACCACGTTGATCAGCTCGTCTTCGCTGTCGCTCTCCGACGGCGAGCACGGCCGGGGAGGCGATCGGTCTGGTGTCGGTGGTGGACGACCGCGAGCGAAGGCGTTATGTCTTTTCGAAGTCTGCCAGGGTGCGGGAGGGATAACAACCTCTGGTATGAGGCGGCTTGTTGGAGGTTGTCGCCGTTGTACGGCGACTGCCTGCGGGAACACGTCTGGCGCACTTCGCGACAACCTCAGTGATCGGCGCTGCCCGCTATTCGAAATCGGCGATGGCGGCGGCGAGGCTGGCGAAGGCGGTGGCCTGGCAGGGATGCGCACAGTGAGTTTCCTTGAGTCCGGTGCCTTGTTCGTTTTGCTCGAGGTCCTGGATCTCCTGGCGCTCGGCGTCACCTTCGTGTCCTGCCTCGCGTACTTGGGAGTCTTTGGCGGTGTGGGCAGCGCGTCCACCCGCCTCCGCTTCGCAGGCGTCGCCGATTGCGCCCTCGCCTTCCGCTTCACGCCCTTCTTGCACACCGCCATCCCCTCCCTCTGCCGTGCCTCCTCCTTCGCCATCCTCTTCTCCGCCCTCGCCGCCTTTCGCCTGACCTCCTCATCCAGCTGCCTCTGCACCTCGCCCGCGAATGACTGCGCGTCCCCATTCACCCACACGTCAAACACATCTCCCCACTCCCTCGCCGGAACCGGAAAGTCGAGATTCAAGTACACCGATGTGATGGGCGAGTCCGCGCCCGGCGTGCCCCGCGGCGACGGCAGCGGCTCAACGCCCGCCGCCACGCGCACCGCCTTCGCGAACTCGCGCACGATGCGCTTCGTACCCGGCACGCGCAGGCTCGTCCCCGCAACCAGCAGCAGGTCCGGCCCGCTGCGATGCGTCAGGTCGCGCCGCACAACATCCCCGACGCCCTCCGCGTCCGCATGTGCCTCGCCGTAGAGCACGACGGACGGGCGGAGCTTGCCGATCGCGCGCGCGCGCTTGCCCTCCGCGGCGCGCACCACGGCGGTGTCGGAGCAGGAGGGGCAGAGCGGGGGCGCGCCGGCCGCGAGGGAGGGGAGGTAGTCCGTGAGCGCGCAAGAGTACGTGCAGGTCATGCAGTAAAGGCGCGTGAGGGTGCCATGGAGGGGAACGCAGCGGGGCGGGTCGAGGGAGGTGTGGCGGCTGACGGCGGGGGTTGTGCGCGACTTGTGCCGCCGGTCGTCGAAGGCGGGTACGCCGAAGGAGAGGCCCGACTTGGCTTCGATAGCGTCGATATTCTGGGTATACACTCGCAAGAGCTTTCCGCTGTCGTCTAGCGCGCGGAGGAGTTGGTGAAATGGTGTGGGGGATGCAGCGGTGGACATGTCGGACAGCTGAGCGATCATCTGGCAGAACAAAGCAGTCATTTGCTCGGACTACAAGACGTCGGTGATGAGTACATTCGTTGGCTAAGGAAAGCACAAACAACGCACATTAAAAACAGAAGCGTCGAACAGATCCTTCCCCGAAGATAGGTTCTCTTTCGGATGATCTCGCTTCAAGGTCTGGAAGAGGCCAGCAGGAGAACGGAAGTCAGGGATGCCGGCGTCCACGGATATTCCAGCGCCTGTGACCCCTGTTATCAGCGCTTCAAGCACCCCCCACAGCAGCGCATATCTCACCACAGACAACGATGATGCGCTTCGCCTTCATTATGGCCTTGACGACGCCAGAAACCGCGGTTTCATGGTCGGCAGGTTCTCGCAAGAACGATGGCGACGGGGGAAGCGCTTTCTGCTCGCCTAGAGGAACGTAGAGAGTCATCCAGGCGTAGGTTGAGGCGACAAGTGCGCCCCGCGACTCTCCAGTGATACAAACGAGATTCGGAGCGGAAGATGGGGAGAAAGTTTGGGTCAAGAACCGATGAGTGCGCGAAACGATTACGCCACATATTCTGGAGCGGGCCGCGAATTGCCGAGATGTTCGATTTCTAAAAGTTGCAAGTCCCGCATTCGATGTTGTGTCTTCCTTCAAGGGCTCTGTGCAGCCAGAGGCAAGCATTGAACATCACCGGACGCAAGAGTACGCTTACGAGCCATCGCAACCTCGCTTGCTACGCCGCACAGGCGTGTCCGCCTCGCACAGACCATGAACTAGATCAGTCTCTTGTATTGCGGACCATACAAGGCCTCATCACCTGTCACTGCCTATCTCGGGTTTGATATACACTGCATTTCCTCCTCTCGCGTTTCCAATGGTGACAAGAGGGTGGACGGCAGAAGAGTACTCATACAACACGATATTATACGCTCGACGACCTTTCATTTGCTCTCTTCCGTTTTGTGCGCGGACGGTGCCAGATTCCGCAACGACACATCGTATACGACTACCGGTATTGGTCAGCGCTAGACAGAGGATAGAATTGGAAAATGTATGGTTCACCTTCCTCGATCTTCTTCAGATCATATTTCAAGCTGTCGAACCGTCGTCGCAGCGTGTCGTTCTTGAGGTTCAGCTGTGGGCGCGGCGGGGTCAGTGCTTACTTGACTAGATGTTTGCATGGGAACCGTCCAATTACCATCGAAAATCCGGCAAAGAGGTCCTTGACGAACACAGATATCCGAATGGGCTCCTCGAAGTTGCCCAAGGTCACGGAGTTCACCGCTAGTCGTGACTAATCGGAGGTCAGCATAAAATTTTGCCCATGCGAGCGCGATAAAACGTACCAGCTCGTTCACCATGCTGATGATTCCATGTAAGTAGTCCTCAGGAGGCAAGCAGAAGCGGTCCCTTCGCTCCTCCTTGACTGCAATAAACTGTCAGTCGACGATGCAGGCGACAGAAAAGGACGGACGTTCTTACCTTCCAAGATCTCTTCGACGCGTTGAATTGAGATCAGCGACCCGGTCGATAGGTAGTCGATGAGCGCGGCGGAGAAGACCACGTTGCGAAGCGAGTTCGCCCACATATCCTTCCACCGCCAAAATTGGTTTGGTGGAATTATTGCGGCAATAGCGTTTGTCGTCTCAGAGCAAGAATTGAGAGTTGGCTTGACGGAGTCCAATAGCTTGGGCACTGTTCAGTCAGCGATGGGTTACGAGACGGTATGGGGATGTTGGGTGCTTACTTTCGGCGCTTGGCGTCGAGTGGATTTTGTTTAGCAGACCGGTCATGGTGCGGGTTTTCTTATCGAGTTCCGTGACCTGTTCCTTGATTTTCTAAGACAAGCTTCGTCGGTGAACGGATGCAAGTCTGGATCGTAGGGAGCGTTACTTCTCGGAGTTCGACATCCTGGTCGAGGAGAGCGTTGATGTTCTCTAGGTCCCTGGGGTCCATAGTGTCGTCGGCTTCAGCAAAAGAATCAGGTAAAAGCTTCAGAATAGTGGCCCTTCCGCAGATGTATGGTTCAAAGCTCAGAGGTGGTGGTCCTGAACAAGCAGCAGCGTCGTTGGTACCGTGACAGAGACCGTGACCAGGTTGAACATCGACTTGCACAGATGCATCTTAGTTCGAACCCTGCCATGCCTCGCAAGCACGGCCTTCGGCTGCCGGCAGGCGCAGCCGGCGCTAGTTAGCATGAGTCACCATTGCTCACATCATCATGAGGCGCAGGCATGTCGTTGCTCATTCAATATGGGGTGTCCCAGCACATTCGTGTCCTGAACCATCGCCTTCCCACCCAACATGAGCTATCGAGGCGATAGAGGACGCGGCCGTGGCGGCGGCGGAGACAGAGGCGGCTACAGAGGCGGCGGAGATCGCGGTGGCTACCGCGGAGGTGGTAGAGGTGGGGGCGGAGGTGGAGGCGGAGGCGGTGGATATCGCGGTGGAGGCGGCGACCGCGGCGGCGGCGGCGGCTTCAGAGGCGGAGGCCGTGGTGGTGGTCCCGGAGCGTGCGTAGTATCCATCTGAGCGCTAGATGTGCCGCTGAACGTCGCCTACAGCATCTTTGGGGGGCCGGCATCAGTAGACGCCCGTCTCACCGACAACTCGCAGGACGAGCTGGTCGCCTCGCTTCAAAGCCTGTCCATTCGCTCAAACGACATGCCCGTGCGGCCTGACTTCGGCACCAAGGGGCGCCAGGTCACCTTGCGATCCAACTTCTTCCCCGTCAAGGTCCCTAAGCGCCCGCTCTACGAGTACGATGTGCGGATTACACCTGTCGCTGGCACGGCCAACCGCCGCGTCAAAAAGCGCATCTTTCAGCTGGCCGAGCAGCGCCCCGAGTGGGCCTCGCTTGGCCTGCGGAACAACGTTGCGCACGACGCGTCGAACCGCATGATTGCTGCTAAGCGCCTGAAGGAGCCCATCGTTATTCGTGTCCCATACTACGACGAAGATGAAGCAGGACCGCGGGCAGGTGGGAAGGAGTACACCCTCACTATCGAGTTCATGCAGGAGATCGACACTTCCCACCTTCACAAGTGAGTGAATAGCCGTATGCGCGTTTCCCGCTTAATGTCCGCAGCTACCTGGCAGGCCAGCCGAACTACCGAGGCTACGACGTCCTTCCCATCATCTCGGCTCTCAACAGTAAGTATATTAGTCGTTGTATGAGCGTCTGGCTGACTGTCGAGAATAGTTGTGCTGTCGGCCTATGCGAACCGCCCGGGTGGCGGTGTGCTGGTTGGCCGCAACCGGTTCTTCTTTAAGGACCAGGCTATACAGCCTTTCGACCTGGGAGGTGGTCTTGAAGCATGGAAGGGCTTTTTCACGTCCGTTCGTCCAAGCCACCACCAGCTTATGGTAAACGTGAATGGTGAGTATCTGATTCATGCGCGTATGTCCGCCATCTGACTCAGCGTTCAGTATGCACTACCGCTTTTTACAAGGAGGGCTCGCTCGATAGGGCGATGATCGAATTTAAGGACGCCAGCTTCGGCGCTCGTCCCTCTGTGTTCGTCAAGGGCCTCCGTGTCATCGCGACCCACCTAGGATATCGCAAGACTATCAAGGGCCTGGCCAAGGTGAACGCGAAGCAGCACAAATTCCAGTGCGACGAGTTCAAAAAAGTCGTCACCGTGGAGGAGTACTTTGCTCGGAGTATGTCTCGGACATGCATTTCTTACATCGTTCTGATCCCTCGCACAGAGTACGGACGTCAGCTTAAGCACCCCGAGATCCCGCTCGTCAATGTTGGCTCTACGAAAGAAAATTTGCTGCCTCCCGAGGTCTGCCAGATTCTCCCCAACCAGGCCTTTAAGGGCAAGCTCCTCGACGAGCACACTGCGCGCATGATCACCGTCGCCGCCCTGCCACCCGCCAACAATGCCTCTCTCATTTCAAACACCGGGCTCTCCAAGCTCGGCTACGCGCCGAGCGACGGGCCCCTTAACGCCTTCGGCATTTCAATTGGGCGCGAGATGACCGTTGTCCCTGGGCGCATCCTGTCGCCGCCGAAGATCAAGTACGGTCGGGGCGAGCCCGAGGTCGACGACCGCGCGAGCTGGAACCTGCGCAACGTGCGCTTCGCCAAGGGCGCGACGTTGCAGAACTGGGCGGTCGTGGTGCTGCACGATCGGAGCCGGGACGAGTTCCAGAACAAGAACGACCCAGCGCTGAAGCAGGTGATCGATGGGTTTGTGAGCATGTGCGCGACGAGCGGGATGGTGGTGAAGCAGAAGAATCCGCCGGTGTATGATATCGGGCTCGTACCGAAGGATCCAGTCGATCCGACGCGCAAGAGCTCGTGAGTGGATTGACTGCTGCTCAAGGTTGTGGGTACTCAACTAGTCTCACAGCATCAACGCGATTCGCAAGGGCTTGATGGAGCAGGCGAGGCCGAAGCCTGCGATCATGCTCGTCATCCTAGCCAACGGCGACAAGCATATCTACTCCGGTTTGAAGCACCTCTGCGACTCGTGGCTGGGCATCGGCACTGTTTGCGTGCAGTCTGCGAAGATCAGGAACCAGAAGGGTATTTGATAGCAAGCCTCTATAACCTATCTGTTGCTAACGTATCCCTCTAGGTCAGCTTCAGTACTTCGCCAACGTCGCCTTGAAGTTGAACATGAAGCTCGGTGGCAACAAGTGAGCTTTTGTCAGGGCATGTACATAGGTCTACCGTACTGACTTCCTACAGCCATGGACTCGACCCCGCTAGCACCTCCTGGCTCAAGCAAGAGCCCACCATGCTCGTCGGCATCGACGTCACGCACCCGGGACCTGCGACGGTCAAGGGCACACCCTCCATCGCGGCTGTTGTCGCGAGCATCGACGACGCTTATGGCCAGTTCCCGTGCAGTTTGGAGATTCAGGAGTCCAAGAAAGAGGTCAGTATGCTGACCTCCGAGGGGTTTCAAGGAGTGACTAACCGCTTGTAGATGGTCACGGCACTGTCAAAGGCAATGGTCGAGCGCTTGACGCTGTACAAGACGACGAATGGCAAGCTACCGAGCCGCGTGCTGGTCTACCGCGATGGTGTGTCTGAGGTGAGTGTGATGGCTGGCGACAAACAGGAGTCTCGGCTGACCAGCGCCCAGGGCCAATTTGCCACTGTCGTTGCAGAGGAGATGCCCGAGATCAAGGCGGCTTTCAAGAAGTTCGACACGGCGAGCGGGAAGTACAATCCCAAGCTCACCATTGTCATCTGCGGTTCGTTTCTTTACTAGCTGAGTCTACCAATATACTGATTTGATCTCAGGCAAGCGTCACCACACCCGCTTCTACCCCACTAACTCCGACGGCGCTGACAACAAGGGTAACCCCAAGGCTGGCACGGTCGTCGACCGCGGCGTCACCGCCATCTACGAGTTCGACTTCTTCTTGCAAGCCCACGGCGGCCTTCAGGGCACCACCAAGCCCACCCACTACTATACCGTACACGACGAGATGGGCTTCACCGCCGACGACCTGCAGACGCTCACTAACAACGTCTCGTACATGTTCGCGCGGGCCACCAAGGCGGTCAGCCTCGTCAGCCCGGCGTACTATGCGGACCTAGCGTGCGAGCGCGGTCGGTGCTACCTGCACCCGCTGCTGCATGGGATCAGCCGCATTCCGCGGGCGACGGCGACGTCGGGTGGCTCGGAGCAGGATGCGGAAGTGTTCAGGGAGGCGGAGGAGTTGTGGCATGGGGGCGCAAATCCGGCGCTCAAGAATACGATGTTTTATCTGTGATTGGCTGGGGAGGGGTTCAAGTGAGCGTCGCTGCTAACGCTTATTTGTATGTAACCTGAGTATGTTTGCTGTCTCTTGCTCGTCTCGCATATATGTCTGTCTCTTGTACTTATATTTACTGATCACCCTCACGATGCTCTGACTGCTTGGATATGTGCTAGCTTCTGTATAGCTGTATACTACTCTGCGTCTGAATGTGATATGCATGCACTTGCTCAAGTAGACCACGCTCGAAGGACGTCTGCAAAGCTTCAACCTGGAATCCATGTGCTGACAGTGGTGCAAGTTTATCTTCCTTTTCGAGGGCGGGTACTTTCATACGAGGTAGGGTACTCCTCGCAAGCGGGCGCTTCGATTCGCGCTTGAGCATGCCCTTAGCGAAGGATGAGGACGCGGTGAAAGTCGAGGGCGCTTTGTCTACTAGGCCAAGAAAGTGAATGATCGCGTCGATGATTGGCATTCATTTTATGAGCCGCGAGCGACCAAGTGGGCCTACATCAATCGTTGGAAGGAGTATACTATATACGAGACTGCTACCGTAGTGTAGTCCTAAATGAGAGCCTCTCAAGAGCGTCGTAAGAGACCTATCCATGTGTGGGTGCCTGTAGGTCCGCATCAGCGCTCGAGCGAATTTGGAAATGCTTGTATGCACAGCCATCATCATGGCATAGGCGCCCGTAAGCTCGTCCTTGGCGAGTACCAACATCTCATTGGCCTTCCCCTTACTCTTCTGCTGCTGGATGTGTGCACGCTTTATTCCTCACGAATCCAACCAATATACCCGCAAGAGAAGATATGGCCGACGAAGCGGAGTTGCTCACATACAAGATTAACCACCTTGTCCTACCACCAAAGCTTCCTCAGGAGTGCGATGCGTCGCCTGAGAACGAGTGCGCACTCCTTGCCCACGTTCTCACCAGCGGGCGGTCATTCCTAGAGGAGATGAACGAGCTGGCCAGTCGCGAGCTCCTAGAAGAGGATGTCCTGGACCGCTGGGAACTTGTAGTACGGATGCTGACGGGCATGGAGAACGTAACGCGGGGGGAGGGAGCAGCAATGGACGCCGAACTACTGGCCTCTGTCGTCAATGCGATGAAGGAAGGAGGTGCGTCGCAGACGCTTCTCGCCGTATGATATTGTACTCATCCTAACCCATCGTGTAGACGCTCTCCCGCTACACATTGGCGCTCAGAATGCCGGGGTCATACTTCGCAAGATTGACGCGCTCACGCTGACCTATGAGTCATTCTTCGCATCGCTGCCCGCTGGCACGGTGACAGGGACTGTCGGCAAAGTCGTCTCCCAGTTCCCCTCCACCCCGCGACTCCCATTCCCCGCCGATCCGGCTCTTGTCAAGGTCCTATGCGGCTACCTGGCGGAAATGCACACACACCAACTTTCGCAGGCCCTGCCCGGGTCGTGGAAGGCCGGCAGCAAACAAAACGAAACCCGCGAATCGACGAACCCGTGGTACATCACCCACTTCCTCGTCAACGTCGTGCGCGCCTTCTCAGCCGACCACCCCGACGAAAGCCTTCCCTATACGACCTATGTTGTCAAGCGGCTGAACGACCACGTCCTCTGGAAGAACGCAGAGCTGCCGTGGAGGCGGTCTCCCATCCTCCTCGTCCTCAAAGTCGCCCTACAGACGACTCTCGTCGGGATCCCTGCGCAATATGGGTACAAGGCCTTCATGGCGTACATGCTTGGTCGGCTATTGAACGAGGCAGCGCGACCGGAGGCGGAGGTGCCCGATGATATGCTGTACATCATCAACACGAAGATTGCTCTGCGGACCTACAAACTGAGGAACTCGGTCGTTGCAGACCGATTCCCCATTGTCGGCGTGATCAGTACTAGCGAGCGGGTGGCCGGCGAGCTAGAGCAGCGATGGAAGCAAACGCAGCTCGCGGAAGGCAAGCCAATCGACCTTTCGGCCCCCTCGAAAGAGGAGATCCGCGACGGTAGCGTCTTCACGCTGCAGAACAGCCGCTCCTACCTCGATGCAGTTATCGCTCGCGATGAGCGCTTACGCCAAACGAGCGACGTATTCGATGCCGCGGCATTCGAACAGGCGATGCCCAAGCTTCGCCATCGCGAGGCGGGCGCCCTCCCTGAGGCCTTCGAACCCACCGCTGAGCTCCACGACGTGCTGGTGGGCATCCAAGACGTCACCACATGGTTCGAGTCAAGCGAGGCTTCGGACTGGATGTCGAATTCGCAAGCGCACGAGCGTTGGGATGCGCTCGACAAGCTCATGGGCTGCAGTATGGCGGTCCTCAAGCGCTTTATGAGCGCGGGGGCGGAGGCGGACCCCGAGCTCTTCTCCACCGCATTCCTCAATGTGATGAACCTTTGGGTCATACTGGATAAGACTGCGGTCGAGGCGATCCCCCTTCTATTGGAGTACACGCCAGAGCTCACCGTCAAGCCCCTCTCCTCGTTGCTGCTTCGCACGAAGGCCTCAATGCAGCGCCTCTTGACTATCGAGCAATACCTTACGCAGAGATACGACACGGCGAAATACGGGTCTGTATACGCCCTTGATCCCTCGGCGAGCTGCGCGGATGCCTTCGGTGCTCGCTACGCGGAGGCCGACCCAGAGATCTGCCGCATCCGGCTCAACATCGATGCAAGGGCCGAGAGAGGAAAGACGAGCAAACGGCGCGAACTCAAAGCACTCGAGGACCGCCGCGCCGACCTCATATCCAGGGCGGCCGCTCGACACTGCTCATATTACCAATCACATTCTGGGGTATCCCGCCATTCCAACTATTGTCAGAAATGTCGAATGGAAGCCGATGCCCAGGATCTCTCCCTTCCCGTATTTGAAGAGCCCCTTCCTGGGGACCGGGCCTTCGCGAACGTACTGCTTTTCGAGCTCAACCTCCCGCCTTTATTTTCGTCGTGGCGGTCCACAACGTATAAGCTGGTCAACATGTTTGCTAAGACGAGCTCGCCTGAACGTTTCCGCAGGCATACTCTCCGGGATTATGTAGACATCCAAAGTTCGATGTTTGGCGATCTCACTGCGCCTCTCGGCTCTCGCATCACTCTCGCCTCGGACTCCGAGTCCTTCCTGCTAGGGCACTACAGGAATACTCGCATGCCCTGTGACGAGGAGGACGCGATCAAAAACCATGCCCCGCGATGGTGGCTTTACGACACCACGGCCGGTGACTATCTCCAGCAGCCCCTTCCGGCGATCGACCTACACAAACATTGCGGTCCAGTGGCGCTCCCAAGTCCGTATGACACACTGCAATGGACCGTCGAAGGCACGTCGCATAAATCGAACCTCGTTATCGCCAGGCAGTCGGAGTGCCCCGCGCAGCTATCGCTACACGAATGGGAAGCGTTTGGGCACCTTCGCGCTGGAGTGCGTTTGCAGTGGCACAATATCATCCTGCAGCTCGAGATCGGCGTGTTGAAGCTCGCGGATTCGGCGGTGCACATCCTCATGCGCCAGGCGGCGTTGCAGGCGGAGCGTGCGACGCGCAAATCATACATCTCGCGAGACGCGCACGCCACGCTCACCGACGAGCAGTTTGGGTCACAAGCGTTGGAAGTCCTTCGTCGCCGCTGCGCGCACTGCGCGAATAACTGGGAAGAGGGATGGGTCGCGTCGACTTTGTCGCTGGTCGGCCATAGAGTGTACGAGCTGTCGACCGCCGCCGCCGTCCGCACGGATGCCAGGAAGTTCCTGCGGGACGAGCTGCGACCTCTCTGCATGAAGTGGATGCGCCAGATTCAAGCGCGTCTGCAGGCGATGGAGGGTACCTCTTCCTCCAATCCTCTCGATTCCGACAACACCCTTCGCGACTGCCTCATCCAAGTTTGCCTCGCCGCGCGGGATACATACCACTTTCGCAGAGGCGCCTTCCACAACGCCGGTGCCGTGGCCGACTATCTGGAGTGCGGCTTCATCCTCCGCCAACATCTCCCCCATCTTTTGTCGACGCTACCCGAGCCGCTGTGCGCCCTCGCGAGGCAAGATGCGAAGCTTTCCCTACTACTGCTGGATCCGCTTATGGCCGCGCTCGAGAAGGACAGTGGCGGGCTGGACCTCGCCGTCGGCAAGGTGTGGGAGGGGTTCCAAAGATCTCGTCGGAACTGGCGATGGGCCCGGCAAAGTTGCTGGGTGGCCTGCCGCACGTCGACGAGGCAGGGCATGCAAGCAAGAACCCTTCACGTCGATCTCGTTAAGGGCGCAATATTCGTGGATGGAGCCTCATTCCAGGCGTTACCCCACGAGATCTTGCAGCATCGCTTGTACAAGGAAGTCTTTCCCAAACAGGTGAGCAGACTTTCTGCCGGGCATAGCGTTCCGTACTCAAGCGTGTCATCTAGGTTCAGATGCGAGTTGTACCCTCCACAATGTCGGGGATGACATACCAATGTCAGTCCTTGGTCAATGGATATGAGGTCGGTTGCGTTTGATGCGCGTATGATGAAAGGCCAAGTTTCTGACCCTACCTAGATTCATTTCCGTCTTGACAACAAGGATCTCATCATCCGGATGCGGGACGAAAACCACGAAGTGGCCGAGTTCCTTCCGACACACAAGCTGAAGAACGACGTGCCGAACTCGTTGCTTGCAGAGTCCATCGTCATTCACCGCCTCGACACTGGCCAGCTGGACTTCGTACCGCGAGCTGTCGAGCTCCATTGGGATCCTTCAAGCAGCGCAGCCTGGACTCTTGACAGCATCAGGCGCGGCGCCGCGCCCATGCTAGTCTCACTCGAAGACGGTCGACGCCTAATGCGCCCTCGGAGTGTACTCGTCAGCCGTCTCTCACGCGCATTTCAAGCTTTGGAGACGTCGAGATGTGATCTGCTAGTGACCTATTCGCCGTCCTCCAAGGCGGTGAGCGTCAATCTACCGCGGTACGGCCTCGAGTTTTTCTTCGACCCCAAGCGAGGCCTTGTGTCGAAGGAATTTCCTGACTACGCGGTGGCAGCCTCACGCGACATCGGCACGCTCTATGGTGTTGAGAAGGTTGTACTTCAGCGTTGGCGCGGACCACCCCAGCAGCGCATCCTGGTTCCAGCAGGTCCAATCACGGTCAAGCCAAAGGTCCCTCATCCGCATATCACTCTCAATCCGGCCACGAACACGTCTGGCCATGTCGACATGCACGTCTTCGATCTGGACGAGCTGACCGGCAAGGTCAAACCGACTGGCAACCTCGATAGCGTGCTGACCCTTGCGTACTTGCATGCGGTGTCATCATCACATCGACGAGACCCATTTATCGGCGAGCGGGGAGTAGACCGGGCTCTCAGCATGCTAGAGTCGGCGTCAGCATTTGCGTTCACGCAGCTGTCACCAGCGGACACAACATTGTTGTCCCAGTTGGCGTCGCTCAGTCCCGGAAGACAGTTCTATCCGAAGCATCTGAAGGTCATGGAGACTACGGAATGGCATCCGTCGCTGTCACCTTTGAGTCAGAGCGAGCTTTTCGCGCCGCTCGTGGCGGATATAGGAGACTACGCGAGACGCAAAGCTGATTTGGAATCATCGGACGCCCGTCGAAACGCCACCCCTCTACCCAAACGCCAAAATGTGGACACCCTTCCATCGCGTGCGTATTATCGCAACGCACGACTCTGTCCGCATACAGCAAATCGAAAGTGGGCGCAAGGACGGCAAGGTAAGACGAGTCACTTCTACGATTTGACGGCAATGCGCTGATCAAGCAATCAGATGCCGACTCAGCCTTCTCTTGGCCGGATCCCCCTGACCCGACGGCCTTCCCTCTGTCCGTGTTAGAGGTTGCCGGTCAAGTGCGCGCCTGGGAACCGACAGCGAAACATAGCGTGGAACTTTGGGATCGCCTCATCAAATGGAACGCATTCTCTTCAGTTGCGGACGATTGCGTCCTTTCTCGGCCATGCCAGTTGTCCAGCTCTTCTCAGCCCAAGATATGGTTCACGTTGTACCAAAAATCGCTGTGCACCACCGATACTTCCGCCCACAAGTACTTCCTGATGTTCATTCTGGCCTTTCTTCTGAACGACGGCCTTTTCGATCATGGCCTCGTCGAGACCATCCTGAACGTCGCTGTCATGGCTGGCTCGTCCAACCTCCCGCCCCTTCGAGGCAGCGAAATGGATTACGAGCTGGCTGACGGGTGGAAACTGACGAGCCAGAAGCTCGAGGCTATGATTGAACAGTATAGAGTATCCTTCGATCACTCATGCGAACATCGACTACCGCGCAAAGCGAACGAGACGCCTGAAGACCACCGGTCACGCTGTAGCCAAGAATATTGGGAGCATTGGAACGAGCAAGTTGAGGAACTCACCACTTACCTGAGTCAACAATGGCCCTGTTCGCACCCGCGCTGGCCATCATCTTCGGCGGCCCGATATACTCTCATCGACATGCCTGGTTTTAGGAAGGCAACGGACAAGTTATTTCGTTCGATGCATCGTAATCGCCAGCTTCGACAACAGGTCACCGAGATACAGCGTATCATCGATTCCGCTGCCGCGGCTCGTTCACTCACTTACTGTCAACCACCTTCGGTACCACGATTGCGCTCTCTACCGCAGGCGTCGTACGAGCTACCCAGCATGCGGTCGCTTATGGTCTCAAGACAACGGCCAATAACGAGCGAAATGCCTATTCGTGTCGCGCCTGCGTCAAAAGCCGATGTAGGGTGTGACGGTGCGGAGGGCGATCTGTCACCGTTGAAACTCCTCGTCGATAGGGTGCCCACGGAGACTGCGCTGGGTCTGCGGTATCAACGCGAACTAGCTGCATGCGTGGAAGCGTTGCCAAACACACTCACGTCCGGCGAGCCGTCGCGCGCTTCTGTGCCACAGACAATCTCGGTACCAGCGCTTCGACACGGAGACATCGAGCGTGCTTTGAATCCGCAGTCTCCTTTCGAATGGGCGTTGTTCAACAATGGTAACTGGCCAAATACGAACACGCTCAACCTTCTCTCCTTGCTGAGTTATCCTCATCGACGCGAAACACGCGCCTCGGGATGGAAGCAACCCCTTACTCTGTTCGCGCTTTCCCTTCTTCGCATACAGAGGGAGCGACGCCTGGACGCTTTGGAGGATGCCGAATTCGCGAAGGAGCTAGCCACGAGTGTTGGCGAAGGTTATGACCCTTTCAAAGTTGATACAGACTGGCTGCTCATTCAAATTGATGGCGACTTCGCTCTTCGTCCAGTGCAAGCGGACCTCGCGTTCCATATGATGAGCTCGCACAACAGGGTCACACAGCTGAATATGGGGGAGGGCAAGTCCTCTGTGCGTGCCTTTTCCAACTCAACGTATCACAGCTAATTTATTTGCGCGCAGGTCATCGTTCCTATAACGTCGGTGACATGTGCGAATGGGGAAGACCTTGTCTGTGTCTTTGTTCTCAAGCCGCTGTACGCCCAGATGTTCCACCTGCTCAGTCAGCGCGTAAGCGGTCTTGCCAATCGCCGTGTCTTCCATCTGCCTTTCAGTCGCGACACGGCTATCAATACACGCACACTCCAGAGCATCCGCTGTCTCTTCGAGGATTGCGCTCAGTCTGGCGGGGTCCTGCTTTGCCAGCCGGAGCATCTTCTCTCCCTCCAGCTGATGGCGAGCAGCATGCTGTGCTCGGGCAATGAGGACACCGATGTACACACCCTCTCGGACATCCAGCGCTGGGTCACCAAACACTCTCGTTACATCCTCGACGAGAGTGACGAGATCCTGAGCCACAAGTACCAGCTCATTTACACCATCGGCAACGCAGGGCCATTGGACGGCCATCCCGAGCGTTGGCGCATCATACAGCAGGTCCTGGGCTTGATCAGTGTCCGCGCCGAAGACACGCTACGCGCCCTTCCGGATGGCATAGACATCGAACATGGCAGCAATGCTATAGCGAATGTCCGACGAACTCGTGTTCTCTCGGACGCCGCCTGGAATCACCTCTCGGACTTGTGTGTCACCGACATCATCGATAACAACGCGATATCCCCTCTCTCTTTCCGCAGCTATCTTCCTAGCCACATCGCTGCTGTCCGTCAATTCGTCACTACGCTCGACATACGACCCGAAGAGGCCCAGATCACGAAGAACTGCAGCGGCGATGCATACACACATCTTCTACTTTTACGAGGCCTGTTTGCGCACGGTATCCTGCGGCTGGTCTTTCAGAAGAAGCGATGGCGCGTGAACTATGGCGTGGATCTGAGCCGCTCTCGTTTGGCCATTCCCTACCGGGCTAAGGACTCTCCCGCGCCGAGAGCAGAGTTTGGACATCCCGATGTCACCATTGTGCTCACTTCGTTGTCCTATTACTCCAGCGGTCTTACGGACGAGGAGCTCGATACGACCTTCGACCAGCTCGAAAAGACGGACAGTCCTGCCTTGCGCTACGAGGGATGGGTAAAGGGCTCGGCTCTAGCGCTTGGCCTGCGGTCACTCAGCGGAGTCAACCGCAAGGACACCAGGCAGCGATCCACAGTCTACGCGGCCTTACGACGCACCAAACCGGTCATCGACTTTTACCTCTCCGAGTGCGTCTTTCCCAAAGAGGCCCGTCAGTATCCGCACAAGCTCACCACAAATCCGTGGGATCTTGCGCGCGAGAAGTCTCGTCCGACGACGGGCTTTAGTGGAACAAGGGACAACAGGTACACATTGCCGACCTCCATCGTACAGGAAGATCTACCGCCTCAGCAGCATACGGATGCTCTGGTCCTCAACTACATTCGTCGATCCGAGAACCAGACGGTTATCTGCAAGGATTACGATGCTGCCGGGATCATTGCGGAAGCCGTCAACAGCGAGCCCGTCGTCTCTGTCATCTTGGATGTGGGTGCCCAGGTCCTTGAGCTCAACAACGAGGAAATGGCTGGGCAGTGGCTGGCGAGCGAAGCTAGAGCAGATATCGAGGCCGCGGTTTTCTTTGGTTCTGACGACGAGCTTTACGTGCGGACGAGGAATGGACGTGTCGAACCGCTTCGTCGCTCCTTTTACCGAGAGCAGCTGGGGAAGACCTTGGTGTACCTCGATGAAGCGCATACGAGGGGTACCGACTTGAAGCTGCCAGACGGCGCACGCGCGCTGGTGACGCTAGGACCGAAGTTGACCAAGGATAAACTCATGCAAGGTGCGCGTCGATGCTTTGATCTGCCCTTGACCTCTTGCTCACTCTTTCGTCAGGTTGCATGCGCATGCGGAAGCTTGGTCGGCCCGGCGGCCACTCCGTCCAGTTTCTTGCCTCGAGCGAGATCCAGCGCTGCATTCGAAAGGATCTGCGTCAGGACAAGGAGCGCTTAGATTCTACCGACGTGCTCGTCTGGACGATATGCGAGACGATTCGACAGACGGTCGAAAACGGCACTCTTTGGGCCGCACAGGGTCTCGACTTTGACGCACGTCGCGAAGCTTGGGAGAAGTTCACCTGTGGCGCCATCGACGAGGACGAACTTATCTCGGTGCTACGTCAGCGTGAAGCGTACTCGCTCGAGGAGCTATACGGTCCCGACAACGACAGCATGGACGTTGACGAGGATTCGACGGACGATGCCCCCGGCTCGCTGCGTCCTAAAATTCGTCGGCGCTGCGCAGAGCTAGGCTTCTCTCTGCAGCATAGCGGGCGCCTACTGGAGGAGCAGGAACGAGAGCTCGCCCATGAGAAGGAAACGGAGCGTGAGGTTCAACGGGCGCCATTTGCAGAGGCGAAGCCGCACAAGATCGACTCAAAACTCAGATCCATGATCGGCAAATCGACGTTCGATCTGTCCGGCTACCACACCTTACTGGACTGCTTGGAGTACACGTCCGTCCACGAGGCACTCTCAGGAGTGTCCAAAGACTTTTTCCAGAGTACGGAGATCGTCGCAACGCGGGACTTCATGGAGACAGTGGAACTATCGCGCGGGGCGTCGAACCAGAAGGACGCCTTCTTGCGTTCCGTGCAGTGGATCGTGTCGACGCAACGGTCGCCCGGCGCGCTCCTGCTCATAAGCCCGTCGGAAGCCAACGCGATCATCGATGTCGTCCGCCAGTCTAAGCACGTTCGCCTGCACCTATACGCACCCCAGCTCTCGCGCAACTTGCATGTGTTTAGCGAGTTGACATTCCTCGCGACGCCTTCGTCGACAGCGGCTACTTACGAGACGCCCGCGAGCGCTGTTATGCGCGAGCTCGACCTCTTTTCCGGGAGCCTGTTCCTCCAGGACGCGCGCTCGTACAACGAGGTTTGCGCCCTTCTTGGCCTGTACCTCGACGAGATCCCCCAGCAGCTGAAGGGGCAGATCGCCGTTGATGGGTTCGTGCCGAAACAAAGTGTGCGGGCGAAGCTGGGAATCGAGGAGTGCCTTTTCCAGAAAAGCCCGAGTGCAGTTCTCAAGACGCTTGTGGACCTACGGCGCAAGGGGCTGGGCTTCATGCTCACCCACGTCGGACAGATCCTCCACGGCATGGCAGTCGGGAGCGATGACTTTTGAGCTATAGGGGTGATAGTGAGTGCTGCTAGTACTCTGCGTGTCATCACGCGGTACTGATTTCTTCCCAGTCTCGATAACCGTCGACCGGCTTGCGCCTTTCGCGGGAGCTCGTGTGTGGGAGGCTGAACAGGCGAGCGGACACAGCATTTCGGTACATAACAAAGTAGACATGCATCTGGTCATTGTATGGTTTCGAGCGAGTGCTGTTATGAAAGAAATGGGAGCTCAGGGCGCAGTGTAAACCAATGCTAAAGTTTCCAGCCGCTATGACCATCAGATAGAATCATCAGGCAGAGAACTTGTGGGATGCCCAGGGTCGACCTCCTCAGGTAGGTCTATTCGCCCGAATTGTTCCTATAACATTTTCTTTGATTACCGCCATGTACCTCTAGATTGGATCAGATTATACGGCATACGCTTCGAAATATTGATGCTGCAAATGGAAGGACAGCACATCCTCTCTCTCACTTTTATCTCGCACTCGTCGCGAAGCCTCGTCAGGCCGTCCGAGTAGCGCCTCCCAGTCTCCGGGTTGACGACAACTCTTTCTCCTCAACAGGAGACTCCTGCCTCCCTGTCACGCGTCTTTGGGGCGCGTGGGGACTCAGGAAGATCAACGCGCTACTGAGCGGGTTTGTCTAGCCACGTTGCGAATTGCGGTATCGCCAGAGGCGACCCCTCCACGCCGCCATACAAGCCCGACCAGTGCGATTCACAAATCACAAAGTAGGTCCCGAGGGCCTTGCAGAAGGCCTTTCGCGCCCCCACCCTACACGTCGGTTGTTATTATGCTCCACTGAAAAAGAACAAAGAAGAAGTAGCCGGTATCAGGTATTTGCGGCCATAAAAGGCTGTGGGCTACTATTGACCTGTGTTTATCGGATAATCGCGCGCAAACAACAAATACCGCTTTCGATGTCTCTTCTCGAACCTCCATCGCCCCACACCTGAAGACGCGGTCGTCGCATTGAAAGCCCGCGATATCCGCAGCAAATATGGCTCCGAAATTACTTCTTTCAGCCCATATAACTTGTTTCAATGCAGGATAGCGGTGTAGCCGTGCCATACCTTTGGCATGAGCGAGGGCGCCCACATAGCGTCATGGCCAGGGGATACCAGTATTCAGAAGGATTCTAGGCTCGGTTGTCTCCGATCCGTAAGGTGCTACGTCAACTTAGGCGGATCAGTACAGCGATAGGCGCGCGCCTAGTAGATTCGAATAGATAATGCAAGGTAAGCGCCTGAATTTTTCAAAGAAGCGGCTGTTCGACCATCGATTGTGCAACGTGCCTACAGTGGACGCTTTCTTTCCACGAACCACCATCCTGCTGAACACCAAGGTTTGCGTATAACGAGGTCAGTCCGCCTGGACATTCGAGCCAATGAACCAACGCATTAACATTGTTGCAGCGACGACCATGGATGCCCCGGACCCCGAGGAGCTGTTGCGTTATAAAATCGATCATTTCTTCACACCTCCAAAGCTGCCCCAGCATTACGATGGTTCTCACTATAAAGACCGCGACCTCATCGCTCATGTCGCCTGCAGCGGCAGAGAGTTCAGGCGACAGCTTGCTGCACTAGGAAATGTTGAGCCCAGCATCCTGCAATACTGGGACTGTGTCGTGCGCCTCCTCAACAACTTTAGCCGGGTTTGCTTGGGCGAAGGCGCTCCCATGGACCCTAAGCTACTTGCTAAGACGGTCAACGAAATGGCCGCCGGAGGTACGTAGGTTGATCTCAACACCCGTGGCTAATTCTGACCATTTATTCCAGACGTCCTGACCTTGCACATCGGCGCGCAAAATGCCGGCGTCATACTGCGCAAGGTCAACGGCCAGGAGCTGACGCTTGAAACTTTTTTCGCGTCACTCCCCGCCACCACAGTCACAGGGACCAAGGGAAAAGTCGTAGCGCAGTTCCCGTCCTCCCCTCGCCTTCCATTTCCCGCGGACCCCGAGCTCATAGCCGTCCTCTGCGGATACCTGGCCGAAATGCATACGCTCGAGTTTCCGGACGCCCTTCCAAAGACAGAAAAGGCCGGGAACACCCAGGCCGAATACCGCGATTCGACGAACCCGTGGTATATCACCGACTTCGTCACCTCCGTTATACGCAGCTTCTCTGCCGACAAACCCTGCGACACGCTTCCGCATACCGACTACATTGTCAAGCGTCTGGGAGACCATGTGCTGTGGAAAAATGCAGAACTGCCATGGCGTCGATCTCCTATCCTGCTCGTTCTCAAAGTCGCTCTCCAGTCCACTCTTGCCGGCATTCCAGCGCAGTACGGGTATAAGGCCTTCATGGTCTTCATGCTCAGTCGCTTGACGTCGGAAGCGGCGGCGGGTGGCTCGATAGCCGATGATGTTCTGCACGTCATGGCCTCGAAGATCGCTCAGCGCATCTACAAGCTTCGAGCCGCTGTCTCCGCAGATCGCTTTCCTATCGACGTTGTTCTCCGCGAGAACGAGGCGACTGCGCGACTGCTGCAGGCGCATTGGAAGGAGGTACAAGAAGAGGAGGCACAGCCGATCGATCTGTCCCCTCCGACGCCGGAGGAGATAGCGGAGGCGAAGATCCTCTCCGTCGAACACAGTCGCGCATACCTCGACGAGGTCATCGCCCGCGACGAGCGGTTGAGACAGACCGTGACGACCTTCGACGCCGCACACTTCGAGGCTGGGTTAAAGAAGTCATCGCGGCGCAACGGATGCTCGCCGCCTCGGGTCTTCTCGCCCGGCGACGATCTGTGCGACGTGCTGGAGGCTCCCCACGACGTGTCCGAATGGCTGGAGTCGGATCGGCCGCTGGCGTGGATGGATGCGACGAATCATGAAGCGCGGCTTCCAGTAATCAGAGACCTCATGCAGTGCGGCCTGGACGTGCTTGGTCGTTTCATGAAGTCAGGAGACGCCTCCGATCCCGAGCTCTTCTCCCTTGCACTCCTCAACGTGCTTGACTTGTGGGTCCTCATGGACAAGACAGCGGTCGACGAGATCCCGCTGCTAGCGCAGTACGAGCCCGAGCTCACCGTCGAGCCTTTGGCGGCACTGCTGCTCCGCAGGAAGCGCTCCATGGAGCGGCTTACCGCGATCGAGCAGTACATTCGCGGGAGGTCCGATAACGCCTCTTCTGGCTCTGTCTACACGCTCGATCCAAATGCCTCCTGTGGGTCAGCTTTCGGCGCTCGCTACACCGCGGCAGACCCCGAGCTATGTCGCCTTCGTCGTCGTCTCGAGGAAGCTGGCGAGAGGGCCAAACAGGCCAAAAGAAGCGAGCACGAGGAACTCGAGCGGAGATGCTCGGATCTCAAGTCTCAGGCGCGATTACTGTCGCATGCATACTACGAGGAGACCAATCGGTGGGGCGGGAGCTGGGAGGTTCATGCTGGTTGGTGCACAAAGTGCTCGCTGGAGGAGCAGGCCGATAACCTGAAGATAACGGTATTCGAGGAACCACTCCCTAGAGATCCACATCTTGCCAATGCGTTCGTTTTCGAGATGTCTGTTCCGCCTTGGTTTGCGCTGTGGCGTTCGATGACGCTGCGACTGATCAAGGAGACAGCGGGGGACTTGGATGCTCCGGGGCGTGCGGCGAATCATACGCTCGCGGGGTACACAGGTCTACAATCGTCTATCTTCGGGGTCGACGTCGTCAAATGCGATCCTCAAGTCACTCTTGCATCTGACAACAAGTCCTTTCTGAAAGCTCACTACAGCACGCGCCCTATTCCCTGCACCGAGAGCGACATCTTGAAGAATCACGGTCCTCGGTGGTATCTCTACGACCAAAGCAGCCAGGAGTACCTACCTCCAGTCTTGCCGCCGATGGACCTGCGCGACCATTGCACCCTGCCATTCTCACCCGGTCCCTACACATCGCTACGCTGGACCTTATCCAGTACAACACACACGCCAAATCAGGTCATCGCGACGCAGTCCAAATGCTTGCCCAGCTTGTCCCTTCACGAGTGGGAAGCTTTCGGTAATCTGCGGTCCGGAGAACGCTTGCAATGGCATAACCTCGCCCTGCAACTCGAAGTCGCTACGCTGAAGCTCGGAGAACATGCCGTGCATATATTGATGCGGCAGGCGGCGTTGCAGGTTGAGAGCGCGTCGTCAGACCGGTCTTTAGCTCGCAAGACCCATGCGACGCTTACCGACGACTCGTTCGCTCTGCAACTTCTGAACATCCTCCGTTGTCGCCTAGCGGTCGTTCAAGACAATTGGGAAGAGGGTTGGGCGGCATCCACGCTGTCCTTAGTTGCGCATCGACTTTGCGAGTTGATGTCACCCTCCGGCTCGGCTGTGCGCTCGCAGGTCTTGACCTTTCTGCGCGACGACCTACGACCTGTCTGTATGAGATGGATGCGCGAGATCATGGCGGTGATACGCAGCACGCCGCCAGACAGCGACATCGAGACTCTGGATGACCTTCGACATCGCCTCATACAAGCTGGCCTGGCAGCACGAGACACCTATCGAGCGCTTGATGACCCATTTCACACCGCCCGCGCACTATCTGATTATCTCGAATGCTGTCTTGTCCTCCACCAGAACCTGCCGCTTCAGTTGTCGAAGCTTCCCATCTCGCTCCGCATCCTCGCCCAACAAGACGTGGATCTGTCCGTCTGTTTTTCAAGCCCGCTTCTGGACGCTATCACCAGCGGAAACGATGGCATAGACGACGCTATACGGCACACATGGCCTGCTTTTGCGAGGGACGCAGGCGCCGCATGGACTCGTATCCCCGAGTCTCATTGGGTGACTTGTCGTACATCAGCGAGCCAGCCAAGAACAGTGCATTTCGACGTTTTGGGCGGTGCGATCTTCGTCGACGGCGCATCGTTCCAAGCACTTCCCTCGGATATCCTGGGCCACCCACTGTACCAAGAAGTCTTTCCGAGTCAGGTACGCAGCGCCTGCTGACCAATGGAGGATATGCGACTCACCTTCTACGCAGTATCAGATGCCGATACTCCCTTCGTCGATGGCGGGGATGACGTACCAGTGTCAGTATCAAATCGACGGACACCAGGTCAGTCCCTCCATGACCGTTATGATTAACCCGTAAGATCTTCTGAACTATTCACAGGTTCATTTCTGCACGATCGGGCCCGACCTCATCATCAGAGCCCAAGATCAGGACGGCCGCGTGGTCGAATTCGTGCCGCGAAGCAAACTCAAGGGCGACATACCGAATCAAGTGCTCTTCAGCAGTATAGCTCTGTACCGCACCGACAAAGTCAGCCTTGACTTCGTTCCAGTGGACAAGAGGCTGGGCTGGAAGCCTCTAGCACAGCCGACGTGGACCCTCCATCGCGTCGCCACGTCTCCCGAACTGCTCTTGTGTGCACAACAGCGACAGATCCTATGTCCTCGCAGCAAGGTCGCCCTTCGACTCAGCCACGCATTTCTTGCACTGGAAAAGACAAGCGTCAATGTCGTTGTCGAGGCCTCAACTTCGGCAACAGCCAGGTTCTCGAGCGTGACTGCACACCTCCCGCGGTATAGGTTGATGTTTTCATTTGATGACTGTGGCGACCTCGCATCAAAAGAGTTTCCCAATTATGTCGTCTCCACTTCGCAGGCCATTGGGACGCTGTACGGTGTTGAGAAGCTGGTGCTGAAGCCGCGCGACCCTCGACTCGAGAAGCGAATCCTTATCCCATCCGGCAAAATACTAGTCCACGCGGAGTCTCGCCATCCCCATATCAGCACTTCTCCGCCGACAGACCCCGTCAAGCACATCGATCTACACGTTTTGGACGTGGATACAATCGTCGGACAGGTCAAGACCGATGGGAATCTGGATAGTTCGCTTATCCTGGCGTACATGCATGCGCTATCTTCTTCGCATCTGCCGGATCCACTGACTGGTGAACGGGGGACTGACCGGGCGTTAAGGATGCTCGAAACAGCGTCGTCATATGCCTTTACCGACCTATCCACCGCAGACGTCCTGGCGCTATCGCAGATCTTGTCGTTGACGCCTGTGCGACGATACTACCCGGAGCATCTGCAAGCGATGGAAACAATATGTTGGGGTTTCGACATTTCGCCCTTGTCGCAGAGCGAGCTCTTCGCGCCTCTTGTGGCCAGCATCGTAGCCTTCGCAGCACGCAAATCTGTATTCGACAAGCAGTCAACAGATGGGACTCATTCTCTTGTCAAATTTGACGGCGAAGACAGTCTTCGCATACGAGCCTTTCATCGAACTGCGCGACTTTCTCCTTACACCGAAGATTCCTGGAAAATGCGCGCCTTCGGTGAGCATAATTGAGTCATAATCTGCACACACTGATAAACATTGCGAAGGCTCTCTTTGTAGGGACCTCCACGCCTTCTCTTGGCCCAGTCGAGCCTCGGAATCAGAGAGTCACCTCCCAGCAGTACAAGACGTGTCGTCACGGATGCGCACGTGGGAGTCGAGTATCGCCGCCATCCCCCAGCTTTGGAGCCACTTTGAGAAATGGAGCGAGTTCACATCTGTCGCGGAACCCCTTTCGCTATCTCGGCCATGTCTTCTCTCCGATTATTCTCAGCCCGCGCTCTGGTTCTCCTTATACCGACACTGCCTCTCCATGTCTGCTCAGACGACGCAGTATTCGCTGATGTTCATCTTCGCCTTGGTGACTTACGAGAGTGCGCTAGACGACGCTCTCATCGCCTCGCTCATGTGTACTGCTGTGCACGCGGCGCGGAACTGGAATGCTTTCACGGCAGCGGATGCGGACCTTCCCCGCAACGCATTCACCCTGAAGGATGGTTGGGAGCTCGGTCAAGCAGAAATGCAGACCTTGCTTGACACCGTACGCCAATCATTGGTACCATTCGACCAATCTAGCGAATATCACTCGTCACGGCTTGCCGGGGAGGTTGCTTGGGCCTACGAAGGACGGTGCTGGCGAGCGTACCAGGACCACTCGGACAGACAGCTTCAAGGCATGGTCGAGCATCTGCGTGGGCAGTGGCCGTGTGCGGAACCTCACTGGCCCTATAACGCGACTTCGGAGTACCCATTGTTGAATATCTCGCAGCTGCAGAAAGCTATCGACACGCTGTTCCGCTCCATGCACCAAAACCTTCAGCTGCACAAGCATGCACTTGGCCTTCAACACATCTTCGATGCAATTCCAATCCAACAGACCCTCGGTGTTCAGCCTCTGCCTTCGCCTCAATCATACGAGACGCCACAGCCGCAACATGATATCCCCGACCTCTGGACCGTCATGTCCACTAGAACGGTGCCTCCTAAGGGAATGATGCCTATTCGGGTTGGACGATGGGTTGCGACCTCGCAGCATGACAAACTCGCTCGTTCCCCGGTACATGAACTCGTCGACAGACTCCCAGCCGAAAGCGGCTTTGCCGCGCAGTATAAGCAGGATTTGCGTGATTGTACGCATGCTATGGACGGCGAGACACCATCGGACAGCAAACCTCGCATCGTCGTCCAGGAAAGTACAGCACCCGCTCTCTTTCCAGAATCTATCGGCGATGCCTTGGGCCCGAGATCCAGCTTCGAGCAGGCATTGTTCTCGTGCGGGGTCTGGCCCAACGCGTGCGTCCGCAACTGTCTGTCGAACCTTAGCCTTCCCCGTCGAGGCAAGATGTTGAACTCACCCTGGATGCGCGGTCTGACGCTGCTCGCATTATCTCTCGTTCGGCTTCAAAGAGAGCAGCGACTTGACACGCAAGATGGGGCCAACTTTGACAAGGAGTTGTCTACAAACGTCGGCGACGGATTTGACGCATTCGCGCATCCGGACTGGCTTCTCATACAGCTCGACAGCAACATGACCATACGCGCGGTGCAAGCCGAGATAGCGCAGCGCATGATGAGCCCCCACAACCGAGTTATGCAGCTCAATATGGGCGAAGGCAAGTCTTCGGTAAGTTACCATCTCCACTCTGCGCCAATTGCTAGTTTGCTCAATCTGAACACAGGTCATCATACCCATCACGTCGACGGTTTGTGCGGATGGAAATAATCTCGCTTGCGTCATCGTCCTCAAGTCGCTGTGCTCCCAGATGTTCCAGATTCTCAGCCAGCGCATCTCAGGATTGGCCAATCGTCGTCTCTATTACCTGCCTTTCAGTCGCGACACCGAAATCGACGGAGCCACCATTCAGGCTATCGGCGGCCTATTCAAAGAGTGTGCTAGTAACGGTGGCATCTTGCTCTGCCAACCGGAACATCTGCTCTCCTTCCAGCTCATGGGGAGTAGCATGCTTTGCTCCGATGGTATGAGTGCCGACACCAGATCGCTTCTGGAACTGCAGGACTGGGTGTCCGAGCACTCACGGTACCTCCTCGACGAGAGCGATGAAATCCTCAGCCACAGATATCAGCTCATATACACCGTCGGTAACCCAGGGCCACTTGAGGGTCACCCCGAGCGCTGGCTCGTCCTTCAGAAAGTCCTGAGCTTAGTGAACTCCAATGTCACAGCTGTCATGCTGGCTCATCCAGACGGTGTCGAAATCGAGCCAGGCTGCAGTGCCATCCAACAGTTCGGACGCGTGCGCATACTCACTGATGCGGCTTGCGACCATCTTTTCGAGTTGTGCTGTGCCGACATCGTCCATCGAAATGCGATACCTCTCCTGCCGTTCCGCAGCTACCCCATCAGCAAAGTCGACGCCGTCCTGCAGTTCATCTCCGCAATGGACGCCAGCAGCGAGGTCGCCAAGGACCTGGAGGCCTACAGCGGTGAATCGTATCGTCACCTCTTACTCTTGCGCGGTCTCTTCGCCCACGGCATCTTGAAGCTTGCCTTCAAAGAGAAGCGGTGGCGTGTGGACTATGGACTCGACCTCAAGCGCTCAAGGCTGGCTGTTCCATATCGCGCGAAGGACTCGCCCGCCCTTCGGGCTGAATTCGGGCATCCGGATGTCATATTGGTGCTTACTTCCTTGTCGTATTATTATGGCGGTCTCAGCGATAGCGAGCTCGACATCGCCTTCGACCATCTGCTCAGGACGGACAACCCCGCTCTGCGCTACGACGATTGGACCAGGGGCCTTGATTTACCACCCAATCTTCAGACGCTCAGAGGCATCAACCTCAAGGATGCCAACCAACGCATCAATGTCGTCTACCCAGCTCTCCGCCGCGTCAAGTCGGTCGTCGATTTCTACCTCGCCGAATGCGTCTTTCCAAAGGAGGCCCGTCAGTTCGACCACAAGCTCACAACAAACCCATGGGACATCGCTCGCAAGAAGGGCCAGCCGACGACAGGATTCAGCGGCACTAACGACAACAAGTACCTTCTTCCGACCTCCATCGTCCAGGAGGATATGCAGTCGCAGCTGCACACCAATGCTCTGGTCCTCGACTACGTCCTCCGACCGGAGAACCGTACGGTGATCTGCAAAGACTGCGATGCCATCGGGATCATCGAAGAAGTCGTCCGTTGCGAGCCATACGTCTCGGTCATCCTCGACGTAGGCGCTCAGGTCTTGGAGTTTAATAACGAGGAGATGGCTAGGCGATGGCTCGAGCGGAATACGAGGGAGGGTGTTGAGGCTGTCGTCTACTTCGGCCCCAACGATGAGCTGTGTGTGTTAACGCGAGATGGGCGCGTCGAACAGCTGAAGCGATCGTTCTATCGTGATCAGCTGGGCAAGACGCTGGTCTATCTTGACGAGGCCCATACGCGAGGCACGGACCTGAAGCTCCCAGACCGCACGCGCGCTTTGGTGACATTGGGGCCCAAGCAGCCAAAGGACAAGTTGATGCAGGGTGCGTTCATCATGGTATACGCCGAGGAGAAGTACAGCTGACGCTTCATTCAGGCTGCATGCGAATGCGCAAGCTCGGCTGCGCTGGCGGTCACTCAGTCCTCTTCCTAGCGTCCAGCGAGATCGCAAGTCGCATCCGGGATTGCATCAAAGATAGCAGCAAGGAACTCGACTCCTCCGACGTTTTGGAATGGACGATGCACGAGACGATCCGGCAGACTACGGAGAATGGCGCGTTGTGGGTCAACCAAGGCTTGAACTTCGACGTTCGCCAGACGGCATGGGAGGCGTTCAATGACGGAAGGCTGAACGAGGATGAGTTGATCAGCGTGCTACTAGAACGCGAGGCGCACCCATTGAAGGACCTCTATGGCCCTCGCGATACCACGGAGGAATCTGACGACGCGGGACGATCCGAGCGCCAGCGCGAGATCTTCCAGCGATGTGAGAGGTTCGGGTTTGCCGTATCGCGCAGCAGCCGTCTGCTAGAGGAGCAAGAGCGCGAACTGGCGCACGAGAAAGAATCGGAGCGGGAGGTCGAAGGGGCACCGCCCGCAAAGGCAAAGCCGCACGCTGTATCTTCAGCCCTTAAGACCCTCGTTCAGACCGGCTCGACGAGTCTTGCATCGTTCTACACTCTGTACGATTGTCTTGATTTCACCTCCGTCCAGAGCGAGGTCGGGGCTGCGTCGACGGCCTTCTTCCGAGGGCGGAACATTCTCGCGACCGTCGACTTCAAGGAGACGATTGAAATTGCACCCCGAGCGCAGCACGAGAAGGATGGCTTCATACGTCCCGTGCAGTGGATCGTGACCACAAACGCATTCCCCGACGTGCTTCTGCTCATCAGTCCCTTCGAGGCCGACAAGATCATCACCGGCATCCGTAGATCCCCCACCGTCCGATTGCACGTGTATTCGCCGCGCGTCTCGCGCAACATGCGCGCATTCGACGACCTGAAGTTCCTCATCACGCCGTCGGCGGCGGCTGCCTCCTTCCTCCCTCCGGCGAGCATAACCATCCACGAACTCAATCTCTTTGCCGGAAACCTCTTCCTGAGGGATAAGGATGCTTTCCAGCAGGTGTGCCAGCTGCTCGGGCTTCACCTTGGCGAGATCCCGGACGCACTGAAGGGCAAGGTCGGCGTGGATGGGTTCGTGTCGCAGCAGGACGATCGTGACGCGCTGGGTATCGTGGCTTGTCTCTTCGAGAAGAGCCCGAGCGCGGTGCTTCGAGCGCTCTTGGACTTGCGTCGCAAGGGACAGGGCTTCCTCCTCACGCACATCGGGCAGATGTTGTATGGCAATGAGATTGGTAGTGACGAGTTCTAGATGGACGGAAGGGTGGTGAGTTCAAGCTCGTCGAGGTGGCTTTCAAATTCATTGACTATAGTGGAACAGCTCCTTGGGCATGTACAAGCGAGATCTTTGGGATTGGATAGCGATGCTTAGGCGGATGAACAGTATGTGATACTTGCAGTGTGAATTGGACTTGATACGGACGTTATGAACTGGGAGTTTCCACTTGATATATAGAATGCGAACATATTCCTCATGACTGTTTTCTTCCGCGATGGAGCTGCTCGTACGGGCATAGCGCAGTGGAAGCTGCTCACCAACCAAAAACGCTGCGCGCACCTGAGCCTTGAGGGTACGTATGGTTTGCAGTCGACTACTCCAGGCGGCCTTGGGGGAGAGATAGTGCATCAGGTATCGTTCTCTCCTCAAACCATACTTGCTCACCACGCTGGACAGTTGTCGAACGGACGATGCGTAGTAGGGACACAATTGACCGCTGTCGAGAGTTGATCACGGGCAAGTAGTTGTGATACCGTGCAGAGGGCGAACTGGGTATTTGTTTGCAAGCATATGAAGGAATCACGCTACCTTGACAATCTGCATGATATTGAGAGTCGCGGCTCGCAAGCGTAAGAGTTGGGTAAGTCAATGGTGCATTATATGCGGCATGTAGATGTAGTGAGTGGTCGAGTCTAAGGACCTGATGGCGGCCGGTCCCCAGGCGCCTTGTCGCCAAATAATGCGCGCATCGCAACGTCCTGGGCTTCCTCAGGCTTCGCCTCGGCCTCTTGGGCTGATGCCTGTTGTTCCCCACTCGCCTGCGCCACGACATCCTCCTCCACATACTGCACGCCCGACGCCTCCGCCGCGGCGCGCATCTCGCGGCGCTCCTGCTCGGCGGCCTCTCGCGCAGCCTGCCTTTGCTTCGCCTCCGCAGTCGCAAGCTCGAGGCGCTTCCGCGCGACGGCGCTGTTGTGCTCCTGCACGCGCGCGCGCTCGGCCTCGTACTCCGCGAGCCGGTGTGCGAGCAGCTCCTCGTCCTGCTTCTTCTCCTGCGCCTCGGCGGCCTTGGCGCGCGCCTTCTCGACCATCTCGAGCGCACCCTCGTACGCGAGTCGCCGCTCGTTCATGACGGCCTTGATGCGAGCCATTGTTTGGACGGTCTGTAGAGGGGAGGTATGGTTAGGAGTGGGAAAGAGGGAAGTGGGGTAGCGCACGCACCTTTTGAGCCTGCTTCTCTGTGAGGGCATTGGCGCCCGGGATCTCCATGCGCCGTGCGAGGTTACGTTGCGTCTCGAGGACATTGCGCTCCCTGAGGCACACATACCACAACGTATGCAAGTCCGAGAAGCTCTTCAAGCGCAGCTCCGCCGCGGACCAGCTCCGACCTGCCCGACCTCATAAGCCTCCTCCCCCACAAATACATCCCAACCCACGCACCTCCAATGTACTTCGCCAACTGTGGCGGGTTGTCCACCGGGTCGAACATCAAGAACCGGTCATCGCCCTGCGCATCCTCCTCCACGCTCCGCCTGAAGAACCCATACAGGCCATGGTCGTCCCTCGTCGGCACCCGCTCATTGAGCACGCTCTTCACCGGGGCGGGTCTCTTGGGCTGCGGCTTCCCGCGCTCGGGCTTCCCCCGCCTCGGCTCGTCCTTCTTGCTCGTTTTCGCCCGTGCACACGCCGCGGGGGACGTCGAGAACGCGCGGAACGCCGGGCACGGCGGCGGTCGGCGACACAGAGGCAGCATGAGCGGAAACAAGTCGCGATCACGCCGCCGCGCGCAATTTCCGTATTTGGCGCGAACGCTCGTGACAAACAAAGGGCCGAGGGCGGACAAACAAAGAACTCGGGATCGACATAGTTTATTGTGTACACGGCGTCGTCTCGTCTGCAGCGACGGTTATGAAATACAGAGACCAGAGGCCAGCACCAGCATAAGCGAGGAAGCAGCAGGAGGCATAAGAAACAAAAATATAAACCGAGAAAGAACAACACAACTACTTGGACACGAATAATGCAGCATGACAGATAGTCCCAAATAGATAGGCGGTACGGTACGATAGCGTCTAGTGGTAGTAGTGGTCGTCGTTGTCGTCGTGTCCTACGCGAGCGCGCGCGCCAACGCCTCCTACCGCACGCGCGGGTCATCGTCGTATCGCCGGACGTTCTGCCTGCCGTCCGGCCCGTACGCGGTCTCGAAGCCCCGCACATCGGCTGAGGAGCCGTTGTAGGTGTATGGGGCTAATCGGATGTCCTCGTCGTAGCTCGTTCTGTACGCGCTGCGGACGGCGGGGGACTCACCGGCTGGGCGGCTGTTCCCGAGGCCGAACGCGCTCTCAAAGGTTGCCTTGGGCGCAGCTTCGCCCTTCCCGAGGTCTGCGTTACGGTGGCCATGGCCGTGCGCGGAGGGCACGCCGCGGTAGTAGTCGACGTAGAACTTGATCGAGCTGGCGATTTCTCGCGCGAAGTCGCCTGGAGTAGAGGTCAGTATGGGAAGCCATTAGTACGCAGGGAAGGGACTTGCTGTAGTTTATCCTGGACAGAGCCGCGTTAGCATCGAAATGCATGGGGGTAGGACTTGACTTACGAGTCCAACAAAGGCCTTCCGATACTTGTCGGTCTTGATCGCTGCTTCTTGTACTCGGAGGGGTTGTACGCCCACCACATCGCGAGCGAGAAGAACACCATCTATAACCGTTCAGCAAGTGCAACTGCGTGCCAGCACATCCTTAACGCACCTCAATGCAAATTGCCAGCGCGTTCAAGCCATTCGCAATATTCGTCTCGGTCCAGTACTGCGTAGCTAGGGTGTACGATGAGCAGCGCATTTCCATAGTCAACGAATGCAACGCACCATGTATAACCCTTCCTTCCAAGGCTTCGAACTGTACGAGTTTTCTGGTTAAGCAGTTCAAGAATACCGAGAAATCAAACTCACCACAAAGCTCTGATACCAAGTGAACATGACGATCAACTTGATCGTCAAGAACTTGGCGAGCGGCCGCCTAGCCTTCAGCTCGTCCTTCGTCAAGCCATAGAACACGAGAAGGCCGTAGAGGGCTATGCTGGGGTGGGCGTCGGTAAGCATGGGTGTATCACCGGCGCACATGGGTAAATCATTGGCGCGGACGAGCCTCGCGCACTACTGGCGCAAACGAGCCTTGCGAAGTATTGGGGCAGACAACCGTCGCGGATGGCATTGGGGTTGTATAGACGATGATGGCAAGCCTGAACGCACCTAATACTGATAAAATCCACAATCTCCAAATATACATTCGCGTAGCGGAAGTCGAAGCCCTCCGACTCGCAGAGGACCTTGTACTTCTCGCACACGATGCCCGCTATGGAGACGAGCGGGCGGATGATGACATACTGCAGGACGGACCACTAGAAAACGCGTTGTCAGTCCAACGTCCACTCTCGCCAACCCGCAGCTTGGAACAACGCGTTGCAGGGACACCACGACGCTGCGCAATTACACTCCAACGCACCTTGACAGTGTACATAAAGTACGCCTTCGTCGGCCGGTACCGCCAGCAGCAGAACGGGAGGGGTAGCTTGCTCTTGTCCTTGCGCGCGATGGCATTCTGGGCGTCGTGTCCTGTTGCCGTTGCCGCGACGTATTCAATGATGAGGAGCCTGGATGGATGATTGAGTGAGTATGCTGATGCAATGGGGAACGAGGTAGACGCACAAGAAAGCGCTGAGGGTGACTGCCTGGGGTCGAGGTCAGGAACGGTAAACAGCATTCAGGGCTAGGGTAACGTGTGCATGTGCAAAGGACGTGACGATGGTTGAGAGGGGAGGAGCGGCCGTCGCCGCCCAGTGGTGCAAGATAATTCATTGGGAGGGGGTGAAGAGTACTTGAATTCGAGTTGAGGCTCACCTCGTATGCTGCACAAGAGGGTAAGTGAACCGGCAAGAGCGAGTTAGAGGCGCAACGCACCGACTTCGACCAGGGAATAGTAGGTGTAACTTCGGAAGTAGCGGTACGAGCAGAACGAGATGATCGCGTAGACGGGGGGCATGTACAGGATGCGCAAACTGGTAGGGCGGGTGTTCGGTCAGCGCGCAGCCGCAGCGAGCGAGGGTCCGAGACCACGCACATCTGTCGCTGCTCGTTTGGGACGGTGTATGATCTGCGGACGGCGATCGCGTTAGCACGAGCCTTGTGAAGGGAGAGTCGACGCAGACGCACCTGCAATGCTTTATGACGGTTATCGTGGAGATGATGACAGTCTGCGCGGGTCCAGTGTGAGCCCTCGGCGCGAGCAAAGTTGCAGAGGACGCACCAGCGCGGCGCAGCCGCCCGAGATCGCCCACCCAATACGGTGGGCGTCCCAGTCAATCCCGTCCGAGCTCCAGAAGTCAGACTGGTCGACAGCGGCCGTGTTATCGGCAGCGCAAGTCGGCATCGTGGGGGGCGGGGCTCAAGTGTTGTGGTTCGTTGACTGGTTCTTGTATTCCCGGTCTTGTTCCTGGCGGGCTGCTCGCGGACAGGGGAAGGAGGGCGGGGGCGTAGGTCTGTGTGGCGGCGGGGTCGGAAGGAGGGTGTGAGACGCTGCGATGGCGCAGGCGCTTTTCGCTAAGTATGACGGCTTTCAGCAGAGACAAGGGCGGTACGCTTCCTCGGGGCTAACGAGCACGTGCTGCACCGCTTTAGGGACTTGCCGGTCCGGTGGCCCTCGGCAGCGCGCTTCTGGAGTTCGAGGCTTGCTCTTGGCCGTCGCCATCGTTCTGGGACGGCGCCGACCCGCTGGCAGTGCTGTTTCTCCTTCGCGCTCAACGTCTTTCGCCCTCCCCCAGGACGCTGAGCGCGAATTTTCCTCGTCGAGAAATGACGTGGGCCCGCTCTGGTCTATTCTAAGCCTGCTGCGCCGTGCGTCTGCAGCGTTTTGGTCCAGCCTTCTTGCGAGCTCGGCGCCTGCGATCCAGCGATTCTACACAAGCCTTCTCGTACCCAATGTCTATCAGCATACCCGCCATTGAACACTGATCTTCACCGGCCTATTTCCGCAAGCCATGAGGACTTCTACTGACCCTCGGACCCTACGCCTGCACTGGTTTGCCGCAAGTCACCCATGCCCTTCTCGAATGAATGTGTTTTATGGCTCCTCGCCTCGCAAACGATCTTCCTCGTCGACCAAATCTCTACTCACAATCGGGAATGCTGTGTCGCTACTCGGATATTCTCCAACAAAAAGTCTGCTGACCATTCCTTCGTGAGGGCATCGTCACCTCGCTGCCTTTCCTCCTTTTGTCGCTATCGATGGGCATAGCCCTTGAAGATCGGTACACAGAACCGCGGGTGAGCCCCGACAGTCATCCTGATGACAGAGCCCATCGATACAACGCGACTCACTGTCCCATCGGTCGAGGGCATCGGCGAGCGCAAAATTCTTGCACTACCGCTTTCGACGATAACTTGCACTGTCTTCTCGCGCACTCCCCATAGCTACTGGCACGAAGGTACCACCCCGAACGGACGCTTCATTTCATCACACTAAGGGCGATAGAGGGAATCGCCCTGTCGATCGCGCAGAGGCACAGTCTGTTGATCCCCTGGCACAACCTGTCGAATTGCCTTCCGCCAAGGCCGTGTGCGTCACCAGCCATAAAAAGCCTAATTTCGGCAATATCCGATACGTCTCCTTGCCAACCGCGTCATTGGCCAAGCCAATCTCGGATTTTGACTCTGCACAATGACCTCAAACTTCAAGATTGCTGCTGCTTCCTCCACAGACGAGGCTCAGGCAACTACGAGGGAAGTGCTTGCTATACGGGATATGATGCTGGTATGCAGGTTGCAGGTTACGGGCAGTACGGATCGCCCGCTCTTCAAACGCCCGACGGTGCAGGACGCCCGAGCTTGCCACAAAAGCGCTCGGGCGTTGTGGCTGCCAGATCCAGCCTCGAGGCTCAGCTATCAAGGACTCGGCAGCAATACAGGAAGTCATCTTCTCAGCAATAAAGCGGCATGTTTATGACACGGGGAAGCAAGCAAGCCTTGCTCTGGCCACACGAATCGATATACTTCCTCAAAGCTATCGGAATTCTCCTTTGAAAGAAAGGGAAAGCTCGCATGCCTGTTTTTTTCTGCATCCGGTGACCAACATGAGCGCAAGTCGAGTGGCGAAGTAGGGCCTTCACTGGCAGACGGGACAGCACGTGGCAAATTCCGATACGTGCTTCTTGACTTCCGCTCGGCCATCCCTGACAGCCAGTCCGCCTGCCAGCATCCACGTCTGCACCATCCTTGCAGCATGCTCTCAACGCATTTTCTGATGCTCCACCACCTCTCCCCCACCACGCCGCCGCCGCGTAATTTTCCAGCCCCACCACCCATATAAAAACCGCCCCCCACCTCCCTCTCTCCCCAGCACTTCCGCAACTCTACTCTCCAGCACTCCAAGTCTCCTCGACTTGCCCTCGCCACTCTCTTCACCCCACACTCTTTAATAAACGCACCACGATGTTCTCGCTCAAGACGATCACCTTCGCCGCCGCGGTTGCCTTCTCCGCGTTCACCTCCGCCGCGCCGGTGGCCCCCATGGGCGGCGCCGCTGCGTCCTCTGCCGCGGCGGTCACGAACACCGCGGTCGCGATTGCGAGCGCCGCCTCCGGCACGGCCGTCGCCATCGCCAGCGGCGCGACGAGCACGGCGTCCCAGGTCGCCCAGGGCGCGAAGGGCACGGCGGTCGCGGCGGCGGCTGGGGCCACCAGTTCGGCTGCTGCGGTCGCTGGCTCTGCCACCCAGGCGGCTGCCGCTGTGCAGAAGTCCGCCACCTCGGCGGTCGGCCGCGCGCTCCTCGAGGCCGAGGCGGACGCGGATGTGGATGTTGAGCTCCTCGATACCCGTCACGACCAGACTCTCCTCGGGCTCGTCGATCAGGCGATCGTCGACCTGACGGAGACCTGCCAGGCGCTCCGTACGTTTGCTTTCCTTGGTTGATCTTGCGCAAGCTCATGTGTTTTTATAGTCTATCTCCAGCCCGCCAACGCCACTGAGCAGGCCGTCTCTGACCTCCTCGGCGACGTCAAGTCCATCCTTGGTGACCTCCTCAACGACGTCAAGGGCCTCACCGGCCTCGACGTCTCCGGTGTCCTCGGCGATGTCACCGATGTCAACTCGGTCGGCAAGATCGTCGCTGACCTCCTCAAGGTTCGCTACCTTTCCTTCTCTCCATCTACCAACCAGCTAACCCCCTTTTCCAGCTCGTCTTCACCGCCCTCGGCGGCGTCCTCAACGTCCTCGGCAGCGCGCCCGCCGATGTCATCTCGCACCTCCTCCAGGACATCTGCGTCATCATCGCCGAGCTGCTCAAGACCATCTTCGGCCTCGTCGACGGTGTTCTCGGTCTCGTTGGCGGTCTCCTCGGCGTCGTTGTCGGCCTCCTCGGCGACATCCTCCCGATCGTCCTCCAGCTCAACGTGAGCGTCCTGATCCAGGTCCTCGCGCTCTAAGTCCCGTGAGTCGTCTTCGTTTCCCTCATCGCCTACCAATGTGGGCTAATCATATACCTCAGATGCGTTTATGGTCTTCATGACTACTGCTAGAAGTTCCGAATTACTGAATCCGCAATGCAATGCACTCACTGTATCATACATTACACGTTTTCTCTTTACTAGACTTCTCTTCGAGTTCTCTCGTCATGACGCATTTGTAGCCTCTGCATAATGCTAATGTCCCGTTGAACGTCTCAAACTTCAAGTTGGCTGGTGTGATAGTCTGGTCGCAAGCGGAATCCCCATTCGTAGGTTGCTCGCCTGTGGCTAGTCATTCTCCAACTGTTGCTCAGACTAACGCGCGCAGCCTTGCTTTGACTCACAAGCAGCGACCCTCTATGCAGCAAGGGACGAGACCGCTATCTTTGCAGTAGACTTCGCAGCGGGAGTTCGAGGAGCGGAGCAGAGGTATAGATTGCTGGATGACTATGTTACAGGGGAGTCCATGAATGACAGGTTATGCAGGATTGCTAGAGTACAGAGGATTTCGAGACATCCTTCCTACGAAACCACCTCCAACTTCGCATTTACTCGACAGGGATGACGGTGCTGCCCTTGTCCTCCGCCTTCGGGACGGTGACAGTGAGGATGCCGTCGTTCAGCTTCGCGGATACCTTGCTCGCGTCAACCGGGCGCGGCAGCCACACCGTGCGCGTGAAGTTGCCGAACACGGTGCGCTCGGTCGAGATCTGGTTAGGCGCGTCCGCCGCCTTCGTCACCGCGGTCGAATCTGACGTGCCTGTCAAGCCTGCGTTAGCATCTCGCTTTCCTTCTCGTCCGAAATCAAGAGCAAACTCACCCTCCGTCGCTGCAGCGGGCGCGTTGTCCGCCGCCGCGGGCTGCTCGCCGCCCTGCCTCGAGCCAAATCGGCCCTCAATCGTGAGGCTCTGCCCGCCGTCGCCGACGCGGATCTCGAGCGCGTCCTTCTTCACGCCGGGCACCTCCGCCTCCACAATGTACTTGTTCGCGTCCTCACTCACGTCCACAGCGGGGCGCGTGTTGAGGTTCTGGAAGAACGGGTCCTCGAGGAGCGCGCTGCGCCCGCGGAAGCCTGGGTTGTAGTACCCCGGCGCGCGGAAGAGGGGCTCGTCGAGCATGCGGACGAGCGGGCGGAACTCGTTCAAGATGCGGGAGAGAGACATGGTGAGTGCGTGTGCTTGTGTGCTTGAGTGTGCTAGGGTGAGAGTCTGAGGTTTGCGTCGAATGTGCTAATGGAGGAAACGGCGGTGACGCTTGCTTTTATACACGCTGAGGCGGTCGAACGTTCGGGAAGATGGAAGCCAAGGCGAAGCTGCCGATACCATGAAGCGGAGGTGCCGATCCTTGAAGCGGTGTTCAGTCATCTCGGTCTTCCGAGAGCCAGAACGATCTGGGAAGACCCTGCCAGTGATAGTCTGGAGAGCGTCATGTCAGGTGATGGGTTGAAGAAAGGTGGGAAACCGCCGGAAAGTTCCGGAAATTCTCGGCGTGCGTGCGTCTCACGTGGGTTGTAGGTCCCAGTGTTCTCGTGCAGTAGATCTCACTGGGCGCGCCCCTATTAGCTCTGAAACTTCGATGGCATTGGATAGGTCCACTCATTCCAACGCGCTACTCCTGGGCAAAAGAAGGATACATATGTGACAGGGCGGGTCGTCTGTACGAACTAATTGGCGTCGAAATACAAGATCATAGGTGAGATACAACCACAGCGCATAGGTCTCGCATATGTGTCAAGGTACGAGCATGGTGGCAAGGTACAAGCGTAATGCAGCCCCTACAAGAACCCAAAGATCAAGCCAAAATATACAATAAGGTAGTAAGAGTGAGTAGCGTAACATGTGTCGGCGTGTTGCCTAGTGTCCGTGTCGTGTTTTGACTCCGTGCTGCTCGCGAACATGCTCGGTCCTCGACCGAGCATGCGCACACGCTCAGTGGTGCGTGCTCCGAGTTAAGGCCGATCGCTAGCTCTCATACCATTGGCCACTCCACGACGACATGCGCGGGTACAATGTGCTCCTGGTTCTCGTCGTCATCGAACTTGAGCTTGTATGAGGGCACATTCGTCTTCTAAAGAGGTTCAGTCAGTGCACGAACTCCAATGGGTCAATCGAACCCACCTTTTCTCGGGCCAGGTCTCGCGGGGAAGCTACGACTTCCGCGCGATAGAAGCAGCTGGTGTCAGGGTATAGGGCGAGGACTGCAGATCCTCGTGGGAATTCGGGGTACGCGTTCAGGTGGGCTGCGCTGGTAGGAGGTGCATCGGCGTCGGGGAGAGGTATTATGCCCCTCAAGGTAGTGTTGTATTCGCTGGAGAAGGTCAGACGGAAACGAAGGATGAAGGAGTGAGCATTACACTGCAGGACCAGTCTCTTGGGGTTCGGCGTCGCGTACGATATATCTGAGAGTCGTATATAGTCAGCAGAAGCACACGCTATGACCCGCGCACCTGTTCTTGTCGGCGTTGATGGACTTTACAACGATGGCCATGATCCAAGCATCGCCCTCGTCCGTCGCCGACGCGCCCGCCTTATTCTGCGGCGGATGGAATGCGACCTTGCGCCCCTCTTGCAAGGGCAGCTGCTTCGCAAGCGCCTCCCGCCGCAGCTTTGGATCTCGCGAGAACGGTATCAAGGGTGCCGGACTTCGGTTGGGCAGAGTCACGGACACGCCGCGGGCTGCCGCGACTGGCGGGACCGAGCCGCCATTCACCGCTGGGGAGTCCCCGCGCGCGCGTTTGTGCGTTCGCCTGTCTAGAGAGCCAGCGCGCTTGGCGGGGGCCTTTTCCGTCAGCCTGTTATCTCGAGCGGGCTGGAAGGCCTCTGAATGCTTCCGCAGGGCGATGATGACACCCAGGTGCTCAATCGTCTCGTCGAGTGCCCTATGACGCGTGAGCGCTGCGCGGGACGGGGAATGCGCAACTCGGCGCGCTTTACCTTATTTCACGGTCGGACGTTTGCCGTATTTCGCTCAACGCGGACATCAACTTCTTCGCTGTCCTCTTCAGGCCTTCGTAACCGTCGATAGGGAGGACGTCGTCCTCGGGCCAGACAGCAATGAGACGGTTCGCACGCCCTATCGTCTCTTTCGTCTGTGGCGTGGAGTATACTTCGTTCAGGGTATTCAACGAAGACGCTGCCTGCGACCAACACTGAACCTCTATATGACGGTATGTACGTGGGAAAACATAAGTGTTGGGCGGGATCAGCGAGCGGCGCGACTGACCTTCTGAAGAGGCCGGTCGGTTTCCAGAGGCTCGTCTTCGGTCCATATGGAAATCTCACTTTCCTTCAGCGAAGGTGTCGCTGCAGCTAGCGGAGAGCGCTCGAAACAGCCCAGTGGCGGGAGCGAATGACGTTCCACGCGGCGGCGCGGCAACTGCCGAGGCAATATTTCCTGAAATGGCAGGTTTCCGGCTTCAGCCTCCCACCGTCATCAACAAGTTCAACAATAATTCGAACTCGATGGCCACCGGCTCGCAGATCGCTGTCGCGTCGGGATCTCAGACTGTGTCAGACCAGTCAAGCAGGGATCCTAATTCCGGGCCACTGCACTATTCGGGTACAATGTCAATGCGAGTGAAACTTACGGCCGCAATATGCTGCTTTCCGGGAGCTCGCACCCTCCGTTCTCGTCGAAGATGCTGTTCAACAATTGTTCTGTAGGCCGCTGTCCCATCTTTGGAGTTAATTTTCTATCACAGAACGGGTTGGTCTGCTGTTGGTCTGTCAATATCAAGGTCAGAAACCCCGGGCCTGGCAACCGTGTGCTTGCAGCGTCAGAGCCTGCGGATGTTCGAGGGGCCGCAGTCCGACGTCTGGGAGGCCATGGCCGCAGCTTCGCCTCTACGCCCGCCCGCGGGCACGTCTGCGGCTGTCGTTCCTGAATCGCCAGACGCGCATTTCGCCCCCGTCGCCGCAACGCCAGGTGTGGGAGTGGGGCTACTGCCGCTGCCGTGAATGCTCGACGCCGGCCTCGGTACCTAGCACACGCCTTGTATAAAAGGCTCGAGTGGCTCGGTTGCAGATCTTCATTACGCCCTCTGTCTTCCGTCGTTCACTTCCCTCTTCTTTATTGGTATTTAACGATGTACGCCTCACTCGCTCTCCTTGCTCTTTCCGCTACCGCCGTTCAGGCGGGTAAGCGTGGACTCGCGTGGCCGTACTGTGAGTCGCCTCAATTCTGTGCATGGACAGGGAACTGACAGAGACGCGCAGACAACGGTGCCCTCGACCCGGGTGTGTTCAACAACGGTGACGGTCAGGTCGTTGCCATCTACGACTGGGAGACCTACGCCCCGCCGTCGACCAACGGCGCTGGCGGTCTCGGCTTCATTGGCATGCAGCGCTGCTTGGACTGCGACTCCAGCCCCATTGGCCAGCTCGCTGCCCGCCAGAAGGATCAGGGTTGGGCTAGTACGTCTCTCGTGTCTGCAGGATATGAGAACTAGAACTAATGACATTTGTCTAGCCGTCTTCACCCTGAACGAGCCCGACATCAACGGCATCGCTGCCGCTGACGCTGCGGGCTGGTACAAGCAGAACATCAACCCGCTCGCCATCAAGAAGGCGTTCCCCGCTGTCACTTCCAGCTCGGACGCTGGCAAGGGCCTTAACTGGCTCGACGCCTTCTTCTCGGCTTGCGGCACTGACTGCTACGCTGACTACGTCAACCTTGTGCGTAGCTTGCTGTTTCGAGAGGTTTAGCTCGTGCTTACCTTTCAAATAGCACTGGTACGGCACCAGCTTCGACGACTTCGTCGCGCACGTCGAGGAGGCGCACTCTCGCTTCAACGTACGTGTCAGCCTTCGCACTCAGCCCCTTCAAACTAACACCCTTCCAGCAATTCAAGATCGTCATCACCGAGTTCGCGCTCACGAACCCGGCGGGCGGCCAGGCCGACCAGGTCGCCTTCTTCAAGAAGGCCTTCGACTGGCTCGACCAGCAGGACTACGTCGAACTCTACTTCCCCTTCGTCGCGTCCTCGCCTTCGCTCTTCTCCGCGAACGACGCCGCGGGCGCGGGCTACGTCGGCACCGGCTCGTGCCTCTTCAACGACGACGGCACGCCCTCGGCGGTCGGCAACCTCATGTACTAAGGGAGACATCTTGATGTACTGAGTGACTTATTTGGGTGGTCTAGTTACTAAATTATGGGGTGTACCTTACAGTATCCTATCGTAAATGGATGTGAAGAGACAGGGTTATTATTTGCCCAATTCTTTTTTTGGCGGGATGCCCTTGTTTCCTTTCGTGCTCGTCAAAGTATCAGGGGAGTACAGTCGATTGTATTGCCAAAAAGTTGCAAGGATAGCGATAATGATTACATACGTCTAAGTGAACACCATAAATAAGCTAAACAGGAGGAAGGTCGCCTCTGGCGGCAATCTCTGCGGTGAACTGACCCATAGGACTGACGCTGAGACCCGGTGGAAGTCTTTGGTTATAGTAAACCGTATCGGCATGTATCTCATCAGCCGTCCTGGGCCTAACCGAAATCACCCACCCCTCACCGTTGGGATGCGGCTTCATCCCGTCAAACATGATATGGCCACAGAGGTAGTCAATCCGCATAAGCTGATTGTCCTCCTCCTCTGCCACATACCAGTTCTTCGCCTCGTGATACCGAATCATGCACGCCGCGCACGACTCGTGCTTCCGCCACGGCTCCCACCGGTCGAACTCCCCCTTGCCCACAAACTCGCGGAAGTTCGCGTAGATCTGGGCGATCACGTCCCCGACCGTGATCCCATGCTTGTTCTTCACCCAGAACGGCCACGGGAATATCGGGCTGTGCTGCGCGACGACGGTGACCTGCATGTACGGGATGCGCGGGTGCGTCGCGGGCTGCGCGAGGTCGGAGGGGTTGAGCGGGAGGTGGCGCAGGGCGGAGACGCCGGAGGCGTAGGTGACGTCGGGGACCTCGGTGTAGGAGATGGCGGGCGGCGGATAGGTCATGTTCCACCGGATGCACGCCGGATGGGAGTAAAAAAGCGGGTTGACGGACAGCTCGAAAGGAAAGGGCTGTGGCTTGGTGAGGTCGGGCGTGTCCCAACCAGGGGGACGCGGAGGAAGAGAAGGGTGCTGGAGGCCCGCTATCCAGCGCTCAGGGTGGTCAACACCCTGCTCGACAAGGCTGTCAAAGATGGCAGCCAAGTCCGCGTTGGATGGCGGCGGGGGTTTCCCCGTGGCTATGTGGCGTCAGCCCAGATACTGCTCTGGGCAGGCGCAGTGACTTACTGGTGTTATCGACCCAGACCCCGTTAACGCAAGGTCTGGAATAATAGCCGTACGCCTTCCATTCGCGCAAAGGTAAGGGGGAAGGTCGACGAGCGACGCGGTGGTGGTGATTCCGCGCCAGATAATCAGCATGCGCGACGGCGCGGGGCTGATTCCTACCCTCTGTGGACATCGTCAGTGTTGCTTCGAGTGAGCGCCTAAGAAAACGTACTGAGCACGTTCTTTGATAACTTGCTGATCTTGCGGCCAGCGCGAACAAACACAGAAGACCGAGGCTCGGGATCCCCCGAAAGGAGTCTCCTGACCTGCCCCTCATCAAGAGGAGGCAGTTCACGGGGAGGATGACGCGAGGGAGAGGGCACGAAGGGCGTGTTGAGGTCGTTGATCCAGCGGTACAGGCCGGCGTGATCATGATAGCGATCCTCGTAGTCGAAGAGGCCGTCACGGTATTCAGCGTGAGCAAGCGAGGACTTGGAGCGGTTGAAGACGCGAAGGGAGTCGGGCAACGAGAGCTTGGAGCGACTCTTGGGTGTATTTCGAGCGTTGCGCGGGTAGGCCATGTCGGGGGAAGAGCGAGCGTTCAGGAAGAGACTGATCACCGCCACCTTCATCAATATATACGCACCGGAGCTTCGTGTAGTACCTCAAAAGGGCACAGTGGGCACGAGGTAAAGATCCTCGTGTTGAAAGCGTGTATCCTCCGCCATCGTCCATCGCCGTCCGTGATCACAACCATTTGTACCACAGTCCATCATTCCAACCCACGCTCATATCACTGCACGCACGAAACATCGGCGAAGCTCTGAAGAAGCTACATGACGTCCCTCTGTAGGCGCCCAAGCAGCCTTTCCCAGGCCGACGCCACCACAAGACCTAGCTCCGTGACACATCCTCTGGTTCTTGAGCGTCAACGCAAGGGCTGCGCAGCGACGGGCGCCTAACTGTACGAGCCCAAGAGCGTCATGGAAGTCAGACGCAAGAATTGAGGCTGTCGTGGGAGACACTGCGAGGACTGACGCAAGGGCTCGGCGTCCGCCTCCTTGTATCGGCCATCGATCGAGGGCGCGCGCAGGCTGCGAAGCCCAGCATGCCCTTGTGCTGGTCTGAAGCCTAGTACCTCTTCATTGAGTGAGGAAAACGCGCATAGCACGACCTCCACCACGCACCTCACGACACCTCTTCCAGGTACCCCTGCACTATCAGATGCTCGATGTCCGCCCTCCGCACGGTGAACCGCTGCCCCTGCCTGAAGTCGATGTTCCCAAGTTCAGTCGTGATCGTCCCGCAGTCGCGCACGACGCGCACGACCGCGTGCAGGTCCTTCGGTGGGTGCTCGATCCCGCTCGTGATGTCCAGCTCGCCGGAGAAGGTCCCGCGGAACTCCATCACGCTCGCGTTGTACTGCTTGAGGTAGTCGACCTCGTGCGGGGAGAGCTTCCCGCGGGTGTCCGCGTTCGATAGGATGTGCGGCAGCGCGCCACCGGCGGCCCAGTACATGTCGCGCAGGCGGTCCGTCCGGTGCATGTGGTAGGCGAGGAGGCAGCGCTTGTTCCGATTGATAGCGGTCTGGTAGATGATGAGGGCCGGAGGGGGCCCTTCGGCCGTCATCGGCTCGTTCTCTGCGATGGAGATGGCCGCTTTCTCAAGTTCGCGGAGTTCTCGAATGATGGACCTGACGAGGGAGTCGTTGTATTTGAGCAGCGTGTCGGTCTGCGTCGAGCGACGCGACTCCATGACCAGCTGGGTCCCCAGGTCTCCAAACTGACGCGACTCCGACATGGTGGTTGAGGACACGATGCGGAGCGTTGCACGCGCCTCGACGCGACGCGTTGACGGAATCACGTGGATCGACCAAATTAGGAAGGCTTTGTTTGCCACAAATGGATCCGCCATTGGCGTAAACGCTGCGAAGTCCGAGTCTAGCAGAACATCGAAACCGATGCAAGGAACGTGTGGTATGGATGTGAACGAGAGGGAGAGCACTGTACGTATATCGAGAGATAGCTAAGCGTAAAAGGAGAACATATGTGCTACATCGGATGCGATCTTCAATCGCCTCAAAGCCCAAGACAGAAAGCAACAGCGTACGTACAGGTAGGTACTGACAATCGTATGATACAATACAGAAGGGCGCATAGGTAAGGAAGACTAGACGGGGAGAGGATATATGGAGAACCGATCGTTTGTAGTAGCTCGTCCGTGTATATATCGGGGCGAAAACGCGGTTCGGGGCAAGACAAGAAAAACTGTAAGGCAAGGCAAAGGGCGCTGCTCGTGAGCTTTGGGCGCATTATAGAACGAAGGTCGAAGGTCGAGAGGCCATTATTAGACGTTGGTTGCGCGCGGGATCATGGAGGTGCCGGCAACTGGGGCGGACGGCTGGGGCGGCGAGGGGGTCGGTATGCCGTACCACCCTTGTTGCGTCGGGTAGGGATAGTAGGCGTAGGCCATCGCCACCGGCGATTGCATTGGAGCTGGCGGCTGGGCCGTACCCGTGGGTGGAGGGGCTGGGTAGACCACAGCTCCATTGTATTCCGAGGCAGGCGGATACGCGTAGGGGTATTGAGGTGGCGGAGAAGCGGCATATGAGGCGGGAGAATACGTGACGGCTCCGTAAGCCTGCACAGGCGACGTGGTATATGTGGCAGGTGGGGGCACTGGAGGTAGAGTAGATTGCGACGCGAGCGCATTAGGATCAGTCAGGTTGACTTCGTCGCCTTGAGTGCGGGGCCGCTTTGCTGGAGTCGCGCCGTATGGATCATAGCGCTTGCTTCGCTTGCCGGGATGTGCTTCTACCGTCCGTGCTTCTCCTAGTAGGGGCGGCGCAGAAGACAATGGGGCACTCAGCAGTGCTTGCGCTGACGTGGTGTCTATATCGTCCGCCTCTCCACGATATCGCGGCCGTCCATCCGGGCCAACCTCGATTTTGGGCGGGTTACGGAAGTGCGTCTTGTCGAGGTACTCGGGGCTGATGTCCAGGCTAGCAAGCTCTGGAAGCGACGATGGTGGGCGGAGACGTCCATTGGCGACATCATCCACACTATAGTACGAAATGAGGTGCTGGGCGACCCCGCCGATCGTGACAGAGAACGTCTGAAGCGAAGAGGCCGATCAGTACAAATGCGCCTATATTGTGGTACCCGCACGCACCTTCTTCATCAGTCCCCCCTGCTTGAACTTGTAGCTGTTCGTAAGGCTGCCCATCAGGCTCCGCTCGCGCGCCTTATCAATCTTCCCCGGGTCGTCCTTCTTCGGCCTGCTAAGGATCTGGCTCTCGTGCTTGCCCCCATCCTCGTCCGCGGCGTGGTTGCGCGATCGGTGCGCGATGCCCTTCTTGTCCGTCTCCCTGTACAGCAGGAAATTGCCCAGGATGCGGCTCGGGCTCCAGTAGAAGCCGTCCGTCCAGCGCTTGATCCCGCTCTCGTCCTCATCGAAGACGAAGACGGCGCCGGAGGTGATCATCTTGCGCTCCGCCTCGACGAGCCGGCGGGTCACGCGGGGGATGAGCCCGCGGCGCGCGGCCTCGAGGATGAGGAGCGCGTCGCCGGTGGTCTCTATCCATCCCGTCCAGGGGGGCTCGGCGGGCGCAGACGTGGCGGGCTGTCCGGTGTCCGTCGCCGACATTCAACGCGCCGGCGTGGTCGGTGTGTGCAGCACGGATTGTGGCGCTAGTGGGGTGTTCGCCGTCGCGGGCGTCGTCGAGCACGATGGCGTATGTTGTCTCTTCATGTCGGACGCGTCGGGGTGTGCGGCAAGTGGGGAGGAGCAGAATGGAGCATGTCAGCTACCGAAATAAGGTTTGAATCCGAGGAAATAAAGTTTCGCTCACCAGACGAGATGATCTGCGGAAACAGCAGGCGTGTGTACCGTTGTTTGCTCCATGTTTTCGGCATATACCGGTCGGCGGTCCGAAGGCGGGCGACCGTGACCACACCATTCAAGACAAGCGCGAACGCGCATCTATGCACAGAGTATCCTCGCGCGCGCCCCTTCAAGGAGGGAAGACCCAGAATCGAAGGAGGATGCCGTCTGTCAAGCCTAGCCACGTCGGAGTCGGAGAAATCCAACTCTGATTGCCCTGAATAGCGCCACTGTCGGAGCCTAACTCAGACTGGACCAACAACTCCAACCCGCACGATGGCGGGCTACCATATACGGCTCAAAAGCACCGGCAAGACTATGCTACAACATCGTGGTCTTCAACCCATCACTGACCAGTTGCTGGTGGAGGCGGATTGATCTTGTTCTCGATCCCTAACAACTCGCAGATCGCTACGGTCTGCGGGTTCGTGAACCATGGTGCTGGAAATGCGTGTCAGCTCGCCTCTACAGGTGCGGTACAATGACGCTCACGTTGTTGAAAGCGCTCGCGCCCCTGCGGGCCGTCCCCACCAGGCAAAGTGGGCGTAAATTGCTGCACATCCCCTATTTTCACCGTTTGCCCGTCTCGTGTCGCCAACACGTTCTCTTGCACCCAAGCGAGTTCGCGTGCTACCATCTCTCGCGCTTCGTTCTCAGGTGGGAAGGGCGTCTAGAGCTCATATAAGTGCCAGCTCCCAGCAGAAGGAAGACTTGAACGAACCTGCTTCATCTCCAACGAAAGTAACGGATTGAACGCGCGCACAATAGCTAGCCACTCCGGATCGAACGTGAACATCGGTCTGCCCGGGTCAAGCTCCCCTTCGACGGGAATATCGATCACTTCCAAGAACTTCCGTCTCGGCAAGCACTTGTCGAGTGCAAGGAACTTCGTTACTCGCGGAGGTATTGGTGGTGGTGGTGGCGGGGCGACGTCTTCTTCCTCGTCGCTTAGGACGATCTCGTCGTCGTTCCTGTCCACGGCTATGAGCGCGGGCTTCTCTGCTGAAGGTTGTTGTGCATCCGAGGCTGGCGGAGGTGGCGGCGCAGGCACATCCAGCTCGTCCTCATCAATGGCAATCTCGTCTGGGTTCGGTGCAGGGGCGGGTGGTCCGCTCTCGACCCCTTCTGTTGGCCCGTCGACACCTTCTGCTGGCCCATGCACCACCGTCGCCTCGAACCTCGTATGCAAGTGTGCTGAAAACCACCATTCTGGCTGTAGTTGGTGTAATAGGCCTCTTAGTGGTGGCGAGCCGAGCGCGTGGTTCTGCACGTCTGCGCGGAAGTGGTTCTTGCGGCGGAGGAGGCCTTGGAGATCGCCTGCGTGCTCGATGCCTTGCGGCCAGTCGTGAGAGAGGAAGATACGGGGGGAAGAGAGCTAGGAAGTGGTGAGGGTCAGAAAGAGAGATTGAAGAAGGGGAGGGGAAGGACGCACCAGGGACAACCTCCGTACGCAGTACTCTCGTATGTGATATATGCTACGCATAGTCTTCGGGGTATAGGGCATGCGTTCATAAGAGCCTGTTCCATGTCAAGCTTGTGAAGCGAAAGGGGATCGAAGGACGCGCACCGAGAGGGAAGTCATGCGACTTGTATATGCCTGAGGCGCCGGCGATGCGGACACCATTGACCTGCACGCAGCCTGCGTGGCCGAGGAAGTAGATATTTGGCGCTAGCCAGCCCCCGTGGTACCTGTTGGTAGGAAAGGGGACAAGGAAGTCAGGCAGGCCCGATCGCGAGGTGGGGGACGCGACGACGCACAACTCCCACATGTAGTTCGAGGCTTCATGGTTTCCCCCGATAACCAGGGTCAGCACCGGTGCCTTCTTCTCACCCGTGTAGTACCTGTGCATATTTTGACGATGCACATAGAGGGTCAGGGAAGGGAAAGGGGAAGGAGAATTCGATCAGCCTACACCCGCCTCGCTCGCGACCCGGCACACGTACTGATAGAATTGCCTCAGATCCTTATACTTGTCCGGCACGGCCATGCATTGCAGGTCCTGCGCGTTCCTGACAGCCTGGAAGTCGCCGCAGATGAGGAGGACGTCGACGGGGGTGTTGTCGCGCTGCTCGATGCGCTTGATCTCCTCGTAGGTCGCGTCGAGCTCGCCGTGGCAGCAGCCTTCGACGGCAATCTGGGGAGGGTGAGGAGGTAAAAGAGGGTAAGAGGAGATAAGGAGCCGACCTTCATGATGGCTGAGGGCCTGTGGGGCAGAGGAGGCTAGTGACCGAGCTGAGGACAATGAGGTTCTGATCATTGGTGGGCGTCAATCGCGTCGCCGGGATCTTCGGCCCGGCCGGCTTTCGAATCGCTCGCCCAGGACTGGTTGCAAAGGCTTGCAGTCGTACAGAAAACCACGAGTATAGCAAGTACAGACAACAGTAATGTCTCCAGACATTATGCAACTATTCTACACTGCGCCGTAGCCTGTAACCATCTCCTCAGCGTGTCTTCCAGCTCAACTTCCTCCTGTTCCCTCTCCTGCATCCACCCCTCCACCCACTTCGCCCACTGTCTCCTCCGCGCCTCATCATGCTTGCCTGACCAGTATGCCCGACTCCACGCCTCGTGCAACTTGTCGACGAGCTCGACGCCCTTCAGGTTGGGACGCACGATCGAAGAAGCGATGAAGGCAACGCTGTCGTCGCTAGTCGCCGCGCAGGAAAAGAGGTGGTCGAGAAGGGTGGGCTTGAGCGGGTCGTCCTTTGTCTCGCCGTTCTTGTTGGGGATCGGGGTGATGGGATAGGAGGAAATGACATCGTGAAGTGCGGTGTAGAGGTCGCTATGGGGGACAGCTGCGAGTGATCGTTATAAACCAAAAAGCCTGACGCGAAGGAAAACCACGCACAACTCGTCGCTTGCGAGATCACCTCCCGCACAATGGCGCCCCTCAGCACAATCTCCCTCTGCGCCTCCCTCTGCTCGAACTGCGCGTCCGACTTCCCCTTCCCCTTCCCCTCCCCACCTTCCTCATGCAGATCGATCCCCAGCACCTCCCATCGCCGCCGCATGCTCTCCACGAAGCCCAACTCTAGGCGCACATACTCCTTCCATAGCTCGACCTCCTCCTTCGCGGCGCGCGAGTGCAGGGGCGTCTTCCCGCCCTCGGCGCACATGCGCAGACCGCGCTGGAGCATCTTGCGCGCGCTGTCAATGCTGTGGTTGCTTTCGAGCTCGTGCTTGGCGCAGAGGATGTAGAGGGTAGAGGAGGTTGGGTGCATGGCAAGGGCTCTGGAGGGTAATGTGTTCAAGACATGCTCTGGCGAAGGGGGAGGGGGAGGGACGAGCGCACCTGGCACATACACCTGCGACCTTCGTCCTAGCGCCGTTTCGTCGCAATACGTTGATGTACTCGATCCAGAGACCGAGGTCGTCCTTCCACTTTTTGACCGCGCGCTCGAAGATGGCGTACTGGCGTTGTGTGATGCTGTGGTCCGAGACCGTGTGTGGGCCTTCGAGCTCTGATATGGTCGTCAGTTCATGTCCACCTTTTGCCTCCTGCTGGCAACGCTCACCTAGCGCCTTTACGCGCTTCACGCGCAACGCCTCAACGCCCATCTCATACCGTACGTAGCGCAGGAAGTCTGCCTTTCGCGCGTTCCGACGAATCAGCATGGACTCGTATTCCGTCCTGGTCTGCAGAATCTTATGTACTTCTTCCTGGAAGAGTACGTCAGATATGCAGAGTATACTAGTATAGAATAAGTACGCACCTTGGTGAAGATCCCCTTCTCGGTCAGATCCTTCAGCTCATCGAGCATCTGCTCGCGCTGGAAGTGAACGCGCTCCATTCTATGCGAGACTTCAAGTGAGTAAGATCAATCAAGCGTGTAGAAGGGCAAAGAGCGATGTTCTGGGTAACTATCGTTGGTGAACCGTGGAGGGGAGTTGGAAGTTCACGTTGAGCAGCGCTCGATCAGTGATCGAGTGCCATGTATGTCCTCGACGGCCAAATTGGGTAATCGGTGACACGTGCTTCTCTGAAGTCGGACCGCCATCTTGCCGCCGTCAGGCCCACCACTGGTCCAACACCGTCAGTCATGTCTGCAAATCTATCATTTGCCCTATGTTTGCCTTGAGCCCATGCTCCGAGGGTATATCTCGGGTCCTGCATGTCACTCAGAGCGTGTAATGCCCACCTGGCAAAGTCTCTTTTGTATGCAGTTCCGGGCCGGATGGCTTGCGACTGCTTGCGAGGGCACGGCTCAGTCATCCTTTCCCAAAGTCATTGACGACGGTCGTAATGAACTGATCCGCGGCCGGGAGGATAGGCATCGCTCATAGCCGGCCCCGAAGGCGAACTTCCAGCTCTATGGACCCATCAGCCTCTATACACACTGAGCGCTTCGCCGGACCGCTTGATCAAGTTTGCGCACACTCAACTCACGTCCTCGAGGACAGCTCGCTCACGAGGTCTCGGTCAGCCACGATAGCCAGCGAGGACTGGACTGCTAGCGCCCTCCGTCAGGGACACCCGAGGTCAATTATAGCGCGTTTCTATGGTAGCAAACAACCCGAACGCGGGCCCTGGCCTCAATTCTCCGTCGCCCAACGTGCAGCGCAGGCGACGAAGTTCCTCTCGCATGAGCGGAAGTCCAGAGCGCATGGACGCGCTAATCGGCGTCCGTCGGAGAAACGCCCTCGCGGGACGTATATAACGACCGCGATGTGCAGATCGTCCTCATCACCGCTTGCTCTCTTTCCCCCCTCTTCCTATCCTTCTCGGCTTCCTTCGTTTCCTGTCTTTCTTTTTTCCCGTAGTCCCAGTCGGCTCTACGTTCATAGTCCCACACTTCTATCCACCTTGCACCACATCATCACACACAATGGTCAAACTCGCTCTCCTCAACACGCTCGTCGCCAGCGCCGTCCTCGTCTCTGCGCTCCCCTCGAAGCGCGCGAGCTGCACGATCAACTCTGTTGACTCGGCGAGCGACATCTCGGACTGCTCGAGCGTCACCATCAATGCGTTCACGGTGCCTAGTGGCAAGACGCTCACGTTGAAGGTCAGTTTGGCAAGATCTTGTATCGTTTGCCTTGTACTGATTGCATATGCAGCCTGCTGACGGTGCCAAAATCACTGTCGCTGGGACCATCACTTTCGCGAAGACCTCTAGTGCGTATCTTGATACTACTGTCTTTCCGTCTAAGTAGCTCATCGTTCCTTTAGCCGAGGGCCCGCTCTTCACCATCGACGGCACCGACATCACCTTCGACGGTGCCGGAAAGACCGCTTTCGACGTAGGTCTGCTTCTCGAAATCGCAGTTCGATGCTCACGGGCATGTAGGGCCAAGGTGCTGAGTACTGGGATGGCAAGGGCACCAACGGCGGCGCCTTCAAGCCGCACCCGCTGCTCAAGTTCAAGGGCTCCGGCACCTACTCGGACTTCACTGTCTTGAACTCGCCCGCGCAGGCTGTGTCTATCGGTAACAGCGATGGCCTGACCTTCGACGGCATCACCATCGACAACAGCGCGGGTGACGAGGGCGAGCTCGGCCACAACACCGATGTATGTCAGATCATCTGAGGATGTCGAACGCAGTACTGACGAGCGCTCAGGGCTTCGACGTCTCTGCTGAGGACGTCACCATCCAGAACAGTGTCGTGAAGAACCAGGACGACTGCATCGCGATCAACTCTGGCAAGAACATCACGTACGTCTGCTAACCTCTCATCTACCCACCTGTCTGACCACTCGCAGCTTCAAGAACAACCAGTGCTCCGGCGGCCACGGCATCTCCGTCGGCTCCATCTCTTCCGACAAGACCGTCGACACCGTCACCATCACCGGCAACACCGTCAAGGACTCCATGTACGGCCTGCGCATCAAGGTCAAGGCCGCCGCCACCAACGCCGGCGTCACCAACGTGAACTACTCCGGCAACACCATCAGCGGCATCGACAAGTACGGCGTGCTCATCTCGCAGTCGTACCCCGACGACGCCGGCACCCCGGGCACGGGCGCACCGATCAGCGGCGTGAACTTCAAGGGCGACGCGACGACGGTGAGCGTGAACAGCAAGGCGAAGCGCCTCACCGTCGACTGCGGCGCGTGCTCCGGCAACTGGGACTTCTCGGCGCTCAAGATTACGGGCGGCGTGGAGGGCTCGGTGGCCAGCGACAAGGCGAAAATTTCGGGTGGGTCGTACTAGGGGAGGAAGTCTGAAGTCTCGCAGGCGTGCTCGGCAAGTCAAGTACTAGAGCACGGCCTTTCTACATCTGTATCATAGCACAGGTGTAGTCCTGGAGGCTGCACCTTCTTTCACTACCTTCATTCGCAGAGCAATACAACGTTGGGCATATTCTCGGTTATTCACATTCCAGAGTGATATTCTTGAGATCGAAGTTGAAGTTGAACCGTGACACAACCGTGACGCGTCATGTGCCTCGCCCTTGTTCCGTTTTTGGAAAGAAGAACAATGAAAATCCATACTTGTCCCGAACTCCGTACGCGCACAAAGGAAATTGCGCATCTCGCGTCAATGGACGGCCTCAAGAATGACTCATATACATAAGGGATGCTCTTGTGCCTTTGAGCTCCCAGCAACCTTGCTCTCCTCCCCGACGCCGGTCCGCCAGCTCAGAGCATGTTAAGTTACCATCACTACGGTACACCGACTGCCCCTCATCGTCCTGCGCGGGCGCAGAGCTCGAGGCTGGCAGCAAATAAGCAGATCCACAATGTGTGTATTTCTGTGCTCTGCTCAATGTCGCTGTATCTCATAGTTTGGCAGTATCGCGATCCTCCTCCACACAGCACACCGCCGCCGCGTCCATCCTACATAATCCCCTACCAGGATACGGCGCATATTCGGAACGTCGCGGGCGCTTTAGATCAGGTCGATGTCTTGCCACGCTTGGCTGTACAACGGCAACAAGCGTACGGTCAGGATCCTGATCCTGCGCGTGATTCGCGCTTTGGTTTACCCCACAACTTTGCGATAGATCAGACAGAACAACAAGGCTCTGTTCCCTACATTATCCCCCCTCCTTCTCCCACATGGGACCTAGCCTCCTCGCGCTCATCCTCGTTGTCGCCGCCGCCAAGCCCCGTCGACGGTAACAACCCAATGCTTCACAGCTGGCTACCGTGGGAGACGTCATGGAGAGCGTCGATTCCTCCTCGTTTTGCGGCGGACGGCTCCCTCGTCTCTTACATTGGCGAACTGCCACCAGAGATACTGTCGCAGATATTCCTGCAAACCTTGCCGATACACCTATACGATGCTCGACCTCATACTGGAGCTAAACCTCTGATAATCAGCCACGTTTGCCGTCTCTGGCGGGATATCGCGATAGATCTTCCTAGCCTCTGGACAACGCTCTGTTTGACAGGGTGTCCGAACAAGCATGAGCACCGTCGACTCAAGCTTGCCAAGGTTTTCATGGATAGGGCAAGGGGGACGGGAATGCACATTTGTTACCAGGACACCGAAACCGAAGATGCTATACCTTACGAATGGGACACCGTAACGCATAACCGAGGGTTCGAAGTTGCCCATGCGCTCGAGCGCTGCTATTGTGCTCTTGACCTCCTTATTTCTCGCATCTCCGAGGTTCGGGTCCTTCAGCTCTACATCGGCCACGCCTCGTCCGCCCGGATCGCTTCGACACCCGCTGGGGCAGCGGTTATGTTGCGGGATCTGAAGATCCTGTTCTTGGAAGGCGGTGAACAAGCGCAGACGATATCGCGCTTGTTCACTTTCCTCACGGGGCTCAGGCGCTTCAGCTGGGGCAGCTATCTGGACGCTTGCGTGACGCCAGTCCCTGTGGGCGTACCCTGGGAGCATCTTGTCTCTGCTCGAGTCGAGACACCCGTTCCACACGACGCTTTTCTTGATCTCGTGGCCAGCGGTCAGCAGCTCAAAGACATATTTATCCGGCTTTGCAGGGGTAGATGGCCTCTGAAGCGCCTTTCGAGCTGTATCAGGCAAACCACACTAGACAAACTCATCATTTACGGCGACGAGCCTCTCGACAATATCTTCGACGCTCTGTACCTCCCTGCGCTTCGCTGGTTGTCCCTTCTGACAAACTCTGACAAGACACACTCCTGGCCTTTCGCCAGAGCGAGATGTTTTCAGACATTCCTATTGGGAATATCACCGGGTCTCGACTACTTCGCATTAGAGGCAGATGATTGTGTTTCCGAGACGGTCCTGATCTCTATCCTGTCTATGCCACAAATGTGGACACTGAAGGACCTCAATATAGACATCCCTCTCATCGGTGACACCTTCTTCTCGCGACTACATCCCGAGCTCAACACGCCCCTTGTCCCTCACCTGAAGGAGCTTCGGGTGGCAAATTGTGTTACTGCTGATGGTCAGGTCGCCAGCATGATTACGTCACGCCTTAGACATGGCTACCCTCTCCAGTATTTTCTAGTTGCGTTCGAAAGCCATCAGGTTGGGCGGCACCGCGAAGACTGCAGAGCATTGCAACATGCACGCAATATACATACAGAGGTCTGTTACAATGCAGGGGTAGACGGAATGGATGCTTGAGTAGTATGAGTTTACGACCCTCATGTATCTTGATAGTCATTGTCACGGTCAGAGGAAATCGCCGCATCAAAGTTGAACTGTGATTGGGGGTGGGCACCGCCCGCCACCGGATCCGGCATATTTGTACATGTTGTGACAGGCTGGAGGATTTCGTCGCGCACCATTTCTCTATCTCCTCACCCAGTTTTTCTCGTATGCGTCTGGTTCTTACATCGCTGGAAAGCGACGAGCGGTAGCTACAACTCCACGTCGGTTTTTCCTATTTCGCCCATTGGCAGCCCGGATTTCGCGTTTTGAGCTTTCTAGAATACCCAAAATTAAAAATCGACGCCAGAATGTAGTCCTAAATCGTAGCTTTCGAACGCACTACTTTGCGCAGCCGTAGCTGGAGAATTGACGGAGGAGATAGACAAATGCGTAGGCCGTGGAAATATATGTCCAGGCTTGGACACTTCCGCTCTTGCCTTCTGCGGCGACGTCGGACTTTGCCTTCTCGCCTTCTCTAGCCTCGCGGATCCCTCAGAACATCGAAGCGCTGTCTACAAATGCCTAAGGTGGCACAATCCATCAAGAAGATTGTGTCGAGATGCTCAGCTGCTCGGGCGAGTCAATTTGTTCAGCCGTCTACCACCGCGCTTCAAGACATCGAAAATACTCCTCCGCCACAGCCTAGGGCTCGTCGCGCGACCAGATCTCAGCCGGTACCTCCAGCGACGCCTCCTTCCGCGGAACTCGAGAAACTCCGCTCCGAACTCGCTGCTTTACAAGATGAGAACTCGGCTCTGCGGGATACTTCAGTGGAGCAGGCACGGCAGCTTGTACAGACTACATCGGAAGTCCGATCTGCGAAAGAGACTCTGGCGAAGGTACGACAAGCAAAACGCGAACTCAGCGCTCAGAAGCGCTCTCTGGACGACCAGCTGAAGGAGGAACAAAAGCGCCGCGCTCGTATCAAACGCGACAAGCGAAAGCAAGAGCGGAAACGCGAGGAGGAGCATGCCGAGCTCATCGAGGCGCAGGAGTTGCGACATACAGAGGAGTCTGCGTCCATGGTCTCCGAACTTCGCTCTCTACGCGCTCAGAACGAGAAGCTGTCTCACGACTTCGGCATCGCCTGCGCTCGTGTCAAGCGCCTCCAAGTCTCCGCTGCAGCACACCGTCGAGCAAAGTATGCCCTGAATAAGAAGCTGCTTCGCGCTCTACGCACTATGCGACGCATTCGCCAAGGACTCGCCGAACTTCGAAAGCGCTTAACGTTCGACCCGAAGACCGGCAACCGATTTTCGACCAAGTCTCGATGGATCTCTCGACGGCTGGCTTTCTACGGTGTTCGTCCTCAGCATCTACGCGCGGCGATTGCCGATACTGCGTCGCTTTTCACCATAACCCTTCGCTCTCCCTTCATGTCGCGTCGTACTTCGGGTCGTGTCAACTCGGGCGAGTCGTTTTCGTGGACGTTCCTCCAGCTGGGTAGGGAGTTGAAGAACTCGATGGGTGCGTGGTACCAACTCGTGCATTGGAAAGACAAGCTCATTTCATTGTGCAGGATTTATATGTAGTAGCGATGGCACGACACACAAGAAGATTACATATGAAGCTACCGCTATGTCGCATGCTGTGCCAACCTACGAGCCAGGAGTTGACGATAACGATCCGAGCACGTGGGTGAATGCGACGCGATTTGTAGCAGTTAAGGAAGCCGTTCGCCACGACGCCGAGTCACAGCACCAGGGCAAGATGGCGCTTGGGAAGGAGATGATCGAGATGTACAACAGAAGCCCGCCGGCGGTCTCTGATGGAGGCGAAATACCAGCGGATGCGTGGTCGACAAAGCAGCTTGGACAGTCCAAGGACCATGCTGCTGATGGTGTGAAGGAGAAAGGACTTGCAGAGGCGCAGAAGATGCATGACCTGAAGGCACGGCTGGGCCAGGAAGCGTACCTGGCAGATGTTGGCTGGGAGTCCCTTTTGCAGGCCGTTGTCTCGCTCACAGAGGCCGACGTACAAGACGCGATTGGCAAGGAACGTGATCCCGCTGCAGTGTACGTCCATCGAGCTCATCAATCCCCGCTCCTACTAACTTGAATTTCGTAGACCTTGGGCTGAACGCGTAAATATCGCGGACGCGGTGCTGAAGAAGACGCTCGGAGAGAAAGCCTACTTGGAGATGCAGGGACAGGAGAAGGAGCTCAACACACTCTTCATCTTTGGCGGCTGCTGCAGCCACAAAGACCTCAATGCCTTCAAGTACGGCACAGACGCTATAGCTACGCTCTGGAAGACGGAAACACTCGCCACTCCCTCCCCTCCCCTGCTTCCTAACAAGTCCCTCCACTCCATTCTTGCGCTTGGGGAGAAAGCCGGGGTGGACGCGCGCCTCAAAGCGATGGACATGAGCGCTAGTGGCGGTCCGAAACTCATGGCGCTCCTCGGTGCGATTTTCCGGAACAAGGACGACAAGAAGGGCTACCAGCACGCCGGGCAAGCCCTTGTTCAGTCTTTCGAGCGCGAACTTCACGGCTCCGACGCCATCTCTCACGCCAACATCGCCGATGTTAACAACACGCGGTTCCAGTCGGTAGGAAGGGCCGCTGTCGAGTTCATCACATACGACGTCGAATATCGTCGCACTATCGAGACGATCTGCAGCGCAAAAACAAAGGCAGGAGCGAACCATATGGAATCCGGCGTGCTGAAGGCGATGGACTGCGTGGCGACGCTCATGGACTTAATCGCCATGGGTATCTACATGGTCTGCGTCTCAGAGCCATACATGGCAGCTGTTCATACGAACGCCGCCGACGGCTCTCCCCCGAACCTCCTTGACACGGTGGACCTCCATCGTCGTGTGGCTACCTTCTGCGAGCAGGTAGCGGATGATCCTCGCGCGCTCTTCGACGATTCCGCACCCCTCTCGTCTCGAACTCTCGACAGCAAGCCCATCCGAAATGCGCGCTTCGTCTCGAAGTGTCGTGAGGCTTTCCATTCGACTGGAGACGACGCTTTCGCCGTGATCTCTGCTATGTTTCGTGGGGCTGCGATGGGATGGCGGCGATTCACGTCTGAATTCGCGCTCGGTGGTCCTATTGATGCACTCACTCCATACCAGCGCTCCGTCCTCTTCATACCTGCCACAAACGACCACAACGAGGGAGCTCTAGGGTCTCTTCGGCTTTTCCTACGCCTCAATCCCTGCAGCACGACGGTGGCTTTCAATGCCTGCCAGCGTATGCAGAAGAACGGGACAGAGAAGTTTATAGACAAGGTCATCACTCCCGCTCTGGAGACCTGGGTCATACGCAACGGGCGCACCATCTTCGCGAAGCAGCAAGTGGGCGAGTTTCGAGACAGGGTGGCCGCCGACTACCGCGAGAAGGCGGACACCCACGACCAGCAGGTGGCGAAGAAGATCGCGATCGAAAAGGAGCGCTTAGAGCGCTTGGCAGCCGTCGGGATAGTCACCGACGTAGCGGTGATTGAAGCGATGACACTTGCCAGGTTGCGCGAGCAGCTGGAGATCCACAAGGATATTTTGAAGGATCCCGTCCTCACTGATAAGAAGCAGTTCAAGTGGGGGATGGTCAAGGGTCTCATCCCACGTAGAATGACCGTCCTGGCGGCCCTCGAGCGCTATCATTCGTAGGTGATTCACGTTACTCATTACTGTGAGCTCACGAAGTCGTGCAGAGCCAATCCGGGGGTTTTGGAGGCGGTGGAAAAATCGGTCTTGCTGCCCAGCCCCATGGAAGTAGATGGGGAGCAATCTTCTACGCCTTCGGATGTAGAAATCTACTCCGAAGACGACATGATGGACGATGAGTTCTTCTAATACATACCCTCTCGTCCAGAGACCATATTATATTCACTTTGTATCATTTCGCTTCAAAAGTTGCATGCACTTCTCGGAAATTGAAAGGCGTACAATTTTGCTCGATATACCGAGTCCGTAGCTGTACGACATGGAGGAGGACAAGGGTGAGTGTGCGGGAACATCCGAGATCGAACATCTGGCGGGGAGCAAACACAACCAAATAAGCCGGATCCGGTGGCGGGCGGTGCCCACCCCCACTGTGATTCGGACTGTGACGCATCACGTGTCTCGCCCTTGTTCCGCTTTCGGAAGGTAGAACAATGAAAATCCCAGCTTGTCCCGAACCCCGTTCGTACACAAAGGAATCTGCATATTCGACGTCAATGGTCGCTTTAACATACATAAGGACTACCCTCGGGTCTTCGGGCCCTTAGCAACTTTAAATTTGTACCTCTCCTCGACGCCGGTCGCTCAGCTCAGAGCATGTCGCATCACGACCAATACTACGGTTCATCGGCTGCACCTCATCGTCCCGCGCGGGCGCAGGACTCGAGGGCGGCAATGAGTCAGGCGTACCATGTGCGTATCCTAACTGCTCGATGTTGCTGTACCTCACATCTTAACAGTATCCCAATCCTCTTCCGTACATCGAGCCGCGTCCGCCCTGCAATATCCCCTATGACAGGACGGCGCATAGGCAGCGGGTCGCGGGCACAACCGATCAGGTGAACTCCCCGCCATGCCTACCCGCACAGCGGCAGCAAGGTCTCGCTCCAGCGAGACGTTCGGCCGCGCAGAGCGTTCATGCGCGAGATCGCGACCATAGCGCACCCCACACCTTCGCGGCAGGTCACGCAGGCCAGCGGATTAGTACGACTCCATTCGGACCAGGTCCTCCATCTCCTCTATACGACTCTTCGGTCTCGTCATCGTCATCGTCATCCTCACCCTCACCCTCGCCGCCGCCACGTCCTGTCTATAACTACAACCCAATGCTTCAGAGCTGTCGACCGTGGGAGATGCCGACGAGGGCCATGATCCCTCCCCGCCCTGCGGCAGACGGCTCCTGTGTCTCTCACATCAGCGATTTGCCGCCTGAGGTCTTGTGTCAAATTTTCCTGCGCACGACTCCCTCGCAACTCATCGACGCTCGGCCTCATTTAAGCGCTGAACCATTGGTGATCAGCCACGTGTGTCGCTACTGGAGAGACGTCGCTCTTGATCTTCCAGGCTTGTGGCAGAAGCTCTGTTTGACGGGATGTCAATCCAGGCACGAGCACCGTCGACTCCAGCTTGCTGGCGTCTTCATGGATAGGTCGCGGGGTACGGGGATGGAGGTCCTCTACCAAGACATCGAAGCGGACGATGCTATGGACCGCATGTGGGAGATCGTCGTGCGTCGTCAAGGATTCGGGGTCACGCCTGCGCGGGATCGCTGCTACTGTGCTCTTGATCTTCTCATTGCGCGGATGGCTGAAGTTCGAGTCCTTGAGCTTCGCATCGGACATGCCTCCTCCGCCCGGCTTGCTGTCAACCCATCCCCCGCAGGCGCGATGTTGCGCGACATGACTATCATGTTCATGGAAGGCGGCGAGCAGACGCGGGTCATCTCTCGACTCTATGCTTCACTCACAGGACTCGAACGCTTTACGTGGGCTACCTATCTTGAAGCTTTCCCTATTCCGCCTCCCTCGAATGTGCCTTGGCCGCAGCTCAATTCCGTCTTCCTTGACACACCCATCCCTCTCGATGTATTTCTGGAAATCATCGCCGCTGGTCAGCGTCTCGAGAGCGTACACGCTCAACTGTGCAGAAATGCGCATCGCATGAAGCGCTTTTCTAAGCGTATCAAACAAACCGCGCTGAAGGAACTCACTATCTATGGCCGCGAATCACTCGATCCTGTATTTGGAGTTCTACAGCTGCCCTCTCTCCGTGACTTATCGCTCCGAACACTAGCTGGCGAAACTCATAACTACCCGTTCGCCAAAGTGATGATTTTTCAGAGCTTTCTGGCATGTATACGTCCAGGCCTCAATACCCTCCAATTGAAGGCGGACGGGTGCTGTACCGAAACGAACCTAATATCCATCCTTGAAATGCCGCAGACATACGTTCTCAAGGGCCTCATCATCTATGTTCCCCATATCGGGGATAATCTCTTCGACCGGCTGTGTCCCGAGCTTAGGCCACCACTCGTGCCGCACTTACAGGAGCTCGGGGTCGCAAGCTGTGTCAACGTAGACGGCAGTATCGCCGACATGATCATGTCGCGCCATAAACATGGCTATCCTCTCCGGTATTTCAGGGCTACCTTCGCGAGCGGTCAGCAAGGTCGGCATAGAAAAGACTTGGCAGCGTTACAGAACGTGGCTACGCGCGGTCTCTTCACAAAGGTCTCCTACTTCGCAGGAACAGGGTGTCGCTAGAGGACGAGAAGCATCACGAAAGACGTGTTTTTCATTCGTTCGTCACATTGATATCATGTACAACATAGCTATACTACATACTACACATGCTGGATCAGTGCACTCGAACATCCCATTGAGCCCCCACCGCCTCTTGTAGTAATTTTCGAAACTGCGCCGCTCGTCTATCACGGTACCATTCATTGTTTGACGAGACTCTGATCCTGCCGATGCGAGGGCTCTCTCGCATCAATCCCCATGCGTCCCAAAGGAGCATGTAATAATCCTGCTCGTCGCTCCAAAGGTTGCAGGCTGCACCAGGTGCATAGGCAACGCGTAAATAATTCAACTGTTCAGCGTCGAGGTCCTGCAGCACGCCACGAATAGAAGCCTGGATGTTGTCAATCACCAGGCGCTCCAGATTGGGGAGCGTAATTCTATCCCAATGTCTAAGCCGCCTGGTTTTCGGAAGGATCGAAGCAAAACTCGCGAACTCCAAGTTGTGCGCACGACGTAGGATTTTCTGCAGGTCGTTCACGCTGACAGGTATCGTGACATCCACCGAACGGATTGTCTCCCAAGGGGAGAGCAAAGTGGGTAGAGCGCAAACGCCCATCGAGTGCTTGATCGACGTAGAGTCATCGAGGACGAGATGTCCATTGTTGGAGGGCGTTCTATCGCCCGGGGCGACAACGCCGGCATTCGTGTGTGGCGCCCCGCTGCAGGTCGTAGTTTGGCTAACGACTGGCAGCTGAGATGCAGGACGCCCCTGAGTAGCAGACTCGACAGGCGACGAAGGTGGGCTGCCGCCGACGTTGGCAGCAGGGGAACTTGGCTCCTGCTGCTCTGCAGCAAGCGTGGGCGCCTGCGCAACGTAGCTAGGGTTATGGGCCGACACCGATGAAGTTTGTGCAGAGGCAGGCGCGCTGTGAGCGACCTGGACAGGCAGGACGGAGCTAGGGGCTTGGTGCGGAACGGGCTGCGGTTGCTGGTAAGCGGACGGAGGCGGTCTCGTAGTCTGCATCGCTGCTGGCGGATCTACAGTCTGCGCCCCCGTCGGTGGCGCAGACGACGAAGTCGGTACAGATGGCGCCTGCGCCTCATAAGCAAAGTCGCCTTCCCATCTGTTCTTACTCCGGCTCCATATGGGCATCCTGCCGAGCACCGGTCGCGGTGCGGCGGGCAGCGGGTTCGCAAAGGGGGCGCTACGCGCATTCGAAGCAGACATCGGCGGAGGGCGCGGTGCAGCCGCTTGAGGGGCGCTCGACGCACTCTGGTGGACGTAGGGCGTCGCGGAAGGCGCTGGAGTCGCGGTAGGAAGCGGTACTGGTCTGCGCGGAAGAACTGACGGCGGCGCGAGATGGCGCAGCGCGGGTCGCACAGGCAACATCTGCCGCGTATGCCTCGGCGTGTGGAGCGGGTTTGGTGTCGGGGGATCGTGCTGAGCCTGCTCCGTGCCGTTGTAGTTGAGCTGATCGAAGGGCAGTTTCGTCGTGTACTTGCCCTCTGGGCGAACATCCGATGCGTAGTGGACGTGCGGGTTGCGCCGCCACGCGTTGGGCCACTGAGAGTAGTATGCAGGGTACATTGGGTATTATGGGGTGGCGTAGGGTATGATAGCTATCTGGATGTTAGCGTTGAAGTCGGGCCACAAATCAACAGTCGAACTCACTTGAGTAGGGGTAGAGTATGTGGACAGCACCAGGCCGTCGTCGTCTACACTGGCCGTCAAAGAGGTAATTGAACAGAAAGTAGGAGATCGTAGAGTGTCGTCGCAGCTGCTAGCGTACGAAGGCCGTCAAGTTTCATGAAAATGCGCGAAATGTGATGGGGAGGGCGTCTCGCACCTACCGCCAGGCATATGTATGAAGTCCACTGAACAGTTGCCACAAATCATCTCTCGGACTATTGTTCTTCAGCCAGCGGCGAAAACAACAAGGAGGGAAAAGTACAGCACGCCGGTCCGAGGGACGCGCTTCGGGTTATTGTGAGTCGGTGACCTTTTTGTGTGCGACGCGCCGCATTTGCAGCGACGAGTGCGGGGTAGGGTTGAGATTGTTTTAGTCGTAGCTTCAAATTTTCTGCCCAGCTCAATAGCAGACGCGAGCGTTCGCACCAAGGTGACGATCAGTAATGATCGCACCTCGGTAATTGCCGGATTAGGGCTGAACTGTGACGCAAGCGTGACGCGCCATGTGCTTCGCCCTTGTTCCGTCTTTGGAAGGAAGAACAAGGAAGATCTCAACTTGTCCCGAACCCCGTATGTGCACAAAGGAAATCGCATATCCACCGTCAATGGTTGATTCCACATACATAAGGACTACCCCCGCGCCTCTGGCTCAACATCAACTTCCTCCTTGACGCTGGCGCGTCAGATCCGAGCATGTCATACTATAGTTATGGTTCACCAACTGCGCCTTATTATCCAGCGCTGGCGCAGGATCTGAGGATGACGGAAAACCAGCAGGAATACTACGTGCGTACCCCCCTGATCCATTTCTGTCATATCTCAGGTCTGCTCGCAGCAACCGAATCCGCCCTTCAATGCATACTCTGCGCAGCCAGGTTCTTCCTACATCGGGCCCTACGACAGGACGTCGCACGCCGCTTCGTATGGCTCGCAATTTCGGGAACAGACGAATAGCTTGTCACACTCAAGCACTCGGTGGCAGCAAGCGCCCTATCAGACCACGTATCCTGCGTCGCAGGATGTTCGAACGTGGGGTCCTCCCTATTCGAGAAGCTCTGTCTATACTGGCTATACATCTCCCGGTATGCCATATCCGTCTGGCCCTGGGTACGACAACTCATCTTTCTGCCCTCAATATCCAGTCCGTGCCTCAGTAACTCGCATCAACGAACTTCCTCCCGAGCTGTTATCGCACATCTTCCTCGAGACTCTGCCGGTACAGTTATGCGATGCAAGGCCTCACAACCGTGCCGCTCCGTTGATACTCAGCCACGTCTGCCGGTACTGGAGAGACATCGCCATCAGCCTCCCGAGCTTATGGCAACGACTCTGCTTGACTGGCTGTCAGAGCAGGCGGAATCATCGCCGCTTGCGGCTGGCGCAAACCTACATGGATAGGGTTCGAGGCACGGGTTTGGTCGTCAACTATTCTGACGTTGAGGCCAGCGACGTGATCTTTCGCCATTGGGACGTCGTGGTCTGTGGTCAAGGCCTTACATTTGCGCCAGCGGCAGACCGCTGCTACTGCGCTTTGGATCTTCTTATCTCTCGCATCTCTGAAGTACGCGTCCTTGAACTTATCATTGGACAAGCGTCGACCTTGCGACTCTCGTCGGTCCCGCCGGCTGCCGCCGCTGCATTACGGAATCTTGTCGTACGGTTTTTGGAGGGTGGGGAGACGACACAAATGCTTTCCCGGCTGTACACCGACTCGCCCAGTATCACTCAGTTTACATGGGCGAATTTTCACGATGTCTGTCTTCCACGGCCACCGATAGCGGTACCTTGGTCGCAGCTCACCTCTGCACATATCGACGACTGTGTATTGACCCACAGTGCATTTCTCTCCATCATGGAGAATGGACAGCGCCTTAGCGATGTACGCGTGCGCCTGGGCCGCGATAATTCACCCCCTCCACACGGTCGAGCCCAGGTCCGCCAGGCCAAAGTGGCGACTCTGACTATCTATGGGAACGAGCCGCTCGACGTCGTCCTCAGCAATCTCCAACTCCCGTCCCTTCGTACGCTTTCGCTCAGATCCGATACCAACGACATAACAGTATGGCCATGCGCTGATACTCGAACGTTGCAGCAGTTCATCGCCCATGTATCCCCCGCACTCGATTCCTTCAAGGTGTCGCGCGCGGAGAATGTAACGGAACAAGACCTCGTCGTTCTACTGGAGCTGCCTCAGATGTCCACGCTCAAGTCACTGAGTGTCTATGGGCCTTGCGTTCGGGATGAGTTCTTCGCTCGCTTGCATCCGGGGCACGGCGCGCCTCTCGCGCCTCATCTGACGATGCTGGCCATTGGGAGGTGTACGACCACTGACGGCATCATCGCCGATATGATACAGTCACGTCGCACGTACGGATATCCTCTGCAACACGCTGATATCACCTTCAATCGGGACCAGCGAGATCTTCACGCTCGGGATACAGCAGAATTCCGAGATCTAGAGAAATGTGGCATGTTCGTCAGGGGATCCTACAGTACATACGCCTAATCCAGGTATACGATAATCATAATCGTAAGGGACATTATTGTTGTTAAGGATGTCATCGGCCAATCTCCACTGCAGACGCATTATGAGTCGCGACACACCTCACCGCGTGCAGCTACGAATAATAGATACACTATCATTGCACTGAGATTGTCCAGTCCGAAGTCGTGGCCGATTCCAAGGTGACCCGTAGATGCTCCGCTCGATTGTCACGATACCACGGATCGTTAGACACGATGGTAGTCATGCCACGAGGCTCGTGCTTGTTGACAGTCCGCAGGAAACTATAGTAGCTCTGTTCATCTTGCCAAAGATGATGTGCCATGCCTGGAGAGTACGAAACATGCAGCGACTTCAACTCATCGGCCGTGAGGTCGTTCAGGACACCTCCAATGGGAGTTTGGACCTCGTTGATGACCAACGACTTGAGGTTGTCCGCATGTATCGCTTTCCAGTTCCGAGTCGTCCCGGCATCCGACACAATGCATGCAAATTGGGCGGTCTCTAGGTTTGGAGCTCGACCCAAGATGATGTGCAAGTCGTTCACAGTGATGGGTGTGGTCACCTTCAGCGAGCGCGCAGTCTCCCAAGGGGATAAGATGGTAAGAGTATAAATGCCATCCCTGTGCTTGAAGGATGTCCTATCGCTCACGACCAATTCGCCCGTGTTCGGTTGTGAATTGGATCCAGTCGATGTGGTCTCAGGCAAAACGGAGCCACCACCGTGCCCGGGCTGATCATCGGCAGCCTGTTGGAGGTGAAGATCCGAAGCTTCTGCCGCCCTGACCGTCCCTCGGGATGGTTCGACGCTCGTAGCAGGCGGATGGGTGGATGCTTGCACACCCGAAGGTAGCGGAGCCGCTGCTTCAGGCGCAGAAGAGGTCGGACGAGAGTCAGGCTGGGCAGATGTAGGGGCTTGGTACTGGGCGGACTGCGATTGCTGATAGACTGGCGGCGTCGGCCCCGTAGTCGGAACCGCAACTGACGGATTCGTACTTTGCGCCACAGCCGGTGGAGAAGACGAATTCGGTACAGACAACGGCTGCGCCTCATAGGTCAAATCGCCTTCCCACCTGTTTCTTTTCCAGCTCCAGATGGGTGGCGTGCCGTACACCGGTCGCGCCGGCGGCGCGACGGGCGACGCGTTCACAAGGGGGGCGCTCTGCGCATTCGAAGCCACCGATTCAGGGCAACGTGATGAAGCCTGCTGGGAAGCGCTAGCGGTCGGCGCACGCTCGTGAACGTAGGGGGTCGCATAAGCATACACAGAAGGCGCAGGAGTATCTGAAGGGAGCGGCACCGGTCTGCGCGGAAGAACCGGCGGCGGCGCAAGATGGTGCAGCGCGGGGCGTTGAGGTAGCATCTGTCGCGTATGCCTCGGCGTATGAAGCGTGTCCGGCTTCGATGGGTCGTGCTGGGCCTGCTCCGTGCCGCTATAATTGAGCTGGCTGAAGGGCTGTCTGGTCGTGTACTTGCCCTCTGGGCGAACGTCGGACGCGTAGTGGACGTGCGGGATGTACCGCTGCGCTTGGACGTGCGGGTTGCGCCTGTGGGCGGCGGGCCAGTGGTAGTAGTACGCGGGGTACATCGGGGATTGTCAAGTATTGTATGGTGTAGCTGTCTGAATGTTAGCGTCAAGGTCGGGTCACAAATACGTGGTTGAGCTCACTTGATTAGAAGTAGAGTATACAGAAGGCACCAGGCCGTCGCCGTCTATACTAATCGTCAAAAGGGTAATTAGACAAAAATGAGTAAGTCGTAAAGTGTCGTCGCAGCTGCCAGCTTTTATGGCCGTCAAGGCTCGTTAGGACGCGTGAAGGGCGACGGGGAGGGTCGTTCGGCAACCATCCCCGCAGTATATGTATGAGCGCGCTGAATACTTGCCACATAGCTTCTCTGAGTTTATTGTTGTCGAACTGGAGGCGAAAACAACAGGGAAGGAAGTACAGAGCGGCGGACCGAGGGATGCGCTTCGGGGTTATTGTGAATCGGTGGCCTTTTGTCTGCGACGCGCCGCGTTTGCGGCAACGAATGTGAACGTCCAGCCAGTGCCAGAGATTACGAGAGGACCTATACTTCATATTGAAATGTGATGGAGAGGCGAGAATGGCAAAAGGTAACCCGTGGAATAATCTGAAGGAATGGGTCAGAACCGCATCGGAAATTACCGAACGACGAACCGAACGTACACTGAGGAGTAGGCAGGCCGAAGATAAACGCAAGACCTTCTCTCTCTCTCCATCACCTGCTCTCCTCCTCGTTCCTCCACCTTCGTCTCCTCCCTTCTTCCCAAGCGTGCATCTCCGAAGTCACTGAGCAATCGCGCACACTCGGGCTCTCATATAGCTCCAGTTGCTTCCGTCCTTGTCGCAGTAGGTACTCAATGGCACCTATGTCTCGCGGGCCTACAGAGGTTGCGCGTGTGCGGAAGGTGTAGCGTATGAAGGTCGTCCAGTCGGCGCGTTTGGCGGGGTCCTTACGCGCGGCCATGCGGAGGGCACTGGACATTGTATCAGTGAGAAAATCACAGAGTCATTCATCAGGGTACAGAGAGAAGCAGAGTAAGTTGAGCTTGAACATAGGACAGAGAGGCGGGAAGGCTTACCGGCGGTACATAGCGAAGACATCTCGTTGGAGCCCAGATAGTGGAGGCATTCCGCTGCATAGAAAAATCAAGGTCTGCTTCCAATCTCTGTGATTGAAGATGAATCTATACCTGAGCCTCAATGTAGATAATTGATCTACAAAGTGGGGACAGCCGTCTTCGAGGAGATGGTCGTCGAACGCAAGCACAAGTGCGGGGTAGCCGGGCCGGCTTATTCCGGCAGCGTGGCGAGCCAAATGACGCGCGCTTGACCGATCGCGCGCGTCTCATAGGCGCGGCAGACAGACTTGTCCCAAACTCCCACTCGTTCGACGGCGCCCACCTCGACGGCCATGATAGTCAGAAATGTAGCCCAGAGAACAGTAGCCTTCGGCCTTGCTTCCCTCAGGCCAACCTCCTCTCGCATACCCTCCATCTACACCCGACTTGCGTCCTCCTCAGCTTCCCCCTCCCCCTCCCCTATAGGCGTGTCCAACCCCGACGCTTACTGCCGCGACCTCGTGCGGAAGCAAGACTACGAGTCCTACCTTATTGGCCAGTTCTTCCCCCAAGAACGGCAAGGTGGGTACTACGCGCTCAAGGCGTTCGCAGTGCGTCTGACCGCAGGGTGTTTGGTGTGATGTTCAGAAAAGCTAATTGAGAATGAATGCAGGTCGAGCTAGCGACAGTGCAGGATAATGTCAGCGATGTGACTATTGGAAGGATACGGATGCAGTTTTGGAGGGATGCGATCAAGGGGATTCAGGCGGTGCGTAATCTTGCGAGAAGCACGGTCTGACGCGCTGACGAAGTATGACAGGGGAACGCGCCGCATCATCCGGTCGCTTTGGCGCTGGCGAAAGCAATGCAAGAGCAATACCTTCCCGCGTACTACCTCAAGCGTATCATTGACGCAAGGGTGCGTTACGCTATCGCTGCATAGCTCTTAGTGCTAACGCCTACACTAGGACAACGAATTGATGACACCCACGCATATGACCTCCGAGAGCCTCGTAGCTCACGCGGAGTCAACATCCTCTGCCCTGCTTTACCTGCAACTTGCGCTACTATCCCTCTCGTCTGACAATACCCTATCGCACGCGGCGTCGCACCTTGGCGTAGCGCAAACACTGGCTATCTTGTTACGCGCCCTGCCCTTCCACGCAAAGCATGGAAGGATGGTGATACCTGCCGAGATTACTGCCAAGCATGGCGTACGCCAGGAGGAAGTATTCCGGGAAGGCCCCAATGCGAAGGGTATAGAGGATGCGGTGTACGAGTTCGCCACGCTCGCCAACGATCACCTGATCACTGCCCGTACAACCCTCGAACAAGAGCCGCGCGGAGACGGTCGCGTGCCACAAATTGCGATGCCAGCATTTCTCACTGGAGTATGTATTGTCTGCCAACAAGACACTCTTCGTTTGAGACTGATCACTACACGTGCAGGTTCCCGTCGCAAACTACTTGCAACGGTTAGAAAAGGCGAACTTCAATGCGTTTGAGCCGAAGCTCCAGCTGAGAGACTGGAAGCTGCCGTGGCACGTCTGGAGAGGGTACTATAAGAGGATGTTTTAGCTGTGGTAGCGGTCTAAGATGAACATTTCTGGGCGTACAAATCTTCTGGTATTGTTTTGAGACTGTTTGAGGGCCGTTGAGGAGCAGGTGGGTAGTGGCTGGCCCTCGTTGCGCCAGCCGAGGAATGAGGCCGATCCGGCTACTTAGACGCGTGGGAAACACGTAAGGCACGAAGCATTCCTCGGATTGATCCGCATTTGGAAACACGGCTACGGGCACACAACGATCATGAATACGTGCATCCCTGCTTGTCTCCGACAACCACCGCGCTCAGCTCGCAGGATCGCCGCCGCCGTCGCGCACGACGCGCTCGACAACACCCGACATCGTCCCCGAGCACCGGCCTCGGCAGCCGTGCGCGCTCATGAATAGCCTCTCCGGTGCGCCGCGCGCGGATTTTGCTGCATTGTCGCACGAGGACTAATCCGTGTTTTAGACGAGCTCGTGCAGCTCATATTCTATGGCCTGGAGGACCCCGCGGCGTTCTCTGCCACCTCGAGACGGTGCCTCGCGCTCTCGAGGGACCCCTACGTGCGCGCAAATTACTTCATCGCTCGCCACGGGCCACAGGAGGCGTTGTTCCATGCGCTGGGCAGGGGGAAGCTGCTCACGGAACGTGTTCTCGATGTGCGTCACAGTACTTTTCGCGCGTACTTCCTGTGCTGATCGGGGCCCAGGTGCTCTTTGGGATGGCGCACGTATCACGCTACATCTGCCAGGTCGCCATACACCACTACTTCTACACCCAGACCCATTTCATCAAGACGGAGTGGGTCAGAGGGCTGTCCCTACCCGTCTTCGTGCACTTTATGAAGCTCGCGACGGACAAGTACGGCGATATACCTCGGGGAAAGGTGCGCCACTCTCACAATGCGGCGTCCGCAGACTGCTCACCGATCGCCAGGGCGAGGACGACGGCTCGCTCTTCTCCGCGTTCATTTTCGACAGCAAGATCCCGGGGATCTCAAGACAAGTGTCTTGGGAAGCCATCCGAGAGATCGTCGAGATCTACCATGTACGCCAGTAAACCCCTACCATTTTTCCTGTGGCTGACACCGCCACCCCGCAGTTCATCCCTTTCAGCACGAAGGTGAGTCACCTTCATGCCCTCTTCTTCCCCGCATATAACCCAGCTCCACCCTCATAGGACCCACTCATGGCTAGCTTCCCACTTGCACTGTCCATAGAACCTCGGCTGCTTCCGTACGCCGAAGCTAATGGGTTCAGGATGAATCCGAAGGTATGCCGACATGACCGAGAGTGAAAGTTCACTGACTCCCATCCTAGTACCGTGACTTCGTCTTCCGGAGGATGTTTGAGAAGAACGGAGACCCGGGTTTCGAAGGGGTTGACCGCATATGCAGTAACGTACAGGAACTGTGTCGACTCGATGAGAGGTGCGTATATGCATGATCATCATGATGCCCTTGAGAGCTTACTGACGCGACTGTGACCCACAGGATGTTCGTGAGCCGGACTGTAGCGGCGGAAGTATGCATGGAGTGCCACGCGAATGATAATGCATATCAAGCACTCAAACGGCTGGGAAAGCAAGGTCACCTGCGCTTCGAGATATCGACGTTGGTTGCCGATCTCATCAAGGTGGGGCATATCTCTTCGAGCACGTTCTCTTGCCTGACGCATACATCCAGTCCTTCGCCCGCACCCGCTCCGTTACCTATCCCTCAACCCTCTTCGTACTGAAGCGTCTATTCACCGACTTCCCCTCCGAAGATCCCAAGGTCCTCCATGTCATGCACCTTACCTGCTTCCTCGCCATTGACCCTGACGCGCCGAACCACACGGGCGTGTCCGACCGCCTTCGCGAGCTCGGTCTGAAGGCGCTGACGCGCACGGATCTGCTGCGCGTATTTGCGAGTCCGTTCATGGACAGGTTCAAGTGCGGGGTGGACTATGCGGAGCATGCGGTCGATATGGGCCGCGGGAAGAAGGGGATGAATGCGGCAGAGAAAGAGGAGTTCCTGGACGATGTGGCGAGGAATGTGCTTACGATGGGCTGCAACGTGAGTGGAGGCTATAACATTGGCGTGCTTTACGCTAAGGCATGTCTGTTTTCAAGGGTAACCTCCTCAAGAAGCTGTCCGAGACGTACGAACACGTCGGGAACACGCTCGTAGTCACTGCGCACACACTCAAGATGAACATGGACAACCTGCCTCCTCCGGACAACGCCGATGCATGCGCAAGGTTCAAGGCGCGCTTGTGTCCAGATCTCTGGCTGCCGGACCGGCCGCCTCTTGTCACTGGCAAGGGCCTCAATATTATCGAGGATGAGCACAGCGCGATGTACGTGGATACTGATAACGATGTCAACGGTCTGGTAGGCTTCGTGTCATCTCTTTGACTAGCTTATGACTTACAAACTCTGCAGGGCCACATCACGCAGTCGACATTGTCAAGTGCGATACGATGCGATGAGCTTTCGCCCGCTAATCGCACTCGCCGGCGATCTCTTCTCATCTATGGCGACGTCATGGGCTCCATGCCCACCAATGGGAGGCAACTGAGCGTACGTCGATTGAATATCCCATCTGCCTTTCCCGCTCATTACTCCAACAGGTCTCCGAATGGGTCAGGATCACCTTCGGCCCCAAGAGCTCGATGGCGGCGATCCTCCTCACCCATGCTCTCATCAACAGCCACACTCATGTGAGTACATCGTCTCTGGTCTTCCAAGCTTGTGCTGAATGCCCAGTGGCAGGACATAAATTGCTTGATGCCCTCCGACTCGATGTATATGACTATGGCGAAGAAGCCCCAGCCAGAGCGCGTCCCCATTACCCTGGAACATTTCCAGATGATGGCTCGTATGGGCAGAGCACCAGTGCGCTATGAATGACCCTCTCCGTGACACCCCTCCTGATTGTGTTCCCTAGCATTGGTACATGTTCAGCGAGATCGAGAAGGGCGCGGAGTTTTACTACACGGCGGACGATTATCTGACGCCTGAGACGAAGAGCACTGGCACCTCGGGCAACACACGAGGCTCGTCCAGGCGACAGAGCTTGCCGACGCCGCGCTCGTCAGTGCGCGTGCTCAAGCGCCCACGACGCTCGGCCGCGAAGGCGGTGGTCTCGTACGTCGTACCCGATTCCGACGAGGACGACAAGGAGGTGGTCGAGGGCGGCGAGACGAAGCCTGCGGCCCCGAAGGCGACCGAGACGGCGCTGCAGAAGTGGGTGACGCACTTGAGCGATATGCTGAGGGCGGAGGAGCGGAAAGTCAGTGGGCTCAACTGATCTGCGATCACTGTACTGACGAGTTACAGCACAAGGCAGCGAGGAAAGCCTGGGAGGTCCACCACGACCCGAGTGTGCCTGCGCCTACGAAGGTAAGTTTTCGTGAACTCAGGTCATGACGCAGTACTGACCTATCCCCTCAGAACGCGTTTCACAAGACCCTCACCACTCATATGCGCAGCCTACGCAAGCTCCTTCGTGAGCAGTCTTCATCCACTGCCGCCGAGGTCGAGAACGTATACAGCGACCTCGACGACGATGACGAGGAGTACCAGTACCGCCCCACAGTCCGCTACAAGCGCAGAAAGACAACGAATAATGCCTCGTAATATATTGGCACGGACTACCATCTCTCCTCTCAGCATCTTTTCTCCTGGCATGCCTCTCCTATGACTTTTATTCCTCTCATCTGTTTCTTTTACGCATCTTCATCCTCATTCCCATTCCCCATACGCACAATTGCATTGGCATCACACCAGCATAGACCTACTTTATTCATCATCTAGTACATAGTGCGCACCTCCTGACCGGCTGGGATACTCAGCATACTCATCCTCCCTACTTTACCTCCTCGACCATGGCCTTGACGTCTTTGATGACAATGACAGTGAGCACTAACGCTCGTTGGTACTGTGTTGTAGGCAGTATCTGTATCATCTGATGGACTTTCACTCTCTTACTGACCGTATACGAGGTGGCCGACTGCTACCGCACGCGCAGTGTTATCGACGCTCGGTCCACGACTTTCGTCTAGGTGAGTATGATATTATTGCTGGCCAAAACACTTCCGCAGATACATGGAGAAAAAGGTCCAAATCCACCAAGTCTAGAGTCCCCAATTACCCTCGCTATACCATAAAGAAAGTCCGTATCTTCAATCAGTAGATCACCTTCAGCCTCCCGCTCTGCGCCAAGCTCGGCAGAAGGGACTTCAGCTCCTCGGCGATGCCCTTCGCCGCATCGTCCTTCGACCATCCGTCGAACCGCGTTACTGCTCTCATGTCGTAGTTTCGGACAGTGGCCAGGATATCCGCGCGCTTGCAGACGCCGACGAGGTTCACGGTGAGGAGGCGCAGCATCTGGAAGTCGTCGAGGACGTCGGAGAGCGTGCGCCAGTTGCCCATGACGCTCAGGTCGCGCGGTTCGCAGACGTTGGGCAGCCAGACTTCGACCTCTTGCACCTGGGCGGAGACGCCGGAGAGTGTGGGGGCGAGCATGCGCTCAGGCAGCCCGTAGAGACGGAAGCACCGCAGATCGCGGTGTTTCGTCAGGTCTATGGCGTTGGAGAGGTCTGCGTCGTGATGAGCATGGCCGTACGAGATGGAGACGGAGCATACTGTAGGGCTTACCGAACTCCCCGGCGATCATCAATGTGTCCCGGAACTCGAAGGTCTCCAGGTAGAGCGCCGCATCAAGCAGCTGCTGCACCGCTTCCAGATCGTTGCTCATGTTGTCCGCGAGTATCGGGATGCCGACGGAGAGGGATACGGCAAGCGAACGCAAGTTAGGCGTCACGACGCGCTTCGCGAGCGCGTGCATGAAGGGGATGGGGACGTGTTCGAGGGTCAGCTTCTCCAGCGAAGGGACCCCGTCATGCGGCCCCGCCCGCCCCGAACCTGCCCTCTCCGCCCGCGGCATGTCGAGCTTGAGCTCCTGCAGCGCGGGGTGCGCGCAGATAAAGTCCACGAAGTCGTCGACGGACGGGTACCCCGGCAGGCAGAGCTTGAGCACGGTCACGCGCGCGAACGCCCCGAAGCGCGCTTCGGCGGCGCGTGGCGTCCAGTTCGCGTACAGCACCGTGAGCTGCTCGACGTGCGCGAATGCGTCCGGGACGAGAGAGGCGGCGAGCAGCTTGTCGAGGAGGGGCTCGCGCCCGTGCGTCGCGTTCTGCCGCACGTGCAGTGCGCGCGTCCGCCCGCGGCCGAGGGTGCCTGAGGGCGCGGTGAGCAGTGCGAGGAAGCCGTCGACGTTGTCGGGTGTGAGGTGCAGCGTGCGGAAGGCGTGGTGGCGCGCGCGGGGCAGCCAGGCGCGGCAGACGAGCGCACAGGAGAAGAGGGTGGGTCTGTTCCCTTCCAGGCAGTCGAGGATGTAGTCCGTGAGCTCTGCGGGGAGCGGGGGCGTCGCAGGTTTAGGGGCAGGGGGCGCGGGGGCTGCGGGGAGGACGCGATAGAGCGGCATGGCGGGGCGGCGGTATCGCAGGTGCGCGGTGAGCGGGGCTTGATTAGTATGAGTGTAGGGGGGTATTATAGTGTGCTGGGTGAGGTAGTCTGCCCGTTAGAGCCGAGCCATGGAGGTGGGAAGGGAAGAAGGTGAGAGTAAGAAACCAGGAGCAGGTCTCAGACCGCACGGTAGCTGGTTCCGCGCAAGGGGCGGCATGCGCGCGTAGCCGAGTCGCCTATCGCCGTCACCCTGGATACACGCCACAACCACGAGCGACTGCAATGCAAAGAGCAGGCAGATCAGCTTCAGGTTGACCTCTCAAATGTCTGCCATCAGCGGACCGTCGGACATCGCATGTCGCGCACCCGGGCCCTCGATCCATCAAGTACATAGGGAATGAGTGTATTGAGCACCTGATTGTACCACTGGGCCGCTGAGAGTAAGGACTACATAAGTTGTAGCGCAGTAAGGGTGAGGAGGACGCTATAATGGTAGTACATAAATACTTATCTGTCTGGCCGCCAATTCGGCTAGATAAAGCAAGAGGCAGCTGAATGAAGCAAGTCGGCTAGATGTAGCGAGGACGGCTGGATGAAGCTAGATAGAGCAGAAGCGGCGATATACCTATAGCAAGAGCAAGCGAGGATATGAGGACGTGTCATAAGACGAGGCCCGAGCAAAAGATCAGATGAGTCGAGGAGATATGGGTGGTAAGCAAAAATCGAAACGGAGCGACGCGACCGGCGCCTGTGCGCGTGCCCCTCCAAAGTCCTTGGTAGTCGTGATATCTTCACGCGTAGTTCGCTTATTCTTCTTCCAACAGGTCATGAGCAGACCACGACTGAAGCTCAGCCTCACGCCGCCACCGAGCGAGGCGTCATCGACGCACGGCGTACGGTCTTCTTCGCGGCTGCCTGCTTCTCTGCCTCCTGCTTCGCAGCACGCAGCGCTGCGCTCTTGTTCGTCCGCGGGGCGATCGTCGGCGCGGAGATGCTGCTTGGACGCGGCTTTGGCTTCGCGGGCGTTGGTGGGCTGCTGACCGCGCTACTTGTCGATCTACTTAGCTCCATTCCGCTGGCGGTTGGTCTCGACGACATGGAGGCGGAGCGAGTCAGGCCTCCCGCGCGCGGAGTGGCAGACGGCGGACGCGCGCCGCCCTGTGCCGATGGCGGACGCATGGAGTTCTGTGAGCTGCTGCGAGACGGAGCACGAGAAACACTCGTGGAGGGCGAACGGACTGAGATACGTCAGTAAGTCGGCAGCAATATCCACGGGAAGTACTCACAGCTGAAGGACGACGGCGGCGCTGCTCCTCCCTCTTTCTTCTGCGCGCGCAGCATAGCGCTCCGATTGAGCCTCGGCGCCACTGTAGGCGTCCCCGTACTCGCCACGTTGATCGTCTCCCGACGCTTATGCCCCGGGACACCATCGAACGTCTTTCTACGGTTCTCCTCCACCGCCGGGCGGCGCTCGACAGGTTTCTCCTTCTCCGGAAGCTTAATCCCCAGCCTCAGTGCTGCCGCCTTTGTCATGCGTGGCGCAACTGCCGGCGCGGCCGTGCTCGCGACGTGGATCGTGCTCGAGCGCTTGTGCCCGGGCACGTTCTCGAACGTCTGTGCGAGGCGCTCCTTCGACAGCGGCGCGCGCGGGCGCGTGTCGACCTTGTCTACGGCGATGCCAGCACGCAGAGCGGCCGCGCGACTCATGCGCGGGACGATGTCCGGCTTGTCGTGCGTCGGCGGCAGCCCCCGCGCGCGGAACTGCTTCGTGCCGCTCGAGATGCTCGTGCGGCGGCTGCCATCCGCGTTGCTCGACGGCGCGTAGCCCTCGTCAGCGGTCTGGTGACGCAGCTGGCGCAGCGTGGTCGAGTTGAGCGAGCGGATCGAGCCGTACGCGTCGTCGGGGAGCTCAGACGTGGGGAAGGGCGGGGAGGACGCGAACAGGGATGCAATCTGCACCTCTGCCGTCTCCACGTCCGGGGAGCCCATGAGGCCGTTCTGCGCGGCGGAAATGCCGAAGAGGGCACGGAGGGAGTTGGGGCACTCCTCGCGCGCGACGTCGGGGTCGGCAGGACCCATGAGCGTGTTCCACACCTCGACGGCGCGCCGGCGCTCGAGGACGTACACCCAGACGGGGCCCCTGCGAGAGGTCAGTCATCCTGCATTGCTGTGCTGGGCACGCCACTCACTCGCCCAGGGAGTCCGCGTCGTCCCCAAAGAGCTCGTACAGCGTCTCCGGGTCCGTCTCGACATCGAATTCCATCTGCCTTTCCTTCACGATCTGCGAGGTGGCACGCTATGCATCAGCGCCAGCCCACGCGTTATCGCCCACGGCCACGCACCTCGAACTTGGCCTCCTGGATCCGCGGCTCGATGTCGAAGCGGTGCGCGAGCGCGTGGTTCTTGATGATAGCGACCGTGCGCGTCGGGTAGTTCGCGTTCGCGCCGAGGGGGGAGAGTGGCTCCGTGGTCGACGTGACGTCCGAGGCCGCATTGGGGGAGAGAGGGGGAGGGGACGACATATTCACAGGGGAAGTATGGGTATAGCACAGGCAAAAACCCAGGGGCCGATACGCGCTGCTGTATGAACAAAGAGGTAGGCCGGTCTAGGATGAAGGGGAAGCAGATGTCGAGCGGGGGAGTGCGCAGTTGGGGTGGGCTGGGGGAATGATGGCCTGCGGGCGTGTTTTCGACCGCTGTCTTCTGCTTTCCTGGACTGAGACCTAGCCTGGGGCTCACGACACGCGCGTAGGCGCTGGCGCTGGGAGAAAAGAGGTTCGAGAATGAAAGTTGGAAGAAAGAATTGAATAGCGACGTTTGTTGCCGGGTGCCTTGACGACAGACCTGCGGCCCGGGATACCTCCGGCCGCAAGCACCTTCGCACAGCTGCTCAAAGACGGGAAGAGGAGCAAGGTTTGAAAGTCTATCCATCCAGTATGTGGTATTTCTATGGCATAGGCACCGAAGAAACTCCATTGTGATCAGTACAATACATCCGCAGGCTCGCTAGGCAAGTTGGAATCCAAGGTGAGGGGTAAATAAACAGACGGCTCACTAGAAAGAGCACAATATATACGAGGCATAGTAGAACCCAAGAGGATGTCCATCCCATGGTAGATGGAGCAGGTCGATAGTAACAAATGTATGAACATGAGAGACCGCCAGCGACTCCTTCCTCACCTACTTCCAGTTCTCATTTTCGTACCGCGCCTCCCGGTCGACCGTGATCTTCACTCCGAGGTTGTTGGGCTCAGGAACCGCACCGGGACCCTCCTGTATGTCAGGGTGGTACACAAGCGCGTCGTCTTTATCGCCTGCCGTGCTCAGGTCGCGGCTCTTCAGCTCGTCCGTCGCCCACTCGTCAGGCTTGCCTCCGCGCATCTCGTCGAGGGTGTAAGTGTGCGGGGCGTGGCTCGCATTCGCGCCCGACACGACGCCGCCCGATCGCGTGCTGATGACATGGGTCGTCCTGCTTGTCGCCGTCGACGTACTACCCGAAAGCGCGAACGTGCCACCGTGCGCGAGCGGCCCACGCACAGCGAGGATGATGCGCAAGGTCATCGTCGACGTGAGTACGGCAGTCATACTGCTGACCATCGTCTTGATGGGGTCGTTCGGGCCCGTCGGCTGGATGACGAACCAGAAGATCATGTTGACGAGGTTGACGAGGAAGACAGCGCCGAAGAGGTTGAGGCCGTCGCGGAGCATGAGCTTCCAGAGGCCCATGGGCTTAAGTTTGAGGGAGGCGAAGGACCGTGAGAGGGCGAGGGCGAACTGCGGGGGAGGCGTGAGTGAGGCCGGGGTAAGTGCGATGAAATGCAGAACGACGTACGCTGGCGGCATAGAGGAGCGTCGGCGCAACCCAATAGATGCCGACCCAGTTGTGCTTGGGCCCGGCGATGCAGCCCTGGCCCTCCTCCAGGGGCACCGAGCGCCAAAACCCGCATGCGACGGCGGTGACGACGACCTGCAGCGCGAATAGCGCGCCCATGCCCGCGAGCACCTGCCGACTCTTGTCGTAGATGCCGTATATACGGATGACATGGGCCGCTAGCGGGAGATTAGATCGTGATTGGCATACAGCGTAGCCCATCACGCACCGGAGGAGGCAGCGATTAGGACCGCCGTGCAGATCGGCTCGAAGAGGTAGAACTGCTGGCAGGTCTAAGGGGGACATGCGTGTCAGTCTAGCGCCCAAGCTCTGACGTCGCAACACGCACATCCTGCGACCACTTCGTATCAAAGAATGCTACGGCTGGGGAGGGGGGAAACCAGCATCAGTCAGAGTTCGTCTCAGGCAGTCACTTACGCACCAACGATCGTGAACTCGACGGGCATGAAGACGCGGATGAAGTAGAAGAGCGCCTTGAGCGCTGGCCATCCCTCCGTGCGCATGAGCTTCCAGGTGCGCGGGGCCAGAACAAGGGTATCCCAGGCGGCGACGGTCATCGTGCAGACCATGAAGTACTTGTGCGCGCTGAGGTGCGGGGGCAGATTCAGGGAAGGGGGTAGCGCATCCTGGATCGACATGGTGTCGAGAAGTAGCGGTTGTCCAAAAGCAACGGTTGTCGAGAGAGCGGAGGATCAGAATCGCCCAGTCAGCGAAGGAGGGACAGTCCTGCGGCTCAGGGAGCCTGAGGAGGGGGGAGGAGAGATGGCGGTCGCGGAGAAGGAGCGCGGGTGTGAGCTTGACATTTCAAATCAGCGGATGCTGTGATGCGATTGCAACTTCTGGTCAGCCGGTGATGGGATGGCGCCGTCCTTCAATGGGGTCCATCGTCTTGCAGTTCTTCGAGGCAGATGGCTTGCTCTGGATTGAGGTTCTTCGTTCAATCGAGCGGTGCATGGAGGTCAACGTCAACTGATCTCGCGGGTGGGACTTTATTTCCCCTCTCGCACGTGGCTCTTTCGTTCGTTGCGAAACTTGATATGGTCCGCTGAACTCCCATACGATATGACGAGGAATTAAATGAGAAGTCCGACGGTGACCACTGTTGCCTGCCAAGTGGGCGTAGTGAACAAGAAGTACGCGAAAACATAAGTACAATACCTGCCTCGTATAGAAGCATAACGTGTCACAGTCACATCATAGTTTGGTCATTTCTCTCATCATTTTCAGCCGTCCCAGTCACTGAGCAAACCTCAAGCTGGAAGGACGAACTCTCCATATCGGAAGTTCTCCTAAGATTTTCTTGCCCCGGACCCCATGTTTGCGCTCCTTGCCAGACGCCGTAACGCTTCTCGCCGCTGCCACCACTGCGATTCCTTCTACTTGTATAGCTGATCGCAGATAGTCCTTTGCCCAACATGACACAGCGACACATCTTATGATGCCAAGCAATATTCATACGACAAGCCCGAGGGACAACAGACCTGAATGCAAAGTCGTCATCTCGAGGACGAAACGCCCTCCCGATTCGACAGACCATCAGTGCCCTTGCTAGAGGAGAGTGATGCGCTGGTCCCTGCAAATAACCAAAACAGTCCTATACCAGAAGACGCGCTTGAAGACGACCTTGGACGTGGCTTTATCCTGCATCACAGACGGGGACGAGGCTGAACGGGAATCCACAGATAAATTCGAATGCAGAAGATGATTAGGGTATGTAAGAGAAATATCCAATGAAGTATGTGGTACAGAAGCTGAAGAAAAGATCCAGAGAAGAGACGAGATGAAAAGGAAAAACAAGCAGGAAATCTATGGTATCGTACTGGCCGTCTGACATCTATGCCCGCCACTTCTCATCCAGAATGAACACCTCCGCCAGCATCTCTATCGAGTTCACACCAAAAGGCGCACCGCACGGCAAGTGACCGCAGATCCAGTCGTTTCGCTTGCGCGTCTCCTCGTTGTAGAACTCGTTTCGCGCGCGGAGGACGGGCTCGTCGTAGTGGTAGTGGTCGGGCGCGTCGGTGGAAAGTGTCGTGCAGGTGCGCAAGGGAGAAGGGCAGGCGGGTGCTGAAGGTAGGGGCGCGAGCGAAGAAGTAGAGACGGGCAATGGCAAGGTGGAGGAGGTAGGCTGCGCAGCGAGGTATGAAGCTGCAGCAAGCAACATCGAGATCGACGAGGGTACTGGCTCGGACGCGCTAGGGGTTGGTGGTGTTGAATCGCTCGGAGTTGGTGACGGGGACCTCGTCCTCTGGCTCGTCTTCGCATTCTTCCGCGTCGTCTTGGTCTCCTTCGGCGTCGACTTCGCCTTGCTCGACTTCGTCGCGCGCGCCTTCTTCTCCTTTGGACTGCCCTCGCTGTGTTCCTCGCCCTCCTCGTCGTCGGTGCGCTTGCGCTTCCCCTGCGCGCGCGACGTCTTCGTCTTGGGCTCCGCTGCTGACGCTGGAGTGACCACGATCGTGGGGGGCTCCACTGCTACCGCGTCGTCCTCAGTGGTCTCGCCCGTCGCGCTGCTCTCCTCGCTCGTCTTCCGCCGCTTCGTCGACTTGGCCTCTACGGCGCTCACGCCGCGCTTCTTTCCGCGAGAGCTGGTGCTGCCGGCGGCACTGCCAGCCACGCTCGGCGTGGTGGCGCGCGACTTCTCGACGATGCGCGCGCTGCGCCGGGCAGCGCGCGTCGGCGCGGGGGTCGAACGGGCGGAGGTGGTAGGGGCGGGGGTGGTTGCAACGGCGGGGGTATGGGCGTCATCGTTGTTGGAAGTGGGTGTGATATCGTTGGCGGACGCGGTGTCAGCGCCGTGGATAGAAGCGGGGGCGATGTCGTTGGCAGGAGGCGGGGTGCCCGCGCGGGAGGCTGCGGGGACCTTCAGTAGCTCGGGGGCGGGGGTAGTCGCCGGAGTGGTCGCGCCAGTCGACGCTTCGCTGTGCGCGTTGGTGGATGCCTCGCTAGGCGCGCTTGTGGCATCGTCGGACGAGGTCGACGGGGACATGCGCATCAGGCGTGCGGGGAGGTTGTTCATGAGGTTGGTGGACGACATCGTGCGCTGGGTTGTAGTAGTAGTTGTTCGCTAGTTGTGCTCGTTGGTTGGAACTTGGTATGCGTATAGGTCGCAGTGGCTGCTTGAGCGGTAGTAGAGGTGCACGCAGTGGTAGGGATGCGAGCAGAGATAGATGAGCAAGCAGGGCGGGCGTGCGTGATGCGATGCACTCGGTTCTGGTAGCAGATGTGGGGTGGAAAGTGACAAGCCCGCTTGCCACAGCGCCCTCCTTTATACCCCAGCGCGTATGACCTTCGCTTTGACCATTCCAGCCCAGGTCATGACATACACAGCGTCTATTCATCCACTTCCGGGTCTCTTCATCCGCTTTAGGCTGTCCGAAAGGTCTGTGCAGGAGACCGACAATCCGGATCTATTCAGTCTAATCAGTTCCACGGTATCGATCCCATTCAGCCGCCGCGTGCTACTCTTGTCTTTGACACTCGCGGGGGCTATTGTTCTTTGAGGAGCCGTGGGAGACTATTGTTCTTTGACGGGCCGTGGGAAGGTGTTGTTCTGAAAGTAATTGTGTACGGCCTTGGATACCGGAGGCTATTGTATTTGGGAAGTACAAAGGAAGGACCTGGGGCGTTTCAGCTGTGTGGCAACGTACTGGTGAGGCTGTCGGGAAGGGAGGTAGGTGAGCTTGAACGTGGGGGACGAGGGTAGGCAAAGGGAGGATTGATGCGTGCATGATTATGCTTGGCATCAGCTCGCGTAGGCAGATCCCCATCTGGATCGACAAAGAACAATCCAATTTCGCTCGTGCCTAGCAAAAGCAAGGTGTACTTAAGCAGACTTGAGCTAGTACTCGAGGAAAAACCGGCGGGAGTGCCTCAGTAATAATTTTCTACGCACCGTCAAGTCCCTTGCTAAAGCGGAGGTCGCAGGACAGTCGGGGTTCGAGTGCGAAAAGCGAGACAGACTCCGTCATTCGAACAAAGGCACTTCAAAGAACGAGCAGGCTAGACTAGTGAGGAGCGTCACGCTCTTCCACACCCCGCGCATCATGTCGCAGCTCCTCCTCTTCGACTGCCATGAGGTCTTCTGGAGGCTCCGTGTCCATGTCGCCGGCATCTTCGGAGTAGGAGGCTGGAGCGCGTCTGCGTCAGTATGGTGCACAACTGAGTGATACAGACGCTACTCACCCGCATGTGGAGGCGACCGCCCCTCGAGCGCATACGCCGCCTCGGCCGCAAGTCGCGCTTCCTCGTGCGCCTGCCGTGAATCTTCCTCCCCCACCCCCGCCGCGTCCAGAATCGCCGCGTCCACATCCGCGTCCATATCCACGTCCTCCTGCGCAGGATACCCCGTTGAGATCGATGCGCCGGCCGCAGCATACGCTACATCCTCTCGCGCCTTTCCCTTGCCTGCGGTCGATGCGCTGCCAACTGCAGGCCCTTTGCTCGCGGTCGTCCCCGGCGGCGCCTTCCCCTTTCCGCCTGTGGTAGCCGATGTATACGTCCCTGAAATGGTCGCGGTCGAGGAGCGGCGGCCCTTGTTATCGGCGGGTTTTGCGGGTGCGCCACGGAAGATGTTGAGTTCGGTGTTGAGGGGTTCGACGAGGTCGCCGAATTCGAGAACCTCGAGAGCTTTGAGGACGTCGGAGGCGGAGACGCTCTTGTGAGCTTTTTGGAGCGCAAGATCGTGTGCACTGAGGAGAATGCAATGGATCAGAAAGGGGAAGGAGGGGATGCAGGAAGGGATACTTGCGTGGCAGCTGTGGGGTAGGACAGTTGTGAGTTCGCGTTGGGTTCATGATCGGTGGACGCGCACCTAGGTAGTTGATGAATACGGTCGAGCCCTTGATAAGAGATAGTACGGTCTCCTTCTGAAGCTTGACATTGTCTGGGAGCTAGAAATACGCGTGAGCCACCATTCCGCGGGACATGGGCTCCCTTCACGCACCGCGCTCTTCGCAATCTTCGTCACGACACTCTTCGGAAGCTCAAAGTTCTCGATACCCTCTGAGATAAGTTCTTGTTGGTTCTGTGCGGTCAGCGTGTTGGATGAGGCGGCGCGAGGCATGTTGTGTGGTGGTTGATGATGGAGGTACGCGCCAAGACGTCGGGGAACGCGCGAAGGAACGCGCCAGCACGTGGCAGAAACGTGCGCGACGTGATAATCGGAAGTCGAGTTTGTCCTCATACTTTCACTGCTAGATGGGACGCTAAGGGTGCCCTCGCTGTCCGGGACGGTATATCATACCAAGATCCGTATACATTGCTTCCCCTCTCCCTCCTTACCGGTCTGATGTGGGCAAGCCGGCTTGAAGCTCGGGTGCGTGACAACTAATCTTGCAGACAAAGGCCCTATCTTGCTTTCTTCGGAAGTTCCTCATGTACATTGACCCTATAAGAAGATGTGCTCTTTGATCTTCCTAACTTTCCATCCGACACCATGGGCAACCGATTCAGCTCGATCGCGGTAGGGAACAAGGTCACAGCCGATCGTAGACGCGGCTCGGGTCCCATTCGCACCGCCAGATCCTCCGAGCATCGCACCCTTCCCTACCCCAAACAATCGCCGAAGAGGGCCGAGCTTGCACGTCGAGGATCCTCGCACGCGTCCTCTCCCTCGAGCTCCGCGCGCCTTACTCGATTTCGAGACGACCCTCTGGATGCAGAAAGCAGCGCTTCCGACATCGAAGAGGGATGGGACAGCCATACGACTGTCATACGCCCTGTGAACCAGAGCTCGGACAACGCCGCCCACGATGGGCGGAACTCGAGTGCTGCTCCTCCATCGTGCGTCTCGACTCTGCCTGCTCCGACGCGCGACTCTATCGCGCCTCCTAGAGCACACCGCTACACAGCGTTCCTTCACATGCCAATAGAATCTCCGCCCATATGCATTCCCTTGAATCTCAGGCCGATCCCCTCACTGCCCACGCACTTCACTTCGACTCATACGCACATTCATGTGCAAGTCGAAGCGCGGACCACTAGCCTTCCCCCACCACGCGCGCATGTCTCTCGGGAGAGCAGCCCCGACTACGAGCTGTTGAACCCGAACACGCAAGGGCAGGCCGTCTGGGAGATTGAAGAGGAGGGAAGCCATGGCGTTGCAATGACAGAAGTGAGCGAAGAAGGCGGCACATCCCGAGAGATTCCGTCAATCCAAGTCAGCGCTTGCCCAATTTCGCACGTTAGTGGTAGTACCATCGAAGCTGGCTTCATTCCGCCTCAATTCCCAAAGCCGGTTAGCTCTCCGAACCCGGATAGCGTGCAAGACAAGATCCCAAAGCCACCCGGAGAGCCTGGTAAACCGAACAGTGGAGGGTACAATCTTCAGGAGGCCATGCGACTGGAGCCAGGTCATTTTTGCACTGTTCGGGTGAGTGTCCGCGATACACGTTGTCTTCGCTTTCTACCCGTACCATGTATTCATTCACCACGACAGACAGGAATGAATAACCTGGTCAGAACCTATCTCGACACCGTGCGGAGCTTCACGAAGCAGACGGAGGAATGTGTGGCAGCATATACGGTGGAGGTGCGTATATAGCGCAAACCACAGCGGAATGTACTCATTGACGATGGCGGTTGTAGGCTCTCAGGAGCTTTCCCCTACTAGAGGACTACGAGGATCGCTGGCCGATACGAGATTTTGCGAGGATGCACCTGCACTACCTGCAGAACAATGCGAGGAGGCAGGAGGAGAGACAGGCGCTGGAATTGTCGAGGCGCCGTGAGATTGAGAATGAGGGCGGGATTGTAGAGGAACAGCCGACTTTGTAGGCGTGATTTACATACACACCGAAGAGTCTCATCTGGGGATGCATATAATGCTGTGTGCACTTTCCAATCACTTTGAGAGTGAAGCGCGACGGCGTAGGTCTTTGCGGCGGGGATTACCATAAGTAGAAAAGGACGATGTCAATCGAAAATAGCTCGGTATATCTGGGAGACCCCCCATTGTTCGTCATTGTGAACCTTTCAACTCCAAACATACCTATGCAAACGGCTAGGCAACAGATTCCGCCCACACAGACACTAATTAGAACGTATTTCGACGAGCCCAATGTACTATACGCGATCACATGACCGATCACATGCCGATACCGGCCGTAGACCGGCCGGGACCCGGCGTTGACGGCGCGTGTTGGATGTTGGAAACTCGTGGCCTTGATTTCTGCACTATCGTTCTTCTCTCGCTGCTTTCGCTGTCCTTGTTTTCCGTTGCCGTTGCCATTGCTATCTCCATCACGACCAGCAAACGTCCGCAGAAGTCACGAATAAACAACCAAGGTGAAGTAACTGCGCAAGTATGCAGGCGGCAGCAGCGACAGCGACAGCACCAGCGACACCCCCGGGCGCAGCGCAGGCGCGTTCTCCCAGCGGCTCACCAGACGACTATGAAGAGGAGCTCTCCTTTGACTACGTATGGGACTCCAATGGCGACTTCGTGCGCGTGTCGAAGGGGCGGGCATCGACATCTTCAACCCAGACCTCACCAGCATCCGATCGCGGCGGCCAGGCGCTACCCGAGCAGCCCGTGAAAGAAGACTCGCAGGCCGCACCTCAAGTCTTCCTCAATCTCAACTCACCAGCCCGCCCCACCACGCTATCCCGTTCCGAGAGCGCGTCGACCGTCATGACTGGCGGTGGCGTGCCCCATGTCACCGAGGAAGGCTACCTCCAGCAGCAGCCGCGTCTACAGGCCCGCACGCTCTCACGCATTGCGTCGGGCCCGGTAGCCATCGAGCGTGGAGTGGCGGGTCTCTCGATCAACAAGTCATCAGGCCCGCGGCGCGTGCTCATGGATAACGGCGACTTCGGAGAGCAGCGGCAGGAGCAGGACGACAAGGAGAACGCGTCCGGCGCCGACGACGACATTCCCCACGTGGATCTTCCACCAACGAGGCTGCGCGGCGGACCGCCCGTTCGTGATCCTCGCTTCCCTGTGGCGACTCACGGCCAGCCCTCCATATCTGCCAACGGCCGCCCTCTCACGGACCTCGTGCCCGCCCCTCAACGTAACGCAGCAGCCCGCATCGCTGCGCGCAATGCACAAGGCCGATCAGTGAAAGGAGGGAGCCTCGGCAGCAAGCAGGTCGGCTTTGGAGGCGTCTCCGAGCTGCCCGTGGACGCGGACTACGGAGCAGAAACTGATCCTGGTACGTGCCCCAGTTTCCTTCGCAAAGTTCACATCTCCTGACGTTTCCCCTTTGCTTTTCTTCACCTCTATTTTCGCGCACAGGCGAAGATGACATCATGGACGGTCCACCGCCGTTCCCGCGCCAGCGGTCGTACGGTATTACAGGCAATTCTTCGGCTGCCAGCACATCAACCGCTGCCGCATTGGCGACCTCGGGCTCGCGCCCGCGTCGCAGTGCTAGTCTAAGTGAGTTTGGTCACGACGGTATAAGCCACTAGTCTTCGTTCGAAGCCTTTGATTGACCGTCTTGTAGCTTCCGACCATTATGCCGCTCATCCTCAACAAGGCATCCGATACAGCAGCTCGCGCCCTGGCACCAGCCTGGGCATCCATCAGAATAACGACGCACACCCTCGCAATATAGATCAGGACCTCGACATGGCGTACGCGGAGCGTCACAAGCACTCTCGTAGTTCGGAAGAAGTACACGGGCAGCCACAGAAACGTCAGTCCCCACCGCCGCCCGTGCGCACATCTACGGATGGCCTCATCGCCGCGAGCCGCCTCGGGCACCGCCGTCGCGACTCGGACACGCTGCGGTCTGGCGCGGTGCCGTCGGGGAGTCCCACAGTTGGCGAACGCTCGGGGCTGCCGCCCCGTCTGTCGCCCAACCCTCGCGGCCAACCCCTTCGCCGCAGCCCCACTGCGCCCGAAGCCTCCGCGCTCAGCAACATGGCCTCCCAGCAACAGCAACGGGAACGGGAATCAACCCGCGGCGAGGGCAGCAATCCCAAAGGTGCACACCGCGAGGCGCCGCCGCCGCCCGCGCCCACCAGCGCGTCGCAGTCGAACAAGCACATCATGGTGAACCGCCAGATCTATGCTCGGCTCGACATGATCGGCAAGGGCGGCTCGTCGCGCGTGTACCGCGCGATGGCGAACAACAACGAGATCTACGCGATCAAGCGGGTGACGCTGGACAAGACGGACGCAGACACGCTGCAGGGGTATAAGAACGAAATTGGGCTGCTCAAGCGGCTCGCGGGGAACCAGCGCATCATTCGCTTGATCGACAGCGAAGTGAAAAGTGGGCCGAATGGGAGGCAGGGGCATTTATTCCTGGTGATGGAGTATGGGGAGATTGACCTGGCGAGGCTGTTGGCGGAGCAGCAGAAGGAGCCCATGAATATGGCGTGGATTGCGTATTATTGGCAGCAGGTCAGTGGGATTAGCGTGACAGGGAGGTGCTTATATGCTAACGTCCAGTGTAGATGCTTCAAGCGGTCCAAATAGTGCACGATGAAAAGATTGTGCACTCCGACCTGAAGCCGGCGAACTTCGTCCTGGTGAAGGGCCAGCTGAAGTTGATCGACTTCGGTATCGCGAATGCGATCGCCAACGACACCACCAACATCCAGCGCGACCACCAGATCGGCACGCTCAACTACATGTCCCCCGAGGCCATCGAGCTCCCCGAGGGCACGCGGCGCCTCAAGGTCGGCCGCGCGTCAGACGTGTGGTCGCTGGGGTGCATCCTGTACCAGATGGTGTACGGCCGGCCGCCGTTCCAGCACCTCTCGACGATGTACCACAAGATGAAGGCGATCCCGGACGCGTCGTACGAGATCGAGTACCCGGAGTACGCGGTGCCGTCGGTGCCCAAGGAGAAGAAGCCGGAGGGTGGCGAGAATGGGGGCGAGGGCGAAGAGTCGCAGCGGCCGAAGACGCCGACGGTGCCGCTGGAGCATCTGAAGCGGCGCGTGCGCTCGGATGTGATCCAGACGATGAAGAGCTGTCTGATGCGCAACCCGAAGCAGAGGGCGGTCATCCCGGACCTGCTGCAGGATGACTGGCTGGTCATGACGAAAGATCGTGCGTTGGTTCTGACTCTGGTTCCCTTCGCGAGCTGACTGGGGATCTGGTGTAGCTGAACCGCAAAAGCAGCCCAATGCCATTGACTTGCTGGCTGACGACGAGACTATCATCAGTCCGCACTATATGGCTCAGCTCCTGCAGCACGGTATGAGGATCGGTGCAGACGGCGGGATGGACGAGGAAGCGCTGGGGCGTGAAGCACAGGTCAGCTTGGGTACAGATTCTGATTTCTGAAACTAACGTCATCCCATAGCGTCTCGTAATGGAGTTGAGGGCGCTGTACGCCACTTCTCATTGATACCAGTGACTCTCAATCGGACGAGCTTCCCACCTTCCTTGCATGCGAGACCTTCGTGCCTCCGTCCACGCAAGGCCAGCCACCTGCCCACAAATAATATCTACGAACGCTGGCCGCTCCTCTCTACGCCACCCAGCTCCTATATCGCATCGGACTTCATCTCATTCCGCATATGCAACGCCGTGCCACGTTAGGCATCGCATACATCTCACTTCGCATTTGCATGCATCTCACCTCGCAGACGCATGCACCGCATGCCCATGTACCACCCTGCTGCATCGTCGTCGATCGATCGCTGTACTGCTACGCTACTCCAGCTTATTCCGCCCCTCTCGTTCATACATGTTTTTCCACGTCCCGTCGCGCCCTTTCTCCATCTACATCGTCGCGCCTTCTCTCCATCTTCGTCGTCGCTGTCGTTGCTCTGCCTGTAGGATCTCGTTTATAATTTATGTACTGCGCCCTACTTACGGAATGCGCTTACGCTCTATGATCGTAGTGAAGAATCAAGCACTTATGCATACACTAGAAGCTCTGAAGGTAGAGGGTGTGTTCGCAAGAACTTGCAACAACGCAACGGTCGGGTGCCAGAGTTTCTAGTGACCTCGTCTTCCATTTGTACACTCGTCAGTCAAATTCCACAAGAGATGGTATATCCGATTCGTTCTATTATACACTTGAATATATGAGTACGCAAAGAGCAGAGGTCCTTATAACCCCGCTCGAATAACAGTGAAAGGTAGCGAAGATGGCTACGAGCCACAAGCGTAAACGTTCGCGAAGAAAATCGAAGTTCGCATAATTACAGAATATCCCTCAGACACCTCTACAACCCGCTGCTCAGTGGCCCCTTCGTTGCTCAATACCCTCCCTGCTGGCTCCCAACGACACCCATCTGCGCCGGCGACAGCATGACCATGCCCGGGTTCGACATCGGCCGCGGCGGCGTGAGCGCCTGCGCGATGCTCGGGATCGGCGACGGCGTGGCGTGCTGCTTCGGCGGAGACGGGATAAGACCGTTCACCAGCCCCTGCTGGCTGCGCATCGCCATGCCCGACGACGGCTGCGTGGGCGGCAGCATGGGCCCGTGTTGCGGCGGGTGGTTCAGGTTCACGTTGTGCACGTATCCCTGGGATACTAACGACGGGTTCGGTGGCGACATGGACGGGCGCGCCGCGGACGGGTCGTTCATCGCGGAGCCGGGTCGCTGGTGCACCCACTGGGTCTGGCGGTTGGAAGGCAGCTTGAGGGACATGCTGCCATTCTGCAGCGGGATCGCGTTGCTGAAGGACGTACCCTGCGGCGCGAGGTGCATGTACGACGCAGGTAGCTGGTGGGTGCCAGGCGCGGGGAGCTGCTGCTGGTGCTGGCCCGCGTGCGCCTGGTGCGCGCCGTTAACGAACTGCTGGCCGTTGTGTGTGCTGATAATCTGGTACTGCTGTTGCGGGTGGTGCACCGCCTGCGCTTGTTGCTGCTGGTGCTGGTGCATCTGGTGTCCATTGGCCTGCTGCATCTGCACCTGCTGCATTTGGTGTCCGTTCGCCTGATGCCCATTCACCTGTTGCTGCTGCTGCTGTTGCTGTTGCTGCTGCATGTGCTGCAGGTGGCCCTGACGGGCGAAGACCGTCTTGAAGTGCTGCGCCTGCTGAGGCGTAAGCCCCTGCCCCGTTAGGTTGTTGTGCATCATCTGCTGCATGGTCGAATACGGCACGTTGTTCTGCGTGTAACCGCCGTGACCATTCGCCTGCGCCTGCCCGCCATTCATCTGCACACTCATCTGTGCTTGCTGACCTCCAGTTGCAGCGCCCATCTGCGCATGAGCGCCATCCGCCTGACCATTCATCATGGCGTGGTTCAGCTGAAGCGGGGTTCCATGCGGTTGTGCGCTCCCGCTCGCTTGCTGAGTCTGGTGGTGCTGAGCTTGGAGCTGGGGCTGATGCTGCTGCTGCTGCTGCTGGTGCTGTACATGATGCTGCACAGGGCTCGCATGCGGCTGAGCCGCGTGTGGTTGAGCTGGAGCGGACTGGGCAGAAGCGGGGATGCCTTGCGGCGCAGAGCGAGCTATGGGAATCGTGGCGCCGACTTGAGAAGCAGCCGCGGACTGAGGCATGGCAGATGGCAACGGTGCAGACGCTGAAGGAATAGGCGGCGACGCATGGCTCACAGCAGAGGCGCTCCGCGGCGTACCCGGCTGCGACGGTGCAGGCGCCAGGTTCGGCAGATGCGTCGGCTGCGGAGCGATCGGCGACCCCTGCTGGGCACTCAAAGGCGTGGCCGAGTGCGCGGACGTCGGAGGCGAGGTCTGCGACGGCGTACGACCAGCAGAGATGCGCATATGCTGGGTCTGAGCGGGCTGGATCCGCTGCGGCGTCGAGATCGCGATGGGCGGCGCCTGCTGGGCGACCTGAGAGATGTTGACCTGCGCCTGCGCCGCCGCCGCTGCCGCCTGCTGCTGCGCCGTCTGCGAAATCATGCCCGGCCTCGGCGGCGGACGCATCTGCGTGCGCATCATGGGCAGGATGAGACGCAAATGGTGCCGCGCCTGAGCTCGCCCAAGCGGGTCGGTGTAGTGCCAGCACTGCTCAGGAGCGAGGCTGTTGACGTCCGAGTCCGCACCCAGCAACGACATCGTCGTCTTCAGGTACCTGTACGTCTGTCAGAAACCACTGGACGCAATAACCCGTGAGAAAGACGCGTACTTGGGATCGTAGTCGTCGACAAGCACGCGGTCTTGCTCGGCCAATCCCATTGCGCCGACGACAGGTCCATCGTCCTCGTCGTAGCGCCAGCGTTCCTCCAACGCGCGGATCTCCTCGTCCATCGACACGTCCTCGGGGTCGGTCTTGTCCGATTCATCGTCCGACGGAGGCGCGAACAGACTGGACCGACATGCCTTGAGGTCGATCTTCCTCGGCTCAGTGCGCCTATCGAGCATTGCACGTCCACCGCGGCTGGTACGCATGCGCAACGCGCGAGGGTTGCGCGTGGCCTGATCTTGCTCGGCTGTCGGTACGTACTTCCACGCCGACTGCGGAAGAGTAGGTACAGGTGGCTGATAAGGATTCTGTCAAAGGGTTAGATATGCCTCCGTCGCGCTAAATAGAAAACCGCGTACGTCGATATGGTCGTCCCAGAGCTTGTCGCGATCATGCTGACGAGTAAGCTCCTTCTCAATGCTGTCGAAGATGCCCTCGAATCGATCGCGCGGCTTGGGCGCAGGCGGCAGCTCGGGACGGCGGACTGTGGGTTGACCAGGGTCCTGCACCGAGCGCATCTTGAGAGGTTGGCGCATGATCTGCACATCCCCAGTGTTGCGCTGCTTCGCGGGCGGCTCGCGGTCAACCAGGTACGCGCTGTCGTCCTCGTTGAGCGCGGAGAACTTGCGCTTGAGGTCGATAAGTTGCACGCGCTGGGCGAACAGGTTCTGCGCAACCCTGGCCTGGTCGCGCTTGTGCTGCTCGCGCTGCAGGACGAGGCGCGCGAGCTGAAGAGGGTGGGAGAAGTCCTGCTTGAGGCGGGAGAGCTTCTCGGAGGGCGAAGCCTGGGCGCCGCGCGTCTTGCGGACTGTCTTGAGCTCGCGCCTGCGGAAGCAGACATACGACTCGTTCGCTGTGTCGGACTCGTCGTACTGCATTTCAGTTAGAACGGGCTTCAAAGACGAAGGGCACGGACGTACGTTCAAAACGGGTATAATGCGGTGGCCGCCGCGCTCCTCGCGGCGTTGCCTCCAGTGAGGATAGACGGCACGGGCCATCTTGAGTAGATTAGGTGGAGAGGGGATCCATTTAGGAACTTGGTACGACTCGAAATAAGAAGGAGGTAGGGGGTTGGAGAATACATCGACGTAGTCAGAGAAGGGAGGGAAGGGCACGCCGCCGAGGTGAAGGTACGGCGTCTTGTCGTGGGTGGCCTTCTCGAAGACGCCCATGACAAGCTCGAACTCATCCTCGTTGATGAGGACTGGCTGCGGGTGATCGGGCTCCTTGCCCTTCCCCTTCGCGCTGCGAGGGGCATTGCGGCTAGAGATGGCGCCCTGGGCACTCGTCCCCTCGCCGCGCGCCTCCTCGTTGTTACGGTCGAGCCATTCCTTGTCGCGCTCGTCAAGGTAGTAGGTGAAGCCGTCAACAATGGAGTCATTAATGGCCTCTTCGACGGTGGTGGAGGTGGCAAGCTTGGTGATGGGGTCCTTCCACTTGTTAGGTGGGTAGAGCTCCTCGTAGTTGCTGACGAGGCCAGTGTTGTCGGGAATGGGAATGAAGACCTGGGCGGTAGTTGTGCGACCGCGGCCAGTGGCACGAGAGCTGGCGGCATTGAGGACGGCTTGTAGGTGGTGCTCCTGCGGGGTTCAAGTCAGTTGTGGGTCCATGTGTGATCAGCCGCTCAGGAGGGCGCTTAGTCAGCATTCCGCGGAATGCACAGCCTCGCCACGTCGCCCCCCGCCGCTGGCAACAACGGCGCCGCCACTGGTGGCAAACGGGCCCCTCCTCGCTATCGACGGCGCAGGGCATAGGCGACTCACCCTCGAGTCTTCAGCGTCGACGCCGGCGGTCTGCTGGGCAAGCCGATTTTTCTCCTCCTCTTCGTCCGGGATGAAGAAATCGGGATCGACCTCATCGCGGTCGATCTTCAGGCGGGTCTTGTTCGTAACTCGGTGTGTCTTTCGAAGATTCGCATTCTGTGGATGCTGGCGAGGCATGGTACGGTGGCGGGAATGTCGGCGGGTGGGCGCTGAGCGCGGCGTGCAGCGACGGCTCCCTGGCTCGGATTTGGGCCGAAAACAGATCTCGGCCCGAATCATCACATTTTTGTGGGCCTTGTTTACACCGTAAACAAAGGGCGCAAGTGACTCATCACTGATGACAATCGCATGGACCCAGTCTGGCCCCTCTCACGGGCGTCTACGCGCGGCTCGTCTGTTGCGGACGAGCTGCAGGGAAACTCAGAGCTATCTACTGGGCATCTCACTACCGGACGAAGGGGCGCGTAGCAGATCACAATGGGCTCCGGGCCTGCGGCGTCTCAGAGCGCGCTCTTGGCCTATCTGTATTCATTAGCGTGAAGACGCGAGGCAACGCCGGCTTACTTACGGCTGGGAACCCAGATGGTGTCTGATACGCGTCTTCTATCTGCTTCGAGTGGGTGAGGACGACGTACGCGCGGAGGTCGCGTGAGACTCACTGGGTTACGTTGACGAGAGCGTCGTCAGGAAGGTGCTGCTGGAGGTAACCTTGGTGAGGAATGGTCCAGAAAGAAAAGACTGAGCGCGTACCGCCACAGCTACTGTCGAAAGCATGCCGTAAACCTGCGTATATCTGGCGCGTGGCGCAAGGTAAAGAACTGAGGAAGTGAGTACCGCCCACCGAAGCTGTCCGACACCAACCGTCCATGCGGGTCAGCGACGCGGGAGATAGGAGAATAATCATTGCAACTAAGGGTAATTCGGCTACTGGGAGGTCGTCAGTGGCAGGAGGAAGCACAGAACGACGTCTACCGCACCTTATATACGCGATCGCATATCGATGTACGATACGATGTGCGCGTCAACGATTGCATATTCCCGAGAATTAACTCTGATCCTTCCGGACACGAGTTCCCCGACATGCGAGGTACGCCGGCATCGTGGGGTGGAAAATCCATCGATGGGTATTGGCGCACCGTACGGGCTGGGTAAAGGGTATGGAGGGAAGGATGGTGCTGATTGGACGTTCGGTGTATGGGGAAAGGAGACGGCTAGATGGGACAAAGCCCCATAAATTTTTGCGTACTGTGGCTGGTGTCAGCGCGCCTAAAAATTTGATCGAGAACGAAAGACGCACCAAAGCTCTCAAATCGAGCACTGTGTCGCTGTCCAACCTTCTTGACGGTCCAAAAGATATCGACGTGGCGCAAAGACCTTGTGGTCGTCGGAAGTCGTCTGACCTCCGACAACTGTCGATCAGTGGGTCAAACGACACCAAAGCCACGTCAACAGCTTGCGATGAGCATCCGACAGAGGATGTTGCAAGACGTGGAAGGAAGGTCGTTGCCAAAGAGCGATATTCCACGTCGCGCGTCACCGCGCCACGCCCTAATTGCCTGGTTACTTGCCTACTTGTCCCTTGAGGCCGTCGAAAAGCACTGCCGAGGTGTCGACATCGTCGTCGAGGTCCCGAGAGCGGGAGCCATGATTGAAAGAGCTTGAGGGCGAAGGGTGGTTTCTGGTGGACGGCGGGAGGAAGACGAAAGAGCTGGCACGTGCCGGTGCGCTGCAGCCGGCGACCGTTCCGGGCATCGTCCGGCAGCTTCCGTGATCGACGACGCTGATTTGACAGTGCATGGCGCGCACGTGCCAAGTGAACCGATCGTCACAGGAACGGCTTCTTCTTTTGTTCCTTTTGTGGTGAACTCTGCATATCCTTCCGACTTTCTATCAGGCCGTTCATATAAGCAAAACGCTGCGCTTCTGCTGCAGAAAGACATCTCTTATTCCCCAACACGCGAATGAAGTCAAACACGGCCCGGCTGACGATAGGAGGGCAATGCAACCTCCCCAGTGAACCGAACTCGCGGGATAAACGTAATCTATCGTACTGCTCACTCATCTCAATCAGCGAATGAGTTCGAAGGCCACTCTACTTGTGCTCGCCCATAGCCAGAAACCCGGAGAACTTGGCAAAGAAACCCCACGGCGTGACTTTTCTGTTGATCGCCCCGATTCGGGCACATGCTCAATGACGCGTAGCGTCCGGCACGCGGTGTTTCTGTGGGTCTAAACTGGGACCCATACCCTTTTCTCTGGCCGTATATAAGGAAGTGATTGACGGCGGAGCATAGCAGATTCGTCGAGCCACTCGCCTTTCAGAGTCTTCTCCTGCCAACAATCCAAACTCAATACCATGTCTGCATTCCCGCCCCGCAAGATTGGAGATGCCACCGTTGGCGCTCTGGGATATGGTCTCATGTGGGGTGTCTACGACCCCAAGAGCATTGCTTCCAGCACGGACGAGGAACGCTTCGCGGTATGTATGACAACGCTCTGTCTTCGCTTGCCGTACTGACGAAGCCCGTCATACCCAGGTCCTCGACGCTGCTATGAAGGCAGGGTGCAACTTCTGGGACACCGCGGACATCTATCCGGGTTCTGAAGAAGCCATTGGCAAATGGTAATGCCCACAGACTGGGGTGGTACGCGGACCGTAACTAACCGCCTTACCTTAGGCTCGCCAAGACGGGCAAGCGCAAGGAAGTCTTCCTTGCCACGAAGTTCGGCTTCAAGTTTAGCGGGGTTGGCGAGTCGTCCATTGACGGCAGTCCCGCGTACGTGCGCGAGGCCTTCGACCGCTCCATCAAGAAGCTGGGCACCGACTACGTCGACATGTACTACTTGCACGTGAGTTTGTTTCTTTGCGCAGACAATGCCCTGCATCTGATCATCTATCCAGCGCGCGGACCCGAACACCCCCATCGAGCGCACTGTAGGTGCCATGGCCGAGCTGGTCAAGTACGCACGCATTTGTCGATAATTGCCTGAGCCAAGTGCTGACAAGCGCACCTACAGGGAGGGTAAAGTCAAGCACCTCGGCCTCTCTGAGGTTTCCGCGAACACGCTCCGCCGCGCCCACGCCGTGCACCCCATCGCCGCCATCCAGGTCGAATACTCGCCTTTCGTACTCGACATCGAGGACCCCAAGATTGGCCTCCTCCAGGCTGCCCGCGAGCTCGGCGTCAAGGTTGTCGCATACTCGCCCCTGGGGCGTGGTCTGTTGACGGGGCAGATTGTCAGTATAACATCCGACATAGACCTTCGAATTGCAAGAGACCGACAGGTACTTACTTTCATTCACAGAAATCGCCCGCGGACTTCACCGACCCCTTCCGCTCAAACACGCCCAAATACAGCGCGGAGAATTTCCCCCGGATCCTCAACCTCATCAAGGAGCTCGAGACCATCGGCAAGAAGTACGAGGCTTCCCCTGGTCAGGTCGCGCTCGCCTGGATCATGGCTCAGGGTGACGACTTCATCCCGATTCCTGGCACAACCAAGGTCAAGGTGAGTCGCTCCCTGGTCGGCATTTGACCAAGTACGGCGGCTGATGGACCTGCAGAACCTGGAACACAATCTCGGCGCGCTCAACGTTAGGCTCAGCAGCGAGGACGTCGCCACCATCCGCAAGTACGCTGAGGAGATGGATGCTGCGCTGCGTGGTGTCGCGCGCTACCCCCCTGGTATGCAGGAGCAGCTCTTTAGCGAGACGCCGGAGCTGTAATTGTTTGTGTTCGAATATCGGTGTGGTGCAAGGATGTTGTATGAAATACTGTGTACAATAAAGGACTGTGGATCTCTGGGAGTGCATGAGATGAGACGAATTCCTCCTGTTCGCGTCGTAGATGAATAGGCAAGGTCTTCGTCTCGGAAGTCCGCGCTCCTCAATTCCCTCGGTCCTCGGCGCTTCAGAGTGAAACAAGGCTAATAACATGACAGAAGTTTTACTTTGCTATGTCGCGCACGATCCGCACACTCTGTATCTCTTCAAGAAATCTGGACTTCACGTCCATTCTGTTCCTCATTCGACTTGTCCATGCGCATTTTTCATCCGGACTCGCACTTATTCTATGATGCGATGCAGTCCGCCCTCGCTCCGTTCACGGTCGACCTACGACGCATCTGAGCCAATTACCGCGAGAATCTGCTCGACAGCATTGTAAGTCTGGATCCGCCTCCTGCAGTCCTATATCTCATATCAGACGCTGTCCGACGAGAACGCGCAGAGCAAGCCTTGAACAATCCTGCGCAAAGAATGGATCACCACGATGCACTCGTGCTGCGATGAGCTTTACTACCCTTCTGCTCGCTCATCTGAAGCTCGGCCTTGGCAAAAGCCGTCAACGCCCATATACTCTGAATTTCCTCATCGTCCTCACGAAGGTATAGGTGCAGGGGTTGAGATGCGTATCATGGTTCACATTTGACGCAGATGGTGACGCTAAACAACTGGCGGTTCATGGAAAGCAGAGCTCTCGTTATCGGCAATTGCCGAAAGCTGCTTGCTTCGCACCATCATCTTCTGTTCGAGCCTCTCGAGCCGTGGTCTGTTCGATATCGACCAACTCACTCACAACGACAGCGAAAATGTACAGAGATACGACCGTACCTAAGACTTTGAGGGGATGGCTCGGCAGTCCGTCCGACCCGCGCGGGTTTCCGTCCCCTTTCAACCTCGTGTCGGAATAGAGCACAACTCTGGTCTGAGGAAGCCACGAAGACAATGGCTTCTGAGCCTCTGAAAGATGAAGAAGAGGCAGATAGCGACAGGACGGACAGCTTATTACGGCTCACGGCCCGCAGAAGAACAGTCCTGACCCTGGGCCAGCCACCCCCACGAGGTTGTTGGAAGATCATAGGTAACAGACAGATACCTGAGGGTCCTGACTTCAGTCTTTAGCGAATTTTCCGCTGTACCGTAATGTCAAGCTGGCGCTGTAGATCAATCATCGAACCGGCTCGCTCGCTTCTGCCGCGACTTTTTCTCTCTCCGCTTCGCATTTCGCCCTCTTGAACATGCTGCCGTATACTGCTCCTGAGGCATATGGGAGATGGAAGACGAAGGTGCGGATATGCCACGGGTAACAGACCGCCCGAACGGATGGCTGCTCACCGCAGCTCATCTTGGCCAGTCCCACCGAACCCATTCATCGCATTCTGCCCAAGCCGCGAGCGTTTAGGGCCTCATATAAGGGCCGAACCCTCGCGATCACCCCTCCAGTAAGCCACAGCCTTTTATCCGTCCCGCGAGGTCTTCAGTCACCTGGTCCTCACTTTCTATCAGGCTCTTCAAGCCACGATCTGCGCCGCTCTGCAACTCATCATGACGTGGAAGGTCCTCTACGCCGCGTTGAAGAACCTAATCTCGTACGCGATGCTGGTGACTGCAGCGCCCCTGTCATCTCCGACACACCAGCAGGCCTTACCTGCGCTTCCAAAGCTCTCGCCGGAGGAGGAGAGGATCGAAATGCAGGATAAGCTCGGGAGGTATATTCAGGAGATGCGGGAGACATTCATCCAGGACCTCACGACGTCCAACGAGCTTCTGACGGAGATTTCGCAATACTATGCGAAGCGACCCTCGAAGCTCATGCGCCCTCGTTTGATTCTTCTGACTGCGCTTGCCGTTAATGCGAGCGTTGGCGAACGCGATGGTAGGTTCTTCACGGTGCACACTCGACATGTACTTACGGCTTTTCAGCTCTGCCTCAGCAGGTCCGCCTCGCCGAGGTCGTCGAGATGATCCACGTTGTCTCAGTACGTGCACGCCTGAATTCTTCTCGTGACTGCCGCTCACCCCTCCACAGCTCCTGCACGACGATGTCATCGACGAATCCGACACCCGCCGGGGCGACATGTCCGCACCCGCCAGGTACGGCAACAAGAACAGTATCCTCGCTGGCGACTTCGTCCTTGGACGCGCCATGTCCCTCATCGCCACGCTCGGGCACTTCGACGCGATGCGCGAGATCGCAGGCGTTGTGACTACGCTGGTCGAGGGCGAGATCATCCAGGCGGAGGACTCCATTGCGCTGAGCGACAAGGCGAGGGCGGGACAGGCGGCGGACCAGTGGGGGTCGTATATGGAGCGCATCTTCTTGAAGACGGGCAGTCTGTTTGCGCGCGCGTTGAGGAGCACGGCGATGCTTTCTGGCTTGCCGAGCGACGACGAGCGGGTGCTTGCGGTGGGAGACTATGGCACGGAGCTCGGACTGGCGTTCCAGGTAAGCTGCGCGCTCCGGGATGCATCTATTGCATGCTGATCGACTCGACAGATCATCGACGATGCGTTGGATTTCAAGGAGACTCCTGTTGACAGTGCGGGAAAGCCCACGGGCGCTGTTGACCTGAGCCTTGGGCTCATCACCGCACCTGTCTTCTACGCACTCGAGGAGCGCCCGAACGAGCTTGCGCCATATGTCTTGCGCAAGTGCTCCGAGCCGGGCGACACCGCGGAAGTGAGTCTACCTTGCCAGCGTGTCTCGACTGTTCTCATGACTGGACTTAGGTCGTTAGGCTGGTCAGGGAGACGTCGGCTCTGCAACGCACTTACGCCCTTGCAGCCGAACATGCGCAGAAGGCGCGTGATGCCCTCCAAGCTCTCCCAAGCACTCTTGCAAGGGATGCGCTGGAGGCGCTGACGATGAAGGTCTTATCGAGGGATAAGTAGTCCTTCCTCACGGACAAGCTCGGATATACCCTTTCGGTGTGACGCAGGGCGAAGCAGAGCCGTATTTCTTTGGCCCATTGCATTGTATAATATCCTAGTTGACTGAGTTTGTAAACCTCTATTCAAGTTAGTCTTCTGCGGCTGCCGTTCGTAGGTGTTGTGAGACGCGAAATCTCTTCGCATGACACGCTGAGGTAGAGGCAATGGAGTACTTCCGGTATAGACCTTTTACAAAAGTAATCAAAATCTATTGTATTGCATTGTCTCCGATTCGGACACTGGATGCATCCCGCAGCGCCGCCGCGGTGACGCTCCGAACCCGATAGGATCACCTCCCTCTCACACTATATAAAGGGTAGCAGCCGGTGAGCATAGCAGATTCGACCGACCTCCATCTCTGAGTGCTCGTTGCTGCACTGCGGCGACGAAAAGCATATTGAGAAACCCACCATGTCCTACCCGCGTCGCAAGATCGGAGACGCAACCTTCGGGCCTCTAGGATACGGCCTCATGTGGGATGTCTACGACCCTCAAGGCCTCACTTCCTCTACCGATGACGAGCGCTTTGCGGTCAGTTGATCAGTTTGAATCTCTGTCGCGCCCATTTGTACTTACGAGCATGCGCTCACCCGTTAGGTCCTCGACGCTGCATTGGAAGCGGGCTGTAACTTCTGGGATACTGCTGACATCTATCCCGGTTCCGAGGAAGCCGTCGGCAAATGGTATGTGCTTGCATCTCTTAGCTGAGGTGGTTTTCACGATACATTCTCAGGCTAGCGAAGACGGGCAAGCGCAAGGAGATTTTCCTGGCGACAAAATTCGGCTTCGTGCAGCGCCCTGGGCATGCGAAGGCCGGAGAGAAGCTCCTCGACGGCAGTCCTGAGTACGTCCATGAGGCTGTCGAGCGCTCTCTCAAGAAGTTGGGCACCGACTACATTGACCTGTACTATTTGCACGTAAGCCTATCGCGGGCAATCGTCTTGCCAACTTACTGAGTACTGGTACAGCGAGCGGATCCGGACACACCCATTGAGCGCACTGTCGGCGCGATGGCAGAGCTAGTCAAGTGAGTAGAGCCGCCGTGTATCATCATGAATCAGCCAATGCTGACTGGCACGCTTTAAGGGAGGGTAAAGTCAAGCACCTTGGCCTTTCCGAGGTGTCCGCCAAGACACTGCGTCGGGCCTACGCTGTGCATCCAATCGCTGCGGTCCAGGTCGAATACTCGCCCTTCACGCTCGACATTGAGGATCCCAAGATCGGTCTCCTGCAAGCCGCGCGCGAACTCGGCGTCAAAGTCGTCGCATATTCGCCGCTCGGCCGCGGTCTTCTGACTGGACATATCGTCAGTGCCATCGCATCAGTCGCATGGAGGCAGAGCATATGCTGACGCTGACGCACCAGAAATCCACTGCCGACATTACGGACCCCTTCCGCTCATCTATCCCCAAGTATAACGCCGAAAACTTCCCCAGAATTCTCAACCTCGTCAAGGAGCTGGAGGCCATTGGGCAGAAGTACAATTCGTCTTCTGGGCAGGTCGCACTTGCTTGGATCCTGGCGCAAGGAGATGACTTCATCCCGATACCTTGCACAACGAAGGTCAAGGTGACACTTCCGAGTATATTGTGCTTGTTCGAGCGATAACCGAATGGCACAGAATCTGGAGCACAACGTCGCCGCGCTGGACCTCAAGCTAAGCAACGAAGACCTGGCCTCGATACGCAGACACGCCGAAGAGATCGACGCCGCTTTGCGCGGCATCGCACGTTATCCTCCCGGTGTACAGGAAACCCTATTCAGCGAGACGCCAGAGCTGTGAGGTGATAGCGACGATCGTTGCGTATGATGTGTTGTGTTGGTGGTGTTGATACAATTGAGCAATATGTACGAATGAACTGAAGAATGGATCAATCAAAGTAGCCTCGTCACGCTCAAAAACGCACAATTTAGGATACCAGTCAGGTGGAAGCTAGCTTCCCTCCTTCCTCGACCCATAATGCAGAAAGTCCCAACAAGCCTTCCCCGGCTCCGCGCCCAAAAGCTCCTGCACCTGCGCCAGGCTCATCTCGCAGAGCTCGCGTACATTCGTGATCTTGCTCCCCACATACTTCACGTTCTTCTGCGTGATCCCCGGCAGACACCTCAAGAGCTCCTCTGCCGCCGTATTGACGCCTGCGCCCACATCCGGGTCCTCCTCCGCGCCAATCGCGATAGCCGTCGTCGGGTCCGGTTCGGTACTGTCCTTCTTCAAGTCCTTGAAGATCTCGGCGGTCGCGTACGGTGAGGATGACCATATGATGCGTACGCGCGGGAAGGTAAGGGTGAGCAGGACGAGTTTGGACTGAATGGTGGGCCCGGAGAAAGGTGATTTGTCGTCTTCTTTTGTGTTTGGCTTTTTGGGCGGGTACTTGTTGACGGGCTTCGCGTACGACTTCATGTCCGAGATTATCTACAAGGCGTCAAACTGAACTCGGCCGGCGTCACTTGGACAGCGTACCTCCAGCGAGAACGCCTTCTCTTCCTCGAACTCGATGAGAAGGATCGGATGTTTGTAATGTACTGACATTATCTCGCACTGCGTATACCTTCGAAAGTATCAGAAAGCCCGTCCGCAATCCAAGAGGATTACACCCACAGGCGACCGCTGTTGAAACTGGAAACAAGATCCGACAAGCTCTTCCGCTCGACGCAGATATCTGGCGTAAGGATGTAATCACCGACGGTCAAAGTCGCCGGGATGACCAGCAAGTTCGACGCGTGCAGCAAGGATGGCAAGGTCGACCTGAACTCGCGCATGTCGACGATGACCTGTATTTGCGTTAGATGGAGAGGAAGGACGTCGAGGTTGCAAAGAGTCATACCCTCGACGGCTCGGTGTTCAATTCTCTGCGACCGCCGGCGATCCGGGTACTGATGGTCTTGATGACATCGTCGCCTGCTTGTTGTCGTGTATCCTCGAAAATGGGCAGAAGCATGCTCTGCAAGACCATAAGCACCACAAAAAACAAGATGTTGACTCATCAACGTACCCCTCGTTCTCTGATCAACCGCTCGAAGGCGTTCTTCTCCTTCCGAATACCCGCCAAGAACTTATGCTCCTCTGACGAGTTGCCGTAAAACATGTGGTACAATCGTACACCGAGTCCAGGATTCGCAGCGCGGTAGAGCTGCTTGAGGTTAGTCTCGCTCCGAACATACGGAGCATTCACATACCTCAACCCGCCTGAAGAAGTCCACGTTGGGCTCAATCATGACGATAAACTTGGGTTGCAGCTCGGCAAGCATCATGTCGTCCGCATCATCCGAGTACGGGCGCACGACGACTGTCTGCTGAGGCGCCAACAGCTCATAGTTCGCATCGAACTCCGTCTCGAACTGGACGGTGTCAAAATCGAGAAGCGTGATGTCCCCGTCATCCATGAACTCCAGTCCCGACGACTGTTGGCTTATGCTGGCGACATATCAGCAGACGTTCAATAGCAACATGGGCGACAACTCACAGTTGCGTAAGGAGGTCAGCCTCGACCGGATCGTCCACGACAGAACTCGGAGCGGTCGACTGCGACCGCGAGGGTGTAGGCGCTGGCGCCGTCTTCCCCCCACGCATACGCCTCCTACTAGCGGCGCGCTCCTGCCTGTCCTTATCCTTCCGCTGTAGCGCCTCGGATACCCCAGCGTTGTTGCCACTCCTGTTCATGTTTGATGTTGATGTCGATGGTCCGGTATTCGTCGACGAACCCGTATTCGTGCGGTAGTACCCATTCTGCTCGCCTCGCCCCTCTGCCTTCTTCGTCTGATGCAGCCGCCCTTTCCACCACAGGTAGCGCCCGAGCTTCATCAGCAGCATTGACGTGCCGCGCTGGCCCGCGGGTGCGCTGTAGTCCATGCTCTCCAGGAACTCGGTCAGCACCGAGCACCCGTGCGTCGAGGATGTCATGACGAGTACGGTGTTATTTCCAGGGGCTAGCAGACATAAGCATAACGCGCAGTATTGGCTAGTAAGCACTCACTATTCTTCATCCGCGGATTCGTCTCCATGCGGATGAGCTCCTCCTCTATCTCCTGTATAACGTCGGCCAGCAGATTCCACTTCGGAAGCTCCTCCAGCACAGGCTCTACCCCTGACGGGAGCCATCGCGGTCTGTTGTTGCCCGTATCTTGCGACTGACCGACCGTGCCGTTGACCTCGTCCAAAGCCGCCCAGCCCTCTTCGTCCATGTCATCGAGAACGGGCTCTTTCCTAGTGGAAGTCATGATGTAGCACCTGCGCTTCGCGACGGTGATGATGACGTTGGCGGCGTCGGTGAGCAGCCAAGGCGAGTGGTGCTCCTTCTTTCCGCCTGACGAGGTCGTCTGGTTTGACTCGATGATGGTCTCGAGTAACATGTAGAATTGGATGGGGTCGTAAGTGAGCAGGTATCTGGGGCGTATGAGACGACTGGCCAAGGGGACGTTTGGCAAGAGCACATACCCCAAGAGCTTCCTCAAAGTCGCCAGGTCCCCGACCAGCTGCTTGGTGCGCGGACCAACCTTGTGCCACACTGGGTCGAGCTGTCGGCGAACGATATGATCAAACGACCTGAAGTACGCATTCTCCACCGTGAGGTCGTCCAGGTCGAGCTGAGAACCATCGGTGAAGAGTCGAGCCAGATATGAGATGACGCACTGAGGTGTTGGACCGCTTCAGATCAGCAAGCGTCGAAGTCATGCACTGTATGATGGCGTGGTGAATTTCGGCCATCGACTCTGTCATTTCTTGGGACAGTTCGACTACGTCCGCGCGCCGTCTCTCGAGAGCCTTCTTTACGCCTTCTTGGAACCTGGGAACCGAATTCAGCTCAATGCTATGTTATGTAGGCGAGTGTCGAGCACCTGGGATAGAGATGAACTTTGCGCAGCTGCAACTCCTTCATGATGTTCTTGAGAGGGGACAATCCGCTGGTGATGTGTTCTGGCTGGTCTGTAAACGCCTTCAAGAACCCCTCCTTGTTCTTCTCTCGGTATAGTCGCACGATGAACGCTTCGAGGACCAAGGCTGTCACTCTGCCGCGTCGTCAGTCGCGGTTCTGACATGGACAGAGTTCAACAACTTTTCGGCGTGCAGGACAACCATACCGGTGATGAGTTCGGTGGGGATTTGGGATTGGAGCATATCAACGACAAGGATACGCGAGGTGACTGATATAAGGCCTCCCTTCTTGTACATCTCTTGCCTGAGCGACGTCAGTTTGCGGCCGACGCGATGTGTCGAGCGCGCACCTCTCCTTGCTGCCCGTCTCGTAGCCAACGACACGCAGCCCCGGCTTCCGACAGCCCATAATACCCAGCTCCTCCCCAATCTCAGACTCCTCCTCGGGCGTGGCGTTAACCAGAAGGACGAGGTTTTGTGGGGAGTCATAGAGCTTCAGCAGGTTGCAGACAATCCGGCGCAGTCCCAACCCTCGCGCGATGACCAGCAGATCGTTGGTAGTTGGGTCATGTATGTCTTCCAGCACAGTTCTGTGGAAGGACAAGAGCGGCAACATGATGGCTGTCGGACGGAAGGTCTATTGTTCTCGAAATGACATGGACGGGAAAGGCAAGTGACGAACAATGGTCGAATCTGGTCGAGTCCCGTTTAGTCACCGGTTCCGGCGTTCATCGGCCTTTGCCGAGACTGGACTCACAATGTCACGGTGGAGTGCTCGAGATAACATTCGCAGGTAGGGCATGCATGATCTACAGAATAAATATACGTCTACAGCTCTTAGTAGCTATACAGGCCTATATAAGTAGGATGTTATACAAAATAGTCCCAGTCTCTACAGTCCGGATATCCTTGCCAACGACCTGCGCCACATCACGATAATACCAGTATAGTGCGCAATCGGAAAAGAGGCTTAATGATCCCTCGACAAGACCTTCATAGTAAGCGCCTCCAGCGCATCCCTCGCGGGAGTGCTGGGAAGGACCTGGAGGGCCTCACGCGCCTTCTGCGCATGTTGCGCCGCAAGTGCGTAGGTACGCGGCAACGCTGACGTCTCCCTGACGATGCGGACGACCTAAGGGTACGGTCAGTGAGAATTCTGTAAGCATGTCAACAAGATCAGCTCACCTCCGCTGTATCGCCAGGTTCAGAACACTTCCGCGAGACATACGGTGCGAGCTCATCAGGCCGTTCCTCGAGCGCGTAGAAGACAGGTGCGGTGATGAGTCCGAGGCTCAGGTCGACAGCACCCGTGGGCTTTCCCGCACTATCGGCAGAGGTCTCCTTGAAATCCAACGCATCGTCGATGATCTATCGAGTCGATCAGCATGCAATATATGCATCCTGGCGCGCGTTGCTTACCTGGAACGCAAGACCTAGCTCCGTGCCATAGTCTCCCACCGCAAGCACCCGCTCGTCGTCGCTCGGCAAGCCAGAGAGCATCGCCGTGCTCCTCAAAGCGCGCGCAAATAGGCTGCCCGTCTTCAAGAAGATGCGTTCCATATACGAGCCCCACTGGTCCGCCGCCTGCCCCACCTTCGCCTTCTCACCGAGCGCGATGGAATCCTCTGCCTGTATGATCTCGCCCTCGACCAGCGTGGTGACCACACCCGCAATCTCGCGCATGGCGTCAAAGTTCTCGAGCGCGGCGATGAGAGACATGGCACGCCCGAGGACGAAGTCGCCGGCGAGGATGCTGTTCTTGTTACCAAACTTGGAGGGCGCGGACAGGTCGCCGCGACGCGTGTCGGATTCGTCGATGACATCGTCGTGCAGGAGCTGTGTTGGTGTGAGCGATGGAAGAAGGCAAGAACGACCTCGTACGAACAGAGACAACGTGGATCATCTCGACGATCTCGGCGAGGCGGACCTGCTGGGGAAGGGCTGGAAGGTTATGAGTACACGTCGAGTGAGCAATGTCAAAAAGACCTACCATCGCGTTCGCCGACGCTCGCATTCACAGCAAGTGCAGTCAGAAGGATCAAGCGAGGGCGCATGAGCTTCGAGGGCCGCTTCGCATAGTATTGCGAGACCTCCGTCAGGAGCTCGTTGGACGTCGAGAGGTCCCGAATGAACGTCTCCCGCATCCCCTGAATATACCTCCCAAGCTTGTCCTGCAGCTCCAGCTTCTCCTCCTCCGGCGAGAGCTTCGGAAGCGCAGGCAAAGCCGGCTGGTGCGCCTTAGGCGCCAGGGGTGCCACAGTCGCCAACATCGCGTACGAGAGCAGGTTCTTCAGCGAGGAGAGGAGGCCTTGCCACGACATGTTGACTTGCAGTGCGGAGTGGTGGGTGGCTTATATATTGCTGGAAAGAAGTGCGGAATCTGAAAGCGCGACACGCAGGAGTGACGACCTCGCGGGATGGGTGAGAACGCTGTGGCTGGCTAAGGGGATGGCTGTTAGGAATCGGCCCTTATATGAAGCGTTAGGCGCTCGCAGTTTGTGCAGAATGCGATGAATAGGGATGGCAACTTGGTGGGGTTGGTTCAGATGAGATACGATGGGTAGCCATCCGCTTCGAGGGGCCAGTTACCCGCGGCATATTCACACCTTCTTCGATCTCCGCGTCTACCCCTGGTGCTGGGGAGCTGATACAAGTGTTCAACGAGGTGAAATGCGATGCTGGAGGGAAGCAGGTCAGAGCTGGATGAGGCGAGTGAACCAGCTCGTTCGCTAATCAGTGTGGTAGCGCCCATAGTGAATGAACCATTTCGGTACCTATAGCAGGCCCGGTAGCGCCGCACTTCCTTCTTTCGTCCCTCGAACTTCTTTGAATCGTGTTCAGGCTGCGTATCAGCATCATTCATGAAGATGATGTCGCCAGCGAGGTTGAAAGTGAGCTAGCACAGCGGAGGCTGCGGGCTCCCGACCTGTCTAGACAGCAGCATGGAAGTCTTGGCTGCGTGAACGACGGGGGAAAGAGACGCCACAGAAGCGGGAATCCATCAGGAAAGAGATACTTGTCGACACTTGCGTATGCCGCATATCCACAAGTTGCATAGAGGCCGAGTAATTTGAGCGCTTTGATTGACGTGTGGCGGTGCGGAGCAACTAGCGCAGGAGACGGCACTTGCGCAACCACCGCCTTTGAGAGGGAATAGACCGCCATCACAGCAGCTTGTCGATACAGAGTCCGAGCTATAGTGATGAGTTACAGATGACAGTGAAGTATGGGATAGTATCCAAACGTTCGCCTCTGCAAGATGTTTGAGGAGGGGAACAAATGTGGCAACGAGGACCCACGGTCGTAACGGATTTCCGAACCTTCCAAGGTACACGTCGACCACCTCGGCACAGTCCTATCGCTGAAGATCACCCTCCTTGCTAATTGAGCTTGGAGCTTGGTCGATTGAACTAGGCAGTGCCGCGAAGGACATAGCCTAAAAGACACGAACAGAAGATGATGGTGTGAAGGAAGTAGCACCCGGCATTTGCCGAACGCGGGCGCTATGCTTTTCTTGGACTGCCGATTGTTCTGCGGCGCCATCCGCTAGTCCCCATGACCATCTGCGTCAGATTGAAGTCAAGATACATCTATTGAGTCCTGCATAGCCGTTCTCAGGACAATACCAGGCCGATACAGAGCAGTTCCGCAGACAATACAAATGCAATCAAGCTCTAATGAACCCCTTCCGTCTTCGCCGTTGCATGCAACCTCGCTGTATGCCCCCCAATCTACAGTTCCTCAAACGCGGATGAAAGGCGCAATCCGCACGGTGGCGAGCCATATCTGCAGATAGCTTCAGTACATGTATCGATCGCGGTGAGAAAGAAGAATCCACGTTGTAGTACAGGTACGACTTGCGGTCGGAGGCGGCGTCTGTCAAGAGGTAGAACCTCACTCCAACGAAGGCGCCGCCCGCCAGGATGGCCGAGGCAAGGAGGGCCGGAAGCTCGCACTGCGTGGCGATGTAAATGGACCAGAATATCATGGCAAGAAGCATGGTGGGGCGTCCGAACCGCGGGAAGACGATGGGGATGGTGCGTCGGCCTGCGGTGCGGTCGCCCTCTTCGTCTCGAAAGTCCTGAGCCTGGACCGTCGTGAGGACGATTAGGAAGGTTAAGATGTGGGTGTTGAAGGCCTTCTTTGAAGCGAAGCCGTGGTACTCTGGGTAGCGTAAGAGAGAAGTCAAGGGTGAAGGAAAAGGCGCAACGAACCGCCACGGGCCACAGAAGTCGCACCGATGTCGAAGGTGCAGTACGCAAGTGCGTTGAGCACATTCCGCGTGAGCCAGTGTGAGTCGAGCTTCAGCTCATTGTGCATAATGACGCCGAAGGGGAACCATAACGCGATGAATTTGAGATCGTAGGCGACGCAGATGAGCGCGCAGATGGGCAGCAATGCCCATCGCAGCACGAGTGCATCACGAAGAGCTATCCTCTGCGCGGGGAGTGGTCTCCAAGGCTTGTTTTGCGCGTCCTCGTCGGATGAGAGCGTCTGATTCGAAACGCAGAACTGGAGGAGGTGAATCCAAACCCAGAACACCGTCGACAAGACCCTTGTGGTCGTCAGCGATACATCGTATGCAACCGTGAAGAGGGCGAAGACGGACTGCGCCGTGTCAGTAAGAGCAATTCTGGATAAAAGACGCTCACGAACGATAGGAAAAAGGATGGATTTGAAGTCGGACCTCGTGAAGAGATACAGAGTATGCAGATCATGCGCGGCACGACGAAGTAGGCTCAAAGACATATCTGTTGTCTGTTCGTTCAGAGGAGCCGAGGATTGAGGGGATCGACCAGGCTCCCGAGACGAAGAGGGCTTTGTATACAGGATGCATCGCAAGCCATGATGACTATCTGTCTACCGAGGCTCTTGTGAGAGCGATTGACATCACTGCCCTGGCGACGCTAAAGTTCCCAGGTGCGAGGTGAGCGCTTGGTACCTCCGTGAGCGCGGACGAGCGACAGAAGATGTCCGGACATGCTGGTTCAGTTCTGAGTTTCGAACTTGGGCCGGCACGACGCCGGCGCCGCGGCACGTGCCGAGGAACAGACCGCGTCACGGCAGTCACGCCTTCATCTGATGTTCATTCCCAGCTTCTGCCCTGCTTCAGCGCCTTCTGCGCTTCTGCGCGACGACTTCTCAGTCTGCGATGCTGCGTGGTGCCCTCATACCTCACAAGCTCAGGAGGAAGAGCGGGCGGAGGGCGTACCGCGGTCCTCTCCCATGCTCGTGCAAGTCAATGAACGTTCCTTCCGAAGCTGTCGGCCAGAATAGAAACGGGCCACGGACATCAGCCGTGCACGCCGTCACGGGCAGTCGATATACTAGAAGAGTGCGCCGCGCGAGCGTCGACAGCTAGCATCCCCTCCCCCGACGCCGCTGCCCACGATGTCACGCGTGAACGTGAACAGCCAGACGACGATCAACGAGGTGGGCGCCGCAGTTCAGGGTGAGGTCGTCGCGAAAACGCACAAGGGTCCCCGATTCTGGCTCATCTTCTGCTCCATCTGTCTGTCTTTGTTTGCCGCGGCTCTCGAGCTCACGGTCGTCAGTACGGCACTTCCAACCATCGCGAGCGACCTGCACATCGATGAGTTTACCTGGGTCGGTTCGGCGTATGCTCTCGCTTCTACGGCCTTCCTCCCCATGAGTGGCGCCATGGCGGAGGTCTTCGGACGGAGGCCCGCGCTCCTATTCTGCTTGGCCTGCTTCTTCCTCGGTAGTGGCATCTGCGGGGGCGCAAGTAACAGCTCCATGATGCTTGCCGGGCGGACCGTGCAAGGGTTGGGAGGCGGAGGGATCCAGGCCTTGGGCTACATCGTCCTTGCCGACATCACGACGCTTCGCGAGCGTGGCGTTTACGCGAGCCTGTTCGGATTGTGAGTATCATCACGCTCTGTCTAGGACCCAGTACTGACCGCGTTGTAGAACATGGGTACGCCCTAATTCCGTCGAGTCTTACACACGCGAAGTCTGACAAAAATGCAGAGCATTGCGTCTCTCATTGGCCCCATCGTCGGTGGCACACTCGCCGACAAAGGCCAGTGGCGCTGGATCTTCTGTATGTCTTTCCCTCGATTATCATCGTGTTGCCCCCCCGATAATCATCGTTTGAACTGCAACTGACAAGGTGGATTAGACATGAATCTCCCCATCGCCGGTGTGGCGTCCGTCCTCGTTGGAGTTTTGCTGAATTTGCCCACGCCGCCGGGTTCAATCCAAGAGAAACTGGCCAAGATTGACTGGATGTGAGTCCTTCTCCGTGCGGCGAGGATAATGGCCGTGTAGCGTAGGACTGCGGCTCACACAATGCCATGATAACAGTGGGAACGTCATCGTCATTGGGAGCACGACCTCCGCTGCTATTGGACTTACTTGGGGCGGCGTCACGGCGCCCTGGGACTCCGCGCAGACTTTGGCGCCGCTAATCATCGGACTGGTTGGTCTGGTGCTTTTCATGGTGTACGAGGCGAAGTGGGCGAAAAATCCACTGGTACGTTGGCTTGGATATCTCGGCTGCCATTTCGACTCATTCTCGTGCAGGTGCCCTTCCACGTCGTCAACAACCGCACGAGCGTCAGCGGGTACGTCTCTATCTTTCTACCTTTTCACTTATTTACAGGAACTCGACAGCTATCTGCAAACCTTCATCTCGGCGGTGGGCGCGCTCTGCCTCACCTACATGTATCCCGTGTACTTCCAGGCTGTAAAAAATGCGACGCCCATCAAGTCCGGCGTCTACCTTCTGGGCATGTCTGCCTTGGTTCCCGCGGCCATCGTCGCTGGTGTGATGGTGAAGAAGACAGGCCGCTACCGCCCGCAGATGCTCGTTGGCTGGTGTCTCCCAGTCATTGGTACTGGCCTGATGAGTACGCTGCACGCATATCACACCGTTGGCCGCGCCATTGGATATTTGGTTATCGTTGCCGTGGGCATCGGGTGAGTTCTTCCTACGTTATGTTGCATAACAGCTTATACTGACGGTTGCACAGCGCCGTATACTCGACGACGATGTTCCCCATCCAAGCGCCGCTACCTGTGCAGTCTAGCGCGTTGTCGCTATCCTTCATGTCTTTCGTGCGGGCTTTTGCCGGAGTAAGTCCATTCCCACATCGCCTCCCCCATCATCTAACGCCCTCACCAGATCTGGGGCGTCACCATCGGCAGCACTGTCCTCCAGAACCAGGCCAACAAGAAGCTCCCCCAGTGGTTCAAAGACCAGCTACCGGGCGGCATCGACGTCGCGTACTCGGCCATTCCACGGATTCCGATGCTCCCGCCGGACCAGCGATTTGAGGTGAACGAGGCGTTTGCGCTGAGTTTGCAGGTGGTCTGGGAGGTGCTGATTGGGATCTTGGGGTTGGGGCTGCTGTCGGCGCTGTTGATGAAGGGGATTCCGCTCCACAGCGTCGTGGATCAGAAGTGGACGATGCAGGAGAATGCGGCGGCTGCCGCTGCTGACAAGGAGAAGAATATCGAGATGGAGGCGGTGGTTGACGACAAGCCGGTGCATGCCTGACGAGACGATTGTTGACGATTTCGAAGTGCGACTTCCATAGACTCTACTATACGACGCTATATATATTACTTGCGACCGATTGATAGCTGTTGGACGTGTGCGTCTCGGTCCTTTTCGGGTTTCGCGGCGGTCAAACAAGTTAGCTTTCGCTTGCCGCTCGTGCTCGTGGGAACTGTCTGCGGCAAACGCCGTACACGTGTTACGAGTGCCAATTTCGGCAATCCTTGTTCTCTGCTTCTGCCGTCATGATCGCTGCCAAGCCTAGGGCAAGCGCCGTCTCGCACTCGCTCTCGTCGACCATCCCTCGCAAGAGCGAAATCACCGAATTGCTTTGAACTCAAGGAACCCGCGCTGGCATGCAGAAACAAGGGCTATCGTTGTACTTTTACTCGGGGCCAAACAGCCGCTGGGTTCACTACACACGCCAGCAAACTCATCACCCTAGCACTCTGACTGCCCTGGCGAAGATGTGCTTCATTCTGACTGATGATGGATGACCTTGAGGGTGTGTGAACGTGCTGAAACGGTCCCAGGCATAGGTGGTCGCACCCATGAATACGAGAAGGTATCGCAAGTGCATCCTCAATCCACGCAAGACGCCCATCTGTTGACAGCCATCCCTTCTCTATACCTCTACTCAGTCTCTAGCTTGCTCATCACATCCTTGGCGTCGCGACTAGCTAAGGTGAGTCCCATCGATGACGAGAGTCCGCGCCTCACTTACACGTTGATGGCAGAGACGCGCGCTGTGAATAGCAGCAGTCTATTGTCTTTGTTCCTGGGCGCTACGTCCATCTGGCATCAGTCCAATCCAATCACTATCAATAGTCTGTGGAAATGAAGATGAAGTCCGACGAGCAACAAGCCAGCTCGTCCGACCGTGTCTCAATACGAGAGCTGCTTTTCTGCCGCGCATGAGGGCCCGCCTTGCTCGTATCTGTCTGAAGGGTAGAGCGCACGCCATCGGCTCCCTTACTGTGTATGCTCACAAGCGCATCTCCTGCGAACCCCAGGGCCAGCGCCCACGTTTGGGTCCGCCCTTGTCGCAGACCATGGGATGACTAACAATATTGACAGTCCTCTACATCAGCCAAATCTCTAGCAGGACGATACAACTAGGTATATAGCCCTTCGCGCGCGGAAATCCCCAAACTCAGCGTCGCAACCACACTTCATCTTGCGAACGCTTCATCTCAGCCCGACATGGCTCCCTCCCCCATCGTCCTCGCCGCCGCCTGCGTCGCGCTCCCCGTCTTCTGGGTCTTCCACACTCGCTCGCCGCTCCCCGCGCTCCCCTACCGCCTCCCCTGGATCGGCAACCTCCTCCAGCTCATCCCCTGGCGCAACAACGTCGTCGGCTGGCTAGAGCACATCCAGGAGCAGTACGGCGAGATCTGCGAGCTCTATCTCCCACTGTGGGGCAGAATCCTGGTCATCGGCCACCCGGCGTGGCTGCAACATGTGAAGCAGGGCGACACGGATAGGTACAGCCGGGGGCCTATCGCGATTGGCGTGTTCAAGGAGTTTCCTGGGCCGAAGACGCCTGTTGCGAGTGAGGGGGCGGAGTGGAGGAAGGCGAGGAAGGTCATGGCGTGAGTTGCGGTTCGGGCTCTGTGGGGTGTTGCTGATGGACTTACAGGCCTATCTTCTCGGTCAAGTCGTTCACCAATCACATCAGTCATTCGATGCGCGACGTAGGTTTGCTCACTGCCCGCGTCCAGCAGACCCTTGACTCCAATTTGCAGATCTCATCGGTGACCCGCCAGTTATTGGACAACGTCGCTAAGCAGGACGGCCTTGTCGATTGGAATGGTCAGAGTAGCTTCGACGTTATACTCGCCAATATGCTCACCTCCACCTAGATCTCTGTGGCAAGATCGCCCTTGAGATCTTTTGCATGTCATGCCTTAGCATCAAGACGAACAAGCTGCGCACCGACCCGGAATGTCTGAAGGAGGACGACTACCTCCGTGACTGCTTGATTGCGGTCAGCCAGACGTCGGTGAAGTAAGTAATACATGCTTTCATATCCATGGCACAGTCATGACCGACTTTCTAATCTTAGGCGCCTCTTCAACCCCTTTTACAAGTGGACGGAGCTGGTACGATCTGTCGTCGCTCTACTCGACCTTCCCGCTGACGACTATCCCAGCTCTCCGGCGAAGGCCGCAAATTCGAGACGTCCCGTGCCCATATTCGTGCCCTCGTCGACGACGTCGTCGCCAAGCGGCGCTCCTCAGAAGACACCGACGGCGTCACCCACGGCGACTACCTCTCGCAGATCATCAACGACCCCGAGTACGACAACGCGGAGCTCCTGCGCAACACGCTCGTCGTGCTCCTTTTCGCTAGCGGTGACAACACGCGCAACAGCCTGACGTGGTCGATGCATGCGCTGCTGCAGCACCCGGAGTGGATGGAGAAGATGCGGGAGGAGGCAGTGAGGAATGGGCAGCTGTCGGCGGATTTGATGATTGAGTATGCACATCTGAATGTGGGTGGACTGTCACGGTCGGCGGTAAATGAGGGAGGAACTGGACTGACACACTCAAATGCAGCGCTTCCCTATTGCTATGGCAGTCTTCTACGAGACTGTGCGTCTGTGGCCTGGCCTGCCGAAGAATGCCCGCCTTGCTGTCAACGACGATGTCCTGCCTGCGATTCCGGAGCACGATTTGCCCGCTGTCAAGGTCAACAAGGGCGACTATGTTCTCTGGTCTGACTTTGTCATGATGCGCAACCCCAAGGTTAGTAGCGCCTCTACCACTCGAGAATTTCGGGACTCAATGGGTTATACAGGTCTGGGGCCCTAACGCCGATGTCTTTGACCCCTCGCGCCACCTCAAGGATGGTGTCTTCTACAAGCCTGGTCAGCCCGACTTCAATGGCTTCGGATCAGGCCCGCGCCTCTGGTGAGCGAGATGCGCGTTTTGGATAGATATGGTGCGTGCTGACGTTGTGGATCTTCAGCCCGGCCGCGCAGCTCGCAGCCTATGAGTTTGTCGCGACGTGGGCGAGCCTTCTGCCTCACTTCAACTTCGAGGCGGCGTACAAGGAGGAACCGAAGAGGGACGAGGCTTTCACCATGTCGGTTGCTGGCCAGCTTCCGGTGAAGATTAGCGCGAGGGATGCTGCTGTGTTCAACTAGATCGTGTGCACGTTCTGGAAGTGCATTCCTCCTATAGTAATTCTCGGTTCCCTGTAGATAGCTATGTAGATCTTGTACTCCCGCTGTACTTTGTGCCAAAGAATCCAATCGAAGAATCATCTGAACCAAGACTTTGTGGGTCCGTCACCGGCGTTGTCCGAATAAGCGCCCGCGTGACCGCGTCTTCGACGGCGCGTGAGGGTCGCGGCCCTGGCTCCTACACTCACTCCGTTCGGCACTCAGACTATCCAAAAAATCCAGCGAGCCTTTCACGAAGACCAGCGACTTCTAGTATACGACCCCTATAGCATGACACCAGCTCTCCTGCGCTTCGCGCCCTCCCCCACCGGGGCTCTCCATCTAGGCGGCTTGCGCATGGCGGCGTACAACTACTTGTACGCGAAGAAGACCGGCGGGAAGTGGATAATGCGTGTTGAGGATACGGATGCGGTGAGTCTTAATCGAAGGGGACGAATGCAAGAAGCATTTACGGTGAAGTAGACGAGATTCGTGCCAGGCTCAGTGGAGGGCATCATTCGATCGCTGGAGTGGGCGGGACTTGAGTATGACTACGGTGCGCAGAACAACTCTCCAACCCTGGGGAAGCATGTCTGACCCCGCTACTAGGTCCTGGGAAGGATGGACCTCACAAGCCGTACTTTCAGGTCAGTCCCACATCCCAGACCTTATGATCGGCTACCCAACATATTCTCAGTCAGAGCGTCTTGACCTATACAGACATCATGCCCACAAGCTGGTGAATGTGCGTACGCACGTACCCTATGAAGCCCTTTCCTGACCATTCTACACATCAGTCCGGCCACGCCTACCGCTGCTTCTGCACCCCAGACGAGCTCAATGACACCCGCGAACGACTCGCGCGCCAGGGCTCCAACACCACCTACGACCGCCGCTGCATGCACCTCACCGACGAAGAAGTCTTCCGCCGCATCCGCGCCGGCCACAAGTACACCATCCGCATCAACGACACCAACCTCCCCCCGCGCCCCGCGAACCCGCCCGCCGACCTCGTCTTCCCCAACCTCCGCGACGCGCACGCGTCCCTCGCCACGGACCCCATTTTGCTGAAGTCGGACATGCGCCCGACGTACCATCTGGCGTCGGTGGTGGACGACCATCTGATGGGCATTACGCATGTGCTGAGGGGGGAGGAATGGCTGACAAGCGCGCCGCTGCATAGGGATTTGTATGCTGCGTTTGGGTGGGGGGCGCCGGCGTTTGCGCATATTCCAATTCTGTTGAATCAGGATGGGACGAAGATGAGCAAGCGGCATGGGCATGCAATCGTGGACGACTATATTGTGAGTAGATGCTGGGATGAAATGTCATACAAGAGTGCGAATGAAGCTTTTCAGAAACGCGGCTGGGAGCCGCAAGCCGTGCTCAACTGGCTAGTACTCGCTGGCTGGGGCGTAACGCGAGACGCTTCAGGGCAAACTACCCAGGAGGCACCCGACAGTACACGTCTAATGACCGTCGAAGAGATGATTGCAGAAGTATGCCCAGTGCCCCCGTCGAACGCCGAATCCCTCTTGATGATAGCCTCTTTCAGTTCGACATCACCAAACTCGCCCACCGCAGCGTCATCCTCGACCCCGCAAAACTGGAGTACTTAAACAAATACCACCTCGCAAAGGCCGTCGCGGCAGAGAACAGCCTCAACGCCCTGGCGCGCAAGGTTGCGCCGAAGGTGCGCGAGAGATACGGGGAGACGTAAGTGAGGTTGCATGTTGTCGGAAGTGCTGTAGCGTTGACAGGCAATCCTGCAGCCCGTACACATCCCTCGAGAACATCAAGCGCGTCATCAAGGTCCTCGATGTCCGCCTCACCAACCTCTTCGACTTGCCCTCAGAGGCAGCATACTTCTTCGCCGAGCCTGACCTCACGACCGAGGAAGCGAAGAGCATGGTGAAGACGGTCCCTCCAGCTATGCAAGGTGCGTATCTCCCTAACAGCCCTTCGATAGTTCAAGGGTTGAAGCGGTCATCAGCCAAAATCTTCGACGCGCTGGACGAGAAGCTGCGCGTGGAGACCGAGACGTATGATGGCGTGGACATTCTCGGACTCGTCAACCCCATTGCGAAGGAGATCGGCGCGAAGAGGGGAGACGTGCTAAGGCTTATGCGCTATGCGGTGACAGGAGCGAAGGTACGCCGCGTATCGTACTGCTCGCTTCTTTGTCTAGGTGTAGCTCACACGACTTCACAGGGAGGACCAGCACTTGCAGACACCGTCAAGCTCCTCGGGCCCAAGTTGACATTGAGGAGAATCGAGGCAGCACGGGGCAACGTCGATGGCACGGAGATGTAATGCGGGAAATACAGACGGACAATATTGCGTGCGTTCAGCTACCCTTAGGGAGCTTAATCTGGAATGTACCTGCGAAGGGGTGTCAATGTAGTATAGCAAAGACAACAAACTAGCTCACATTGCGGAAGGGAGGTGATCTCAGGCGTGACGGTTGCGTTGTAGCCCATTCGTGATAGCGCTCCTCGGATGATGCCTGCGGGCATGGCGGTGTACTAGTGGGGTTCAGTGGATCATCTGGAGGAATGGAGAGGCTACGCACGATCTTTGCTCGTCTTAATGCGTCTGCGCGACCCTCGTATGAGGATATTCGGATGATGGGCTTGAAGTGATTATCTTGCAGGACGTATACACCCTGGCGTGCCATGTCACGATGCGGGTACGATCAGGCGTACGAAGGTGCGCACCCTATGATTCGTACGCAGGTTGTCGACTTGTTTATCCCAGAATGCAGCCCAAATGTCTTTGCAGATGAACTTGATCGCGTCCAGCGTCTCCGTGAATAGTGGTCGGTCGCGACATAGCCTGCATTGGTTCCTCAGTGTGCATAGTAGTATTTGGTTCGAACAGCTAGACGTACCTTTCCGTAAAGTTTGCCCCCACGTGCATCCCAATCGCCTCCAGCCTTGCGCGCAGTGCCTCTTCCTCATCATCCAGCGGCAGCTGCGCCTTCCCACTCGCACTCTTCAAGCTCGTCACCGAGTCCCTCGGATTCGGCTCCTTGTTCTTCAGCGACTGCGGCGGAGGAGGCGGAGGGGGAAGCAGCCCCGCCTCAATCATCTCCGCCTCGAGCTTCTTCGTGCGCGCCAGCGCGACGGCAGCAGAGGCGCGTAGCGTATTTACCGCTTCGAAGACGAAGTAGTCCATCGCGGGACCGTCGACATAGCGTGCAGGTGGGTCGGCTAGGGCAGCAAGATTTGAGGGGACGAGGGAGCTGCCTGAGGAGCTCTGAGGGATCTGGAAAGAGCTTCGAGTGGTCTGCATGGTGGTTTGGGCGGAGGTACGATCCGGAGGAGGCGGGCCGTAGAGCGCGCCTTGCGTGACTTGGTCGTGACATACAACGTGACTCCATGTTGAAGTTGGTGCTGGCGCTTTTTCAAAGGCTCACACTCACCCTTTGAGGCTAAGAAGAATTTATATGAGGTCTCTCTGTATACATGTATATACTGTGACCTGGATCATGTCATACACATCGAGCAAACACCTGCACACATGGCACGCACCGATAATCATCATCTTCTTCTGTGTCTCCAAGGCACTATGGCGGAGTGGTTAACGCGAGAGATTAGAAATCTCTTCCTCTCTGAGGGCGCAGGTTCGAATCCTGCTGGTGTCGTCTTTTGCCTCGAAAGGGAGCGAAGATTGGAGAGGAAGACGTGGAAGATGCGCCTAAAAATTCGAATTTCCAATCATTTTTGTATGGCTTTATACCTACTCCAAGCCAAGAGCACATCGTCTTTTGAATCTCATAACCTGGTAGAGCGTATCGCTATGTGCACACATGAATATCTTTAGGACGATCCGGCTGGGTATGAGGACATTACAAGGGAAAGAGTGTACAGGTGCAAGCGATCGCTTGGACCACGTTCCACGTTGAATTCCGATTTATGCAGTGACATCCGCTCGTATGCATCGAACATATCTTTCGAATGCTGCAAGAGCTGTCACAAAAGACAGAGCTTTACACGACATTGCAACGGGAAGACGTAGATAATTCAGCCAGTGATCCAACTAGAGAACAATAATATGCCCTCGAGAACGAGTTATTCGATCCATCTCATACAAACGCTCACAGCTTCGCCTTCACAACCACCGTCTTGCTCAGCCCCTCCACAATGCCCTCGACCTCCCGCTCAATCCTGCTCAGCAGATCCTGGCACGTCGGAATGTCGTTGATAAGCCCAATCGCGGGGCCAGCGGTCCAAATCTGCGGTGGCGTAGTTAGCAACAGCTCCGCGGCGAGAATCTCGGTCTCAGAAAACACAACACTCACCCCGTAGTCTGGGTCGCCCAACTCGTACACCTTCTTCCCCCTCTGACCGGACACCAGGTCACGGATGTCCTCGAACTTGGCACCGCCCGGCCGACGCTCGATGGAGACGACCTCTTGCGAGATCTAGCGGATGGGATTAGTAAGGGTCGATAGCCGGGAGGCAGTAGGGCGTCTGCAACGGAGCAGCACGGCATCTGCATCGAAGCCGACCGTAAGAACAGACGCTCACCTTATTCTTGTACACCCGCGCCGTATTGTGCAGCGTCCGGAAGATGTGCACCGTATCCTGCTCTTTCGACCTGACGATCGTCTCCTTGATGTTGTGGTGGATTGGGCTGGGTGAGCGTGGTCAGTTCCTTCGTTCCGAGCGCGAAAGAGTGACCCCGACGAGGGCCGCGCGAAGGGCGAGTCCAACGAGGACCATGCGAAGCGCGAGTCCGAGGAGGAACAAACCGGCGAGTCCTTACCTCTCAACGGTGCACATGAAGCGCGTTCCCATATTCGTTCCAGCTGCGCCCAATGCCAATGCCGCTGCCAGGCCGCGCGCATCCGCAATGCCTCCGGACGCGATGAAGGGGACCTTGAGCTCCTGCGCGGCGCGTGCGAGCTAAGAGGGGATCAGCATACTGTACCTCAGGTTGCCCCAAACAAGACACACAACGCGTCAATCACTCACCAGAACCAGCCCGCCCATATCCTCCTCGCCCGGATGACCTGCGCATTCGAACCCGTCGATGCTGAGAACGTCGACGCCGTGTTTCTCGGCACTCTACATATGAAGCTGATTAGCTTGCCATCCCACATAAACACTCGTATGATGATGTTGCTAAATGTGTAAGGCAGACACGAGAAACTGACCTTCGCATGCCTGATCGTCGTGCACTTGTGAATTACAATGCACCCCTGGCTCTTGAAAAACTTGATGAGCGGGCCCGCTATACGAGAAAGGGGGAGGGGAAATGTCAGCATGCCTTTTCTCGCAAGTATTTGCCCATGGCGCCGGCTGGCGGGGTCGCATTAGCGCGCGTTGAGAAGCCGGCGTCACGATTATGCGCGGCAGAGGATAGGCAGAGGGACGCCAATGAAGAACAAGACTTAGTAACTCACGCGCATTCCCCGCTGTCTCAAATATTCTGACTCCTTCCTCGACGGCTGCGCGGGCATAGCCTTCGTAGTCCGGTGGGTTGATGCTGGGAAGGAGGGTAATGTTGACGCCAAAGGGCTTGGATGTGCGCCGGCGCGTCTCGCGGATGGCCTCGCGGAGGGCATCGGGGGAGGGTTGGGTGAGCGCGGTAAGGATGCCTGGAGAAGAGAGTAGAATCATGGGTACGAGAAAGGACGGTTAAAAGAGACACGGAGAGATGGGGAATTGGATAGGAAGGGGGTTTAGATGAACGGTAGGGAATGGAAGCAGGTCATGGAAGCAGGTCATGATTATAGGAAGGATGGGGTCAGTACCGTTCGGAGTATTGAGGAGGGAGGGATATGCGCACCTAGCCCTCCAGCCTCTGACACCGCGGCAGCAAGTTGTGGGACACCGACCCTGGGCGCATGTCAGCCTGGGCACGCACGACATAGGCGATCTCGCGCACCATTGCATGCCTCCTTGGACGATTGGGCTAAGGACAGTCAGTGTCCATGTTCCCCGATACTGCATGAGAGACTGAGCACGCACACACGAATCCCAAGCAACTTCGTCAAAGGCGTTACGAGAACCATGCTGAGTGCGCTATAAAGTGGGGGGGAACTGGACTGAGATCGACGTGGGGTCTCCGCTGAGAGCTTATGGAGGTGAAAGCAAAGCCTGAGGGATCCAAGACCGCGCTCTTATGGCGGGATGGAAGCGCGAATGATGAAAGTACGGGAATGAGCGCAGGCTGTGAGGGTGACCGGCTGAGCGCCAGTAGATCCCGGTGTGGGGAAGCGCTGGCAAGTTGCGCGTGATTCTCGGCCAGTCCCGTGAATCTCACATGACTGATGTTCAACTTTGCTGACACCGTTTCCAGGTAGTTTGGCAAGTCCATTCGTTAACACTGAGTTTGCGACAAATTGAGATCTTGAGAGGACGTAAGGGAGGAGGAGGGAAGGTGTGACACATTTGTGTGACTTGACGCGTCGGGTAAAAGGTTCCCACGAATCCGGCTTGTCTTCGACTCTCATCTCATGGCGCCCACAATCCCACAGCACTATAGTGCAATTGAAGTCATCCTCGGGAAAACGATTGGGCGCCTTCGAAAGTCTCACGTACGGTCCGTTCAGCGGAAGTACGCTGCTTCGTCTTGTTGTTCTGCGGCTCGCCCATGACAATAGGCGGGACCAATAATATGGTGGCGATTCTTACGAGCCGTTCACATAAAGTCAAGATGGAGGGGTAGCAGAAGCTTTACTACTACTCATGAAGCGCTACGCTCAACGACTCTTGACGGTCTTTCCTCTCTAAGACGACCTGACGTCTTCACTCTACTTTACGTCTAGCAGCAACAGCCTGGTGCTCGTTGCTCGCCATAAACATTGAGTGAGTCTTTTAGTAATATGATCTTACAAAATCTCAACTACTACCAGCCAGCGTACTTCAACATCGACATTACGAATCAACATGTCTGCCCTATTCCGCAACCTCGCTCGGAGAACGAAGGCCAAGTACGACCAAGACCCCCGTTTCGCACCCCATATACGACCCGTTCCCCTTCCGCCAACAGGCTCTCCCCAATATCAGCTCTAAGCCTTCTCGCCCCCTACTCCCGCATCGCCACCCGGACTGGGGCTAGTATGGGTGTTAGTTCCTGCCACCCCCGCGTCACAATCCCATAACACGCCTCTCCCCGCTTCACCCGTCCAACAACCACCATCGCTACCCTCACAAAATCTGCCTCTATCCGTTAGTCATCCCGCTCCATCTGGCCGCCCCGATCATGCGCCAGTTTCTCCATCCTCGACCCGCGCCACGCTCGGGTCTGCGACGCCGCAAATGTCGAATTCTCCCACCGTGCATTCGAGCTCGAGGTATCAGGCCTCATCCAGCGAAAATGTGGGTCCTGCTCGTAGGACGACGTATGCGTCGCAGGGCTCTCGACAGCGTCGCGCATCATTGGCAACTGCGCCTCCCTCGCAGCCCTCGCAGCTCCGGCCGACGCAGCAGCAGCATTCATCTTCCAATCACATACATACTGCGAACTCGCCGCGCTCGACGCGCGCCGCCAGGAGCTCACACGTGCCGCAACCTTTTACGGCCGTGCGCTCTGAGCGTACACCCGCTGCTCCGGTCGCATCTACTCAGCCTCCTGCATCTCGTCAACAACAAGGCACCACGACCTCCGAGCTGAGCCCACCCGTTAAGGCGGCCTTAGACGGGGAGGGCGGTGTCTTGGTCGACCAGGACTTCACCATCGACCGCACGACGGGCATTTGCTCTGTCTCCTTGATGTCCTCGTGGGAGACGGTGCGAAGGATAGCGGTCACGAGGCCCATCACGGTCAGCGACCTTTACCAGGTTCTGCAGCGCGCCACGAACCTTGAGTATGCATACTTTGAATGTATAATTCAAGATGCCCAGCCCAGCGACATCTACGGGACAGAGTTCACCGCTAAGCACCTCAAGTCACTGATAATCGCTTGTGCTGAAGTGCCCGTGTCGGCCATATTTCACGATCTTCGGGTCAAGCGCCTGGAGGCTCTACAAGTACGCTATGCGCCTGGCGGAGGGTACAATCTATGGTCCGACGAAGTATACTTGGCGCTTTTCCTCCAGAGGGCGCAATTAGCCAAAGATGGCGCGATTTGCATTGCATCGAACGAGACATGGTATCGAGATCAGAGGGCTGCAGCGCTGCTGAGTTCCCTGAAGGTGGCTGTGGGCAGGGCCAGCCAACAATGGCGTATCTTCGTAACCTAGATATCTGTGACATACTGTAGCAGTTGACACGACTCGCAGGATAGGGAAGTATATTAAATATGATGCAGATCGAATTTTCGCTCAGTAAAATCCTTCGGCAACCAGCCCCATCGCGGTCAGCCGACGGAATTCCTGTTCGTCCATTGGATGTCGGCCTCGCTCTGTGCGCATGAAGCCGATTTGGACATATACCAAGGGTGATTGATTTTGGAAGCGCGACCAGAGCATGCGGGAGATTACACCATCCGTCGTAGCGCAGTCATCCAACGACAAACGCGACAGCAGGGGAAGAAGCGGACCGCCCTGACCACAGTGCATTGCTGATATAAACCTGTCGCTTACAAGCGACAGCTCTACAGAAAGGTCGGTAATGGTAGACGCCGGGGCGAGACTGAGGAGGACAATGAGTGCGTCCTCGTCGATAGTCCCGCATGGGGAGAACTGGAGTTTCTGCAGGGCTGAGGTGCCCGAGATGAAGTGACGCAAGGATCGCGTGTCGACGCAGGGCCACTCGGTGGAATCATTCGATCCGGAGTCGAGCGTAAATTCCCGTAGCGATGGTAGACGAATTGCGTTGAATATTTCGTCCAGGGCGCCGTCACTATAGAGGAGCAGCTCTGTCACAGCGTGCTGAACGAGTATACCATTAAATCTCGAGGAGGAGGTTTCCTCACGTGTGAGGCGAACGCAGACGGTCTCGAGCGACTGTCCAACTGACAACATATCAAAGAAGGCGTCAAAAGTCATGGGGGACTTCTCAAACTCTGCACGAACAAGCTGGGCCCAGGCGACGTGGGCAGGAGCTGGAACGGTGCATATACCGAAGTGATTCCTCCACGAGAATTGTCGAAGCTTCGGCGTCGTGGACAGTAGAGTACAGAGGGACTGCACTTGGCTTCCGCCCTGCACGAAGTCGACGCGAATATTGCGCAATGCCCTCGCAGAGGATGGTGGCAGTAGAGACAAGCGCTGAGTCGACGCGTGTCCTATGAACAGGTCGAGTTCGCGCACTCGCGGGATCAGGACCGTAATGAAGTCCAAAGCGCACGGGCAGCGCTCGTGAGCAGGGATGGGCTCAACCGGGTAACGCATAGCCATATACTTGAAATGGTCGGCCTGCACGCTCGCAGCTTCAGCATCCATGAAGTAGATGCTGACCTCTGCCCCTTTCGTCCTCTGCACAAACCTGCGTGCTAGCTTCCGAGTATGGTGCGCGCGCCGCGAAGAACACTCCGTGAGAGAAATCCACTGCCAGAGGGCAGTTGTATCGAGCGCGACCTCCCTCCAGTACCCGCACACGTGGCTGAGAACCAGCGGCACGCTGCGACGGCTGCACGTCGCCTCGAAGAGCTGGGATGGCAGTGCTTCGACGAAGATTTGGGACAACAACTCCGGCGGCAGTCGATTTATGGGTGGTGTATAAGGACCATATCTGGGGGCTCGAGGAGGGATCGAAGCGAGAGACGGCATTTCCCAGATCCGGATTGACATGGGTCCCCGGTTGAGCTGAGGTACAGATGGGACTGGAGGCCGGGGAGCAGCAGGCGACTCTGAGTGCGAGAGCGTATGAAACGATGCAGTATTCCCTCTAGTTTGCTGACGCAGACAGTGAGAGGGCGCACTAGATTGCTGAAGGGGAGCATATCCGGGGTGAAGTGGGCGTGGCAGGAGAGGGGTATTGGTACTCAGCGACGGCATCGGCGCAGTTATCTGTCACAGTTGTCAGCAAAATATGAGGATATACTGCGTAGGCATACGCACGTAGCCTTGATTCCCGTCTGCTTCCCTTGCAGCGTTCCATGCGCCGGGCGTGTAGTACTGAGGATAAGACATGCTTGACAGGCCCGTATCGAGGGCGAGGGACCAGGAGATTCACGCCCGTACGCCTGATAACATGCCTTATGTACCAAGATAGCACCATTGAAGTCGGATGTGGAGATTCCTTTGTGACCGCATGGGGTTCGAGACAAGATGGGACGGCCATTGTTCCAAAACGGGGTCAAGAGTTGCAGTCCAGTGACGTTGCGCGTCCTCAACGTGACCTATAGTACTACTTATCCTAAAGCGGCAGAATACTCAATAGAAGGCGTAAATAGCAAGTCTCCGCGAATATATGATGTCTTTTACGATGCAGATAGGCGCGGTAATGGAGCCATCGACGGCCACGCTCGAACGTGATTTTCATCCAGCTCAGCCGACGGCAACGTGATAATGTAGCTCAGTATATATCTTGAGCGAAAATTCCAACCTTTCCCAACCATTGAAATGAAGCTGCATCTGACGAATGCAGAGTTTCTTCCTGTCGCTCGAACCTGATGTGTACTTCGTCCAGAGGATAATGCCCTGCCAGGCGCGCTCTAAGCATGCGAGAAATTACCCCGTCTGTAGTAACACATTTCCCGACCGACATCACGTATAGATGCGGAAGAAGCGGAATAGGACTATGGTCGGGATGCATCGCCAAGAAGAACTTATCCGTAAAGATGGGCAAAGTCAAGTGAATGCGCCTGAGGGTTGCCGCATGGGGCAGAGCGAGGATGTTGATCACTGCGACCTCGTCCAGAGCGCCCTTGACTTTGAGAGAAAAATCTCTGAGGCCTGACGTACCCGCGATGAAGCTCCGAATGGACTGCGGACGAACGCAGGGCCATTCGGCAGAATTATCAGACCTGGAATTCAGCGACAGATCCTGCAGTCCCGGAAGGCGAAGGGCATTGAAGACCCCGTCCACCGCCTCGTCGCCAGTCAAGAACAGCTTCTCTACACTTCGCTGAACAACGTGGCCTCGTGCTAGCGTGGTAGAGGCGTTTCCGTGACTGCGTGTCAGACAAGCCCGAACATCCTGAAGGGATTGACCGATGGAGAGCATATCCAGGAAAGCGTCCGAGGACATCGGCGACTCTTCGAGGTGAACGCGGACTAGCTGTGAATATGTGACGCGGGCAGGCAGAGGCACCGCACACACCCCAAAGCAACTGGTCCACGACAGAAGCCGAAGCTGTGGCGACGTCGACGTCAGGCCACTGAGCGACTGGACCATATCGCCCCCTTGAACGAAATTGACACGGAGGTTGCGAAGGGACGTCGCTGCGTTAGGAGGGATCGCAGACAGGCGTTGAGCCGATGCTTGCCCGATGAACAATTCGAGGACACGTATTTCTGAGATATGAGCCATGATGAGATCGAGCGCGCAATGGCAGCGGTCGGGCGCAGGCGTGGTACTGACACCTAGTCCCAAGGCCACGACCCGGAAGTGATCGTTGTCGAGGCTGGTGGCTTCAACGTCCCGGAAGTACACGCTGAGTCCGGTGCCCTTCGCCCGCTGCACGGATCTGCGCGCTAGCTTTCGCGTCCGATGCACGTATTTATTGCGACATTCCGTCAGGGATATCCACTGCCAAAGGGCGGCTGTGTCAATCGCCACCTCCCTCCAGTATTCGCATACGTGACTGAGGACCACTGGTACGCAGCGACGAGTGCACTTTGCCTGGAAGAGTTGGGATGGAAGGGCTTCGACGAATATTTGCGACAGCAGTTCGGGAGGTAGTCGATTTATGAGTGGTGTATAAGGGCCGTCTCCAGGAGCTCGAGGAGGAACTGAAGCAAGCGACGGCATTTCCCAGATTCTGAACGCCAAGGGTGCCCGAGGGAATTCAGTTGCCGGTGCGAATGGCAGTTGGGAAGCAACAGACGGGTACGGATGTGTTAGGCGCGATTGAGTTGTACCACCGGTTTGCTGCATTCCGTATGGTAGAGACGGAGGATACAGATTGAAGTGCTGAGAAGGGACATGGACAGGGTGAGGCGGGTGGGAGGATGGGAGAGGGGCGTTTGAGCTCAACGGCCTCGGCGCGTTTGTCTGTCGCAGTTGTTAGCACGATGCAGGGATAACGCAGAAGCATGCGCACATATTGCTGGTACCCATACACTCCCATGAGTTCCTGTGCCGGCGCGGAGCTCGACGCGCCAGGCGTGTAGTGGTGGGGATAGGATATGCTTGACGAGCCCGCGTCGGAAACGAACGATCGGATTTTCAGCACATCTGCCTGGCAACAGGACTCATGTATCGAGCAGGTGCCATTGCAGCCGAGTATAGGACTTCCTTTGTGAACATACGGGGTTCGGGACAAAATGGGATGTCCATTGTTCCTTATTCCGAAAATGGAACAAACGTTATGTTGTAGTCCCGTGACCTGATGCTCTCGTCAAATCGTGAAGTACGATACCGGTATACCGTCTACCATGAAGGTTCATATACCAGACGGCAGCAAAGCTCAAGCACGACGAAGGCGCAGTCAGCAAGACGAGTAGAGATATTGCATCGCTCAGGCGTAGCACAAAGACCAAACATACGTATCACTGCAGTGTTCTCTGACTACGGCTTTGGGCGAAATTCCGGCGTCAACGATGGTGTATCTGTGACCCGTATATTATAAATGGCGCTACGACTTTCTGGAGGCGTCAGCATATCGGGCGTAGTGCACATCGGGGGAGAACTCAGAAAAACCTTTCCGCGAGTAATCCCATCTCGCTCAACCGACGAAATTCGCGTTCGTCAACCGGATGCCGGCCTTGTTCTGTTCGCATGAAGCGAATTTGAGTATATGCCAGTGGAGAGCGACGCTGGTGGCGCGACCAGAGCATGCGAGAGATCACGCCGTCCGTTGTCGCACAATGGCCCAACGACAGGCGAGAGACATGAGGAAGAAGCGGGCCACCTGGACCTCGATGCATCGCCGAAAACAGCTTATCGCTGACGAGCGACAGATCTATGTAAAGATCTGTGATAGTGGACGCTGGAGGGAGACCGAGGATGGCAATAAGTGCGTCCTCGTTGACATTGCCGCCCGTCGATAAATCGAACTTCTGCAGGGCTAATGTCCCCAGGATGAAGCGGCGCAAGGACTGGACCTCGACGCAGGGCCAATCGGTGGAGTTCCTCGATTTAGAGTCCAGCGTGAGTTCCTGCAGGGACGGAAGCCTGACCGTGTTGAATACCTCGTCCAGGGCACCGTCACCATATAATAGCAGCTCCGTCACGGCGCGCTGAACGAGCGTACCACGTATGTTCGAAGAGAATGTTCCCTCACTTATGAGGCGAATGCAGACAGTCTCGAGCGATTGTCCGACCGACAGCATATCGAAGAAGGCTTCGCAAGTCATGGGGGACTTCTCGAATTCTGCACGAACAAGCTGGGCCCAAGCGATGCGTGCAGGAGGTGGTACGGTGCAGATACCGAAGTGATTGGTCCACACGAATGACCGAAGCATTGGCGACGTAGACAGTAGAGTACAAAGGGACTGCACTTGACTTCCGCCCTGCACGAAGTCGAAGTGTATGTTTCGTAATGCCTTCGCAGAGGATGGCGGCAGCAGAGACAAGCGCTGGGTTGACGCGTGTCCAATGAACAGGTCGAGTTCGCGCACTCGCGAGATGAGGGCCGTAATGAAGTCCAAAGCGCAAGGGCAGCGCTCGCGAGCAGGGATGGGCTCGACAGGATAGCGCATAGCCATATACTTGAAATGGTTGGCTTGCACGCTCGCAGCTTCAGCATCCATGAAGTAAATTCTGAGCTGGGCCCCTTTCGCCCTCTGCACGGATCTGCGTGCTAGCTTCCGGGTATGATGCGCGCGCCTAGACGAGCACTCCGTGAGAGAGATCCACTGCCAGAGGGTGACCGTGTTGAGTGCGACCTCCCTCCAGTACCCGCACACGTGGCTGGAAACTAGCGGCACGCTGCGGCGGCTGCACGTTGCTTCAAAGAGCTGGGATGGCAGCGCTTCGACAAAGATTCGCGACAACAACTCCGGAGGCAGTCGATTGATAGGCGGCGTGTAAGGACCGAATCTGGGGGCTTGAGGAGGAATCGAAGCGAGCGACGGCATTTCCCATATCCGTATGGTCATGGGTCCTCGATTGGGCTGAGGGACTGGAGGCTGAGAGGCAGTAGGCGGGTGCGGATGCGGATGCGGAAGGCATGATGTAGTAGTTCCGCCAGGTCTCTGACATAGACGGGGAGGATACGCACTAGAGTGCTGAAGGGGAGCGTATCCGGGATGAAGTGGACGTGGCATGGTGGTGCTCGGCGGCGGCATTGATGCGCTTGCCTGTCGTAGTTGTCAGCAAAGATAGAAACGGAAATAAGGAGTACACACATAGCCTTGGTCCATATGTGCTTCCCTCACGAAACTTTGCGTCTGCCCAGGCCAGCGAGGCGCGCCGAGCGTGCGGTGGTGGGGATAAGACATGCTTGAATAAGCCAGTATCAAAGCTGAGGGACCAGGGGATTCGCGACCGCACGCCTGGCAACAGGACTTATGTACCAAGATACCGTCATTACTGTCGGATGAGGATACTCCTTTGTGACCGCATGGGGTTCGGGACAAGATAGAACGACCATTGTTCCTTTTTCCGAAAACGGAACAAATGACCCGTCACGGTCCCGTGACATGATGCGGTCGTCAACGCGCCGCGTACTCATGACAAACGGCGATGAGATCCGAGCACGAAAATGGTTGATTTCCAGAAATAAAAACACTGACGATGTATTGAACAGATCTCACTGAAGCTCAAAAGCAGCACTGCAGTATTTCCTGACCATGGCTTTGGGCGGCACCCTGAAGTCAATGACGGTGTATTCTCATAATTTTGATGTAGTACGACCTGTATTCCAATGGCGAAGCGACGACTCACTGGATATTTCATGTTACTCAGCCCGGTCAAAATCGAGATCTTGGTCAGAAGAACCTCTCCGCGAGTAATCCTACCGCGCCCAACCGACGAAACTCGCGTTCGTCAACCGGATGCCGGCCTTGCTCTCTCCGCATGAAGCGGATCTGAGCATATGTCAAAGGAGAGCAGCTCTGGTGAAGCGACCACAGTAGGTCAGAGATCACACTATCAGTCGTCGCACAGTATCCTATGGACAAGCGCGACAGTTGAGGAAGAAGTGGACCACCCTGACCGCGGTACATTGCCGTGATCATTCGGTCGCTAACGACCGATAGGTCTACGTGAAGGTCGGCGATGGTGGCTGATTGGGGAAGAGTGAGGAGGGCAAGCAATGCGTCCTCATCAACAGTCCCGCCCGGCGTGATATCGAGCTTTTGCAGAGCAGAAATGTTCGAAATGAAGCGATGTAAGGACCGCGCGTCGAGGCAGGGCCAGTCAACTGAGTCTTGCGATTTGCAGTCCAGCGTAAACTGCTGTAGCGATGGAAGCCGAATCGCGTTGAATACTTCGTCGAGTGCCTCGTGACCGCACAGCAGCAGCTTAGTGAGAGCATATTGTGTGACTGAACCACGCAACTTCTCAGGCGATGTGCCATGACGTGTTAGGCGAACGCAGACAGTCTCCAGCGATCGTCCAACAGTCAACATGCCGAAGAAGGCTTGGAAGGTCATAGGCGATTCCTCGAGCTCTGCACGAACGAGCTGACTCCAGGCAATGTTAGAAGGAGGGGGCACAGCACAAATGTCGAAGTGATTGGTCCACGAGAACCGTCGAAGCTTCGGCGATGTGGACAGCAGAGTACAGAGGGACTGCACTTCACTTCCACCCTGCACGAAGTCGACGTGAATATTGCGCAAAGCCTTCGCAGAGGACGGCGGTAGCAAAGACAAACGCTGAGTCGACGCGTGACCAATGAACAGGTCGAGTTCGCGCACTCGCGAAATGAGGGCCGTAATGAAGTCCAAAGCGCACGGGCAGCGCTCATGAGCAGGAATGGGCTCAACCGGGCAACGCATAGCCATGTACTTGAAGTGGTTGGCCTGTACGCTCGCAGCTTCAGCATCCATGAAGTAGATGCTAAGTTCCGCCCCTCTCGTCCTCTGCACGAACCTGCGTGCGAGCTTCCGAGTATGGTGCGCGCGCCGCGACGAACACTCTGTAAGAGAGATCCACTGCCAGAGGGCAGTTGTATCGAGCGCGACCTCCCTCCAGTAGCCGCACACGTGGCTGAGAACCAGCGGCACGCTGCGGCGGCTGCACGTCGCTTGGAAGAGCTGGGATGGCAGTGCTCCGACGAAGATTTGGGACAACAACTCCGGAGGCAGTCGATTGATAGGCGGTGTATAAGGACCGTATCTGGGCGCTCGAGGAGGAATCGAAGCGAAAGACGGCATTTCCCAGATCCGTATGGTCATGGATCCTCGATTGAGCTGAGGGACTGGAGGTTGGGGAGTAGCAGGCGGGTGCGGATGTGGATGTGGATGAGATAATGGAGTCTTTCCGCCAGATTTCTGTCGGAGGTGGGGAGGACACGCGCTGGAGTGCAGAACGGGAGCAAAGCCGGGGTGAAGTGGGTGCGGCATACTGGTACCCAGCGACGGCATCGGTGCGCTTGCCTGTCGTAGCTATCAGCCAAGATCAAGCAATGCAGAGTAGGCATGCGCACATAACCTTGGTCCCTGTCCCCTCCCCTCGCGGACCTTTGTGTCTGCGCAGGCTGGCGAGGCGCGTTCGACGCGCCGAGCGTATAGTGCTGAGGATAAGACATGCTAGAGAGACCGATATGAAGGACGAGGGACCAGGAGCTTGAGAGCAGGACTTATGTACCGGGAGGTCACCATTGCGACCAGAAGTAAGGGTTCCTTTGTGGACATATGGGGTTCGGAGCAAGATGGGAAGCCCATTGTTCTTTGTTCCGAAAACGGAACGAATGATATGTCACGACCATGTGACATGGCTCATTCAAGAGCGCAGTCCACGAAATCAGCCCAGCATCAGGCTCGACCTCCAGCCGCATACACAGGAAAGGACTGAAGACGGGGCTTCTCTAGCTAGATTATGAGCGCAAAGGCGCGTAGTGTAGTGTAGTTGAACATGGCTAGCTTGTACTGGTAGCCTCTGAGCCTCCTATGCCAGCATGATAGCTAACGAAGCAGACTGACCGAGAAAGACCACGGGTATATAGTCCACAATATTCAACGATGTCCCTTTGCGTAAACCCCCGCATCCCTCGCGCGCTTGAACGCGGTCATATCCTTCCCATGATGTCTACCACGTCCGCATCCTCCAACCATGAACATGACTTCCAGTCGAGTTAAGGGGTACTGGTGCTTCATGCGCCAGCGCAGCATATGCGAGATTATGCCGTCGCTGGTGGAACACCGCCCCAGCTCCAACGTCTTCAACCGGGGAAGGAGGGGCGCGCCATTGCGCCCCGGAAGCAGCGCGTCGAAGAGTCTGTCGCCGATGTATAACACGTTCTGCACTTCGAGGTGAGTGAGATTGGCCATCTTGGGGAGCGCGATGATGTCGAGGAGGGCGTCTTCGTTGATCGTGCCGCCCGGAGAGAGGGAGAGGCTGTCCAGCGGCGTCGTACCATCCGCGATGAAGTCGCGAAGGACGCGGGGATCAGCGCACGGCCATTCGCTAAGTCTCGCATCATCGAGCTTGAATTGCATGTGCAGCTTGAGGTTCCGGAGCGCCGGGAGATGGAGCGCTCGGAAGACATCGTCCAGAGGTCCGAATCCGACGATGTCGAGTTTTTCAACGGTCGTCTGGCTGACTCGGACGTTGGCGAGCGCATGCGGCCGAATACCCGGTGTGAGGCAGACGCTGACATGTTCCAAAAGCACGCCAGTCGTCAGCATCTCGGCGAATGCATAGAACGACATGGGGTAGCTGGCGAGCTCTACACGGACAAGCTGAGGCCACGGAATGAGGTTATCGAGCGAGCCCTCGCGAAGAAGGAAGTCGCTCGTCAACGACAAGCTCCGAAGCCGTGGCGAAGTCAACAGCAGGGAGGAAAGCGCCTTCGCTTGGGCACGGTCTTCGTACCCATAGAATTTGATGCGCAGGTTCCGCAAGCACGTCGCCGCGCCAGGTGGTAGTGTTGACAATCGGCAGATCGACGAGCGATACACGCCCAGGTCAAGATCGCGGATCTCCGAAATGTTGGCCATGACAAAGTCGGGCGCGCAAAGGCATCTCTGCTCGGCGGGGTCGTCAACGTGTGCCAACAAGAAGGTAAATTCGTCCGCGTAGGAGATATTGATCCCGGCGTACTTTGACCTCCGCATGAACATGCGTTCCAAGTCCCAATGGCGGTGTGCATGGTAATCGGAGCAGGAGACGAGGTTTAAGTACTTCCAGAGCTCAGGAGCGTTTATGGCCACCTGTCTCCAGTAGCTGCACACCCAACTGACGACCAGTGGCATGTATCGCCAGTAGATTGTCGGCTCGGCAGGAGTAGCTGCTACGAATATCAGGGATAGAACCTCTGGAGGAAGCCGGTTGATAGTAGTTTCGTACGATTTGCCCTCCACAAGCTGAGGGGGTGTCGAGGCCAAATATGGCATTGTCCAAGAAAGACAAGGCAGCCACCGCGGACCTATTGAAAGGATAGAGTGTGTTGACGGCATACGATGATGTTGACGGCCGTGCGGTGTTCCGAAGGGCACATTGAGAGTGTCGCCGTCAAGTGACAATAGGGTGTTCTGGATAATGAGGTTCAACAAAGCTGTTTGTTGGGAAAGCACGATCGGAATATGTGGCACATCGACGGAAGACTCTGAAGGACCATCGTTCGTGGTGGTCTGCCAATGACTTTGCGGTGAGTATCAGTATTGGCGTACAGGCAAATAACGCACGTTGTCATGGTCTCCTCCTGCGGCTTCTGGAACATGTCCTATATCATCTGTCGCGTGTGGCGCGTTGTCTCCGGAAGGATAGGACATGTTGGCGTAGAAATGCGTCGTAATAGCGTTGTGTGTGTCCGAGCACCAGGAGATGAGCCTTGCGAGAATAGCAGAGAACCGCAATATAGGAAGGGCGATGTTCTTGGTGACGTGAAAGTCCGGGACAAGATGAAGTGCTAGTAGCGCATCCGCCAAGGGGCGGCCCGGCGTCACGGCTGCCCGCCTGGTCACGGGACCGTGACTCCGTTTGCCCCCGTTTCGGCATATTCCGGGAATAATCATCTTATTCTGCGCCCTCATCAATGGTCGACTCGCGCACACATGGGCAATCGTATACCCTCAGTTTAGGGCTGTCAATCGACTGTATGTCTATGAGAGTCTTTTCTCAAGCATCACGGATTTCTCGACAGCCGGCATTCCAAGCCGCCCTTCATTGCGACCACCGGGCGCTGAGATGATTCTGGCCTTATACGATTGCACAGGCAACGGGAAATGGGCGGTAAAGATAGTATGCGAAGCTGACAGTCAAAGGTCTGGTGGCTCGTCTTGACGCCCTGCTCAGCCGGCTCATATCAGCGTCCGGCGCGAGAAGCAAATCTGTCAAGATTTCTTCCGACTTGACAGTCCAACACCGAACAGTCTGTGCGTCTCTCTATTCAGCCTGGTCCCCGTGCCCCGTTATCGCTGCTCTTTAGCCATTATGTTTGCTATGATTTTTCTACAGGTGGTTCATGCAGGCGGCGTATATAAGGGCGGGCTGAAAGCCCATAAGAGACCAGCGCAGTGTTACCTCAACGCAGCCTACAGCTTTTCTGTACAGAACACAGTCAACATGTCTTCGCACGCTCAGCAGGATCCGTACGCCCTCGCTGACTTGGATGATGCTCGTTAGCTGACACCTCGACCCAGGTCTATCGCGCCGTCCGAGGCAGCAGATGTCATTGCCGACACGGACGTTGTCTTCGGGCGCACTGTCGTCCCCGTCCCGCTGCACAACAAGCCTATGAAGAAAGACATGCTCGGTCTGTCGAAGTTGACCCAGCGTATCTGAACCCATTCTCATCTGTTCTGATACCAGGGTTTGAGTACGCCGAGCACAGCTACATCGGCGACACTATCAACCTCACGCTTGCCAACGGCACGAAGGTTCCGGCCATCGACCAGAAGTACACGCTCAAGAACGGTCTCGTCGTCACCTACGGCCAGATCAACGGCCTCGCAGGCGATTTCTACGGCACCACAGACCCCATTAGCGATGGCAAGGATGCGCAGGACCAGTCGAAGCGTTTCCTCGCGGCGTTCAGCACCCTCGCCGATCCGAGCTCTCGCCAGCCCCAGGAAGCTCGCGACATCCTCGCCGTCCTACAAACCGAGGTCGACGCTGTCAACGATGCGCTGCACCGCCACGAGGACCCGTCGGTTGCGTACAACCAGCTCCCGGACGTCAGCGTGAAGCTGCAGTGGCTTACGCAGTTCCGCCCTTCCGGGTTTCCGAGCTATCTGGGGCTGGCGCGCATCAACTGGGATCACTTCGGCCCCGACGCGCGCACGGCGTACAACGCAGGGCATGCCCTGGCGCTGCAGACCGCGGCTAACGGTGATCTGGACGGGGCGTACACGCTGAACGCCTTTGCCGACCACTTCCTGGAAGATTCGTTCTCGTCCGGCCACCTGCGTACTCCCCGTAGGGGCTTGCACAGGTCGCTCGACCTTACGTCCGATGCTTGTGCTAAGGTCCGTCTCTTCTCAATGCTATATGACAGACGACCGCTGACTGGCCGTTGTAGTTTATGCACGACGAGGACTGCGCCATTGGCTTGTCGGTCAGGAACCCCGGTGGGGAATGGTGGACCTGCTACGGCGACAAGCGCGCACTTGACGAGGTCGCTGCCGACAACCTCAAGCGCTGCGTCGCCGCCGTGCAGGCCTCCGCAGACGAGATTTACGCCGCCTACACGAACAAGGCCATCCCTTCGCCTAACAACTACAAAGCGTGGACCATCGCCCCGACCCTCGAGTCTGCGCTCGGCACGCAAGACCTTGCACCGCTCTTCAAGTACAAAGATGCCTCCCAGACGGACGTCGAGCGTCGCAAGGTCATCGAGAACCGCCGCATGCGCGAGCTCACCATGAGCTGGTGGTTCTGGTCCACGGCGGCCGAGTGCAAGACGAGCGGGTGGTGGAAGTACCCCATCACAATCGACGGCCCACCCAAGATCGTCCCGTACACCAACTTCGCGGTGACGACCCCGCGCATCTGGAGCGCGCGCGTGTACTATCAGAATCCCCCGGGCGGCGTACTGGAGAGCGTGCACATCGACGGGCAGTGGACCGGCGGCATCGACCAGCCGAGTCTTTGGGACGCCGCGCCCTTCACGCCTCTCGCGGCCATTAACTGGGACCGCGGAAATCAGGTAAGTATCCCGATTCTTTGTGTCCTTGTCTTGTGCTTACATCTCGCCATATAGGTTCGCGTATATTACCTCAACACCGACAACAAGCTGCAGGAGTACTGCTACGAGCACGGCAACTGGTCTCCGGGCAGCCTGAACGGCATGGACATCCAGGCTGCCTTCAATACCTCCATCGCCGCGTTCCAGTACGAGAATGATACCGGTTTGCACATTCGCGTGTATTGCCAAGGTTTGTGGCTCTTCTTTGGGTCGAGCACGCACGTATACTCAGTCCCATTCAGAGGATGGCTCGAACGAGATCCAGGAATTCTGCTGCGATGAACGCTGGCTCAGAGGCGCCACACTGCCTTCGGCTCTCAGCGGGACCAGCATCGCGGCTATCCCCTTCGAATTCAACGGCCTCCAATTCCGCGTCTACTATCAAACCGACGACCTCTACATCCGCGAGCAGGTCCTGAACAACGACGGGTGGTCTTCGGGTAAGCACTTCCTCTGCACCGTCCCTCCCAAACCCCACCTTGTTGACAATCCCTCGCAGGTGATTTCGTGGGTGGCCCAGCGCCCGGCCGAACCCAGATTGGCGCGCTCTTCGGTAGCTGGCGCGGCGTTGTACTGGACGTCTACTGGATGAACATGGATTCCGAGATCACCCGCGCTACCAACATCGATGGTTGGTGGAACAACAGCACTGTCGTCGGCCCTCTTGAACGGGGCGCGAAGTTCGCTCCTGCCCAGTGGGACGGGGGCCGCTACGTTCGGGTGTACTATCAGTCCGCCGACAACTCGGTGCTCGAGATCTGCAACGACAACGACGAGGGCTGGTACTCCGGTGATACTGTGGGAAAGGCTTGAGATGCTACGATGTATCGTATGGCCGTTGTCCGTGTATATAATATATAGTATAGTCGATCTTTGTCATATATCACCTTGCTTGCAAGGTCTTTCCCGTGTCTCATTGACCCCATCAAAATTGACCCCATGTGCGTGGCACGTTACGAAGACAACATCGGTAAATGCGCAGACACCTTCGTCCACAAATCCTGTACGGCACCACACGACGAGCTCTGCCAACGACAGCAGGATTCAGACTCACGCGCGAGATGCAAGCAAGGTATCCAACCGGCGAAGCCGGGGCTTCTCTAGTATCTCGAATGAATGTTATGCCTTGTCCTTGATGAAGCTCCACTTTGCGCCAAGTCATAGAAGCACTGTCAGCTGGAATGCTACTGGCAAGCCCAGGCAAGCCTAGCGCAATGGCTACGCTGCAAGGTCCGGATACTTACTGGATACTATGCAGACGAAGGATCATATCCCGTCACTTGCGAGCAACCCAAAGCCTTGGGAGACCATAGGTGTATCCTGAGATGAGGCACACGTCCAGGAGATAATGAGGCGAGCGGCTGAAAACAAGCAAGATGAGGCTGAGTGCAACACGTAATGTGGGGTAAACAAGTACAAAGGACCTTTCTTACCGAATAAGGAAGATTGACGGCACTTGCCGACGACTTTCTTTTTTAAAGCCTCAATGAATGGGAGCGCGAGCAGACCTCGTCCACCCACTGATAGCGCCGCGGGAAGGAGGCGTTGAAGACGGTCACACGCGGATGAGAGGTACACATTATACATTTCTTTGCTTCACGTCCTACGCTACTCTAGATGGTGTGGTGGTGATACAAGATAGTTCGTGTCGTCGGCGGGGTATACCCACCTGTAAAGAGGCGCGCTACACGAAAGTGAACGGATGCGCTACCCGCTTACAGGCGGTTGACGTTGCCAAGATCCGTGCATGCCTCCTTGACACGCTCGCTCATGGTCTTCTCGCCCTCGCGGACCCAGACACGCGGGTCGTAGAGCTGAAATTGATGTTAGACGGCAGCCCGACGAAACCTTAACGATGAGCAAACGCACCTTCTTGTTGGGCTTATCCGGGCCCTCAGGGTTGCCGACCTGGGTCATCAGGTAGTCCTTCTTGTTGAGGACGAAGTCGCGGATGCCCTTGAGGTAGGCGAACTGGGTGTCGGTATCGACGTTCATCTTGACGACACCGTTGACGACCGCCGTCTTGATCTCGTCCTTCGATGAGCCAGAGCCACCGTGGAAGACGAGGTACCTGCGCGAGTCGTCAGCGATATGTAGGCGCAGGATAATGATCCACATACAAAGGCTTCTCAACCTTGCCACCGAGCTTCTCCGCGGCGTACGCCTGGTGCTTGCCGAGGATGTCGGGCCGGAGCTTCACGTTGCCGGGCTTGTACACACCGTGCACGTTGCCGAAGGCAGCGGCGATGCTGAAGTTCGGGCTGATCGCGGAGAGCGCGCTGTACACGTCGAAGATGTCCTCCGGCTGCGTGTACAGGCTGCTGTTGTCGACGCCCGTGTTGTCGACACCATCCTCCTCACCACCGGTGATGCCGATCTCCATCTCGAGCCAGATGCCCATGGGCGCCATGCGCTTGAAGTACTTCACGCAGGTCGCGATGTTCTCCTCCTTGCTCTCCTCGGAGAGATCGAGCATGTGGGAGGAGAAGAGGGGTTCTTGGTGGACCTTGTAGTGGTCCTCGTCGGCCTCGAGCATGCCGTCGAACCAGGGAAGGAGCTTCTTCGCGCAATGGTCGGAGTGCATGATAACGGGGCTGGCGATCGAAGTCAGCACGGAAGCAAAACGAGTTTTAGAGCTGCGCAACGCACATGCCGTAGTCCTTCGCGACGATGCGGACATGGTGGGCAGCAGCGACAGCGCCACGGATGGACGCCTGCTGCTTGTCGTTTGCGAGACCTTTGCCGGCGAAGTAGGCAGCACCGCCCTGGGAGACCTGGATGATAATCGGGGACTTGATGTCTCTGATATGGGTTCAGTCGCGTAATTACGCGCGATAGAGGAGATCGCTGACCTTGCGGCCTCGAGAACAGCGTTTGCAGTAGAGGAGGAGGTTACGTTCTGGACGAAGGTGAGCGGACGGAATAGGGGAACGAGTGAGTCACGTACGAATGCCTGTCGGAGCGTCGCCCCTTGGTAAGTAGGAATCCAGAGCTACTACACGCTATGACTTACGGGGATGGCAAACTGGGGGGCGTCTGTTAGCTCGTGTACGTGCTTCTGCACCCATCGCACGCACCTTGTGCTCCTTCGCATAGTCAAAGACTTTGCGGACGTTCTCGCCGGTGATGACGCCAGCCTGGATGAGAACCGCCACCGTCAGCACTGCGCTGGTCGTCGTCAGCAGATTGCGCACGCACAGGTACGATGTCGAGGATGCCCATGATTGTGGTGGAGGTAGGAGGGAGGATGGAATTTTCTGAGGGTGGCGACGGCCATCGATGTTTTATCGGCCGTTCCACGTGAGCCCTTTGGTGTGACGTATGTCAGGCCGTCATGTTGGCGAGTCTTTTACGGCCCGCTCCCAGCCCGCTCCTCGTCCGCGCACCGCGGCCTGGCCTTCTCCCCGCCGCGCGTCGGGCAGGCCCAGCTCGCGTGTTGGCATCCCACCGCTGCCTGGCCGACGCAGCGACGGCGGCGCCGCCATGAGCACAGGCAGTCTGGGCGCGGCGGAGACGGGCGCGCAGTCTCGGCCAAGGCTTTCCACGCGAGAAACGTGGCTCCGAACGACCCCGACTTCGGACTCGAACCGCGACCGATCCTTTCTTGGAAATCGCTCCCAGAAAGCGCCTCGTCCAGGGCGCTCCCATCGATGGAAATATCGGAGGCAACGCTGAACCTATCCGCATCCTTGACGACAGCCCAGACTGAGTCGCCTCGCCGATCGCCTTCCCTCTCGCTCGTTCCCTCAGCGCCTCTGTACACCTTTGAGCTCGCTGAGTGCCCTCGATGTTCCAGAAAGCCGCCGAACGAAAGCTAGAGAATCAGGCGGTCGTCCAGCGCTCAGTTGACCTTCCGAATGCCGACTTCAATTCCGTCGGGCTTCCAGCGCGGCACGTGATGTTGAACTTAATGGCCAACCACAATTTCCGCATTATCTTCTGCGTTGACGGCGAGCGGCCAAGCGATGCAGATAGTTGACCCATAGCTCGTCGAACGTCTAGCCGCCCTGTTTGTTCCTTTGGACTGGCAGACGGGTGGATGCGGCCTGATCCCGTCCATTGCGTAGGGACAGGCTGTCGCTGCGTTCCTGTCCGAAGGTATCCCGTGTACGCCGCTATAGAGCGTGGTGAGCAGCAAGGAGGTGAGCGAGCTTCCCCGGCATGCTGTCTGAAGAACGTGCCTCTAGTTCTCCCTTCCTGCGCCATGCAGATCACAAATAGTGGCGGCTCGCCGTCCAGCAAGCGTGCGCCAAGGTCTCTCATTCGGCCCCTGTAATCTGCGAATGAACACTAGCTTCTGCCATAGCGCTACGGTGAACCTTAGCGGAGATGAAGCACTTTTTAGGGCTTTACGGTACGCCTTTGCCTGTCTTCGCGGAATGCATTTGTTGTCAGATAAATGCGATTATTCTCGTGCTGGATTTTGCCGCAGTTGCGGTCTTCAGACTTGCCTTGCACGTCCGGAGCATCACCACACCACTCCGAAGTCCGGGTTCATATTGGGGGAACACGACGCAGGTCCTCGAGAAAATGCGGCTTCGTTGCGGCGTCCCTAGGACACCAAGCGATTTATGTAACCCCCTTTCTTCACAGGTTTATCTGCTGCGATGGGCACGGTGCGTGGGCGCCTCGTACTGTATACACGGACCATACTGACCACGCAACACAGCAGCACCCTGTTACAGACCCAGCCTTCTTCGCCAATCTCCCTCTATGGTACTGATTCTACTTGACAGCGATGCCTCTACCTTCCTTCTTCGTCCCGCTTCTCGTCCCCCCTCGGTTTCTTCCCTCGCCTTCGCATTCATCCTCGCCGAATCTTCGCACTCTTTTTACCCATTGCGCCGCGCCAAGATACCCAGGTCCCCGGCTACGCGAGATCGCTTTAATCAAGCCTCAATCAAGAGAAGCGCCGCAGGGCACCGACGTGCAGCGCGAAGGGACCCTCCTTCGCACGCCTGCCTTCCTGGGACAAGAGGCGGGCGCGCTCCCGCGCGGCGAGCATGGTAATTCACCCAGTACTGTGTCCGCGTATATCGTGCAGCGCTGGGTGCCGCACGACCGCGCTCGGCTAGCTCTTCGACTTTGTCCTATAGGAGACCCTGAGTCAACGACCAGGTCTCTCTCGACGTGGTCGCCTCGCTTCGGGGCTGATCAGCGTCGGACCCTATGCGCGCGGCCGCCACCAATTTACGGGCTATCAGGTGAGCTTGGTGGGCTACGTGAATACGGGGTTAAGACCCCCAAGTCCCGCAATCTACTTGTTCTTCCGTTGGAGCTTTGTACTTCTTCACCGGCTCGATGGAGTCAAGATCCAAGCAAGCTCCCCCTCCCTGCTTTTCTTTCATTCACCGGATTCGGATAGCACGTTCCTCCCTGTGAGTCTGCTGCGCCCGCTGTCCACTCGCCATGAACTAACCACGACCATGAACACGCTCACAGCCAGGTACCCAGGCGCGCTGATCGCCTGCTGGACTTGCTATTGTGCGCGCGACAACACCTACCGCCGAGTACATAATCCGTATGTAAAGCCTTCCTTCTCCCTCGACACGCTTTCGTGCCCCCAATCACTATCACCACAGCCAGATGAACACGGCGCACTCTACCTGACGCTGAGCCGGATATCATAGATATCAGGGCCCTCACAAGACCTACTGCGCCGCGCACAAGACCTTGCCGATGTGACGAGAAGCGCGCGCTCTCCCAGGCGCATCTGCATTCACGCGGGTGGCGCGAATGTGCGATGGAAAGCCCTCGAAAGCGAAGGCGTCCTCTGCGTCCTGCGATCCCATAGCGCACAGGATGACGCATCCCAGACTGGGCCCTTCGCCGTCGACGTAGCTATGAAGGAGTAACCCCTTCTATCTCGCACGCCGCCGTATGCTATGTCTTTCTGTGGGGTCGCGGAGCTGGTGCGCTGCCACCCGGCCAGCGCGCGAAGAGCAGTGGCGCGGCGGCTCATTCACGGGCCTGCGCGCACGGCTCTGAACCCAATCGCGCTCGGCGACGTGCGACGGCGCTAGCAAAAATTTACGACAGCCCCTACGAGAGCCCCGCACCCTCCAAAGCTTGCCAGTGGCTTCCTGGAACTTGCCGCCTGGGCTACGTGTCGGAGGTGGTCGAATCGCCGACCTGCCCCCTCCTATCACTCGCGTAGGCCACCGAGTTCCTCTCCGGCGATTTCTCCTGTGTCAATACCGCCTCAGGCTTCGGTGTGGGACGCTCGCACGTCTGTAGCCGATGCAGACGTATCCGACAGCCGCCACGCAGACCACGCTCGATGTGGCTTAGCGCGCAGAGGGGACCCTCTTACCGACGGCCTTCACGTGCGCGTCCAACTCTTCTCGCCTTTTCACGCGCTACAGTCATCTCCTGGGCCCGCTTCGGCAGTTTCTCGAGCTACTGTATACGCCTATGTTTGGGCTGCGTTCTAGCTGGAACAGCGAGACTTATAGCGTGCGCGATTGACTTCTCGTTTGTGGCCAAGGGCTGGCGCTGGGCTTGCGGCTCCGGAATGTCGGGAGCGCACAATGGTGGCGCCCGCTAATCCCCGTGGCACGTCGGCCGCCCCCAGGTCGCACTTGACAGTGACTGCGCGCCGTCGACTGTTGATTCAGGTCCATCTGCCCTGTCGAATCTATCACAAAACCTCGCAGAAACTCTACCGCGGTCTCGGGCGGGAGGACGGGCGCCAGAACCCGCTGTTGAACGCGCAAAGACTCTACGGAATCAGTGCTTCCCTCGCAACGCCCGTCCTCGCTGAACAGCTACGTGTGGCGTGTATGTATGCGCTTTGTATACCTACCCTGAATGTCAACCAACAAGTCAACAAACCTTCCTATCTCTCCGTCCCCTGCTTGCACCTCGCCAAGCTCCGCGCACGCGACCGGCAAGTCCGAGACATTCACTCAACATTCAGCCCAGCGGGCCTGTGGACACGTTGTGGGGGACTCGCGCACGGCTGATGTGCGAGTCGTACGCGCGCGATGGCGGGCCAGCGATCTTGTGGGGGCCCGTGCATACGCGGTACACTGATATCTGGATCTGACGCCCTGATCAATCTCATGTGCGCCCTCCACCCCCGACACGCTGCTCGCACCTTACCAGGGATACGCCTATGCGCATACACTCTGCTATAAGTAACGGGCGCCATGATCCCGCGCTGATCACTGCACTCAATGTCAATGGCGCCCGATGCGCAGAGCCGCCCCCTTTTCCGGCGCAGATGGGGCTCCTCCCGGACCGCCCGGGCGTCTTCCACGGTTCCATGCATACGCCACCCCGTCGAATCCAAGTCCGCGCGTGCGCATCTGGGCGTTCTTTCAACCTATACCGGGTCAGGAAAGCCCAGCTCTCACACTGATACGCCGCGAACGTCGTCGCCCTCTGCGCGACGAGTGGTCGTGCGTCCGCGCCAGAAGTTCCATCAGTGGGCCGCTGACGGGGGGCCAATTGCGAGGCGGCCGAGCCCAGGCTGGTGTTGCGCGGGAAATGGGACTGGCGAGGGTTGGCAGCGGCGATTGGCGATCCGATGTGTGTGCTCGATCGGGGTCGGGTGTGAATGAATAGTTGCTGCTATCAAGGGGGCGAGCCAGCGGGACAGCTTTGGGATGGTGCAATTCATGGCTGGGTTCTAATCGAGGGCACTATTAATAAGGCCGGTGCCTGCGTCGCGCGCAGGCTGCCTCTTCTTGTCCTTTTAGTCCCCCCTCGCTCTTGGCTCTGGCCTCCATCCTTCTCGCCTTTGGCCCACGCTCAAGCCTCATTCACCGTTGGTGGTCTCGGTGCAGGCACACGTCGTCTATACCCCACCTTCAGTCTCGATACCCACTTCACTTACCCCGCTTTCCTCTTCTGCAAGTTTGACGATGAACGACCTCATTGGGAGCCCGGCGCCGTCGGTTATCCTTTCACGACAAGACGGGAGCTCGTATGCTCTACGACCTGGGCAGACGGGAAGGAGGGCGGTGATATTCTTCTTCGCGAAGGCCGGTGAGTATATTCTGTCATTATGCACGCGTGGGCGGTGTGAATTCGATCGTCGAGACGTGCGCCGCGCTGTCGGGGAACGATTCATGAGCATGCGTAGTGGCGACGAACAAGCGCTCACCAACTATTCCACAGGCGCCATGAACTGCGTATACGAGGTCACACATTTCCGTGAAGCTATACGAGGTGTGTGGCCGTCCGTCTTTACCGTCACCGTCCTCATCCCCTCCCAGAAGACCCCCTGTTCAAGAACGTCGACATTGTGGGCGTGAGCGAGGACGCTGTCTCGAAGTTGAGGATGTTGTCGACAGGGCACGAGCTGAACGTACGTGGCCTCTTCGATCGCCCGCGCGCAGCACGCTGACTGTTTCGCCCCTTCCCCTCGCATTCATTCGACCGCGCCCTTCCCCTTCTCGCGCCCGCCCTGCGACCGCCTCTCCTCCGACCCCTCGCACGCCGCGGCAAACCCTTCTCTCCGTGCCTGACTCACCACCGCCTTGCGCCCACCATCAGTACCCCCTTCTGAGCGACCCGCAACGCGTGGCGCATCGGGCTTACCGCGTTCAGCGGGGCCTCTTCAGGTGGTGGGTCTCCCGGATGACATACGTGATAGACGAGAGGGGGATCGTGAGGTACGTGCGCCATTATCAGCGCCACCAGCGCCTCTCCTAACCGCGTCGTACTAGGGCTGGGCTAGACGAATGGGCTTGGGACAAGCACGTCCCCTTCGTGGCGGACTGGCTGCGGAAATTGGATCGTGAGGCGGCGACGGCGGCAGCTGCTGCGGGGCCGACGACAACGACAACAGCAAGCTTACCACAAGGCGCCCCCTCCCCTTCACTAAGCGGAGCTTCCGCGACGCCGCAACAAGGTTCGTCGGCTTCGTCCAGTGGAGTGGCCCTTCCGCCGTCAGGGGGAACGCCGTTGAATGTGCTCGGACATCCTTGCGCCACAGCGAATAACTTTTCAGCAGGTGCTGCGTTGCCGGTCAATGGGCATGCGGTGGCTGTCTGATGCGGGGACGGTCCGTCAGGATGGAGGACACTGTGTGATATAGGGAGACACGACTTACTACTTACTATGGACTCTCGGTTTCGGTTGGGATATACTTGTCACTCATGTACGGCCTACACACTTGTATAACAGGAACAGTCCAGCGCACTTGGCTCGACGCGGCGTTGGGTGGTGGTGGTGAGACTTTGCATCGCGTAGTTTTGGACCTTGAGATAGAGGCCCCGGGCGGCGTTTGGGTGTCTATAGTTTGGGAGCTGGATATATCTGCGCATTATAGGCTCTACATTACTTCGTAAATGGGGGTGTGGGTGTGCAAGGATGGCGTAGCGAGAGTGAATCATCGCTGCTGGTTCTGCGCAGCCTGCATCATTTCTATATAAACTCGCTAAGTTGGTGTAAAGACACGAGTAAGATTGGGTTACGCACCGGCGTTGAGCTCCGCAAAACGCGCCCCTACCCGCTCTGAGTGCTTCATGAACTTCTCCGTGCAGCTCATAACGCATGTTTCCTGGGGAAGGAAGAGTTGGTTGGTATGCGCGCGACGCGACGTGTCAAATAAACACACCTCCTTCGACGACAAAGTCTTGCTGGTAAAGTCGTTGCAGCACGAGGTGAAGCAGCGCTCAACAATCTTGGAATACGTCTGCAAGAAGTCGGCCATCTGGGGGAACACTGTCAGCGAGTTCTCCCGCGAACGAACGCGCTGTCTGAACCTACCTGGCGCTTCTCGATGACCTTGGTCATATGCGCCTGCTCGGCGGAGGAGAAGTTTGACATGTCCATGATGGCCGAAGGGAAGAAGGAGGAGGGTACGAGGAGTAGAGTTTGGAGATGAAGGCGCTGAGCAGAGCAGCCCTCGCGACCCCGGCGAATTTCTTCGCGTCCGTCCGGCCGAGCTGCCGAAGCGCACGTGCGTCACAATTGTCCGTGGCGCCGATCTCTTCGACTCAGTCTGGACGTTCTCACTTTCTGACTTGCTTTCCCCCTCTTATCCCCGGCCTTTTCCTGCTCTTATAAGGGCTTCCCCACTCTCGCAGGCTATCAGCGCATCTGCTCCAGACCTCCGCTGCGTCGGAAACCTCGCAGAAACCATACAAACACCTCGCCGTCGGCCGTTCTTCCCTCCACTTTCAGCGACCAATCGCAAGTGAGTCATGACAAGCTCTCCAGCTCAACGAGTACCTCATTTCTCCCTCCTCCCTACTAGTGGTTGACCTTAACATGGCCATGCCTTTCAAGGAAGCCCTCTCGAGACTTGAAAACCGTCGGGTCAAGTCTACACGCCCCCTCATTCCCCCGCAGATCCTGCAGGAGGATCTCCCTCTGTGCGTCAACTTCACATACTTCTTGCATCCACTGACATCCCCCAGTACTCTCCGCGCCGCTCAGACCGTCATCGAGGGCCGCGCCGCCGTCGAGCGCATCCTCCGCGGCGATGACGATCGCCTAATGGTCGTCGTCGGCCCCTGCTCCATCCACAACGTCGACGCCGGCCTCGAGTACGCCCGCAAGCTCGCCGCGTACGCCGAGACCGCAAAGGACGACCTCCTCATCGTCATGCGCGTCTACTTCGAGAAACCGCGCACGACTGTCGGCTGGAAGGGCCTCATCAACGACCCCGATCTGAATAACTCGTTCGCGATCAACAAGGGCTTGCGGATGGCGCGCGGGGTGCTCTTGGAGGTGGCGAAGTTGGGCCTGCCCGCTGGGTGCGAGTTCCTCGACACGATCACGCCGCAGTACACGGCGGATCTGGTCACTTGGGGCGCGATCGGGGCAAGGACGACGGAGAGTCAGGTGCATAGGGAGCTCGTTAGTGCGCTCTCGATGCCGACTGGGTTCAAGAACTCGACGGATGGGGGTGTGGGGATTGCGATCGACGCGTGTCGGGCAGCACGGGCAGGACATGTCTTCCTTTCCGTGGGTAAGGAGGGTTTGAGCTCCATCGTTGAGACGGAGGGGAACCCCGACGTGCACCTCATCCTCCGCGGCGGCTCGAGCGGGCCAAACTACGAGGCCGAGCACGTTCGCGACGCGGCAGCAAAACTTGCGAAGGCAAACCTCTCACAAAAGCTCATGGTCAGTACTTCTCGCCATAAATCTCTCACTCGAATCAACTGACATTCTCCAGATCGACTGCAGCCACGGCAACAGCTCAAAACAGTTCTCGCGCCAGCCCCTCGTAGCAGACGACATCGTACGTCTCCGCTCTCCTTTCCTCTTTCCTTTTCAGCATACTCAGTCTCCGCCAGGCCAAGCAACTCGAATCCTCTGACACCGGCCCCATGATCATGGGCGTCATGATTGAGTCCAACCTCGTTGAGGGCCGCCAGGACATCCCCGCATCCGGTCCTGCAGGTCTCAAGTACGGCCAGTCTGTCACGGACGGCTGCATATCCTGGGAGACCACCGTGCCAACGCTCGAGCGCCTGCGCGAGGGTGTGAGGGGACGGCGAGAGCAGATCGCAAAAAACGCGGCGGCGCCTTGAGATACGCACCGCGACTGCGACTTGCGAACCCCTTGTCCGGGATGGAAGCCAAAACTTTCCATGCCAGGACGGGGACAAAAACACCTGGTAGCTATTCCGCTTACCGATGTAGACTATATACGGGATGCACTCGTACGCATGAAAATATACTCGTGTACAATACTCTGTTCCCCGGCTCCTGGCTTAAGCTGACATTCCTTGAATTGCTTGCATTGAAGCAATCATTTGTTTGTCCACTTTGTTTGCTTCCCTTGGCCGGGCTCGGCCGGCAACGCGGCCTTGGCATGATTAGATAAGATAGCCTCCCGTACTGATCATCGCCCTTCACTGCTGCTCTTGACTCGGACCCCTACTGCTCCCAACCATCACCCAGTCTCCCGCTCATCTAGATGCAGCTGTAATACCCTGTCCAGACTCACATACCATGCGCACGGCCCCCACACGTTGTCCTCGAACACCTGTGCTACATCGGCTCCCGACACTTTCCTTGCACTGTTCGGTGCTCTATCGCGCGCAAACACGTCTATCCGACGCGTAGCCGCAACCATCCTATTGCCTGCGACCGCACACGATATTTTGCGCCTAAATCCACCTACTACTTCGCGTCAACCCACGAAACATGGCGTCCCCTCCCCCAATAGACGAGCTTCCGGCTCCTCAGTCCAATGCTGTTCGGGCGATAAAGGATATCGCGTTTGGCAGCGTGCGTGGTTCTTTCCACATTGTTGAACTTGTACTGATTGACAAAAAGGCCGCAGGCATGGTCTCGAAAATCTTCGAGTACCCCTTCGACCTCACCAAGGTCCGCCTGCAGTCCCAAGTCCTAGACACCACCGCCCGCTTCAAAGGTCCCTGGGACTGCTTGAAAACCACATGGGCGGAAGAGGGCATCCTCGGGCTCTACCGTGTACGTCTCTTCACGAATCAACGCGTGCACGTCGCGTCTAACATGATGTTCTGTTATTGTAGGGCGTCCCCGCGCCAGTCGTCGGTGCCATGGCTGAGAACGCGTCCCTCTTCCTCAGCTACAACGAGTTCCAAACTGCGATACGCAAGGTCACGAAGCGCGCCGCGGACGAGGACCTCCCGCTCAAGCACCTTACGCTTGCGGCGGCCGGCGCGGGTGCCGTGACGAGCTTTGTATTGTGAGTCGGCCACGTTCTCCCCAGTTCACCATCCATTGTTCATGCTCATACGCATCACCAGAACCCCAATCGAGCTTGTCAAGTGCAAGATGCAGGTGCAGATGCTCATTCCGCCAACTGGGGGTGCTCCCGCACCTCTCCCCGGTCCCATCTCCGTCTTCCTCGGCGTGCTGCGCCAGTCCGGCCTGCGAGGTCTCTGGCTTGGTCAAACTGGCACCCTCATCCGCGAGACGGGCGGTACCGCCGCGTGGTTCGGCACCAAGGAATACGTTGCGCGCCTCCTCCTTGCTCGACGCGCCAAGCAAGAAGCGTCCTTATCGCCTGGCCCTTCCTCGCCCTCATCTTCCTCGCCCACAGACGCCCACGCCCCACCCCTTAAGCTCAAGCTGTGGGAATCCGCCTTCTCCGGCGCCTGCGCCGGCATCGCCTTCAACGTCGCCCTCTTCCCCGCGGACACCGTCAAGAGCGCGATCCAGACCGAATACGAACTACACCCCGGGCGCCCGCCCTCATCGTTCTTCCGGATGTTCATGGAGATGTATCGGGCACAGGGTGTGCGAGGGCTGTACACGGGATGCGGGGTGACGATCGTGCGGTCGGTACCGAGCAGCGCGATTATCTTCTTGATTTATGATGAGCTGAATAAATTGTTTGGGTAGCTTGTTGAGTCCTGAAATCTGTTTGGGTGATTTGTTGATTCCTGTCATGCTGATGCGCGGACAGACCGAGATCGTCTGGAAATTAAGCAGGAGAGCAGGCAATGATGGCGCGACGTGCTATTGTTCCATTTCGGGAAGTAAGAACGACGTGAAATTGGTTCCATGCGGCTAAAATGAGATTGCCGCATTTGAGTACAATGGCCCATTCCTCGCCTTTTTGGGGTACAATGGTAAATAATCCCTATATAGGTGCCCACCTGTGGGCTCCCATGACTGCTCTCCCCCCCCTCCGCACACACAAACACAGGCGCATTTTCGTATCCATCAGGCAGCAGGAGTGTCTTCTAGACGCGGCCGAAATCAGCTCTCAGACAACAGATCCATTCAACTACGTCCGCCGGTCTCATTCTCCGGTCGCCAGCCTTACCTCACGCAGACGCCAGAATATGTCTCCTCAAGGTTCGCCTCGACCTTCTGCGAGGGCGCGTTATTTATCGAGGCAGGATATTATAATTGAACGTCGGGTGCGCATTGTAGTAACATTGTCGAGAAAGATGCTATACTGATAGATGTCAACAGCACTCGCACGATTCGACGGGCCTGGGCCATTATGCCCGCAGAAGGCTCTCCATCGCCACAGCTCTCTATTTAACCCCTGCCAGCGTCTCTTATGCCGATATCAACGACATGCCGCGCGACATCTTGTCCGAGATATTCGTGCACACCTTGCCGGAATGCGTAACGGACACGATGGTCGACTTTCGCTCGCAGTCTCTCATCATCAGCCAAGTCTGTCGGTACTGGAGAGACGTTGCGATCAAACTTCCGAGCTTATGGCGGCTGATATCCTTGTTTGGGTGCCCGGACGCACACCACCACCGCTCCCTCGAGCTCGCCCGGATATTCGTGGATAGATCGCGTGGTACGGAGCTACGCTTCGAATATTGCGACATCGAGGCAATTTACCTGCGCGATCGAGGCAGAGGGATAGCGAATGTCACCTTTGCCCCTCGCGGTGGACTTGTGAACACCCCTGCGAACGAGCGCTGCCCCTGCGTCCTCGATTTCATGATCTCGCACATCGCAGTGACACGCACGCTGGAGCTCACCGTCGGGCACGCGTCCTGTCAGCGGCTTGCGAGCCTGCCACCGGCAGCAGCTTCAATGTTGCGCGGCATCTCTGTCTCGTTCCTGGAGGGAGGAAACGCTCCGCACACATTAGCGCGCCTGTATGGCACTGCGCCTCAGCTTGCGCACTTCGCTAGGACTACCTCTGTGCCGGCATTGGCGCTGCTACCGCCCGGTCCAACAGATGTACCGTGGCGTCAGCTTGTCACCGCGCATATCTCTGACTCGTCCATCCCCTATAGTCAATTCCTCGAAATCGTGGCTACTGCACCGCTTCTGGCGACGCTGCGAGCTCAACTCTGCCTCGATAGCTTCCATGCTACCCACCCTCCGAGCCCCCCTCATCCCCGAATCATCCAGTCTCGCCTGGAGGAACTCGACATCTTTAGCCTCGCTCCGCTCGATGTGATCTTCAGTTCTCTCCAACTGCCTTCCCTGCGGCGCCTGACACTACGGTCGGTCGGCAGGCGCATACATTCTCCTCCGGTTGGAGCTTGGCCCTGTGACGACTTGCAAACCCTCAGCCACTTCATCGAGGGAATAACACCAGGACTCATGGTCTTGCGTCTGCTCCCTAGCAACGACATCTCGCAAGGCGATCTGATCACCCTACTTCGAAAGGCCCAGATGGCCACTCTCACGGAGCTCGAGCTATTGAGGGGGCCTGTCGCTTCAGACGCCCTGTTTACCCAACTAGATCCAGAATATGGGCCGCCGCTCCTACCTCGCGTACAGAGATTGACGCTGGCTGAATGCAACACCACGGACGGAGCTATTGGGAATATGCTGGCATCGCGCTGCCGGCTCGGGTATCCTCTTCGCATGTTGAGGATCCGAACCCACCTGGACGAGATGGATAGGTATCACAAGGATAAACGGATGTTTCAGTCCCTCGAAGAACAGTATGGCATGCGCGTAGACTATCCAGGGTCAAGGGCATGGTTGGAGGCACTCAAAGCGACTTCAGCCGCTCGTCGGAAAGGTAGATTATGAGCCCCCAGCACTCCTCAAATATTACTCAGTACGCTCCTCATATGTGGTCCAGGCAGATTTCGCGATCCATCACACTGGCATCCGCTGAACGCATGTTCCAACGCTTGGGCCCGATTGTCTTTGTACCATGTATCGTTGAAGACTATTTACATCGTGCCAGCAGCACCCTTGCTGGACACGTGCTTGAGCAATCGGGAAAAGCTCAGCTCGTCAGCACACAGGGCAGACTGGGCAGGAGTAGCGTATGCGAAGTGAATCTGCTACAGTTCCGGGGCCCGAAGGTCGTCGAGAAGGCTACCGATGGGCGTCTGAATCTTCTCCAGCGCTAACGCTCGAAGGTCCTTCGCACCGAGCTTGTACCCAGCCATGCAGCAGGTTGTCAGGTACATTTACCGAAGAAGCGCGCCAGAGAATGGCCATTGAGAGCGGCCGTGATTCAAATAACCCCGAAGCGGAACCAATTTCCTCGGGGCCTGCCGCATTTGGTTCCGCTTGTGGACGTCGAGGGTTGGCCTTAGCCACCATACCACACCGCTTGTCACTGCCCGCAGCTGGCCCCCGCGCCCTCTTTCACGCTCTGTTCATTGATACGCAGTCTGGCCCGGCGTTTGTGTCGCCTCGTGTTCGTTCAAAGACGGGGTCCCGTGACTAGCTCGTGTCGTCTATTGATCGGACCGGCGGGGTACAAAAGGCCAGGATCCTCGCTTGATCCCCCATCTCTCTTCTTCCCTTCTGCCCCCATCGCCTCCCCGACTAGCGAGCGCGTCGCTGGGCGTGTCTTCTCCTCGCTTCTTCCCTTCTCGCTTCCTCTTTGCGCTCTACTGTACGCGAGTGACTTGCGATCGTCGTGGTGGCCACTGCGCCCGACACCGTTCCCCCTCGTCCTGTCCTCGTCACCATTCTCGCTCCTCCTCATTTCCTTCACTCATATGTCTCTTACTATACTTTATCTACATGCCACTTACCTACCATCCTCAAGCTCGCCCCAACACCGCTCCTCAACGCGTTCTCTTTCACGTCCGCCACTTTGTGGCGGATAGGCGCCGCGCTGTCCTGCTCGTTCAAGGACTTCGTCGAAGGGTACTCGAGACGAAAAGTGGCTCTCAAGGTGCGTGGCAATGCTCGTGCGCTCATACGCTTGCTCATTGCTTCTGTAGCTCGTCAACGCCACTCGATCTTCGATGCCGGCCTTGCCATTAGGTGCGTCGCCACTCCCCTTCCCATCGTTCTCCATACTGACCATCGATCAGGATTTTTGAGTCTCCTTGAATCTACGCTCTTTGGGCTGCGTTTGTCCTCTTGTCGACGCCACTCCTTCGCGGACGCCACTCGACCGCGACGCCATTCGGGCACTGACCTCAAGCGCGTCAAATCCGATCGCAATGTTTCAACTACTTTTCGCTCATCGACCTCAAGTCTTTTCAGGGCTCTCCTTCGACACCCTCGACCCTCCTGTAACGTCCTCAAGCCATCCTCGAGACCTCGCTCGACCTTCCTACCTTGTGGGAAATGCTCGTAGGCTTAATCTTTGGCTTTTCGATCGCTCTCGACATCAAGACACGCTTTCGACCACGCGATCCACCCTCGACATCGAGACGAACTACCGACGCTCTCTCGACCTCGCTTCGCTTCGACATCGAGACGAGCTCCTGACACTCGCGCTCTCTGGCTGCGCAACACTGACCTTTCGTCTCGGGCTCTCTCCTTCCTCTGATGCTCCGATGGAGAAGAACGAAGAGCAAGGCTCCACACGTGTGCCTCAAGCGACTTGTGTGCCTCAAGACCCCCTTGGGATAGGTGCGCTGCTAGCGGGCGGTGCACCGGCGCCAGACCTCATCGTGGTCCAAGGGTGAACCTCACCTGCGTTGCGGGTGAGGGCCAACTGGCGTTCGATCGCGGGAGTGAGTGTGAGGTGCGTATTGATCGCTGTTGTCTTTCTTGCCATTGTTGACCTCCTTTCGCAGAGTGATGCGTGATTGAGTAACCTTGTGGCGTGGCCGACTACAACAATCGGTCCATGGCGACTGCGCGCTGGGTGCAGCCTTGCCTTTCGACGTGTCATGCTGAGATTGAGATCGCGCACGAGTTACAGCTCTCGTCGCTGTCTACGTTCCCCTCATTGTAAGGGCCCGAGGTCTCTCGCGCCTTGTGAGCTAACGCCTCTAGCGCTTGAGCTAACGTGTGTGCCCCTTCTATTTCTCTTCCCTGATCATGCTGATAAACTTTCAGTGTCGCGCCTCCGCCGACGTCAACGTACCCTTGACGTGATAAGCTGCCTCGGTCTCCTCACCTTCTCGCCCTCGCCGTTCGGCCTATCGAGCCCGACCTTCGACCGCTCGTGCTCATCAGTATCGCGCTCTCGGAGGTTTACGTCACGCGCTCGCTTGCCCCGTCACCGCCGGTCTCGCCGTCGTCGTGCTTGAGTCTCGTCATCGCATTCGGCTCTCGTCTTCTCGCACTGTTATATCCATTTCTCTACCACAAGGTCTCCCTGACGGGGAGACCGGGCCCGAAGGGCCTTCCCTCGGACTAGGTGTACTTCGTACACCGGCGCCAGGCCTCAACGTGGCCCAAGGGTGAACCTCTCGACTTTGTCGAGAGGGCCAACTGGCGTTCCCGCTCGAAGGCGTGAGCGTGAGGTATGTTCATTCATCTGTTCATGCTTCGTCGTCGCTGATCGTCTTTCGCAGTGTGATGCGTGATTGAGTGAGCTTGAGGTGTGCTCGAGCGCAACCGTTGGCGCTTGGCAAGAGCGTGCTGAGTGGCATTTGCCTTCTCAGTCTCCCATTCCGAGGTTTCGTGCTAAGCTCTGAGAGAAAGAGCGGCTCTTGGCTCTTGTGCGAGGACGCCTAGAATTCTCGCGTCACCCTGACCGACGCATTCATCGTATGAGTTGAACGTGCGTGTCACTTCTGTTTCCCTTCCGGACACATGCTCATCAGATTTCAGTGTCGTGCTTCCGCCGAACTCAACGTGCTCTCGGGATTATCAGCTGTGGTGTCGCTCCTGAGTCGTCGCCGCGGCATGCTTGTCGTCCGCTAGGCTCGTGCTCTCGTCGTCTTGCTCTCGCTCTCCCAACATCGCTATCCCGGCCTTCATCGTGTCCGAGTCTTGTCATCTCATTAGGCTCTCATCCTCCTCCATCCCGTCCATCTTCTTACTTCAAAAGGTCTCCTTAACGGGGAGACCGGGCCCAAAGGGCCTTCCCTTGGAATAGGGCGCGCGTCTTCGGCGGACCTTCAAGAGGCTGCCGTCGACCGTGTCCCGGCGCCAGGCCTCAACGCGGCCCAAGGGTGAACCCCACCAGCTTTGCGGGTGGGGGCCAACTGGCGTGTCTGACGATGCGTAGGAAGACCTCGTCAGGCGAACAACAAGGAGCAATACCACGTCGAGCGAACAGCAAGGAGCAAGAGGGCAGCAAGGAGAAAAAGGGCAGCAAGGAGCAAGAGCACCTCAAGACGGGAGTGAGGGCAAGGCGCAAGACATCAACGTCCTCAAGACCGGCCGTGAAGTAAGAGCAATACGCAAGGCCTCAAGACGCGTGCCTCAAGCTGTGTGCTTCAAGACTGCGTGCCTCAAGACCCCCTTGGAATAGGTGCCCCGCACCGGCGCCAGACCTCATCGCGGTCCAAGGGTGAACCTCCTCGAAAGGGGAGGGCCAACTGGCGTATCTCGACTACCGGCTTCTGGCGTGAGGTGCGCTCTTCCTTCGCTTCTCTACCTTCCGACGCTGACCGTCTTTTGCAGGTTTTGGTTCGTACTTGAGTAAGCGTGAGCACGCCGTCACCGTCAAGCGCTTTGGCGATGGCTTCATTGAGAGTTACTTTCATTCGCGCGTTCATGTCAGGCGACGTATCACTCCGTGAACGCAGAGTGCCGCGCGATGCTTGAGTTCTTGTGCGTACGCACTGTCTTCCCCTCGTGCTGCAATCAAGCTGATTCGATTTCCAAAGCGGTCGTGCTTCAGCCGACGCCAACGTCTCCTGAGTCTAGGTTGTGGGGAGGATGCCATGCCATTGAGATCTCGCGTGTCATCGTCGGCACCTGCTTCTGCAAGCGACTTGGCAAGTTGCTCAGGCGACTCTTCTACACTCTAAGCCTGCATCGCTGAGTTCAAGCCCGCTTTGAGACGAAAGAATTCCGACCTTTCATTCGCCGCGCGCGTTGCGCGCGGCATGCTTGCTTGAGAGTCATGTGCGTAACTGCTACCGTTCGTCTGATTCGTGCTGATTACTGGCCTGATTATAGTGTTCTTTTCCACGGCGTCAAACCATGTAATGGCGCTGAGCAAGCAACCATTTAAGATTCGCAGCAGCGAGCCAAAGTCTCTTCGTCAATCCTCTTCGCCGGCGCTTTGGCCGCGCGCTGTACTCGCGGCAAGCCTGTCATCGATTCCCCAGGCTGAGCCTCGTTCTCGGGCCGTCTTACATCTGGAGGCGGTCCCGCCATCCTTAGACCCACTGAGCTTTTCTTCTGGTCTCCCCTCAAGGGAGACCGGGCCACAACAGGTCTCTGACAAGACGCATGCCTTCGGTATGCCTCAACTTGGAAAGATGAGTTTCGAATCTCGATGGAGATCAGGCGCATGAAGGGTGAGGTTGTACAGGTGGTGCACTCGCTATGTGCTCTTGGGCGTATGATGATGCCCATTCTTCCCAAATATGGGTCTAGATGATGCAAGCTTCCCTCTTCCTAAGCCTCCTTGCCTCGGATGCAGCTAAAGGTGAACATGCGTGCATGATAGCGCGTCACAACAATTCTGGGATGAATCCTGTACTGGCTTGCGATCATTCGCTCTGTAACCTCTTATATTCTGCTTCAACTATGTCCTTAAATATCTTTCAATTGCCTCCAAACAGTCGACATCCACGTACCCTGGTGTGAGAGCAAAAGTTGAACCGTGACCAAACTGTGACGGTCATGTGCCCCCCTTTGTTCCGCTTTCGGAAGGAAGAACAACGAGTGTCCCAACTTGTCCTGGACCCCCATATGCGCACAATGGTATCCCCTTATCGAGACATAATAGGTATGTCTCGATATATAAAGATAGTGATATGGCTTATTGTCTCGCTTTTTCCTCGCTTATGCCAAGAGTATGTCCTACAACGGCCGAGGATCGCGTCGGTCTCCTGCGCAGACGCCGGGTCCTACCACCTCAGCCATCCTTCAACCTCAGACGGTGAGACTAACATGAATATTGGAAGCTCCCTCTCTCTGACAGTCGCCAACAGCGCTGGAATGCATCGAGCAGAAGTCCCTCCAACCTGTATTCCTCGTCACAATCCGCGCCGCCGCATGCTATCGGATCCCACGACGCTCGCGCTCCTGCGGTCAACCCTCATGATGAGCTCTTGTGCTTTCCCGAGTCTACGTACCCCGCCTACCCCCCTGCGCTACAACCGCTCTCCCTCGACTCCTGGCGCCCAGGCTACGGAAATCCCGAGCTGTCACCCCTCACGATCTCCCTTTCCCCGGCGTCAAATGGCGATCATCTTGACTTCGTGAACGAGATGCCGCCCGAAATTTTGGCGGAGATATTCGTGCACACCCTGCCGCTGCGCGTGGACGATGCGAAGCCTAACCGTTGGTACGAACCTTTCGTCATCAGCCATGTCTGCCGTTATTGGAGAGACGTGGCAATAAACCTTCCGACTCTATGGCAGCGGCTCTCCTTGGCAGGATGTCCGAGCATGCACGACCACCGCCCCCTTGAACTCGCTCGCCTTTTCGCGGACAGATCACGCGGCATGGGTATGCTGTTCGAGTATAGCGATGATGAAGCATCCATCCTGCTCTGGCATGACCCCGAAGAACTCGTCCCCAATGGTCTTCCAATCACACCCGCGAACCAGCGATGCTACTGCGTTCTCGACTTCATCATCTCGCACATCGCGCAGATACGCGTGCTCGAACTCACCGTTGTACACGCATCGTGCCATCGGCTCGCATCCCTTCCACAAGGAGCAGCACCCGTATTGCGCGAGATCTCCGTCCAGTTTCTCGAGGGAGGAGAGGAAACACAGGCGCTCTCCCGCCTATACGCTACCTCGCCACAGCTGGCGCATTTTTCCAGAAGGAGCTATATGGAAATCTGCAGTATACCGCTCCCGATCGATGTGCCCTGGCAACGGCTCGTCAGCGCCCACATCGGCGACTCTCCTGTTCCCCACACCAAGTTCCTCGAGATCATGACTGTTGGACAATCGCTGGCGCAGCTCGAGATCGTTCTCTGCTCTGACGCACATACACCCTTCAGGCCGCTGCAAACCCCCATCACCCAAAACAACCTGCGGACCCTCATTGTCTATGACGATGAGCCGCTCGATGCTGTTCTGCAAAGCCTTCGACTCCCCTCACTCCGCGAAGTGAGACTGCGGCCGAAAACGAGCGATCCCCCTGTTTGGCCTTGCAACGATGCGAGGATTCTGCAACAATTCGTTCAGGCAACATCGGGAGGATTGCATGTCTTGGAACTGTCGGATGCGATTAGCCTGTCCGAAGGAGACCTGATAGCTCTGCTTCAGCTCCCGCAGGCAGCGTCGCTTACCACGCTGCAAGTGTGCGGTCCGCTCATACAGGACGCGTTTTTTACTCTTCTGGATCCTACGTGCGGACCACCACTTGCACCTGACTTGACAAAATTGATTATCAGCCGTTGTGCTATCACTGACGGTATCATTGCGGACATGCTTGCCTCGCGTCAACAACATCACCATCCTCTGCGCTCTGTGCATATTGTTTACCACCCCTTATGTCAGGGTCGACATTCCAAGGATATATCTGGTTTCCAATTACTGAAGGAGCAATACGGCATGCGCATATGGTGGGCGTGATAGAGAAGTACATAAGATAGTTACATATATATATATACAACATTTTTACCTTACTCTGAGATCTTTCCAATCATCCTACAGTCGCAGCCCAGGTGTACCCCGTGGCCGCCCTCAGCTGCTCTCGCAAGGCTGGGGCGCGATTAGCTGCATACCAAGGATTGTTTGAGGTAACAGTAATCGTGCCCGCGGCTGTCTTGTTCGACACGCGCACGAGCAAGTCGAAACAATTCTGCTCGTCATCGCGCAGAGCAAGTTGAGACGTAGAAGCATTGTAGGCGAAGCGGATCCGATGCAGTTGCGTGGCTTCAAGATCGTCGAGAAAGCTGCCGATAGGCGTTCGAATATCTTTCAGCGTTAATCGCTGGAGGTTCTTGGCATGAATCTTGAACCTGCACCTCTCCTTCTCTGTGTCCGGCAAGACGGACGCAAACACCGCCTTCTCCAGCTTCGTCGCTTGGTACAGGATGAGGTGCAGGTCGTTGATTGTTATGGGGCTCGTCACCGTCAAGGACTTGATGGAACCCCAACGAGCTCGCTCGGGAAGAACACAGATGCCACCCGCAAAGGACTCGGTGCCGCTCAACTCGACGTGTCCGTCTTTGAAGGACGAGCTGCTACTTGCCGTTGTGGAGCGAGGCGCCGACGACGAGGACTGAGCTACTGCATTGTCGGTTGTGTCCTGGACGTCGGCAGCGTATGGGAGAGAAGGCGCGTCCGCATCGGTGGCGGGTGAGTGACGAGCTGCACCTGCAACTGGTTGTGCAGGCATGGCATCGGACGTAGCAGGCGGAGGAGCCAAGTCGTGCGGCACGACCGACGAATGACAGGCCGCTCTCGTTAGGGAAAGACGAGCGGACGAGGCAGTGGGCGAAGCAGACGGTCCTTGCTGCACTGGCTGTGGCTGATGAACAAGATGGGACGCAATTGTGGACAGAAGAGGTCCTGCCAAAGTTGGAGGTACAACTTGCGAAGGCGCCGTCTGCGCCGAAGATGCGAGCATGGAGGTGATGGGGCCTGCATTGCTCGATTCGGAGGGAACGTCCGGAAGGGGAATGGTCGACAGCCTGGGCGCGAACAGGATATGCGGCGGCGGGCGATAAGGTGCGAATCGGTTGGCGCCATGCTGTGAGGCGGGGGCGCGAAGGGGAAGACGGGAGCGCTGGTTCGACTGGTACATTGCGGCAAAGATCAGCGCGAAAAAACTGTTGGTGGAAGGCTGAGCGTGCGTTAGTTATGTGTGTTATGTCGGAACACGCTAGCCCACTCACCCGTAGGTGGTCTAAGATCATACAACGAGGGCCAAAGGTTCCCGTCTTTCAGACCAGATAGCAGGGTCTTCAGGGCGTAGCGTTAATGGTCAGAAGTTGTCGAATGTGGAATAGGTGGATGGAATCGGTGCGGTATGTTGGAGGGCGGGATGAGATGAGATGCATATTCTATCCGCTGTCCTATAAGTACAATCAGCGCATGTACAGCTTGCCACAATCCAGAGCATACCTTATTGTCATCGGGGTAGGAGCAGGACCAGCGGTCTGAGGGCCTGGTTTCTACGCAATTGTTGCACAACTTACCTATTGTTGAGCTGGTCTGGTGAGGTCTTACCAGGCGCGGTCCATGTACAGCCTTAGCCCGCTCCTACTTACCATTCAGAAACACGCTCTACATGATACTGTCTGAGTCCCCACAAGAGCCTGGTCAGCGTTGTCTGCGCAATATATACATGTCGTGAGCGTCTACAGCATTTACATGATAATTTTACATTGCCGTCATTCGAAACGAACGAATTCAGAACGGGAACCGGTGAGTCCGCATGTAGTCTCCGAGGCGCTCCCGTTGCACCACGGCCACCCACGCAGAACCACCGAGGAGGAGTGCTTGCACCAGCCGAACGCCTGAAGTCATTTGTCAGCGAGAAAACGATACAGAGAAGCACAGACAACGTACTAGACCCCAGGAAGTAGTAGGCAAAGGTCACTAGCAAATACGCTAGCACCGGCGCAGCAAGCACAGGCACGAGTCACGATAGATGCAGGACCAGGCCTCCGGGCATGATGACATCCTCGCCGTCAATGTCCTCGCTCAACTCCTCGTCGTCATACTCGCTCTCATCGTCCGACGGCTCGTAGAAGTCGAGCGTCTCGACGTGCTCGCGCAGCCAGTTCTCGTCGAGGATGTCCACATCGTCGTCGTCGCTGAAGGAGATGTGCTTGAGCGGCGCGCCAGCGGCCTGCCGTGCCTGCACCATGGCCTTCATCGTTTGCCCGTCGATGCCTTGCGTCGCGAGCTTCTCGAGGCGCGGGCAGTACATCGGGGCCTTCTCCTCACCCTCACCCTGGGCGGCGCCCGGGCGCGGCTTCTGGAGGAGCTGAAAGAAGATGCCCTCCGTTTGCTCGGGCCCGTCAAGGCACTTCAGCTTGAGTTCCCGCAGGCCGCTCAGCTGGTCGAGGAACACGTTCGCAGCGTTCTCGTCGCAGGGCAGGCCGCCGATCTTGAGCGTCTCAAGGCCGGCGAGGATGGAGCGAGACTTGTTGGGCATGGGAGAGGCGAGCTGCAGGGCGAACTCCGTGAAGTCCTCGTTGTTGGCGTCAACGACGAGGTGCTTGACGTTGGGAAAGGAGAGGATGTGCATGAGCTGAGAGATGTAGGCCTTCTCGTGGTCGGAAATGATCAATTCGACAACGGAGGGTAGCTCGATGATGTCCGTCGGCCATTCCTTCGGGTCACCTGCGGGACCAGAGAGGGAAATAGCCAACGTCTTGAGGTTTTCGGACGAAATCATCTTAATGAAGGTCTCGAAGGAGGGCCGCACGTCACTAGCATGGTACGCAAGCTCGAGGTCCTTCAAATTTGCGAACATCGACACGCATTCGTCCCATGCTACGTGCACACCCCAGAGGGCCAGCATCTCGAGCTTTGGCGTCGTCCCACCGAATATGCGGAAAGGCGTGGCGAGCTCGGCGGGTTGGAAGGTCTGGTAGTCTTCGCAGTTCTCGTAGTGATAGATCTGGAAGACCTCGAGCTCTGGTGCTGGACCGACCTTTGATAAACGGTCCAGCAACTCGTAGATGTACTCATACGAGTCCGTCTCGAGCTCGAAGTGTCGCCACCGCTCGGTCTCGGGGATGATGATGTCGAGAATCTCCTTGACTTCGTCCTTTGAGATGTTACTCGGGCACGGGTAGGTCGCCTCGGGGTCTGCAGAGTCGCGCGGGCGGACGGTAAGGTTGCCGTCGGGTTGAAGCTCCGCCACCGCGCTGCCGTCGATCGCGTCCTCGTCCTCGCTGTGCTCGTGGTTGCTGAGGTTGAGGATGATGTCGAGTGGACGGTTCTTGGACCGCTTGACGTATGCCCGAGACTTCTCGAACGGCGAGGGCTCAGTGAAGTACACGGTAGTCCTGTCACTGATGTCAGTAAACGCGGTGGCGCTAAGGATCTAGCACGCACCATAGATCGGGAGTATCAAGTGCAACTTGCCGCCACCGCTGGCATACATGCGACACAAGCACCTGGAATGGCATGACCGGGCCCTCGTCATCATCATCTTCATCGTCGTCCTCGGAGTCCGTAGAGCTGTCCGTCTGCGTCTCTTCCCCATCCGCCTTTTCGCCGGCCTTCGGGGCTGTGCTCTTCTTCTTTGGACGGGAGGGACGCCCCTCAACCGAGTCCTCATCTTCCCATTCATCGTCCCCGTCGTCCTGCATCAACAACTCTTCCTCCTCGTCGTCATCATCGTCGTCTTCCTCCTCCTCTTCTTGCAGCTGCACTCCAACGGTGAATATGTACGCAAGGAGCTCGTCCGGCAGCGAGTTGACCGGGCAGCCCTCAGGGGGAACGAATGGGTTGTTCTTCAGCATCTCCCGCTGTACTCTCGCCTTTCGCCACAATGAGCATACGCGCCTCATCGCTGTGAGACTCGCCCACGCACCATGGCGTCTGCCTGACTAATTCCTGGGTTCTCCTTGAGTATCTTCGCTAGCCTCTCCGCCATATCGGAGGCCATCATCTGAGAGAACTCGTCGTCCGACATCGTGAAGGAAATCGTAAGTCGTGAAGGAAGCGATGGAGGTTCGCGGCAAACCGATCGAAATTTCACGCTTGGACATCGAGCGCGTCAGTCACGTGTAATCGCGAACATCAACCTCATTTACTATCGGACTTCCAGGTTCTTATTTCTCCATCTGACTACTTGTACAGCATGTACAACCAATTGACAAGCTTCCCACCAGTGGAGATGTCAGCAATGCCACCTGTCATGGCCAATCAGCACCCGAAAGCTCCAGCTCAGCAGCTTATGACCGACTCGCTCGAAGTTGAGGTAAGCCCGTCTGCGAGAAGAGGCGATGGTAAGGTCAACATACTACACACGTTTGGTAAAAAAGATTGAGGTAGTTACTTGCACATAGTTGTACATTTGCTGAAGCATTCGCTGCCGCTGCGGGTGAGCTTGTGCCAAAGGGATCAGTCTAAGAGAATCCGTTAGACTGCAAATTCGGCTAGAACAGCGGTTCTGCATACCTGGATTCTATGCCCAGTCTTGGCAGATAACTTTGACTTGCCCGGCGTTGCCACCGACCGTGAAGCCTGCTGCAGCAAGGTTGTCACGCAGGCGCGCGCCGTCAACGGCAGGATGGAAGCCCAGCATCTCTACCAGGTGAATCTCTTCCAGCGTGAACGGCAGACTGAGCTTGTCAGCCTGTGTAAGCCGACAGTGCACCATGCGCCGCGTGAGCACGTCGATAATGACGTCCGCCGATAGACGATTGCACTTGATCAAGTTGAGGTTTCGCAGAGAAGGCAGGAAGACTCCATGCTCCGGGGCACCCGGGAGCTCGTCATCAGAACTGGGGGCCAGCCACCGGAAGACGCGGTCGGACATGTCGCTCGCGACGAGCTTGAACGTCTCCAGCCTGTCCAGCCGCGCGAACACGAACCGAAAGTCGCGGCTCCGCATGTCGGCGTAGTCCATCTCGAGTATGCGCAGGGCGCCGAACGGTTCGTTCGCCCAGAGCGCGCGTATCCCGCGCCCCGTGCTCCAATCGCTCCACGGTGACTGACTCGGGTCGTCCGGGATCTGCGCGCCCTCCTCCTGTCCCGCGTCCCCGACATGCGTAAGGTAGTCCGCCGCGAAGATCTCGCCGCCGTCCGTGACGCTCGGGTCGATGTTGAGGCTCTCGAGCACGCAATCCTCGAGCGCAGGCGCGGCGAGGTGCGCAATTAGCAGCCGCGTGGAGCAGATGCTCGAGAGGCGCAGGTAGGTGAGGTGAGGCATGCGCACGAGGGGGAGGTCAACGTCAGGCGCCTGGATGAGCGCGGGATCGATGCGGCCGAGGTAGGTGAAGCTGCGCAGGCGGGGGAAGCAGCGGAGGAGGTGGAGGACGAGCTTGGGGGCGACGCAGCCGGGACCGTGCCAGGCGGTGCCGATCGTGAGGGCCTCGATGCCCGCGAGGGCGTCGGGTGGGGTGAGGTGGGGGAGGATGTGGGGGAGGCTGGTGAGGCGGATGTAGAGCGAGAGGCCGTCGGTGTCGGAGAATTGGGAGTGGTAGAAGGTGCGCACGGGTTGTGCCAGGCCGGAGAGGAGATCCGCGTCGTCCTCGAGCTCATCCTCGGCGCCTCCCCGCATTGCAATGACGATCTTGCCTGCATGAGTGGGGGCAGGCCCGCCGGTGTCAAAGACGTAGTCCTCCTTCCGCTTTCCCTTGATGCTAACACGCCGGCACCTATGCAGTTGTGGGATGATGGGATGGAGGAGGGGGAGGATGCTGTCTGTGGCGCGCTCGATGTATAGATCGACCTCGAAAGGGTGGGGACTGGATTTGACCATCCACATCTGGGCCTTGTGTTGATATGAGAGGATATTGAGATCATCGTCCCGCAGTTCGATGTATTGCCAGAGGGATGGGGTACCGTGAACGACGGTGTGGAACGCTGGCGATACCTGGGCGAGGGTGGGAGGCGATGAGGGGTCATTGAGTGCACATCGTTCCAGGATCTCAATGAGCAGTTCAGCTGGGAGGTCCGAGAACGAGCTCATAGTTTGAGACGCCCGGGTAAGGTGACTGTGAATGAGCACAAGCCTTACGCCACCAGCCCATTGTTCTCATAAGCGGCAACCGCCGCAGAATCACGTGAAATGTGACACCAACGAAGTTGAACTTCGGTGAGCAATGCTGCGGCAGCTGAACCTCATACTCCAGCCTTATCTGGTGTATCAAGGCTATCACAGATTCCAACATTATTATTGACAGAAGCTGCAGGGTATTTGATAGAGTTGTGGTTTACTACACAAGCTCCACGAGGATCTCGTATGGTAGACAAAGGTAGTCGCCCATGTAGTCGCGTCGTTGCTTGAGATCAGTCAGAATATACTGACGAGGGATATCGTACGCATGATGCTCCCAATAGCGCCTGCGGAACGTATCTCTCGACGTTGCTGACCCTGTTTAGTGGCTTTCTACACGACCAGCAACGCAGAGACACGTCAGTCAGTCACTCGATACCGACTCACTGACAAGTCTACAGTACCACGGCGCGTCGTACTTGAGCTACATTCCGATGTTTGAGACTATGCGAGAAGTACTACCCGGAGGTTCGAGGCATTTCGCCAAGCCACGTATGTTCCACGTCAACTCGAATTCGGACGCGTCGGAGGGACAAGGTGTCGTGGTCGACGATCCCGTCTCCGTGCAGGCACCGAGCGCCTCCCCTCCGCAGATCCAGAGGCGAAGATGAATGCGGGCGCTTGATGAGCGACGCGTGTGGAAGGGGAGGAGGGCCGGAGGACTTGGTGAAATTCCTTCTAGAGTTTTCGGCTGTTTGTGATCAAGTGCCACGTTGACGTGACACGTCGACCGCGCGTATAAAACCGTCGGACCGCCATTTCGCCAACTCACTCTTCCCTTCCTCCGCCATGCCGCCGTCGCGCGCACAGTCGCAGCGTCTCCTTTCAACACTTTCCTTACTCTTCTTTGCGCTCGTCGCAGTTCTGTGCCTCGCCCCCGTCGCACGGGCTAGCGACGCGCATCCGGAGTACGGACATGTCATCGGTATTGGTACGTACCGCGACGCGCAAACCTGAAAAGCAGGCGCTTATCCAGTATACAGATTTGGGAACAACATACTCTTGCGTTGGGTACGCGTCGGAGGTCGAGTTGACGCGGGAAGTACTAACGTGTACCCCACCAGTGTAACGCAAGGAGGACGTGTCGAGATCATTGCCAATGACCAGGGTCACCGTATAACGCCGTCATGGGTTTCTTTCACTGAGGATGAGCGTCTGTGCGTGATCACATTTCCCCCTCTCATACTTACCTCTGACCGCTTTTCAGTATCGGTGATGCCGCGAAGAACGCATTCCACACCAACGCGCAGAACACGGTCTTCGACGCGAAGCGTCTCATTGGCCGCAAGTTCGACGACCCGGAAGTTCAGAAGGACATGAAGCACTGGCCGTTCAAGGTCGTCGAGAAGGCCGGCAAGCCCGTCATCCAGGTTCACTACAAGGGCGACCTCAAGACCTTCACCCCTGAGGAGATTTCCGCCATGGTTTTGACGAAGATGAAGGAGACCGCTGAGGCGTACCTCGGCGAGAAGGTCACCCACGCTGTTGTCACCGTCCCGGCCTGTGCGTTTTCGCCCGGCCCTTTTTTCAAGCGCTTGCGCTGACTCGCTTTGCAGACTTCAACGACGCTCAGCGCCAGGCTACCAAGGACGCTGGTACCATCGCCGGTCTTGAGGTCCTCCGTATCATCAACGAGCCCACGGCCGCCGCTATTGCGTACGGTCTCAACAAGAAGGGCGGCGAGTCGCAGATCATCGTCTACGATCTCGGTGGTGGTACCTTCGATGTCTCCCTCCTCTCCATCGACGACGGCGTCTTTGAGGTCTTGGCTACCGCTGGTGACACCCATCTTGGTGGCGAGGACTTCGACAACCGCGTTATCGAGTACATGCTCAAGCAGTACAAGAAGAAGACCGGCACCGATGTCTCGAAGAACCTCCGCGCTCTGGGCAAGCTCAAGCGCGAGGTCGAGAAGGCCAAGCGTACCTTGTCTTCGCAGCAGAGCACCCGCATCGAGATCGAGTCCTTCGAGGACGGTAACGACTTCTCGGAGACTCTCACCCGCGCCAAGTTCGAGGAGATCAACATCGACCTCTTCCGCAAGACGATGAAGCCCGTCGAGCAGGTTCTCAAGGATGCTGGTGTCAAGAAGGATGACGTTGACGAGGTTCGTCGTCTTCACTGTCCTTCGTCAGCTTTTTCTGACATATCTTCAGGTTGTCCTCGTCGGTGGTTCCACCCGTATCCCCAAGGTCCAGCAGCTCCTCAAGGAGTTCTTCGGTGGCAAGGAGCCCTCCAAGGGTATCAACCCTGACGAGGCTGTCGCCTACGGTGCCGCCGTCCAGGCTGGTGTCCTTTCCGGCGCTGAGGGCTCTGGCGAGGTCGTCCTTGTCGACGTCTGCCCGCTTACCCTCGGTATCGAGACCACTGGCGGTGTGATGACCAAGCTCATCCCTCGTAACACCATCATTCCCACCAAGAAGTCCCAGATGTAAGTTTCCTTTCAGTTCTTCTTGGTCTCCCTCGTCTGACGCGTTCCGCAGCTTCTCGACCGCCGCCGACAACCAGCCCACTGTTCTGATCCAGGTGTATGAGGGCGAGCGGTCGTTGACGAAGGACAATAACCTCCTCGGCAAGTTCGAGCTCACCGGTATCCCGCCCGCGCCTCGCGGTGTCCCTCAGATTGAGGTCACCTTCGAGATCGACGCCAACGGTATCATGAGGGTTGCCGCCGCCGACAAGGGCACCGGCAAGTCCGAGTCCATCACTATCAAGAACGAGAAGGGCCGCCTGTCGCAAGAGGACATTGACCGGTACGTCTTCACTATGTCATTTGTCGTACTTCGTACTGACGGTCGTACAGCATGGTCCAGGAGGCTGAGGAGTTCGCCGCCGAGGACGAGGCTCAGCGCAAGCGTATCGAGGCCCTCAACTCCTTGTCCGCCTACGTGTTCGGCCTCAAGGGCCAGCTCGGCGACCAGGAGGGTCTCGGTGGCAAGCTCTCCGACGACGACAAGAAGTCGATCCTCGCCACCCTCAAGGAGGCGACCGACTGGATCGACGAGAATGGCTCGGAGGCTTCCACCGACGACATCGAGGAGAAGCTCGCCGAGATCCAGACCGCGATCAACCCGATCACGTCGAAGATCTACGCCGACTCTTCCGCCGGTGGTCAGGACTGGGACGCGCAGGAGCCGTTCGCCGACCACGACGAGCTATGAGCGCGATGTTGACGATTGTACTGATGCTCACGAGCAGAGCGCTCGGAGCGGGAGGGCTAGTTGGGGTCCTAGGTTGGGTCAAAACATGCCGTTGCACGCATCGTATTATATTATTAATGACAGTCTCTGCAACCGGATTGGCATCGCATCTTGCAGGCATTGTTTACTGTATACAATAGACTGGATAAAGACCAAAAACAATGGAACAGATGTGTGATGAGGGACACCCTTTGAAGTGTGGGTCCACGTCGGCATTTGCCGGATGGAACCTCCGTTTGGGCAAGTCCTGGTTCGACTTGACTCTGGCCCTCATCTTGCTGCTATGAGCGATACAGTCGTGGTCTCGACGCGCGCTGAGCCATGGCTACCTCAGGAACTCATGGAGCATATCCTTGAAGAGCTATACGCCTCGGACGACAAGGCATCGCTCAAGAACATGGCGCTGGCGCACCGTTCGCTGGTGTCATCCTGCCAGAAGTATATCTTCAACGAAGTCCAGCTCTCCGAGGTCAACACGAACTCCGTCTTCAGCTCCAAGAAGACGCTCGTCAGAAAGCTCTACAACACCCTTGAAGAGTTCGCTCACCTCAGCGACCACATCCGCGTCCTGCATCTCGAGGAGTTCTGGGACTACGACAGCAGCCTCACCTGGTACAGCTGGATGTACGAGGACAAGGCGCTGCCAGAGGTGCTGCGTCAGGTCTCCAACCTGGAGGCCTTGTACTTCCAACCGCACTATATGCTGTCGTTCGCCGGCATGTCGCAAGCGCTGGAGAGCGCAATAGCGGAGACCTGCGCGCTGCCGACGCTCACCACCCTGTCGATGTTCAGCATTCGGGGCCTGCCGCTCAGCATCGTGGAGGATGTGTCGCCATCTCTGCGCTACCTGCGCCTTTGGAGCGTGACATGCACACACATCGGCACCAACCAGCCTACAACAAGGGCCACCGTTCCCGTGCATCTCAAGCACCTAGCCCTACGAGTGGACGATGATACCTTTTCGCGCCTCCTGGAGCGGGCATTGTCGCACAAGTCCCCGATCCACCTCGACAGACTGCAAAACCTCACTATTTGCATGACCCACGGTTCGTCCTACGAGGTTGCAACGCGATTGCTCGAAGCGTGCCGCGACACCTTGCAGACCCTCGAATTTGGGGACGAAAGCGACAGTGAGTCGAACTCAAGCCTCATGCTACCACATACGCACGATTAATGGTATGATTGCACTCGCGAAGTGGCACTGTCTGCTCTCGACCTGCCCGGAACACCACACAAAGCATGGATGGCGGAGCTGGCGCGACACCGGCTGCGAGCCCTGGCGTTAACGATGGCCATGGACCAGCAGCGCGGCGGTATCCCGTGGATCTGTCGCGCCGTCGAGGCCGCTGCAACCGTCGAGGAGCTCGTGCTGCAGCTGGTTGTGCGCATATGGGACCTTGACGCGTGCACATACTGGGAGTCCGACTGGTGTGCGCTCGACGAGCTCCTTGCCTCCGACCGGTTGCCCAAGCTCGAGTCCATCACGATATACCTGGACGTCAAGGGCTACACGCGCCCGAATTCGGAGCGCCAGACGTATATCGTGTACGATGTGCTATCGCTGCTGCCGCAGGTGCGCGCATCGGGGCGAGCGTTGACGGTGGAGACCAAACAACGTATGTGCAAACTGTAGCGAAAGCGAATGTATGAGCTGACAGTAACACGTTATCAGTGCAGGAGAATAGTCTGCTACTGCAGCTCGACCCGTTGTCGAGGTACCAGGAGTAGCAGGACTGTAGATGAGAGAGCGACTGTGCTCGTATATTCAGGGGTCGCAGTGTGTTGGTGAACATCGAAATTTCCTGATTAGTCGCCAATCCTCAGACTCATGTCTTTCATACCCAGAGCATTTTGAAGAAGGCAACACCATTGACACGGTTGGGCAGCAAATTCATTGCGTGGACGTGATGAACTAGCAGTGTTCCCAAAGATTAGACGATATGTAGCAAATATCCAAAGGTGGTATACGTTATGTACAGTACTCCCCTACTGCGCCTTTTGTGAGTCGACAAACTCGGTCTTCCACCACTGTGGAAGGGTCAGCTTACGGCTTGTCGCGCAAAGGCATCATCAACGTACCTCAATCATCCGCTTGATGCCCTCCTCCACGCCGACCTCCGGCTCATACCCAAGCACTCTCCGCGCCTTCTCGATATCATGCCACCTCGTCGCACAGCTGAACGTCACGCGGAAGCGCGTGAACGTCGCCTCCTTCCCGCGGAAGTACCCCACCCACTCCGCGCCCGCCGCCGCAATCATCGCGAGGTCCTTGCTCAGCCTGAAGTACTTGCCCACCTTCGCGGGGTCGCGCTTCCCCGGGAAGATCTTGTCGAGCTCGCGCCAGATCATGCGGCCAAAGTCCCAAAAGTACGTCGGCTCGCCGTTCGTGATGAAGAAGACCTGGCCGGCGACGGAAAGCGGGGAGGGCTGCGTCGGGTGCGCGAGCTTCTGGCGGGAGAGGTTGTAGTCGGAGAGCTGGTCGAAGCGCGTGCGCATGACGGGGCGGTTGGACTCGCGCGCGTCGTAGGGGGCGCGGAAGGCGGCCTCGAGGGCGTCGCCGTTGGGTGGGCGCTCGACGTAGGGGCCGAGGGGACGGGCGGCGGAGGTGGGGATGCGGTTCATGGCGCCGGTGGTTAGGGAAATGGGAGGGAGGGGGTAGTTGATCATGGCTTGCTCGGCCTCTGTCAAGCCTGGCGGGTCGAGAGGTACCTTCTCATCCTCGGAAGAGATGAGGGGAGGTGCGGGAGGAGGGTCGAGGAGGCGGTCGGCTGCGTGTAAGTGGGCCTTCGCGACGTTGCCGACGTAGGTCCAGTCGAAGAGGTTATTGTTGTCTCCGAGTTGGAAGTGCGTCTGGCCATTCTCGTACACCTGATGGAAGCCAGTCATGACCTGGCGATCTCCGGGGCTAGGTGCGAACGATGCGTCAGTTATGCGGATTGAGAAGACGGGAAATACGATGTGATCTCACCCGAAAATACCAGCGGGGCGAAGTGCGACGGTGTAGAGGCCACCCTTGCCGTTGGCAGCAAGGACGGCTTCTTCTCCCTTGCACTTGCTTTCGTTGTACGCGTCCATGGCCTTCTCCGGGTAGGGTATCCGCTCGTCAACGCCATTCAGGTCGGTGCCGTTGAAGACGACACCAGCTGAGCTAGTGTACACGAGCTTCTTGACACCACATTCGACAGCAGCAGCGATGACAGCCTTAGTGCCGTCTACATTGATTTTGAAGTAAAGCGCGGGGTCGTTCATGCCATGTGGGGGAGACGCGGTATGTATGATGCATGTCGCGCCGCTCTTCGCAATGTCAGTATAGGGGACTACAAGTGCAAGACTACCACACACCTTCCTGACAGCATTTGCAACCTGGTCCTGCTCGCAAATATCCCCTGAATAGAAGGGTGCATCGTGGTACCGTTGCACAATGTCGAACACCGAGACCGAGTCGCCGCGCTCCTGAAGTTGCAAGACGATGTGACGGCCGACGAAGCCGCTGCCGCCGATAACCAAGTACGTGTCCCTGCCAGCCATGATAGTCGAAAGCAAGTTGCAGGTGGGGGCACTGGGGGAACAGGAGAGGTGCCTGTCGATGAAATAGAAAAACGGTCGAACGACACGACAGGCCGCGGCCCGCCAGCCCGTCCGCGCCGCCACGTGATCGAGGCGCTGTCGAGCCCTCGAGCCTCACCATAATCTGTGCAGTACTTGGGCTCTTTCAAATGAAGGGAAGGCGACAGATGAGCTGAGAATTGTTTAATTTTCATATCTATGTCGACGAAAGGTAAGGAATGGTTTTGGGCACATCCGGATTCGAACTCTGATCAGCATGAATGCAACGCGTGACAGACGCGACGTTGTTGAGCTCACTCCTTGCCACCGCCTCCTACGTTGCGCAACGTCGGTCACGATGTCAACTGCAATAGCCCACCACCTACCTCCCATAGACACTTACAATGCCATGGGTGATTATACCGAACAGATCAACAAGCAAATAGTAATCGAGAACTTTGAGTTCGAAGGTGCGTGCGCTTTCAGTGACGAGCCCGAGTGATTTAGCTGACGATCCCCAGTCGAGCAGCGAACGGAAGAGATGAGGCGATGGCTGCAGCTCAGCATAGACCAGTTCCGACAGCACCAGGAGAATCTCATTGGCCGGATACCAAAGCACGTCCGGAACATGACCCTGCGCGAGCTTCGCGACAAGTACAACGGCGACATGCAGGCCGCAACGATCGGCGGGCCTATGGAGCGCCTGCAGGAAGTCGGAGGGCGCGAGCGCGAGGAGCTGAACAAGAAGCGGAAGTGGGTCGAGGAGGATAATGAAGCGCGCAAGAACGCGCGCCTCCATTCCCCCGTCAAGAAGCCGCCACCGTCCAACGTGCGCAGGACGCCGGTACGTTGAATCCCTATTCAGTGGCTGTCAATGCTTACTTGTTACGCGCAGATGCGCCACGCCACCCCGCACAAGCCACCATTCGTCCCCGCACGAAACCCCTCACCCTCGAAACCATCGTTGTATAGCAAGCAGCGCGTGCCCTCCAGCTCGACATTTAACCCCACTCTCAACCTCCCCCCGAAGACCCCGCTCTACCCCGGTAGCACCAGCCGCTCAGGCGCGCCGGACGCAATGCCACCGCCCTCTGGCACGCGCACCCTCAAGCGCGTCAAGAGCAACATCCTCATCCGCGCCGATCCTACCCATTCGCGCTCCAATTCGCAGACAGATGTCACTGCGCCGGCAGGAAAGAATACTGCTGCTACTTCGCAGGCAACCACGACGCTGCTGGACCCCTCGACTGTGCCCACTACCACACCTCGTCTAACACGGACACGTTCCGTCATCACGCTCGCAACAACGGACGGCCACGTGCTTGAGTTCGACCCGCTCATGAACTCACCAAGCGATCTGGAGGCGCTGGAGGGCATCACGAACAGCGCGAAGCGCGAGGCGCGGAAGGAAATGACGCGCCTGGTCAGCGCAACGATGGAGAAGTGGAAGATCACATGAGGGCGCCGCCGTCTGCTGCTTCTGCGCCGGCGTACAAGACGCAGCTCGTTCACGGTTCATGGCACATACGCTCTCATACCTCCTCATCTACCGACTGTATCTATAGCTCAACTTACTGCAGCCGCACGGCTTGCCCGACTCGCTCACACAGCGCCGAGCCCTTGTGCAGAGAGGTGCTATATATTATTCGCCTCGCCTGATAATACATAAGTACATGAGCTGGCCGAGTCCAGCCACGACGGATAACGAGAGTGAAAGAGTGTCTGCCATGCGAGACTACTGAGAACAACAAAGCAAAGTCCGACGTCCATACCCCGAATATAAAATGGAAGAAAGTCAATTGGCCGACGGTATAACAGAAGCCTCAAACCAGGAGTTCTCCGAATCCGATTGCGAGTCGAGGGGGGCTCATTGCGTTTTTTGACCGACCGACGATGACCATCAGCCGACCATGCACCAACAGTGACGAGGCCAACAGCGACGAGGAGTGATGATTTCGCCGTTGTTCGACCAGTTGCGCGCCGTCCACCGACCGACCGAGCCGGATTCAACAAAGGTCTCAATTCCAAGAGGAGATACAAACGAGCGGCACCGACACGGCCGTCAATAGAAGCGGGAAGGTAGAGTATCCTCGTCTGTCGAAGAAGGGGGCAGGGGGCCGACAGCGCGAGGGATAAATAAGGCCGTACGCAGGAGGGTACATAACTCGTACACAGGTGCATAACGCGGCGGGTGCAGGTGAGGTGCAGACGCGAGATCCGGCGCGCAGGGGTGCGCGGCGGACGAGGCGCGCGCGTCAACGGTCGTGGGCGGGCGGGCCGGCTCGTCAACGGTCGTGGCGGTCGTTGGAAGGGTAGGACGGAGGGTGCGTAGGTTGGCGGATGAGTGGGCGGGTGAGTACAGGTTAGAGGAGAAGCGAAGAAAGTCAATGTGCGGGAAGGGAAGCCAGCTGGCGACTCATGCCTGGTGTGGGTTATCGTCGCTTCGGTCGATGTACGGCGGCGGGAGCTCGCGCACGATGGGCTGACTAGGGCCAGCGTCGCGATGCTGGAAGATGACCTCGTCCGCGGGGTGCCCGTCCGCCCCCGGCGCGCCCGCAGCGCCCAGGGGCGCCATCGGGTACGCGCCCGGGTTGGGCTCCGGCGGCAGCTGGCGCGACGTCGAGGGGTGGTACGCGCTCATCTCCTCCCCGCCGCCCGCGTGCAAGGCAGCCTCCGCCGCCTTCGCCGAACGCCGGCTGTTCGAGTAGGACGTGAAGCCGGGGAACGCCGCGGGGTCCGTGCCGCCGCTGTTGCGCCCGGGGTGCGAGGAACCCGCGTTGCTGGTCTGCTCATGCGTCGTCTGGCCCTGGCTCTGTGCGTACGCGTCGTGCGGCGCAATGCCGTGCTCGTTGAACCGCGACGCGCCGCTCGCCGTCGAGTCCGGGCTGTACATCTGCGAGTTGTTGGTGTAGCCGTGACCGAGCGAGCCGTGCGACTTGTTCGCGCCAACCGTGACCGTCGGGCTCGTTTGCGTGGTCTGCCGCGGGCTGTCGTAGTACGCGGTGGGGGCGAGATTCGGGCTGTCGAGAACGGCACCGCCCGCGCCGCCGTTTCTACGCCTTCGCCACCAGAAGAAGCCGGCGATGCCTAGAAGCAGCGGTATGCCGAGACCGAGTACACATCCCAGGATAGTCGCGGTGCGTTTGTGCTCCTTGTCACGCTCCGCTTGTTCGCGATCCTTCTCCTCTTGATCGAGCTCTGCTTGAGTTCCTCCACCGCTCACGAGGCCGACGCAGGACACGTCCGAGCTGCCTAGGGCCTTCTGTCGGTATCATTACACGGTGACTATAAGAAGGGCTTACCTGTTGTCCGCACTGCTGGCGAGCCGTGGGCCCAGCGTCCTTGCCTGTATGACCTCGTCAGCTGTAACATTTCCCGTTAGAGACGGCCGTGCTCACAAATCCGAAACGCCAGCTACAAATTCGGTTAGCTGATGCGCCGCACCCACATTTAGTACTCACCAATAAGTTGCGACCCTGGGTCTGCGCGGTCGATATATGTAAACGCATCGTCCACCGGGCCCAACGTCACGTTCGTGACACTGTCAACAATCAGTACACCAGCCTCCACCCGAGGTTCGGCGAAACTTACTAGAGACTATTCTGAGCACACAAGACCGTCAATCAGTGCGTCAAGGAACGGATGATGTGGTACATACGATCGCCATGAAGGACACGTTATACGGTGGTGTGCCGCCCTGGCAGGAGGATGGTTCAGTCTGGGCGTCCCTTAGCGCAGGGCGCGTTATCGCTCACATTGATGCGGAGGCCCCAGGGCTGGCACGTCTCGATTTCGTCCGTGACGTTGGCGGACACCGTGAAGTTGTTATCCTGGTCCTGAATGCAAGAAGTCGACTGCCCGGTCACAACGTTGTATAGGCGTGGCGGCTGAAGGAGCGCCCATGAGCTTCAGCTGACGGCAGGCCGAGGTCAGCGGCAAGACGCACCACGCCGCCGGCTGTGTCATTTGAATCGATCACGGACAGGAAGAGTTGCGAGTCTGCGAGAAGTCGGTCAGAGACTCCGTGGAATGGTCGAGAGTAGTGGGGGATGGGGCTGGACGAACCTGGCGGCTGGTCGACGGTCCAGCTGAGGTCGCTTATGTTGTCGCCGATGTGCTGCACGGTGGGCGTCCCACCTATGGGGAACGCGAGCATGTAGTACGGCCCTGTGGCGGCGGTGGTCAGCGTGGTGCATTGCGGCGGAGACGGGCAGGAGTGTCTCCAGGTGCGATGATCGAGTTCCGACCGCGGGGACGTACGCCACATCCCTCCCGCCTACGCGCAGCGACACTCACCGACGCCCATGTGATCCTCGCTAGTGTTGTACGACTTGATAGTGATGTCGAAGGACTGGCAGGACGGTAGGTTCTGCGAGATGGCCTATCGACGGGGTCAGCGCATTCGACCTGAGGAAGGTGCCCGCAACGCACGTTGTTCGTAAACTGCCATTGAAAAATCTTGGCTCCCTGCGCCCATGCCGGAACCCAGAAGAAGGACTGCACCAAGAGCGGCGGAAGCAACGACAAGCGTGAGCGACACTTCATGGTGGAGGTCGAGAGAAGAAACCCGGACGATAAGACGACGCGCTCGTGTATATAACAACGCGGTGCCCGCTGTTTCATGAAACATGGTCATCTGGTCATTTGTCATGACCAAACATGGGCGCTTCGCCCATTTGCCGTCCTTCAATGGCGTGAGAGTCCAGGGCCGCACTGATGCTTGATCTCGGCAACCGTCTGCTCCCCTTCGAGCGAGCAGGACGTGATCTCCTCCCAGATACAATCCACATTTGAGGCACTCGTCCTACTCACCTTTATACTGTTGGAAAAGGCCCGGGGAAGTACGGGAGGCGGGGCGGGATTACTTCCCCGCTGTGATCATGCAGGTTCTCAACGCGAAGTTGAATTTCCGGCGAATGCCGCCAATGGCTAGCGATGCTCAGTGGCGTGTATCGTCGTGGATTGCCTCGAAAACAAGCTATGCGCCGACCCTTGGCAGCGTAGAGCGTATGTCGCGGGTTTGACACAACGCGAAGGTTCAGACGCCTGCAAGTCCGACGACCCTGGCAGAAGGCGGTTCTGAATGAATGTGACGAGGTACCCTAGCGTTGGCAGCCCGCGACGAGCGGTAGCTGATAAGAGGTCTTGTATTTCAAGGCGGGGACCCCGTGGGCGGTGTACCTCGTCGATGCATGCTATCGGACTTGGAGGAGTTGAACCTTCGCGCACATCGCGGTGGGAGGGAAGAGCGTGCGAACAGCGCCAAAGTGTGACATGGGAACTCGACCATTGTTCTCCCACCTTGTTCTCCGCCCTTGAGGGCGCTATGTCCGCCGCCTCTGTGTCCTCGGGCTATGATGCGCACATCATCGATCCTAATCACCCACTCTCCCTGGAACTCAAGAGCTTGAGATCGGCACTTGCGCGCTTTCAAGTGAGTGCATACGCGCCAACGCACCCATCCTGCTCACCGATGTCCAAAGGATGAAGCGCACGATGCAGCCATCAAACTACAGCGGCACTCCCTCGAGTCGATCAACGACCATGAGCGGATGCAGCATCTGCAGCACGACAATGACCTCCTACGCAACGAAGTCGAGATGCTGCGCGCGACTCCCCACCCAGACGCGTCGCCTAGCACCCACCCCTCCGCCCTGCAAGCACAGCAGCTCACTATCTCCCTACGCCGTCTGTCCGACAAGCTGACTGCTACCGAGGAAACGCTCTTGACGCGCACGACGGAGCTCGCGCACGCGATGAGCGAGGCCGCGCGCGCGAAGCTGGCGGAGGAGGGCGCGTACGCGCTCGCGTCGAGTGCTCGAGGACGGGAAGAGGAAGGAAAGGTGCGCGAGCGCGATCTGCAGCTCCAGCTGCGCGAGGCACAGGAGCAAGCGCGCATGTCCGATCTCGTCGTGAACGAGTACGCCAGCCTCGTCCGCACCATGGAAGGCCGCGCCTCCAACCCCCTCTACCGCCCCTCCACCCCGCGCACACCCTCCACTCCCGGCTCGCCCGCCAGCAGCCCCAACGATCCCTCGTCTTCCCAACTATCCCTGCAAAGCTCCGGCTCGTCGCGGAGTCTGACTAGCAGCCTGCACGAGGGCAAGATGGGCCTGAAGAAGCTGCTCTCCGAGTTCTCTGGCGAGATCCAGCGGCTAGAGGCGGAGATCGCCCGGCTACATGGCGAGCTCGCCATCTCGGAGACCAAGCTGCAAGCCGAGAAGCAGAACGCCGCAAACGATCGCGAAGCCCTCGCACGCGCACGACACGACCTCGAGCGCCACCGGTTAGACGACGCGTCGGCAGCGAAGATGGTCTCGCGATACATGTGCGTGACATACTTCCCTTAGAGTCTGATCGCGTGCACTGGAACTCGAGTTCCAGGGAAAATTCACCCTGGTAGACCACCCCAAGGCGCCCAGCTCGGGCTCCAGTCTGAACTTGCCTGGTACTTACCTTGCAGGAGTTCCAGGGTCTGAACCCCGAGTTCCGGTGCATCCGATCAGACTCAAAGTTTTATTCTCCCTTCTATATTTGCTAACCTGACTCTATTCTTCGTCTCTTTCAGGAAATTCTCCCAGTCCTCCACCGACACCCTCCAGCGCGCCCTCGCCGCGCTGAAGACCCGGCACCAAACCACCGTCGATACGCTCTCCGCGCAGCTGGCCTCCGCCTCCCACCAGCGGCGCGCCGCCGAGACCACCGCGTCGCGCCTGCGGGACGCACTAGATGAACTTGGGCGCGATGCGATGCGGGAGGCATTCGGAAGGAGGCGGGAGGTAGCGCTGAGGATGCAGATTATTGCGCAGCAGGAGGTAATTCGCGGTCACCTGGTAAGACTGGTGCAGAATGTGGGCGAGAGCATGCGGAGGGGTGAGACTGGCGTGGAGGTGCTGTCGCGGTTGTTGGAGGATGCGCAGGGGCTGGTAGAGCAGCTGGATGGTAGAAAGCAAGACGTGCACGAGGGCGAGATGTCTGCGGGCTCCGTCCAACGCATCCTGGCCGCCCAGCACGCAGTCGACAGCCTAGTCGAGGAGCTGCAGGCAGAGACGACGCGCCGCATCCAGCTCGAAACACTCCTACCGACCACGTCCTCCGCTCTGGGTCTACAGGGCGGCGACTCAGCGTCGCCGAGCTTAATTACGCCTCTGTCTTTGGACATGGCCCTGCCGGGTGAGGCGTCGACGCCGACAGGCATCGCTTCAGCGATATTACCTTCAGTGGCGCTGGCGTCGGCGATCCTGCCGCCTGTACCTGGGCTGCCATCTACTTCTGTTGCTTCAGATACACCTGCAGCTCCCGAAGCGGAACAGACTACACCTGGACCCTCACCAACCGAGGTGGCTCCGCCCGCGCCGCCACTATCAGGGCCTGTCGACCACGACGGGGCTAGCTCCCGAGGCGTTGGGGCCGATGCTATCATAGCGCCCGACTTGCAAGCGCCGAGGGACGCATCACAAGCTTCTAATGAAGTGTCACCAACCCACGAACAAGAGCACGAGAGGACACCACAGACGTCGCAGATCTCGCTGCCTGCGTCTAGCGAGGATGCTAAGGGTGCCCTACTCAATGATACCCAGAAGGGTAAGTTGGAGAATACCCAGAAGGATGATACCCCGCCGATACCCACCTTGAACATGATCGCGCCGACGCCCATCGCTGTCGCGTTCCCGACTGGTCCCCTTTTCAGCGGCGGTGCCGATGCTTTGCAGAACTCCGCGCCGTCTACGCCGACAGGTCAGCCTGAAAGGGCGAATGCGCAGATCCCCGGACCAGTTCCGCTTACTCCTCCAGATGAAGCTATTCCGTCGCTACCCAAGGATTTGATAGCACCTTCTACCGACATCACCCTGCCTTTCGTCAACTCCGCCGGACCTCGGGTTTCCTCCCAAGCCCCCGTTGCCTTCCCTTCTGCCGATGTCACCTCGTCTTCCGCCCATGCTGCTTTGTCGTCCGCCGGTGTGGCCGCGTCTTCTCCGCACGCTGCCTCCTCATCCGCCAACTCCGCCTCGCTGCCCTCCGCTGAGGTCGAGGATCTTTTTTCCCGTCTCTCGCGGGTTACGCACCGATACGACAGGATGCAGGCGGAGTTCCGCGATTGCCATGCTGCGCTGCAGGGCCTCAAGCAGGACGTGGCTTCCTTCACGTCGTCGTCCGGTCCTTCGTCGCTACCCTACAACCCGTCGTCCCTTGCTGCGGCCATCCAGCGCATCGATGACTACGCGGAGGATGCCCGCGTTGAACTGGAGATCCGGGCAGCGGACGATGCTCTCGCGGTCCGCGGACTCAGTGCTCTTTTGACCCTCCCTGGTGCTCTCGCACCCACCGCCGGCATCCCAGGCGACCAGCGGCCCACCCTCGCCGACACGGCAGCGCAGATCACCGCCTTTACTTCGGACGACGGGCCCAGCGCCTCTACCACGACCCTCGCGCGCAAGCTCGCGGACGTGCAGCACGACATCAGCGCGGTGCAGGGCGCGGTGGGCGCTCTGCATGGCGTGCAGCGCCCAACTGCATCGCCCACCTTCGGGCACGTCATGACGACGCCCAGTCTGCGGCGCACGCCGTCGCTCAAGCAGCTTGGTGGGCTTGGGAACTTGGGCCTGCGCGTGCCGATGCCGGCCTTTGTTATGCAGGATACGCGGGCGGCGGAGGAGCATGGGCAGGCGGCGCCGCGGGCGCGTACATTGTCGGCGATGTACATGCTCGGCGTGGGGCTGAGGGGGAGGGGTGTGGGGGGATCGCCGCTGCCCGGAACGCCGTCGCCGAGGAGGGTGTCGACGACGCCGAGGCCGCCTATGCCGCCTCCCGAGTCAGACTCGGAGTTGGAAAGCGAGGCCGAGACGGTGAGCGCGTCGGAAGCGGATTCGTCGACGGAGGATGAGGATGATGTCGAATGATGGGGAAGGGTTGATGCTTGGATATGGACTAGGATTAGCTTGTTTAACGGTAATCTATAATTCAATACCACAATACTATCTCATGCACAAGAGCACTTAGTGTTTGAGGCTGGTTTGAGAGCTCTTCAGTCATATTTGCCACCGGGGTTGCCACAAACTGCCTATCACCCGGGCTGATCAGGATCTCCGGGCCGGCGCGCCTCGGTCCTCGGCGCCTACCACCATCTCGAGGCCCACAGCCTCCTCACAGCGCTACAACTTTTGCTTCCTACCATGGCCTCCCAAGAACCCAAGTTGATACATTTGATCTACATCCATGGCTTCAATGGTACGTTGGACTTACTCCAAGGGCAAAGACGAGCTCAAGAAGGAAACAGGTGACGAGACGACCTTTCAAGTGCGTGGGGACACTGAGCAATCGAGGTGATACTCTAGCCGCTTACGCGTCCCTTGAAGTCTTTCCCAACGGATCTCCAGCAACACTTGAGCCGTGTAATACCCCCCAACTCGAGATACACGGTGCAAAGCAGCTTATACCCGACGTACAAGAGCGTGAAGCCCATCTCGACCTGCACGAAGAACTTCTTGGAATGGTGCGTACTACACCACTATAGAAGGCCTGTAACTAAACAAGAGCGCTGCAGGCTCAACACGCAACCTCCTGGATATGTTATCCTAATGGCACACTCGATGGGCGGTCTGCTCGCAGCTGAGGCGGCGACGCACGCGTCGAATAACCCCCAATCGTACCCCGGGGCGCGCCCGTCCCGTATCATTGGCATGATCGCGTTCGATGTGCCCTTCCTCGGAATGCACCCGCATGTCGTTATCACCGGTCTCGCCTCATTGTTCGCGAAGGACGACGACAAGAAGACGGAGACTCAGCTCAATGACCAGCATCCGGATGTACATATGGTCGACGGACGCGTCACGGACGACTGGGAGTCGTACAAACGCAATATGGCTGGTAAGCTCTTCCTGTTCACCCTCACTGAACTGTCTAATTATAGCTATTTCCCCTCAGAACGCTATTCCGCCTCCTCCCTCAACCTTCCCTCCCCATCTCGCTCGCCTTCACCACCGAGTCCCAACCTCCTCGGCCCCACCCGCGCCGAAATGTCCCCCTTCCCCCCATCCTACGAAAGCTCCATCCGCTCCTCCTCCACCTCCTCCCTCCACTCCTCCTCCACCTCCTTCGCCGAGCGCGCCGGCGGCCTCCTCGCCCAAGCCGACGGCTTCATCGCCTCAAAGGCCGATGAACCCCTCGTCCGCTGGGCGCGCAAGCACCGCGCCGACCCCTTCGGCGCAGGCAAGACGTGGCTCATCGACCACTTCCAGTTCGGCGCGTGCATGTTCGACCCGCCGGGGTTGACGAAGCGGTACAGGCAGCTTGTGGCGTGGAACGGGCAGTGGGTGAATTACTGGACGGAGACGGTGCCGAAGGCGTCGAGGGGGTCTTCACCAGGATCGGGTTCGGAGCGGCCGTCGTTGTCGCCCTCGGCATCGAGTAATTCTGCTTCATTGCATTCCAACCCCGCGCTAGATCGGCGACAAGATGTCGTCGACAACGACCTCGCGTTGCTTGGTAAAGGCACCGCGGAACTATCCCTCGATACCCTCTCCAAAGCCGGCTACTCTGCTGCCTCGACCATATCCTCGAACGACAGCCCCTTCGTCACTCCCTGCGGCTCGCCGAACATGTCCAGAACTCCGTCACCCATACCTTTGACCGAACGGCCTCCACCATTACCTCCAAGACGCTCATCACCCATACCCCCGCTCTTGCCACCTAGACACTCGTCCTCTAAATCAACATCGTCCATACCACCCTTACCATCTAGGCGGTCAGCATCACCGACGCCGCCCTTGCCGCCCCGGCGACCAGCGCCTGCGGCCGAGTCCAGTAGTAACGACGATCCACCACTGGCCGCATATCCACCCCTCGATGATGACGAGAAAGACAGCGTGGACGAAGAAAGCTTCGAAGTCATCCCACCGAGTGAGGCGTCAGAGAGCGTGGAGAACGGAGTGGAGCCTGGAGAAAACGATACGAAGCTTGGAACCTCTCAACCGCCAGATCCACCCCTAGCAGACACTTCGTTGGACCCCGCCGACGCCAAAGCGCGCAAAAAGGAAGAGAAAGCACGACAGAAGGCGGAGAAGGAGGTTGCGAAAGCCGCCGAGAAAGAGGGGAAGGCGCGCGCGAAGGAGGAGCAGGCGAGAGAGAAGGAGCGCGTCAGGCAGGAGAAAGCTCGCGCAAAAGAGGATCAGGAACAGGAAAAGGAACGCGCCAAACGCGAAAAGGAGCTCACCAAACAGCGTGAGGCAGAACAGAAGCAGCTCGCCAAGCAGCAGAAGGAGTTGGCAAAACGCGACAAACAAGGGAAAGAGAGCAAGCGCGACAAGTCCTACCACTTCGTCGTGCTGCCCACGGGCCTGGGGCAGATCCTCGGCGGCGCGGAGCACTGGGAGAGCGTGCCGATCGCGGGCGTGGACGATGAGGTGGCGGCGCATTGCGGGCTGTTCATACGCGGGCAGAATTTGGACTATGATGGGCTGGTGGAGAGGGTGGGGAGGAAGGTGTTGGAGATTTGCGATAAGGCGTGAGGTAGGTAGGTAGCAGAGGGCAATGGTTGCTGATAATGGACTAGAAGTAGATCAAAATGTATACATACCCCATGCATTCTTGGAATAATGGACAATCACACCAAGCTTTCAGTGGAGAACAATGCATCAATTGAGCGCTAGGCTTTTTTCTACATGTACGTGCACGCCAGGAGCATCCACTCTACGACGCCCTCTACGCATACTCATACAATTAGTGACTTTATAACGAAACGTGATCCCCTTCAGCAAGAAAGCACAACCCCCCTGCCAAAGGAGACCCTCGTAATCTGCAACGCGCAACCCACCCAATCTGCAAACAAGGCAAAAGTCTACTCATCGTTCATCGTAACGTCGAAGTCTAGGTCGGGGCTTCAAACGCGTTCACAGTCGACTCGTCTACTTGGACTCCATCTCGACACCAGAGTCGCTGACAGTGCTGTCGTGGAAGACGGGCCGGCACCGGGCGAGACCCTGGGCGTTCTTGTAGAACACAACATCGCCCTCATCCTCGACGAACTGCACACGCTGTCAGAAAAGACGTACATCCCAGGCAGAAGAATGAATCTCACCTTGCACTCCTTGTACACGCGGTAGACCTCGCGCCAGCCGCCCGGCGCACCCTCGAGCGTAAGACCGTACTGCGCGACCTTCTTCTTGATCGCCGCGCTGGCCTCCCAGGCGTGGTAGTGCGGGATCTTGCTCGCGACGTGGTGGGCAACGTGCGTCTCGGAGATGCCGTGCGTCGCGAAGGCGCCGATCCAGCCCATGAGCGCACCGCAGTCGCCAAGCAGGTTACGGTCCATGGTCGAGAGGGCACCGCGGGGGAAGGTAAACTCAGGCGCCCGGTAGTGGGGCAGAAGCGGGTCGGTGTGCTGGAGGAAGGTGATGAGGACGAGCCAGTGGTTGACCCTGGGAGGCGTGATTAGCACGTGATCGATCGTTTTCTTGGGGCACCGCTCGCAACTCACCAGAGGTACGGGACGAGGTAGAGGCGGAAGACCTCAGCGAAGCCGCGCTGGTAGATCCAGGTGCCGATGACGGTCGCCCAGATGAGGACACCAGCGTTGGAGATCATGATCTGGTTGTAGTGGTCCTTCCTGAACATGGGAGAGTTGGGGTTGAAGTCTGCGCGATGATTAGCATTGCGAAATCGTTGACAGCGAACTCGCAAACGTACGGCTGGTGCCCTTAGGGTACCTCTTCTGGCCCGAGGCGTTCCTGATGATGTACGAAGGCCAGCCACCAAGCTGCGTGCTGTCAGAAATCGGCTGTCACTTTAGAGTGATCCTCCTACCAGGTAGCTCATCGATCCCCACATAGCGGAGATGGGTGAGTCGCCGAGCGCCTCCCAGAACTCGCGTGCGATCTCCTCAGACACGCGCGACCCGAGCAAGTCCTCCTTCTCCGCGTTGAGAGGCGGGAGGTTGCGCTCAGAGCGGGTGCTGGGGACGAAGACCTGGTCCTGGGTCATGTGGCCGGTGTGGGCGTGGTGGTTCGCGTGCGTGATGCGCCAGGCTTGATACGGGACGCCGAGCCTGGTGTACGGCATCAGCAATTCAGTTCGCTCCACCGCGCCTCACACGTGAACCCCAACGTCCAGGGCATTCACATGCACGACGCGTCGCGGTGAAAATTGACAGGGGAGACGTACCCTGAGTGGAGGAACCAGCCTACGGTGTTGTTGATCGTCTTGGAGGTGGAGAACGCCTGGTGACCGCACTCGTGCGCGACGACCCAGAGGCCGGTAGCGAACAGGCCGACCCAGAAGCCGTACAGCGCCCAGATAGCGAGACGGGCAGCGGGGTACAGGAGAGGGTGGGGCAGAGTGACCGTGTTGAGGAGCCCATCGGCGTAGGTCGCAGCCTTGTAGACAAGCGCGATGATGGCCACGTCTTGCACGCTAACGCCGACGATCAGTTCGTTTCCCTCTCGCCTAGGCGGCAGTAGTACTCACATGTACAACGACGACCTGAGCGCCGACCGCTGGTGGCAATGGGCCCTGCAGGACGTCAGCCTCGCCGCCCTTCATCTCCCGCACTGCGCAACACGCACGGAATGCACCCCAACAGCTCCTTGACGGAGATGTCGGGCACACAGTAGGTGGACTGGTCCACGGTTAAGAACTTCTCCGACGACATGGCGGGCTCTCCAGCAACCCGAGGGACCCAACGAGATCCGTCTAAAAAGAAAAGGGAGAGAAAGGAGAGGGTGGCCGCGAGAAGCAAGCCCAGCGCTGGAGCAAAATGCAATATCCTTGGGGTTTTTATTGGCTCGGCATCCGCCGCTCCCCGCCTTGGGGCATCAACTGCTCCGCCGCCGTCATCATCTCGACAGTCGCGCCACCGCCTTACGACCATCTAGATTAGTCGAGCCGCGGAGGAGGTCGGCGCCTGCATCTCTACGACGTGCACGACGCCCACAACCCTGCACAATTTTCTCTATGGGGGCGGCGGGTTGGGGTTCCTGAGCGCCGAGCGACTCTTCACCGACGCGGAGAACACGGAGGACCGATGCCTCCTTGATATCGACGATACATCCACGATATCGAACATCCGGCCGCGCGGATGAATTACAGTACACTACGGGAAATACACAGACAAGTACGTAGACGGAAGGGGAGAAAGCTCCCCATCAACAAGAAAAGGAACCAGGAAGATCGTCCAATGCGCAGTGACAATATGGAGTAGATAATATAGCGTAGATGTGTGTGTATGTATGAGGCAACAAGATTGTACTTTACCGCTAGTCTTCTTCTGTATGTTCTTCACTACTACCGCATCTCTTTCAGACGCTGGGACAGGCCCTCCAGGAACGCGAAGCCGTCCTGCAGAGTACGGTCAGCAAGACAGCTCATGAAGCACGACGCAGTCGAGGAGGGGGACAATCTCGTGATGGCAAAAACCCACTTTGGTAATCGTCTTCCCCGACGTCTTGTTCGTTGCCTTGGAAAAGTCGTCCACCATCGCAGCGAGAGCAGCGTTGTTGCGCGCCGTCCGCACATCATGCTTCAGCCGCGCCAATATGCCCAGCTTGGCCTGCGACTCCTCCCTCGACCGCGTGCGCATGACGCTCGCGCGCGAGTTCTGGGACGTTCTGCACTCCTATCAGCTCCTGCTCTTCCCTCGTTCCCACCACCACCTCATCCATCGATCGACCAAATGCCGAACAACACTCACCTCACCGGCACCTCAAACACTGACGGCTGCGCCAACTGCTTTTGCAACGCGTCCAAAAAGTCCGTCGCCGCATTCGTCAACGTCTTCGAGCTATTGCACTGTAGCGCCTCCACGAAGCCCGCCACGATCTCCGCCAGCGCCTCATTCGTCGCCGCGCTCGACACTCGGACCCTGAGCTGTCGAATGAGGTCTGCCTTCTTCGCCGCGCCGACCGCAGGTGACTGTCGCTTGATGTACACGACGTCCGAGTTGGCGTTGTCCGACGGCACCATCGTGTTCGACGGCGCCATGTTGGAGTTCTTCTTCGCGTCCGACGACGCCAAGCTCGACTTCTTCTCCGCTTGCCTTGCCGCCCGCTGGATGTTCTTCCGGTCTCCGAGCACCTCCCGGTCAGGCGGGGCGAGGTTGAGGTTCTGCAGCCCGCGCAGAATCTCGTTCAACTCCTCCGAAGGCGGCGGTGCGAGACTGCGCTTCGGGGTCGTGATGACGCGTGGTGAGGGCTGTCAACATCGTCAGTCGACCGTCGCGCGAGATGAGGAAGTTCGGAATAGTATACCTTCTCCAGCACCCTCGGCGGCCATTCGAATTGGGAACAGTCACCGAACCCTTGCTCCTCCGCCAGGGCTGCGAACTCGTCCTTCCACCTCTGGTAGTCGGGGCGGTCCATGAAGTTGAGTCTCCTGCAGTATCGCAAAAACTCCTCGAACTCGCTCGGCAGCCCGCGGCATAGATCCTCTGGACGAGCGTTCTTCTTTTCCCGCTTCAATCGGTCGTGCGCTTCATCAGTCTTCGGAACTCCATTGCGTGTCCACGAGAGCCCGTTGGGCGTGAGGAGGTGGATGAGCATGAGCGCAGCAGCCTCCATGTCGTCGCGGCGAGAGGGAACTGCAGGCAAGACGATGAGTAAAGTGGAGTAATACGTAGCATGTTGTGCCGCCCACCCTTTCCGCGACAGTGCACGGCGACGGAGCTGAACCAGTAGTTGCCGATGAAATCTCGCGGCTTCTTGCTGTCAGGAATGTGCCGCCGCGTGACTGGGTCGATGTAGAGCTTGGAGAACCCGAAGTCGATCATGTAGATGGTCTTCTCGAATGGCGGGAGCCCAATTGTACAGTTGCCGAGCTGAATATCCCGATGCAGCACCCCGCGTGCGTGCATAAGCTCCAGACGGCTGATCTAAGCACATCTCAGCACAATCAGCGAGGGGATAGGTCGAGCAACGCGCACCAGCTGAATGGCAATGGAGATGACACTGCGAAGGTCCATGACGCCCTTGCCGTGCTTGCGGTAGAGCTGGTCCAAGCTGGGCCCGAGGAGGTCAATGGCCAGGTAGTCCCACTTGCCCTGGACGCCGGCTTCCCACATAGTGGGCATGCCGACGCCGCCCTGGAGGAGGGGGTAGAAGGCGCGCTCGTATCGATTGGTAGGGCACTCATGGTGGACGTCCTGTACCTTGAGCGCGACGGTCTTGCCGTTGTGGACGTGCACGGCGCGGTAGATGGAACCTGGCGAGGAAAATCAGTCGGGCGCTTATTCGCAGGGGTTGGCCCGCACCTGAATACCCCGACCCAAGCAGATCCTGGAGGTAGTAATGTCCGAGATAGTATGGGATTTGATCGTCGTCCTGCTCGTCGAGCTGGCTCGCCGATCCCGACGACTCTGGCCACGAGCCTTCGGACTCGCCCGTCGACTCCGAGTACGCGCTACCCTCGTCGAGAGAAAGCATATCCGGCGCTTATCAATCGCACGCCGATGGGGGATCTCGTAGGCGCGAAACTAGTTTTCGGCCGGATTTGTGTGGTGTTGGGATGGGTAACGCAAAGAAGGGGTGCCCGCGCAGTGGGTGTGAGGTGGGAGCAGCGCCAAATTGGGCGGGAACGCAGGAGGTGGTGGAGGTGAGTGTACACGAGAACCCGCGAACAACATCCGACCACGAGACTGCCATCCACCGCGTCGTGGCACGTGGCCGTGCGCCGTCACGGTCACAGTTCACCAACTTCTCGTCCCAAACTTTCATCTCCACCTTCTCGTTGGCGCCACTTTGAATAGGTCTCTCGGTGCATCTGTTCGTCCCGCAACTCTACAAGCTTGTCTGAACCTTGAACGCCGAAACTGTTTGACATCGCACTCAGTCACAACGAAACGATCTACCGTCACTCGTGCTCGGGAGTGCTTGCTGCGCCGGTGCTAACGTATATGCCGGTGAGCTTTCCTCATCATTTCCTGGGGTCTTTTACTTGCCTTGGAAATGTCTGTACTGGTTGTCGCTCGCTGATGGCTTCAAGAGTTCGACTGGTGCAAGCACTCACAAACTGCCGTTCTGAGTTCGTTCGAATCCAATGATGGCAATGTAAAATTATTATGCAAATGCCGTAGACGCTCACGCCATGTATATATTTCGCAGACAACGCTGACCAGGTTCTTGTGGGGCTCAACTTACAACGAGGGACGCATGTGGCATCGGTCGATCTCGATGTGGACTCGGGCTGTGCATGCACCGCGTCTGGTAAGACCATTTGATAGCTCGCTAGACCAGGCTCAACAATAGGTAAGTTGAGCGACAATTGCGCGGAAGCCAGGCGGTCAGACCGCTGGCCCTGCTCCTCTCTCGATCACAATAAGGTATGCTTTGTATTGTGGCAAGCCGTACACGCGCTTTATAACTTATAGGACAGCGGGCACAATATGCATCTTATCTCATTCCGCCCCCCGCAAATCGCACCGATTTCCTCCACCTATTCCATATTCAACAAGTTCTGACGACTCACGCTACGCTTCGAAGACCCTGCAATACAGTCTTTGATCACCTCCGCCGTACTGTCTTCCGCTGCGATGTATCAGACGAATCAACGGTCTCGTCTTTCTCCCCGCGCGCCATCCTCACAGCAATGCGCTGACCGATTTGCGCCCTATCGCCCGTCACCACAAATTCTGTTCGCGCCCAGGCTGTCGACTATTCCGCTCCCAGACGTTTCCCCCGTGTCAGGAAATGCAGGCCCCGTCACCTCCATGCTCGCATCGTCGGTGCCTACGCAAGTTGTACCTACGAATTTGCCAGAGCATATTCTGTCCATAATTGCGTCTCAGCTCGCTCGTCAGTCACAGCTAGAGCAGCAAGGACCATCTGCTTCGACTACTGCTTCGTCCGCCCGCCTTCCCGCAACATCGAAAGCGGCCTGTCATCTGTCGGCTGTGCCGCAGGACTCAGCTCCCCCGCCCGCTACGTCCGATGCCGTGCCTGCGCAACTCGTTGCAGAAGTAGCTTGCCATCCATCCACTGCCGACGCGGATGCGCCTTCTCTCCAAGCGCCGCTGACGCCAAGAATAAGGCCCACAATGTCGTGGCCCAGTCCTCGTCTTCGGCACCGCGCTCAGCAACGGCAAGTCGCGGCTCGTCCTTCAAAGACGGACACGTCGAGTTGAGCGGCAACGAGTCCTTTGGGAGTGGCATCTGTGTTCTTCCCGTGCTCGCTCCTTGGGAGGCTATCCGGTCCTTGACGGTGACGTGCCCCATCACGATCAACGACCTGCACCTCATCCTGTATCAAGCGACGAAGTTAGAGCGAGCGGTGTTCTCCTCGATCGTACAGGATACTAAGAAGGCGAGGTGCAGGGTTGATATCAACGTCAACAATCTCCGGGAGTTGATCATTGAAGACGTTCGGACGCCCATCGGGAGTATATTCGACGATCTGGAGGCATTGGAACTGGAGGAGATCCTCGTTTCCTATACTTCCACCTCGGCGCTGTGCGAGGATGAGGATGGATACTGCCAGTTCCTGGAAGACATGGCTCAAGATCGCAAGCCAGGCAACATCATAATTTATTCCAACGATTCGTGGTACCGAGACGCCCGCGCCCAAGGGTTACAAGAGCAGTTGGAGGCGAGTTCCAATTGGACCGCAGCTGTGATATGATGTAGTACACTAGACTCAGGTAGGCACACAGTAGGACGAGTGATTTATATCAGGAATAAGCCCGCCACCCCAGGTACCGTATTTTCATGCCATATTGTTTCTCTAATACGCGAAACTCAGAAGCATCCTTGCGGTGTAAGCCATCTTGGTATCTGGCGAAGTCGATATGCACGATCTTGAGAGGGTACTGGTATCGTTTACGGGAGGCTATCATGCCTGCGACAGTGCCGTCTGTGGTCGCGCAAATACAGTGGTGAATGATCAATTTCTCCAAGACAGGCGCCAGCGGCGGCCCATATGCAGGATCCATACGAGTGAAAAATGCGTCCTGGATGAGCGGTCCATCGACCATCAGCCAGGTCAGCGTGGCCATTTGGGGGAGCTGCAGCAAAGCTAGGAGGTCCGCTTCAGAATGATTGTCGGCCGGCGATAGTTTAAGCGTCTCCAGCCCCACGGAAGTCGCCGCAATGAACGCATGCAGTGTCTGCGCATCGTTGCATGGCCAAGCAGGCCTGTGGTTCGGAAGCGAATCTAGTATCAGCTCCCGGAGGGAAGGCAGCTGAAGGCGTCCGAGAATACCGTCAAGGGAGTCCTTGCCGCGGATGCTGAGGCTTCTCAGTTCGTCCTGGTGGATACGAGACTGTAGCGGGGACAATGGCTGGACATCGGGGCATAGGCGAACATAGACGCTTCTGAGACGCTGCCCGCTGGACATGAGTCCCAGAAATGCGCTGTTTGTGATAGATGTATCCCCGATGTAGACGTCGACAAGCTGCTCGCAGGGAAGGTCTATCGGTGGCGACAGGACGCACACGCCTCGGAAGCTCCTCCAGGTGAACTGAGCGAGCTTCGGAAGAGATTTGTGAAGTCGCGAGAGAGCCTGAGCTCCTGGACCACCCTGCAGAAATTCCAGAGAGAGCTCGCTCAGCATGCTGGGTGCGTGAGGATCAATGCGCGAGAGCCGGACGGCAGAGGCCTGCGCGACTACAAGTTCGAGTGCATAGATCTGCGCAATGTGCGAGATGAGGAACTCGAGGGCGCAGAAGCAGCGATCGCTCGCTTCTGCGAACGCGCGCTCCCGTAGAAGGTGGGGCGCCTGAGCTACGGGACGGCCACGCGGCGTGACAATGTATGCTTCAGCATCAGCGTACCGGATGAGTAGTCCCGCGCCTCGCGCTCTTTCCACGTATAGCTGGGCGAGTTCAAGATGTCGGTGATCGTGCGTACTCGGACAGCCAAGTAGGAAGAACTGACGCCATAGACTTGGAAGATTGATTGCGATGTCTCTCCAGTAGTGACAGACATGGCTGATCAGGAGAGGTTGAGTGCGAGAGTAAAGCGCGGCGTCCTGCAGCCCAGGCGGCAGTGCATGCATGAATATCTCCGCTAAGATCTCGGGCGGCAGCTCGTTTATGAGGGCAAGGCGAACACCATCTGGCCTCGGGGAAAGGGACATCGTGAGGGGAGATAGCTCGGGAGTGCCGTATCCAAAGCGCCAGAGGTCGCGGGAGAGAGGTGGTAGCACAGATGGATACACGGGGTACGTTGGCTCGGAGGAGCTCGAGAAGTTATCCGGAGCGGAGGCAGGTGGCGAGTACGAACTAGAAGGCCTTTCACTCGACGCATCCCAGCGCTGTAAAAAGTGTCAGGGAATAGATTTATCAGTGTTAATTTTCATCTTACCGGCCGAAGTTGCATAATGGTTGAGGTGATAGGGCCCGGCGCCTGCCCAGAAGGTCGACGCGTATTGGGTGTGCCCGTTCCGTTGTGGCACATACCTTGCGGCCTGTGAGGTGGAGAAGGAGCTAGCGATCCGTGCGATTATCCTTATATATTGGTGCACATTCATTGTGGCCAGATAAGGGGATACCATTGTGCGCATATGGGGGTTCGGGTCAAGTTAGGACACGCGTTGTTCTACTTTCCGAAAGCGGAACAGAGGCCGCGTGCATGACCGTCACAGTCTGGTCAAAGTTCAACTTTTGCTCCTCTATCGCTCTTTACGCGTGTGTCTTCCTCATGCGTATGTCCGACTAGGGAGCCGAGGGCACGTTCACTATCACCTCTAACGACTCTTTTCACGAAGCTAATCGCGCCCCAGCCTTACGGGAGCAGCTGAGGGCGGCCACGGGGTACACCTGGGCTGCGACTGTAGGATGATTGGAAAGATATCAAAGTAAGGTAAAGATGTTGTATATATATGTAACTATCTTATGTACTTCTCTATCACGCCCACCATATGCGCATGCCGTATTGCTCCTTCAGAAATTGGAAACCAGATACATCCTTGGAATGTCGACCCTGACATAAGGGGTGGTAAACAATATGCACAGAGCGCAGAGGATGGTGATGTTGTTGACGCGAGGCAAGCATGTCCGCAATGATACCGTCAGTGATAGCACAACGGCTGATAATCAATTTTGTCAAGTCAGGTGCAAGTGGTGGTCCGCACGTAGGATCCAGAAGAGTAAAAAACGCGTCCTGTATGAGCGGACCGCACATTTGCAGCGTGGTAAGCGACGCTGCCTGCGGGAGCTGAAGCAGAGCTATCAGGTCTCCTTCGGACAGGCTAATCGCATCCGACAGTTCCAAGACATGCAATCCTCCCGATGTTGCCTGAACGAATTGTTGCAGAATCCTCGCATCGTTGCAAGGCCAAACAGGGGGATCGCTCGTTTTCGGCCGCAGTCTCACTTCGCGGAGTGAGGGGAGTCGAAGGCTTTGCAGAACAGCATCGAGCGGTTCATCGTCATAGACAATGAGGGTCCGCAGGTTGTTTTGGGTGATGGGGGTTTGCAGCGGCCTGAAGGGTGTATGTGCGTCAGAGCAGAGAACGATCTCGAGCTGCGTCAGCGATTGTCCAACAGTCATGATCTCGAAGAACTTGGTGTGGGGAACAGGAGAGTCGCCGATGTGGGCGCTGACGAGCCGTTGCCAGGGCACATCGATCGGGAGCGGTATACTGCAGATTTCCATATAGCTCCTTCTGGAAAAATGCGCCAGCTGTGGCGAGGTAGCGTATAGGCGGGAGAGCGCCTGTGTTTCCTCTCCTCCCTCGAGAAACTGGACGGAGATCTCGCGCAATACGGGTGCTGCTCCTTGTGGAAGGGATGCGAGCCGATGGCACGATGCGTGTACAACGGTGAGTTCGAGCACGCGTATCTGCGCGATGTGCGAGATGATGAAGTCGAGAACGCAGTAGCATCGCTGGTTCGCGGGTGTGATTGGAAGACCATTGGGGACGAGTTCTTCGGGGTCATGCCAGAGCAGGATGGATGCTTCATCATCGCTATACTCGAACAGCATACCCATGCCGCGTGATCTGTCCGCGAAAAGGCGAGCGAGTTCAAGGGGGCGGTGGTCGTGCATGCTCGGACATCCTGCCAAGGAGAGCCGCTGCCATAGAGTCGGAAGGTTTATTGCCACGTCTCTCCAATAACGGCAGACATGGCTGATGACGAAAGGTTCGTACCAACGGTTAGGCTTCGCATCGTCCACGCGCAGCGGCAGGGTGTGCACGAATATCTCCGCCAAAATTTCGGGCGGCATCTCGTTCACGAAGTCAAGATGATCGCCATTTGACAGCGGGGAAAGGGCGATCGTGAGGGGTGACAGCTCGGGATTTCCGTAGCCTGGGCGCCAGGAGTCGAGGGAGAGCGGTTGTAGCGCAGGGGGGTAGGCGGGGTACGTAGACTCGGGAAAGCACAAGAGCTCATCATGAGGGTTGACCGCACGAGCGCGAGCGTCGTGGGATCCGATAGCATGCAGCGGCGCGGATTGTGACGAGGAATACAGGTTGGAGGGACTTCTGCTCGATGCATTCCAGCGCTGTTGGCGACTGTCAGAGAGATGGAGCTTCCAATATTCATGTTAGTCTCACCGTCTGAAGTTGAAGGATGGCTGAGGTGGTAGGACCCGGCGTCTGCGCAGGAGACCGACGCGAACCTCGGCCGTTGCAGGACATACTCTTGGCATAAGCGAGGGAAAAGCGAGACAATAAGCCATATAACTATCTTTATATATCGAGACATACCTATTATGTCTCGATAAGGGGATACCATTGTGCGCATATGGGGGTCCAGGACAAGTTGGGACACTCGTTGTTCTTCCTTCCGAAAGCGGAACAAAGGGGGGCACATGACCGTCACAGTTTGGTCACGGTTCAACTGTTGCTCTCACACCAGGGTACGTGGATGTCGATTGTTTGGAGGCAATTGAAAGATATTTAAGGACATAGTTGAAGCAGAATATAAGAGGTTACAGAGCGAATGATCGCAAGCCAGTACAGGATTCATCCCAGAATTGTTGTGACGCGCTATCTTCCGAGGCAAGGAGGCTTAGGAAGAGGGAAGCTTGCATCCTCTAGACCCATATTTGGGAAGAATGGGCATCATCATACGCCCAAGAGCACATAGCGAGTGCACCACCTGTACAACCTCACCCTTCATGCGCCTGATCTCCATCGAGATTCGAAACTCATCTTTCCAAGTGGAGGCATACCGAAGGCATGCGTCTTGTCAGAGAACAGAAAGCCAAAGGCGGCACGCCAGTTGGCCCCCTCGACAAAGTCGAGGGGTTCACCCTTGGGCCGCGATGAGGCCTGGCGCCGGTCGCGCTCAAGAGCGCAACCTATGGGCTGTTGTGGCCCGGTCTCCCTTGAGGGGAGACCAGAAGAAAACCTCAGTGGGTCTAAGGATGGCGGGACCGCCTACAGATGTAAGACGGCCCGAGAGCGAGGCTCAGCCTGGGGAATCGATGACAGGCTTGCCGCGAGTACAGCGCGCGGCAAAAGCGCCGGCGAAGAGGATTGACGAAGAGACTTTGGCTCGCTGCTGCGAACCTTGAATGGTTGCTTGCTCAGCGCCCTGACATGGTTTGACGCCGTGGAAAAGAACACTATAATCAGGCCAGTAATCAGCACGATTCAGACGAACGGTAGCAGTTACGCACATGAATCTCAAAAAGCATGCCGCGCGCAACGCGTGCGGCGAATGAAAGGTCGGAATTCTTTCGTCTCAAAGCGGGCTAGAACTCAGCGATGCAGGCTTAGAGCGTAGAAGAGTCGCCTGAGCAACTTGCCAAGTCGCTTGCAGAAGCAGGTGCCGACGATGACACGCGAGATCTCAATGACATGGCATCCTCCCCACAACCTGGACTCAGGAGACGTTGGCGTCGGCTGAAGCACGACCGCTTTGGAAATCGAATCAGCTTGATTGCAGCACGAGGGGAAGACAGTGCGTACGCACAAGAACTCAAGCATCGCGCGGCACTCTGCGTTCACGGAGTGATACGTCGCCTGACTTGAACGCGCGAATGAAAGTAACTCTCAATGAAGCCATCGCCAAAGCGCTTGACGGTGACGGCGTGCTCACGCTTACTCAAGTACGAACCAAAACCTGCAAAGACGGTCAGCGTCGGAAGGTAGAGAAGCGAAGGAAGAGCGCACCTCACGCCAGAAGCCGGTAGTCAAAATACGCCAGTTGGCCCTCCCCTTTCGAGGAGGTTCACCCTTGGACCGCGATGAGGTCAGGCGCCGGTGCGGGGCACCTATTCCAAGGGGGTCTTGAGGAACGCAGTCTTGAAGCACACAGCTTGAGGCACGCGTCTTGAAATTTTGCGACTTGCTCTTACTCCGCGACCGGTCTTGAGAACGTTGAGGTCTTGCGCCTTGCTCTCACTCCGGTCTTGAGGTGCTCTTGCTCCTTGCTTCCCTTTTTCTCCTTGCTGCCCTCTTGCTCCTTGCTGTTCGCTCGACGTGGTATTGCTCCTTGTTGTTTGCTTGAGGAGGTCTTCCTACGCATCGTCAGACACGCCAGTTGGCCCCCACCCGCAAAGCTGGTGGGGTTCACCCTTGGGCCGCGTTGAGGCCTGGCGCCGGGACACGGTCGACGGCAGCCTCTTGAAGGTCCGCCGAAGACGCGCGCCCTATTCCAAGGGAAGGCCCTTTGGGCCCGGTCTCCCCGTTAGGGAGACCTTTTGAAGGAAGAAGATGAACGGGATGGAGGAGGATGAGAGCCTAATGAGATGACAAGACTCGGACACGATGAAGGCCGGGATAGCGATGTTGGGAGAGCGAGAGCAAGACGACGAGAGCACGAGCCTAGCGGACGACAAGCATGCCGCGGCGACGACTCAGGAGCGACACCACAACTGATAATCCCGAGAGCACGTTGAGGTCGGCGGAAGCACGACACTATAATCTGATGAGCATGTGTCCAAAAGGGAAACAGAAGTGACACGCACGTTCAACTCATACGATGAATGCGTCGGTCAGGGTGACGCGAGAATGAGAAGGCAAATGCCACTCAGCACACTCTTGCCAAGCGCCAACGGTTGCGCTCGAGTACACCTCAAGCTCACTCAATCACGCATCACACTGCGAAAGACGATCAGCGACGATGAAGCATGAACAGATGAATGAACATACCTCACGCTCACGCCTTCGAGCGAGAACGCCAGTTGGCCCTCTCGACAAAGTCGAGAGGTTCACCCTTGGGCCACGTTGAGGCCTAGCGCCGGTGTACGAAGTACACCTAGTCCAAGGGAAGGCCCTTCGGGCCCGGTCTCCCCGTCAGGGAGACCTTGTGGTAGAGAAAGGTGGATATAACAGTGCGAGAAGACGAGAGCCGAATGCGATGACGAGACTCAAGCACGACGACGGCGAGACCGGCGATGACGGGGCAAGCGAGCGCGTGACGTGAACCTCCGAGAGCGCGATACTGATGAGCACGAGCGGTCGAAGGTCGGGCACGATAGGCCGAATGGCGAGGGCGAGAAGGTGAGGAGACCGAGGCAGCTTATCACGTCAAGGGTACGTTGACGTCGGCGGAGGCGCGACACTGAAAGTTTATCAGCATGATCAGGGAAGAGAAATAGAAGGGGCACGCACGTTAGCTCAAGCGCTAGAGGCGTTAGCTCACAAGGCGCGAGAGACCTCGGGCCCTTACAATGAGGGGAACGTAGACAGCGACGAGAGCTGTAACTCGTGCGCGATCTCAATCTCAGCATGACACGTCGAAAGGCAAGGCTGCACCCAGCGCACAGTCGCCATGGACCGATTGTTGTAGTCGGCCACGCCACAAGGTTACTCAATCACGCATCACTCTGCGAAAGGAGGTCAACAATGGCAAAAAAGACAACAGCGATCAATACGCACCTCACACTCACTCCCGCGCTCGAACGCCAGTTGGCCCTCACCCGCAACCCAGGTGAGGTTCACCCTTGGACCACGATGAGGTCTGGCGCCGGTGCACCGCCCGCCAGCAGCGCACCTATCCCAAGGGGGTCTTGAGGCACACAAGTCGCTTGAGGCACGCGCGTTGAGTCTTGAATATTGCTCTTACTCCATCGGAGGACCAGAGGACGGCGAGAGAGCGAGACGAGAGGACGGCGTAGAGCAGCTGGAGAGCGAATCGAAGGTCGGCCTTGCGGGTATCGAAGCGAAGCGAGGCCTAGACAGCGTCAGTAATTCGTCTCGATGTCGAAAGTAGATCGCGTGGTCGAAGGCGCGACTTGAGAATCGAAAAGGCAAACGACCAGCCGACAGGCCTTTCCCACAAGGTAGGAAAGTCGGGAGAGGTCTTGTGAGAGACTTGTGGACGTTGACGGAGGGTCGGAGTGTCGACGGAGAGCCTTGAGTGAGCTTGACGTCGATGAGCGAAAGGTAGGTGAGACTGTGCGATCGGACTTGACGTGCTTGAGGTCGGTGGTCGAATGACGTCTCATTCGCGAAGGGGTGGCGTCGACGAGAGGAGAAGCGCAGCCGTAAGAGCGTAGAGGCAGAGTCAGACGCGAAGAGCCTGATATGTTGTCAGTACGGAGAACGATGGGGAAGGGAGTGGGGACGCACCTAGTGACAAAGCCGGATTCGAAGATCGAGTGGCGTCGACGAGCTACAGGATCTATGAGCCAAGGCACGATCACAGAAATGCTGCAACGCACCTTGAGAGCCACTTTTTGTCACAAGTACTCGTCGACGAAGGCCTTAAGGGACCAGGGGAGTGCGGCGCCTATCCGCCACAAAGTGGCGGACGTGAAAGAGAACGCGTCAAGGAGCGATGTCGAGGCCAGCGCGAGGGTCGTAAGTAGGGGGCATGTAGGTAAGATATAGTAAGAGACACGATGGCGGAGGACATGAGGAGGAGCGAGGACGGTAACGAGCAAACGAAGCGGGGAACGATGTCGGGCGCGGTGGCCACCGCGACGATCGCAAGCCACTCGTGTACAGTAGAGCGCAAAGAGGAAGAAAGAAGAGATGAAGGGAGGGAGAGGCACGCCCTACGATGCGCCCACCACTCGGGGGAGGTAATGGGGGCAGAAGGGAAGAAGGGACATGGGGGATCAAGCGAGGACCCTGGCCTTTTGTACCCCGCCGGTCCGATCAATGGAAGACACGAGCTAGTCACGGGACCCCGTCTTTGACCCAACACGAGGCGACACAAACGCCGGGCCAGATTGCGTATCAATGAAGAGAACCTGAAAGAAGGCGCGGGGGCCAGCTGCGGGCAGTGTCAAGCGGTGCGGCATGGTGGTCAAGGCCAACCCTCGACCTCCACCAGCGGAACCAAATGCGGCAGGCCCCGCGAAATTTGGTTCCGCTTCGGGGTTATTTGAATCATGGCCGCTCTCAATGGCCATTGTCTGGTGCGCTTCTTCGGTAGATGTACCTGACAACGCGCTTCGTGGCTGGCCTTTGTGCTAAAGATGGACATTTGGGTGGCCGTCGCGTACTGGATCGCCAGACTGTCGTCGGGAGTCAGCGTTACATCGCCCAAATTATGGCAAGTGCGAAATATAAAGTACACACATTCGTCGCTAAGATACAACGTGATACGGTACAGGGCTACATACTACTACACACTACGGTGACCGAGCTCTTACAGCCTCTGCTCGAGGGCTTTGTCACCGTCCTCCTCGTGCTTGCGAACTTCTTCAAGATCGAGAGGCTTCTCCGCCATCCTCTCACTCGGTTCCTCGCCAGCTTCAGACGCATCGTCTCTTGGAATGCCGGTGATATGAAATTGCTCGTCTTGTGGAGGCGCAAGTGCCGCGTCTGCAGCTTCACTCTCGGCCAGAGTGGCTGCGAGTGATGCTATAGCTACGTCAAATATTGACCCCGTCAATCTTCCAGAAAACTCACCAGACGCGACCTCACCCCCAAGATGCAGCTCCTTGTTGATTGCTTCCGCAAGATTGTCCACCTCATCTTCCTGCGACGCCTTCACCTGCCTCTCTGATATCCGCTCCGTAACTGTTGACCCGACAGCCCTCCGCTTCTCCTCCACAGCTGCTGCCTTCTCCGCGATCCGCCTCGCCTCCTCCTCCGCATGCTTCCTCCCTGCCTCGGCCTTCTCCAGGCCCACCTTCTCCGCCTCTTTATCATTCGCCGGCTCCTCCTCGCCCTGCACCGCCTTCCACAGCTCGATCAGCTCGTCCTCCCACCCGAGCTCACGGCAGAGGTCGCGCACGACCTTGTCGCACTCGCCGAGGAGCACGACGTCGTCCTTGCGGCGGCCGATGTTGCCGACCTGCTCCATGTTGATGAGCACGCGCGGGCAGAGCTCGCCGGGCATGTTCGCGAGGGATGCGAAGGGGTGCACGGTGAGGGAGGTGCCGATGATGATGAGGAGGTCGGCGAGGGGTATCATGGGCACGGACTTGGAGAATGCTGGGGGGAGCTAGTGGGGTGTCAGTCGGTGCGTAGTATTATGCATCATTAAGACTCACCGACTCGCCGAAGAACACGATATCAGGCTTGACGAGCCCGCCGCAATCCAAACATCGTGGCACATGTCCCCGATGGACATACTCCTTCATGAGCTTCCCATCGAACGGCTTGCCGCACTCGATGCACTTCTGCGTCGCAAAGCTCCCGTGCGCCTCGATAATCTTGTGCTCCGGCACGCCCGCCATGCGCTCGAGCGTGTCGATGTTCTGCGTGAAGCACATCTGCAGCTTGTTCTTCTTGTAGAGCAGGTTGATGAAGGCGTGCGTGAGTGTGGGCTTGTACTTGCCGGGGTAGAGCTCTTGGGCGAGGGAGTAGACTGTGGGTAGGGCGTGAGGATGATAGGGTAGATGGCTGAAGGGGGAGGGGTGGGCGTACAGGGCTCTGGGTTCTTGCGGAAGAAGGTCATGTCAAAGACGGCTTCTGGGTACGGCAAGTTAAGGCGCGCAAGATTGTGCTGGGGGGGGCGGTCAATGTTGTGCTGTCTGGCCGGACCGGAGCGTGCTCACGTATAGACCTGAGAAGTGTCAGCCCTACTGACGACGTACTGTCATAGGCGGCGACGAAGCTCACCAGTCTTGGGAGAACGGAAGTCTGGTATACCAGCAGCCGTACTAACGCCTGAATGCCTGCTCAGTCACCGCGCCGGCGCGAACAAGCCGCCCAGTATACTGACCAGCTCCTAACTTGCGTCCTATCGTCAGCGCCCATTCCAGCACTCGGATAGCTCACGCACCATAAGCACAACCTTCCGACAGTCCTTCCCCTTCATGTACTCCGCCAGGCCCTTCATAGTGGGCTCGGGGAGTATCTTGAAGTCATCTCGATCGACGCCGATTCCGCGGAGCGACTTTGAGGGGTTCATAGTGGGTAGAGTTGTGGTAGAGCTCAGGTCTTGAGGTTTGTAGTGGGAAGGAGGGTACTAGGGATATTGGGTACGTGGCAAACAGCGAAGCTGGCAAGCAGTGCAAGCTGCAGTAGAGTCCGAGTGTAACATGACTGATCTGGACAAGTCCTTCATCACTTCACGTCGACGTCATACTCGTACGCGCCCGAACGGTCCGCTTACGAGTCTTCGTTGCATGTTCGTCTACCCTCTTGGGATTCTACATATTCTTGACCGTAATGATACACAGAAGCGAGTCCATTGAATACTACAAAGTCCGAAAATTCCTCCTACAGGTTCGTCCCCCAATATTCTCTTCATCTCCTCTCTCGCACCTTCAACCACACCACCATGACCGCAGCGATCCCGAACCCAGCGATGAAAGCAAAGAGAAGCAACACGTCTCTATAGTACGCGTTCTGCTTGAAGCCGAAGAGCTGATGTTGAGAGTACGATCAGCCTCTGTTCGATTGGATACTCAAAAGACCCTCGGAAAGGCTTACCATCTCCATGATCAAGCTCGCGGACACATTCACCGGCACACCCTCCAACGTGTCCTCAATCATCAGTCCAGCACCGACCTCGTTGACGGAGAGCGCTTCGAGGCAGTACTTCAGCGGGCAGAGCCACTGCAGCCAACGAAGAACGGGCGGTATAGAAGTGAGGTGGACAAAGAAGCCGGCAAACTGAACGGTAAAGTCAACCGAAAGGTCTGAGAGATGTCCATAGATTGATTACTCACTGTCATTTGATACAGCGCTGACAGCGCTGAGAGAAGGATGGCAACTCCGCCGTTCTCGAATAGAGTCCCGAGGAAGAAGTTCTGCGGCGATGGTGAATAAACGCGGTCAATGGCATGGTTTCGAGGGCATACCCAAAGCGTGATGGCGAGCGTATATAGGACGAGGATGAAGAGATATTTGAAGAAATGAGCTGCATCGTCCGCAAGGCCGGCCATCCAGTACGTTCTGTACGTCGCTCGCGTCAGCAGCAACAGACGATAAGACATGCTTCACATACATTGTCGAGACGATGATCGTGGGCAATAGCCGCAGTGGGACGACGTCGAACAAGATGCGCGTCGCCAACCACGCAGTCGGGCTGGCCACAATGTCAGCTTGATCTTTACCCAATACTTTCGAGCTGAGCGGACCAACCTGTAAAACCCACTTGATCGCTCGCGTAAAAAGAGCTCACGCGCTTGGACGACATTGAACAGCGCGCTAAGCGAGGAGAACGCGATGAGGGCACCCTGGAGGAGGGAAGTCAGATCCATGGTGTGAACGAAGGGACGTTGATACGAACCACGAAGAACAAGCAACCGACGCGAGACTGGAAGCCTGCGATGCTTTGATCCGTGTGGTAGTAGAGACCACCTGAAGAGGGGAATCAAGTTAACACCCGTCCAGCATAGTAGACACGGTGGGCGTACCGCAAAAGACGCCGAGCACCGAGGCGATACCGATGTGAGCCAGGCAGAGGGTCTTGTCTCTGCAAAGGGCAGTGGTTCAGCAAGCACTTAACAGCCGATGAAGATTGGGCACCTTCGCAAGATTTTCCACTCCCGCCCCGACAAAACCTCGATCTGCGTCAAGAACGTCGTCGCATAATCCTCGCGCAAAGTCGGCCACGATGGCGACCTACGTCTCCATCCTCCTGCCGACCTCGAGTTCCATTGGCGCGAATGCTTGTGGCCCTTGGCGAGCATCTCCACATCGTCTGCGCTCGTCTTCTCCGAGATCGCTTGGTCCGACGCCGACGCACCCCTCGCAAACGAGGATCCCTCCTTCCGATAGGCGACACCCCTCTGGAACAACCCCGCCGGCGCGTCACTCGCAATCTCCAGCAGATAATCCGCCACATTGTACCCCTCCGGATACTCGCCCACCCCCTCCCTCCCCCTAAAGTAGTTCACCGGCCCAAATCTCCCATGCCCCGCATACAGCGCATTCCCATGCGCCAACAGCACCACCCCGTCGAACGCGTGGTACAGCTGGCTGCTCGGCTGGTGTATGCTCGCCACCACCGCCGTCGGGCGCGCCGGGTCGTGCGCGATATCCCGGAGGACGTTCGCGATGCGCGCCGCGGACACGCTATCCAGCCCGCTGGTCGGCTCATCGAGGATGAGTACATCGGGGCAGCCGACGAGCTCGAGCCCGATGGACACGCGGCGCATCTCGCCGCCCGAGATCCCGCGCGTGCGCGCGCCGCCAATGCGGGTGGCGGCGACGCCGGTCAGGCCGAGGCGCTCAATCAGCGCATCGACGCGGGCGGCCTTGTCGGTGTCCGGGAGGGCTTCGGGCAGGCGCAGGCGCGCGGCGAAGAGGAGGGCCTCGCGGACGGTGAGCATGGAGGGGAGGACGTCCTGCTGGGGGACGAAGCCGATGCGGGGGCGGCGGGTGCTGTCGGGGGTGCCGGTGTAGGTGACGCTGCCGGTGATGTCGCCGGACTTGCTTTTGCCGGCGAGGATTTCGACGAGGGTGGTCTTGCCGGCGCCGCTGGGGCCGAGGATGGCGACAATTTGACCGGGGCGGACGGCGCCGGTGACATCGTCGAGGACGGTCTTGTCTCCAGCGACTGTGTAGGTGAGGTTCCGCCATGCGATGCCTACGCGTCCATTGCCGAAGTCGACATGCCCTGTGCGACGTGCTCGGCGCTGCTTGAGACATCCGAGTGCAATGAACAAAAGGACGAGCCCGACGAGCGCGCCGACAACGGCCAGTCCTGCGATGATCCCGGCGCTAAGCGAGCTCCCAGGATCATCTTCAGTGGAAGACGAATCGGTGGCATTGTCAATGACATATTGCCGCACGCATTCACCGAAGCGGCAGCCGCTGAGCGATAAGCCATCTGCGCCAAAGAGACTGGTGAGCATGCTCTGCTTGAAGGAGCACGCAGCTTGACCCGAGGAATCCGGAGTTTCGCAGTCGATATCGAGCTCGCCGCTGAGCCCATTGATGACCTGCGTAATATCCGAAATGGACACCCCGCCGCAAAAACTGGTGTTCGCGCGGCAAGTACATTGCAGGTTCTGGCAACTCCAGTCCGCCGTGTTCGTGCTGTTGTCGAAGTCCTGCGTGCACGAGTCTGCCGTACAGTAGAACGGCTCAACTCCATCGTATATGAGTTGCGCGAAGACCGACATTGACGCGCCGAAGGAGGTGACGTTGGGAAGCGGGGAGAGCGACGGGTCTAGGGTGCGCATGATGTTCAATGTAGAAGACAGCGGGAAGATGGCCTGAAGGGTGGGGTTCTGCGGAAGACCGTGAGGACGAAGCAGGGTGTGTAGTGAATACGAGGAAGCGCACCTTAACGTCACAGCTCATCTGGCTGGAGGCGTAGACGCGGGGTTCCGTGTTGCACACGAGTGTGTTATCTTGGATGGAGGTCGTGTCGCCAAGGGAAGATGAAGAGGATGAGGAGGATCCATCCCAAGCCTGGCAGGCACTTGATGTCTGGCAGACGTTGCACCCAGTCCCCGTCCACCCATCGTCGCAAGAGCAGTCCGACGCGGTCAAGTTGGCGAACGCGCCAGATCGATGGGTCGTTATAGATCTCTGAGCACCGTCGAAGATGGTGCCCCCGCACGCCATGTCCGAGCACGAGTCGCCCCCAAACCCGACCGGACAAGCACAAGACGAGCCGTTCTGAACCCCATAGTTCTCGCAGGTTCGTGCGATGGTCAGAGGAGGTAAGAGGAGCACCAGCAAGGGCAGCGCGTACTTCCTCATGGCGGGAGGAGGCAAGCTTGAGCGCGGATGCCCTTCATTCAGGGTTGATAGGATGTCGGCAGTGGTCAGACGTCTGCTAGACAGAAGTCTCGCGATCAACGTCCACGGGCCACGTGCGCGACTGCCTGGGTCGCTCTACCACCGCCGGCGTCAAGGACATGGGGCAAGCCAAGGAAAAGTTGAACGATGACAGAGACGCTACAGTGGCAGCATAAAGACATAGCGCGACACTACAGAGCAGTCTGAGCGAATGGATGGCACGCGGTCCGATAAAGACAGCTTCACTCACCATCGAAGGAGGGTAATCTCCAGGGAAGATACACGGCCGAGTTGAACTGCGCACATTTGTATCCCGCCCCAAGCTGCAGGTTGTGTCGCAGAGGGGCTGCAAAAGCAGGAGGAGAAAAGGGAAGTCATCAAATGAATATTCTGCGGTATTCAGATACAGGACTTCTGCTTTTACTGCAGACAAACTGCTTGGCCACGACGTAGGTCAGAGAATGCATCATCTTCGGCTACAACACACCATTCAGAATCAGATATTCGAGCCAAAATGCATGAGCTCGTTGGGCAGAAACGCCTTGAAGCGCATGTAAAGAGCCACGCCTTTTCTGCTGCAAGAACGGGAAGGACCTGCAAGCTCAGCGCTTTGCAGAAAACAACCTCCGCATCTAGACCTCCCTGGGAGCAGCCCACCATCGCGTATAATGTTGCAATATTCGAGCTGGCCTCCAAAGCGACGTGGAAGAGAACAAGTCGCTCCCGGCGAGCGCCGAGGCGCAATGTCGGCGCATCGGGCCGGAGCTCGGATCGCAACATGTCACCCATCCCCTGCGGCCCGGCTTGCCTTTACTCAGCCACCGTCCGCGACTGTCCTTGCGCTCTCCTCGTTCCTCAGACTCTCCAACAACCATGTTCGAGAAGGTGCGCTTGGGATAGCTTACGATGAGAGGCTCGTACTGACCGAAGTCGTTTCAGCTGACTTCTTGGTGGTCCCCGGCCCCTGCGCCTGCGCCGTCAGCGAAGTACGATCCGACGGACCCTAAGCAGAATCCCTTGAACCCGCAGGGGCTGAAGCCGTGCGTGGCTTCCCCGTCTTATATCGCACGTCTGCTCATCCGGGCCTCACACAGATGCTGCGCCTGCCCGCAAACTAAGCGCGCTCGGGACGACTGCTTCCTCGCGAACGGCGCCGAGGCGGACGAGAAGTGCAAGGAGCTCGTCGCCAGCCATGTCGCCTGCATGCGCGGGCTTGGTTTCAACATCTAATCCGCCTCCCCCAACACCCATCATGTATCGGCAGGGGTCCACCTGTAGACTGGTGTAATTTATGCTTTGGGCTGCAAAGCGATGCCATAATCTCAACCTCCCCTCATCACTTTGCGTCCCTCGTCAATTCGAGTTTGCGAAACTTCACTCCTCGCATGATGTTCAGGGTATGTTCTCGTCTCTAATATCATCACTACATCTACGGCACAGGAAATTCCATCCCTCTTGGTTCTTCGAAGAGCCTCGGTACCGGCCATTCCCCCAACACATGCTCGCCATCCGGTACCATATCGCTGTCGAACGTCTTCAACGTCCTCGACCCCTCTGGATCCACCGCCCTTTTCTCCAACATATTCCGCACGAGCCGCCCAATCAACATATTCCTTCTCCACTGCTCCCCAAACACGATCGACAACGACCTCAGCTCTGGCATTGTCTTGAACTGCTGCCCAAATCGCTTCGGGTCCCTAGGGTCCCTCTCGCGGTACATAAACCTGCCAACAATACGGATGTGCTCGTTTTGCGCGGTCTGCGTGTGGAAGTCCAGCGCGAGGGAGGTGACGGTGGGGAACAGCGCGAGGCAGGGATGGATGCTCAGCCCGTTCGCGGCCATTCCGCGGAGGTACATGGTACGAAGGTTCTGCATGCCATCTGAGCGGCGGACCAGCAACTCCAGCGCGGCCTGCTCCTGGGGGTGTATGCACCCCCAGCCCGCGCACAGGGTGAGCGTGTGCACGGCGGGCGCAACGAGGTGGCGCGGGGCGACCGCGATGGCGCCGCGCGCGAGGTAGAGCGTCTGGAGGGCGGGGAGGGTCGCGGGCGGCCCGATCCATTCGCCGAAGCTCATGACGTCGATGGCGAGGTGGGTGAGGGTGCGCGAGGACGCGCGCACGGCGGACGCGCAGGCGCCAAAGGTGCCCGAGGGCGTGGTGAGGCGGTCGAGGATGGAGAGGCGGGCGAGGTTCCACGGTTTGGGAATGTCGAAGGAGGTGGGCTTGTGCTCGAGGGATACGGTGAGGGCCTCAAGAGCAGGCGCGTCGGCGAAGAAGGCGGTGGGGACGTCCGCTACGGATTCTGGCGCAATTGGGCCGATGGGGTCTTCTTCCAGTAGCCCAAGGAACAGTTGTGTTAGAATGGGGCAGGACAAACGCTGCCCTGAATACGCCTCGCGCGGGATCGCGTCCAGCTTGACCTTTGCCCAACGGAGCGACTGAGCACAGAGCAGCGCCCATGCCTCGGAATCCCATTCAATATTCGGCCAGACATCGGACTCAGCGAACGGGTTGCAGTCGATGGTGAAGTCCAGCGTGATCGACAAGTGCCGCGAGCTCGCGGACGAGCGCTCAAGATACGCTGCCACGACTTGTCCCCACTCCTTCGGCGAATGCTCGATGTGCACGCTGATGTCAGCCCAGAGGTGGGACATGCATGAGTGGGCTACAGCGCGCCAGTTGGAGCACACCTGCGTGAAAGAGAGGACGACGCGTCCGGCGTAGTGGGGGTACCAAGAAGGCGGTACAGTGAGGTCGAAGATATCGGCGAGAAGCTCCGGAGGGAGGACATGAACTGGGGCGAAAGACGAGATTGAAGTTGTAGGGCGATGAGCACTGTCCGGAGTACTTGAAGAATCGTTGGGTGCGCTATTTCCACTCGAGGAAGAGGCGGTCATGTTTTGTTGGACATACAAGATGCGCACAAGCTCATATACACCCTTGATAAGCGAGTCATTAGCCGAGCGGAAGATCCCCGTATTCAACTTCAAGCACTGGTGCAGGTCAGAAGTTGAGTCATCCAGAGAGGAACCTGATGGAGTCAGTGATACGCGCAATGGAAGTAAACAAGTGAACTCTGAGTCGATCTACGAGGACGTTTCAGCAGCAGAGAACAAAGCTTTCCAAATATGGAAATCCTTTCACTCCGGCAAAGGCCGATATTCCTTGATCGTACCGCCAGTCGGCGTGACTCGGTCAATGCAGGCGTCTGATGTTGTCTCTCGCCATCATCATGTCCACTCGACCCTGTTCAGCAGCTACTCCGGCTCCAGCTATCCAGGCCTCCAACAATCCGTCTGATTCTTGACTTGGCCAATGAACTCACATGTCTTCGACTGCGCTGTCCTGCATTACTCCGCCGCATAACTCACTCCTTGACGTTGGCTTGCCGCCAGCCTGGCATCGAGACTTATGCGGAGGTTCAGTCACGGATCTTCCACCTAGAAGCTATGCAATGAATCTGGAGCGTCAGCGTAGCTCTGTTGACGGTGCTCCTTCATCTTGCCACGCACATAATCGCTGTCGAGGACACCACACGCGCCACCGCGGATGGGTCTCATGCACAGAATGTCCGCACTCTAGACGACCGGCACCAGCAAGGATAGCTTCAACCTGTTCACGAGCTCGCGGTGGAAGATTCGGCCGCTGATGGATGGGAATGACCGTATGGCACTACGACAGAAACGGGACCGCTCAAAGGGAACTTCCCGCGCAAGGAGTCATCCTTGAACCTATACCAACTGTGAGGATGGAGTAGGCATGCCAATGAGAAGCCAGAGAGGTAGATTCGGTGCAGCAGGTGCCGACACCTTTGCATTTTGCCTATGACTCCAGCGACCATCTATGCAAAATGCACTCAGTTTGTCAGCCATCGCTAATCTCAGTCAAAGTTCAGGTGCCGAGAATGCGCACTTTACTGACAGTCGACAGCCAGACTAGACGCCGCCCTTCCACGCCGTAGCACTCCTGCACAGGAGCGACACGGACGTCAGGTTCGACTTCGAAAGACCGGTGACTGTTATCGTCCGTGCCCCGTGCAGTCTTTCCCAGTCTTTGTACCACATCCTTACCACACTTGCTCCCTCGCTTTCAGTCCAACCAACATCACACGACTGCGACGATTCCTATAAAGTGCCTTCTCCTCCCCATTTTGAGGGCAACACTGAGCCTTCGCTCATCCCACATTTTCAACTGCGAGTTCACCATGTCCGCCAGTCCTCAGCCTGAACAGGACCCGTAGGTGCATTCTGTCGAAGGTGCTCGTCGTTGCTGATAGTGTCCCTTAGCTCTGTTCCCACTCCTGAGGCGCTGGCCTTGATCAAGGAGACCGACATCGTTTTTGGGCGCACCGTCGTTCCGGCCCCTTGCACAAACACCCCCGTGAGGCACGATGGGCTGCGTACGTCCAATTTTCCCATATCTTGCACTACTACCGCGTCCCTTACCCAGTATCTGCAGGCTTCGAATATGCGGAGCACAGCTACACCGGCGACGCCATCATGCTCACTCTCGCCAACGGCTCGAGGGTCCCTGCGAGGAACTACCGGTTCACCTTGCGGAACGGCCTCTCCGTCACCTACGGGCAGATCAACGGGCTTGCGGGAGACTTCTACGGGACGACGAACCCCATCAGCGACGGCAGGACCCCGCAGGACCAGTCGACACGCTTCCTGGCGGCTTACAACAAGCTCGCAGAGCCGAGCTCTCGCCAGCCCCAGGAGGCCCGCGACATCCTTGCCGTCCTGCAGACCGAGGTCGACGCCGTGAACGACGCGCTGCAGCACCACTCGGACCCTTCCATCGCGTATGCTAAGCTGCCTGGGGTGAATACGAAGCTGGAGACACTGACGATTGGCCGCCCATCCGACTTCCCTAGCTACCTGGGACTGGCGCGTATCAACTGGGATCACTTCGGGCAGGATGCTCGTACCACGTATAACGCTGGTCATTTGCTGGCCCTCCAGACCGCGGCGAATGGCGATCTTCTCAGGGCTTACACAATCAACGCGTTTGCGGATCACTTCCTCGAGGACTCCTTCTCTGCTGGCCATCTTCGTACTCCCCGCAGGGGTCTACATGGAACGGTGGACCTCTTCGCCGATATGTGCGCAAAGGTATGATGATAAGTCGAGGTCCGCAGCGAACACTCACCCGCGTCTTGAAGATGATGCACGATGAGGACTGCGCGATCGGCCTCTCTGTCAGAAACCCTTCCGGCCAGTCATGGACCTGCTTCGGTGACAAGCGCGCGCTCGACAGGGACGGCGCTGAAAACCTGAGGCTTGCGATAGCGGCCGTACAGGCGTCTGCCGATGAGATCTATACCGCTTTTCGGACTGGAAGGGTTCCGGCCCAAAGCACCTATCGGGCATGGACCATCGCGCCCACTCTCGCCTCCGCCCTCGGCACACAAGTTCTCTCGCCCCTCTTCAGGTACACGAATTCGTCGCAGACTACTATCGAGCGTCGTCGGGTGATCACCAACCGCCGCATCCGCGAGTTCACCACGAACTGGTGGTATTGGTCTACGTACACTGAGATCAACACCAGCGGCTGGTGGAACTTCCCCATTCTCATCGACGGACCACTTAGGGTCGTGCCGCACACGAGCATCGCCGCTACGAAGCCTCGTATCTGGAGCAGTCGCGTCTATTACCAGAATCCGGCGCGCGGCGTGCACGAGAGCCGGCACCTTGACGGAAGCTGGACCGGTGGTGTCAATCAGCCCCGCTTGTGGGACGCGGCCCCGTTCACGCCTCTGGCGGCCGTCAACTGGGATAATGGCAATCAGGTTAGCGGGCTTTCATCCCCAAGCCCCTTCTCACGATTCTTTTCTGACTTTTTTCGACGTAGATCCGCGTCTACTATCTCAGCGAGGAGTTCCAGCTTCACGAGATCTGCTTCGTCAATGGCAGATGGATTCGCGGCGCACTGAATGATATGAACTTTCAGTGCACTCACAACTCCTCCATCGCTGCCTTCACATACTTGGACAGGACAACGCGTCACATACGTGTTTACTGTCAAGGTGCGTTGCTGTCCCTGTTCGAAGATAAGGTCGGCGTACTGACGAGTGATCAGTCGAGGGTTCCAACCGGATTCAGGAAATCAGCCACAACGTGCGCTGGTCTCGAGGCGCAACTCTACCAGCTGCCCTCACCGGCTCCAGCATCGCTGCCGTGGTCCATCAGCTCCGCAACCAGTGGCGCTTTCGAGTTTATTATCAAACCGAGAGCTTGGAGATCCGCGAGCAATGCTTCAACATGGGCGAAAACAATAACAATTGGTTTCCGGGTGCGCATCTCTTCCTTTCGTTCTCTCAATGCAATACCTGATATTTCTACTCTATCTAGGCCGTTTCAACAGTGCGGGCAGGGTCCCAGGCCGCACCCAGATTGGCGCGCTGTGCAACACCTGGCGCGATATCGAGCTGGATATCTACTGGCTGAACGCGAACGGCGAGATCATGCGCGCTACGCACGTCAACGGCACCACCTGGCGCAACACCACCGTCGTTCGTTCGCTGGCGCGCGGCGCGAGGTTCGTCCCCGAGCAGTGGGATGGTGGAAGGCACATTCGGCTGTACTACCAGGCGACGGACCACTCGGTGCGCGAGGTCACCAACAACAACGGCAACGTTGGCTGGGGCACGGGAAGCCATATTGCCCAGGCTTGAGCGGTTGAGATGTGGTAAGCTACCGCTGCTCTTGATGTTCTGCGTGTTGGCTGATGCTGCGCCTCTTCAGTTGTCCAACGTCGGTCTTGACATGAGAAAGCCATGCATTGTGACAGATGTAGCATTGTAGGAACGTTCATAACAAACAATTGTATAGTATCGTTTGCTTCTGGAATGCAATCCCTTTCTTCGCGCAGTTATTGGGTTCCATAGCCTTTCGAAGCCTGGACGAAAGTCTACAATTAGCTTCTGGCAAAGTGTCGAATAACACTGTTCTCTGACCACCTCGCCTAAGTCGCCCGCAAATTTGAAAAGCCAACAGCGCTCACCTTTAATAGTCACGACAGCCCTTGGAACAACCCAGCCTCTGTACAATCCCACCGTTCCAACGGAAGATTAGCCAAGTTTCATTATCCGAGTTTCTACCAGCTCAATAAATACCCTGGTGTCCTTATTCAAAGCGATATGATACAGTTGCCAGACGAGAGGTCAACTAAGGCGTAGGCAATGCGGCGTAGTGTAGGTGATGGGTGGGATAGTGCACCCGATGGAGATGGTAAGGTAGTGCACCCAGTGGCCCGCGCGGTCAGTCGCGGCGGCACGATAGACGACGTTGGGAGCGGTGCTAGTAGTAGCATCCGACCGAGTGGTAACGTTGACGGTAAGGCGGTTCGACGGTTAGGGTGTTGTCAAGCGTCAGTAGTATTAGTAGACCTTTCAGCGACGCCTCAATGGTGCCGGCGTCGATGCATTTGCTGGCCCCGGTGAACCAGCTCGTCGTAAAATTCGATCTTGGGCACAGTCAAAAATTCGACGGTGGCAGGGCGTTGGTGCGGCTCCCGCGTGCCCCAGTTGAGCCATGACCACTTGTAGCCGTTGTGGTAGCGGACCGCCGCGCCCCACTTGCGGTTAAGCACGTCGTTGGGGTCGTTCCAGCCGTCCCATTCCATGTAGGTCTCCGCGCGCAGGCAGTTGAAGTGGAGGAGTTTGGGGCGGACTGGTTTGCCCTGGTAGTGATTATTTCAGTTGAATGCGCATGCATGGAAATGCAGATATGCCAACCTCTTGCGGCGTGCCGCCAAGATGCAGCATACTCCGCATCTCCTCTTCCTCCGTCATGTCATCCTTTCCGTGAAGTCCGGTACCATACGTCTCCACTAAGCAGCTCGACACCTCGAAGTCGAAGCTCAGCGGCTCGAACAGATCCGGCCTATGGTCCACAATCGCCCACCAGAAGCCTTGGTCGCCGAGCTTCACATTATCATAGCGTCCATCCGGGCCCGCGGGCTCCCCGTACATCGCACGGAATGCAGGTGGCGAGAGCGCGGGCTTCCCATCGTCGTAGAGGCGTGAGTCCATGAGTCGCATGTCGCGCAGCTTCTCGAAGTCGAGGAGCATGATGCAGGAGCAGATGCGCGAGGCGTAGTGCCAGGCGGCGGCCATCTGCTCGGGGTGGTAGCCCATGGCGATGGCGGTCGAGGGGCGGAAGGTGTCGAAAATGCGCCAGAGGATGGTGGGGTCGGAGATGAAGAGCGCGTCGGTGTCGACGTAGATGGCTTTCTTGACGGTGGGCATGATTTCGTGGAGGAAGAGCTTCATGAGGCCGGCTGGGATGGAATGAGTGAGAGGTCATGGGGGACGGTGCGGCTACATACGCGTCCCGGCTTCATGGTCTGTCTTGATAGCGCCTTCGCGTTCTATGCGGTCCAGCATTTCTGCGAGCTATGTCAGGTCGGGTGAAGGATAGGACGCGTGAAGAACGCACCTTGCAATGTGACGGGATAGAAGACAACGCGGACATCATGTTGAGGGGAAGTGACAAGGCTCAAGCGACTCTCAAGGTATACCCTCTCGTCCTCACCGCAGACGATGTGGATTTCCGTGGGGTTACTGTTGTAAAGCAAGATAGACTACGATCATTAGCCGCCAGTCAATTGCATGAGTATTGCCACGCACCTTGATCAGCTGTGCGCCCTCCTCTGCCGACCCCCGGGACCATATCATGAACGCGAACACGACGGGCTCGAGTGCAGGCGCCAGCAAGTCCGGCAGCACGGCATCCTGGATGTCGTCCGGGAGATACGACCTCCACCCGCCCTCCTGGTACTTCTCCACCAACACATCCTTGAAGAACAGGGGAAGCACGCAAAGAAAGACGACCGCGAGAAGTAGCAAGAGCCTCCGACTCTGCGAGACCGAGCCGTAGTACATGGGGGAGCGAAGGAGCGGCGGGTAGGGAGGGTGTGCCAAGGCTTAGGCAGGTGGCCGGAACTTCAAGGACGGGGACAGGGCGGCGGGGGGAACAAGGCCGAGTGTCGGAGGACACAAGACGGGGGAAGAGGACAAGGATAGAAGATGGGATAATTATCACAGCCGCCGCACCGTGCTCATGCACTTGGAGCGGCGAGATCCTCGCATCAGATTTCTTCCGCAGCAATGGCGGTCCCGTCTCCCTCATGTATACTCGAACACCGCCCTCTCACCAGAAGCATTACCCTGCACTTGAAAGTCGCCGCTTGGTCGACGTTGCATTCCAAGTACGCGACATGGTGGAGAGAGACAAGTTGCTTCCGCGGCGGCACATTCAACAAGGCAATTGCGAGCAAGTACAATAACACTTCTACGACCTCCCATTGTCAAAGATGAAAGACAGCAGTAATCCATTGTCCGTTCTGGGGGTCTGTTGGTCTTGGACGACGTGCGCCCGTCGGCTAACAATACACTGACCGCAGGTTACACGGACATGTAACACCCGAGAGGGTTTGGTATGTAAAGGCCGGCGTTCGGGGGACACCTGAGCTGCCTCTCGTCCTTCCCCTTCATAGGGTCCTCGACGTCTAGCGCGATGTCGACGCCTGCGAAGCGCCTACTCGGCGCGCTAGAGGGCAGCTGAGGGGTGACATGAGGCCTGGTGAGGCTGTCGGTGTCGTCCCAGAGGCGGTTATGACCACCTCAAGGACCTCGGCGCTCGCTCTCCGAGTCCAGTGTCGAAGGCATTGGACTACGGCTGCGGCCGATGCTGCATCGCATATCGCTCGTCCCCGAAGATGATTCCATCCTTGATGACGTGCATCTTGAGCGAGCCGTGCGGCGAAGTGGGCGAACTATGCTGCGTAGTTGACGAGCCTGTCGTCTCGTTGCCCTTGGCCGTATCTAGCGTCTGGTCGACCTCGCTATTCAACCATAGCCACTTGAAGTTCGCATAGTACTGAACCGCGGCGCCCCACTGGCGGGTAACAAGGGCGTCCGGGTCGTCCCAGCCGCGCCACTCGGTGTACGGCCTATGCTTAACGCAGTCGAAGTGGACGAGACGGGGGATAATGGCACCCTGCAGCTTTCTCGTCAGCATGTCGTCCTCGTGTGGTAGCCGAACGCGGAAGAAGACTAGCACGCACCCCATCCACCGCATCCCCACTATCCAACCCCGCCGGTTTCCTTGAGCACCCCTCGACCACATACCCCGCTTCCAACCCCCAGAACAAATCCGGCCGATACCCCACGAGCGCGCGCCAGAAAATCTCCTCCCCACCCATCTCCTTCACGTCGTATCGCGCACCCTTACTCGTCAGCGGGGGCCCCAGCGCAACGCGGAAGGCTGCAGACGAGATTGCACCGTTGGCGGCGTGGTCGACCTTGCGGTAGACGCGCGAGTCCATGAGGCGGACTTCGCGCAGTTTGTCGAGATTGAGGAGGAGAACATGGGCGTTGGCGTGCGTGACTTTCGAATTGCTGGAGTCGTAGTAGAGCGCCGCAGCGGGTGCAGCGGGCGGCGCGAGGCGTAGATTTTCGAGCCAGAGGGCCGCGGGGTCGGAGAGGAAGAGGGCGGATGGGGAGAGGGCGATGACAAAGTTCGTGGAGGCAGGAAGGATCTCGTGGAGGAAGAGCTTCATGAGGGAGGCTATGAATGATGAGAGTTCAGTTGGCAGATGGGTGAGCGGAGTAAGTTTGACTACTTACGCAGATTCTGATCGTCGGTGCTGAGGTTTCCTTCGCGTTCGATGCGAGCGCGCATGCCTGTGTTGCATAATCATCAGTAGTGGATGGAAAGCGCGGATCAGCTGGACCTACTCGGCCATGAGAGGTGGTAGAAGATGACGCGGGTGTCATGGCGCGGGCGCGTTATGAGCCTCAGCGCTGGCAGCATGGACTTGCTAACATCCGGGCTACAGAATATGTGGAATGTCGAGGGTAGGGTATTGTGGATGAGGATGGACTAAAGGTCAGTCAATGAGCTGGACGCTCGACCGGACGAGCGATGCAACACACCTTCATCAGGATCTTCGCTGCCGCGACATCACCCATAGACATTATAATAAGTGCGAAGGTGACTGGTCCGGGATTCAAGAGTGCAGGGTTCGTCGCGACCAATGTGGACGCCCCAGAACCGGTGTGAGCTACGACATGACTGTCCCCTCGGATGACCCAAAGTACCAAGACGAAAAACAAGAAGACGAGAGCAGCTGCGAGAGCCTTTCGCCTGCCAAAGATGATATTGACGCGTCGCGGTGAGGGACTGCCTATTGGAAGTCCGTCGTCGGTCGACATGGTTGGGTAACGATAGCAGAAGCACCAAGAATTTGAGGGGCCTATAAAACCAAGAAAGATGTTGCGGTCTATCGAGAGCAGTGCATTGCGGTGAGGGTGAGAGTCGGAAACGCGGGTGAGGGTTAAACAGAACGACGACAGCGACGATCGCGGCGCCGCGCGCAGTGAGCCTCGGCCGCCGCTGGGCGCGGGATCGGACCATCGGGCCGATACTCCGGGACCATATGCTGAGATGTTGAAGTCGGCCTTGCATCTTGAACGCGACCACCATCTCCTCGTCTATCTGCTCAGTCGAACAATATCTGCTTTATACGTCCACCTGAGATCTTCGAGCGCCCTCATACCATGGCTCCGGTTCCCATCCCAGCCGCGTCGGTGTGCTTCCGATGTCAAAATCCAGGCAGTTCGCCCGAGAGATTCATGCTGCAGTGCTGCGAGTGCAAGAGGACGTGGCATCACAGTGAGTGACGCGAGCGAGCTGCATCATGTACCATACCCCGTTCAATCCCTCATGGAGATGCTGCTCTTGCGCGTCCAAATCGATCCCCTCTTATTTACTTTCCTTCTGACGGGATTGCTACAGCCTGCCATGCCCCTCCCGTACCCGAAAAGGACCTCATCGAAGGAATTCGAGCCTTCAACGACAACCACGTCGAAAACATCTTTACGATGTGGACGTGCAAGAGGTGTGGGAAGAAACCCAAAGCAAGTGGATCGCGCGCCACGTCGAGTGCAGTGGATGAGCGCCGGGTCACTGCAAACGCGCCTGCGAGACCGCCCGCGGGAGCGCCGATAGTAGCACCGCGGAAGAATGCAACGAGCGTACCGCCGGTGGTCGCGCCGAAGTCCAAACACTCTGAGTCGGGAGCACCTCCACCGCCGGATTGGGATGCTTTGCGGAAGCCTGCGGCAGGTGCTCAGGCAGGCGCGCTACGAGCCCCTTCTACACAAAGACAATCTGGTCATTCTGCGCTTTCAGTATCGATTTCGACACCACAACCTCCCAGGGGAAGAACTAGTCAGGATAACCCCTACGCCGGGCGTCTTGCCGATACTCTCGAAGACACAACTTGCAAGAAGTCCTCTTTGTCAAAGCGGAGTGCGAAGGCGCCTGTCCCCGCTACTTTTGCAACCGCATCTACTCTCGCACCCACAATCAATCTCGCACCCCCCATTGCGTCGTCCGGCCCATCGACCACATCCTGGCGTCCAAATGCACCACTTCTGCAGTCGACCGCCTCCTTCGCGTCTAGTGCATCTCTAGCGTCGGCCGCATCTTCCCGTGCAACGTCTTTGTCCTCCATCGCCAACACCAGACCCCGTTCCGCCGATGGGACTGTTATCGACCTGGGTGACAGGCTGGAGGAGATGAATGTGGACACCCCAGATGCCGGATATACCCCGCATTCAGCGTCCCCTGTTCCTCCTGCAGCGCACACAGGTGTTGGGCTAGACGATATAACTGCCTTTCTTCTGGCTCGATCGACACCTCCTCTTCGGGAGCTTCGGGCGGCCAAACCGCCCGTCCCAGGCGTGTCGCTTCCGTACGAGTGGCTGAGGCAAAAGGAACTGGAGGCTGAAGCAAAGCGTCCGGGTCCTCAGGCGGTAGCACATCAGAGGCGCTCGCGAAAGGCAGTTGCCACAAAAAGACGTGGGTCGCAGCCAGGAATATTGCTCGTTGGGGGTGCGGTGGTGAGCGTATAGGGAACGCGATATGAAGTGCACAGTCTTGTTGTATGGACACTTCTTCACGATAGGACTTTGCGGAAGGGTTAGGACGACAAAGGATTATTCCACGTACTTGGGATTCACAACTGTTGTTGATCGGGAGTCGCGCCCGAGCGTACGCGGGAGGGCAGGAAGCCGCCAAGTCCCAAGAGAGCCTGTCAGTGGGATGCATAGCGCTTGGATGCATATAAAGAACATGTGAAGTCATACAGAGAGCATAGGCGGCGGGCGGCGCAACCTTTACTCCTCGTCCTCCTCGCCACCCTCCTCCTCCTCGTCTTCCTCCTCCTCCTTCTGCGCCTCCACTACCGCGGTCGCGATACGGTCCAAGTCACGCTGGCCGTCCTGGGAGATCCGCCGGCCGCCGTTGTCCGTCTGCTCGAGCACGCCGATCTTCTCCAGCGACTGGCAGATCTTGCGCTGCACGGACGCGGACGCGTCCTTGTGGTGCGAGGGGCGGTTGCCTCTCCGGTTGCGCCCGCCGTGGAATTTTGACAACGCGCCGATGCCGACGTCCTTGCGCAAGTATATATGCCGTGCGACGGCAGCTAGTGATCGGGGGACATCAGCGCGACCGCACAAAGCGCAGGATCATAGCCACGCACCTGCGCGCACGTAGTACCAGTCCGGGTCGTAGGGGGCGAGCTCCTTAAATGAGCCGGTCTTCACGATGTCGACCCACGTCGGGACTTCGAGCTTGCCCGAGCGCTTGAGGTGGGAGGCATAGGCCGCGATGAACGCGTCTGCGCTGCAGGACGTCGAAACAAAGTTTAGCGCTTTGGGATCGGGCAAGGGTGTGCTATATGCACCTAATGTCACGAACGCCGGGCATAATGGTGGCTACGGGCGGCGGTTTTTGAGGTCTTGAGGCGCGGCGGCGGCGTAGGCTATTCGCTGCTAGGACGTGCTCAACGTGGGAATCAGCGACGAGTCCAACTGTACAGCGATTCGGCAATCTCCGAAGTTTGTGGCGCATGACCTGTCGCGCATGTTCCCACGGTTAGTTGAGCTCCTCCACACTAGATCAACTGTCCCCCTCTTTCTTTGCCGTGCCCTTGCCATTGGTAGCAATTGACGACAGATGCGTAGCTGGCGCAGGTTTCCTCTATGAAGCTGTACCATCTTTTTATCGACTTTGCGTGAGCACCTTCCCTAATGAGAACAGCTTTCTCGGTGCCACCTTCATCTCGGATTGACCTTTAACATTCAAGTTTGCGCCCGTAGAACACGGTACTTTGATGCGGGGGCTGCAGTACCATACGCATTTCACACAAATTAGCCTGTCGCCCAACTTCGTCAGGATATCATGAAGTCCGGCCCAAGGGTGTTGTCGACCGCGGGCGCTTCATCGTGTTCACTCGCCGTGTACTGACGCAACTTTCTGGCCTGAGCACCTACTGTGCGAGTAACGGCCTCGGCCATCGTAGGGTTCGATTACATGCCTAAAGTCAGAGAGGTGATGCCAGGCGCGAAATGGAAGAAGTAGTCCATCGCACCTTAGCAGTGCATCGCATCTTCAAGTTAGCACTTTCATTTGGCACTAGGCAAGCAGAGACTGGAAGTCCGCATTGTACGAGTTCCCGCTACGATCATGCAACGGTTGTCCAGCTCAAAGTCGATGGACAAGGTGCGCAGCTGCGGCCCACTGGGCCGTAACCACTCGAAAGGGAAAGCAGCGCGAGACGCCGTTTAGGATCGGCAGCGTCACGGTAGCGCTACTCCTGTGCTGGGACGTGGGTTAGGGATCATTGCCCGTATGGGTGTGATATACGAGGGCAAACGTTTGGTGAAGGACGACCCATACATTACTGGTTTGCTTGTTCATGTAAGCGCGCCACATCCGGTTGATTGACAGGGTGCGTAGGAACCATTGCAGCTTGAGCGAAAGAAAGGCTGATTTGCACACGGCTTGCGCGGGTTGAACGGCATCATTGGAGATAGCTCACTATGGGCGGTTGAGAAAGGACAAGTAGGCGCACGACTTCATGGTCCGATCCGGAAGTCATGCTTCATTACCCGAGAGGCTGGTAGGACCAGTGGTAGACCAGCGAAGAATAAAAGCCATACACGCCGAAGAGCTTGAGATTGAAGAGACCACCGTTCGCTAAGCAGGGCCTTCGTACGCTGTACTTGGTGCCTAGTCCGAAAGTCGGGGGTTGACCAAGACATAGTGAAAGATACAGCGCGCCCGACGCGCAAGAGTGAATGTGGGTCCATTATGCAGTCTAGATACGGACAGTCGTAGCCTCCTTCTTTGATAAAGAGTGGAGATCCTGCTCTGAGGATAACGTGAGGTGAATACACGCGAAACAAGCGACGAAGACATACGCATGCCCCAAACGTGTGCTCGGAGGTCCAAGAACTCTGGACGCGTCGAGTCAGATGAGGTGCAACTGTGTGCAGGGGAGTTGTACTCACCGACATGCAATCCGTCGACAAGCTTCTTCATCTCCGCCCTGACTCTGGAGATGTCATCCTTGCTGGCTGAGGACTTCTCGAGGATCTTGAGGTCCTTCTCGACAGCCTCGATGCGGCGGACGTGTTCCGTAACCTGTAAAGACGTATGAGCATCATATCGGGTGAGGGGGAAAGTGTTACGCACCTTCTCCGTGCTGAGCTTGAGCTCCTCCACGCTCGCTTGCAACGCGGCGGATGCCTGCTTGTACTCATCCAACAGGTTGTACGCAGCAAATGACGCGGCTAGCGAGAAACCAAACAAAAAGCCGATGATGCTGCACATGGCTATCAGCCTCACATTTCATCGAATGTACGCGTCGCGACTCACCCCCCGCGAATGCCTCCGACCGGCCTCTGCGGCTTCTGGACGACCTGGACATTGCCAACCGGCGGCACGGCCTCATTGCGGAGCAGGTGCGTCGTCGAGAAGGACTTGGGCCGCGCGCAAGTTAGTGGCAGACGCCGACACAGCGTGCTTCGGGCGCTCAACACGGCCGACATCGTCGAGGTTCGGGTGGAATAGTGACTGTGACAGCCGCGGCGTGACGCGGCGAGAACAATGCGCGGGCCGATCTGCCGAAGGGTGCCATTGTTCTTTTGCTCGCTCATCATCTGCGCGAAGTCGTAGTCTGAAGTTGACACGATGGCGCCAAAGAGACCGAACACAGCGGAGGAGACGGCGACAGCGCGCAAGAAGGCGAAGACTACGGCAGCGCGGACGATCCGCATCCAGGAGCCGTCAGCGCAGGCTGGTCCTTCGAGCGTAACTTTGGATAGTAAGTAAGGTCGCTGCTCGCACAGATCTTCTATACAACGAGGATATTAGGCATGAAGAAGCTACCAGGTGCTATTCAAGTAGAGAAATTTGCTGAAGTGAGTCTTTTCTGATGCTTTGGGTACGTTGTCTGACCGTCCCAAAGGCGCGAGCTTTTGAGATCGACGCGATGCACAATGCAATGCAGAACTCAAGGTGCGATCGATACTACTCAACGTGTACACCTGCTTACTATAGACCAGTGAACACTCCGCCCAACGCGCATGGCAGGCTCTTCCCCGTCATCTCCGCCGACGCGCCGCCAGCCATGATCCACGACGCGTCCCTACGCGTTTGCGCGAACGTGCTAAGGCTGAAGTGCACTCAAGTCATTCTGATAATTAATGACCTCCTAATCCACGCGTACAGATCGACGGACCCATCCGCAAGCGCCGCCATAAGGTAAAGAAAGGGACCACCACAGCGAAGGAGTTCGCTAAGCGCCAGCGTGCGTGCCCTCATTCACTACCTGTTCATCCTTTCTCATCCCCACTCAGGCGATAAATCATGGCTCGAGACGCATGTCTGGCATGCGAAGCGTATGATCATGATGAATATGTGGGGATATAGACTTGTGCGTATAGGCGGCAGCACATCGCACTGCTTATAAACTGAGCCTACATCCCTCAGGCCGTCAAACCAACTGAGAAGTCTTTCCGTCCTTCCCATCGTGCTGCCATGCACGGCTCCATCTTGCACGACGCCTCGTACGAGGGACCGATCGAGGTTTCTGGTCCGTTAGAAATCTTAAAGCTCGCTCTCGAGCAATGCTGCGACTGCCAGGGTCCAAGCCCAGCCGCGCCTCGGTAGGATTTCAACATTCGTTCTCTGTCATTGGCTTACCGTGCCACCAGCTTCGCTGATGGCTCTCGCGCTTTCAACACTTACATCTACGAGTTCCAGACCTATCCTCTTGCTCTCGTCTCTCCCGCGTCCATCATCTGGCAGCCTCGAAATTCTATCCCACAAAAGCCTGCCAATAAAATCCGAGGAAAAGGGAAGGGGAAAGCCACCACCACTTCCGGTGCAACCTGCACGCCAGCCAGCCCTGCCGCCGAAACGCGTACTCTTTGGCTTCGCTGCCACGCCGATGCCTTTCAGTGGGTATTCCAAATCCTGCAGCGTTCTATCACGTTCGCTTTGGACACATTCAACAAAGCACACCCGGACGAGCCTTCGCAAGATGTGGAGATCGCTGACTTACGAGGGGAGGTCAACATCTTCGAGATCATGGGTCCGCAGGCAAACCAGGTATTGAGGGGTGCGCTCAGGGCGGTACCCAGAGGGGAGGGAGAATTCGACCAGTTCTGGGCGTCGTTGAAGGATTTGCAGACGTCGGGAGCGGTGCCAAGGGGCATGATTGTGGGGTTCACGGTCGATGATCCCAGGCTGAGGTAAAGTCCTTGGTGCACAAGTGAAAAGGCAAGGACGCTAAACAGTGCTGCTGTAGATTCCCACCCAAGCGAGCCAAACCTGATGACGAGGCAGCGCAGTCGCAGTCACCCACATTCCCCTCGCCGGCGCTTGCTGCAAGTACAATCTGGGACCCGGACGTCCGCAAGAAACTATCGGTACCCAGGTATACCCAAAAGCAGCTGGACGAGCGGCGTGCGAAGGTATTGCAGTACTTCCTTCACCACTCACTTCTTGCGCTTATATGCACACTTTGCAGAACCTCGTCCCCGGCACACCCCTCAACACCCTCCGCCTCGACAACCGCGTTCCCGTCCTTCTCATCCAGCGCTCCGTGGAACCCTTGTCATCGTCCACCTCCGGCACCTCTTCCCTTGCCTCTTCCGCTGCCACCTCCCGCACCTCATCCTTCAACCGCACCAACTCCTCCAACTCCCCCCTCACATCTCCCTCCACCCCCTCGCAGCCCATCCACGGCTGGACGCTTATCTTCCCCGCCGGCTGGGGCATGGCCTTCCTCCCCTCCCTCGTGCATACGGGCACGCGCGTCGCTGGCCAGCGCGAGCGCGCCAGCCAGTCCTTCGAGGCCGGCGTTCCACACTTCCCGCAGGACGTCCCCGGCGACTGGACGACGCTCGTGCAGTTCGGCAGCCACGAGAAATGGTGGGCGACGCGCTCGATGGAGGAGCACGCGCGGTGGGAGCGCACGCCGCCGAGTAAGCGGCCGAACTGGCTGAAGCTGGGGACGGCGAGCATGTGGATCCCGGATTGGTGGCGGGTGCTGGGGATCGAGCCGGTGTTGGAGTACCCGGGGGGTGCTAAGAAGGAGCCGGAGAAGGCACAGGAGCCGACGGAAGTGTTCGTGAGCGCGCAAAGGGAGGAAGAGGTGGTCAATGATGCGAATATGGAGGATGCGGAAGACGCGGAAAAGCCCGTTGAGGAGGCTATGGATGCCGATACGGCGAACCCAGAGGCCCAATCGCGTCCCAAGCCCGCCATGCACCACATCGCGCAGCCTTGGCTCCTCCGCGGGCCAGAGACGCGGCAGGTCCTGCAGCGCCTGACGTCGGTTCTGCTGCCCGCGGAGGCCCTGAAGAGCGAGATCCTCCGTCTCCGTGGCAAGCGAGGCCTGCCGCCGCCAGGACAAGACGCCAATGCTGACCGTAACAGCGCGACGACCATTGCTGCAACGATCCCTGACCCCAGAAACCCGATCTCCACCGCCGACATCGCGAAGGCGGACACCCTTTTACAGACAGCACTGATACAAGTGCGCGTGCAGATGTGCCGGCGGGGGCGCCCTGGGGACCTGGCTGCGATCTACGCCGTCGACGATGCGGAGCGGCGTAATTGGGCGAGGGCGCTGGCGGAGAAGCCGAGGCAGCCCGTGGTGGAACTGCCAGAGGATTCTGATAGTGATGATGAGGCTGCGGTGGAAGGTGAAGACAGGGTGAAGAACGCGCAGGCGGGAATGTCGGTGAAGGAGATTGAGGTGGGTGGAAACTTTTGGTATGCTTTGCTGCCAATGCTGACAGCCTCGATGCAGCTCGCCAATGTCATGCCGAATCTCAAGGACAACATCGGGTTTGTTACTACGGGAAACTACTCGCTTGCGAGGGGCGAGGGCTTCGGATTTGGATCCATAGCGCTGACCGCGCTGTTGAAGTTGGAAGAGCAGAGGGTTCGGTGTGTGCTCTTGACTTTGTGCCACTTGATGTTCAGCTAACGAAGCTCCAGCATGTATGAGAAGTTCTGGCTTGTGAAGGTGAAGAACAGGAACAGTGCGATGTGCCGTGCGGCAAGGATAGAGGTAGTGGATTGATGGGGACGAGCCTTGCTGATCATCGACCTGCTGCTTCTATGCACTCCTTGTAATGGTTCGTTGAAGCAATGTGTGACCTTATGAATGATATTACAATGTTCTCGTCCGGGATGACAAGCATAATCAGATCGAGATGTCCATTACACCGTTCGCCGGTCGGTCATCGTGCGCACGATGCACCCCGTTCCAGCGGCCTCCGTCAACTGGGTTGGTGGTCAGCGCAGGACCTATGTACAGTGTGATACACGCACCTTCTCGTGCCAGCCAAGCAGAACGTTCCCGCTCGTGTCCCCCATACCCGCAGTCGACATCCCCTTGTATAGGTACTTCATCAGGGTATCCTGCGCGTCTTGCGGCAGCGCGCGTACGACGCCAGAGATCTCATTCGACCGCGTCGCATTCAGGATGGATAGGATAGTGTTGAGTGTGATCAGCTGTTGAGACCGTCGTTCAGTACAGTACGTCGTGTATAGCCCGAGGGATTACGCACCTTCGCCTCCTCCACATTCGGTCCATATGGCGCGTTCTCCAGCGCGATGGTAAGTGCGCCAGCAGCATCGTTCCTAGAAATCCGTCAGACAATCATCATCTCCCTCCTTCGCTCAATCTTACTTGGAGAGCGCGCTCCGGACGGCGACCTGGCGCTGCTTCGCCTCGTCAAGCACGGCGGCGGGATCGCGCGGATCAGCATCGTACAGCTCGGACTCCTGGATGATGTCCTCGTCGTACGCGTCAATGTCGATCTTCCGGAAGTTGTAGTCCATGGTGCTCGGGCGCGTAGATGGGGAAGGAGGCAAGGGCGTGACGCGTGGGAACCCGTATGTCGCGATGTTTGTGGCGCGCAGGACTTGCTTCTCCTCCTCCCTTCATCGGCGCCCTTCGCGTTAACCCTTAACACGCCCTTGTTATCGTCAATTCTGGAAGGACAATATGCTCTCTGTACCTAGACTGGCCTCGGGATCTCGCGAAACCCTCACATTCCAGGTACGCTTCAGCACTGAGCAGCTACTTATATTCCTCGGATAAATAGACGTGCTTGCAGGACTTCGAATCCATCGAAACATTACCATCCGAGGGCATCTATATCTCGGAACTTGTCCGGGGAACGAGCGCGTTAGTCAAGGGACGTTTCTTTGTTTTGAAGACGGTAAATATTGTGCTCAGCACGTCCCCTCGCGCTAACTGGCGTCGATAGGTCATCGACCCCAAGCACACAGGAGAGCGCGACAGCGAACAATGCATCCTGCAGCATCTGTCCCATCCTTCTGTTACCGCCTTTGTTGCCAGTCTGTCTTCCCGTGTTCACGTCGTGGAGCATTGTTCGTCAGGCTCGCTTCGCCAATTTCTCAAGGAGAGGGACCATGACCATATGGCAGAATGCGAAGTTGCATCTCTCCTCAAGGGCGTTGCCGATGCATTGGAATATCTGGCACAAGAGCTGATTGTCCACCGAGACGTTAACCCAGACAACATACACCTCACTTCGGCAGGACAGCCGGTACGCACACGCATTATCCCACAAGTGCATGGCTGATATGCCTTTCAATCGCACAGAAACTGTCGAACTTCTCATCCGCTACCCGTTTATCATCCGCCAAATCCACGGCCTCCGGTCCGTATGGCGCATTCGAGTACAGGTCGCCCGAGATGATCACCAGCGTCCCGTATGACTTCGCGACAGACGTGTGGTCATTCGGCTGTGTTGTATTCCTATGCGCCACGGGGTACCATCCTTTCATGGTGAGAGTAGCTGACTTCTTTGGCTTGCGAGTACAAATCGTGATTGTCATAGGCCCGCGTGCCACAAATGACCGCCGACAACATATATCGGGCATCGTATAGCATACCTCGAAAGGCTTCAGCGACCCTGAGAAACCTTCTTGACTATATCTTCCAGCCGGTAAGGTCGTCTCTATTCGCAGGGTATCACCGACAATATGACTTTTTTCAGACCGCCACCCGTATATCCTCCCGCGACCTCGCGTGGCACCCTTTCTTTACTGAATCAGTAGAACCCGCGCCTGGGGCAGGCGCACGACCTACAACTACTGGATTAGCCTCGACGATCCGCAAGCCCTCTGCCTTTCCTGTTCAACGTTCACAAATCACTCGCTCTGTCTTAGGCAACATCGGTAACACCGATCTTCGTCGACTGCTTTCCGATGAGGTCTCGGGCATTTCTCGCGCTCGACGGATCGTCTCCGAACCTGTTGGTGGCAAGACATCGACGCCCTCTCTTCGGTGGCCCTCTCAGCCTTTCCGACATCAGGCTCTGTCTCCTCCCTCTCGTCAACCTTCGCCTTCGCAACGTTTGCCAACGAGACCGACGACCCCTTCTCTCGACACCAGCATCTCGACTGCCCCGTCTTCACCTGAGTCCGACGAGTCTGCGGACCCTCTTGCTGTCAACCGACATCAGTGTCTACCTAGCGAACCGCTAGTCAATCCTCTAAAGCGTCTAGTGTCTGGCTCCTCCGAACCCAAGCGACTCCTCTTCGATCCTGTACCTCGCGTCGTCTCCGATCCAATGGTCCAGCAACGAACGGCATCTACTTCGATCTCAAAGCTAAGGGTCATCTCAGATGCGAATACTCAGCACCGGCTAGTGTCCGAAGACTTCGTCAGTAAACGACTGGTGTCCAACGACATTGTCAAGCAGCGTCTCATCTCTGACCTCGACGCGAAGCATCGCCTGTTCTCCGACGCGACCTCGAAACACAGAACTCTGTTCGTTTCCTCGACACCGTCAGACAAACTTACGCTCGCCGAAGTGGAGCCTGCCCAGCCTACGACTGCCTACGCTCCTCAAGCCCACTCTGCCACGCCTTCGCATCGTATCCAGTCCACCGTACCTTCCCGCCCTGCCCAACCGGTGCACTCACCCCTCCCCATCGGCACCGTCCGCCCCACGCTCTTCAGCACCCACCTCATGGCGCCGAAGTCCCACAAAGCGCTACATGGCCAGGTTACTGTGCTCCCGTCACGCTCGCTGTTGATCGACTTTCGGGAGGCCGAGAGGAGGAGAGGGGCGAAGGGGACAACGGTACTGGTGGTCGGTGGGGATGGTGAGAGGGTGAGTAGGTTGGCCTGTATCATGTACCAAGCTCACTAGCAGAACCATCAGATCAAAGTCTACAGCGCTCCCCATCTGAGCGCGCCCTGTTGCCTAACGGAGCCACTCGCCGAGTACGAACTCGAAGCGCTTCCTAGCTCCTACTGGAAGTCGTACAACGACGCGGCGGCGTTGGTGGAGAAGATCAAGCAGAGGACGCCGAGGGTGGGTTTCCTTTGTCATCTGACACTAACTTCACTCTTGATCCGCGTGTTCCTGTTTCTGACTGTTATTTTCCAGCTCGTCATGTATGAGGAAAATGTCAAGTGCACCCTCATGGCCAATGCTGCTCCCGGCGATATTGAGCTAGACTTCTACTCTGTGGACTCAGCGAGGAGCGCCTCTGATGACCCTGGCCGAAAGCCTACGACGACTATGCGCATCCGACTCTCGAGGAAGACACGTTCGCTGGAGCTCATTCGGGATGTCGGCTGCTCTTGGACTGGACTTGTCGCTGGCGCTGGCTCTGGTCCTGCTTCCGGTGAAGCCGCTCCTTTTGGCAGCGGTGCTGTTTCTGCTTCTGGCTCAGAATGGGTACGGAAAACCTACGTGTACTCAGGCGACGGATACGACGATGCAGATGCTCTGCGAGATGTGGGTAGTCATGGGATGGCTGCGCTGGCGAGATTCATGGAGGTCTGCGAGCGGGTGGAGGCGGATGATGACGTGGGGACAAATGCAGCGACCCCCTACCGCGCGCCTGAGGTCACTGCTCATCGCGCTTCGGAGGCTGCTGCTCACTGCGATACGGACGTCGCCGGGCGCTCGTCAACACAGGACCTGCTACCTTCGCTAGACGTGGCGCCGCCTGCTGCTCCGACTGCGCTCCCCAAGGACAAGCCTTTCCTCGGGAACGCTACGCCGAACTTGCCCAGTACTCGCAAGGACAGTCGCTTCCTTGGCCTTAATGTCAACCGACGACCTAGTAAACTATGGAGCGGGTCGTACTCTGCTGTGATCCAAGCAGCATCTGGTGCAGGTCAAGAACTAGCTGTGTATGCGGACGACTCGGACTCGCCTGAACAGGACTCGACCTTCCGAAGGGACTTCCGCTCCATTGGCGCGCTACCAGCTCTGAAGGCAGACGACGCGAGCCACGAGCTAGGCGATACAGGAGAACAGCAGGACGACGAGCAAGCTTTGGACGATGCAGACGCTCAACCTGCTGACGACGACTCTCGCATCCACGTCGGCGCCAGCTTCTTCCAAAGCCTTGACTGGACATCACTCGCCGTACCGGGCATCGCTACGCGCTTCTTGCCCAACGTCGGGTGGTGTATCCGGTACGGTTCGCGAGTCTCGCAGGGAGGGAGGTTCAGGATCATGTACTTGGACGGAGCGACGATGGACATCGACGTCGACGAGGAGTGGGTGGAGTTGCAGCAGGAGGGGGTTGTGGTAAGGTGAGTGGGCGATCTCGCTGTAAGCAGTGAATTGTGAGTTGGCTTGAGCTGAAATGTATCGATGTAGGGTGGGCATGCGCGACCCGCGGGCCAGACGGAAGCTGGGAGGTAGGATGAAGGCATTTGAGGAGTTTGTGTCGATGTTTGACGAGGATGAGGAGGACGAAGGGGAAGTGTAGTGGAGTACTTTTTGTGATACCCATCCATATGCGATACCCCCTGGCTTTCTAACGCCTTGCTTGCTCTCGGAGATGAACGCTGGGAACAAGTTACGTGAAATTCAGGGAGGGTCCGGCTTGTCCGGGACGCGCTCGCCTCGCATCAACGCGGTAGACGCGACGCGTCTTATTCACTCCTTACTTCCTACCTTGAGGGTCGCAAAGCCGTATGCTGGTAGCGGCATCGGTGAAGCGGACGCTGCTGCAGCCGAAGGGCTGGCTCTTCGGAGGCGCCGTCGCCGCCGGGCTGACGGCGGCAGCATGGCGGTCAGCAGGCGTGAAGGTCACGCCCTTCCGTCAGTTTAGGGCTTCCCCACTATCGACCATCTTCTCTGCTTCACTGAACCCGACGATGGCAAACCTCACACCGCCGCAGTCCCCGCCGCAATGGACGCACAGCGCGGAGGACATCATGCGTTTGACGAAGGAGGCCATCGAGGTCAATCGCGCGGAACAGGACAAGGTCGCGGCGCTGAAGGAGGCGGACTGTAACTTCAACTCAGTGCGTGTTCTTCAGTCGAGGAGGAGTGTTGGAGGCTGACAGTAGTGCTGTCCATAGGTGTTCCGCGCGCTAGCCGATGCGGAGACCAAGTTTGACGCGACCACGGAACCCCTCTGCTTCTACCAAAACGTCTCCCCCTCCAAGGAGCTTCGTGATGCGTCCAATGATGCTGAAGGTCTCTGCCGTGAATTTGGTGTCACCTCGTCTATGCGCTTGGACGTTTTCCAGGCGAAAGCGGCCGCGGAGAAGAACCTCAAATCGTCTGGCGAATACGACAAGCTCTCCCCAGAAGACAAGCGCCTCGTCGACAAGATGGTCCTCGATGGCAAGCGGGCTGGCCTGGCTTTACCCGAAGACAAACGCGACGCCCTCATGAGCCTCAAGAAGGAGCTATCGCAGACCTGCCTGCAGTTCAGCGTGCGGCTTCATCGCTTCGGGCGCCTAATTCACGCATTTGACATCCCCCGCAGAAAAACTTCAACGAGGAGAACGAGGTCATCTCGTTCACCGAAGAGGAACTCAAGGGCGTGCCGAAGGATGTCGTCTCTGGGTACAAGAAGCGCACCGAGGGCGACAAGACGGTCTACGACGTGACATACAAGACCCCGGATATCTTCCCTGTGTTCAAGTTCGCGGAGAACCCGACGACCCGGCAACGCGCGCAAGAAGGACACGAGTCTCGGCTGGCTGTCAATGTCCCGCTGCTCGACAAGGCGCTCGAGCTGCGTCGGAAGATCGCTGATATCCTTGGGTACCCTACTTGGGCGGACTACATAACTGAGCAGAAGATGATCAAGAACGCGCGCGGTGTTGTCGATGTGCGTATGGAGCTCTCATCTGGCTTCTCTCAAACCTAAACCGCGTCTTTAGTTCCTTGGTGACCTCGAGCAGAAGCTGCGTCCCGTCGGTCTGAAGGATCGCGAGACGCTCTTGGCCATGAAGCAGAAGGAGCACCAGGAAAAGGGCCTGCCCTTCGACGGCGAGTTTTACATCTGGGACTACCGGTCAGTATCCTGTTCTCATTGCCAAACCAGTTGCTGACTGGCACCTAGGTACTACGACCGCAAGTACATCGAGGAGACCCTCGATCTTGACGACATGCTTGTCAAGGAGTACTTCCCCGTCTCCGTCGTCGTACCCACCATCCTCGAGATCTACCAGAACCTCCTCAACGTCCAGTTCGTCGAGATAAAGAACGACAAGACGTGGCATCCAGGTCAGTTACCCTCTCTTCCGTTCTTCTTCCTATCCCCATTGTCCCCTGTCGCTTTCAATGTTATGTCTTACCTCCACCCCAGAGGTCCAGCAATTCTCCGTCTGGGAGAAGGACTCCAAGGACGAGTCCGGCTTCGTTGGCTACTGCTACCTCGACCTCTTCCCGCGCGAGTCAAAGTACTCGCACGCGGCGGTCTGGCCATTGCTCAGCGGCTACGAGAAGGCGGACGGCTCGAGGAGCTACCCCCTCGCGGCGATGGTGGCGAACTTGGCGAAGCCGACGCCGGACAAGCCTGCGCTTATGCGTCATGATGGTGAGTGCGCTTGGTAGTGCTGGTGTCCAGCGTGGTGGGGTGGGAGAGGAATGCTGACGGGCGATAACCTCGCAGATGTTGTCACGTTCTTCCACGAGATGGGCCACGTCTTCCACGGACTGTTATCGCGCACGAAGTATGCACGGTTCCATGGGACCAGCGTCGCACGCGATTTCGTAGAAGCGCCGTCGCAGATGTTGGAGAACTGGTGCTGGGAGCCGCGCGTTTTGGAGAAGATGTCGAGCCACTACGAGACAAAGAAGCCTTTGTCGGCGGAGCTCATTGAGAAGATCATCAAGAGGTCAGTAAATCGCTCATCCTAACTCTGAGCGGAGGCTAACGACGTTGCTTGCAGTCGCTACGTCAACATCGGCCTCTTCGACCTCCGCCAGCTGTTCTTCGCCAACTTCGACATCAAGGTGCACATGGCTAAGGGTGCGTACTCTCCTTTCCTGTCCCCGATCTACTCGTCTCTGACGTCTTGCGCGTACGACCAGAGTCGCAAGACCACACTGCGCTCTGGAACAACCTTCGCGAGCAGATCTCGCTCGTGAAGTCCGGCAAGCCGTGCCCTGGCCAGGGCACCTTCGGCCACATCACGGGTGGCTACGATGCTGGCTACTACGGCTACATGTACTCCTTGGTGTATGCGGCGGATATGTATGGTGAGTGGCAGGCGAAGATGAATGTTTGCATGGTTATCCTGACACGCCTATTTCTTCCAGCAACGGTCTTCAAGGCTGACCCTCTGGACCCGGCACGCGGGAAGAAGTACCGCGACTGCATCCTCAGACCAGGAGGCAGCAGGGAGGAGATGGACTCGTTGAAGGTATGGCTCTCACGAAGGTTTGGCGTGGGCAGATGCTAACTCGCAACGCAGGAATTCCTGGGCCGCCCACCGAACAGCGATGCCTTCTTGAAGGAGCTGTTCGGGGATGCTGCGCAGTCTAGTCTATAGCGGCGAAGTCGAGGGTACCGACGAGTAGCCAAATCAATGTTTACTAGTAGCACGGTGTGTAGGAGCCATAATCGAAAGCAACACTGACACCTCTCAATCCTTTTATGTGGCGCGAACAAGAAAAGCAACGGCCATGAAACATCCAATCGACGGACTGGGTCACCGATATGTTGATCATAGGTCTACCTCACGCCTCCTTCAGGGCGGGACGAACCACGCAATTCCGACCGGAAGCTGCTCTTCAGCCTCGGGCTGTGCAGCTATCGCGCTGGACCGACGCAAACCGACAAACTGTGAACGTGCGCGAAAGCAATATTGAATGGACACTCCCGTTATGGACCCGGGCACACATCGCATCCCCGAGGGCGCGGTGGCGGCATGCATACGCGGCGCGCGGCACAGGCGCGTCAGGCGCGTCCGCATCAATCTCACTTTAATCTGCCGATCCCAACGATCTGCCAACCGCAGAACCGCTTCATCGACGATTGACCAGGCTTGTAGAGAATTGGGTGAGTGCGCTGCTGAGCATGTGCCTCGCGACGCCAGGTACTGCTTCATGTCGGCTTCCTGTGTCTCCGAGAGTTGAACTTTGGATCTCAGGTGGTACGTCGTTCTTTGGGATACAAGCCTGACCCTCTGTCTGTGCACGAGTTGTGGCCTTCTACAAACAGCTCCTGGGCTTCCATAAGGAATCATGGGATATGCTTCAGGATCAGTAGAGATGGGTTGAGGCAAAGAAGGGCCTTCCTCACGAAAGGTGGGAACGAGGCCAGCGAATTCAACCCGTGGTATGCTTACAGACCATTCCCGAACGACGCGGTCAATCCCCCGACAACTAGCACGGCCATTGTCCCCCGCGGAGGCCACACGGTGCCGCCGCCTCTCTTCAGTCCGTCTGTCTCCAGTAATCAGCATGACCGGGTCGAAAGTGGGTACCACTGTCCTCGAGATCAGTATAAAGGGGTGCTTCAGTCGAGATTTATCTCCATCCCAAACTCATACCCTCTAAGCTTCGTACCCTTCCACTACATACGCACTCTCACTTCCCTCTCTTACCCAGTACCCTCACCTCGTCTGATCATGAAGCTCTCTCTCTTCGTTCCCGCCCTCACTGCCGCCGCGGTTCTCGCTGCGCCGTCCGCCCTCCAGGCGCGCGACAACGACGACGACTGCTATGTCGCCACCCATGGGTTCTCGTACCCGGACAAGGAGCAGTACCAGCGCAATCTCATGGACGCCTGCCTGGCGGACGACGCCGCGGTCACCGGCAGCAACCTCTGGGGCAACAAGGCCTGTGTTGCGGCTGCCATGAGCTTCAAGAACATCTGGGTGAGTATCTTCCATGGCTGGTATTCAAGAAGTTCGTGAGGCTAACTTGCAACAAAGCCTGAAACCGTCCGTGGCCTCGCGGCGTGCAAGAACTCGGACGAGATCGCGCTCGACCAGCAGCCCAGCCTGGACTACAACGTACGTTCAGTGGATGCAGGCAGACGGCCGCGGTAGTCCGCTAACACGCGCACAGATCTACGCCAGCATCGTCGGCGACTGCGCCTGGGCGGAGGGCGGCTGCCCCGTCACGCAGCAGAACTTCATCGACTTCATCTACAGCACCCTCAGCGAGATCGGCTCGGGTGACTTCCCCAGGTACGCCTCATTTATCTTTCAGTCATATTTGTTCCGGTGCTGACGATCCTATAGCAGCGTCGACACCCTCCTCTCGAACGGCTGGCAGCCTATCCTCAAGTGGGCCAACACCGAGGACAGCCTGCCCTACGGCAACTTCAACGACTTCTTGCACTACTCGTAAAGGTACTACTTAGTCGAGGGAGTCGCGGCGTCGCTGCCCTAGGTCAACAATGTGACCGTACCTCCGAGTCCCTTTCAAGGACTTTCGCGAACTTTGTTATTTCTGATGGTTATATAGCGGGTGTAATCGCGATTTGCAGTTAGTCTACAGGTCCAGTTACTGTATACTATTCTGCGCACATGTTAACATATTGTGGCTGCATACGCTCACGAGTTGCTCTTGAGTGAAAAAGTAGCCTCGCTGAGCCACATCAGGCAGGAGTTGAACCGGCGTGACCGTCACGCTCATCTCGCAAGTCACTGATTACCACGTGAGAATTGTCTTGACTCCAACCATGGAGAGCATCGACTTGCGGTTTCTGTCGCTCGGCGCTCGCGATAGTATTTTCAGATCCTCCTCTTCAAGCGGCAGACCTGTTTGTTTCCGTTGCGTCCTTCCACCTAATCGCCACCCTCTATCAGGTCGTGCAGATGTTGATATATAGTGCAGCTTCCCGATGACGAGACACATCCCGTGGCCTGAGCTTCTTCAAAGGACGTACAAAAGGTCGTGAGACATCCCTGACTTCCTCCGTGGACTGCGGCCAATCCTTGTTTGTCTCCTATCCATCCTCCACCGTCGCGCAAGCTATGTCAACCAGGTGTGCAGCAATCGTTCACTTTTTAACCTGTGTGGCTATACGTCGCAAGTAACCAAGCTAACGCTCAATGGGTCCTTGGCTATAGGGTTTTTGGCAAAACGCACCCCAACGGCCAACGTCGCGTGCCTATATCGGATGTTCGCAGCCTCTATCCAGAGCTCGATATTCCACTATCCTGCTATCACAAAGTTGGGATACTCGATGTCTCGTCGGGGACCCCTGTTCCAGCAGGGAGCATCGACCCTACCAATCTCGTTACACCCGGGCAAGTAAAGGTGGCGAATGGTATGTACCAAGTACGAGCTCCGCGCACCCTGGGCGGGAAGGCTGAGTCGCGTCGTCAGAAAACAAAGCCAGATTGAGGAACAAGGCCAAGGCCAAGTCGTCGAAGCCTCGTGGGGAATTTCCGAGACGCTCCAACGCGTATCGGGGAGGATCGCGCTCGTACGGCATCGACGAATCCATGCGGAACCTGCTGGATGACATAAGTTCGGGATTTGGATGCACTGCGCCTGGTATGGCGTATAAGCACTGGGACGACTAGTGCTTGCGCGTCTGAACAATGGCCTTCAGGAGCACATGTGATTCGATTAACTCCGCCGCGGAACCAAATTCCACGTGTCAAGGCACATTTGGTTCCGCTCGTGGACGTCGAGGGTTGGTCCTGGCCACCATGCCACTGCAGCACTGCCCGCAGCTAGCCCCGGCGCCTTCTTTCAGGTTCTTTCATTGATACACAATCTAAGCCGGCGTTTGTGTCGCCTCGTGTTCTAGTCAAAGACGAGGTCCCGTGACCAGCTCGTGTCGTTTATTGATCGGACCGGCGGGGTACAAAAGGCCAGGGTCTTCGCTTGATCCCCCATTTCCCTTCTTCCCTTCTGCCCCCATCACCTCCCCCGAGCTGTGAGCGCGTCGCAGGACGCGACTGCACCTTGCTTCTTTTCTTCTCTCTTCCTCTTTGCGCTCTACTGTACACGAGTGGCTTGCGATCGTCGCGGTGGCCACTGCGCCCGGCATCGTCCCTCGCATCGTTTGCTCATTAACGTTCCCGCTCCTCCACCATCTTGTCTCTTACTATACTCTACCTACATGCCACCTACCTCCGATCCTCAAGCTCGCCTCAAGACCGCTCCCGAAAGCGTTCTCTTTCACGTCCGCCACTTTGTGGCGGATAGGCGCCGCGCACTCCCTGACCCGCAAGGCCCATTTCCGAGTGTACATGCGACGAGAAGTGGCTCTCAAGGTGTGTGGCAAGGTTTATACGCTCATGCATCTGCTCATTTCGACTGTAGCTCGTCGACGCCACTCGCCCTCCGATGCGCTCTTTGTTATTAGGTGCGTATTCACTCCCTTCCCCATCGTTCTTCACATTGACAGTCACTCGGGATATACCCTCTGGTCTACGTCTGCGCTCTAACGGCTACGCTTCTCTGTCGTGGACATCACTCACTGCGCACGCCACTCGTCGATTCGCTACTCGATCATCCGACCTCAAGCGTGTCAACACCGATCGCACCGCATTCAGTATCGTCAAGGGTCTTTTGCGCTGTTTGATCCTTTGGCCTTCTCCGCTCTCAAGCCGTGGACAACAACCAACACCCCTTTCCCACATTGTGGGAAAGGTCTGTCCGCCCGACATCTTTTGGCTTTCCGATACTCTAGACGCGCTCTCGACATCAGGACACGCTTTCGATAACTCGACGTCAAGACAAACAACGGACGAGTCCTACACCTTGCTTCGCTTCTACTCCGTACGATTCCGTCTCGAACCCTACGCGACTCTACTCCGCTGGTTCTCAAGGAGCAAGACTCTACGTGCGTGCCTCAAGCGACTTGTGTGCCTCAAGATCCCTTGGGATAGGTGCGCTGCTGGCGGGCAGCGCGCCGGCGCCAGACCTCATCGTGGTCCAAGGGTGAACCTCACCCACTTTGCGGGTGGGGGCCAACTGGCGCTCGAGAGCGGGAGTGAGCGTGAGGTATGTCTTCTTTCCCTATTCGTGTTCATCGTGGCTGATTGTCTTTCGCAGAGTGATGCGTGAGTGAGTGAGTGAGCGATTAAGTGAGGCATGGCCGACCGCAACAGTCGGTTCATGGCGACTGCGCGCTGGTTTCAGCCTTCTCGGTCTCTCCGTTAGTCTTCTCATGCTAAGGTTGAGATCGCGACGCGTAGCACTTGTGCGATGTCCTCAAAGATTCCCGCGCCGTCCTTACCGACGCCTTTATTGGTTGAGTTGAACGTGCGTATCATTCCCCTTTCTCTTCTGGACCCATGCTCATCAAGTTTCAGCGTCGCGCCTCCACCGACCTCAACGTATTCTTCGCGTTATAAGCTACGCGAGCTCCTCGCCCACTTCGTTGTCGACCGACGATGCTCATCGTCTTTGAGTTTCCTCGTCTCTTTTTGCTTACATGACGACCACTTTTCTCCTTCATTAGGTCTCCCTAACGGGGAGACCGGGCCTTAAGGGCCTTCCCTTGGAATAGGCCGCGCTTGCGAGCGCGACCGGCGCCAGGCCTCAACGTGGCCCAAGGGTGAACCGCCCCGGAAGGGGTGGGCCAACTGGCGTTTTTCTCGCAGGAGTGAGCATGAGGTATGTCTATTCACTTGTTCGTATCTTCCCGTAGCTGATCGTCTTTTGCAGAGTGATGCGTGATTGCGTGCGTGAGTGAGCTGAGCTTGCATGGCCGACCGCAACAGTCGCTGCATGGCAATTGGGAGCTACGCTCTTCTCAGTCTGCTCGTTTGACGATGGTGCTGAGGTTCTGAGAGCGCACATGGCCCCGCATTGAGTTCTGGTGCGCCGGCTCGTGAACGCCTTTTTCACGCGCTCGCCGGCAAAATGGCATCTCGCTGTGCTATCAGTACGCGCCTGAGATCTTTAGCTCCTACATTCCGAGGGCTCCGTCGCCTGAGCTAAACGTATGTGTCATTCTCATCCTAACTCACCGAACCGATACTGACCAGCTTCTCCAGCGTCGCCCTCTCGCCGACATTACCATGCTCGCCGTGTGTGCTTCTTGAGTCATCGACGACGCTTGCCAGTGCCTGCTAAGGTCGCGCTCTCGCCACTCTTCTCTCGTTGCCGCCCTTTCTGCGTCTCAGTCGCGCGCTCGTAATGCTCGACCGCCCATTCATCTTCGCGTCCGAATTAACCTCTGCTTCATTCGGACCGCTCCTCTTTCCCCGCCATCTCTCTTCTTTACTAGGTCTCCCTGACGGGGAGACCGGGCCCAAAGGGCCTTCCCTTGGAATAGGCCGCGCTCAAAAGCGCGGTCGGCGCCAGGCCTCAACGCGGCCCAAGGGTGAACCTCACCTGCTTTGCGGGCGAGGGCCAACTGGCGTGCCCGATGCTGGGGAGTCTTCGTCGGGCGAAAAGCAAGGAGCAGAAATACCTCAAGACTGGGTCGCAAGACATCAATGTCCTTAAGACGACCGGCCGCGGAGTGAGAGCAAACGAAAGACCGCGACGCGCGGGCCTCAAGATTCTCTTGGAGTAGGTGTACTTTGTGCGCCGGCACCAGACCTCATCGCGGTCCGAGGGTGTTCTTCTCGACTTCGGAAGGGCCAACTGGCGTGCTTTCATTTTCTGTTGACTTATGGTTTCCTGACGACGCGTGCAATGGATGCAAACAAAATACGCTTCTGAGCGGCTGGTAGCCCATCCTCAAGGGCCTCGACGACTTAGCGTGCCAAGATCAAGGACTTCCTGCAATAATAGGAATGGAGCTTCCATAACAGGACCGGCAGGCCGCGCTCGTGGCCCAAAATGTAACCCGATGTCTTTCTGAAGGCCTTTGTGGACTTCGGTACAGCATTTTTCGCAAGGTGTACTCAAATGGCAGACATTCCAGCGTACTTATATGCCGTATACCACTCATAGACCTTCAAGCGCCAATTGGAGACTCTCATGGATGCACGAAAGCGCCCAGTACGACCACGATACGGATTCGCCTCAGATCACGACCGTGACGAACCGTGACCATCACGCTCACATCTCGGAGTCACCGTGCATCATTTGGAAATTCATTCTGACTCCTGCCGTCAACTTCAAGATTCGAGAATGTCGATTGGCACCCTCCTACAGACTTCGCGAACGCTCGGGCTCTCTCTGCTTTCATCTTGCCTTTGACTTGACGACCTCCTGAACTGACACTAGTATGGCTACGTCCGCAAGCAACCAAATACTAGTAACCTGTTGGCGCAAGGTAGTCACGGTGTTGGCTTCTCTTATGCATATCCGCCCTCCCGAGCGGAATGACCTACACTTCGCCGGCATATGACGAGATGTACTCGGCGATTTGAGCCTCTTGGAAGAGCATACAAAAGGTTGGGGCCCGCGCATTGGTCCTCCTCGCCTCCCTCGTCGCCGTGCCGCACCACGTCTCCTCGTCCATGTCGAGATACAGGTATGCCAGCGCTGAAAACTTTCTCTGGCTCGTAAACTGATATGGCTTCAGACACACTGAGGCTGCTCACCAGCAAGAGCACCTGATCTTTGGTCCTGTGCATCCCAACGGCGAACGGTACATCCGCATATTGGAGATTTCTCTTCATTATGGAGGCCTGATCATTCCGGAGTCCTGCTTCCGAAAGGTAGCAGGCGTCCCGGAGGAAATCTGCCGCTTTACCAACGTTACGCCCGCGCAAATAAGGGCGGCAATTCAGAGCGGTCTGGACGAAGTAGAGGAGCTGCGCGCGAAGCAAACTGGGCAGGCGCCTTCAGAAACGGCGGCCAATATGTCGGAAACTTCCACCACCCAGCCGACGACGCCCGACTTCTTCTCCAGCTACGATGCCACCGACTGCTTACCAGAGGCCAGTGGCGAATCCGCTAGGTTGCGTCCAATAGACAAAATGTCTGGCGCATGGGCTGCATACGGCGAGGCGATGATCATGCACCACAGGGAAGGCCTCGAAAGGCGGAACGTGTTGGAGGCAGCCTACTCGAGGGTCGAGTTCGCTCCTCCAGAGATAGTGCGTAGGCAGCGGGACGTCTAGCGTGGTATGTGATGCTTTGTAGGTCGTAGCATTCGATAACCGACGTTATGAGCAGCGTCGCGATTCCGGACCGCGAATCGAGGTACTTGCTGCCTCTACTTAGAGCATGAGGACTACGGCCGTCCTTCAGAATATCCCTCATGCAATATCTGCCGTTAAACCTGAACATGGTTCCTCTCATGTGCAAGGTCTTGCGGACCTCATTCGCGACACTGCTCTTCGAGCGTGTTCACGCGCTCGGTGAGTGCTGTGTCCTTGTTGAAGCACGGGGATGTGAGTATGCCCTCGTTGCGGAGCGCGACGCGCTTTGGAATATTCGAGGCGTGGCGGACGAGGGATCCAGTAAACTCGCCAGATCGACCGAGCTTACATTAAGGTCACAAGAAGCTATTCGTCCCACAAGTTTGTTTGCTGTAGCTGACGCTGCATTATCGCCGCAAGCAAAGATCATGCTCATGTGGCACGCGCTGTCATTGAGGCGATGTGAAGCAACCAAACACCACTTCATCGGCGGCTCGCGACTAGCACGGCCTTCTGCTGCATGCAAAAAAACTCAGTCAACTATTGAACTCAGAGGCGACTGCTGGTTGCCCGCATTCAGAGCGAAAGCCAGCCTCCCAGCATAATTGAGTAGCAGATTCGGACCGAGCGCGCCAGACAACGTCTATTGAGAAGAGAACTCACGTTTGGATAACTCCGTGACGGAACCAAATTACACGTGGACCTGCGTATTTGGTCCCGCTTGGGACGTCGAGGGTTGGCTTCAAGCCTTCAGCCACCATGCCACAGCATTCCACACAGCAATCACTCGGCGCAGCTGGGCTTCTCGTCTTCTGTCATGCTCTCTCAATGAAATGCGATTTAGCTTTGTGTTTGTGTCGCCTCGTGTCGGTACAAAGGCGAGTCCCGTGACGGGCGCGTGTTGATGATGATCGAGCCGAGAGGCTATATAAGGACCGGGACCTTCGCTTGATCCCCACATCCTCTTTTCCCTTCTGCCCCCATCCCCTTCCCCGAGTGGCGGGTGCGTCGTAAGGCGTGGCTGCTTGCCCGACTTATTGCATCTCTTCCTCATTTGGCTCTACTATACACGAGGTGCTAGTGATCGTCGTGGTGGCCACGGCTGCTCGTCGTCCTTCGCTCGTCGCTGTGCTTCGTGCCCCTCACGTCATCCCTCGTCACGTCGACCACTGCATTCTACGTACAAGCCACCTACTTACGATCCTCAAGGCGCTGCTCACCGCCGGTTTCTCTCACATCCGCCACTTTGTGGCGGATTGGCGCCCCATTCCCCGACCTTTCAAGACCGTCGCCTATGGGTATTAGGATGAGCACTACGGTTCTCGAGGTGCGTGGCAATGCTCTTGATGTCGCTCACACGCTCACTCTCGTTGCAGCTCGTCAACGCCACTACCACCCCCGAGGTCAAGCGCGTCAAGACCGATCGCACCCTCTGCTTTCCCCAACGCCCATCAGTATCAAGATCATCAGACTTTATCGACCTGCAACTACTTTTTTCGACGCTCTAAAGCTCCCCTTTGGTGCCTTCGAGACCTACCTCGCCCGGGTCACTTTCCTACCTTGTGGGGAAGGCCCAATGATTCGCCGCCTTCTGGCGCTCCTCGTCAAGACACTCCTTCGCGACGTCAAAACTCGCTTCCGGAATTTATTTGGCCTGACGCTCCGCACAATTCTAACCCTCCGATGCCCTCAACGCTTCAACAGCAAGTCCCGCAACCCGCCCGCTGGTCCGTTGGAGCAAGAGCAAGGAGCAAGAGTCAACGCGCGTGCCTCAAGGATGTGTGCCTCGAGACCCCTTGGAATAGGTGCACGGCCGGCGGGCAGTGCACCGGCGCCAGACCTCAACGTGGTCCAAGGGTGAACCTCTCGACTCTATCGAGAGGGCCGACTGGCGTTCTCGCTCGCAGGAGTGAGCCTGAGGTGCGTATGCATTTCTTTTGTCTTCTTCGCTGCAACTGACCGCCTTCCGCAGAGTGATGTGTGATTGAGTGAGCTTGAGGCATGGCCGACCGTCACAGTCGGCTCAGCATGGCGGACGCGTGTTGCGTCGTCTTTTTTGGGCTCTTCGTGAGACATCTGACAGTGAGCTTGGGAGCGCGACGCTCGCCGCTGTAAGAGCCTAAGTTATCTCGCGCCATCCTCGCCGACGTCTCCATCGCCTAAGCTAAATGTGCGTGCCATTTCCATTTGCCTTCCGGACCCATGCTCATCAATTCATAGAGTCGTGCTTCCGCCGACCTCAACGTACTCGCGACCTCATCAGCTGTGATGTAGACCATGAGTTGTCGCTCTGACATACTCGTCGTCCGCTAAGGTCGCTCTCTCGACGTCCCGCTCTCGTTTTCTGATCACCTCGCCGCCCCGCGTTTGTCGTATTTGAGTCTCGTCCTCTCCTTCGGTTCTCATCCTCTAGCACACCACATCCACCTTTCGCCTCCGATAAGTCTCCCTAACGGGGAGGTCGGGCCTTGAGGGCCTTCCCTTGGAATAGGTCGCGCTTTGAGTGCGACCGGCGCCAGGCCTCAACGCGGCCCGAGGGTGAACCTCACCTGCCTTGCGGGTGAGGGCCAACTGGCGTTCCGTTTGGCTTTTCCTCGTCAAGACCGTCACGATCTTCAAATTTCCAAGAACGACAAGATTGGGCGAGTTGGTCATCAAGACGAGCATCCGGAGAAGGCAGGACGCGCGGTTGGACGATGCAAGAAATCGTCTACCGACTGCAATAAGAGCATGGCTCAAGATGCAATATCGGGATCAACGACGAGCATGACTGAAATTATCACGGCAAACAAGACCCATCACCGCTTGCAAGACGGGAGGCCCGATGCTCTCATGACACAAGCCTTGACGAGGCAACACAGCTATCTTGAATTTCCGGGCTTCAGAAGCTCAACTGATGTGCCTTTCCGACTTTCTCTCCCTCCAAGTCGTGCTTCCAAGGATTTCAGGGCGTCAAGGTTTCTGCCCTGGACAACGTAACCGGGGCTTCTGCTCACTTCAGCAAGTACAGGAAAGAAACAAAACGACGCTACGTGTGAGTAAATCTTGACAGAGAACCCTGCTGCGCACTCGACTGCCCGGTCATGACCCAACACTTCAACCGTGACCGTCACAACGGAATCACAACGGAATCGTAACTTCTCGCACGTGCGAAATCGAAGCCTGGCTTTTGCTGTCTCCCGAAATTCAGACTTTCGACGCTGCTATTTCTGCTCGCTCGCTCTCAAAAAGCGTCAATCTCCACATGTCTCGTCACACGTCATGCCTATCGACTGTCGTTGCTGGACCGGCCAGTCACAAGTAACGACTCGGATCCCCTGTGCGCGGCCTCCGCCCAATCGTCGCTATCGACCCGTGGCTGCAGTCGCGCAGCCCCATGTCTCCATTCGTGCTGATTCTGGCTTCTCTTATGTGTACTGCTTTTGTCCATCCTAGTACGGCATATGACGAGGTTCATCTCACGAATGGAACTCCTTCCGACCTAGGCGGTCTGTGGACCGACCTTGCGTCTCACACCCAGCTGCGCGCTTGTGCATCGTCGAACGTTGAACATCTTATCTGAACATTGAGGGATGTCGACAAGGTATGTGCTTTGATTTGCAGACGACCAAGAATCTGACGCCGTATAGACGGACCGCTGATGCGCCGAGAGGCGTCAATAGAGGCCGCGTCGGCAGGGGCGGCGTCAAGAGGGGACGCGTCAGGGGAGGCGCTGGTCAAGGAGCTATCGGTGGGACTGGCGCCACCGGAGAAGAAGCTAGCGGAGCAGGCGCCGGACGAGGAGCAAGCGTTAGAGGTAGAGGCGCCGGCAGGGGTCGTGGTGCTGGCAAAAGAGCCGCCAACAAGATCGGAGGTAATCAGCAGAAACCAACGACAAAGGAGGTCCATCCCAACGGTCAGCGCCTCATCAAGATCGTGGATATCGCGCTCGTGTACCACACCTCGGTCGACATCCCCACCATCCCCATTTTCAAGCGGACTGGCCTGAAGAGCGCGAGCCCCGCGACCTTGATCACCCCCGGACAGCTCAAGGCGGCTCGCAAGCGTCTGCAGGAGGACGTGGGGAAGCGCGAGGCTGAAGCTGGTCCTTCGAAGAAGCCTGAAGTCCCCACAGACCCCTCAGACCCCTCGGATTCTTCTGACGACTCGGATGACCCGGGTCACTGGGACTCGGACGATGGATTCCAGGCTCGGGATTGGGGATATGACTACTCAGATGACGATGACGGTCTCCGTGATCTCGTGGAACAGATTGGGTCGGGGTTCGGTTGCACTGCGCCGGGAATGGCGTACAAGCACTGGGATGATTAGGATGCATTGTGTGTCCGACTTCCTTTTTGCCGCTTAGCGGCTTCGCTGACTGCCCGTCTAGTATATAGTTTCTTCTACTCCTCGAATTACCTACCGTCTACTATGCCTGGCCGTCGTCTTGCACGGCGATACGTACTTGTTCTGTCCGCAAACACCATTGTTTCGTATATGCCTCCTTACCCGAACACTCGCCGCCTAGGGCATGCAAAGAATGATATTGAATTTCTACGGGTCATTTCGAATGTGCGTGATGCATGCATTGAAGAACTTCAGTCCCCCAGGAGATGTGCCATCACAGCATCATCATGTCGAGGCACGATAGCACATCTGAAGGGACATATGTGACTGGACAAGAGTCAGTCGTCGCACGCGAGCAGAGAATACGGGCGCGACTCACTTTATCGGCCCACCAGTCGTTTTATAATCAGGAAGCGCTCCTTCCGCTCTTATATCAAAGAGCGCCAAGCACACAGCGATGGTGACGAAGATAGATGCGTCTGCTAATAATCTTCCTGGGCAGATGCGGCGTCCGAAACTGGTGAAATCGACGGTGAGTCCACGACAATTCAGTCTGCGAACGGGGAGGCGTACCCAAATACATATTCCCTGGGATCTTGCTCAGGCGTAGGTCCCAAAAAGCGCTCAGGATCGAATGTATCTGCGTCGGAGTAGACTGCAGCATCGCGGCTCATCATCCTTGGAGATATCAGCCACTGAAGAAAGTCGGCGACAAGCCACGATACCAGATATTAGGAATTATGGTGCTTCCTCTTGGTATGAAATATCCATCCTGTACATCGTCTTGCGTACTTGCGTGAGGCAGACCTGACTTCGTCAGCGATAGGCTTCGAGAATAGTCTCATGTACGACTCACCGCACGGACCCGGTGGATGGAAGCGCAGAACTTCTTTGCACATCGCCTCGACGTATGAGAGCTTATCTCGATCCCGATTCTCAGGCAACCTAATACCGTGCCCAACGACCGAATCAACCTCCGCCTGAGCTCGCTTCTGCACCTCCGGATGCAGAACCATGAAGAAGAAGAACGCATGAATTACGAGGGCCGTCGTCTCGCTGCCGGCTGATATACACTGTCACGCATTGCCGCTCTATTCCATGAAGTCGTTACGCACCCACGAACATCGATCCAGCCGCGTGCTTAATGATCTCTTCCTGTTGCTTCGACGTAGCCGCGGATAACGCCTGTGCCACAAATGATGGGTCGGCACTTTGCGACTCCTGCACCGCTCGCTTTAGTCGCAGATCCGAAATGGGTTGTGGAAGCACAACACTCACCAACGCGCTCTTCACGTAGTCGAACGGCGCATCGACCATGCGACCGTAGAGCGGACGCCACAACCGAGCCTGCCTCTTGAACCCCGCGCCGGGTACCCACTCCGGGACGTACTTCACTGCGCGCCATTCAGAACCTGGACAGGTCAACGCAGGCTAGGAGGACGAACTTGCCGGAAGCAGGTTCACGAGGTACGCAGAAGGCGACGCCGCCAGGTTGAATACTTCGATAGCGTCATTGGCGGCGCGTACGATGGGGTCTCCATCGGGTTTTGCGTGATAGCCTGGGTATGCGGTAAGTAGATTGAACGAGATGAAGGGTTATCAGACGCACCGTAAGCGACAGCCAGGACGAGCGCTCCGGACATGCTGTTTCGTGGATGAGGTGAGGAACGACAGCCGAGCCCTCCACTTACTGTACAGCATGCTCTCGAAACCGCTCCGGCTCGCGCCAACAGCTTCGCGCGAACGTCTTCGCGTGTGTTTCCTGCACGTGCGCATAAGCGCTCACTGCCTCGCGACTGCCAAGTCCACGATGAAAGATACGGCGGTAAGAGCGCAGTCGCGGGCCATATTCGACGAATGCGAGCCCGTCGCCCCACCCCATGAGTTCGGCAGGCATCGTGAGTCGGGGTCGGGAGGAGTAAGTTTGGCTTTTCCTTTCCATCATCTCGTACGCTTTACCGTAGGAGTTTACGATGACAACTGTGCGGCCAAGGATACGGATGGAGACGATAGAGCCTTGAAGCGAGTCAGTGAGAGAAAGTACCCATATGATGAGAGGAACATACCGTATTGTTCAGCCCAGCGAGTAAAGGTCTCCCATTCCCAGCCGCCGAGAGGCATGTCAAAGAGATTGCCTACAACTGGATACCCCGCCGGTCCAGGAGGTCGAGAAGGGGGCTTTCGCGATATCAACTTCCAGACAAACAATGCAGATGCAAGTATGAAAAGCAATGCGTGCAGTGTCATCGCGACGGACGACCTGAGGTAGGCACTGAACGTAGAGCTCGGGGATTCGACTGGATAAGAGGGCGAAGGAGCATATAAGAGAGAAGCAGCTGTCAAATGAGCGTCATAGCCGATTTCTTGCTGAGCGCGCAGGCGGCCAAGATCAGGAAACAATAGGACCCGATAGGGTTTGCGCCGCAGGCGACCTGCGGCCATCGTGCCTCGTGCATACTAGCTGTCCTTGTTGCGCCCATATATGGATATAAATGAGGCACATTCATCGATGGAGCGACCTACAATGAGACGTTGATCAGGTGAAGGCGTGCATAACGATATGAGCGGTGGTCGAAAGGCTACATCCGGCGGTTTGCAGTCACAATGTCAGTTCTTCATTCGCGATCCCAGGATCGATGAGATAAGCATCAGAGGCCTTTGCAAGCGCAGCTCCAGCGGCGTGCACCGCTAGGAGGCGGGAATGTAGGAGCCATACGCCGTTTGGGCGCAGATGGACTTGAAGGTCGTGGTAGAGGCGTGACTGTGAGTCACCCTAAAGTTCCGATTTGGACGCCACGCGCGCGTCGGTACTTGCCGGACTCACTCTGGCTCCTGCCATCATGTGAATTTATGCTTGCTTGCTCTGTAACTTCGCCGACTAAGAGAATAGCGACGCTTGTTCATCGACTTCGAATGCCAATCTGTGACACGTACTCGACTGAATAACACAAGGCCGCGCCTTCTGCTCTCTCCGTTCACATCGCTACAATTGCTTGCTTTGATGAAGCGTTGAACGACACCCACTTAGGATGGTCTTAAGCTCTTCTAAACGCGGCAGAAAGCGGGACTCATGGCGGAACAGAGCTTATACTCTACCCGCATATCTGCGAAAAGGCCGCCCTATCGACCAGCCCTGCTTCCTCCTCACACAAGTCATCGTCTGCCTCGTGTTGTCTCTCGTCGAGCTGCGAGCGAGCTACTATGCCGACGAAGTAAGTCGTCTGCTTCTGCGATATCCGAGACGATGGCTTTCTAACGGAGTGTTGACAGTAAAAGCGCTCATACGAGAGGTGGCGCGCATACGAGGGGCGCGAACAACACAAGAGGCGCCAGCACGAGAGGCGCTCAGAGAGGGCGTGGTGGTAGGGGACGCGGGACTAGAGGAGATCGCGGTAGAGGAGGCGCCAGACGAGGAGCATACGGCACTTTTGGGGGCACTCATCGCGGAGACGCCCCGAGGGAGGGTTCCAACGGGTGGCTTACCACGGACGATGTTAGCGGAAGCCGCGGATCTGGCAGAGGAGGCGCCGCAAGCAGGGAAAGCATCAATAGGCGCGCTCAGCCGTCGGTCGTCGCGGCCAACGAACCGCCAATCACCAAAGAGAAACACCCCAATGGCCAACCGTACATCAAGATCTCGCAGATCGCGTCCGTGTACGGGTTACCCGCGCTCGACATTCCGCTGGAATGCTTTCGGCGCGTCGGTGTCAGCATTTACGCCTTCGAGGCGTCTCGTGTTACGCCTGAGCAATTGCGCGCAGCGCGCAAGAGTTACGAAATGGGTGAGACCCCAGAACCTGTGGACCTTTCGGGCTCGGACGACGAAATCGGAGTCTGAAGTGATTGCTCTGCGCCGTGACGGCGTACAAGCGCTGACATTATTAAGAACATTGTGTACGTGCTGTATCTGATATCCATTCGCTATACTGACCACGAGCACAGTATACAGATCCGTTGCTGGTCACCTTTTCTTCACTTGACTTACTTTTTTCTGGCATGTGTATTTCTTGGTCCCTTGTGCTTCTGAATCCTAGTACGGTTCAGACGAATGATGAGATTTATCTCATGACCTGCGCTTCTTCTACCCACGCCTGAAGGCCTGTTTAGCCTAGGCCTCTCTTGCTTCCTGCCCTGAACTCGCTGAAGTGCGCAAGTCGTGCGACGCCCTACTCCTGTAAAGTCCGTGCGACAGTTTTGCTATGGCCAACAAGAAGTGCGTTAGTTTTTCCTCGCCGCAACGGTGCTAAAGCGGATGGATAGAAATAAGAAGAAGGCCTTCCCCAGTAAAAACGGCTTACGTCTAACGCGCAAGAACAAGGGCTACAGGGTAGAGGATGGCCCATTTCACCCGGATGGCCGCCTGACCGTCAAGATATCGGAGATTGACGACGTATATGGCATCTCTACAATTCCCGCAGAGTGCTTCCAGCGCATCGGAATCACAAATGCGACGCTCGACACTGAGGTTACGGTCCCGCAAGTACGCCAAGCCTACGCTAAACACGAGCGGACGATGGCGAATGCCCGTTGGAAGGAGGCGAAGAAGAAGAGGAAGGAAAAATCTAATCAAACGACGGACCTCTATCCGGGCAATGTGTATTTGACCAGGCGGAGGACGTACGATAGGAGCGGCATGGACGACGTTGCGGACCTTACGCAGAATCTACAGCTGTATGAGCGTGCAGAAGGCAGAAGCGCTTTCGGCCCTGGTAGGGCGTTGGTACACTGGGACTCTGATGACGATTGTACGTCGTCTTTGGTGTTTCTGGGGGCTTCCTGCTCACATGAAGCTGCCCCTCTACTTGCAGAATGATGCCCTTTCTCGCTCAACGCGCGTGTAGAAGAACCCGTCGTAATCTATGTAACAATATGCTTTGCACTGCTTATTACTTTAATTGCAATGAACTCCTTCGCGATATCCGGAGGGCCTTTGAGAGCGGTGACTCACCACTGAGTTCCGATTCGGGCGCCACGCGACGTGCGTGCGAAGGCTTGGCTCATGTTCATGACATACGAAACTGCTGACGTTGTTCTTCTCGCGTTGAACAATGGTCAGGAACGTCGACCCAAACCCGCATCTCGCATGTCTTCCTGCCGCGGGGCTTGCGTTATATATGTCTCAGCCCCTCCTCCGCCCGATGTGCGCCGTCCAACTTGCCGGACGCCGTCGTCATCTGAAGGTTTATCCTCATTCCTATCCTATAAACTCGGGCGGTAGGCGTCGATCGCACCGCAACAGCTGTAGTAGGCCAGCTCTCCTTCAAAGTGTCGTCCATCGCTCTCCGTCTTCCCTCCCTCACCCGCCGATCTCTAGCCATGAGCTTGAGAGTCCTCGATGTCGTGAGGAACAATGGCGTCGCGCAGGAGATGCGGCCCGCGCACTGGGCCAACGCGAGCGGGACGAACTTCAAGAATCCCTGGAGCAGCTTCCGCGAGATGGACTGGACGGACGGGAAATGGGTGCGTGGTGGACCACCCCAGCGTGCTTCAGAGGGGACTGACTTACGGCGGATAGATCGCGGGAAACCTCCTGAAGGGCATGGCGCCTCTCCCCGCCGACCTAGCTGTGCGAATGCCTGTGCGCAAGCCGGTATGGGACCACGGCGAGGCGCGCAAGGACGAGGTCAAGACGACGTGGTTGGGGCATGCAGCCTTCCTCATCGAGATGCCCCACCACGCTGGAGCTGAGCGCGGAATACGAATTCTCACTGACCCGGTCTTGGGAGACTATTGCGCTCCGGTGTCGGCGGCGAAGCTGAAGCGGATAACTCGTGCGCACCTCAGTTATTCACATATGCCCTGTGCTAATCGTTCGTTCTCTAGCACCTGCAGCGAGAGTCGATGAGCTGCCAGACGTTGACGCGGTGGTCATCTCGGTGAGTCCCCTTCATCATATACGACGAACGCGCGCCGTTAACAGACTTCCCCCGAATCCAGCATAATCACTATGACCAGTTCGTTCAACATCCTCCCCTCCCCCCACACCTCACTAACCCACCCCCCCCCAGCCTCGACTACAAAACCATCTACGCCCTCTTCAAGCGCCCCCGCATCCCCCACATCTTCGCCCCTCGCGGTAACGAGAAGGTCCTCAAGTCCTTCGGCGTGCCCGCCAGCCACCTCCATATCCTCGACTGGTGGGAGAAGCAGCGCATAGAGCTGGAGATACCCGCTTCCTCTGGGCCCGACACGCCCGCTCAATCCACTCAACCCACCCGCGTCGACATCCACTGCGTACCCGCACAGCACAACTCGGGGCGGACGCCGCTAGATCGTATGAGGGGACAACCGGCGTTGTGGTCTGGGTGGGCGTTCGAGGAAGTCGTCGAGGGGGCGGATAAGCACGCTGATGTCAGTGCTGGCGCTGAGGGGCCCATCACTACGGGCAAGAAGGTGTACTTCGCCGGCGACACGGCGTACAAGGCGCTGTGGGACGGCAAGGATGAGGCCGACTGCCCGTCATGCCCCGCCTTCAAGGAGATTGGCGAGCGGTTCGGCGGCTTCGACGTTGCGCTGTTGCCCATAGGGTGAGTTTAGGACGCCATTTTCGGGATGATTGCGGCGTTGCATTCGGGAGTCGCAGAATATTGACATATCCCCTTTCCAGCTGCTATCTCCCCCGCCGGTTCATGTCGCCGATGCATGCCTCGCCAGGTGACAGCGTCAACATCTTTAAGGACGTTCGTGCGAAGCGCGCCGTGGCGATGCATTGGGGGTGAGTCTTCTTTCATTATCGCTCGCCGTAGATGTTTGCGGTGCGGTTCGTGGAACGCAGGCTGATTAATATCTATCTTCAGCACCTGGGTCCTCTCTGATGAACCAGTACTTGAGCCTCCGCAGTTGCTCAAGAAAGAGGCTATGGCAGCGGGGTTGGCTGATGACGCGTTCACGGCGTGCGAAATTGGGGAGACGAGGTTTTATTAGGTGCGGACCTGTACTGGTTTCGTTGTGCATGGCTTCTATACTATCATTGTGCAAGGATTCGATGCTATCGGATGTAGGACCTTTGTGTAGCCTTTAGCGTACTTGTCGCTCCTTGGTGCATTATCATATTTTTCCTCCACATGCAGTCGGCCGATGAGGCTCGTTCCTACGCGGTCAGGCGATGGAGCCGCGATCGCACGTTATCCCTCAATGCATGGAACACGTTAGCGCGATGGCCTTCTTTCCTATGAGAGCCTTTGAGAGTCTTTGACCACCTTTGATCTCTTTTGATGCAATTCAGAATAGCTCCGTAGCGGAAGCAAATCTCGCCGCGTGGCATGCCGCAGATGGTTCCGCTCGTTGACCGTCGAGGGTTGTTTCCGTGAATCATGCCACTCGGCGGCCTTTCCGCGCAGTCGCCAGCGCACGCCTCGTGCCCAACGTGTTTGTTTGCGAATTGTTTGTCCTTTCAAGGGCCTTGCGTTTGTGTCGCCTCGTGCAGGTCATGTGACACGGTGATCGGGCCGGGGGCGGGTACATAAGGGCAGGGTCTTCGCGTCGTTTCCCCCATTTCCCTTCTTCCCTTCTCCCCCCATCACCTGCCCCGAGTGGCGATTGCGTCGTAAGGCGCTCTTGCTCTCCCGTTTTTATCTTGTCTCTCTTCCTCTTTGCGCTCCATTGTAGACGGACGGCTTGCGATCGTCGGGGTCGCCACTGCGCCACACATCGCTCGTCGTCGCTTTTCGCCCGTCGCCGCTCTTTGTGTTCCCCATTCTCTCCCCCATCCTGCTCTCTACTATGCTCTATGTACATGCCACCTACTTGGGCGCCTCAACGCGCTCCTCCCCGTCGTCTTCTTGCACTTTCTCCCCTTTGTGGCGGTTTGGCGCCGCGTTCCCCGATCGCTCAAGACCATCGCCGATGGACATGAGGATGGGTGTTATGACTCTTAAGGTGCGTGGCAACTCTCTTGCTGTCGTACAACTGCTCAATCCTCTTGCAGCTCGTCAACGCCACGCCACCCCGAACGTCAGCGGGCCAAGACCGAACGCGTCCTTTCCTATTGTCACAACACATCGACCTCAAGATCATCAAGCATCATCGTCAAGGCCCTCAAGCCCTCTCCAAGCTTTCCTCACGTCCTTCATCGACGGGGGCACTTTCACACCTTGTGGGAAAGGCCCAATGATCTGCCGCGTTTGGCCTACCTTCTCTTCGAGACGCAGGTTTTCGACGTCAATACTCATCTTTGGAGATCAAGATGACCGGGAGCCACTCTCAGCAAGAACTACAGAAGCTCTCAGGGGTTCAATGCGCGCAGTCAAGACCTTTCGCGCCGCTCGTCGGTCATTGGAGTAAGAGCAAAGAGCAAGACTCAACGGGCGTGCCTCAAGAATATGTGTGCCTCAAGACCCCCTTGGGATAGGTGCATCGTCTGCGGGCGGTGCACCGGCGCCAGACCTCAACGTGGTCCAAGGGTGAACCTCTCGACTCTGCCGAGAGGGCCAACTGGCGTTCTCGCTCGCCGGAGTGAGCGTGAGGTACGTTCCTTCCCTGGTTCATATTTCATCGTCCCTGATGGTCTTTCACAGAGTGATGCGTGATTGAGTGAGCTTGAGGCGCGGCCGACCGCAACAGTCGGCGCAGGCAGACGCGTGCTGCGACTTCAGTGTCTCCGTTCACCTGGTCATGCTGAGGTTCGGAGGGTATGAATCGTGTCCCGGATCCTCCATCGTCTGAGTGAAACGTGCGCGCCCTTACCTGTTCTCGTTGTCGTGCTCGGCTTACCAATCTTCGCAGCGTCGTGCATCTCCGCCGACATCAACGCGTTCGTCGTGTGATGAGTCGTCAGGGTTTTGCTTCCCTCTGAGTCGTCGAGCTTACACGCCCGGTGCCATCGCATCCCCTCGACATCCTTGCTCGCTCGTTTTCTTCCCTCCGCCGCCACTCTTTCCATCACTCACAGTCCCGCCATCACTTCCGTCTCTCGCCTCCGCTTTTACTGCCGTCATGTCTTCATCTTGTACTGGGTCTCCCTAACGGGGGGACCGGCCCTCGTGGCCTTTCCCTTGGAAGAGGTCGTGCCTCAACAGCGCGACTGGCGCCAGGCCTCAACGCGGCCCAAGGGTGAACCTCACCTGCTTTGCGGGTGGGGGCCAACTGGCGTGCCTGACGATGCTTAAGAAGACTTCGTCGGGCGAAGTGGGTGAGAGCAAGGTGCAAGGCGGCAACATCATCAAGGCCAATGAGGGAGAGCAAGGAGCAAGACAGCAACGCGCGGGCTTTTCAGACTAGCCAGGGAGTGAGAGCAAGACGCAAGACATCAACGGGTGTGCCTCAAGATTCCCTTGGGATAGGTGCTCTGCATCGGCGCCAGACCTCATCGCGGTCCAAGGGTGAACCTCCCGACTTCGGGAGGGCCAACTGGCGTACAACATCTGTGGATTGCTTGAGTGAGGTACGTTCTTCTTCCTCTCTCATGGTCTTCTCTTCGCTGACGATGCGCTGCAGATCTCTCTGAACGTAAGAGTAAGAATGCCGTCGCCGTCAAGCACTCCCGCAACATTTGGTTGAGCGGCTTTCGCCATCGCACATGAGTTAAGCTACGCGTGGCGTGTTGCGCTTGCGAGCGTCTGCAACTTCGTCTGAGTGAAATGTATGTCCTTCCCTTCTCGCTTATAATCGTATTCGTGCTGATACCGCTTCTTCAGTGATCGTGCTTCCGCCAACACCAACATTTCCTTCGTCTGAGTTGCTGCGACGATGCCGCCCTAAGTCTTTTGAGCTTCAATCTTGCTAAGATCTGAGTCATTGCGTCGCCGCCGCCGACGTTTGTAAGGGTCTTCACAGGATCTTTGAAGCTCTCTCGCCCATTGTCGAGTTCACGTTAAGACGGACGAGACGCAACCTTCATTTAGTTTATGCACGGCGCTTATCGAGCGCGGCCCGCCTTGCTTTAGATCTTCGTGAGTTCTCGCGGTTTTTTGACTTGTTATGAGCATTGCTGACCGTATCCCAGTGCCGTGCATTAACCGGCGTCAACTCGTGTCAGGTCCCAGAGAAAGCACACACTCGTTGAGCCCACCTCCTTGAGCATTCTTTCTTCACTGTTCCCCTTCGTCTCCATTCGCGTCTTCGTAGTTGCCTCGAGCTGCCTTTCCCCGCAAACCTCGAGGCCGTAAGGACTTTTCTGGTCTCCCCAACGGGAGACCGGGCCACAACAGCCCCCCTTGGAATAGGCACCTGCACGGGGGATAGTAATATCCCTCGTGCGCGTGCCGGCGCCAGGCCTCATCGCGGCCCAAGGGTGAGCTCTCCCGCCTTGCGGGAGGGGCCAATTGGCGTTATCGCTCTGCGGAGTGAGTGTGAGGTACGTTTTATTTCTCGGTATGCATTTTATCGTTCCTGATAACCTTTCGCAGATCGATGCGTGATTGAGTGAGCTTGGGGTGTGGCCGAGCGCAACAGTCGGTTCGGCATGAAAGACGCGCGCCGCGTTCCACTGAGCTTCTCCACTCGACGCCTGAGTCTGAGCGTAAGAGCGTGTGTATCGCGGAGCAGGTTTTCCATTGTCTGAGTTGAATGTATGTGCCCCCCGCTCTTGACGTCGTTGGCCTCGTGCTGATCAATCTTTGCAGTGTCGCGCCTCTAACGACAACAACATGCGCTTGGTGCGATTGGCTTCGATGCGTCGACGACGCCTCGTCTCCGTCAGAGAACCCACACTTTTCTTTCGTGCTCGCTCTTCGCATCCTCGTTACCTGCGCCCTCATCACGCATGCCTTACCGCCTTCGTGGTTTAACCTCCCTCTCTTCCATGACCACCATCTTTCTCCTTCACTAGGTCTCCCTAACGGGGGGACCTGGCCTTCGCGGCCTTTCCCTTGGAATAGGTCACGCTTGAAAGCGCGACCGGCGCCAGGCCTCATCGTGGCCCAAGGGTGAACTCTTCCACCTTGTGGAAGGGGCCAACTGGTGCATCGTTTGACATTGTCTCCCCTTTCATGAAGACCGTCGGCGACTTCAAGATTAGCAAGACAAGGGAGGGAGGGAGCAAGTCCCTTAACGAGGCGCATGAAGACCTCGTCAAGCCGCGGGAGAGAGAGCAAGGTGCAAGACATCCACGTGCGTGCATAAGGCTCCCTTGAGAAAGTTGTACTTTGTATGCCGGCCCCGGGACTCGTCACGACCCAAAGCTCAAGAGTGTAGCTCTTTGTCAATCTCCTGAGCTCGGCAGGGCCAACTGATCTCAAATGTTCGGGACGCACGTTCGCGAGGCGCCAATTTGGTCGTCCGGCTAGCTTGCCTTCGCGTGGTCGTATATGTCCTCTGTGTATCCATCGTCGTACAGATTTCCCTTCTACTCAATGTATAATGTATTGCTCTCATTTACTGGCGCTTCTCTTGCTATATGAGATTGAGCGGCTTCAAGGCACCTCCCAAGTCATCACCTGCCATCGACTGTCCCCATTTGGCTATCTCTTTGTTCGGTCCCAAAAGAGCTTCCGCTGACGTCTTGCCTTCTTCCACCATGTGCCCTCGTCCCTCTCAACATGGACGCCAACATATCGCTATCGCTGGCCATGTGCAGCCAAGCTATAAGGTACCTGGATAAGTACCCCTCTCAGGCTTGACGCATATATTGAGCTTCTGCAGCAGCGCGACAGGCGGGATCGGCAGCACGTTCGCACCGCTCCTTGACATGGCGACGCGCTTTCTGCACGCCATAGCGGTCCTGTCGGCGTTGTATGAGGGCACGACTTCAACGAGGATCGCTGAGATACAAGGGAACGCGTACCAGTCGCCGCTCGTGGGGCAGAAGGTCAGCGGCGTCACCGGGCTGGTGACTGCGAAGGTGCGTGTTGTACGATGGCTTCGGGTGCAGGCAGCTGAGGACGATGAACAGGCAGACAGTGGCTTCTACCTCGCTGGCGACCCAGTCGACGACCTGCGCGTCTCCACCGGTCTCTATGTCTACACCACCTCGTCCGACGTGCTTGACTCCGTCACCGTCGGAGACTCGATCTCGCTTTCCGGCACCGTGCAGGAGTACCGCTCCTCGTCGAAGCCCGACTACCTCTTCCTCACCGAGCTCGCGTCCCCGTCCGACATTGAGAGCCTCTCGTCAAACAACACTGTTACGCCGGTGGTGCTTGGCTACGACAGGTCGCCGCCGACGCAGAAGCTGTCCTCGTTGGACGTGGGGGACGATGGTTGGCTCTCGGTGCCGAACAACCAGACAAGGATTGAAGAGATCAACCCGACGTTGGTGCCGAGCGTCTACGGATTGGACTTCTGGGAGAGCTTGGAGGGGCAGTTGGTGCTGATTCCGAGCCCGACCGCTTTGAACTTCGAGAATAGCTATGGCGAGTTTTGGGTCTATGGAAACTGGACTGTGACGGGGAAGAATGGGCGCGGTGGCCTATCTCTGAACTTCGGTACGCTGACATGACCATTCACATCTCCTTCGTTGCTCACGAACCATGCCAGGTTCGGATGGCATCCCTGATGCCAATCCCGAGGTAGGTAAGCGCATATATGCACCCTGAATCGCCTTCTGACGATGATTGCACAGACCATCCAGGTCGGCAGCCCCCTCGACGGCACGGATAATCCCAAGGTCGCTGTCGGCGTCACCCTCAGCGACATCGTCGGCGTCGTGCATTACCAGTTTGGCTACTACCAGATTTTACCTTTGACGGCGCCCTCGGTGCTGACTACTCCTTCGCAAGAGGCCCCGCCGACGAGTATCGTGGGAGACGACGATGCGTGTAGCCTGTTCTTCGGTGACTACAACGTACGCTGCTTCTCATTTTCGCTCTGCTACTCACCGCATAGCTGACGATCACCTTCTTAGGTAGAGAACATGGCCCCCACCTCGTCCCACATCCCAGCTGTCGCCGAGCACATCGCCTCCTACCTCCTCAGCCCCGACATCCTCTTCGTGCAGGAGATCCAGGACAATTCGGGCCCGACGGACGACGGGACGGTCAGCGCGAATGTGACGCTGGTGACACTGGCGAATGCGATCAAAAATATCAGCGGCGTGGTATATGACTTTGTCGACATTGCTCCGAAAGACGGGGAGGATGGCGGGCAGCCTGGTGGGAATATAAGGCAGGCGTACTTGTGAGTGAGACTGCAGTTGTGGGGCGGGGGTCAGGCTGACGGGTGGTGTTGGAAGGTACCGCGCGGATAAGCTGCAGCTTGTGTCGGGCTCGCCTGCGGGGACAGCGCTTGATGCTGTCGAGGTGCAGGAGTCCTCTGATGGGACACCCGCATTGAAGTAAGCGCATATATGCACCTATATACCTTCAACCTTACTAACCTCACCTCACCTCGCCCACCAGTTTCAACCCCGGGCGCATCGCCCCCACCAACGCCGCCTGGGACAGCTCGCGCAAGCCCCTCGTCGCGCATTGGATCACGCCCAACGGCACCTCGCTCTTCACCATCAACCTGCACCTCACATCGAAGGGCGGTAGCAGCACGACGCACGCGAATGGCCGGACGCCGGTCAACCTCGGCGTCGAGCAGCGGACGAGTCAGGTAGAGCTGGTTGCCAGTTTTGTCGGGGATATTCTGGCGGTGGATCCGGAGGCGAATGTGATCGTCGCGGGCGATTTCAACGAGTACACGCAGACGAGGTCGGTGCTGCAGGCGCTGGAGGATATTGGCTCGGGTGGTGACGACGGCCTGATCGAGATCGACGAGGCGGCGGGGCTGGCGGAGGTCGAGCGGTACACGTACGTGTACGACCAGAACACGCAGCAGCTGGACCACGCGTTCGTGTCGGGGGCGATTGCGGGGAGGGGGGTCGAGGTCGAGCATGTGCATGTGAACAATTGGGTGGCGACGTATGCGGAGAGGGTTAGTGACCATGATCCTAGTGTGGGGAAGGTGTGGTTGTGCTGAGGAGGTATGGCTGTGTTGAGGAGGTAGTTGGGTGGAGGTCAGAAGAGACTTTGTACTTATACCCTGCGTACATAACGGCCGCTTATGACTTGGACCTTTCCTTCACGCGCGCGGTATTCGGTTTCGCGAGTTGTGGACCACAGCCCAGTCGTCGATTGCTCCTCTCCTTTCCTCCATCCCCCAAATACTGAACAAGGCACTTGAACGTCTGTGTCCCTGTGTAATTATGGACTTCGCGTTCCTCGCCCTGCCAGGCGCGTCGCCAGCATTGGCCATCCCCATCACGTGGGCGCGTGCGACCATGCAACGCCACGCGGGGCACCATAGGTCCTCCGCTCATTATACCAGGAACGGCCGCCATGAAAATGCGACCAAAGGCGACGGACTCAAAGACAATTTACCGCCTATAGCCACTCAATCATAATATTTACTGCATGCAGCAGCGCTCTTTCTGACCACGCGCGTCCCCTATACTACTCTACCTTGCTTCGAAGGTGAGGAAGGATTCAGATCGTCGAGGGCGCGCCTGGGCCCTGATTCCCTCCGGCAATCTCTCGGAAGAAAGGTGCTGATCACGGTCATATTGTCGCTAAGAGACCATCGGGCGTCGGGCTCCACTCGCATCCTGTTCCTCTGCCCGTTGCACTGGGTCGTTGTCATGCTCGCCATACTTATAGACGGAGAGCTCGCCATCAGGGCTCATTCCTTTCCTCGCTCTCACCGAAGTTCAAGCTTAGGTCTTGACTTCTCTTTCCTTCGTTTCTTCGTTCTTTCAGTGAGTAGATGGCTTCTACTACAGTCCCAGCACAATGCTAACCAAGGACTTGCAGATCGCTGGCGTATCCTCTTCTTCCCTCTTCACATCCCACTTCACTTTTCCATTCTAATCCGTAACTTCTCAACCCCATTACTGTCGTTCAATATGTTTGCGAAGGGTGCTATTCTTGCCATCACGTACTTGTCCCTCTTCCTCGTGAGGGCAGCACCGATACCTCGTGAAGTGCCTCAGGGTGAGTTATCACAGCTCAACCATCAACAGTCTTGCTAATGACCCGCCAGAGCACTCTCACGAGAAGTACCTCACCTTGGTCCGGGCGAGCTTGGCTCTCGACAACCCGCAGAACCTCGGTGACCCCGTCTTCGCCCTCCTCGGCAACGCCGCCGCCCAGCAGGGCCTCGGCGACTCCACCGACCCCGACTGCCTCCAGCAGGCGATCGCCGACCAGGCGTTCACGAACGCGAAGGCCGCGAACGACGTCGACGGCATGGTCGGCGCGCTCGTCTACCGCGCGCTCGAGCGCAACTCGGGCAAGGTCGGCGCGGCGAGCAACGCGTGCACGAGCGTGACGGCGGCGAACCCGGAGATCGCCGCGCTGCAGCAGCACCAGGACCCGGCGAGCGACGGCGCGGCGGACACGAACAAGCAGATCACGCTCGAGCTCGCGCGGCAGATTGCTAGTGTGGGCGGCGACCCGCAGCAGGCGCTCGAGTCGGGCACGTTCGCGCCGGGCGATGTGAACGACCCGACGGCGGCGGGGAATACGTGCGACGACCAGAACGATACGGAGGGATGCATCTTCACGCAGAACCTCCTTGTGGAGGACGCGACGGCGGAGGAGATTGAGGCGGCGGTTTCGGGCAGCGGCTCGTCTTCCTCGGCCAGCTCGTCTGGCGTGAGCGGTGGCGCTGCTGCTGTTGCCTCTGGCAGCTCTAGCACGGCCTCCGCGGCCGCTTCGTCCTCCACTGCTTCCTCGAACAGCGGCAGCATCGGCTGCGGCGGCTCTGCCGACTCAAGCAGCAGCTCCTCGAACAACTCGGGTGGTTCTTCCAACTCCTCGAGCAACAACTCCGGCAACGCCAACAGCAGCGCCGCCTCCGCCACCTCCAGCGCTGCCGCCTCTGCCGCCTCTTCCGCCTCCTCCTCTTCCAGCTCGGATTCCTCTTCCTCGTCCTCATCCTCCTCCACCTCCGGCAACCTCCAGACCTTCACCGGCTCCCTCGGCGGCGCCGCCCCCGCTGTCACCCCCGGCGGCCGCGGCTTCCAGGTCGAGGGCAACGACGACTTCCTGAACGCGGCCGCCGCGCTCGGCCGCTCGTGCGACGTGCAGCACAACAAGTGCGCGAACGCGGCCAACTCGGGCGGCGGGTTCTCCGTCGGTGACTGCGACCAGCAGAACACGGAGTGCCGCGCGGCGGCGAGTGCGTGAGGGACTTGTTGGGTTGAGGCGATTGCAGTGGGCGCGAGGTTGGTTCACTTGACGATTATACGGATATTTTGGAACTTTTGGATGTGTTAGTAGGAACTAGTTGGATAGTACATAACGCCGGTTTTATTCTTTTGTTTTACTCCTTTGCCTGACGTTGGATGCACAGCGCAACGGTGAGTGAATGCGGAAGGTAGGGCGAGCGACGGTTGCGTTCTTCCTCTGTGGCCATGGCTTCGCTCGTTCAATGTCCATCCGTCCTTCTTCCGCCTAGCGCATCACCCTGTGCACTAAGCGGGGTCAGCAGACACTGAACGAGGAGCATAAGACAGGAGAACTGAGTAAGAGCACCGAGTCAACCGAGTCATTCGTCGCCCTTGCGCCATCCTATATATCAGATGCTCACCGACTGGTTCAAGGGGCTCACTCTCGCCCTCTTCGCAGGTTTCGCACCCATGGCCGACAACAGTACCAGGTCAGTGATACTTCTGCACAATAGATAGGGATCTCACTAACACACGAACCCCTCCAGCACCCTGCCAGTCAACGTCGGCGTGGTGCTCTTCCCCGGCTTCCAAGCCCTGGACGTCTTCGGGCCGCTCGACGCCCTCAACATCCTCTCCAGGTCCTACCCCCTCAACCTTTCCCTCATCTCTAGCCTCCCCACCCTCGATCCCGTCTCCACTCAGCCGCCCGCCTCTGTCAACGCCATCGTCGGCCCGCCCGCCGCCGTCTCCAACTTCTCCCAGTCCCTCGTCCCCACGCACACCATCGACGCCCCGCCCGCCTCTCTCGACGTCCTCCTCGTCCCCGGCGGCCTCGGCACGCGCGCGCCCGGCCTCGAGCCGCTCATCGACTACATCGGCCGCACCGCGAAGGAGACAAAGTACGTCCTCACCGTGTGCACGGGCTCGTGGCTCGCGGCGCGCGCGGGCGCGCTGGACGGGAAAAACGCGACGTCGAACAAGCGTGCGTGGGCGGGGCGCGAGGGGCTGGGGAATAACGTGAACTGGATCAAGCACGCGCGGTGGGTGCAGGACGGGGATACGTGGACGTCGTCGGGGGTGAGTGCGGGGATCGATATGGTGCTGGCGTGGATGGAGAGTGTGTTTGGGAAGGGGGTGACGGAGGACATAGCGAATGGGATGGAGTACGAGCGGCACACCGATCCGAACTGGGATCCATTTGCCGAGCTGTATGGGCCGTAGGCTGTTAGGCAGACGCAATGATTAATGTAACATGAGTTCTTCACGGGGTCTGCGGGATAACCGTGGCGTCGACCGTGTCAGAAAGAGCACGCTCACTTGGGTTCTGCACTGCAGGGTTATACGACTGATCGAAGGCATGAATGCGAGAGAATAATGATACACGGCGCACACAAGATACACCAACGTCCAAAGTACGGCAGATGCACTACTGCCCAAAGTACTCCTCCACCAACGCCTTCTTCCGCAACTCCAACAGTAATTCCTCCATATCCCCATGTGTCGGCAGCTTGGGAGGTAGCAAATTCTCCGTCGCGAGGAAGGGTATGTAGGAGGCAGCAGCCTGCGCGTGCTGGTACGCAGGATCGGTGGGCGCGACAGCGAAGGCGTCCAAAGGAGGGGCAGGCTTGGCGGATTTGACGGTTGCGGCAGCGCCCTTGTCCGTCTTCGAACGCTTCGCGTCGTCCTCGGCAGATGCCATCTCGGCGTCGCCGTCCGCGTCTGCTTTGCGTTTCGTGGAGGGGCGCGCGTCGTCTGCTGATGCAGCGCCGACTTTGATAGCGGATGGGGGGACAGGTGGGGGTTTGGCATCGGCTGGCAATCCGAGAGCTTCGCGTACGGTTTCGAAGGCGTCGGCCCATTCTGCGCAAGGCACGGCGGTCAATGGAAGGTTCAACTGCATGGAAGGGGCGAGACGCACCTTCCTCTTCCGCATTCCGCTCGAACTGCAGCAAGCTCTCGTCCGTCTCGTCCAGGTCGCCATAGTACGCCGGACCTTGGTTCAGGAACTTCTTGTAGAATGCGTAGGCCTGGTTTTCCTCCTCCTCTTCGTGCTTCTTGCTCTCAAAAAGCTCCTTTACGCCAGGAAGTTCCTTCGCGCGTCCGAAGTACCTGAGGGGATCGGACAAGAGGGTCAGTAAATGACACTTGCCCAGATGGCATGACCACGCACTTGTATCCCTTGGTCCCCGGCACTTCCTTCCCATCCGCATCCAACATGGCCACATTTCGCCTATAATTCGCTCCTCCCAACGCAATGATCTGATTCTCCCAGTGCCGCTTCTCTCGCAAAAGCTTGTTGATCTCGTCATTCAGGTCGCGGACCTCGTAATCCGTCAAACCAGCTGACGATGCATGTTAGCATGTTCAAGCATGGCTCATTACCCGAACGCAGGTGGAGGGAAACACCATCCTGACTCACCATCCTGAATCTTCGACACCTTCCGACTGATCTCCCTCAGAATCTCCCCTCGCCAGCGCTCGCACTCGCGCATGCTCTTGCACGCGCTCGCCATCCGCGGTCGGCGGTCCGCGCGCGTTCCGAGGCCCAGCTCGGCCGCCTGGGCCTCGCGGAAGCGATAGAGCATAGACTGCGCCTTCTCCTCATTGCGAGCCTGGTTGGGGGGTCAGTATGTCTTGTGGGATATGATGAGGAGGACTGTCACCATTTCGTCTTGGTGGTCGAGTGCGAAGCGCGCTGGACGCGTTACGTCAGCAGGTGATCGAGGTGTGATCGGCGCGGGGGACCGGTGTGGGTCCGTAGAGGTCCACAAGGCCTTCGCTTTCGCAAGCTCAAAAATTCGAACAGACGCCAGATTCCGGGTAGGTCCCAGTCCAGCATGTATCGAATGCTTAAGGTAAGAGATAATGTAAGGAGTGGAGACTACCGGGCACTCGCATAGGCAATGCCAACAACGTCCTCTCATGAGGACTTCTCGACCTTCCGCAAAGCGCCGCCCTGCGCCAGCTCATATCCAGGCGGCGGGAACGGTTGCCCAAGCACAATCTTGGGCTTCCCCTTCTCCCTCTCCTCCCTTGCGAGCATCTCCTCCCTTCCCTCCCTGGCCAACTGGCGTAGCTTCTGCGTCGTCGTGCCGGGTTTCCTAAACAGCGTGGGCGCGTACGATTTGAGCAGGTCGTCTGCGACGCTTGCATTTCCGGTGCCAGAGGCGTGTTCCACGTCTTCGCCGTTGGTGATGGCCGCGCTGGCCTCCGCCTCGCCCGCCGGGCCCCCGAAGTTGAGGTTCGCAAGGAACTCGGAGATCTGTGCGCGGGAAATGCCCGTGGGCAGCGACATCGCGAAGGTCTGCCTCTCGCGCGCGGCGGCGAGGCGCTTGCGGATGTCTGCGAAAGTGTCGGAGGAGCGCGAGATGGTGTAGTGGATCGTCCCTGTAGGATGCGTCAGTATACAGGTCCGAGGACCAGAAGAATAGCTATTCGTACATGGCTTTTCCACACTGGGCACGGCGACGTAGCCCTTCACCGGCCTGTCGCCGAGATAGCTCGCGCTCGTCACTGCAAGCTCGACAATCGGCTTCTCCTCCTCGACCCCATCCCACTCAACCGGCTGCACCCACACGCGGAGCACCCCAGTCCCCTCCTCAGTCTCCCAGGTGGCCTTTACGGACTGCAGAGCACGCATTAGTCTTTGGTCATCCGTGACGCCCTCAATTCATCACCAACAGCTACACACCTGCCCCGGAAAACACCCTGCGACCTCTTCCGCGACCGTCTCCAGCATCGCGACGCACTTGCGGAACACGCGGTCGCCCGCGCCGGGCTCCATCCCAAACAGGCGCGCGTCGATCTCCTCGAGGCCGAAGTACTGGAAGCCGAAGACGCGCGCGACATTATGGTACGCGCAGAAGATGCCGTCCATGTTGCCAATGCGGGCTTGGAAGCTGGGGGATAAACGTGATCAGGACGAGGACGAGATACGAGGGACCAGGCAGCGAACGAGAGAAGGAAAGGAGAGGAAGGTAGATGGGTAAAGAGGAGACGCACCTATACTTCAGGAAAGCCGAGCGGATCAAGTCGTAGTACTCGCGCTCAAAGCTTTCCAATAAGCCATGCTGCTGGCGGATGAGGTAGCCGGAGCTCTCCTCGAAGTTGAGGAGGTCCATCCGGATGGCCATGCACGCTCGCGTCTTCATGTCGAAGACGCCCGTGCCCGGAAGGCGAGGGTCGACGCAGTCGAGTTGGGAGCGCATGATGAAGGATTGGGACTGGCTAGGGATCAGATACGCAGTGAGAGAAGAAGACGGGCGATGCTACCTTCGAATATCGGTACGCCTCGCGCATGTTGTCGCTCTCGGTCTGAGGGTGGTCGTGCGCGCGTAGATACCTTGCGAATTCCTCAGGCTCCATGGTGAAGTACTTCTCGAGGAGAGTGCCCTGCAGACAGACTGCATAAGACTCGATTCGGGACACCGGTCAAAGCGACTGACCATCCATGTCAGGATATTCTGATCGCTCTTCACGCCTGGCTTGTCTTCGTCCGAGTCGATCATATGGACGCCATCCTTGTAATTGAAGACCGTCGACGCAGGCGAGCGTTGCCCCGGAGTAAAATCGACTGGCTACATCGTGCGAGCATCAGTCAGACCCAGTGTCGGCGTGTCGGTTTATCGGCCTACCTTGTCCTCAAACGCCCGACTCAACGGCGAGATATCCACATTCCTGTCTCCCGAGATCAGGAAGTATATGTGGCTAAGCATCCCCGTAAGCGAGGATGTCGACCCCGCGAACGACTTGCCCTCGCGCACGGCGAGCGTGCGCAGGTCCTCATCACGCGAGCTCTTGACGAAGCCCTCGACGCGCTCGAACGCGAAATCGGTGACCTTGGGGAGGTGCTCGAGCTCAGGAGTAAAGTTGTAGACCGACGAGCGCGGGTCGCGCATCCAGTGGACGCCGGGGCTAACGCGTACTGATTAGATTGAGTCGCGAGGAGGAAGAGCACGCGAAAACGAAGGGGTAATCAAGGTACTAAGGAGGTGATCAGGACGCGAGGGACTAGCAAACGCACTTGAATAGGACGCGATCGAGCCCGTGCGCTAGTCGAGCTATGGGCTTGTGTGCGCTTCGCGGTGGAATGTCTGCGAAGGGCTAAGCATGTTGAAGCGAAGGATGCGTAGTGAACGAGCACCTTCCAAGACAGGTCCGGGCTCCGCTTCGGGTTCTATCAAACCTTCTATACGCCTGTTGTACGCCAGCTGCTGGAGGGTGCGTTCGGGCTTTGATGGCTTGTGCCTCAGGCTCGATCCCGGGGGAGGCGGCCGAGCGATGGCGCCAAGGTCCCATCCTGTACGCTCTGGCGACTTGCCTCTGCTACGGCCGCTCTTGACTTTGGGTTGGAGGACTGAATAGGTATGAATTCCACGAAGACGATGGATGGTAGCACACGCACCATCCTGGCCCCAATCCTCCGTCTGCAGTTCGGAAGTCGCGTCGTAGGCTTGCGGGTTCTGTTCCCGAGCCCGAGCCTGGTTTCTCTCTTCCCTTTTCCGTGCCCGTCTGACTTTCTGCTTGAGAGTCTTGCGAAGCCGTCTCTCTGCCTCGGGGTCTAACGGCGCGCCGGGGTCCACGGGCAGGCCAGCATCTAGAGCTGCGGCTATCAGGTCATCGCTACTACTCTGTGCGCGTTTTCTCCTCGGAGACGCTGCACGAGGAGCACCCTTCTTCTGTGCAGACGAGGTGAGATTATGAGGAAGCCGTCTGGCAAAAGAGACTGACAGGGAGGACAGGTCGACTCGTGGATATCGCTCGTGCTGAGCAAGCGCCTGATAGCGACGCGCTCAACGCAGGTCCATTGACACGAGTGAGCCTCCTCAGAAACATGACCGCAGCGGGGGACGACGTGAGAGACGCGTCGAGATCGCGTCCGACAGCGATCAACAAATGCGTCGGCGCTCGGGCCGGTTGCTGATGCGCGCTAATGCGCTTCAGGCGCGGTGGGCCGGTGGCGTCGGCGTCTTTCTCCATCGCTCATCATACTCCGCCGTCGTTCAACATGGCGGGCCTCTTTACGAACCTCCTGCAGTGGCTCAGTGGGTAATAACGACCTCGCCTTCTTTGGTAAACTGCGCTGAACTGGCGCCGCCAGCCTGTTCTTCTCCAAGACCGCCGAGATCGCGGTTGTCGGGCTTCAGGTGCGTGTGCGGCGTTCAAGGAAGACGTTCCCCTGCTCATCGATATCGCAGGCATCGGGGAAGACGTCTTTTGTGAATGTGATAGGGTCCGGGCAGGTTTGTACGCCTCGGCGTGTTGACGACGTCGCGACTCAATTGCCCTAGTGGAGCGAGGAAGTAGTTCCGACCGTCGCATTCAACTTCAGGAAGGTCCGGAAGGGGAACGTCTCCCTGAAGATATGGGATGTTGCTGGTGCGCGCTAGGCACCTAGATGAGCGAATTTACCGCTGATTGCGTTCAGGTCAACCCAAGTTTCGCTCAATGTGGGAACGCTACTGTTCAGGCGTTGACGCCGTCGTGTAAGGATTTTTACCTCCCCTCGTGATGCTCGCTCATATACACCGCTAGCTTCGTCGTCGACTCGGCTGACGTGCGTACACCTACTTTCCTATCCGAGCCCGCCTAACCCCAGACAGCGCGAGAAGTTCAACACGGCGCGATTCGAGCTCCATCAGCTTCTACACCAGCAGACGCTGACCGGCGTTCCCTTACTGGTGGTACGTCCCGAACGCCGCTCTTTACAAGCTGCTGTCAACCCACTCCACGCTTCTAGCTGGGCAACAAGAACGACGTCGATGGGCATGCCGGCGTGAAGGAGCTCATCAAGGCTTTGTATGCGCCTCTATCTGCACGTCATCGAGAATCGTGCTGACGCTTACGGTAGGCAGCTCGACAAAATTTCTGACCGCCCTGTTTCCGTGCGTTCTTCCTTTGCCTTCGAGATAATTTACTGATTGTGGCGCAATGTGGCGACTACAGTGCTACTCTGTAAGAACAGCACATTTCATTGCAGGACACAGAGCTCAATATCTTACAGTGCTCAATGAAGAGCCAACACAACCTCGACATTGTCCTTCAGTGGCTTTCGGGGAAGAGCCATTGAGTTACCTCTTTTACCAGCTTCCATGGCTGCAGCAATCATGACAGACACGAACACGAACAGCCATGCCCTCATGTACGCATGGTATATATCCTCGAACCTGCATCCAAGATTCTGTACAGTACTAGTTTATCGGGTTAATTAATGTATACATGTAATCCAGCACACAGGCGTCAGCTCATACACCGATGGAAAGCTTCCAAGGTCTCCTTCGGTGCGTCCCACTGGGACTGCGTAAACCGTCAGTCAACCGAATCGCAATCCAGAGAAGAAAACCCAACGTACAAAGTGATTGCACCCCTCCATCATACCGAACTGAATATCTGGCATCTCCTCTTTTTGGCGCGCCAGGTCGTCCTCTATGCACCACTTCGCCCACCACACCATCCATGGTGCATGCTCTGTCCACAGATAGTGTATTCGAGGTTCTTGCCATTCCACCATGACGCGCGGATCGCACAACGCCTCCCTGCGCAGGTGGGCTATCAGATGCATGAAGTCGGGGCGTACGACCCAGTGATCGCAGGTGGAGGCGGCGGCGAAGTCGGTGAGGTCTGTAAACTCGGCGGGCGACATTCTTTCCGTTGTCGACGGGGAGTCTGCGTTCAGGAAGAGGGCGTTCAGACGCTGCGGATCGCGCGGTGCGTGGTCGTGCGCCCAGTAATTTCCGAGCCATCGGACGAAGGCGGCGCCGCGCTGGTCGAGGGGGACGTTCTCGTCGGTGAAGGGGGTGTATATTTGCGGGCGTTCGTATCCGAGCGCCTCGTCTGGCGGATCTGCGTGAAAGGGCGAGACTGAGAGGAGGGGAGCAGAGGGAGACTGGCCACGTACCCCACAAGATGAACGACATTACGTGAGTCCTGAGCCTCTGCGCGATCTCCCCGGGGAGGAGCCTGATGGAGGCAAGAAGCGAAAGCAGGTATACGTTACCCATCGACCATGCGAGGATGGTGACGCGCTTTGGCAGGGCGAGCTCGACGATAAGCGCATCGATGAGGAGCGCGAGGCTTCTGCCCTCTGCGCGCAGGAGGGCTTTTCGCTCGTCGTCTGACCCGTCGCGAAATATCCGCTGCTCGTCTTCTGAGAAGGACGTCGAATGGGGGTATGCTCTCCTGTTGATGCATATGAGGCGGATGCCCTGGTTCGAAGCGACAGGAAGAAGACGTTCGCATATGCCTGTTCGTGTGAATGCGGAGGAACGGCGCCCCGCAGAGGTGGAAGACAGAGAAGAGGTGTCGTTAGCTTTCGTTGTGGGGGCACAAAAATGGTCTAAGCTCACCCGTGGAGTAGAAAGCATAACCATGGATGAAGAAAAGCGTCGAATAGCTTGAGGCATTTTCCGGGGGACCAGAATCGGTATAGGCATACTGCAGTCCCGTGCTGATGGTCTGAGTCTGCATAGGGTCGATCGCGTGTGCTCTAGCGAGTCTTTAAAACCCAGCGCGCGGGACGTCTATTTTCCTCCTGCGGGGTGAATGGCAAAGAAGGGACCAACCGAAGGCGCAGAGATGAAAGCAATAAGAGGCAGGCGTTCTTTATATTCAAGACCACCTCGTCGGTCGCCGCGGATGATGCGCCCTTGACATGCTTATCGCCTCGCCTTCGGACCCAGTATCCCGGGAGGCGCCATTTGACGGAAGTCAGGTCGGGGGACGTCAGTTCAGACCATTCGACCGGGAGAGATCATCCCGCTGTTCGCAGCCGACTACGCGTGTCTAGAGCACGCGCTCCTGCGGCGCTATGTCCTCGCGCAGTGCCGAGCTGGCGCGTGCTAGGCGGTTCCGTTCAATGATGTTTGCCAGGCGAGCTTTCTAACTTATGTCCTGAGAGGCCGATTGGGAGGGCAGTCACGTCCAGAACGAGGAAGACATTCGACGAGAAGATTCTCACGTCCCGCTGCCTGCAATGTATCAACTCTCGAGGCTTCAAGCAGGGTAGCAGATCCCATAGCGCTTAGTGACTTGCGGCAGCGAGGAGTGAATTGCGCGGTGATCGTCGGCGTGAGCTTGGCTAGATGGCTTCATTTCCTGAGATCAGATGACGAGGGAAAGGTCGGAGGAAAGCAAGAGGATAAAACATGAGGATACCGCAGGAACAGAGTCTGAAAGTCAAAGTGAAGGCCCTCGCCATGCATGTTGATATGTCGTTACGGAAGACCCCGAACAACGGGCTGTTCCGAGCTCTGCTAGCACGTGCGCAATAAGCGCGCGTCACACAGTGACAAAGTTGAACCTTGTCTTCCCCGCAAGAGCCACAGCTTAAGCTCGCCTTTGAAGGAATCGGGGTGCTTGTATACACGTAAGCTGCGATGAGGGGCGGGTGCTGTACTCTGGCACGCTCGTCCACGTCCGCCGAACCTATTCCGGCTGTCGCGTACTCGCTTTTCCAGGGCGTCTGCCGCTGCCCGGTCTGAACGGGTGCGACGAACGGTAGGTGCTGGCCTTTCGGATGTTGTCCCTCCCATTTCTGATCCACAAATTTCTATAGAACTAGGCAGCGCGAGCGCTATGTCAAAGCCCGACGTGCCACAAGCAAGCCAGTGATCCCTGTGCTACTTATGGCACGGATCTCGTTTCCGCGCCTGCGGTCCTCTGTCTGATTCCCCCTGTTATGGCTTCTCTTCTCCAGTACGCAATCTTCTAGTAAAGATTACGTACCGATCTCATCTTCACCCCCAGGAACCGACCTGGTCTTAGCGCCAACGGCAGCCCTCGGAGGCCGATGGGGGATCTATAATGGTCATTAAGCACGTCGCGGAAGTGCTCGCGTATCGTTGGGAATCTCGAGGCTTGTTCCTCATGTCTTGCTCCTCCGGACGTGGCCTCTGCCAATCTCACCCGAGCCCGATGTTATCTCCTCCGGGCACGCGCTAGCCTCGTTGTCTTGTCGATCTCGTTGGTGAGTGCTATCTGATCCTATTGAACCTTCAATGCCGACTCAACAATCCACCAGGCAAGTGCTCGACGTAAGTAGAAGCTTGGCCTCTTGCGCGGCAGTACTAGAACGAGTATACAGTCGCCCCTTCGTCCACGGAAGTGCAGTAAGCACTATGACTTGCAGAGGCTTCTGAATCTTAGCGGCGCTCTTGTCAGAGTTGCCAGCACGACACCCATGTCTGCAACTCCCTCCCTCTCGTAAGTCCTTGGTTGCCGCGGCAGACATGAGCTACCTGACAGCATGCCGGCCTCCTGCACCTGCCGCCGACGCTCGCCACGAAAGGGCCTCGGGTCCGGCTTTGTACAGCAGTATAGGAAGATCATGACGCCAGCAACGTATACATCGGAAGCCTAGCCTACCCGTTGAAGAAGATCTGTACTCGTCGCGGGTGGCCACCTGGTTCTGACCGATATCACAACGTACACTCACTTATCGATGACTCCCCGTACCTCTCGTTGAACTCCCGCAGGACGAAGACATCGATCCGACTTGCATGCGGCGTGTGAATTGGTTATGAGAATATAGGAGAGCGCATTTACAGTATGTACACAGTACAGCAGAGGGTATAGATGATACAGATCCACGAGAACAGGCAGAGAAGGAGTCACGTAACGGGGGAGGCGCGCGTTCAGCGAAGGGGTAGGCGTCAAATGCCCCACATCTCGCAGAAGCGGTAGAGCATCGCGGTGACGATGACATGGTCCATCATCGGCGGGTGCGTCTGCGGAAGTGTGAGGGCGGCCGTCGAGGTCGGGAGAAAGCGGCACGTACCACAGTACCCGCACCTGCCGTGCGGATAAAGTGCAGCTCGCCGTGGACCTCGCCCGCCTGGTAGAGCGATGGCGGGTTGAGTGGGTGCCAGAACGCGATGACGTTCTGGTTCATGTCCTGCAACTAGAGAGATAATCAGTCGACGCCGTGAAGTTGAGTACAAGTGGACTTACGACGATGTCCATACCGTTGGACGCTGGCCGCCAGCGGTAGAGGTTACCGTCCGGACCGTTGAAGATGCGTGCTCTGGGCACACGGGCGTCGGGGCGGACAAGGTCTGCCATGGGAAGCGTGTTCTATCGAAGGGTCAGTGAATGAATAGAGGTAGACAATGCGCCGAAACAGACCTTCCCGATGATGATGCGACCAAGACCTCCGGTAGCGGACCACTCGAGCTTCGCGACACGGTCTTCCTTGTTCGCACGTATGGTGCGCCAGAGGACCGTGACGCTGTTGCTGTTGGCGCTCACGTTCGTCTGTGAAGCGGTCAGTCTTCTCGCCACTTCACATGCATCGAAGAGGGAAGTACCTGGAAGCGGTACGCGACGCCGAAGGAGTTGTACAACTGGCTCTCGCGCGGATCCTTGTTGGTCCAGGAAAGGATGTCGTTGGAGGAGGCCGCCATTGCTAGTGTCGAGAAGCCCGAGTTGTGGCGAGGAGATTCAGAGGGGGGTGTGGTGGCTGAGAAGCTGAGATGCGAAGTTCCCTCCTTTTAAAATGCCGGGCATGTTGCCAGCAACGTTGAAAAGATGGGCCTTCATCATGGACCCGGATGGTCTTTGGAAGGAGAGATCGAAACGTGGTGTATGCGCTCAACGTGCTGGAGAGGGGCAGGGTACGTCGTCGCGGGTCATTTGAGCATCTCAGATTACCCGATGATCAAGGCGCCAAACATGCGCCCCGCGTCTACCTGCGAGAGCGAGGGGACGGAAGGCATGCGAGCCCGGCAGTCACCGGGGAGACGCGCCTGCTCCCTGGGCCCGTGCACGACGAAGGGCGCGCGTGGTGGATCCGGCGTTGATAGCACAGATGCATAAGGCAATTCCGCCTCGTACGCTTGGGCTGGCGTGCGCTGTTCTCAGAGGAGGGCACGCGTACAACACGTGTATCAAGGTTCCTGTACGTCAGCCAGGAAGAGCCGACGGATGAGAAGGCGGTGGCCGACGTGCGCGCAGCTGATAGTATTGAGGGCGGGAGGCCATTGAAACCATCGATGACTGCGTGCTCTACGTTTAGGCGCCATCCGACCGGCTTCTAACGAGCCTCGAGCAGGTATTGCACGCGGAAGAGGGGATTATTGATTCCGCTGAGCCCTCGGAGTCGGCGTAGACAGGTGTTCTTCACTTCAACTTGCGGGTCAGCGCCTCAATTGCGGAGCGTTCAAATTGAGATCGACATGAGGAGAGGAGATAGGGCCTGGACGAGGAGAGTTCTGACATCCGCCATAAGATTTGACATTTGGTTTATTGAGGGCAGAAAATGGAAGGATGGAGTCGACCTCAAGGACGTTGGGTCGCTCTTGTTCGAGTTGGGATGAAGTGACACTGGCTGGAAGCTTGATTGGGTCAACATCAACATCAATGTGACAGAAACGGTGACAACGTCACTAAGCAACACGCACGTGATGCGATCAAGATGGACCAACAAAGCAACGATGCTCCCAGCACCAAAGGACAGAAGGCTGTTTATGGTGTCGATAATAAGCTCGAGCGCCCATGCAGCGGATATCACTCCGGTAAAGCTCTCAATAGCCTCGGAGGGCCCTTGACCAAAAGGGAACAAGGGGAACAGGCGTCCAATCGCCATGATCTATGATGCGATGGTCAAAGATTCGACCAGACCTTCCTGGTGCCGAAGACATGTGAGCCTTGACGTCGACGAGTGACCATCAACAACTCCGCGCTTCTCGTTTGCCCATCACTTACGACAGAGTACAAAGGATACTGACCTCCCAGGCCGCATCTCCACAAGATCACGAGGCAAAGGCACCGGCCAAGAGTGCTTCGACATTGTATGCTGTATCCGGTCATCGCCAGCGGGCGAGTTACATAAGTTATAGATGAGTCCCGAGATGAGTAGGCCCCGAAGTGAGCAGGCCCGAGATGAGTATGCGTCCGCGATGTCCATGGCCCCGAATGATACTGACGTGTCCCGAGATGATACTGGCCCCGGCGTTCTCATTTGCGTTCTGCTAGCTCGACGAGCGCCATCATCGTCTTCTCCGGGTCGTCCCAAGCCGCCTGCGAACGCGTCATCAGCCAGACGTCTGTGCGGACGAGATGCGCGCCTCACGAAGTGATTGCACCCGTCCATCCGTCTAAACTCGACGGGCGGCGCGTAACTGCGGCCTTGTCTAGCCTGAATTTCCTCTTCAAGCTTCCATTTGCCCATAACTATGCTCCATGTCGTGCAGTCACACCACAAGTATGATAGCCGTGCCCCGACCCAATGCGACATGCACTCCTCATTGAAGAGCGTCCGCTCTCGCAGCTCGGCTAATACGTTCCCAAAATGTGGCGGGGAGACCACGAAGCTGTCACACAAGTTCGCAGCGTCGAGGTTGGAGAGTGCGTCGCGTTGAGCACGCGTCATGGTGTCGAGAGTGGCTACTCGACGCGCGTAGCAGGACGAATTCGCTTGCGCATCTGTAATGCGAGGGGATGATTAACCACTGTCTGATACCGCAAATAGTCCGGAATACGGACCATTCTCCTCTTCTGTGGCGCAGAGTGTGGTCGGGTCGTGGCTGTCAGTACTCCTGTGGTGCCAGTATATGGAAAACCACCGGTTGAACGCGTCGAAGCGTGTCTTCCCCGGCGGAATGTTCTCATCCGTAATAGGCAAATACAGCGAAGGGCCTGAGAGGCCCCAAGCGCTCACAGGCGGGTCTGTGGGAGAGAAGTAAGCGCGGTGGTCCGTAGGAGATTGGCTTGCCAGATAGATAGGCAGCGATGACGCACCGAAGAAGACGACGCCGATGACGGAGCTCCGGACGCGCTCCTGAGACGCCGGGGTGAGCCTGGGGAGCGCGTCGAGGAGCGGGTACGCGTAGGCTACAGCCGCCGACCACGCAACGAGCACGACGCGCGGGGGCAGCGCGCAGCGCGCAATGGCCGCGTCGACAAATTTGAGGAGGGCCTCGGCCTCCCTCTCCATGAACGCGAGGCGCGCTTCATCGGGGCCCTGCGAGATGAGCTCCTGCTCCTCGGGCGTGTAGGGCGTGGACGCGCCGTAGCCACGTCGATCCACCGCGATCAGGCGTGCTCGGTGCGCGGGGGCCAAGTCGAACATGGGCCGCCAGACATCTAGCCGATCGTGTCGTGGAATTAGCGCGTGCGCTCGGGTATTTGCATCTGGGGGACGCACCGCGATAGAACGTATGACCGTGGAAGAGGATGAACGTCGGGTAGTCGCCCTCCCCTGGCGGCGCGCCGCTATCAATGTAGGAGAACTCAACGGCGAGGTCGTGGAGCGCGATGGAGGGCATGGAGGCGGACATGCTTCGCGCCCTGGGAGAAGACAAGGGGCGCAGATAAATGCCTGATGTGGGCGTCTCGGAGGCGCGAGGCGGAGGCTAACTGAGATAGGTATTGGGGCGGCGTTCAGAGAATGCGTGCATATTGCGGCGACGAAGCACGACTTTACGCCCGACGACGTCGAGGAAGCTGGTCCGCACGCATGCTCGAAGTCGAAGAACGAGATATTCGCTTCACCGCCCGTCGCGATCGCGTACACCGGATCGCCGGGCCGACGATGATTGCGCTGTTGCTGTCAACATCGTTCTCCTCGACGCCGCTTGATTACTGCCATCATGACCGCCTCGGCGACCTCTGGGTCCCCCATCAAGAATGCGACGACAAGCTTGGAAGAGTACATGCGCGTCCAGCAGGACCTCGTCAGGGAGGCGTCACTGGCCCTTCCCCACTCCTTCTCACAGTGCACCTACAGTCTGGGTTACATCCGGTGCGCCACCTCGTCGTCTCAGACATAGCGAAGCCTAACTTTCCGCTCCGACTCTCCTTCAACCCCGCGGACGAACTTTACTTACTTCATGAACGCATCTCCGGACCCGACTCCGTGTTTATTCTAAATTTCCATCCAAACGCGTACCGCGACGCGTCCCCCACGCGTCCCCCTTCATGTCCGCGCCGACTCCAGCCAACCCGTGTATCTCTGTCAGACATGCCCCGAAGCGAAGGGCGTATGTGCATCGTGCAGTATCGCCTGCCACGCCGACCACGAGCAGATTGAGCTGTAAGCATCGCGTCATGACTGCGCGCGCCGCGGGAGGCTCACCCAAGCGGGTCCAGGTTCCCCAAGCGCCACTTTCGCTGCGACTGTCCCACGACGAGTATAGCGCACTCGTGCACTCTGCACAAACGCCCGGAGCTGGAGAATGAGGAGAACCAGTACGGTCAGAACTTCCAGGGTACGTGCGACGTCGAGCCTTCCCTCATCTAGTGATCTCATGCATCGTAGGGCTCTTCTGTCGCTGTCACAGAACCTACGATGCGACGACAGAGAGGGAGGCTATGATCCAGTGTCTCGCCTGCGAGGTGAGTTGGCTGTCCAAGCCCACCGAGTGGATTACTAACGGTACTTCCCCCAGGACTGGTTCCATGAATCCTGTTGTAACCTCCGCGAGCGCCCGCCGCCGCGAGGATCGACGCCACCGCCAGAGCCTCCTTCGCAGGACCCATCATCATTTATACCTCCCACCTTATCTTCCACCTCTCCCTCGGCTGTTACTCCTGCCTCTTCCTCCCCCTCTACCTCCCTGACCTCCTCCACCGACCCTGCCTCTTCCCTCGCGCCCTCATCCGCCCCTCCCAGTACCAACGACGACACCCCCTCCGAAGCTTCTGACGAGGACGACCTCCCACCCGCGCTCATCACCCCCGATGACTACGAGGCCTTCGTCTGTGGCGCGTGCGTGCAGCGGATCGAGGTGCTCAAGCGGTATGCGGGATCGGCCGAGGCGGTGATGGTGGGGAGAGGAAATGATGGGAGGTGGGTGAAGATTGACGGAGAGGAGAGGGAGGTGAAGGTCGACGGCGAAGACGCGGATGTGGACGTGACCGGCGACGAGGCCACCGCAGGCTCAAAGCGCCGACACGACGGAGACGGCGAGCACGACACCAAGAGGAGGCGGGTCTCTGAGCAGCCTGAAGGCGAGGGAATCAGGGAGAGGTCCCTTGGGGAGCAGCTGTCTTCGACGAAGCCTCCGTGCAGGGCCCCGCGGAACCCCACCTCCTCCGCATCCGGGCCAACGCCCTCCGCACCGGCAGCGGGGCCAAGAACAGACGCAGCGGGGAAGATCCTGGAGGCGGTCGCACGTGGCGACTATTCTCTAGGCACCGGGGACGTGTTCCTTACCAGGGAGAACTTCCGCGAGCGGTGGTGTCGGTGTGAGGAGGTAAGTGCGAGGCCTTGTCGAGCCGCTTTCTTCGCAGTCGAACGAATATTGATCTCCCACTCGCAGTGCCTACCGTCACTGTTGGCGAACAAATTCCTTTTGGAGGACGAGGAGACTTGGGAGCCGCCAGAAGACGAGGACTCAGGTGAGGGCATAGCGAACAAATGCTGTACGTGTGCTTCTCACTCATCGTCATGCTAGGACGATCGCTGGAGGAGCTGGGCCTGCGCGCTCTGAACAAGCTGCCGCGCGATCGTGCGATCGACGGGATTATGCAGTTCAATGCACTGAAGTACGTTATTGGACTTGGAAAGATAGAGAGGGTACTGACGATGCGTAGAGATCACCTCGTTGGCTACCTCCGTCCGTTTGCGCAGGAGGGAAAGGTGGTCGGCGAGACAGACGTGCGCTCCTTCTTCGCCGAACTCATGGAGGCGCGTGCGAAGCCGACACTGTGAGCTACAAGGGTGGAGTAGAACCGAGTAAGGATGACCTGTAGGTTGTCAGCATGACCTGCAGGGCGGATGCATGGTCTGCAAAACCAGGAGGAAATGCTACAAATTCTTGTCGTCCAATCATGTCTTGAGTACCTCTTCAGAGAATCGAGCCCCAGGTTGTGTACCGGGACGAGTAGAACGCCTGCTGTATTTACGTGAGGGTATAGATGGTCCCCTACACATGCAGGTACTTGGCAGCCTGCAGGAGTGGGTGGCAGCGGGCAAGACCGTTTGGGGCACAAGGATAGCGCAGTATGCCGAGCAGCAACGATGGCTGTGCTGGGTTCGGCCTGGCCCGGTCGCAACCGCTCCCTATCTCGGGCGTCACACGTTCCCCCACCCGCCCCCGCGTCCGCCTCCCTGATACCCCCAGAGCAAGTCTACAGTCGAGGAAGAGAGCGCCAAGGCTTGGATGGCGAGCAGACCGATGAACAACGTAAGTTTGGCGCTCGCGACGCTGCCAAGCCCAAGCTGAATGCCGTGCCATCAAAGATCTCTTTTGATTCGAGGGGCACCAAGCTGCCAAAGGTCGGTTTCCGAGTTCATTAAGCTTGTCTGCGACTACCATCGTCTCCGTTCCGCGTGCCATGGCAGAGGCGCCGCACCACCACAAGCGCCGCTCCTGGTTCCACCCCTCGCGCCCGAGCAGCAGCAGCGGTCGCCCGTCTTCCAGCAGCGGTGGTCGCTCGCGGCCCGGGAGCAGCAGCGGTGGGAGCGGGAGCTGGTCGATCTCGCTGCCTACCCCGACCGAGGGTCAGCAGCTCGATCTCTCGCGTCCCGCCACCCCGGCGACCGAGCATGCCCCGCCCCACCACGGCGTCCCATTCACGCGCTCAGAGACCTATGACTCGCCCCCCGTCAGCCGCCCGACCACCCCGCGCCGTCTGTCAGCGATTGTACTCACCTCTTCTTCTTCTAAACAGGGCGGCGATGACAACAACAACAAGGAGGACGGCTTCCAGCCGCTCGTACGCGCGCAGTCCGCGCAGCCACAGCTTTCGTCGGTGCGCTCGCACGAGAGCAGTACTGGCAAGGGATCGTTCGGGAAGATGTCGCTGACGTCGATGCTCTCGACCTTGTCACTCTCGCGCACGACGAGCTCGCTGAGCCTGGTCGATAGCGCGAAGAACGATCGGGACAAGAAGAAGGAGAAGGACGAGGACTCGCGCGGCCGATCCATGTACAAGAGCAAGGGGCGCTCCGCATCGCAGACGCCGGCACCCGAGAGCGAGCCATCGTCGCGCAGCGTCTCCCGCGCGCGCTCGATGTCGCCCTTCACCTTCCGGCGCAAGCGGCGCGAATCCTCTCCCCAGCCACAGGCGATCCCACTTAGCCAGTCCGATGTCGACGTATCATCTGACACTGCATCCGTGCGACCTCGCACAGCCTTCCAGGACGACGACTCCGGCGACGAGACGGAGACCGGCCCTGATGACGACTCCGAGGATGAATGGCCGGACGACGAAGACGATGTATTCGACCCCGTCACGGAGGCAAACACCGAGCGTAACGCGCAGATCGCGGATTTGCGCGTCGCGGACGGGGATCTCGAGCAGGAGCCCGATCCCCTCGGCGAGGGCGTGAACGTCGTAGTCCCGCCAGAGCCGTATTTCCCGACTACCCTCAACTCGTACTCGTCCAACTTATCGACCTCGGCGTCGGTGCGGGGGAAGCGCAACCCGCGCCGGAGGCGCTCGATGAAGCCCATCGAACCCCTGCCGTTGGACACGTCGCGTCCCGTCTTCCAGCGCGACCGGTGCACGATCACCCTAACGCAAGGCGATCCCGACGCGAAGCTGGCTGAGGTCGGGAGGCGAGCGCGGAAATATATCGTGGCGAGCGATCTCAGTCAAGAGTCGCGATATGCCGTCGAATGGGGCATTGGCACGGTCTTGCGAGATGGCGATGAGATGATGATCGTGACGGTCGTGGAGAACGAATCGAAGGGTGCGTGGCGCGTACCCGAATGCGAGCAAGGTCTTATACCCCCTCAGTTGATCCAGCCATCCCGAATGCGGCTGACAGAGCGAACAAGCTGCGCTCGCAACAGGAGGTGCGCCGACTGAATGTTCCAGTTGTATATATAGTGTTAACGACACGGCCTACAGCGTCAGGGACTGGCATACATACTCGCGCGTCAGGCGACTTCGCTCCTACAGCGTACCAAGCTACACGTCCGTGTTGTCTGCCAGGCCTGGCATGCCAAGAACATGCGACATATGCTGCTAGGTGCGTTCCTACCGCCACCATATATGCGCTTGCACTGACTTCCCATCTAGACATCGTCGACTACTACGAGCCCTCCATGCTCATTGTCGGCTCGCGCGGTCTCGGGCAGATCAAGGGTATCCTCCTCGGTTCCACCTCCCACTACCTCATCCAGAAGTGCTCTGTGCCCGTCATGGTCGCGCGCCGCCGTCTCAAGCGCCCGCCGCGTCGCCAGGCGCACCTCGCGAAGCACCGCGCGCACGTCAGTCTCGCGGAGGCCGCGATCGACCGTGTCGCGAGTCGCGTGGACGACGATGTGCAGACGATGCGCGAGGAGATCGACCGGGAGACGGTCGAGGCGGAGCGCGAGAGGCAGAGGCAGGGAGGCGGTATCGGCGCCAGCGAGTCGAATCGGCGATTGGAGGACGAAGAAGCCACTGGATCCGAGGAAGAGACGGAGGGCGAAGGCGAGGACGCGCCGAATGAAGACGAGTCGGGTGTGAAGGTTGCAGGCGGGGAGTAATGGCGACAAGCTGAGGACAAAGGGTGGCGAGGGTTTGGTGAATACAGTGAAGGGCAGAACGCAGGACGCTGACTCCAGAACTATGTGAGAGCGTCATAATAGTGGAGGACGAACACGTACGTATCTATACTGTAGGTTGCTCATATTTTGGCCCAGGGGTTCGTTTTTATTCATACCGTCCTAGGGATATCCTTTTCAGCTACTCGATACTGTGCAAGTAATAGACTTCGGACTTGATCTGGTTGATTCCAATTGTAGATGAGTGGCTGTTACCTTTGTCTTCCTTCTGGAGGATCACATTCAGGTGGCTGCCTTCATCTGGACGGACATACAAGATGCATCGAGCGCAATAATTCAACGTTGGTCATGACTCAATAAATATGAAAGCAAAACGACAGGACCCAATCCCTTCCGAGCACCCTCTACAGGTTGTACAGATCCGCGAACGGGTCGTAGCTCGGGTCGAGCTGGCGCTCGTACTCCATGCTGTTCGCCACATCCGTCGCCGTATCATTCCCATACACGCTCGCAATCCACGCCAGCGTCATGTCGATACCCGCACTGATCCCCGACGACGTCCACACATTCCCGTCCTCGACCCACCGCGCGTGCGCGATCCAGTTCGTGCCGTTCCCGAGCCCCTCGCGCCCCGCCCACGAGCGCTTGTTCGACGTCGCGTTCTTCCCGTCGAGCACGCCCGCGCGCGCCGCGAGCCACGAGCCCGTGCAGATGGTGAGCACGTAGTCCGTCTCCTGCGCCGCGTCCGCGATGTAGGCGATCAGCGGGTCGAGGTCGTCCGCGCGCGTGCCGAGGCCGCCGGGGATCATGAGCACGTCGAGCGCGGGGGCGTCCTGGATGGTGTGCGTGGGCGCGATGGCCTCGGAGAAGTTCGAGTTGTGCGTGTTCATGCCGGCGGAGCGCGCTTTGGTGGAGACGGGGTCGAGCGTGGTGGAGGAGATGAGGTAGAGGTTGAGCGGGTATTGCATGGAGAGGAGGTTGAGCGCGTCTAGAGGCCCGAAAACGTCCAGGGCTTGGAAGGAGGGGAAGAGCACCATGCCGAAGTTGACGGGGAGGGTGGAGCTGGGGACGTGTCAATTGGTCAGGTATGTAACCTGGTGTAACGGAGGCGACTAACTTGGTGCTGTTGTCCTGCGCGGTCGCAAGCCCTGCGAGCGCGGCGAGCGCAAGTCCCTGAAGCCACTTCATAGACATCGTGCACAGAAAGAGAACCTGGACGTGAACGGAAAAGAAGGGTGCGTAAAGGAAAGGAGGGTTGAGTCTGAAGAGTAGACCAATGCTCCTTACGACAATTTTATACCTCGGTCTTCTTGTGGGAGACGACCGACACCCTGCCATTGACGCCTTCATCACCGCATGTTTTCTGACCTGTGACAACTGTGTCGATATCTTGTCTGGCGCTCTCGGAGTGGCTCCCGCAGGCATTGGCCGCAAGCAGGGCACACATCATTCGCAGCATGCAGAAGGTGCGCAAAGGATGATTGGTACCCGCACCTTTACATCCCTTGCGAAAGCAGGCCTTGGCGTCGCCGCGTCGGTGAAAGTGGGCGTTTCGCGTTTGAGATGGTCTGTAGCGCTTGGTTGCCATGTGAGTAAGCCGGACAATTTCTGGAAAATGAGTCCGGGGCTGCCTATCATCCATTGCCGAATGTATTCGTCGCCTCCCTTGCAGCCGAAGGTCAAGTCGACCAGAAGTGACGTGACGCAAGGCCGTGACCGAGTGTTGAACTTCCCAGCCATACTTTCAGAGTCCTTCCTAAGACACAGGCGCATGCAAGATCAACTAGGATGCTTTATTCGGTTGATATTGCTCATCGCTTCCTTGCCATCTGCTTCGTTAAGTTGTCGATGTACATCTGGAGAGTCTCGTTGCCGCCTGACAGCTTCTCGACCTCCTTCTGCAACGTCTGAACGCGGTTCAGCAGCACTGGTGCGTGGGTCAGTCGTAAGCCGCATCAAATAGAATTAAGAGAACAGACATCGCAGGTCCTCTTGAGAAGCTACAATTTCTCTGTGGCGCAATTGAGTCTGCAGAACTGTATAGAGGGGTTGATACTTACTTCAGTACCTTCTCTTTCTTGATAGCAGAAGTAACAATGTCCTCTCCAGCAGGCTCCGGACCCCAAGCGGGAGACTCATCCAGGTCGGCAACGAAAGACATGGGTGGCACCCGCACTCGAGGACGTGATGAGAGTTTGAGGCAAGTGCCAGGTGGCGCAACACGACGAGCAAAGCGTGGGTCTATCTGCCTAATGGAGCAATCTCATGACGCGTCGCGTCCAGCGCTTGCTTGCCATCGCCTCTGTACTTTCTTCCATCATCACGCACAACACCGCCTCGACCCACCATGGCCTCCGAGACTCTGCTTGCCTTCAAAGCTGGGCGCGCCCTGCGTCGCGAGGGCACCAACTTTGTAGATCCCAGCCCCATCAAGGGTGCCGTCCTCCTTGTTCGCGGCGACGATGAGCTCTTGCACTTTATCTGGAAGAACCGCACGACGAACGATGTCGAGGAGGATTTGATCCTCTTCCCTGGCGATGCGAGCTTTGTGAAGGTCAGCCAGGCTGGGGGACGCGTGTACGTCCTCAAGTTCTCCTCGTCGGATCAGAGGCACTTCGTGAGTGGTTTGGCTGGCACTGTGAGGATGGCGAAGGCTGATAGGAGGTAGTTTTGGATGCAGGTGAATCATGAATCGATGTGAGGAGCGAGGGCAGAGGTGCTGATTGCGATAGGACGCCTCTGCCGCCCGCGATGAGGAATTCGTGAGCAATCTGAACCGCCTGCTGGAGGACCCCGATTACACGCCAGTGTGGCCCGAGCAAGCCGCCTCAACGTCTACTGGACCCGGCACTGCGTACGCCTGTCATTAGCCTACAGCGTGGTGATTACTTATCCCAATCCAGGAGCGCACCAAACCCGTCCGACTTTCAGGCCACGCCCGAGCAGCTTGCACAGCTGCAGCAGATTCTCTCTCGCGGGGGATCGGGCGGAGCAGGGCTTTCGGACCCCGCTTCTGGTACGCCTCATAAGTTCCCAAGCAATCATCGCGTGTACTGACGGGCCTTTCAGATCTGTCCCTCACCGACATTCTTACGCCCGCCAACCTGAACCCGCTCTTCACGTCTCACCCGGAGCTCATCCCCACGCTCTTCCCCCACCTTCCACCAGACTTGCCGATGCCACCGTCACCGGAGGTGCTGCAGCAGATTACCAAGTACGTACATTGTTTACTAGTCGTGCTTTCAGCCCTACATCCCCTCTTATCCTCGACACTTCCACTGCAGCTTGGTTCTATCTTGGTGAGAGCTTGTGCTTACTTTCTACCGTCAGCTCGCCCCAGTTTCGCTCCGCTGTCGCGAGCTTCGACCAGGCGCTACGCACCGGGCTGCTCGGCAACCTTGTCCGCGCGTTCGGTCTACCTGAGGAGGCGGGCACGGGGATAGGTCCCTTCTTGAGAGCGATCCAGGATCAGGCGGATAGGCAAGGGGAGGACAGTATGGAGACGGATTGATGAGTATAGATCGGTGTAATGTGTATGCTTCCATGCTTCGACCAAAGGAATAATGGGCGAACCCGGGCTTCCGATGATGGTCCTTTCCTCAACGCTACTCAGGATATCTACGTCTCTGATGAGCGTACTCTGTTGTTATAAAGGTTGTCTGATAGCTCCTGAGAACGCTCCCTCTTGTAAATTTCACCCATTTCGAGAACAATAGACAATATGCTCGGCCCGGAGGATCCGAAGTGCTAAACGCGGGGTTCTGACGCTCGATGCGCGCATCATCCTTGCTTCCTCCTCTCGCACTTGCGACTACCCATGCTACCCCGCCCATCCTAGCTACTCGCATTGCAGCCTCTGTAGCGCAATGGACGGACCAGATGGTCCAGCATCCCGCAGCTCCAGCTCCCAGAACACATCTAGCAAGCCCCGCGACAATGGCACGCACGCCCACCTGCGCTTCTTCATAGGCCCTCTCCCCGACAAGATCGTGTCCGACACTGAGACGCGCCTCGAGCGCTCACGCTTGCGCACATTTTTGCGCCTGCCCGGTTCCGCGGACGATGATGGCAGCGCAGGCGCGGTTAGCGAGCTCATACGCGACCAGGCCTTCAACATATACATCCGCGAGGGCGGGCGGGAGGAGAACTGGGGAGAGGACCGCGAGGAATCCGTGGTCGATGACCTCATGCGGCGCTGGCGCGAGAGCGAGTGGGCGCGGGCGCTGAGCCGGCGCAAAGGTCAGGGCCAGGCGCAGCGTTGGGTCGGGAACAGCTTCGAGGTGGGGAACTTCCTGGGGAGCAATGTGCTCAAGGAGCGGATGTACAGCAGGAGCACGCGGAGCCTGGTGTCGACACCGGGGCGGCCGAGCGTGTCGTCGCCGCCGCAGGAGCCTGCTTCGCCGACGACGGGGCAACAATGTTACTTCACTGCGCATACTAATCCTACGCGACGTCCGTCGGATGGGGAATCCTTCTTCAGCGCAGCTATAGCGAACGATCAAAGAACTCCCTCGAGTACAGCCCCAATCGACCATTCCTCAACCAAACTCCCTGATCATCTCCCCCAATCCCACCCTGACGCCTCATCGCATCCTCGTCCGCATGCCTTGTCCCTCCAACCTCATACCGACGCCCACCTCAAATCCATCATCAGTCTACCATCCCTCGCCATACAGAGCGATAGCGCCGTGAACACGCCCAATGCTCCCAGAACACCCAACAAGCGCGTCGTTCACTACGCCGATTCTCCTGTCAAATCCCCCAAAGTCGCGAAGGCGCCGCGCTCACCCATCAGTGGCCTGCCGACCGAGTCTGGTGGTGCACCTAGTGGACAACAGGGTCCTTCGTATGCGTCAGAACCTTTGGCCGCTTCCCCGACTGAGTCCAGTTACCCGAACGAAGAGGAATCCCCCGTCTCTCCGACGGAGGTGCTTCAACGATCCGGGACTGACGTCCAAGACACAAGTGCAGGTGCTACTCAGGACTCGCTGGTCCAGGCCGTAGAGACGGACTATAATGGCGTTGTAATGAGAGGTGAGCCCTAATCTGAACTGTTTCTCTCCACTTGCAATACTTGTAGTCTCTATTCTCATGGTCTTGGTCTTCACTAACGTACCTGCTGCAAGCTAATCGCTACTCCCTCCAGACCGAATGCTTGTCCGCCCTGCCTTCCTTCGCGAAGCGACCGTCTCGCCACACTTCGACGAGGCGGAGAACCGCACTACGCGACACGTATTGTACAGCGACTGGAAGGAGTACCTCGTCGTATGGCGACAGAATCGGGTGGAGCTGTATGAGGATTATGTGAGGCTCTCATACTTCCATCATACGGGTGCCCAGCTTCCGTCGCTGCTTACACGATTCGTCAGAGCACACCCGGCAAGGAATACATCACCGGCCACAAGCATCTCGCGCACACCATATTCCTGTGGAAGCACAAGATTAACCTGACGGTTTACTCCTTCGTCGACATGAGCTTCTGCTTGTTCTACCGGACGACGAGTTCACGCTCAAAGCAGGTGAGCTGCTTCGTGTACTCGATGATCATCCATCGTTAGCTCGAAAGTCATGCGTAATGAGCGCCAGACACTGATCCTCCTCTCATAGGTCCTTCACATCGACACCCCGGGGACAAACATCTTCGTGTTCAAGGTGAAGACGCGGTCGCGGGCGGTAGACTGGTATTGGGCCTTATGGCGCAAACTCGGCGGCGAGGTCCCACCTACACTCGAGGTTCACAACCCGCTTTTGGACACGCGGCTGCGTGTCGAGGTCCCCGACCTCAGCATCATGCCGATCGAGAAGGCCGCGCAGTTGCTGAGTCGGGATAATTTGGTCAAGTTGTGCATCAAGTCGTTGAGGGGGGCGGGCGATTTTAAGGCGGAGGTGGAGAGGGCGGTGAGTGTTGGATTTTGTACTTTGAAGTCTGCTTGCGCATTAAGAATCTGGCAACCTCGAGGGAAGTGCTGACAGCGGCTCGTAGCTGGCTAGAGGTGTCCGCCTCGGACTTGCGTGGCGCATGAACACAAATCTCGACTGGATTTGGCTTGACGAGGACGTGAGGGGCAACCCGAGATATTGGGCTGTACTGTACGGGCTAGCGCTCAAACAGGTGTGTTTGCTTTGACGATGTCAAACGAAAGCACTAGCTCACTGGTGATGCAGGGTCGCACTCCCACCCACCTCGAGATTCGCCTCGGGCGCCACTATCCCGAGCACCTGCGCACCGAGACCATCAGACACGACCCCGCAGGATTGAACAGACGCGACCCAGTCTCCAAGCGCATCGAAGAGCCCCTCTCCATCGAGGGCTACGTCGATCGCATCCGGCCGAACACGCAGACTAAAGACCCGGTGTATCTGAGCACGCACGACGGCTTCCTGTTCTTCGTGAATCAGGGCGTAGCGCAGCCGCCTCAGCCGCCCGGATTTGTGCAGTTGCCGGCAAGGGAGGGGGTTGAGATTGTAGGGGAGCGGGCAGGGGAGGCGGGGACGTCGGCGCATGCAAATGGGAGCTCAGTGCATGCGAACGGAAGTTCTGTGCATACGAATGCAGCAGGCCCAGGGGAAATGACTGCCGCTGCCCATCCCTCTCTCGAAGACTACGCGAACATCTTGCGCCGCTCCGAGGTCCGACGCGGCGCGCGGCAGGTTATGGCGGCGCACGCCGTATGCGAGTTGCGAGCCATCGTCGCAGTGCGTCGCGCCTTCCAGGTCGTCCCGCCGCGCGCGCACGACGTGGGTGAGGCGCACGCCGAGGCAGAGGACGAGATGGTGATCTCGGGGATGCGGGACGAGCAAGCGGAAGACGATGATCACGCGGATGTGGGCGGGGAGGAGGGCTTGGTGGACCAGGCTGGGGACAGGTCCCATAAGAAGATGCGGAGGTCGTTCGAGCTGCTGCTGAGGAATGGGCATGTCATGCGGTTTGAGGCGAGTAGTTTGCTGCCTCCTGTTCCGCCTCGGTTTGCCTTTGAAACAGTACTAATCCTCGTCTGCCTCACCCAGACCCACTCCTGCAAGAACGCCATCGAGTGGATCACCAGGCTCCGGCGGCTCGTCTCCTACTGGCGCCTGCGCAAGCGCATCGATGCGCAAGAGGAGATGGAGCTCGCGAGGGCGCGGCGGCCGTTGATCACGCCCCACCTGCACCCCTACCACCGCGACGAGACTGCGCGCGCGCCCGAGCCGCCCCCGGATGCGTCGGCGCCGCTGCCGGCGTTGGGCTCGTTGTTCAATTGGTGCGTTATTGAGGGGTGCAAGCCGGTGATCCGGGCGGGGAGGGTGTTTATGAGGCGGGGGTTGAATGGACCGTATAAGTGAGTCGCTATAACTGCTTGTACTTCGATGATTAGCAAGTGAAGGAGTGCTGACACCGTTTGCGCAGGGAGGTCCGCCTGTTCCTCATCGCTGGACACTTGATCTCGTTCCGCATGCGCCGAGGTTCGCTCGTACACCGCGCGATGAAGCGCAAGCTCAACCTTGTGGATGCATATGTCGTCTCTGGGTACTTCGCCGCTCTCGCTCTCCCGCGAGGTCAGTTCAGCCCTGGGGACGAAAGCCTGCCCAGACGATACCAAGATGGCCTCGAGGCCGACGACCCCGAGGACGACCTCCTCTTCATGATCTGGTATCGCAAGCAGCCACCCTCGCTCGGTCCGGCGAACGTCACCGACGACGGGGTCATCGAGGCCCCTGCGGTACCGCCCCCCGCAGGTATTCCGGCGCTGAAGGCGAAGGAGACGGTAGCGGTCTTCCGCACGAGGAGCAAGCTGGAGAGAGATGCGTGGTGTTGGGCCATCAACTGCGAGATTGAGAAGATCGTGAGGGAGCAGAAGGAGAGGGAGGAGAGGTTGAGGAATACGGGGAATTTGAGGCCGATTAGGTGACGGGGAATTTGGGAAGGTTATGGACGACGATACCCTTGTCGCATTGTATACCACTTGCATAACATACCACGGACAGTCACACTTATTATTCGACACTCGTTTTGCAGGAGTTGTGGGTTCATGGGTTTGAAGGCATGGTCTAGGTAGTATATGTAAGGTGACAGGACACGAAGACGATTACTTCTTCGGCTTCTTGGCACTGGGGACAGGTTATCAGCACGTAAAGTAGACCTGAAGGACAGTACAACGCACCCGTATCTACTGCGTGCAGACACACGGTTGACCACACCACCCAGGTCGAGCGCGCCACGGACGAGACGGTACCTGGAGAGGATTGGCAAAAGCACCTCAGGCAACACGACAACGCGCACCTGACACCAGGCAAATCTTGCGCCGCACCACCTCTGACCAGGACCACACTGTGCTCCTGCAGGTTGTGGCCCTCACCAGGGATGTACGCCTGCAGCGGCTTGCCCGTCGAAAGCTTGATACGCGCGACCTTACGCTTCGCAGAGTTCGGCTTCTTCGGCTTGCCAATGACAATCTGCGTCACGACGCCCTTTCGTTGCGGTGCGCCCTCCAGCAGGGGCGACTTGCCCTTCGACGCCTTCTTGGGGCGCTTCCGGCGCATAGCCTGGTTCAGTGTGACCGACGCGACGGGAGAGGCGTGGAATGCGCGGCTCTGGGCCAAAAGAGAGGTAGCGAGGGGCGTCCGCACCGCCAGCAGCGGACGGTACGCCGACGGGGGCGCACGGAGCGCAGGGGCTGCAAGCGCTCGCAGCGCGGGCAGCATGGTTGTCGGGAACGGAAGACTGCAGCCCGGAAAATAACATATTTTGCCAAATTGACGCGCGGAAATCAACACGCACAAATAACGCGTCTAATTGTCGAGTGCCCCTTGTTTCCTGCGGTCAGCTTTGCAACATGTCTACATCAAGGAGACGCACGAACCGTCGCGTCGTCGACGAGGAGATTGAGGATGCGCAAGCCAGTCAGGACGCGTCGCAGAACCAGAGGAGGGGCTCGAATAGACAAGCTCCCAGGCGCGCGCGATCGCAGCCAGAGAGCGACGATGGCCTCGAAGTCGAAGATGACGAGGCACCCATTGACGTCGACAACCTTGCGGACGCACCAATCACAGACTCTGCTGCTTTAACTATTAAGGGGTACGCGCAAGACTGGGGCAGAATCCAGGATAGGATCATGCAGAGCGCAAGAACCATTATCGAGGTCGGGGAAGCGACAGCAGATGCCGCAGAAGGTCAAGAGAGGGAAAAGGTGTGTATCTCTATGCCTCTTTGTATGCGCAAGTGGTGAACTTATGAACCTAGGGCATCAAAGACCTCGACAAGGTAATGCGCGAGCTCATCGACGTCGCCGCGGACATGAACGCGCACGAGATGAGCTTAGAGGATATACACGGCAGGCTGGTAGCCGGGGAGGAGATTGTCAGTGGTTCTCTGGCCCCCTCCTTGTCTACTGACTTTGACCTCCAGGTTGGCTTGCGAGAGAAGTACAAGGCCGACGTTGTCGAGCGAATGAACGCGTACAACGCCAAGACGAGTCGCCAAAAGTACGCGAAAGTCAAAGAATATGCAACCTTCCGGGAGCAAGTCTTCGTACGCATCTCCATTTTCTCTGCTGCTTCGACTTCTCACTAGGCCACAGCAAGTGGAACACCCTGACGAGCCCATGCCTCCCGTATCAGAGTTTATACCGAAGGGTAGGCAACCGTTCGCGTTGCTGTCCGCGCCTCTCACTGATCTTGCCATATAGAGGATGGCGACGAGAGCGACGACGACGACATGGAGGTCGGCGGTGTCTCGCAAACCTTCACCTGCCCCCTCACCCTCGGCGTGCTCAAGGATCCCCACACATCGTGAGTACCCACCGTATCCCCCCCTTTCTACAACTCCACGCTCTTCCGCCCACCTCCCCCTCTCTCCCCCCTTCCCTTCCCACACACCCCACTCACCCCTCGCCAGTAAACTCTGCGGTCACTCTTACTCCGGCGCCGCCATCAAGGACTACTTCGACTCCGGCCGGAAGGGCGAGCGCAAGCAGTGCCCCGCCGCCGGGTGCAGCACGCAGCTCGCGCGCTCGGACGTGGTGGAGGATGCGGCGCTCGCGCGGCGCGTGAAGCTGTGGGAGCGGCGGCAGAAGAGGGCGCAGGAGAAGGCGGACGAGGATGTGGACGAGGTGGTGGAGTGAGGGGTGAGTAGGGAGGGGTGAGGCAACATCGAGGGGTGGTGTTTGTTTTCTTGCTTCCTAATGTACTGCTGCTCTAATCTGTACAGTATAGCCCGGTCGAGTTATGCAAGGCTTGACTGGTCGGTAATCAGCGGCGCGGACGAGTGTCTGACCTTTTGCCGACACGGGCATACCGTATGAGCGCACACGAGGATGGCGGCTACGGCCAAAGCTAAGCATAAAAAGCCTAATGGTCCTTTCGAATGCATTGGTGGTCGCAATCGATCGAGTCCATTCCATCACGCAAGATATTTTGGAACCCATAAAACCGTATCATTCCACCAACGTATCCTACGATATTCACAAGGATGAGGTATAAGGTAACTACTAGTCAGGGAGTTCCCCCTCTAAATGAGGAGTTCGCCCCTCTTAGGTAAGGAGCTGGACTTCCCCTCGTAAGTCTATCGGGTCGCTAGGGTATTCTAGGAGTGGGGGGCTAGTACTGTACAGTTCGTTCGTTGATGCAGCATTTTAGATACAGTCGTTCGAGAGTCGGAGTGCGTTAGGCGCGGGGTTAGACGGGGAATAAATAGGAGGATGCGATGCGAAGAGGAAGGGAAGCTGAGATGCAACAACCAGACAGACGCAAGGATGGCGGGATGAAAGAAGATAGCGGGAAGGAAGAGTACGATGCAAACTTGTGGCGGAGAAATAGAGGAATAAATGGGAAAGATCGTATGTCGGGCGATCTACGCCTCGTTCTTGGACTGCTTCTGCAGCATCTCGCGCGACTCCTCGACGAAGTTGGCGGCCTCGCTGCGGTCGAACGCGATCTTCTGCCCCTTCAGGCTCATGTCGGGCTCGCGGAGGGCGAACGGGTTGACGTCGGTCTTCTGGTTGAGGTTCGCAAGGCTGTGGTTGACGAAGCGGTGCGAGCTAGGGGTATGTGAGTTTTCTGAAGGTGGTGTGGTAGGAGATAGTTGACTTACGTCTCGTCAGCGCGAACGGCGTAGATCACGTCGAGCATGGTGGCATTCTGCGGCAGGCGCCAGTAGTCGATGGCGATCTGTGGCGCCGGGGCATTGCGCCTGCGTAGTTGATTAGTGACACCCTACGAGACGATCGAAAACGGCAGGGCGTACCACTCAGGCACGAGGTTGCTCTCGATATCCTGGATGCAGTGGCTGTAGGTGCGCACCGCCTCCTCCTCAAGGTAGCCGACGAAGCGGTGGGCCGCCGCGGGCATGATCATGTATGTCAAGACTGCAAGGTTGGATGTCAGGAACATTTGCGACTAAAGAGATGACGACGTACAAAAGAGGTTGTAGAAGACGCCCTGCGCTCCAAGGATGAGGGCACGGAAGAAGATTGAGTGCTTGCGCAAGGTCATGAAGGTCCTGAGAATATGGCGTCAGAGGGGGCTGAACGCAGACCGGACAAGCGTGGGACTCACATGAGATGCATGCGCTCGTTCTCTGCCTCCTCGAGGCACGTATGAATCCAGCCGTTGTCGCGGCGCTGCAGATTTAGTTAGCGTGCCGATTTATAAAATCAGCAAGCGAGATGACATACCATGAGACGCAGGCTTTGCAGATGCCTCAGGGTGGCGGCAACCATACCCGGGACACCAGCGATACTCTCAAGGAAAAGGAAGCGCTGCAGAAAATATAAGCTTCGCGAATATTCCGATATACAATCGAATCTCACGTTGAGCCACCCATCTGGGCCAAGCACAAATCCATCCTTCCTCAGCGCTTGAACGGTCATCTTGTGCGCGTCAGCAGGGAGGGCCTTGTGCTTGTAGCCCGAGACAAGGTCAAAGCCCCATCTAAGCTCGATCAGCTAACCCGCGGGATAACTCCGCGGAATGCACAACTTACCGTGCTAATTTGACAAGGCGGTAAGCGACCTTGTCAGAGAGCTTGGTGGGCACCTGGTGGATGACCTGAAAGCGGGCGTTAGGCACGGGTGCTCCTGCGTGCCACATAACAGATTACTCACTTGGATAGACTTGAGCTCTTCGGGCTTGTAGACGGGGTGGAACAGGAGCCAGTCGCCAGTGAAGGTGTGGGGCTGCTGTGGCACAGTGCTGACAGCATCCTGCTTCGTTAAGGGAGAGCTGGCTGCAGAGGACACAGAGCGGCTCTTGTCACTTGACGAAGCCGAGTCTGCAGCGACGATGAGTCGAAAAATCACAAAAATATACTGAGTGGCACGTACGCTGCGTCCCTTGTGTCGTGTGCTGGTGCACACTAGCCGCCGCGCGAAAAGCCGCGCTGGTGGCAAAGGTGCGAGAGCCCATCGAGCAAACGATGGGGGCTACCCGGAGGGCAGTCGTCGAAGATAGCATCGATGTCCTGATCATGTCGAAATGTCGAAAACACAGAGTGAGTAGTCTGGCAGCGCCCTCCCCCCGAGCGCTCATGCCCTTAAATACCTTCACCTACCGGTTTGCGGCGCCACTACAGCCATCCCGCGCGCACCCGACTCATCCGGTCCTGACCGACCCGCCAAGTGCGGAGGCTTTTGTGTTTCCGCTTTCATCTTGAGGCGCCACCGCTGCAATGGAGACCATATCAGTGGTCCGCGAGTTGCGTCAGGAGTTTGCGGCACGCAGGGCCACTGCACAAAGGCGCAGGAGTCCGATCAAAGGACTGTCCGCAGAAGGCAACCGGACGGTTCAACTTCCCCTTCTCTTCCCACGAATATCCTATTTCGGGACTTGCCGCGCGGCCGCAGCCAATAGGTGAGTCATCACCGTCCTCAAGCAGGAAATTCAGCAGCACAGAAGCAGGGACAAGTCATCGACAAGAGCACTCACAAAGGCCGTGTCTCGTATAGGAGCAATTCGGAGGAGCCTGGCTTTGTCATGGCGCACGGGAAGGTCAAAGGACAAAGGAATTCCGAATAGGCGCTACATCCTGGAGCAGGAAAATTAAACCTCTGCGCCCACAACCCACGCCCCCGAGGCGAGTCTCCTGCGGTAGAATAGAACTCTCCGCTCGCCACCCACAGCGCCGCGCCCGCTGTCGTCACCACCTTCCCTGACGCTGAGCTTCGCCGAGCGCCAATCGGACCTCAAATGCGCGTCTCCGCCGTGACTTCTTCACTCATCCAGAAGGCGCAACGGATCAGCTCGTAGTCCGAGATATCGTCTGCGGCGGAGGACGTCTTCTCGCTCGTCCCTTCCTTGACCAGGAGCCTCTGCCGTCTGCCGTCGTCGGCTGCGAAGGGCGGCCAGGAAGGCGAGGTCGGATATTTCGCCGCAGACGGATCTCCCGTCCTCGCGAACGACGTCCAGTACGCGATCGCCTCTTGAGATACGACCGCTTCCGACTGTTCCAATAGTGCGTCAGCGTTTGGGAAGCGCACGCAATCCACACGATTGGTGGGCCGCACCGCGCACGATTGGTGGACTACACCGCGCCCAATGGATGACCGCAAACGACGGACGGACCTCGTTAAACGCCGTGAACGTATTCCCCGCATTCGGAATTGTGCTAGAAAGATAGAGAGCATTCGTTACTTCGTATCACAACCTTCAGTCATACGGTCAGGTGAGAGGGAGTGCTTACTTGGTTCCTGGAGCGATGAACGAAAGGTGAACGCATGAGTGCCGTGCGACAGAACACGAGTATCGCGAGTGCTTGGTCAAAGGACGCACCCTGGAAGAGGAAGTAGAGATCGGAGGTATGCATCGCGCCCTTCCATGGATCCTGCTCGTAAAGGACGGTATCGGGCACGTCCCAGCTGGCAGGCATCAGCGCTAATGTCTCGAGGGAACCTATATGCAAGATAGCAATACCTATAGGTATAGACGCTCGAGATGTTCTTCGCTAGCGTAGCGTTCGCGACGAAGGTGTCCCTGAAGCTCATTAGTTCTTGCCTCTATCAGCCCAGATCGCTGCGCACATGCAAGTGAAGACAGGATCGCCCGCCAGCGTCCACACCCTGTCCCATTGCGTAGCGAACGGACTACCCGTCTCGTTGGGAGACGGATATAGCTCGAGTATCTTCGCGAATGTGGCATCCGTCTGCGAGATTGTAGTTGAACACGCCATCTGAGAGTGACGAGAGGAAGGCGAATCTCACCACCCCCGGCCACCGCTTGAACGTGATATCCCTGATATCCTGGTCGGTCTGGAAGTCTTCGGGATGACCGCCCGCGAATGTTTTGCCATCCCCCGTCGTGTGACCGCCGACGAAGTCGACGGCGGAGAAGTTGCCCGCCCTAACTAGCGCGGAAGGGAGATCGGGCATGAACCCGTGAGCGCCGGAAAGGGAGCTGTACTCTTCCGGGGAGTCAATAACGGGCGTGAAGGCGCCGTTGATGATGCGGTTCGTTGCGCTGACGATAGAGGCTACCAACCTTCAGACGAATAAACGGAGAAATAGGAAGAGCCGCGTACCGATAGATGCATCACGCAGACAGCTCATAGGTGCTTCATCCGCCGCGCAGCCTACAATAGACGTGACGTTTGCTATAGTCAATTGTGAGCGAGCACGAGGGCCTCGATCGCACGCCTGCCTCACCGAAATATCCTTCGGCCTCTTCTCTCGTATGCGTCGTCCCGTAGCCAATCGACTGAGCCACGGCGCGCGCAAACGGCGGTTCCTTCACGCCTGACCTTTCGTCAGCTCGCGCATGCTAGGCAAGGCAGATAAGACTTACCACCATACGCCGTCATGTGCATCACCACACTGGCACCTATCATCCGTGAGTTACTCTTTCGTGCCTCTCACCTCAACCATCTCAGCCTCACTCACCTCCCGCACTCTCCCCATAAATTGTCACCTTCCCCGGGTCCCCACCAAACGCCTGTATATGCCTCTGCACCCAATCCAATGCGGCGCGCTGATCAAGCAGACCCGCGTTCAGGTCGCCGTCTGCGGCCACGGCAGAGCCTGCAAGGAGGCCCAGGAGGCCGAGGCGGTACGCCATGGAGACGGCGACGATGCTGCCGTTGGATTGAGCGACCCAGTCGTAGAGGGGGAAGCCGGCGGGGGACTGAAAAGAAGGATGAGGGTTCAGAGGGGAGGATATGAAGTTAGCCGAGAGGCGAGCTCACACCAGCATAGAAGCCACCGCCCTAGGGCCAACCTCGTCAGCAACACCGTGATCAAGTGCGGTATATCGGACTTGCATGAATATACACTGCAACTGGCAGGTTATCTCCTTCCACCGCGTCCGTTGGCTTCCACACGTTCAATGTCAAGCAGTCCTCCGACCCAATGCCGACCATCGCCGGTCGCTGATAGCATGGCGGGCCCCAGCCACGGGCGTCTGCGACCCTTCTGTTACTTGGGGCGTTCTCGTACCTCTCGTAACTGGTCGCGTTCGCAGAGGATTCAGGTGCAATGACATTCTCGTCCAAAGGATGTGGCGCACGGAATCTCAGCACGCCCACCGGCTGTTGGGCGTATGGTATTCCCCCAAAGAACGTCACCGAACTGCTCTCTTCTCCCGCGGGTGAAGTCGAGTTGCCGGCGTACGCAGCGTAGCCAAGGTCAACGACGGGTCCGAGCGGGGACGCCAGGGCGTGTATGAGAGGTAGGAGGGATAAGATGGGGAGAGCCATCAAAATGGATGAGGAGACGTGCATGTCGGGAAGCGACGTGTACCGAGAGCGACAGCGTCTTACGTCTTGCAGCTTTATGGCCAGCTGTCTGTCAGCTGAGCGCATACGGTACGGTCATGCTGAGTGCAGCCGGCCCGCCAGCAGCGACGGTCCGTCAGTGACTGGTCTTCGATTTCTCACCCTGTTTGTATGCCTGCAAACGCACCTCCGACACGAGCATGTACTTCAAGTGCGTGCGACAGCTCCTTACCTTCACTTCGCAGTGTGCTTAGCCATTCCTGTATGCGCTGAAAACCCTTGCCATTTTTGCCACCTAGTCTAAGGGAGCAAGTATGGCTGTTGCATCTACAACGTCGCAGGACGCGGCGGGAGCGTAACAGGGCGGATGAAGTTGTCACTATCACATGGTTAGTTGATGATATCCTCGCGAAAGAGGGAGACAACACGTACGCCGACCGATACCGCCTCAAGTACGTGATCGCATGGTTCTCGATCTCGCTCGGGGTGACGCCCACGACATCCCAATCACCCGGCACCGTCGCGTCGTCAATGTAGCGGCGCTCGATCTCGTCCGGCGACAATGTCGGCCACCACACGGACTTGCTCACAAGGTTCGCAGCCCACTTCGCGAGGCCCTTGGGGAGCGCGGGCGCGGTGGAGGCGGGGCGGAGGGAAACGGAGGATACGAGGTCGAGGAGGAACTCGTAGGTGAGCGTCGAGGGCCCAGGGAGGTTCAGCGTGCGCTCGATGCGAGGCATCTCCATGAGGTTGGCGAGCGCCTGGGCGACGTCCATAACGTGCACGGGGCGGACCTTGGTCTGCGACTGGTTCAGGCGCCAGTAGATGGGCCAGACTGGGTGGAGGGGGTTAGCATTGAGGGAGAAGGGAGTGTATGCGTGCACGCACTGGCCATGTTGTTGAGAAGCTTGTCCTCGTAGCCGTACATGATGGACGGGCGAATTATAGTCGCTTCGGGGAAGGCCTCCTTGACGCGCTCCTCGCCCTCGAACTTGGCGCGGTAGAACGCGGACTTTGAGTCCGGTGCAGCATTGAGGTGAGAGACGTGCACAAGGCGCTCGACGCCCTCCTGCTTCGCGATGTGGGCAATGCGGGCGGCGCCGTCGGCGTGTACGGCAGAGTAGTTGAAGTTCCTGAGGGAGCGCGATTGAATGGGGGCACAGGACGATACTCAAGAGTACGCACTTGGTTTCGTAGTCACGGCCGACAAGATTGTACACGATGTCGGAGTGGCGCAAGCACTCAGCAATCTGCTGCTCGTTGCGGATGTCCCATTCCTGCGAAGCGCGTCATGAGAAGTATGTAGTGATTTTGGAGGCTAACGCACCAGCGGAACAATTTGACCGAGGTCGCCCATCGGCTTCAAGTGACGCTTCGTGTCTTCATCGCGGTATGGGACCGTCACCTGCGTTCCGATCTTACCTGCACCGGCATGAGCGAACAAGCCCGCGACGCACGCGCATCACTTACCGAGCTTGGATACGAGGTATCTGCCCAGGAAGCCAGTGCAGCCAAACACGGTCACCCGGTGTCCAGAGACGGCACTGTAGCCGGGGATACCCTGTGCGATGACGGGCTTGCGGGAGGGGAGGGTGGTCAGGGAGTGGTATGCGCGCTGTCGGGCGAAACCGTCAGCAAGACCCCTTGCATGAGATCACCCGCCGCACCTGCGAGGGCGCCTTGAGCGCGCCAGGAAGGTTTGCTGCTCTAGACGACGCCGCCAGCATCGTCGACAATGGCCGCCAATAGTCAACTCGGGATATGCAGGCGACCGTCACGCGTCACACAGTCATCTCTGTGACGCCGGGCCGGCGCTTTTTCTCGTTCCCTCGCGTTGGCTGATCGCGCTCTGTCCGTCCGTCCACCGATATATTATACATTCCCTTCGAACGACACGAGATGGCGCAAGGAAAGATCAAGGGAATGCAGGCCAAGGCTACGAGCGCGAGGCATGCGCAGAAAGCGGCGGCGAACACGAAGAAGGGGAAGCGCACCGTGCCTCCCAAGAAGCAGGTGCTCATCAAGCAGGCTCAGATGCATAAGGTGAGATTTCCACTCCTCCCCCATTATGACATGATCCCGCCTTCACCCTCCCTTGCCCTTTCCTCGAGCCGAAGGCAACTATCTGACACCGAGCGCAGTCCCTCTCAGCCAAGATCAACAAGTCGATCGAGCAGCAGATGGTCAACGCCGCTTCCGCTGGCAAGCTGACAATCATGAAGAATATCGTCCAGCCTGAAGCGTGCGCATAGTCTGTATCATACCACGTCTAACGCTGACAGGCGTTCTCCCCCACAGGTCGTCATCGAAAGCGTCTAAGCCATCGACAAAACATACATAGGCGCCGTCCACGCCAATCATCCGCGGATCTGGCCCTTCATGGGCCTTACATGCGACCCTCCACCCCTTCGCAAGCCATGCTTGAACCCTTAGCTCTCACATATTGTACTTGCCATCGTTAAGCAGGCGCTACTGGGATGCAGGGCGACTGCTCGAAGGAGCCGATGAACTACGCGGGAGAGGAAGGCGTGGAGGTGTGGCGTTGAGTGATGCATAAAATGGAATGTATGAATCTGATTGAGGTGCATATCAGAGGATTCAATAACGTACTTCTCTGAAGACTGTACAGATGTCAGGCGGAATTCATCGTCGCCCTTTGGGAATACCTTGCCTGTTTCTTCAAAGCACCTTGCGGAAAAATGGACGCTTGTGTCAATATCTCCACTGCTGAACATTCTCGCACTGTCAGTCAGCCTTCTACGATGGCCACAGATGAAAGCTGGCTTTATGGTCATTATTCGGCAACTGCCGAACATCTCAGCCGTGGCCAATCTTTCCGCGCCTCGAGCGTTTTTCGCCAAGCTCGCCCACCTCGCAAGTTCGAAGAATTTTCTGATAGGACGTATATGTGGCACTTGTTGCTCTCCGCCAGGTACCGAGGACGGGCAGGCACCGACGCCTTCAATGGGAACACGGCCGCATGTGGTGCCCGCGCGAGTCTGTGGCATGGCAAAAATTGAAGGTCAAGCTTCCAAGCTCAAGAACACCTGAAGTTCATGTACGTAGCGGTAGACCATTGAGAAGGTTGAAGACAGGCAGATCCACTGAAGTTTCCTCTCTATCGCAAAAGAAGGACGCCAGACATTAGCTCTGCAGCCTCTGCTCGCCACCACCTGCTCCGTCGCACACTGCCTTCACCTCTTACACCCCCCTGCGCCGGGATCTGCATGACCTATGCGCTCCGCGAGCGGGCACACCCAGGGTGATCAGCCCAGACACCCGATGTCTCCCTATATAATACGTCGTACCTTCCCCCGTCCTCTTCATCCTCCCCGCCCTCCCATCCTTCCTCCCTATCTATCGCGCTTCGCGTGTACTTTCTTTTTTTTTACCCCCTCACTCCTTCGAAGCCAAGTACATAACGATGTTCTCTCGCGCCTTCGTTGCTGCTGCCCTCGCCTCCACCGCCCTCGCGGCTGGTAGCCATGCCGGCGACGGCACGTACTACGACGTTGGCCTCGGCGCCTGCGGTATCACCAGCTCTGCGGACCAGATGGTTGTCGCTGTGCCGGATGCGATGTTCCAGGGCTACCCGTGAGTTCCTATACCTCGACGTCGAGATAGTACTCACTGACTTGTTTTCCCTCAGTGGCGCCGGCGCGAACCCGAACCTGAACCCCATTTGTGGGACGCAGATTCGCGCGTACTGTACGTCTCCCTTCCCTCCCTTTCTCTTCCCAACACTCCCCTAAACTGTCATCCCTCAGACAACGACAAATCTGTCGACGTCACCGTCGTCGACCGCTGCGGCGGCTGCTCCGGCTTCGACCTCGACTTCTCCCGCGGCGCCTTCCAACAGCTCTCGGACCTCGGCCCCGGGCGCATCCAGATTACCTGGGACTGGCTCACCGGCGTCTCCTCCGGCGTCCTCGAGCCCACGCAGCCGCCCGCGACGACACCCACGACGACCGCCGGCGCGCCCCCCACTACGACGACGAGTGGCTCCGAGGCGTGCTCGCCAGAGGGTGCTATCCGGTGCCCGGACGAGCACTCGTGGGAGATCTGCGGGTCGGGGAGGTGGCAGTACAATGGGGTCGTCCCGGCGCCGTATGTGTGCAGGGACGGGCAGCTGATCATCCCGTCGAAGAAGAGGCACTTTGGGCGCCAGCACTGAGAAGCTCTGCCACCAGAGATGAGGCAATCTGGGCGCCAGCGCTGAGCATATGAGAGGTGCAGAAGAAAAAGAGAATCCAAGGGTCACTTGGGCGTCATTTATTGGGGTTATTTATCTGGTCTATCTATTGGTGTTTGTGTGTTGCTCATAGTATTGGGTACAGTATATCACTAAACAGCAATTGCTTCATAGGATCTACTCCGGATGTGATCTTCTTGTCTACTTCAGTTGGAACTGCAGACTAGGAAAAGGATGAAGAGGTCAACCGGATTTGTGACATCAACTGTGACGGCACGTGGGAGCGAGCCCGTGGCGTGGCAACAATCCCACGCTTGCCTTGCTTCTTGCAATGACCAACGTTTGACTGTTGCCATTGCTTGTGTACCTATGCCTCGCAGCGCATTTCTAGAAAATCCTGCGGCCAAAGCGAAGACGCTGATCATCCACTCGCCAAGCTCAGCCTCGGTCCCGACTGGGCTCTAGCTACGAAGTGAGGTGGGTGCTCTGAGCCGCGACTTCATCGGGACATGCGGCGTTCCTCCCTACCTGTCTCCCGCTGTATGCTCTACTTCCCGCCGGCGACGTCGCCACCGCCGCCTCCGCCCGCCAGTCCTATATTCGCCCCATTCGTCAGGCCCAAACCACCTCCGGGAGTCGCATCACTACGTTTGACCGACGATGATTACGGCGCCTTTCCTGCACGTATGATGCCATGTAGCTCAACAGACGGGCCTGCGCGGACCGCATTCATGGCCCTGTCCGGTCTCTGTCCGTGGCTTCAGACATATACAGGACTCGACACCGTCATGCGCACCCTACCAATCACCAGAGCGCAGGCACCGACGATGAAGCAGGGATGATCTGCGCACGGCCGCACCTAGGATGTGTGCCCGTACCAGGGCATTGTTCCATCGTTTTCCATCTTTGGAATTCCTTTGGGGTGCGATGGGAACGCCTTCTTCGTTGACGGACCAAGGTGAGCAACAGACAACGATACTACGGCTACGATATTGTCGCTCGTGGCGGATAGCAAGGCGGCGCTACAGCCCGCGGCAGACATCAACGAACGCGCCGAAAGGCATCACACGGCGCGCACAAAGGTGAGTCACACCTTTTATTCGCCGCCTACCCGGGCGCTCCTTAGCTTGCCCCTGTCGACCAGCGGCCAGCCCAATTTTGTACCTGCAACGCGCCGTGCCCGCCGGGAGGGTGCAGGCGCATCGCGGGATGGGTACCTGCGTACACCTCCTCCTGCCCCTTACTGAGTGCGTGATCTGGCTACAGGCGTGATCAGCATTAGCCCAGGCTCGGGTAAGAAAGTGGGTGGGTAGGGGATGGTGGCGGATATATAAACATGAGTCCGGTGCTCTCGTCCATCGTCCGTTTGCGACTTCATACGCCCCTCCCTCTATTTACGCGCCCTTCGCTTGCGCCTTCCCTCCCTTCGGTTATCCTAACCGACCACCTTTCCTTTCTTTACACCTTCCCCTTCCTTTCAACAACAAACGATGTTTGCCCGCTTTCTGTTTGCTGCTGCCGCGCTCGTGTCGTCGGTGCTGGCGGATGGTAGCCACGCTGGTGATGGTGAGGATATAATATGTGACTTCACAGTGATAGTGATTACTGACTTCAGATCACAGGCACGTTCTTTGATGTCGGCCTCGGCGCGTGCGGTATCACCAGCACTGCCGACCAGATGGTCATTGCCATTGCTCACGACACGTTTGACAACTACCCGTGTGTCCTTCTGTCTCTGAAGGCCGGGGAGATGGGCTGACCTGACTTGCAGGGGCGCAACCGCAAACCCCAACTTGAACCCCATCTGTGGTCAGCAGGTCCGCGCCTACTGTTCGTACCTCTCTCGTATCCGCTTGGCCATTGCGCTTACCACTCTACCAGACAACGGCAAGTCCGTCGACGTCACCATCGTCGACCGCTGCGCCGGCTGCAACGGTGCCTTCGACCTCGACTTCTCGCGCGGCGCCTTCGACAAGATCGCCGATGAGGGCCTCGGGCGCATCCAAATCACCTGGGACTGGCTGACCGGCGTTTCCTCCGGCGTCCTTCAGCCCACCAACCCGCCCGCGACGACGCCCACGACGACGACCGTCGCGCCGCCGACCACAACCACCGGCGCCGAGGCGTGCTCGCCCGAGGGCGCGATCCGCTGCCCGAACGAGAACTCGTGGGAGATCTGCGGGTCAGGGCGCTGGCAGTACAATGGGCAGCTGGCGTACCCGTACGTGTGCAGGGACGGGCAGCTGGTTATCCAGTACAAGAAGCGCCATTTCGGCCGCCAGCACTGAGGGTGAGTAGGATTCGTCACTGGGTTTCTGCTTTTGACTGACGATGAGCAGGTCACGATAAGTGCAAAAGCTGTTTCTCGTTAATCTTTATCTTATTTATTGGTGCATCTGGTGTACTGTTGGGTCAAACTATGGGTGTACACGTAGTCGAATATCTATCTATCTACGGCCATCTAAGCAATGCCGTTTCCATCAGAATGCGCGCGTTTTCGAACGAGAGAGAAAATTGCCACACAGCATGAATGTTCACAGGAGGCCTTACGGCATGCTATGTCGTACACGACCACGGTCCACCTCCCCAATAGCGCGATATCACACTTGGGAGCTTCGGAGACCATTGAAGCCGTACGGGGATAGCAAATAGGACTTCCGTGACGAGAATGTGACTGCGCGCGACACGAGGCCCGCGTCGTTTTTCCCGGATTCTCGACCGGGCAGCCCATGATTCAGCGGGCGAGCTGACGGCGGTGGGCACCGACTTCCTTCGCATCCTCCCAGACGGACGACAGGAACGCCGGAGACGCAGACACGACGCCCTCTGCGCACTGGAACAGGGACATCCCTGCTCCCCATCACCCCCGTCCCATATCCCGCAATCAGCAGCTCACGCCGTCCCCGACGAGCCCATTGTCGCACACAATGTCGACCACGAGCCTCCAGACGTCGATGGGCCAGCAGCAGGTAGAGCAGCCCCTGCACAACCGCGGATACCGCTCGTACCTCCCCAACCCCCTCGTCGATACGAATGGCGCTGCCGCCGCCGATCCCCACTCCTCCCCGCGCAGCGCCGACCTCAGCGGGCCGCCGCGCTGGGAGACCTTTCCGCAGAGCGGCAACAACCCCAATGGCCCCGGCGCGCCCAACGGTGGTTCCCGGGGCTACTTTGACAGCGGCCACGGGCCAGTGCAGCTGCCCTCGCCGACGGAAAGGCTCGCGCCCTCTCAGGATGCACAGCGAGAGCCCAGCAGCGGACCCGATCGCCGGCGACACCGCTCTTCCCCCGTCGCGTATGCCAATGCCGCGTCACCGTCCACGTATCATGCACGCCATGGCAGCGAGGGCGCTGATTCGAGCGCGACATTCTCGAGCAACAGCTCGGGATCACATCCTCGCCACCACTCGGATGGCGCCAACGCCCCGCATCGGTGCATGAGCCCTCGTCTCGCTCCTATCCTGGGCGAACCCGCGGCGTCGGCATCGTCACTGCGACTGCCCCCAATCGTCGATCACCCGTCGGACAAAGGCGCCATGGACTGGACTGGGCATATGGCCTGGCGCATGACGCCTCAGGGCCCTGTTGCGTCGCTGCAGGAGAGTCCCCCTATCATGTCCCACCCTCCCTCGTCGGATGGTCCACCAGTCAATGACCCGGCGCATCCACGACATGCGCGCGTGCAGTCGGATGTCACCGATGCCCACTCTCGCGTTCACCATCCTGTACCGCGGCTCAAGACGAAGACAAAGTTGACAACAGAACGCCGCAAGGAGATCTGTCGGTTCGCTATGGCGAACCCGTCCGCACGTCAGGAGGACATCGCCACGGCGTTCAGTATCGAGCGCAGCACTGTCAGCAAGATCCTCAAGCATCGCAAGGAATGGCTTGCCAGACCCGATGACGAGGCAGAGCGGGCGAAGAACAGGTGTGTAACAGTCGAGCTTCGTCGTCGGCCGCTCACTAAGAAACGGTGAGACCCATCAAGTACCCCATCATCGAGCAACACCTCGAGGAAGACCTCGAGCGATGGCGCAGGGAGCGGAAGCCAATAACCGACATCGCCATCAAGCGACGGGCTCTCGAGATCGCTCAGGATGCCAGTGTTAGCAAATCACCCGATTATCTAGTGACCGCTCGATTGACAATCATTCTGCAGATCTACTCTCCAGAGCATAGGGAGTTCAAAGCTAGCCAAGGCTGGGTGGAAGCCTTCAAGCAGCGGTACGGAATCAAGTACGTGCCGAATTTCTTTACTCGGTCACTACGCCCCCCTTTTTCTTCAACATGACCCACTTGGCCTTCGCAATGTCAATGCACCCAAGCGCCACGCCAGTATATTTCTTCCTCTTTTGCGTCGCGCTTTCAACGCGCCCTTGACACCCCTCACCTGATGTCTGTTCGACTTTGCTGAAACGGTGATCAGGAATCAATCCTTTCCAGGTCAAGCAGCTCTTGAGGAATATCGCAGACTTGCCCCTCCACCTCCACCAAATACAACAGGCCAAGGATTCGTTTACTGGAACGAAAGGGCCCCTCGCTCGCCATCGCCAAACAGGCAGGGACATGACCAACATGGGCAGTATAGAGGTGACCCTGCGGCGGCGGGGGCGTCGCATCACCCCCACCATCAGCCGTCCTCCCATGACGCCTACAGGCCGCCCTGGGGACGAGTGGACGAAGGCGACAACGAGCGAGGCCTGGCGTCCTCATCCGGGAGAGACGGCTATCGTTCCGAAAGAAGCCCATACGACCGGCAAGGCAGTGGCAGTGGCCAAGGTCACCAAGCGCCATCTAATGAAGATATAATACCTGCCGTACGGTCGCTCGATGATCCTCTCATAGAGTTTGCCGCCGAGTTCAAGTCTCGCGCGGCGCGTGGAGATCTCGTTGACGCGAATCAAGCTGAAGGGCGGGTGTGCTTCTTCGACGCGTTCGATCTCTACTGATATCCGTCGCAGAGCCATTCGGGATGTCATCTTCTTCTGTCTTAAGCGGCAACAAGAAAAGGATCCTGTCGTGACAAGAGGCGAGATGGAACTGCTCAGAGGAATAGCGGACCGTCTCTTTCAGTTGGCGGTTGGCCAACAACTGCCCGGCGATGCATTGCTGCCACGCGATTGAACCAGCTCTTGCCATTCTCCATACTTCTGTGACCCCCCTCCCTTACGAACTTCTGCGCTGCGGGCATCGCTCTAGTCCATCTACCTCATATTCTTTCCGTCTGCATTGCCAGGACCGGAGCGCCGTCCCTCCACATATCCGTAGTGCATGCACCTACCTTCGCCTTCCTCCCCCATGATTCATCCTTCCACCAAGCGTGTTTCCCTCATATCTCACCTTCCCCATACGTTTTCTCCCCTTATGCATCTCCCATGCGCGCACACGCCTGTCCCATCTGCACCTTACCAGCACCTGCTCATTCATCTTTAATTCGTATAATGCATCGCACTCACGATATCCCAACGCACTTTGTACTACTACTCACTAGATACGTATAGTATCGTGACGTGTACCTATCTTCTCGTGGCGGGCACATAGTATCTGCTCGCGAGGGCACGTACCTATCGAAATTCCGTTTAGTACTCACATGTTAGCGACTGGTAATGGCGGCAGCCCTTCATACGATCTGACTCTTTCTTCCTTCCAACCCCGTTCATGTGTGCTTGCATCGGTGTTTCCAGTCTCTGCAACCGTCAGTCTGCGCCAGGGAGACGACAGGTAGGTGCTTTTTTGCGTTCTCTACGTCGCCGCATGTGTTGCTCGAGTGTGGCCTTCATCTTTTTCCCGTCTGCGGTTGAAGAAGAGGCTCATCAATATCATCTATTCTACGCCATACAGCATTGTAAATTCCTGCATTGAAATACAACTAGCAACATCCGGTCAAGCCTCTCAACCAAGAAGCCCACGATTCTTAATCAGAACAAGAAGTACCCAAGTCCAACAAAAGCACCAGCCATGCAGAGTCTCAGAAGGTTGTTCTTCCGCTCGTTCCGCTTCGGACCATCGCCCCATCGTCCCACAAACCAGTCGAAGCGCATACCAAGCTGTGCGTACTCGCCGCGCTTCATCACTCCGACCGTGCGCCCCATCTCGCTGAAGATGCGAAGGAAGGTGCTCTCCAGGATCGCAAGTGCTCGGTATCCCCCCGACAGCTCGATTTGCCGCGAGGGGTTGTCGGTGTTGGATCCGTCGTCGAGCGCGACATGACGGTAGACATCGAGGAGCAGGTTTGCGAGGACGACACTCGGAAGAGCAGTCAGCGCGAAGCGGACGATGTCCATTCGCAAGAGGGCAGCACCCGCGAGGAGCGACCCCGTGCAGGCCAAAAGGCACTCAGCGGCGTTCGGCGCATAGTCGCGGTAGGAGTGCTTGGGGTACATCCGCATGAGCGCGCCGTCTCCCACCGACCACATATAGAAGCGCCAGTAGGAGCGCTTGCCGTCATGCCACCAGGGATGCGTCACGATCGCGTCTGGCGCCGCGTAGAAAGCTTCGCCGCCCTTTGCGAGGGAGTGGGCCGTCTTCTGAAGGCAGAAATCGATGTCCTCGCCTCCGCCTGTGAGTAGAATGTCAGCTTCTGTGAGTTTGCAATGGCATCATACAACTGACCTGTCTTCGGGAACACGAGATCATACAACACGCCGTCGTCCGCTCGACGCGCAATCAAGTTCGCCGTCACGCCCCAAGGTACGTCCGTATCTATCTGGGTTGCGATTGCCCAGAAGTATGTGACGCCTGCAAAGTGCACCGCAGCTTTGAAAACGGTGTCCGCAGAAGGGAACTTGCAGTGTCCGACGAAACCCGCCGCGCGAGGATGGGTGCGGATGCACTTCTCCGCCTCGAGAAGAAAATCCGGCTCTGGGGCTATATCGTCGTCGAGGAAGGCTACCCAGTCAGCCGTGGATTCGGCCATGCCGCGGTTCCTCGCGGCGGATGCGCCGAGGTTCGTCGAGTGCACGCGAATGCGAACTTCCGGACACTGGGAGTACTTGTCGAGCAGTTCCTGCGTGCCCTCGGCGTGCGGGTCGTCGATGATGATGATGTAGCTGGTCTCGCATGTTGCTGACGGACGGAGGGACAGGATTGCCTGGAGGGCCTCGATATCGACGCGGTACGAAGGCACGACAATGTCCAGTGCGAGCTTCTCCTGAGGCACGACACCGCCACTGTTCTCCTTGAGAAGTTCGTCTCGCAGACGGCTCACCCCGACGCGAAGAGTCTCGAAGGACCATTTCGGCGCACTCTCCTTCGTGTAGCGTGCGTCCACCGATCCGCCAATGTCGTTCCGAAGTCTACAGTCCTCGAGCATGCGCGAGCACCCAAACCTGCGATAGATCGTGTATAGGTATGGGTCGCCGTCCTGGTTGACGAAGATGTCTGGGATGACCTCGCCGCCGAACATATCGAGGTGCTTGCGATGCACAACGGGGAACGTCGGCATACCTGCGAAGGTCTCATCCATGAACGCGACGCACCCGAAGCCAAGGGGAACCTGTCGTGTCGCGGAAAGGTCTGCGAAGGCGCGATGCACTAACTCCATCCATCCGGTCGAGAGCAGCTCGACATCGTCGCCTAGCAGGACGTAGTAATCGCAGGCGTCGGCATATGCACGGCGAGCACAGTCGCGCCAGAGGGTGCATACCCGACCTCGTGCCACATAGGAGGGTGGTAGCGTGACGATGTCGGCCGAGGAAAGCCCGGCGTCGGCTAGAATGCGTGCGGCGCGACCATCGCTGAGTACGCTGTCATCGTGGTCGGCAAGCACGTAGATTCGAAAAGCAAAGGCAGGGGGATGACCATCGGCCAAGCAATCGCCGCTCGTCGTCCGGATCAATGAATGGGCGAAGCGAGTCAGATTCTCGGTGACGGGTTCCTTAGAGTGTACGCCGCCTGCGATTCGCGAAGTTATGGGAAGGAGGATCGCGAAGGTGATCGGATTGTGTTCCATACGAACCAACGTGCTATGTTGAAGGGATCCTAGCGCCCGACCTTGTGCAAGGAGGCGATCGAGCTCCCCTGTTATCCATTGCGCAGTCTTCAGCATCCCGGAGCGAAGATCCACGCATGGCTCCCAGCCAAGTACGCGGTGGACGAGCTCATTGTGGGAGTTGCGCGACGCGACTCCGATGGGTTTCGTGATATCGTATGCGAAGTCGACTTCCGAGGGCCGAACGCCAGCGGCTTCGAGCGCGATGTGCGCGAGCTCCTGGATAGAGACGGCCTGCTCGGTGCCAATGTTGAGAGGACGGCTGTAATCCGAGGCGAGAAGCTTCAGGACGGCGTCGACGCAGTCGTCGATGTACAGGAAGGACCGGCGTGCATGCCCGTCGCCCCAGATCTCGAAGGACGGCTTCAAGGACGGCGAGTCCGCCAGCATGCGCGCGGCGACCAAGGCTTTGCGCAGCATAGCCGCGGGGGCCTTCTCGCGGCCGTTGTACCACTCGCCTCGAGGCCCATAGACGTTATGGAAGCGAGCGATGCGCACCTCGATCTTGCCCTCGCACTCAGCAAGGAGCATCTCGGAGGCCAGCTTCTCCTGACCGTACAGACCCTGCGGCTTGGGCGGCCCAGTCAGATCGGTCCACACGTCGCCTTCACGAAGCCGAACGTCCTTAGATAGATCGGCCTGAAGGTGTTCCGGATAGATGCACGCAGAAGACGCATAGAGAATGCGCGCGGCTCCGGCTTTGATGGCAGCACGAAGGACGTTTAGCATGATGGTGTGGTTGTCGTCGTAGACGATGAGGTCGTTTTCGGCGCGTATCGCTCCCATGCCGCCCATGTTCGCGGCGAAGTGAAGGACGTGGGTGATTCCTTTCATTGCTCGATCACATACGCGTACGTCGCGGAGATCTCCCTTCAGAAAATCATGACAGAGACTAGTTGGGGCGTCGTATACGGGGTCCTGGATGTCGACAACTCGAACGAAAGGGAAGCCTTCGGAGACAAGTCGCTGTGCGACATGGGAGCCCTATGCGTTGCTGTAAGGGCCTATTACCTGAATAGTGGAGAGGTGACTCACAATGAAGCCAGCTCCGCCGGTCACTAGAATGCGAGAGTTAGACTTGTCGATAGTGGGCATAAAGGCGATATGAGGTGCAGACTATGGAGCGGCTACTGAGGAACCAGTCGAACTTATGAGTGGTGTTTTTTCGGCCTACGTGAGAGGTCGTACACGTCTTCCAGAGCGGTGCATGGGAGCATCTTGAAGTCACCATAGTAAGAAGGACGGGCGCTTGAAAAACAGGAAACGTCTAGCGTGCACACTAATTAGGCGCCCATGGAACAAGAAGGGAAACAGACTCACAACCACTGCGGAACGCCGGCATACTAGGGTACAGAAGGCATCCCAAGGTCACAGTTACCGAAACAGGTCCCCAAAAGACTCGGTCGGGCCTCCAGATAAGGGCATCCAGAGCTTGAGAGCATAAGCCGAAGCCACCGTACTAGGAAATTGGAGAGACCGCAGTCGTGGGCGTCTAAGTAAGCGCCTAAAAGTGAGGTCAGTAATTGGGGCGCGTGTAGGTAGTGAGGACCTACCCAGCGGGATTGGAGTTCAGGCCCGGGATAAGACGAGACCGCCTCTCACGACTTCTCTTCTCGACCATAGCCCTCCGAACACTATGTCTTCCTCCGATAAGTCATCGCAGCCACCTGCGTCGGCGCCGTTGCTCACACGCCCCGACTACGAATTTACCCCCGCTCAGGACTGGTTCAGCGGCAATGTCGAGAGATGGCGGGGACTCTTCTCCCTGGTGGCCGCATCCGCGCCCCGCGCCCTCGAAATTGGCACTTGGGAGGGTCGCTCCTCCGTCTTCCTACTCGAGGAGCTGTGCAAAGACGCCGGCGAGCTCGTGACGATCGACCACTATGATATGCTCCAGACGGAAGCCGGCCGCGCACGCCGCGCGCGAGTCGAGCGCAACCTACGTCTCGCAGGCGGTCGGTCGCGCGTCATCGAGGCCTTCAGCGTCCCTGGCCTCATGACGGTCCTCCGCGACGAGACAGAGGCTGCAGTCGCAGCCGCGGGCTTCGACTGGCTATACGTCGACGGCTCACACCGCGCGGATGACACTTTCCTGGATGGCGAGCTCGTATGGCGGCTCGCGCGCAAGGGCGCCATCATCATCTTCGACGACTACCGCTGGCCCGCGGAGAGTCCGGGGAGCATGCTGCACCCCCGCCGCGGCATCGACGCCTTCCTCGAGCTGCACGCAGGCGAGTTCGAGAGACTGTCTGGCGAGGGCGACTACCAGATGATCGTGCAGAAGAAGACGGAGATGCGCATCGGGTGGGCGTATGCCGAGGGAGCTTCCGCCACCATCGAGAGCGCGCTTGACTACGGAATCAATCTCGCGTTCGCCGTGGATAGCGCGTACGCGATGCCCGCGACGGTGGCGATCAGTAGCGCCATCCGTGTTCTCTCGCCCCAGGCGCGCTGCACGGTGTACGTGTTGGACTGCGGCGTGTCGAAGGAGGATAAGGAGAAGATCAGCGCGGTTATCGACAAGGACAGGGGCGTGCGCACCAGCATCGTCTTCCTAGAGTCCGCAGAGGACGACCTGTGTCGCACCTTGGGCAGCGCAACGTGGGCAAAGCTCGACGTTGTGCGCCGCGTTCCTACAGAGCGAGTTCTCTACCTCGACGCGGACGTGCTCGTCATGGATGACCTCGCTGAGTTGTGGAACACCGACTTGCAAGGGAAGGCCATAGGAGCTGCGCCGGACGTAGGATATCCGAGGGGTCATCCAGGACTGGATCTCGCTAGCGCACAGTCAGGCCATGCGAGCGTCCTAAAGGACGACATCAGGACGGCAGGAGCTCAAGACAACGCTGACAGCCCTGCGTACTTCAACGCCGGCGTCCTTCTCATGGACCTGACCAAGATGCGCAGCAGCGCATCCGATCTCGCGCGACTCGCGCGAAGCGCAACGGACCTTCACTTCAAGGACCAAGACGTCCTGAACCTGCATTTCGCTGGTGACTGGATTGCGCTGTCGCTGAAGTACAATGCGCAAGGACTGGGTGAGTGCCAGCGCATGCAGAGGTGCTCGGAGTCGCTCACCTTCCTTGCACAGGCACTTATGCCAGCATCGTCACGCCATGGCGCATGCTCCTCGACATCGACGAGATGCGCGATTCGCCGGTCATTGTTCACTTCACCGGCCCTGTCCAGCCTTCGCTTGTCAAAGTGTTGAATCCTTGGGTTCAGCCTTACACCGCAAAGCCCTGGGGATATGCCGGCTCACCGGGACATCCATTCGCGGATGCGTGGTGGAAAGTACTAGAGAGGACTGCGTGGGCAGGGATTCGTGGCACCGCCTCGTACAAGGCATGCCAAGAGGCCGCGAAGCAGAGGGCGCTAAGTGAGGCTCGCGACAGGTTTCTAGAGCTCTTTGGGAGTTCTGTATGAGTGCTCGTGGGTTGTATGTTGTTATGACATAGTTCTTATACCTTTGGAATGGGTCAGCTATCACAGAAATTCTTGTACAACATACAGGCTTGCAGACCAGCTATTGATATTGAACGTCCATTGACCGTGTAAAGCAAGTTGTATATTACCCACGTGCGGGAAAGTGACGTTACTGTTTTGTCACGCACCTCCCGCTCTTCTCCCAAACCGTCCAGGTCTACTATGGTCAACGTGATCTTTCAATAATGTGCGCTGTCTCAATCGGCCGTTATCATCCCCCGTGAAAGGCCTCTTCGATGAACTCAACTTATTCCAAGAGTCTCTTCTAACGGATACCCCAATGCTGTCAACGTAGTTGTGTACTTGCGGATGCGATACATATGATATTTTGCTGGGGTGGGTACTGAAAGCAAGCAGGCGTTTCCCGTGTTCAATTGGCATTTGCAGCTCAGCAAAGAGCGCCCTTCACTACATTCACTGCGCGAATCATCGAGAGTACTTACTCACTACTCGGTGATGATCACAATTCCTCGCCGGTGGTGATTCTAACTGCAGCTCGACGTCGATAGACCTCGTACAAACGGACACCTGTCCTGGTACAGTGACCAAGGGCAGCTCCGCGCAGCTGCTGCGCGAAGTCGGTCAATGTCACCGAAGGTCAAGCACGCTGGAATAGCTGGGCGGCATTGCGAGGAGATGCGGCCTGGTAGGGGCATGCTGACAGTGCTGGATAATGCTAGGAATATACGTGTGTGTGAGCGCCATGTAGGCGTCGGAACTCGGACTACATCACGGTATTCCGATCTAGAACCCATGTTGCTGGGGTGTACGGATGCTCGTCAAAGTTCGGTAAACGCCGCTTTCTTCGCCTTTCGGTCCGTCGTCTCCTTGGGGCCTTGATAGCCGACTCGGTTCGGAGCGACCCGAACCGCCCAACGCTGTAGTATCTCTCGGATCGGAAGTCGAACTTTACCCCATTCATACGCAGCGCCTCGGAGGACTGCGAGCGACAGTCCGACGCACTCAACTTCCGACAAGGATTGTCTGTTCGAAGTCCCATGCCACACGTCAACGTGCCACGACCATGCGCGCCCTCACGTCTTCACATTCAGCCCACCAATTCTAGGATCCCTGCGCGCAGCCAATGCCTGAGGCTTACGAGCAGTAAGAAGGTGATAGCGACTGAAGCACTTCATTCACATCCTCTCTTCTGAGGCCCTTCCCTCATCGTAATTTCCTTAGACCATCTCTATATAAGTGACAAGCTTACGACTGCACCGGCGGCCCAGTATCTTTCACCTGATGCCACAACCCCTCAGTCACCTCTCTCAGGAGACGCAAAACCAGTCTTCCGTGGCGAGCGCCGGCGGCTGGTTTGGCTATCCGAACTGGCCAACCGAGGGTGATCATCGTCGCGGGCCTGGCTGCCAAGACCTGTGTTCCACCTTGCACTCGACCCCTCTTTCAACCATGACTCTGACGGCGCCGGTGGCGACTGATCCAATGCTGTACTGTGGTCCACTCGTGCACGAGAACGAATTTCGCAATGTTTCCAGTTGCGACTGCTTCTGTACGTATCAATAATCGTGCTAGCATCTGGTGATTTACAGCTCATGCAGGCCACATCGGGCTCGTCGTTGACACCGACCCGACCACCAATCTGTTAGGTTCACTAACGCCCATCCATATTGCTGCCTGCGGCCACCAATCGACGACATTGCCATCTCAGTCACCGCGACTCTGTTCGCCGTATGACTGGACTTCTCAACCATCACTTGCTTCACGCAGCCATCCATTTCCCAACCTCCCCGAGGACCCCTCGCTCCGATCCGCCAACGACACCGCCCGATCTTGCTATCAACCAGCAAGCTTCCGAAATGAAGTCGGATCGGAAGCGCGCGCGGCGGCTTCGCTTTCTCGTCGATCGATCTCGCGGCACAACAAGGCACACATGTGTTCATACTGCCGCAGGACCTTCACACGGAAGCGCACCCTTGACGGTAGGCTTCGATTGAGGCTCGTCAGCCCTTTACTGAATGCGCTGATAGACCACGTGCTTCGGCACAAGAATATGCGGCAGTATCAGTGCAACCAAGTTGCCTGCGGCGGCGCGCGCTTTAACACCGAGAGTGGGCTCAAAAGCCACCTGAAGAGGGTCCATAACCTGAAGTTGCGCCAACGCAACCAGTCGCTCGCCAAGTAGAACATCAAAGCATATAGTACGCACCGGACCACTCACTATCTGCTACAGACACTCACTGGCAGTCACAGACGCTCAAGAACAGTAATGAGTCGCTCAGGTTTCGCTAACTTTGCTCCGATACGTCAGCATCATGTTATTGTCCTGTAAAAATTAGGTATGTTAACCTATAAGCGATTATTGGTCCGCACTTTGTTTGCCTTCAAGGGCTCCTATTGAACGCAACAATAACATGGCTCGAACCTTTTCGTTGAGCCTGCTCGTGCCGCTCACAGGGCTCGGCAATATTCAGGGATGGTCGTGAGAATTGTGCTCATTCTATGCTTCCGGTGATGTGACTGTTCGGAGATATCAATAATCAAAGGTAAAGCAGTCTCCATTTGGACAACCACATTCGATGACGTCTGCGCAAACCTTCGCCGTGCGCTACGCAACAAGCAGATGGGCAGTCCGACAAGTGCTGGAGAGAAAAGATTGTTGTACTGGCGCACAGATCTCACAGCGACGGCGTTACCAAGTTGTTGAAAAACAACGATAGTAATCGGGTGGACAGGTGGGCACTACGCGACAAAAACAGAGAGTAATCTGGGGTATAGGAAGGAGTCGTAAGACCAGGCAATGTAGGTCTACTGTTCTCAAAGGCGAGTCTACAGGAAAGTAAGCAAAGAGACCAGCTCGATCTAACGTAGACCAAGGACTAAAGTTACGAATAACAGAGGACCTTTTCCAAGCCGGTAAGTACAGTAGCACGCAGGGTCCAACGTTCACACATTTCACCACTATACATATCACTTCATTCCCATGTTCTCCCATCCTTCGCATGTTCGTGTCTCCTGCTCCTCGCCCACCCTCACCCTCTACCTTCAGTCCCCTACCCACCCTCCTCCACATCCATCCCATCACCGTCGTCCCCTCTCCCCTTCTCCCGCCCCTCTCCCCCGCCACTCGCGCCGCCCACCCCCCTCGCCATCAACTCCCTTGCCGCACCCCGCATGAAGCGCAGCCCCTTCGCCCCCGTCGGGAACCCGCGCGCGTGCGGATGCAGCGGGAAGCCCTGGGCGACGAGCGTGGCCTCGAGGGGGGTGGTCGGGGTCGAGTGGGAGGTGTTGTCGTCAGTGGCGTCGGAGATATCGCGGGAGGTAACGGGGGCCTTTGTGGGAGACCCGGCGGTGCTGTGACCGTTGTTGCCGGCGCCGGGGAACGCGCTAGCAGAGGATGCAGGGAACACGCTCGCCGACCCCGGGAACGCCGCATTGGACGGCACCGTCCTCGTCGACGAGCTTGCGTACGCTGCGCTTAACGAGCTTGGGTATGCAGAGGTCGCATCGGACGGCGCGCTCGGATACCCTCCATACCCCTGCTGTTGTTGCTCCGCGAAAGTGGCGTTGTTGTTGGCTGGCGCCGAGGAGCTGCGTGCGTAGCTCGTTTGCTGATAGGTCGTCGAGGCTGCGGGGGCGTGCATAGCCGACGTCGGACTCGTCTGTCCGTACCCTGCCGACCCCGCAGCCGCACTGTTGTCGTTCGGCGACGTACTGCGCGCATGGCTGTAGTTGAAACCTTGGGTAGCGCGCTCGTTCCCGTATGGTTGATAGCCGTCGCCATAACCCTGATACCCATTACCATGGCCATTGCCGTTCCCGTTCCCGTACGCGGATTCCTGCTGGTACCCATAGCCGTAGCCCTCGTACCCGTACGGCTCGTCGGTGTGCATGTCCTGCGCAAGGTGCGTCAGCGCCAGCCATCCCCATTATCCGACCGACCCCTCATCCGACCGACCCCTGCTTGCTATTTGCCGGACGCGAATGTGTTCTGCACATACCTCGCTCGCTTGCCCTTGCCCGTGTTCACTCACTTGCCCTTGCCCACCCCCACCCCCACCCCCGCCCTCCCCCCGCACCACCCCCTCATACACCGCCCTCAGCGCGGCGGCCTGCGCCCCCGCCTCGCTATACGCGTGCGCGTACTGCTCCAGGCCCAAAATGCACGCCTGCACTTCGGGCCGTCCGAGCCGGGCTAGAAGGCCCCCCGCGTGAATGCAGGAGACGTGCATGACCGCGGGGTCGAGGCGGAGGTAGCCGTTTTGGGTGAGGACGGCGGCCTGGGTGGGTGGAGTGTTAGTGCGGGGTTGGGGGTTTGTGGGGGTTGGGGGTTGAAGGGGGGTTGGTGGATGATTGAAGGGGTGTGATGGGTGATGAGGAGAGGTAGGTGATCAATGAGGTGTGCTGTTCGGAAAAGTGTGCGGTGGGAGGGGAGGTTGTCGGTGAGAACAGAATCATGGTGGATAGGAGCAGAATTATGGTCGGTGGAATCAGAAATATGGTCGGCGGTAGCAGATTCGTGGCCACAGGGAGGTCAGCACTCACCAACCCGGCGATCCTCAGCGCCCCATGCAGCGCCTGCTCCGCGATCGTCGCGCACACCTCGTCCTTCTCTGCCGCGGCCGCGGGGTCCGGGAGTGCGGCGAATTCCTGGAGCCGTATGTCAGCTCATGGCCCCCAGTTTGCGTGACGATGAAGAGATGCACGACGACAAGACGCAGAAAGATGCATCGACGCGAGTACATGCATCGACGCAAGACCAAGCATCGAAGCAGGACTGAGCTCCCCCCCACTCACCTTCACCCCAAACTCATCCAGCGCACCAAACAGGATGACCCACATCACATGGAACGTCGCGTCCGAGGCGCACGTCGAGACCGCTTCCACGAACCCCCACCCCCGCCCGAAATCCCTCGGCACGCCGACCGCGGCGAGGTGCGCGGCGCGCCAGCCGGCGAGGGCCTGCGTGAGCAGGCGGAGCGTGGCGTGGGGGATGCCGCCCGCCTCGACCGCGGGCGTCCACAGGCGCCGGGACATCGTCCGCGCCACGCGGGCGAGGGCGTGCGCGGCGCGGTAGTAGCCCTGGGAGGAGGGGTTAAGGTAAGATCGGGTTGCGGTGGAGGAGGATTGGGCAGGGGAAGCTGAGAGTGTAGAGAAAGTACAGAAGATGTGGAGAAAGCATAGAGAATGTGGCGTAAGCACAAAAAATGTAGAGAAAGCACAGAAAATGGAGAGAAAGCACAAAAATGTAGAGAAAGAACACGCACCAAGACCTCTAGCTGATCGCGCGGGCTGGCGTCGGGGGAGGTAGGGTCTGTGGGAGATGACGCTGGGTCTGAGCCCGGATTGGCGTTCGTGGCAGTCTGTGCTGCCGAGCTCGATGCAGAAGCAGCGGTACCCGATGTCGAAGCATTTGGACCAGAGGGCCCCACCCCCGCCGTCTGCGCCGTATAGAAATCCACATCATAATCATCGTCGTCCAGCATCGGTTTGCGTCTGTAGTACGCGCTCCCATACGCGTCCGCCAAGCACGCCATCCACCACGCGAAGACCATTGTGCCCCGCGCGTCGCGGTCCTGGATGCCCAGCAGCGTGCTCTTGTAGTTGACGCGCAGGCCCATGAGGTGACCGATCGCGGCGCGTAGCCAGAAGCCGTGGAAGGCCTCGGGGTCGCGGGGGTCTTGAGACTGGAGGGGCTCGAGGAGTAAAGCGCAGAGAATGTGGTCGGGGGAGGGAATGCGGTGCACAGCGAGGGCCTCTGCGAGGGCGCGCGTGCGGGTGATGAGGGCAGACGCGAGGAAGGACGCGCCGTTGTGCGCGGGGAGGGCGCGGTCCGCCAGCAGGAGCGGATGCTCGGCGAACTTGGCCCCCCACGCGAGCACGACGGCGAGTAGCGCGGGGTGAATGGGGAGGGGGGTCGTGCGCTCGGGATCGGGGCCGCGATCGGGCCCGCTCACGAAGGGCTGGGCGCGGATTTGGGCGCGCAGGCGGGCGGGGTTGAGGAGGGGGAGGCGCGGGTGGACGATCTGGAGGTAGACCTCGGCGAGATCGGCGGCGAGCTCGGCGCGGGCGGCGGGGGAGGCGAGGGAGACGGCGGTCGGGCCCCAGGAGGAGAACCCCTCGGGCGGGGGCGCGAGCAGGTGCGCGAGGACGGCGTGGAGGGATGATGTAGGCGTGATCGGGAGTCCGAGTTGCGCGGAGAGCGGTGCGGCGGGGGTCGCGCTGGACGTGGTGATCGCAGACGAGGCGCGGGGGCGCGGGGGGCCGGAGGGGAACGTCGAGCCGGAGGGCGCACCCCCGGCCGTGTCCCCCGACCTGGGTGCCCGCTTCTTGTGCTGGGTAGCCTGCTGCTGGAAGTGCGTGCATTCGAGGTTCTTCGTCGCGCAGTGTACACAGCGGTCCGAGCCGGGGACCCGGTTGCACTTCACCTTGCGCGCACGGCAGGCGTCGCACGCCGTGTTCTGCTTGCGGCCCTCCATCGCCCTCGGTACCGAGAACATGCAACGTGTGGTCACGTCCGTGACGCCCAGCGCAAACTTGGTCACGTCGGGTCACGCGCAGGCGTCACTGCAAAATTCACACCCGTGCTGTCGTCACCGCCCACGGTCCACGTCCCCGACCACCACCACCACCTCCGACCTTGCCCTACCACCCCGTTCACCGCCGCCCATCATGGTCCAGGTTGAGATTGTTGACGAAAAGGACCCGCAGTACGCCTCCGACGAGTCCTCCGCCGCCGACTCGGACGACGACCTCGAGTCTGTCACATCCGACGACGACGAGCGCGACGAGACGCTGCTCGACCGCATTGCCGCGCTCAAGGACATTGTCCCGCCAAGCACACGCCTCGCCGTCGCAAACAACGTCAGCAAGGCAGGCAGCTTTGTGAAGGGCACGGGGAAGGGTGCGTGGCCAAGTTGACCTCACCGAGGAAGGATGAAACTAACATGACATGCAGTTGTCGGCAACATCGTCTGGGTGCTGACCACGTCTGCGCTGCTCATTGCCCTTCCACTTGGTCTCGCGCTCGAGGATGAGGCGAAGCTGGTCGCGCAAGAAAAGGAGATGTTCGAGCAGCAGCAGGGCACGCAGGGCGTGAGTGCTTCTCTACTTCCATCTATGCATGCATTCTGATATCATACTTCCAGATGATGCCGACCATGTACCCGCAAGCTGATCAACCGAAGGGCATTGTCCCTCCAGGTTTCTAGGCGCCTTCGCCCTGCTCCTCCAGTCCCCTCGTGATCCCACAGGCGCCGGCCGGCCCCGACTCACGACCCTCTTACTTTACATGACATGTAATATATGCCCACTGCAACGCGCTACTCACCTCTGCACACAATCCCTGTTATTTCTGTACGCCTCAAGAGGATAGCACGTTGGCTCACAAGGCCAAATCATGTGCGCTTCTGTCAAGGGATGCAGCACAGCATGCCGGCCTCCAGGGACCTGGCCTGCGCGTTGATTCGAGGTCTCACTCCTGAGCACCATTCTGGCTTGTGAGCTCTACTCCCCTCGTCTCACTGCTGAAGTGGTGCTACGCGCAGTATTTATTCATAAGTTCTGATCTGAGATGTACGTTGTTCACCGACTGTCACGGAACATCAGGTCGACGAAGCCCTGCGCGAGCCATAGACTGAAGATATCGCTGCCCAGCATCTATCGGTCTGTCAGCGATACATGCAGACATTGAAGAAGTACAGATATGCGGCACTAGAGGTATTCATCGTACAATTTCACCTCGTATGCCTGTAAATACTGTAACAGCGGAAGCAAGGAGGGAAGGGGCAGACGGTATATAAGCACGTAGCGAGCATCCTTTGTCCCGTAGTACATCACAAACATCGCCCAAATACCTACGACAACTTCACACTCTTCACCACCTTCGAGATACCCGACTTCTCGCCCTCGTACCGCCCGCCCGTCGCCGCCAGCCCGCCCTTGTACACCGCGCGCTGCGACGCGACCTTGCGCTGCGCCTTCTCGAACCGCATGCGCTTCTTCACGCGCGGGTTGCGCACCGCCTTCGCGCGCTTCGGCGTCAGGCCCTTGTTCGCCATGATCGCGCGCGTCGGCGCCCGCGGGCCGCCCGCCGCGTCGTCGTCCATCGCGCCCGCCAGCAGCTCGCGCTCCGCGGCGGCCTCCGCGTCGTGCGCGGCCTTCTTGGCGGCCTTCTTCGCCTTGGACGCGCGCGCGACGAGGTCGTAGTAGCCGTCCTCCGCCTGCGCGGCGTCCTCTCCGTCCGCGCCGCCGAAATCATTGGTGTCGACGTCCATCGCGTCCATCGCATCCCCGGCCTCCAGATCCTCCCCGCCCTGCCCGAGCGCGCGCCGCGCCGCCTCGCGCGCCTCCCGGGTCTCCTTCTCCTTCCGGCGCTCGCGGTACGGGATGTCGTCGTCGCCGCCCAGCGCCGCCTGCCGCGCGCCCTCGCGCCGCGCGCCCTTCGCCTCGATGCGCGAGGTGTAGAAGCGCAGCGTGCGCTTCCGCGCGCGCTTGTCCGCCGCGTCGGCGTGCTGCAGCGCGGTCGGCTCGCCGTGCGCGTCGGTGTCGAAGGTGACGGAGGGGGTGGGTTTGGTGGATTTGGTGGATCCGGCGGACGCGGGCGCCGACGGCTCGAACTCGGGCTCGACGAGGTCGAAGACGGGCTGCGATTTGGCGTCGGCGGTCTTGCGCTTCTTCTTGGGCGGCTTGTCGGTGTCGGGGGCGCCGTTCGTCCTCGCCTCCTTCGCGGCGCCCTTCTTGACCACGCCCGAGGTGACGTCGAGGGTGAACGGCCCGCCCTTGCTCGCTTCCTCCGCCTCCGCCAAAAGCTCGCCGAGCTCGGCGAAGTCGACGCGCCGCCTGCGGGGCTCCTCGTCACCCCCGCTCAGCATTTCCTCATCATCGCTATCGCTGAGCACTTCGCCCTCGTAGTCCATGCTATCGTCGTCGACGAGGCTGTCTTCTTCGCCATCGTCCAGCTCATCTTCCTCATCCGAGTCTGGCGGCGCAAAGTCCAGCTCTTCGAGCGTGGCCAGGGCTTGCTTGAGTGTGAGGAGGCGGGCGAAGATGGGGTGGGATTGGAGGGTGTCGGGTTTTGCGGCGTACTTGGGAGTGGCGCGGAGGTGAATGTAGAAGGCGAGGGTGGAGGCGTATGTGAGAAGCGTTTCTGTGGGCGAAGGGTGTGAGTAAACGATTCGAATAGAAGAAAGGAAAGAGGAGAACATGGAAAAGCGACGTACGATAGTAAAGGTGCATCATGCCCAAGCCTAGTCTTTCGCCAAATCCTTCCGGCCTGAGTAAAGTCAGATAAATTGTAGAGGAGAAAAGCGCGAAAACTGACTTCTCGAGCTTTTGCTTCGCCTTCGCCAAGCTGTATGCCGTATCCTCCCAGTCTCTCGCCAGCGCGAGCGCCTCCGGATTCGTCTTCTCCAAGTGCTTGAGTAGCGCCGTCGGGTCGGTTGTCGCAAGCGGTATCCCCGGCACGGCAGAGGTATCCACCACCCCGAAATCCTCGTTCTCCCCGGCGTCCGCGTCACCCGCCACGGCGTCGTCCTCCAGCCCAAAGTCCGCGTCCGTCATGCCCTCAAGGGCCTTGCCCTGCAGCCTCCGCGCCTCCTGCTCCTCCATCTCGCGCGCCTCCTCGTCCTCGGAGTCGATCTCGTCGGCGTTCGACGCATAGTACGCCTTCTTGCCGTGTCCCCATGTCTCCTCCTCAGAGTCGGAGTCGGCCTCGGAGGAGGAGGAAGAGGAGGGAGCGCTGGACTTCTTGCTCTTGGACTTTGCGTCCTTCTTTGACTTCTTTGTGGATTTGGAGGGGGCGGATGGTTCGGCGTCTTCATCGTCTTCGTTCATGTCGGCGTACTGATCGTCGTCCTCCTCGTCCGCTTCGGAGTCGGAGGAGAGGCCTTGCAGGCCAAAGACCTCGTCGCCTCCGCCGAGGTCATCGTCGTCGTCGTCTTCTCCTTCGAGCAGGATCTGGTCTCGGGACATGTGGACTGCATGGGGAGGGAGATGGGAAGGAGAACGATGAAAGAAAACATCTGAGCATTTCTCCCAAGTTGACGTGAATGTCATACGCACACTCATCCTCATCCTCCATGGGTATGTCAGCAGCAGTGTTCCAGTTCGCGACGCGCGCGTCATCCTTGCTTGGGCGCTTGCCGGTCTTGCCGCCATTCTTCTTGGTAGCGCGTTTGCGAACCATAGTAAAGCCCTATGCAGTTGAAGCGTATAGAGCACTGCAGCAGAAGGGGGTAGTTGTGAACCAGCGTAAGCGCTCGCAATGCAAGGGCAGGAGCCTGGAGGGAGTACTTTCGAAAATTCCGATCAGCCATCATTGGCGGTGATCAGTGACCTCCGGTTCTCGGGCCGACATCCGAGGCCATAATGCATCCCGCCGGAGAAGTTGGCCTTGTACTCTTCGTATCGCACGAATTTACTGCGAGCAACAACGCTGCTGAACCTCGGAGAGATACCGTGTGTTCCCATCGCATGTTTTGCATGGCCTTGTTCTCCGTCCTGAGTCGGAATGACGTGTTCCATCCAGCGAACAAGGCCGCCTTCGCGTCGCAGAGTGCTCACGCCCCCCTCCCGCCCGCCCACTCGCATCACCCCCTCCCCTTCGACGCGATAGCTCGCTGCCCCCATACGCGCGTTATGTCTATCCTTCGCGTTCTCCCGTGGACGGGCTGTCTCACGAGGGGCGGTCACCTGCTGCGCTACGTTGTGGCTGCAGAACGGTTTATGCATGGCGCGCTGGGTGAACTATACAAGCGCCCAAAGATAAAAGCTCGCTGAATTTCTCCCTCGATCGCCAGTCGCTCTCCTCCATCACAGCTTAGTCTGCCTCTGCTCGAGAAAAGCTCGCACTCGCTATTCGTCGCACTCATCTCTCCAGCTCAATCCTCCTTGATTTCTGATCATGGCCGCCACCGCCTCCCAACCCCCTCCTCATAAACTCAATCCCCCCTTCCGCATTGACCACGTCGGGTCCTTCCTCCGCGCGCCTGAGGTCCTCGCTGCGCGCAAGCAGGCCGCTGCAGGTGCTCTGTCCGCCACCGAATTACGCGAGGTAGAGAACAAGGCGATCGCCGAGCTTGTGAAGCAGGAGCTTGCGAACGGCGTCCGGTCCATCACTGACGGCGAGTTCCGAAGGGCGTACTTTCACATCGGTACGTGGACGGTCTGTGATTCTCGCGGATCGCGGGGTTTGCTGGGAGGTATGCGGATGGTTGCTAACGAATGCATGACTAGACTTCCTCAAGAACCTGGAGGGCGTAACGGTGACCGGCAGCATTCAATCCCAGGAGAACGAGCATGGGTTCTCGCCACCGAAGTTGAGCGTGACGGGCAAGGTGAATTTTCTTCCCTTCTCAGATATCCGACTCGTCCTTCATCTGAATTACCGCGCTCCCTCCTTCGACCCGAGACTTGTTACCCTTTCTCCTGGATAAATGACTGACGCAGAGCTTATAACAGCTCCGCTGGGTCAAACCCATCGAGGTCGACAACTTCAAGTACCTGCAGTCCCTCATCGACCCATCGACCGGCGCGATACCCAAGATCACCATCCCCTCGCCGACCATGGTGCATTTCCGGGGAGGGGTGAATACACTCGTCATCCGATAGACACCCTACTGACCTTGACACCCCTCCCTCAGCGCGCCTCCATCGACATCGACTCCTACCCCGACCTTGACATCTTCTTCGCCGACCTCGCCGCCGTTTACCGCCAAGAGATCAACACGCTCTACGAAGCCGGCTGCCGCTACATCCAGCTCGACGACACGAACCTCGCCTATCTGTGCGACCCCGACATGCGCGCCGCTGCCGCGGGGCGCGGGGAGGACGTGAACGCGCTGCCCAGGCAGTACGCGGCGCTGATCAATGCGGTGGTGGATGGGAGGCCGGCGGATCTGTGCATCGGGATCCATCTGTGCAGGGGGAACTATCGGTCGAGGTGGTGAGTGCTTACCTTTGGATATTGTGGCACTCTCGCTGACTCTCGCTGTCTCCAGGTTCGCGCAAGGTGGTTATGAGCCGATTGCGGAGGTGCTGTTCCGCGAGTTGAACGTCGATGCGTACTTCCTGGAGTGGGAGAACGAGCGAAGCGGTGGCTTCGAGCCGTTGAGGTGCGTCTTGCTTCCTTCTATCCTCAGTTGTTCCCCCTCCCTCCGCCCTACCCTTACGTTCGCTGACCTCTACCCCAGATTCCTCCCACCCTCTAAAGTCGTCGTCCTCGGCCTCATCTCTTCCAAGGTCGCCGCCCTCGAGGACAAGGCGCACATCCTCGCGCGCATCCGTGAGGCGGCAAAGTACGCACCCCTCGATCAGCTCGCGCTCAGCCCGCAGTGCGGGTTCTCGTCGACGCAGGAGGGCAATGACCTGACCGTGGAGGAGCAGTGGGCGAAGATGCGGTTGGTGGGGGAGATCGTTGAGGAGGTTTGGGGGAAGAACTGAGTGGGAGGGCAGTGTGGGACTCAAATGTATTATTTGTGCATGTATAGGGTTGATGAGGGCAATGTGGCCAGGCAGAACAATAATAATAGGGACGTTCAACCGTCTATTCCTGGAAGGTCGCCTGCAACGTTCGTCCTGCTGCATAGCTTTGGCAGGGGGTGGTGCGAGATTGAAGATAGCAGCTGCGAAGAGAAGCGTTGACGCTTGCATAGGTAGTGTGAATGCACGTTCGACAGAAGGCAGGTCCAATGGACGTAGTAGGCTAGCGATATCTCTTGACTATTTAGTTCCGTGGGAATCATTCTCAATCGACGGGGGCAAATGCAAAAGTGATCGAACATTGGAACTCCCCGGATTGCCACGGATTGCCACGGAACTCTGCGATCCCCAGTTCCGTGGCAATCTTGGGTATCCATAGACGTCGTCAGAAATCAACTGGACCTCCCCAAAGTCCTGACTCCAGGCCAGGACCTTTTTTGCGTTCCGTTTGGCGTCCCAAAAGCTCACTGCCATAAATGGTAATGCAATGGCAATCATTCGCGGCCCTGATGCGGTTTCGTTCACCTTCATCAGTTACCCGCCTAGATGCCGTTCAAAAGGGATGTTGAATGCCGTTCGGAGGGCCCGAGGACTGCATGATAAGCGCAGCCTCCGCCGGCGGTTTTAACTTTCCCTATCTGTCAACAATGCCCGCGTGATTACGAAACCGCGCGGAATGCCCCAAACCGCCTGCGCCTCGCTTTAAAGGGCCCGAAATCTACGGTTTCCCCTTCTCTCTTCTCTTCCGCCTTTGACCTCTATGAGCGCCATGCCCGCCTCCGACGCCGTGCTCACCCAGATCCTCGGCCAGCTTGAGGCGCTGCAGGTCCAGCAGCAGGCCCTCACGGCCAAGGTGCGTTGCGCGCGGCGAGGCGAGCTCGGAACACGCGGCTAACGCGCTGCAGCTCGACGACCTGACAGCCGACCGCCCCTCCCTCCACAAGCCCGCTTCGGCAGATGTCGTGCATACGCTCACGGGTGCGAGCACGATGCAGCCGCCCAGTGGTTCGCCGACGACGAACGGCCATCGCCCGCTCGACGATAAGGAGCGCGAGAAGATCCTCTACCCGGGGCGTGTCCTGCTGTCCAGTACGTGCTTCCTCGGCTGCTGCGATGGGTAGCGATTGACCTCTCGCGCAGCTTACCCCGACCAGCACGGCATCGACCCGCATCCGATGAACTGGGGCGCGTCGGACCCCACTGTGCGCGGCGCCGTCGTCTGCTCCCGCCTCCCCGCATCCATCAAGCGCCGCAATGCACTGGGCGCCCACTCCGGCTCGTACTCAATCTACCGCGCGCTCTCCATCGCCATGGGCTCGCTCTCGCCGTCGCACAAGCCCGACTACAGCATGACTGAGCCGCCGGTCGACATCCCCTTCAACCCCACGTGGGCGGATCCGTCTAAGATCGTGTCCTTCGACCCGTGGGGCCACCTCGTTCCCCAGGTCTACAAGAAGGAAATCGACGGTGGGCTCGACGTCCGGCCGAGCATCGCCGTCACGCGCGCACACATCAAGCTCAGCGAGCTCGATGAGACCGCGCGCAAGGGCGAGCTCGAGATTGACGGCAAGATCGTGCTCAAGAGCCGCCCGCTCACGAACGCGGATGGCACGGAGAGCGACGCGTTCAGCGGGATTGAGGTCAACGTCAGCAAGGCCGCGGTAGAACCCGTGTGGTACCTCCCTGGTGTGGCGGAGCGCTTCGGGATGTGCGTAGCTGCATCGTGTTCGCGTCGCTGGCTAACATGCGCGCAGCTCCGAGGCCCTCCTCCGTCGCGCTCTCTTCGAAGAGACTGGCGGCATGTACCCGGAGCTCATCACCCGGCCCGACATCAAGGTCTTCCTGCCCCCCATCGGCAATCTCACTGTGTACATCTGTACGTGCATACGTTACCCGCTTCTGTCGCCGCTCATCATTGTCTAGTCGGGCCGCCAGAGTACATGCGCGACGAGTCGAAGGAGCTCACCCTACGTGTGCACGATGAGTGTAACGGCTCAGACGTCTTCGGCTCCGATATCTGCACGTGCAAGCCTTACCTTGTCTACGCCATGGAGGAGTGTATTCGCTGCGCCCAGCGCGGCGGAGTCGGCGTGGTCGTTTACTTCCGCAAGGAGGGCCGCGCTCTCGGTGAGGTCACCAAGTATCTCGTCTACAATTTGCGCAAGCGCGGCGGCGACACGGCGGACAAGTACTTCAAGTCGACGGAGCTGATTGCGGGCGTGAAGGACATGCGCTTCCAGGCCCTGATGCCCGACGTGCTGCACTGGCTGGGCATAAAGAAGATTGACCGGATGGTGTCGATGAGCGATATGAAGTACGACGCAATTGTTGGGAGCGGGATTCCGATCAACTTGCGCTATGACTTGCCGGGTGAGTACATCCCTCGCGTTATTACGGTGGGCAGTTAGCTGACTTGAGCCTCAGACCACCTCATCCCGCCCGACTCGCGTGTCGAGATCGACGCGAAGATCGCCTCGGGCTACTTCTCGAGCAACAAGAAGATTACGGAGGCGGACCTTGTCAAGACCGTTGGCCGCACTTGGGAGGAGGCGGAACATTGAGTGGGGGGTGTCGTCTATATTTGGGAGGAAAAGCTGGTCATCTGGGTGCTCTCTCGCTTGGTTTGGATAGATCTCGTGTTTCCTGTACTACACCTGCTCGATGTAATACCTAACAACTGTGTAATACATTGCAAATCCTTTGCAAGAAACTGTTATCGGAGAGGTGGAAGGCAGGGAAAGGAAAGCTCGAATTTATATCGCTGAATATCACGCCCACGCGCGTCGCCCCGGCGGGAAGCCATGTGATCGCGTCTGGTCCGATCACTCCCTTACTTCCAACCGCCATGCTGGGTCTTGCTCGTCGTACCGGGGGCGCTTCCGTCGCTCGTTCACTGTCTCGTAGCACCGTCCTGCAGTGCAGGTACCAGAGCACCCAGCCGTCTACCCCGTCCTCTCAGGACAAGTCCCCCTTCCAACCCACCGCTTCCTCGCCTTCCTCTACCAGCAATGCCTCACCCTCGGATGCTCAGCCCCGCCGCACCGTCTCCTTTGGCTTTCAAAATGTACCCGAGGAAGAAAAGCAAAACCTCGTGAAGAACGTCTTCGACTCCGTCGCGAGCAACTACGACCTCATGAACGACGCCACGTCCTTCGGCGTGCACCGGCTGTGGAAGGACAACTTCGTTGACTCGCTCAAGCCGGGGAGGAAGGGCCCGATGAAGTGCATTGACGTCGCGGGCGGCACGGGGGATATTGCGCTCCGGATTTTGGACTATGCGCGGGAGAAGTATGCGGATAGGGAGACGACGGTGGATGTGGCGGATATTAATGGGGAGATGCTGAAGGAGGGGTACAAGCGGTTCAAGAAGACGATGTACCACAACAGTGAGTGCCGGAGCGGGAGGGCGAAGAGGGAAAGACTGACGCATTGTTGCAGCTCCCCAGGTCGCGTTCCATGAGGCGAACGCGCAGGAGATGTCGCAGTTCCCGGACAACACGTATGACCTGTACACCATCGCGTTCGGCATTCGCAACTGCACAAGTATTCCGGATGTGTTGAAGGAGGCTCATCGTATCCTGAAGCCTGGAGGCGTCTTCGCCTGCTTGGAGTTCAGCAGGGTAAACAACCCCATCCTCAGCACGTACGTCCACCTTTTTCCTCGCCTTCTCGCTGTGACTGACCTTTTCTGCCCCTTCTAGCTTGTACGATCAGTACTCCTTCACCATGATCCCGCTACTCGGCACCCTGCTGTCCGGCGACCGTGACGCATACCAGTACCTTGTCGAGTCAATTCGGAGGTTCCCGCCACAGCCAGAGTTTGCGAAGATGATCAGGGATGCTGGCTTCACGACTGGGGAGTTTGTGGATGGCGGCGCCTGGACGGACTACTGGGGTGGCATTGCTACTGTACACAAGGGTGTCAAGCTATAGATACATGTCGTATAATCTACTTACCGCGATATAGACTTCAGCATATACTCCGCTCTTCACCGGTCTCTGTTTGCCACTCAAAGCTCTTTGTTGAGTCTTTGTTCGGTCCCCTGCTATTGTTCTTGACCGGGCCGAGCTTCCGCAGACTGCCTTGTGAAATGAATCTGAGTTCTCACGGCACGATGGCGGTCAACGTTCTTCGCGACTCCCTCCTCGACGCCCTGCGCGACATCCCCGGCACGCGCGACTTCCACCTCCACCTTCTCGTCTCCGCGCCCCGCAAGACCAATGGCCTCTACCCCTTTGCTCACCCGCGCCCGCGCGCGTACCTCCAGGACATCCTCATCCTCGCCTCCGAGCAGGCCACCCCGGACGCCCCCCGCCTCATCGTGAGCGCCATCGAGGCGAACGTGTACGTGGTGCCCGCCACCTCCTGCGCGGTACTGTATGTCTCGAAGGTGGACTCGAGCGGGCAGGGCGCGCGCCCCTCGCCCACGTCGCGTCTGGTGCAGCGGCTGGTTAAGTACTACGCGGACCCCGCGACGCGCCCGGTGAAGGCGCGCCACCTCTGGGTGCACCTTTTCGCGCGCGCGCAGAACCAGTATCTGCTCCCCAACTCGGTGGAGTTTGAGGGGAAGAAGCCGTTGTCGGACATCCGGCTCTGCGCGTGGTGGAAGCGCGTGCTAGGGGATGCGTTCAAGGATGTGGAGGGCGCGAAGGACTTGACAAGGCGCGCATGGTATATTCTACCGGGCTTCAACGAGCTGGAGGCGCTGAACGCGCTCGGTGCGACGCCAAGCGAGGCGGATCCGTGGGCGTATGGCCATCCATACGAGCAGACCGACATCCCCCTCCCATGTCCGCGCGACGAACACCATCTTGGGCACTTCATTCCCTCTTTCGAAGACGATCCCAAGAGCAGGTTTGTGGATGACATCGCGTACACCACCGAGGGCGAGATCAAGTCCCCGATCAAGAAACGGCAGCGCACCGAGTCCACCACAGACGGGTCCCATAAGCCCACCTCCCGCGTTAGCAAACCCGCCTCACACGCCGCCAAGCCCCCATCAACCTCCCCCTCCCTTGTTCCCAAGCCCTCCACCGAGTCCCTCAACGCCAAAGAAGACAAGGACAAGGCCGCCTCGGAAGACCCCACCGCGCGCGAGCTTCGCAAGGTCTCCCCCGCCGAATTCTGGGAGCGCATGTCCTTCCGCCAGGAGTGCGTCTCCGGCGCCATCACAGGCTTCTTCGTCCTCGCGTTCTCCTGCCCGTCCTCCGCCCTCCCGCGCGACGACGGCGTGTCCCCGCTGGCGCCGCTCCCGGGGCACGTCGCGCCGAGGGTGGTCAAGCGCGTGATCACCTCGTTAATGACGGCGGTGGAGTTCTCCACGCGTGAGCGCGCGGTGCATGCAACGAGTTCGATTGAGAGCACGATACAGGGGCTGTGTGATGGGTTGGTGCCGGCGTCGGCGCCAACGTCGAGGGTGGGGGCGCCGAAGCCGCGCGCGCCGTCGTTGTTGCAGGTACCTGGCGAGGAGCACGTGGAAGGGTCGACCGGCACAGACGCGTCCGCGAGTACAGACGCCTCAGCGAGCACGGAACGGCCTTCTACACCACCGCTCCGTCATCTCGAGCCCCCAAGCACTCCACCGCGCCGGAAAACAGCCCTTCCGGATCCATCGCCGAACCCCTTTGAAGAGCCCGTGGCCACTATGGACACGTATCACCAACATATCTACGGAAGCATCTCTGTGAAGAACCCTGAACCAGTGAAGACAGCGGCCGCTCCAGCGCAGCCGGTGACGGTCCTGGCTGTACGCAAGAAGAAAAAGAAGGCGACGTGAGGTGTGGAAGGGTGGTAGGAACGACGGTCTATTGGGGAGATGTGAAGAGGGAGAAGCTATGTGAATCTCGTGTATCTTGTTGCTTGACGCACCGCTGTCTGTCGTCGTGCTCTGCCCCGATGCTTATTTATGTGCTTTGCATGCGAACAAAGGAGGAGGCGGAGGTCGCGGATGTCAGCTTTTCCTGAGGTGCGCTAGCGCTCGTCGCAGCGCCCCTCATGCACAAATAGACTTTATCTCTGTCTCTATGTCTGCCTATCAGCAATGCAGCCCAAGCTTGGGGTTTGAGTTTACTCGAACAATGGCGTGGCCGCGGTAACGTGACGGCCACGCGTCTTATTCCCCTTTCGGTTGCGTGCGCCATACAGCGGCGGCCAGATCAATTGCGCGCTGCCTTTTTGGGAAAAATCGCCGAGGCGGGTGTTGGGCGTGGTCGGAAAAATCCAGTTTCTTCACAAAACGGTAGAGCGCAGCCAAAACCCCCCAAATACGAACTTTGAAGCGAAACGGGCATGTAATTCGTGAGATATGTGCCGTAGACTACCTGAGGGCGTGCAGTGCCATATGACGCATGTCGGCACATTTTACGAGGATCACGGACGCTCTCCGGCAAAGTTGGTATGCAGACGGTGGTTTTCATGGGCGCTCTACCGTTCTGTGAGGTCGCAGAGACCCGCAAACTATGCCTAACGCTCGCCTCGGCGATTTTTCCCAAAAAGGCAGCGCGCAATTGATCTGGCCGCCGCTGTATATAAGCAGTGCGCGTGGTCGCTTTGATGGGCATCCTGCCTTGTTTCCTACCCCCATCGCCCCACTCCATCCTCTTCCTTCGCATGCCCCCCGACAGCATACCCCCGACTTCGACACCGACACCGACGATGCGATGGCTTGCAAGCGCCGTCAATGTTCCCTCGGGCTGACCCAATGCCACTGGGAACGGGCGCCTCAATAGTGCGCCATACAAAACCCATCTATCCTCTTGTCGTTGACCTTCATCGTCAGATCTCCTCGGTATCGTCTCCCCAACCGCACGATGCTTTGCAAGCGGCGTTAATGTTTCCTGAGCTAAGCCCAATCTAGCGGGATTCGGGCGGCTAATAGTGCGCCATTCTCCAGTTTACTGTGTTCTCATTGCTCACCTTCGACTTTAGATCCCGTCAAACCTCCGCCCTACTAAATTCCGAACTCGACGCCAATGCAAGAGCGTCAAATCACACACGAGTTCACCCAATGCCACGGAGCCCGGGTAGCTCAATAGTGCGTCGTCACCTAAAACACACGCGCTCGTCACTGACTGTCGTCGGCAGATCTCTCCGACATCGCCCTCGAATGGCCCGACGCCTCGAGGCCTCACGCCCCAGCCGTCAAGTGGCAATGAGATCCCTGGATCAATGCCACACTAACCCGCCTCTCACTATCCGTCGGATCACCATGAGGGTCCAAGGAAGGTTGTTCGTCGCCAGCAAGGATTATAAAGTGCGATCGCTCGGGTATTTTCCTTCCACATGGACTGACACCGTCTTAGGCGCAAAGGCCGACTGCAATTGTCAAGACTCAAGGCGAGGCTACAGGTTAAGGACCGGGCACTGCCCAATCCAATCTCTCTCCCGCGCGGCGACGCAATGAGGTCGGCAGGCCAATGATTCCCCCCACCTGCGAATTTCGCCAATCTCTATCCAGCGCTCCAGTTGCAATAGGCTACTCATCAACCTCAATTCGCCCCGCTACTCTGCCTCCAATCGGCAATCGATTCAGTAGACAGGTCATAGCATCAGCACAACGTAGGCGCATGCGTATATGACATTCTTCGGCGTCCTGATACTGTCTTCAGATCCGTCGAGGGCATCGGACCATACGCGACGGGCTTCGGTATGCGCTCGCTCCGCTGCTCGTGGGCTGACATTGCACTCCCAGAACGGGACCTGAGGGGTGACCTGTAGGGTGATCCCCATGCGTGGGCACCTTGGTGCTCCAGAAGACAGCCGCTTCGGTAGCTTGTCCACAGCCATTTTCATGGCTGAGCCCCATTGTCGCTCCGGCGTCAGTGGGTAATTTTTCCCTCCCATCTCCTTCTGGAGATTTCTTGCCTACGTACTTTATCTTCTTCCTGCGCTGGACTTTGCGTCTCTAGAAGGGGGCACTCGGATTGTATGTTGTGAGATATTCATGTACGAGCGCTGTACGTCGCCGGGCTTCATTCGGTGTATGAATCTATCTGCGGGGCTCGTGCGGTGCATTGGAACTCGTTGCGTGTTGACTTTGTTAATTGGTGGAGATTGGGGACGCCACGGTCCCAGACGTGTCTGCCTAATTGTCCGCGTAGCAAACAGATCCAAAGGTCTCAGTCAGCAACAGGAGCACTTCTGTAGGTGGCTTCCGTCACAGTTTGGGCAGCCGATAATGATAGAAGACCGGGTAACGTGACGGCCACGTGGAGTCCTGATCGCTGATGGGGTATACATAAGCGGTGCGTGTTTGCGGTTTGATGGGCACTCTCTCTTGTTTCCTACCCCCACCCCATCTCCTCCCAGCCGTTCCACCAGCCCCCTTCGCTCACCCCGACAGTCCTGGACTTGACACCGACGCCGACGATACGATGGCTCGCAAGCGCCGTCAAGGTCATCTCGGGCTTGCTCAATGCCACTGCGATCGGGCAGCCCAATGGTGAGCCACTCAAGTGGCGTAACGCGACATCGTCGCTGACCTTAGATGTCAGGTACATTTAACCTCTAGATGATGTCCAATCCATCAACGGCTTGCCAGTGCCAATGATTTCTTCCCGGGGTTAGCCCAATGCTACTGCGTCCGGGCTCCTCAATGGTGCGCCACTCGTCAGTATCACATGCTGGCGACGATCCTAACCCGTCCGCCAGATGTCAACAAGCATTCGGCAAGTGCTCTTTCCGACCTTATACGATGCTTTGCAAGTGCATCAATGCTACGTTTCTTGAGCTGGCCCAATGCCACTGCCCACGGGCACGTCAAGGGTGCGTCCCTCGGCCATCAAGCATACCCTCATCGCTGACCTTTATCGCCAGATTACCTCGACATCTTTTCCTTTGAACCAGATGATGATTTGCAGACGCAGAAGTGTACTCTCGGGCTCTTCCGATGCGACACCGACCCCAACAACCCGATGGCGCACCACTCGGCCATTCAAAATGCTCGCGTTGGTGCCGACCAACCCCCTGTGACCTCAAGGCATGACTTTTTTGCTTCCTGCAAGTACGGATGCTACGCAAGAGCGTCAATGTTACCAATGCCACAGCAGATGAGCAGGCTAGGTGCGCTGTGTGATAGCTTTTTGTACTGCTGTGACTAAATTTTGGCGTCAGACCTCTTCAACGTCAATTTCACGGCGCGTCGCAACCACATTGATTTTCTCTGGGCTGAGCCCAATATAGCGACTCTCGGGTAGCCAATGGTGTAAGTGACCCGATTTAGATTCCACCATGTTCTCGTCACTGATTTCATCTACAAGATCTCATCGGTGTTTGGTCTTCAAGTTCTCCCATCCTCCGATGCTACGCAAGAGCGTCAATGCTTTGCGAGCTCGCCCAATGACCCCGAGACCGGGCCGCTCAATGGTGCGTTGACGCCGGCTCTGTATCAGGTCGTCTCTGACCGCCTTCGTTAGACTTCTCCGCCATCAACAATTAGACAGCGCAGCGCCTCAAGCCCCAGCCACCAAGTCGCAATGACATCCTTCCGTCAATGTCGCGCTATCCCACCGCTCACCAGATCGCCACCAAGGTACAAGGAAGGCTCTTCGTCGCCTTCGGGGTATGCGTTGAGATCGCCTTTCTCATGCATGGACTGACATCGTTGCAGGACTTTGCATAACACCTGTCATCGATCGTTGAGACGAGAAGGCGACCTCGAATATTAAGGACCTTCGCCGTCCAATGAAGGACTATCCGCGCGGCGTCGTAATGAGGTCGGCAGGCCAATGATCTCCCTCGCTCACGAAGTCCAGGAGTCCATAACCCGCTAAAGGACCAGCGCCCATGTCGCAATGTGTAGCAGCACTTACTAATCTCAAGATACCTCTTCGCTGCGTCGCACCGCCTCCAACGGCAATGCATCAATCCAGTCGATAGTTGACGAGACAGTCGACAGAGTTATGACCGCGCACGTTTCGCCCGAAGGATCATAGGTGCGTGCGCCTTGCGCTCTGACCAAGTTCCGACGTCGCCTTTAGGTTTTTCAAGGAGACGTTACTGTGTGGCGTCACCTACCCCGCATGTCGACTTCGGTATGGTCTTGCATCGCAGATCGTGGGCTGATGGTTCAACCTTCAGAGCGCTTTTATCCTCATATCTGGACACTTCGATGCTCAGGTGGACACTCGCTGCGGTGGCTTGTCTGACAGCTACGCAGATGACTGAACCTCATTGTCTCTTCGGCAGCAGGGGTTTTTTTCCTCCCAATCTCCTTCTGGGGATTCCTTACCTAGTACATGTGATTTCCCTTCTGACGCTGGCTGTTGCGTGTCTGTATGACGAAGGGATGTGAGATGTGTGTATGGGTGTCAGATGTACTCAATGCGGTGTGTACTGTACTGCGCAATTTGCTCATTCGCTGGCATTCGCGGCGCTCTCACGATGATTCGAACTTTGAATTCGGTGCTGGATCTAACGGTTCGTGGTGGCTGAGACTCGAATGGTGAGGATGAATGTCATTGTCCGAGGCTGATGGTCAATCGTGCTGCTTTAAAATGGCTGTTGCTTGCTGAGAAAACGAGTTGAACTTGTGGGTAGATTCGTGAGACCATGGGAATCCTGGCACGTGCACGGGCAAGGTGACCATAAACGGCAAGTCCTCCTTTTGCTCCCGGCGCCCATCTCACGCGTAAGTGCAAATGAATTGTTTCCTCATCCGGAAGCACGCTCGATCCATCCTGTGCTGATCACTCGTTTCAGCTGCCCTAACAATGCACATCCTGCAGGAAGTCCCGACCACCACAATCCTCTGCGCGAAGTGCGCGAACACCATCAGCGTCAATGTCGGGACCCCCGAGCTGATTCTACGAGCTCGTTCTGAGTACACTCCGTTCACCACCGACGAGACGTCTGCTCTCTCATACAACTTGGAACGGGCATACGATGACCTGCGCCGATGTGAACGGGAGATTGCTTGCCTAGAAGGGACTCTGCACGCGCTACGCCAATCGCAAAGCGCCCTGCAACTCACGACAGAGTGCATCAATGCCCTCCTCTCGCCTGTTCGTAAACTTCCGACGGAGCTGCTGAGGGAAATCGCCAGCTACACATTGCCCTCGAGGTGGTGGACCGACCGCATCGCCAAACACCCCTGGAATTTTACGCAGGTCTGTCGCAGCTGGAGGTCGGCGGCTATCAGCATTACCTGGGCATGGGCGCAGATCCGCTTTCCAGATTGGCCACACACACAAATCGCCAACAGATGCGACAGCATTCGAAGCGCTGTCTGGAGGTATCTGATGCGAGCTGCGCAAACGCACAGCCCTCTCAGAATTCTAGGCCTCAGGGACGCGCACTTGAGGGACGGATGGATAGAGGTACTTCTCTCAGTTCATTCCGAGTGCATACACACCCTGGAGATGACAACCAGGGACGACAAGCTTCCCTTCACTTACCACCTCCCGACGCTGCAGCGGCTCATCGTGCACGGCGAACTCTTAGAAAAGGTGGACGCTCCTGACATTCGCATCGTCGACCTCTATGGTGCCAATCCACACAACATCCAGCTGCCTTGGGCAAATTTGCGTGCTTTCAAAATGCGGAGATATATCAGCACGAAGGATCTCGAGGTCCTATGTGCATGCACGCAGCTAGAAGTTCTCAGCCTCTCCGACGAAATTATGGGCATCCAATACGACTCGGACCCTCTCGTATTGCCAGCATTGCATACGCTGGAGATCGGTGGCGCGGCTGCGGAAGTCTGCCCGCATCTCGTTGCACCCAATCTTCAGCACTTCATCCTCAACATGGCTTCCGATGACAACTACACGTGGCACGTCGAGCTGCATCGGCCCGCACTGCAGTTGCTGGAAGGCGTTCTCCCGCCCGTCACCTCCCTCACTCTGCGCAATATGGACACCTACGACTTCGAGAATATCCCCGTGCGCGAGCTGCTGGCGATGCCGCGCGCGTTGCGGAAGGTCTCCGCTGTCGTAGAGACCGACTACCCACTGCAGTCCAGCACGCAGATGATGTACCGCGACCTGGTGGAGGTGTTGTGCTGGGACGAGGCCTGCCCAACGCTCCCGCATCTCACCGAGGTCGACCTGGTTGGCGGGATGCGAGATATACCTTGGTCGAGCGAGGATGTGGCCCTCGTGATGCGCTTGCTCGAATCGCGCGCATCCGGCGGGGCAACTGGCGGATGCGCCCGGCTCGAGCGTCTGAACATACGGACACCATTCGCGCCGTGTCCCATTGCGACACCAGCGGAACCAGGAGGAGCCGTGCGAAATCTCAATGGACAGTCCGTCGTATCGATAGATATGCAATGTCTGGGGGAACCCGTCGAGGGTTTCGACATAGAGGCGGCCCTACGGTAGTAGGGGCGCCTCGAAACTCGAGGACACGGAAACTGGCTGTCTATTAAATGGCATTGTATTTGTTGGATTTGGATAACATTCTGTTATACCTATACTGTCCCAGTCATGTAAGTACTGTGACGCGACTGGCCTTGATACCCTACGTACTAGCGCTGCTATCGGTCATTGCTCAGCGTCGGATCAATCACTGTACTTCATACTGATCGAGCGATCTCACTTGCCTTCTTGGAGCCGACCTCCATTGCTACTCATCCATCCGACGCACAGATATCCTCCCGGTGCTTCCCCGGCGTGGAACAGACTCTTGTGGTCCAAGCTCTGCAACTTTTGGCTTCGATGGAGGGCGCGGCGTCAACGCATCCTCAAGCGCCCGATCACCTGAACAGCACAGGCTGCGTGATCAAGTATTCGCCAGGGAAAGGGAGAGGAGTCTACGGTATGCGTTCATCCAGATATCAACACTCAAAGCAGACGATGGATTGCAGGTTGACCTCTCCTATTTCCCCTTACACTTACTCGCTGGCTCTACAATGCGTCATGCGCCATGATCTGCGCTCTGCGCGCCACCCTGCCCCCCTTCACCATATCTCGACCAATTAGCTGCTAGAGAGATTCTCTCACGGACTCTCTTGGAGATTAGCCCCGTCCTGCTCTTCGATCGCAAGGAATATGCTGAACATGGACGACATACGTTGCTCGATCACTATACCTTCGTCTGGAAGGATGGGCGTATGGCGCTTGCGCTAGGTCTCGGTGCGTACTTATTCCTACTGCTCTGGCATTCTCAAATCTCATCACCCACCACGTCTCTTGTATACACATCCTCACCACATCTCCCTCCCTCTCTCCAGGCTCCCTGTTCAACCACTCAAGTGCCCCCAACGTATCCTACACCCTCGACCCCACCACCGAGTCGATCCGCTACACAACTACACGGCACATCCTCCCCGGAGAGGAGCTCTGCATATTCTACGGCCACAAGCTGTGGTTCGCCGAAGTGGACGCGGTCGACGGACCCCGCAACATACCCGACGCGGACGTTCCAACCGATGACGGCTTCGGCGGGTTGGCAGGCTTGGAGATGGACAAAGTCGGCGAAGAGAATGCTTTAGCTGGGCCTTCCAACGGCCCTACCGCGAAATCCATCCTAGGACCATGCCCATACGACGATGGACCGGACGACGATCTCTTGCAGGATGAGGATCTTCCATTCATTTGGCTCAAACCACCGCCGGAAGAAGAGGAACCTGGGAGCGTTCGCACAAGTGTGTGCATCATGCTTTGTTTACGAAGAGGAACTAATCTTGTCCAGTACGCGCCTGGGCCGTTGATATCCCTGAGCCGAGGGGGACGGGGAAAGCGCTGAAGTGAGTTTACTCCTACTCTAACATTCAGGGCTGCACTGACCTTCCTAGATGGCTCAAGGACAGCAAGCTAGAGGCCGCCACAGAAGCCACGCTTGGTCATCTCAAGCGTATACGCAAGCACGGGATCACAGACAAGCGCGCAAAGCCGGCCTCATCTCAAGGGCACGACGAATCGGACGCTGGCACGGCGACCGCGTCCACTTCAGTACCCACCTCCACCCTTCTCTTTACCACCTCGCCCGACCCTCCTGTCATCCCACCCGTACTCGAACTCGGCGAGCCATACGAAGTCACCGTCCCCGCCTTCGCCGCCCAAACCCTTACCTCCCTCGCACTGAAATCCGCGCTATGGCCGACCAACTACACTCCTCGCAAGAAGGACGAGATCCCAAAGTGGACTAGGGGACAGGCGAGGTGCGCCTGGCAGGCAATGCGGCGGGCAGTCGAAGGAGGCTTGAAAGCCAAAGAAGAAGGCGAGCTTCCGGTGTATGCCTGGATACCTGCGGTGGAGGGGGAGACACCTGCGTTCGGTGCGAGGGATACGCGAAAGGGAACAGGGCATCCGTTGCGGCATGCGGCCATCGACGTTATCCGCCAGGTGGCGGAGTACAGGGCGTCAACACCTGCAACTTCGACGTTGTCGGCCAAAATAAGTCTGCCAGAAAATGCGACGATACCAACCGGGGCGCAGCAAGAGAATGACGACACGTCTGCGGCGGCTATAGAAAGGGCAGACGATGCCTTACCAGCGGCCCAAAATGGACAAGACTACCTCCTCACCGGTCTCACCCTCTACCTCACGCACGAGCCCTGTATCATGTGCAGCATGGCGCTGCTACACTCAAGGGTGAAGGAAGTGATATACCTCCTTCCTATGAATGCAACTGGCGGATGTGGTGGCGCGGCGTGCTTGCCGTGGTTGCAGGGGGTGAATCATAGGTTTAGGATAGGGAGGTGGAAAAAAGATGGTCAGGGAAAGGACGCACTAGCGATAGAGGACAATGTTGACGTATAGGTTAGAGGGTGTTCAGGCAAGCTCATTTCAGACCATGAAGCATGCGTGAGGATGGGTGATATGCGTGTTCGTGCAGGAACAGTATGTGAGACGTATGATAGAACCGGGCTCTGAGCCATGCGAAATCCTGCAAGTAGGTCAGCTATCCTGTTACTGACCTATTCAATCCGCAAACGCACTAGCCGCTACCAAAACTGCCGCCTCTTTTGCCGTATGGCAACGATCATCTCCCTCCTCTCACTCCACTGCTCCCGATTCTGCGCATGCAAAGCATCCCGCTCCCGCAATCTTGCTTTGCGTGCAGACTTCTTGCTGACTGCAGCGACCATGCCCACGAACGCCTCGCTCGTGTTGAACATCCGCGCTAGCACGCCGCGAGTGTACTTTGCAGGGTCCCGGTTGCGCAGCTCGCGCATGCGTAGTACGGCGTGGTCCGGTACACGCTCCGTCGGGTTGCGGTCGGCGCGGCGGAAGACGGGGGGCAGCGCGCGCTGCGACTGCTCTCCCTCCGCACTGGTCTCTGGTCGAGCGCGCAGCAGGGGCGACGCTGGCAGCGTCGTATACGAGATAGGTGAGGCTGAAGAAGGCGGCGGTCGGTGAATGAACGTCAGCGCCTCATCCTCGAGCTCGGTCGCGGCGGCGGTGCTACTGTTGCTGAGCGGGTCCGCAGGGCGCGCAGGCGGGCGCTCGGAGGTGCCGGGCTTGGGGCGCGGGTAGCGGAAGCGCGTTGCTTGGCTGGCGTAGGTGCGCCGGAAGGTGAGCGCGACGGACGCCAGGCAGCTGTTCATCGTCGGGGATGGCGAGCGCGGCGCGACTGCTCTCCGCGGGTGATGGGCGCGCGAAAATGAGTGCGGCCCGGTCGAGCGGGGGCAGGTGTGAGCACGTGGGCGCCCACAAGCGTGGGAAGTTGATGTCCGACTTTCTTTTGGCCATTGCTCGCGATGGAGGTCTGCACCAAGATGATGGCTATCTGTTCCTTGAGAAAGCTTACTACAGTCTACAGTCTCTATTTTTCAATACATGGAAGCTGAAAGGTCGCGTCATCGACCAATACAAGCTTACACATTGAAGCAACCTTGCTAGCGATTCCTTGTTTGTGAGACATCACAAAGGCTATACCTAGATAGCAAAAAGAGTGAGAGTAAAGTTGACATGAACTTTGCCTTAAAACGTATGCTCGCTTGAGAATGTGTGGTTGCTGCAGGCTAATGGGCAATAGCCGGTGGTGGTTATCTCAATAGTACACACGTGACTGCCCAAGCGCGCACCCATATGATCAAACTGAGACAACTGAATTATGTAGGCAAGGTAGAATAACGCCAACGAATATCTCAAGAGATGTCCGCTATTGTGGAATTCAATCATAGGGATTCATGCTAGTGCTTCACTCATCTCAGCTTGCACGGCACATTGGATGGTGGTTGTACTGGCGGTGGCGTCAGTGAGAAGGATGCGCAATCAGAGTTTACGAAGCGCGTTCAACACGCGCACAGAAGTAGCTCTACAACGAGCCTATACCCTAGTGCGTCACTTCATAGTGTTTCCCTACCCTTGCACTTACAACCGCGGGTAGCCTGCCGTTTCACAGTATGAAGTAAGACGACCGGCGTCTGCTGACTTCCTTGAACAACATAAGACGGCATACTAGCTGTAACACAGAAGCCCTGGTCTCCAGGCTATTCAGCGAAGACAAGCTAAGGGTCTCCGACGACATGTTGCCCAATTATTAGCCCGTCTTCCGTGGGTTGAGATCGATGAAGCGCCTGCCTTCGCAAGCTCCATCTCGATCCTTCTTCCTATTCATCTTGGCCTTGCGGGCCGCAGCTGACACGGCGGCCACCCTAGAATCGACACGCGGAGCACTGTTATCGCGGAGGGGAAGGCGAGAACGTTGGCAGAGGGCAGTCGGCGCTGGAGGAAAGCAGCCGGCGTTGTCGACGTGCGAGCCTGAGTAGAGAGCGCCCGATCCAGTCCCGGAGTACTCAATGAAATCTGCTGCGGCGGAATACGGGTTCCTGGAGCCGCATAATGAAGCCGACGCAGAAGAAGTTTGCGTGCTGCCTCGTGTCGTTCGTGGCGGCCCGTGGTGTCCCGCAGAAGGGGCGGGCAGGGGAGGGGAACAAATGGCGCGAGGCGGCCTGGCGGCAGTCGTTGTCGAGACGATGGCTGCTGGCGGCGGCGGGGAAGCGGGGTGTGATATCAGGCGACTCGCTGATGTTTCAATTGCGTTCGAGGCGAGGACGTCGCGTGGAGGCGATCTGCTGTTGGTAGCCACGAAATCAGTGCTCTGATCCCATGATTTTATCGCGCGTTGTTGTCCCCTCCCCCCACCGGCGTGCGCGACGGCAAGAGCGCTGCGAGCCCGAGACGACCGCAGGAGGATAAGCCGCTTCTCAGGCCACCCAACGTGTGAATTTGACCGCCAAAGAAGGACATCTGTTGACGGGAACAGGCAGCTCGGGTGCGAATTCCCGGTTGACGAGCAGACACGACCCACCACCGCCCCCTCCGCCGAGGACGACCTCTGGAGTGTGTCCCGGTCACGACCAGCGCGTCGGGCGCGATAAACAACAGACCGCGTGCCCGCCCCTGACTGCGCTATTGTTCCCTCGCCCTCCCTCAGCCTCTTTCTCCCGCCCGCCATCATGTCTAACAACCACGCACCCGTCGCGGCCCACGCGCCCCAATCCCTCCCCTCCTTCGCGCAGACATTTGGCACGCAACCACTCCCCCGCCCACCGCCAAACGGAAACGCCAATGCCCTTCCCCCCCTCCAGGCTACCGACCCCAACTCCCGCAGTCGTCCCTCAAGTGAAGACCTCCCCCCGATCGCTGGCGCAGGACGGAAGCGCACACACCAAGATGTAGACAGCGCAAGCGAGGATGAGGACCAGTCGGGCAGAGAGTAGGCCTCTTGACCATTCCGCGCGTCGTACATGCTCACCTCAACTTCCAGAGACTCTGCACGTGCCTCGCAGGTCAAGATCGAAGACGAACACGACCAGCTCGAGGGCAGCCCCCCGCCCGAGCGACGCACCCACGGCGAGGAGTCCTCTGCGGCCGGGCACGCCCGCGATGCCAAGCTCTCGAAAAGGCGTCGTACCATCGGCGAGACCCCGCGTCTGAATATCGACGTGCGCGTCCCCACGGACCAGAACGGCGGCACGCCCATTTCGCCTGTCGTGATGGGCCTCCCCGCCATGCGCAATCCCGCCGACCTCGACAAAGTCAGGTCCATGATATCTGTCCGCCAACAGCAGGAAGAACTGATCGCTCAGCGGCGATCCAGCGTGAGCGGGCCCTCGTCGGCCTCCATGCTGCCTGGGCCGTCCTCGCCAAAGACTCAGTCCACTGCAAGAGCGTCTCGCCGCGGTTCCCCTCCCCCCATCTCCGCCCACCGACTTGCGCACGGCCGCCGCTCGCGGCCTTCCAGTCCGACCGCGCTTATCGGACCAGCGCAGCCGCCTCCGCCTCAGCACGTCGTCCCCAGCCAGGGCCACGGCATCCCTCCCACTCAATCTCTCCCACCACCTCCGATCAGCTTCGCTCGCCGGCGCGCCGCCCAACTTGGTTCGGGGAAGAAGAAGCCGGCCGATCTGAACATCAGCCCACGGGAGGCGCACACGCCCGAGCAGCTCCAACCCGCCATTCAGAGCGCGCCTCCTATCCCACACGGCGGCCAGTCGTCCTACGGACGCTTCCCGATGAGCATCCCTCGGCTGCCGTCTGTCCTCGGTCACGATAATTCGCGAAGCATGGTGACAGGGCAGGTGCCACCGACGCCGACACGCTTCTCTGTGAATCGCGGGCCTGCGCCCCCCGCAATTACCGTCACACAACCTATCTCGAACTTGCGGAAATCCCCACCGACGCCCTCGGTACCAATATCGACAGGCCTTGTGCCACCTACACCGACAACGCTCAGGCATCCTCCAGCTCAGGACAAGGCCGCTTTCCTCGCTCCCTTTGAACTATTCTACGAGGCCTTGAACGACTCTCGCCAGCTCAAAGGCTGGCTAGCCGAGCAGCTGCAGCGCTCGCAAGCCCTCGCGCACAACCTTTCTGCCCAGCAGAAGGAGCTCGCCGAGACTGTCGACGCGCTGGTAGAGAAGCGCACCGCGGGCATGCGTGCCGAGATAGCGGGCCTGCAGCGGCGCGTGGAAGAGCTCGAGGACGAGCTTCGGTACGATACAAGAATGCGCGGAAGGCGGAACGGCGCGGAGCAGCAGCCGTACACATTCCCACCCGACCCGCCACGCTCGGCGCATTTTAAGCCGCCCTCGCTCGCCGGGTGGTCCTCGGAGAACGACCGGGAGCACATTCGCGAGAACGCAGGTGCGTGGATAGAGCCGCTCGTCATCCTCTTCTACGGCGGATAGCGGCCCGTTGGGGTGCTGAACGCGTAACTGACGATATGCAGTGTCTGCGACCCGCTTGGAACCCCCGCCACCACGGAAGACACACGATAGCATGCGAGCGCGCGACCAGTCGCCGCGCATGTATGCCTCGCCGCAACAAGCGACGCGCGAGGTTGCTCTACCTCCTGCATCCCCGCCGGTCAAGCGTCCGCGTGCAAAGCGCCAGCACTCGGGTGGCACATCGCGCTCGGCGGGACGCCCGCGGCGATCACGCTCTCCACAACCTCGCGATACGGACGCGGAGGGAAGTTGACCGCACAGCGCCGACGATGTCTGTGGCTCATGGACCTGAGGTGGCGGCTCACGGACCGCATGTGCAATGTTCATACATCGGCCTCCCTGTAAAACCCTGTGCTGGTCCTTCCTCGCATCCGATTGGTTGATTTTCTGGTGTCTTCCCCAGCTATATTCCCCTTTGTGTACATGACTTTTGCGATACCATTCGCTAACGAGTTCACGACCTTTTACCCTCTCGTTCCCAACATTCCATGCCTCCTTTTCTCGGTTTCCTTTCATCTCATTTCCGGCCCATCGCTTCCTTCTCGTCCCTAGTAGTAGCTTTTCTCTCCACTCTCATCTGCTTGCCTTCTCAGTTTTCTGATGCGCACAATCTGTCTCATCATCGAGGTGTCGTCTGCGTCCTTCTAGTCTTCCATAGTTGTCTGTCCAGCTGTTGTTGTCCGTTCTCGATGCCTAGCCTATATATCTCTTCCTCGAGTGTTCGTCTAGAAAGCGGACTGTCATGCATGCTGTAGATAGCTGGGGATACTTGAGCAACTCGCACGCCCATGAAGAAAAGCCATGAGCGTACCCTTGCAATCGCAAGGAGCATTATGGGTGCACAATTACGGCACTCGCAGGGTTCGAAAGCAAAATCGTGATCGGAGATTGAATGCGCGCCGCCGGCGTTTACCGGGCGCTCCTTGTTTCAAACCTCGACTGCCTGCTACGATACTCAGCCCCGTCTGTGGCTTACGCCTATCACGATGGAGGTACAAGTGGGTGTGGACTCTGAAGGTATTCGCAGCGATATGATCAGTGTTTCCGGAAGTAAGGAAGCAAAATAAGCTTCCGTATTTCCCACGACATCTTGTCCCGAACGGCCACCATCGCTTCTTCGGCCTGAGTTGTGACTTCGTCCCACTCGGATTTCTCGTCTTCTGGTCAATACGCAGGCCTGGCGGCAGCGCTAGACCTTGCGCATATTGATCATGATAAATCTTAACCCTCTCTTCACGTACTGCGGAGGAAGGTGAGCTGTCTCCCCTATGCACGGTCGTCACGCCCCTTCATCGCGGAAGCTCCAACGCCGTCTACAGGCTCAAGTACTCGGACGGCGTGCACTGAGTGGTATGCTTCTCTCGATATATTTTGGACGACACAGCTGCCCGGTCGATGTAATCCGACGTCCGGGCGAAGCAATATATCACGAGCAAGACCTACGTCGCAATCCCCCGTATCCAGAGGTATTCATGCAGCGAAGACAACGAGTTGGGACTCCCCGGCTGTACATTATCTCGGACTTTATTTCTGGCGTCAAGCTTGCGCATGTATGGAACGACCCTTCCTGGTGGACCGGGGCGAGAAGGAAGGAAGTGCTACTTCAAAGATGCAAGCCCGACCATATGGCCGCCGAGCAACTAGAGGTCGACTAGATAGGCATTTCGTCACCCACCGAAAATGTGTCGTACTGCGTCGCTCCCTTCCAAGCCCTTACGCTACTTCGCATCCGGCCACCCTTTCGGAAACAAACCATCCGGTTCGTTGGACACCACACACACGCCTTGCTGCAAAACACCGATAGAAATCGCGAAGCCCATCCATCGAATTCTTATGTCGCTCTCGCGGAGTCGGTGGCTTAGCCAATGAGTCTTGCATGCAGCGCTGACCTTCTGATGATTTAGAGCTCGATTTGAACGCGGTTCGAATGGACAAAGCAAGTGAGAAGGCTGAGGACGCAGTCAAATCGCCAAGTGTCGACGAGGTGGCCAAGGACAACCCAACCTGCGATCAAATTGTAGCTATCTCTCGCCGGTGTTTACAATCATTATGGCTCTCTGCGAAGCGCGTACATCAGCATCGGGGACGACAGCTCCTCTCCCTGTATCAGGTTTAGACTATCGTAGCGCTGTCTCTATGTCGAAAGCCTCAACAGGTTCACCCTGGCAGTGCCTATCTATCGCCATGACACGCTGTCCGTCGGTGCCCCGCGCATCCGCCCATGATTCCGCCAGAGGCCCAACTGGGAACGGCGCGAATGGGGTCCGTATGTTAAGTCGCTCGAGCCGCGCGCATCCGCCAGTCGCCGCGCCGGCTGCGCGCGACACCAACAACCGTCGCACGAGAGCGACATCATCATCCGACCATGGTATATCTCGTGTTCCACTGACGAGGTCTATCTCCGTGAGATGCGGAAGCGTCGGATGGGCCTCGTCCCAACCCAGCACCGTCACCAAATCGCGGTACATCGTCAGCGTGCCGGACTGGAGGGCGTAATCGGTCTCTATGACGGCGGACACCTTCTGCAGCTTGCGCGGCAGCGCTAGCAGCTCGCGCACGGGTATGTTCTCGAAATCGTAAGTGTCCATATTGCGCAAGGTCAGCGAGGTGACTGGCGGGAGGAGGTTTGCTAGCATCTGCAACGGGGATCGTTGCAATTCGACGTGCCAGGTGTAGTTGTCATCGGACCCCATGTTCAGGATGAAGTGGTGGAGCGCGGGTGCGACGAGGTGGGGGCACACTTCGATGGCCGCGCTGCCGATCTCGAGGGTGTGTAGTGCAGGGAATACGAGGGGGTCAGAATGGAACTCTAGCCCCAAAGTGTCGTCGGTAAGGCTGAGTACTTCCAGCGCTGTGCATGAACGTAGGACCGTGAGGTCCGGGCCGCTGATGCATCCGTGCATCTTGAAGGCGCGCAGATTTGCCCATGGGAGCTCAATGGTAGATGGACTGGCCTCGTAGAGGTCGACGATGCGGACGTTAGGAGCATCCACATTGTCAAAGAGCTCGTTGTGAACAATAAGTCGCTGCAGCGCTGTCAAATGGCATGTGAAGGGAAGTAGATCGTATTTGGTTTTCACCTCGAGGGTGTGTATACAATCTGCGTAAGCCATCAGGCAGGCCCGAGTCCTCTCGTCTTCCACATGCGCTTTCCTGAGGCCACGGATCTTAATGGGGCTGCCCGTAGCCGCGGCTCGTTGCAAGTAGAGCCCGACAATATGCGAGAGTAGATCGGCCCTGTTGACAATCCGCACACGTAGCCACTGCGGAAAGCGGATCTGTGCCCAAGCCCATCCCGTGGCGATAGCCACGGACCTCCAGCTGCGGCAGACCTGCGAGAAGTACCACGGATGTTTGCCGATGTGGTCCGTAAACCACCTCGAGGGCAGGGTGTACGGCGCGATCTCTGCCAGCAGCTCTGGCGGAAGCCTGCGTATAGGCGAGAGAAGGGCGTTAATGCAGTCTGCCGTCAATTCGAGGGCCTTTTGTGACTCGCGAAGCGTGTGTAGAGTTACTTCCAGCCGCGCGATCTCCAACTCGCACTGGCGCAGGTCTCCGTATACCCGAGCCAGGCCGGCACGGAGAGCCGAGGTCTCGTTTCTGGTAAACGGAGTGTAGCCAGAGCGAGCGCGCAAGATCAGTTCTGGTGCCCCGATAGTCACGTCAATGGTGTTCGCGCATTTAGTGCAGAGGATGGTGGAAGTCGATAATTCCCGCAGAATGTGCATGGCTGAGGCAGTAGCGTGGTAGTCAGGGCGTAGCAGATTGGGGACGCTCTTTTGTCGGGCAGAGATGAAGGCTTCGGTAGGATTTCAATACGGCGAAGCTGCTGAAAGTGTGTCGTGCGCAAGTTGGGCGGCGGGAGCAGAACGTGAACTTGCCATTCAAATATGGTTGTTTTGATCCTTGTGGCGTTTCCCACGGGATTTGGATCCACCGTCTCGAAAATACTTGATCATATCTAGGCCACAACAAAATCGTACGAAGGTAGATGCAGAGCTTGTGAGCCTGCGAGGGCGCACGACTTAGGCTGTAGAACCAAAACTCCCACAGAATGCCTTGTAAAACGAGTGTTTCTGTTGAAAATTTGCCAAAGTGTACATCTGAGCCGATTCTCTCCTCCTACTTATGCAAGTCCTCCATAGGGTATTGGACTAAGTATACTGTACTATGCGCCTGACCACAATCAGAACCTGCCATTACCACCGCGGCGCATCCCCCGTTGTCGTATTCCACTCAGCGCCCGGCGGGACGGTCCAGTTCTCATAGCAGTCGTAGTTCCAGTCCGTCTCCGCGATGATCTTCTTCTGCGCGGCGACGAAGGTATCGACCGAGCACATGCCGTCCTTCTGCTCCGGGCAGCCCTCGATACCGACGAGCGGAACAGCGCCGTCGTTGACGATAATGCGAATTTGACGGTCGTCGAGGTCAGCGCAGTCGAGAACTGGGGATGCCGAGCCGACAACGTAAGCGAAGAGCAAGTCAAGTAGTATGAATATCACGCACGCTGGAACTGCACATTTGTGGCGAACGGCGCAAGTTCGCTGACCCTGAACTTCCTATCCTTAGGTATGTGGTCCGATGGTAGCGGTCCGTCCGCGGCCAAGGAGGACAGGTTCAGCGCGGTAAGCACTAGAAGCATGGTCAGCACGCACGCCACGACTACACCTCGTACTCCTTTGCAACCCCAAGCCCTACTCAATTCCCCACCACCCCAAACAAAACCCTCACGCACCATTAAGCACGACCACCTCATGCGTCGCGTCCACATACAGACTGTCGTTGAGCGGGAACGTCACCGGGTTGTCGTTCAGGGTCGCGTTCGTGGACGAGTTGTGCGTCGCGATGGGCGTGTGCGTCAGCCGCGCGACGAGCTCCTGCACGTAGCCGATGCCCTGCACGCGCGCGACGGGGGAGCCGAAGGCGGAGTTGTACCTAAGGTGGAGGCGTGGTTAGCATGACGAACGACGGAGAAGTAGATTGGGGTCGGAAGGAGGGGCAAGGGCGTCAAGAAATGAAGGGCTCAGGTAGACAATGAACAAATCCCAAACGCGAACTCACCAGAAGCCAAGATCGAGCGCGTAGTCGAACCCTTCCCACTCTTCCTCCGTAAAGAGCTCGCAGAACTTGGAATAGCCGAGGGCGACGGTCTGGGGGTGGCGTTAGCTTCGTGTCCGCAGGCATACGCGAGTAAGTGCGCGTATGAAGCCGCGAGTGCGAACGCACGCGCGCAATCATGATTTGAGCAAGAGACTATACCCACCTCATAAGCACACATCTGCTGCAACACGTACGTGTCCTCGATAGTCAAGTCATACCCATGGAACTGCGCCGCGAGGCGCGCCCGCGCGTCCTTGAGGTAGATGTCCGCCCACTCCTCCACGTACTGCGTGCCCCGGTCCGACTTGCGGCGGTCGCCCGCGTTCGGGCAGGTCTTGTAGGGCGCGAGGGTGTTGTTGAACTGTGGAAAAGGGGGTTAGTGAGATGAAGGGAATGAGGTAGAGGTAGGGGATGAAGGCGAGGCGCGAGGAGTGAGGGCGAGGCGCAGGGAGCGAGGGCAAGGCGCATGGAGCATGGACGAATGCAATGAGCATAAAACCCACCCCATCAGCCTCAATAGTGATACTTTGCTGGTACTGCCCATCCGTCGGCCACCCAAAGAACCCAATCGCAAAGTTCATCGCGGAAGCGAGCATGCGGTCCCTGCAGGGTCCCAGTCGATCAGTATACGCGAAACAGACTGAAGGAAAAGCAGGTTTCCCAAGGAGGTTCATGCTACGCACTGCGACTCTGTACGGAAGACCGGTATAGTGTTGGTCTCCGTGAAGTTCTTGAGGAGGAAGCCGTAGCGCATGCGCATCTGCACGCCCAGGTCGTCTGTGCGGGGTAAGGGGATATGTCAGCAAGGCAGCATGTCGGGAAGGGGTGCATGTCGGCGAGGGGAGTGTATCAGCGAGGAAAACATGTTTAGGGGGCTGTGAGGAATACAGGCAACACCGAGTAGCACGCACAGAGCTGCTGCCTCCCGAAGGGGGTGAGGATCTCCTCGCCGAGCTTGTACGTCCATTCATTCATGAACTCGAGGTCGCCGCTCGTATTCCATTTGTCTGCGACGTCGTGCAGACGGCCGGAGAAGTTCGCGGGACCACCGTACGAAGCTGGGCGATAGCAATGTTAGGACCGTAAGCGCGACAGAGGATTCAATGGGAACCCACCCCAGGCAGTGGGATATCTATATGCGGTTAGTCAGAACGAGGTAAGGAGTATATAGACCAACACGCACCTGGCGCCATGACGGTGAAGGATGTGTGCCTCTGTGATCCTGCACGACTCTGGGACTTCAGGGCCTGAGTCCAAGCCAAAGGTGCCCCGCGGCACACTGTACCACGGGGAGAGGTTGCCCCAGGAGCGGAACATGTTGAAGGATTTGCTCGCTTCCTTCACCTCGGCATGGACGAGGTTCGGGGTACCCTTGTGAAAGGGGACTGATAGCAGGGTACGACCATCGCGTCAGCACCACTGTGATAGAACATGAATAGTATCACGCACTGGCAGGCGCGGTGGCGAGCACAGCAGGCTCAGCACCGGTCGGTGTTCCACCCGCGTACCCTACGTCGGAGGGAAAGAGTGTTGGGACGGCATTAGTGGGCTTCGTTGGCGGGAACCCGTGCACCTCTGTGGAGCCAGCCCACGGCGCAGCGAGCGCGCCAGCCGTGTCCCCAGCAGGCGCATGCTGCTGCTGTCCACAGAGCGCGTACTGCCCCGCCGCACACGCTAGTATACCGGCAGCGAAAGCGACGCTAAGATGCAGGAGGCTAAATCGCGAGCTGAGGAACTTCCGTGGCTTGGAGGCGCCCCTCTCTTCGGCAGCGGCATCGGGCTTGGGGGAGGAGGGAAGGAGCGACTGGTGCTCCATGCCGGCCTCTTCATCGAAGGGTTTGTATTCGCGCTCGCCCCGCTCGGCGTTGGACATGGCGGCGGCGTGTAAGGAACGAGGAAAGCGTAAGACGCGGCGATGGAGTCAATGCAATGTCATTCACTGGTCCGCCACTCGGCCCGAGTCGTCCTTATCGCCTCGAGCACGTGGGACGGACCCATAACGCCTTCATCAGTACTTAGAAGATATTGGCGCTTGTGAAGGTCCATTGAATGGTATACACATGCTAACACAGGGTGTATATAGATACAGGGGAATGCTACACAAACAGCAGAGGAAACAACAACAGAGCTTCTCCATCCACAAAGCAGGTCATACATGGCATAATACACACCATAGCCTTCGACATACGACCACATCATGCAACATAGGCAAACGTATCCTTCGCGCCCTCCACACGCTCGATGTAGTCCTTCTCCAAGAGCGTGTCAATCGCCTATACCGACGCGTCAGCAAAACACAACTCTGGCTCGTCAACCACTACGCACCTTCTTGATATCAGGAATCTTGGGCGCAAAGCGCGTCGAAATCTGGGAGATGACCTCTTGGATGAGCTGCTGATTCTTCATCGTCTTGCGCGCCTTCATGATCCGCACGATCGTCGCCTGGATCACGTATTTCCGGTCCTCGTCCACCGTCTTCATGACCTCGCTCGACTCCGCCTTCACCTCAGCCTTGATCGGCTGGTTCAGGTTCACGCGGATCTTCTTCGACTTGAAGCCTACGTCCAGCCTCGTCAGCTTCAACAGGATACAAGTGTTGTCGCTCGACCACTCACCTGGGTTCAAGTCGTACTGGTCCGTTTCCTCGCTGACCAGCACCTTCGCCTTCACCAATAGCGCGAGAATCTGCGTCATCAACTCCTTCGGGATCGAGGTCGCTGCTACGAGCTCATCCAGTGACAGCGTATCGTGCGTGTTGTACTGGAGTAGCACGGCCATTTGGTACGAACTCGTCAAAAGGATGTACTTTTGGTTGAGGTAGTTCGTCCGGAGTTCGTTCTTGGAGTAGTTCCAGAGCCTGAGTAACGTTAGCGAAGAACACGCACATTCTACTCGAGCTCTGTCGCACCATGTCAACTTCCGCCCTGAGTGCTTCGACTGGTAGTATCGCTGGAAGCGATCGTGAACAGGTATAATGGCTTGCGGGATGATGAAGTCGTGCGTGGGCGGGTTGAGCGGCCAGAAGTTCGTGCCAAGGACCATGATGCTGAAGTTGATGTCGTTATCGTCATGGTTTTGCGCCATGCGCTCCTTGAACTGTTCGGTGAGGTCCTTGCTGAGCGACATGTCTGTGGACAGGTAGTAAGCATAGGTGGCGAGATAGCGAGAAACGGATTACGTACCGGTGAACATGCGCTGCAGCTTGTTGGTATATTCGAAGCCGCAGGCCTCCTTGAGCTTGGAGATCATGCTCGCCTCGGCCTCGTCGGACGCGGAGACACCATGGATAAGACGCTTCGACAGCTTGGTCGTGTAGAACTGCTGGAACACATCCTTGTCCTCGATGTACTTGAACAGTATCATCTAGCACAAGTCGTCAGTCGCGTCGCTCAGCCCACTAAACGAGAATGGGACTGACCACCCGGCCCAACGCCGTCTCCAGATCCTCCTCCTCCGACACCTTGTTCGTCTTCCGCAACAGCAGATCCGCATGCTTCGCAATCAGCTCCGACGACTTCGAGCTCGACGAGCCCGTCGCGCCGTTGCGGTTGACGAAGTCCCTGCACGCTTTGTCGAGGCTCGCAACGAAGCCCGCCTCGCCCCGGAAGCTCCGCTGGACGATCTCCGAGTTCTTACTATGGACGTTCAGCAGCGCGTCGACGTACGCCTTCGGCTCGACCGCGTCCGGACCAGAGCCCTCGCCCGCGCCGATGAGCTTGTCCACGGCAGCGATTCCCGCGCGCTTGACGTGCTCCTCGAAGCGCTTGCGCAGCGGCTCCAGGCCCTCTGGTATCCGAGCCAGCAAGGCATACATCCGTTGCAGGTCCTCGTCCTTGTCGTAGTCCAGCAGCTGCTGGAAGCTCTCCCACATGAGCTCGGAGTGCTCCCTGATGAGCGCGTGCTCGCACTTGGCAACAAGCGGCTTGCGCGTCTGGTTGTTGAGGTAGCGCTCGACGCGGTCCTCCTCCTCGCGCAGGCGCTCCTCGGCCTTCTTGAGGTAATCGGAGATGGAGTTTTGCGCGAGGAAGGTGTCGGATTCGGTCTTGTAATACTTTTCCGTGTCCGCGAGGAAGGGGGTCTCAAAGTGGTCGCGGTAGACATCGAGGCAGACTTTCGTGATGTCGGCTTCGTCGAGACCGAGGGAGACGAAGGAGTCGACGACCTTTTTAACAAGGCCTTGGTCAATGATTTCGCCATTACGGTGTTGCTCAATAAGGCGGAGGCATGCACTAGCTATTCGCGTCTCCTTGGCTTGGATGGGGAAGAACAAGTTGTTTTTCCATTGTACGAGGGCGAGCTAGGGCGAGATATTCGATGGGTGAAGTATGAATGACGAAAGGTGAACGCACGATGTATACGGGATACACGCCTTTACGGCCCTCGTCTCGTTCCCTCTTGACCCAATGGCGGTTGAGGTAGGTGAAGAGACGGTTGATGTAGTTGGCACCGGTGGTGTATCGGTCCCACTCCTCAGCATAGTACTTGAGCAATGCCTCGTCCTGCAAGGTTTCTGCGTGCTACAAGGGCGTTAGACCGGCCGGATGGATTCATATGCGTCGCACCTCTCGTATTGACTTCAAGTGACCGACGAAGTACTTGATGAGGTGGTTGTAGAGGTCGGATCCCATCAGATTGGCGCCGCCTGAGTGCATCTCAGTATAGAACTATGCACGCGGGTCGCGCGAGACGCACTGCGGTTCCCCAGCCCTGCGCTGCTGTCTACCATGGCCTGATGGATCTTTGATGAGGTGCAGTAGTTGTAGGCGACGGTATAGAGGGACATGTACTGGGCGATCCGGCGTTGTTAGTAGTGCGCACGCGCCGAGGGGACGGGCAGCACCTTGGAGTATGAGACGCCGGATTGCAACTTCGTCATGATGTGGTCCACGCCGTCTTCCAAGTACTTCCAGGTCGTGAGGAGGTCCGCATTCTGCGGCGGCATCATGCTCGCGTTCGACATTGTGGCTGACATGCGCCCAGCTGGCTCGACTCAGATATCGATGACAAGGAGATCCAGACAGAACAGAAGATACGGGGAAAGCTAGAGTAGCGCCTACAAACGGCGAGCAGGTTGCGTGAATGTCGCCGCAAATGACGCTCGAGGGCGTCGAGGAAGAGATGGGGAATATGTGGCGTCGCGTCACGGTCGGCACACACGCGTGCTCGCCGTCGCGTGACGCGACGCGCGCAATGCCGTGGCGCGCGACTTGTTCTTGACTCCCATGTTGAAGGTGCCTGCCATATCCATCACAAACCCGACACCTCCTCGACCACCGGCGGGCATAATGCTGACGGCTTCAGCGTCGAAGAACCCAGGTCCCAAACCCGCATACCGTCTGCTATACCGTGGTTCCCTTTCCCTGCCGGATTCCCATCTCTTGCTAGACGGTCTCACCTTCGCGGCATCCTGGAGACACCCGAGTGCTGGACATGACTTGCTAGAGAACCCTCTTGCTCTGGCGCTAGAGAGTATGCGCGGCAGGCCTCATCTGAGGTTCATGGGTACGATCGCTTTGAAGGACATCTATATGGACCAAAGTGGGGACATACAGCTGTAAGTTCCTTCAGTTGGAGGCATACTCAGCTAGAATGTGCTTTTGTCAGTGACATACACCGCGATGCCGCATTGTCGCGCCTCTACTTTGAGAACATGTTCTGCCAGCTCCCATTATCATCGTCCTCCACTTCCATCCCTCAGTCCGATATTGGGGTGAAGATTGCGCTCGGAGACAGTGGTGTGTTTACTCTATCTCATGTGATAGATCAGCACATTGACTCTCGCAGACGGTCCCGAAACCACATACATGGTCGTCTACGCCAGACAACTCCCCGGCCAGGCCGAAATTCAGCTCTCTGTAGCTCGTATTACCGCCAATCCTCCTCCCACAAACCACCTTCGCCTTCCTCGGCCTGACGACCCTACCCCGCGCAAGCCACCTCCAGTGTTAACGGCCAAGGGCACGGATCTCAAGCGGGTGGCAAGCTCCGCATCTCTTCAATCAAACGGTGCCAAGCCTGGACCAGCAAAACGACAACGCCTTGAATCCACGTCATCCTTCAAAGTACCCGCGCTACCAAACAAGAGCGGCAAGGACAAAGGTCCCACCAAAGCGCCGCCTCCAGAGGTGGCGCATGACCCAGACGACGTGTTTACTGAGGCACCGAAGCCAAAACTCAAGGCGAAGCCGAAGGACGATGATTTGGCAGAGAAAAATAAGATGGTACGCATGCTACCGTTCCCTTGCTATATCGACAAACGCTCAGTCGACGTATAGATCGTCAAGAAGGTCGCGGTCCAAGTGTTGACGAAGGGGATCGGCTATGGAGACCCGGAATCGAGCCCGACGCCACCAATACCAAAGTCGCACCCAGAATTCAACGACTTGTACAGCTGGGTATACAAGGGAGCTGCTTATGCATTGGTGAGTTCTCATTACTCTCCGTTGTGTGCCTCTTGCTGATTGCATCCGAAGCGTGGAGAGATGAAGGACGGGCCACTGCAGCAAGCGAGGGTCGAGAAATTCGTGAAGATGCATGTAGGTATGTATGCACCAGGACTGGGTCGCGGATGACAGCGGCCCTTAGCCTTCGTCTGCGACATTGAGCTGTCGGCTTCCACTCGGCCTAGACCATACTTACCTTAGCATATTTGGGTTATCGACTTGCATGAACACGGGACCATTAGATTCGCGAACACTCCCTTGATTGGCCTTCGTCCTCTTTAGCGCATTCGTCGGAATGATGCTCATGAGAATCGCTTCTCAACTGTGGTAGGCTTGCCATTCGTATGGAAACAATCATTCATCCAGAAGCGCATATCTCGTTCGTCTGCTTCTCCCGAGTCTACTCACGCGCAGGCTACCGCAGAGGAGCGCATGCCTCCGATACTCACGTGGATCCGAAGGTTCGCTCTACACGCCACCGTGCACGCTGATATCTCCCTTTGCTCACCCTTCCTACAACTTCTCAGGCCCGCGGGAGGACATTCCGTAGGCCACAGGTACTATCCGCCACTCGGCCCTTGTCCACGACGGTCCGTCAACCGCTGCAGCCTAGCTTGTTATCTTCTCGCGAGTCCGACGCTATCGTTGGCAGGCATACCGTACGTGACTATCGCCCAGGACCATCAAGCGAGCTATCGTCTGCCAACAGCCAGCCTCTCTCTTACCGCACCCAAGCCTAACCCAAGCCATCGCCCACACCCGGACCTATCATTCATTCGCGTCCAAAAGCGATCATACACATACACATACCCAAGTTATCTTTACTTCTGCCCACCTCGAGCTATCGCCCACGCCCGAAGCACCGGCCACATGCTCTATCGACACCTGTTATCGACATCCCGAGCATGGGACTATCGACACCGCGAGCATGGGGCCCCGAAGTTCCACCACGGGCTTTGATGCCAGGATGGTGCTTAGAGCGGGCCTGTGGCTCCGGTGAGGGCGGTATAAAAGGACGGGTACCTGAGGTTTGCGAGAGGTTGGCTTCTGTGCGGCCGGTCGGTTTCTGTCTGTCCTCTCAGCTGGCTCGTGCGCCTACTTGGTCTCTGTGCATCTGTACACGGCCGTTGGCATTCCTCGAGGGCACCTCGCTGAATTGCGCCGCCGCACATCACAGATAGCGCACGACGATGGCGGAGGCCAAGACCACCGCGCTGGACACCAGCGTGCTACCGAAGGCGGTTCACCAGGACTCCTTCCGGAGCGACGATGAGAAGAGCTCGCTGAAGGACAAGGAGGCGGGCGTTACGAAGGTTGTGTCGTCTGACGATGATTTGGCGCGATATGGAGACGTCTATGAGGGTGCGTTGTTTGTACTGGTAGGAGCGCAGGATCTGAATGAACTGACTTGCTATAGATGTCCGCCAGATAGATTTAGGCGACGATGGGAAGGAGCGTGCTGTCGGTTAGTCAGGTGCAGAGCTGCCTTCCTGGCAAGCATTGACCCGAGTTTAGAAACCGACTTCGACTGGGCCGTTCGCTTGTGTTCCCTCGGTAGGTCTGAGTTAACTTCTACTGACCTGCCTCCTACTAATTTGCCATTCAGAGGATGACCCGACACAACCTGTCTGGACATTTCGACTATGGTTCATCTCTATCGGTCTATCCTGCTTCGGTGCCGTCCTGAGCCAGATCTTCGTACGCTTTTCCATCCCCATTTATCGCATCCCTGCTCACCTCCCCACAGGCTTTCCGCCCCCAAACCATTTACGTCTCCCAGCTCTTCCTCCAAACCTTCGGCTTCGTCCTCGGCAAGATCTGCGAATACGTCCTCCCCGGCCCCAACCACACCCTCCCCTCCATGCGCACGCCCAACAACGCCTTCTGGCGCTTCATCAACCACGGGCCCTACAACATCAAAGAGCACACGGGCTCGCTCATCATGTCCGCCGCCGCGGTGCACGGCGCGCTGGCGATCCAGATTTTCGTGGTCGACGATTTGTTCTACAATCGGCACCTAAACCATGCGAATGCGATCTTCACGCTGCTGGGGAGTCAGTTGTTGGGGTATGGGTTGGGAGGTGAGGGGGTGTGCTGGTCGTTTGCGATCTGAGTGCTCACTGTTTGTGTGTGCTTGCAGGGTTGATGCGCAGCTTCTTGGTGTATCCGACGTGCTGCGTGTACCCCAACGTGATGCCCACCGTGCAGATGTTCGACGTCCTGCACCGCGGTCAGGACAACTTCCTACAGAAGAAGCGACTCAGGTTTTTCTGGATACTCTTCATCGGGATCTTCATCTGGGAGTGGTTCCCCGTGAGCCTGCGCGATTCTCGCTTCATATCCCCCATCTCAACTTACATATTCTGCAGGAATATATCGCACCCACCCTGACCGGCGTCTCCATCTTCTGCCTCGCGCGCCAGAAGAGCCCGTGGGTGACCCGTATCTTCGGTGGCGCGGCCGGCAATGAAGGTCTCGGCCTGTTTTCGCTGTGCTTTGACTGGCAGTACGTTGGATCTGGAGGATCTGCGTACGGCGCGCTGTTCCAGCCCATTCAGACGCAATTGTCGTCGTACTGTGGGCTGGCGCTTTGCATGTGCGTGGCCATCATCGACTCTTACCCCCTTTTGCTGACGAGTAATCATAGCATCATCTTCTGCGCATGCTACGCCAACAACGTTTGGAATGCGCAGCAATTCCCCTTCCTCAGTCAGGTAAGTGGTTCTCTACACTGCGTTGACTACGTACGCTGACTGACCGCCGTCTTTAGCTTCTCTTCAACGAGACAGGCGACACCTACAATCAAAGTCTCATCTTGAACGATGACTACACGCTGAACGCGACAAAGCTGGAGCAAGAGGGCTTGCCCTGGTTCGCGGCGTCGTATGCCGTCTACAAGATCGCGACGTCCCTGTCTTTGGGCGCGACAGGTGAGTTGAAGTACAGCGTGGACATGGCGTTGCCTCAACGACGTATAGTCACGCATATGGCGATCTGGCACGGCAAGCAGATTTGGACTGCGATCAAGGAGGCTACGGTAAACCCCCGATTTATCCTACTCACATTACTCGCTGAGCATTTTGTGGCTAGTCCGGCGAGATCAAAGACCGTGCGTGATGCCAGAGTGTTTGTGAAGATGCGCCCAAGCTCACATGCACGCCATAGCCCACTACCAGAAGATGAAGGCGTACAAGGAAGTGCCCTGGTGGTGGTACGCCGGCTTCCTCGTCGCGTCCATCGTGATGTCCTTGGTCACTTGCTACACGGGCCACTCCCAACTGCCGTGGTGGGCGTTTATCGTGGGTGAGTATGAGCCTTCCCAAGCCATACTCTACAGCGGCGCGTTTCTACAGCGGCGCGTTTCTGCAGCGGCGCGTTTCTGCAGCGGCTTGTTCCTTCAGTGATGCATAGCATGACTGACCTATCCCTACCCCATCTAGCCATCATCTTCGCCGCCGTCTTCCTCCCCATCATCGCCTTCCTCTACGCAGTTATCTGCTTTGTCCCGAGCACGGAGGACATCGCGAAGATGCTCGGGAGCGCGCTCGTGCCCGGGAGCCCGCACGCGAACATGTACTTTGCGATGTACGCGTATAATTCGACGGAGCAGGGGCGGTCGTTCACGAGGGATCTGAAGATCGGGCAGTATGTGAAGGTGCGTGAGCGGGTTCCAGCTTGGAGAAAGGGTACTATGTACGATGGTGGGAGAGATGTATTGACATGAACTCCCGCAGCTTCCACCTCGTGTGACCTTCACGATGCAGACCATCGGCGCGGTTATTGGCGCGCTTCTGAACTACCTGATTATGGCGCTGATTATCGAGGCGAATCGGGAGATCTTGCTGTCCGTTCAAGGAACGAACGTCTGGTCCGGCGCGACCTACCAGTCGTACAATAGGTCCGCTCACTTCCAAGCTTACATGTTCGCGCTCTGACATCTGCTCCAGCGACGCCGTGTCCTGGGGCGCGCTCGGGAAGCACCTGTACTCTCCAGGCTCAAGATATGGGATCATCCCCATGTCGATCCTCATTGGCCTCATCGTCCCCATCCCCTTCTGGCTCCTGCACAAGAAGTTTCCGAAGTGGGGACTGGACCAGGTCATCACGCCGATGATTGCTGTGCAGATCGGAGGCCTTTCGTCGGGCATCAACTCGTCGATCTTTATGACCTTTTTGTTGTGCTGTGCGTACTGGGTTCTCTACCGTCTCTATGAAGGTGCGCTGACGGATGATATCATCCACTGCAGTGGTCAGTCAGTACTGGCTGCGGAAGTACCACCCACGGTGGTTCCGGAAGTACAACTTCCTGTGAGTTCACCATTGACTATGCTGCATGATCAGGCAGGCTGACTGCCGGCATAGCATGTCCGCTGCCCTCGATGGTGGTACGGAAGTCATGGTCTTTGTGTGGTCATTCGCGGTCGGTGGGGCCAGCGGGAAAGCGGTTGACTTTCCTAAATGGGCTCTCAATCCCTCGGGCAATCCTGATCATTGCATGAGGCTCACTTGAGTGGAGACGCGGCAGCGCTGTGTTTCCTTCCTTTGTATATGAAGTTGTCTGCCCTGTAGATATGTTTCGGTGTCTTGGTGTCATTGTACTAGTATGTAGGAATTAGGTGTCTAGTAATTGCAAAGTGGAAGCGAGCAAAGGACAAGAACAATGGGAGGGCGAATATGGCACGGATATGGCAGGTGCTAATTAGCCGGGAGTCGGACCGGCAGGTTGTCTGTTACGTTCATCATCCCATGGCTGCAAGCAGCGAACTGGACTGCTCCGAGTATACCCAGCTTACCTTCAGCTGGACTGTGAAAGGCCTCAAGGCTCTCTTCGACGCGTCGTTAGTACTGCACAAGGTCTGACTTTACCTCCGCTCATCGTCCACCAGCAAAGGCGACGCCAAGTCCAAGGCGACCAAGTCCCCGCGATTCGGGCCAGACGGGCGGTGGCAGGTCCTGTTGTACCCGAATGCAGGGAGTCCGTTCACGAAGGACAATGTACCTGCGAGTGGATCGGACGCGTTGCAAGGCTTCATAAGTCTCTTCCTTTCGTGTGAGGTGTGGCGCGCAATATGACACGACGTGAACGCGTGTTGAACGCCCTTGCAGCCGACGGCGGAGGAGAGGGAACGCGCCGCGGCGGATGGGAAGTGCGTATACTCATCCTACTTTTGGAAGACAGATAATCTAACCCGAGATTAGATGGGTTCGCGAGGGATCGTTCACGTTCGGGTTCGAGTTGAGGACGTATGTGCATAGTGATCCATGCTGCCTCGGTTCGCTCATTACTTCCTAGCGTTAACAAGACCGTCATTGTCCCTGGCAAAGAGGCCAAGCAGGATCAGTTCTGCTCCAAGGTGCGCCGATGCTCCCTCCCGGTCACCACCTCCACTCACCTTCATCCCAAAGGTCGCCAACTGGGGCTGGTCCCACTATGCCAGGCGAGAACTTGTCTACTATAACAACTCTGTCGTCAAGTCCCAGGATTCCTTTGTCATCGTCTGTAACATCAAGTCCTCCCCCACCGTCCCCGACGTGCCATCGAGCCCCCGCCTTGATGTTCCGAAGAGCCTCCTTGAGACGTTCGGCTCCTTGCTGCTTTCGGATAATCCTGCGCACGCGGACGTAGAATTCATCCTGCCGAGGAGAGGGCAAGACCTGTCGAACGCGCGTCATATCTACGCGTCGCGGCAGCTGCTATCACGCGTCGAGTACTTCAGAACAAGTAAGTCAGCACACCGCGCCATGCGTGTGCGCTACCGGTTATCTTCCTGCTACCTATCTCCCTCAGTTTATTACTGACACTTTTTCTCCTTCCAGTGTTCAGCTCCGGCTTCGCAGAGGGCGTGTCCATGACCGGGGCCGGCGAGATGTCCGACTCGACCTCGGGCATGCTCATCGACTTCGACGATTCGGACGACGAGGATAATATTGACGACGACCCGGTCGCGGAGTGGGCGAGCGCGACGTCTCATAGCGTGACATCGTCTGGGGAGCAGGATATGGAGGTAACCGCGGCGTCGTCGAATGCGACGTTGCCGGCTACCCCAACGGGAGCCGGTGGGAGCGCCAACGCTGGGTCAAAGGATGTGGACAATGGGCGAGTGAAGGTGGTGGTGAGGGATGTGGCGTACAATACGTACCTCGCGATGTTGTATTGGGTATGTTTACCCTGTCATCCTCTTCCTGATAAACTCGTTCTAACGAGCGACCCAGATTTACACAGACCGGTAAAGTTGTCCCCCTCTCCCCTTACCCCCGCGTTCCTAACGCCGGCCCCCTCCCAGCATCGTCTTCGCGCCCCTCTCCTCCAGCTTCACCACCACCGCCTCCCCCGTCATCGCACCCAAAACGCCCGCCGTCACCAGCCCCGGCACCCAGCTCGCCAGCCCGCACACGCAGTCCTTCTCCCGGCAGATGTCCTCGAACATGCTCAGCAGCTCCTCCTCGTCCTCCATCGACCCCAAGGCGACGCGGCGGCAGTGGATCGCGGAGTGGCAGACGAACAACCCGGACCGGCCGGCGCCGTGCTCGGCGAAGGCGATGTATCGGTTGGCGGATCGTGAGTTGGGCGTTTGTGGTCATTTGCAGGGAAGTTGGCCGTCTCGCGCGTCGCGTATCAGCAGCGGGTCGAGTATCGGCCGCGAGCGTCCCCTCGCAGCAAGTACGCGACGCGCGGGACTGGCCAGCCTTTCCGCAAGTGACTGTAGATTACAGAGCTTTGCCTATCGCATTTCTCGAGTCTCGAAGGGACTGAAGTGCAGGGTGGCACGGTAGCATATATCGTGGCCACAAATCACTAGCGCAGTTCATCTGGACCCCACTTACGCAGTCTATCTGGACACCAAGTTGACTATCCACCCAGGACTTGGCCTCGATGAACTCCGGGAACGCGCATGTCGGCACATCATGCGCGGTCTGGGCGTAGAGAACATCGCGTACGAGGTGTTCTCGCCATTCGCGGCGACGTTCGACGAGATTAGGAAGGTGAGTTCATGAACTTTCTGCTGTAGACTTCCTTCTGCTTCTTTTATCTTGCCTTCGGCTACTGTCTTGGAACATGACGACTAATTCTCTACCCAGCTTCAAGTCAAGTATTTCCTCGAAAACTGGTCCCAAGTGCGCTCTTCGGAGGGCATGCGCGAGGTCTGGCAGCAGATACGCAACGGGCGGCACCCTGGGTTCGAGGAAGGTGAGTCGGATAGCATACTCTCATTTTTGCTTGCCACCGTCGTCAATATCGCTAACACGATCTCAGTTTGGCCCGTCATCGCGTCCAACCTCGAGTTCAACCCGAAGGCGGGGAGCACGGAGGATGCGGCGATGACCATGTAAGGAGGCAAGTCAGCGATCAAGAGCAAGGTGTGTACAAGTGCACGGCGGAAGAAAGCCCGAGCCGAAGGGCGTTCGCCGGGCAAAGCGAGGGAGGTGGGAGAGGAATGCGAGGGAGCGAAAGTCTAATCTGGGAAGGGATCAATCTGGACTGCTGGAATCTTTAATGTATATGTACCTGCGCGCATCTCATAATCAACAACTCTTCCGTTTGCAATCCTATATCAAGAGATGCGGATTGCTCGACATGCGAGCACGAACGAGGCCCAACTTGAGCTCACGAGAATCTACTTTCTCACCATTGAGATGGGAATTCGGCGACGTTGTCAATGACGCGCTTGCACGCTCAAGAGGACCCCCATTTGTGCACCATACGCCTGCTCAGTCACTCTCGAACTCTTCTAACTCGTAAATATACCAGTATATTCACATGCATGGATCGTGCGTGCCCGTAAGAAGTGTATGTACAAATCCGTAAAGTGATAATTATACGAAAGCAATCCGGATGCAAGAGAGGTCCGTAAGTGACATGCGTGCACTGTCGAGGCGCACGCTCTACGTGCTGGGAGAAACCAAAATGCGAGGAAGGTCTGCTCGCTCAGGATATCCTAAGGTGTGACAGCCTCCTGCGTGTTGACGACTGCCTGCGTGTGGACGACTTCCTGCGTGCTGAGGATACCCAGCGAGATTACCGAACCATGCGGCGAGAGAAACATCGTGCGCTTGCTCTCCGTGTCGTCCTCCTTCTGCTGCTCCTTCTCCGCGGCTTCTTCCGAGGCCTCCTTCTCCCCCTTCGCCTTCGAGGGCTCCGCCTCAGCCCTCTCAGGCTGCGCGCGGACACCCAGATGCTTCGACCCGCGCCTCGGCGGCGGCGACAGCGAGATCATCACCGGGTCCTCCTCCTCCACGACCGGTGTCGACGGGTGCGAGTGCGACGCGAGCGAGGCCGTGTACTTCGTGCTGAACGTCGGCGACACGGGCGAGATGGGCGACAGCGGCGCGTACATCTGCAGGAAGCTCGGGTCGTTCTGGTTCTGCACGATCTTCTCTGCGATTGGTGTGGCCGGCGGGGTCGCGCCCAAACCTGGCGAGCCCAAGCTGGAGAAGGTCTGCGTCGAGAAAGGCTGCGTCGTCATGACCGTCATCGTCAGCGGCCGTCTCTTGCCCACAGGCTTCGCCGGTGCCTCCACCTCCTCGGGCGGTGAGGGCAGCGGCGACGAGGGCATCACGGGTGCGCTGAGCATGCGCAGGCGCTGCTTGAACGACCTTGCGGGACCAGGCGTGGACTCGGGCGTAGGTGGGAGGGGGCCAATAGGCGGTGGATGTTGCTGGGGAGGCAGCGCGGAGTGATGCTGGAGGGGAGACGATGCAGTGCTCAGGGGACGTCCGCCACTACTGCCCGGCCGCCCACCGCTACTGCCTGGTCGTCCACCAGCGCTGGGCGGCCGCCCGCCGCTGCTCGACGGACGCCGCCTCGTCCACACGCGCTGCTCATCCGGCCTCGGCGGCAGCGTCGTCGCCGGAGGCGGGTTCGGCGCGCCCAACGACAGGCGGAACGATCGTCGCGAGAAGGACTTCCTCGACGCATTGTCGGCGAACGACTTGCGCGAGGCGGTATCTGCATAAGACATACGCGACGCAGTGTCAGCGAAGGATTTCCTCGAGGCCGCATCCGACAGAGACGGCGCGCGCGAGTGCAGCGACGTGCGCGAGTCGGACGCCAGGTCCCGCAGGGAAGACGGCGCCTCTTGTATCGTATCTATAGGCTCCTGCCCCGGTGGCGGGGGGAGCGCAAACGAGGGTGGGGGTCGGGGCGGGGGCATAGATATAGACGTGCGGTGGCTCGTCGGGGGTGATGAAGGGGTGTTGTAAGGTTGGTTCGCATTATGAGATTGGGGCAGGTGCGTGAGTTGCCCCGCAGGCGACTGCGCACCTCCGTTCCCGCCAGACAGCGCAGAGCTGATGCTGAACGCGGAGCTGCAGCTTGCGCGCTTCGAGTACGTCGAGTACCCGCGAGACTCGAGAGACGAGCGACCCTGCGACGTCCGGCTCGGCGAGCGCTCAATGCCAGCTGCGTATGGGTGCGGGTGCAGCCGTGACGAAGACGGGCTCCCAAGGTCGTGGTGGTCACTCGCCTCCCCATGGAACGTCGGCGCCGCGGGTGGCGGACCACTCGGCGGCGTCATGCGCTTCGGCAGCGAGCCCTGTGTCGACCAGCGCCGCGAGCTGCGCTTCGTGCTCGGGCTCGAGCCGCCGTCGATCGGGCTCACGCCCTCCGACAGCGTCGTCGCGAGCGTGGACACGGACCAGACGGACGGCTGCCGCGGCCGCTGCACAGGGCTGTGGAAGGAGAAGCCCGCAGGCAGGGTGCCCGACGTGCTCTGTTCCGACGCACTGCGGTCGTGCGCGGGTTGTGGAGGGTTCGACACGGGTGGACTCGTCACGGTGGATCGCTTGCGCGGCGGGGGCTGCAGCTGGATGGCGAACCCGTTGCCGTTGCTCGACGACGAAGCGAATGCCGACATCGGTCGCTGTGGAGGCTTCGCCGCAGGGGTGGTAGGCGTGCTAGCCGACGACGCGGACGGTCCCGTCCAAATAGCAGACTGCCTCTCGGATATCTTTCTATCCAGACCGAGCGTCTGGGCAGGTACAGAGGACGTGGGGCTGCCTGATATCGTCGTTGGACTGCCCGGAATCTCAGAGAGCCGGCTGCGCCTGGCCAAGGACATGCTCAGCAGGTTGTTGCCCATCACGCCGAAGCTGTCTTCTCCACTGCCATCGACCGCACCGGAATTGGCCGTCAGCTGCGAGACACCCGAGTCGACGGACGGAGACCGCGGCCGAGTGAATAGACCCTTGAGTGCGGATACGGTGGACGGGCTCTTGGTTGGAGACCCTTGCGATGCTGCGGGCTGCGAGTTCGAGCGCAGCGACCGTTGCGAGCGGGAGTGCATCGAGGAGTGGGAAGAGGTATCGTGCTCGGAGAAGGGTCGGGGCGCGACGCTGAAGGTCTCCGAGAGCGCGGGCGACCGAGGTTGCGGCGGGTCCGCCATTGAGGCTGGTATTGGGGGCCGCGATGCCATGTGGGAGCTGACGCGCATCGAGAGCATGACGTCCATGTCGCCACGGGGCTCATTGGCACCGTTAAGCGCAGATTGGGGCAGGCCGGCACGCACAGAGCTGTGATATATTAGCGAACGCGAGAAGCGAGAAGCCAAAGGACGTACCGCTGTGCAAGAATAACGCTCTTGATTCCGCCAATCCATGTCTGCTTGGTCTCGACGTTGACTGCATGCAGAAGCCACATCGTCTCGGCCTTCGGCGGCCCTTCCACCTCCTTGCCATTGTCAGCCTCGCCGCCAGCGTGCTTCCCAGCCACCTTGATGACGTTCTTCCGGCCGCCCACGTCTTCGTCGGCAACGAATACAACGCTGTCTTCGTTCACCTCCAACCGTTCTAGTTCTCGCTCCTCGGGTGCTGGCGACCGGAAGACATGCAAGTAGCTCGGCAGAGGTACCAATGCGTGCCGTGAGCGGGGCGTCGGGAGAGGGTCGGGTGGTACGGGGGACGTGAGGAGGATGTAGCGCGTCTTCCAATGGCGGGACATCGCAAATATGCGAGAGGAAGAGTGATATTTGGGGAAGGATGCGGAGAGCGCGATGGTGTGGGAGTCGCAAGAAGAGAGCGCTTTGAGTGTGGTGGGGAACGGGGGGACGGTGGATACGGGTGCAGGAGGGTTGGAGTATGAATGCCTGTGTATGGATACTGGGCGTGTTGACGCTGAGGAGGATAGGCCGTCCCAGAGAGGGGTAGAGTCCCCTGAGTTGAAGGGCCCAAGGTCTTCGCCATAGAAGTGGCTCGCGTCGCTGCCCATGTCTATGGAGTTCGATAGGTTGGCTTCTTCTTGGAGGAGTTCCGGGCTGAGACCGATAGACTGCGCCGCTGCCTCGCGCAAGCGGTCGCGTTCCTCGATCTCCTCGTCCGGGCGCGGCGCCGAGATTTCCATGACCCCAGGGATGACGATGGGCATGTTCAGCGGAGGCTGGCGCATAGAAGTTTGTCGCCGACGCGAGGAACGCCCGAGCTTGTTGAGGGCATCCGAGATGATGCTTGCGCGTCGGTTGGAACCTTCGCTCGTCCTCGGTCGCGGCTCGTACTCGTACGTGATCGACGTGTTCGACGCGATGTACTCCGACGTCGACGCGGCGTCCATGAATGCTGAATAAGAGTTAGTCAAGGTCGCTGGACGTCGTGGTTGTCACGCACCGAAATGGGTGCCTCCTGAGACGGGGCTGCGTTCCCTCTGCTTGCCCTTGTCATTATTGCGCGTCAACATGGACGTACGCCGACTCCTCTTGCCGGACGAGAAGAACTCGGACGGTCTGTTGTCACGGAAGAACGAGCGCTTCGTGCTGCCGTCCAGACCACTGGCGGCCTGCAGTCGAAGGGGAGAGCTGCCAATATTCGTTGGCGACGTGGGCCGGGAGCTGGTAGCCATCTGCACCGCGGCCTGTCAGCTATCCGTCAAGCAGCGCCGAGAGCAGGTCCCCCAGTTTGCATCCGCGCCGGGGGCCCACATGCGGGACGAGTCGACTCACCTTGTCGCTGTCGACAAAGTCCAGCATGACTACCGCCGCATACAGGCTGCTGGGCGGGGAGAAACGTATAGTAAGTTTGTAGGAAGTGGTAAGGAATGTCGGTAAACTGAAAAGGGACGGCGGCGCCCGCCACGCGAACCTGCTGATGTTCCGCTTAATTGAAAGACGGCCCCGAGTCCCTCGCAGATCAACTCTTCCGTGTACGCCCATCTGCTCGCATCATGGCCATCGCTGTTGCAGATCGCGTATTCGACGTGGACGGGAATTGGGGCACGAGGAGCTTTCGCAAGGCCTCGCTGGCAAGCGCAGTGACCGCGCTGCACTTTGTGGCACATGCGAACTACGAGAACCTGGGCGGCGATGGACAGGCGCCCACAAACCACTGGACCCTGCTCCTCCAGACCGACGCCTACTCTGGCGTTCGACTGGACGTTTCCCCCGGCGATATCGGTCGCCCTGGTATGCTCATCCTCGAGGATGTTACGAGCGCCACATCCTATTCCCTCGCGGACCCCTCCTTCCCCGACCAGCGTATACACGTCGTCTCCGTCCCCACCGCGCAGGGCACTACTGTAGAGCGCATACTTGACCTCATCGTTCAGAAAAATCGCGACAACTATGTCTTTGCCCCAGTTGGCGAAGGGTGCAGATTCTGGCTTAAGACGTTCGCGCAGGACCTCGCCGACGAGAGCATAATCACTCTCGAGGATGCTGAGCACGCTAAGGATGCACTGCCAAAATACTATCCATATCCTCCGGGAACAGCTCCAGTCGCCAGGCCAATGGCCGAGGGACGCTTCTTCTGACCTTTGTATTCCTCGCACAGTGATTGCCACAAATGTTTGCCAAAGAATCAAATAGCACTCGTCGTTCAACATCTCATTACAGCCATCGCACCGTCCGTACAGTACTTTCGCACTACAAATACAAGGGATATACACTACAATAAAAAATCATGCAAAGCTATTCTCCACATCAGCACTATCCTCGCCCTGCTCAAGGCTCGCGAACGTCAAGAACGCCGCCGGCCGGTGCTCCTCCGCCCAGAACAGCAGCGGCGTGTCGAGCGTCATCGAGTATGGCACATTCTGCGACCACAGCTGCGTGAGGCCGATGCCGTAGTTCCACACCCTGCCCTCTGGCACGAGCGTCATCCCGAGGATGCGGTCGGACAGCAGCAGCTGCACGCGCTCCGACATGTTCGGGTTGAAGCCCGGCGGATTCGCGGAGCGGTCCTGGTTCTTGCGTCCCCACTCGAAGCCGGCGACGGTGAGCGAGTGCGCGGAGAGCGAGATGGAGCCGGGCGTGAATGAGACGGTGAGGCAGATGGAGGACGAGCCCATCTCGGGGTGCTCGGCCATGATCTGCGCCTGCGTCGTGACGTCCGTCGGCGAGAGGTGCGGGATTTCGAGGGCTTGGGTCTTGATCCACCCGAGGAGCTCGAGGTCCTTGAGGAGGAAGTCGTCCTTGGGCAAGCGGTTAGGGAGCTCGACGCTGTTGTTGCTCCCGCGCTGCGGCACCCATGCGACGGCCTGTAGCGAGATAAGCATATGCACAATGATGATGATATGTGAGCACGAACCTTAATCTCCTTGACCTGCTTGTTATCCGGTGGCGACACACCGTACAAGTACGCCGCGACTTGCGTGCGCAGATCCGCCGCAGTGACGAAAGCGCGCAGGATGTTCTTCGGCAAGACGTATGTGTAAGAGGCAGCGTCGTCCTTGACATCGTCGTTGGACACGTAGATGTGCTGCAGACGCAAGGGGAGGTGCGTCGCCGAGATAGCACGCACACGCCAATCGGACTTGCTGCTGAAAACCGTCTGCTCGTAGTTCGTGGCTGTAAGGTATATCAGAGATTGTTCTCATACATAGGACCACGCGGGACTCACTCGTCACAGTCTGGATGGCATCACCGTGCACGTTCGTCGTCTGCGTCTGCACCGCGGTTATTTGACCCTGCGCCTGGGAGCTCTTCTCCAGCTCCGCCATCTGCTGACGCTGCACAGAAGGCGCGGCAATCTCCTGACCGAGGATGATGTCGCGCACTTCACTTGCGGTGAGCGATGCGATGTTCACGCTGTTGCGCTTGCCGAAGTCCTGCGAAGGCATGAGAGATGCACTAGTAGATGATCACCATCAACGCTTACCGCCAGGATGAGCTCCTTCATCGCAACCTCAACCTTAATCCACTCTTCATCGGACAGGGACGGCCAAACGAAGTGAGGCTCCGTGATGGTGTTCTTGTCGGGGTGCAGGATGATCTTCGCCTTCTCGTTGTTGACGTGCAGACCGCGAAGAAGCAGGATCAACCGCGAGAACGCCGTGTAACTCGAGATGGACTTCAGCCAATCATCGTACAGACTGAACAGCACCATTTGAGGTTGCGTCGCCCTCTGTTGCAATGTTAGCGGCTATACGTGGGATGCTGACAGTACGAGCTTACCAGGATCAGGTCACCGAACTTCTCCATCTTCATGCAAGCCTGGAACGGCAACTGCAACTCGCTACCCTTGATGACGATGTTGGGGAAGTCGAGCAAATGGACTTCGAGAGGATCCAACATGCCCTTGCGGGTGACGATGACCTGCTTCGGCTGTTCCTCGACTGGCAGCGAACGGACAAGAGCCGCCACTTCTTCGGCCGTCTTCCACTTCGCCAATTGGCCAAGACGCTTCTGCCCTGCCCAGACGCTCGTGTGGATGATCTTCAAGAACAGTTGTCCGGAACGAGGGTTGAAGATGAAGATAGCGCCGTCTGTGAGCGATGATGGTTAGAGTGATACTGAGCAAGTGCGTATCGTGACTCACTGATGGGCTTCGTGGTCAAGTTGCCCTCGAACGTCTTGTGGCTAAGCAAATGTCAATACCGATTACTCAAAGGCGAGGCATTAAACTTACATCGTAACACGGTATACGTTCGTGTCGTCGACGAACCAGATGATCTGGTTAGAAAACAGCTCGGCGTAGTTCTGGCTGTTCAGATACGGCTCCGTCGGCTCGGACGAGTACAGCTGCAGGCCCTTGCGGATACGGTCGCGCAAGACGTGCAAAGCCGGGTTCGCGCGCATGATCTTCGCCATGGCCTGCTGGATGAGGGGCTTGAGACCCGGGAACCAGTTGCCGTAAGCCGACCAGAGGTTGTACGCCAAGTCCATGCCGATCATGACACCAGTAGGCGAGGGGTAAATGCTCATCGAGTCGGAGACGTAGTCGAGGAACTTGGCACGGGTGTAACGCTCAATGTCGTGCGTGTCGAAGTCACCCCAACGAAGCTGGACATCGATCCAGAACTTGTTGCTGGTCGTGCCGTCGAGAACATCCTTTTGCTATGGCGAGGTCAGAGAAGTTTATGCATGGCTAAGAAGTATACTCACGTCAGTGACGAGGGAAGGACGAGCAATGTTCCACTTGTAGGCGGAGAAGAGGAGGATATCGGCGCAGGAGGAGTTCATCTTGTAACTCTTACGAGGGTGAATCGTCTCCTTCTGGACGGTCTCGATCTGGAGGGGCTCGAGCTCTTGGTCGAACACTTGACACAAGTCCATGACTACACTCTCGTGAACTAAAGACAGTCAAGTCAGACTTGCGCACAACGATAGTGAAGGGTTAACTCACTCTTCTGCCACAAATGCGCACGGAAGATCTGGATGAGGGAGATCTTCAAGGTTGGGATCTTGCCGTGCATGAAGATACCAGTCAAGTCAAGCTGGACCTGGAAACCGACGTAGACGTTGGCGCGGTTGATGGTCGGACTCCACCATAGCGTGAAGCGACGGTTAGGAATCTGGTTGAGGCCGGACCGTTGCGCGTTCGTCAGCTTCTTGTACCGCATGGACTCCTCAAAGCCGGATGCCTTCTCCCAGAAAAGACCCTCCCAGGTCGGGAAGTAAGTGCCCTTGAAAAGCGTGTGCTCCAGGATACTCTCAACACCGCCGAGCGCGGATATGACGTCGACACGGTAGTTGTTGAGCTGCCAAAGCTTGCCGTCGTGGCGCTGCGAAGTCCACCAGAAGGGGTTGCTGAAATTGGCGTGAGCTACACAATTGAAAACTGACATGACTTTCAACATACTGCTTGAGCAGCTGGTACTGCTTCCAGTCCGTACGCACACGCCAACCACGATCATATGCCAAACTAAACCTCGTCAATAAGCAGTCAAGCGTAGTCCATGATTCAAACTTACGTGTGACGGTCCTTCTGGAAGAGCGTGTTAATACGCGGAATACCACGGTCCCAACTGTCCTCGAGGTCCTCGAGCGTGAGACGACGATTCTGCGCGCTAGCCTCCTTGCGCTTCATCGAGTACTCCGACCAGACGCGTGCCGAGTCGAGGAACTCGGCCTCCCACGGCTGCAGGTAGCGGTACAAGTTGGGAATGAGCTGATCCTCCTCGTGCGACATACCGGCGCGGAAGTGTGTGACTAGAATGAGATGAGTGCTTGCCTACATGAGCGAGAGCAGAAAGCACATACCGGCGACATCCGTCTGCTTCGACCACCGCAAGTCACTCTGGGGAATCAGGACGTGCCCCATGGACAACATGCCGAGGCCACCGAGTTCCTTGGGCGTGTAGAAGACGACGGGAGGGAAACGCGACGGCATCTTACTGTTCAGGCCGATCTTGACACGGGTCTGAATTTTGTTCTCCGCCTTGACCAACGCGTCCAGCAACTCCGTAGTGTGGATGACGGCCTCGCGGTAGTAAGTCATCAACCCAATCAGCGCCGTGTTCCACTTGTTGACGATCTTCGAGAACGTCGTCGAGCCGGAGCTCATCAAGACCTGGCGGATACGGTTGTTGAACTGCTGAACACCCTCGTCCGAGACGCGTAGGAAGGCCTGAGCCGTGCGCTCCTTCGTTTGCTCGTTCGTCAGATTCCACACCGCGTCCTTGAGCGAGAACTGCTCGCCGCTGATCGTGCGGATCTTGGGCAGGATGCGGACCTCGAAGCCGCACATCGAGAACAGCAGCTGCGGGTTGTTCTGCGAATAGACGCTGACGAACGTGTCCTCCCACTCGATGGTCGTGAGCGAGCGCGGCAGCGACTGCTTGACGTTCCAGAAGACGGCGCGACCGAGGTTGACGTCGTGCTTGACGAGACGCATGCGACAGTCGCGCGGCCAGCAGCGCTTGTTGTTATAACCGATGACATTGTTGTTCGTCGGATCCGGGTTCGCGGACAGGTAGCGCTGGATGAGGTCGCGAGCCTCGTCCGCAGTGAAGCGGAAGAGGATGTGCAGGCGGTCGACGTAGCGCGAGTACAAGCGGATGGGATGGCGCGTCTCTGTCGCCGAGTCCCTGTACTGCAGGAAGTTGTTCGGCATCTGAGGCGGTCCGGCCATCTCGCTGGCGCGCTGCAAGCCGAGGATGAGCAAGTCGAGTACGAGGCCGTAGTACTGGAAGACGAAGGCGGAGAACTGCAGGCCGCGAATGAGACCGTACGCGTTCGTGTGCGCCATGTCTAGTAGCGACGTCAGCGACTGTATACAACAGATAAGGGTAGAACATACCCTTGTACGTGAGCACAACATTGTTCTTCGCCGTTATGTAATCCGCCAAGTTGTGGTCGAGAATGAGTCGCAGCAAGCGGTTGAGCAGCGTCAAGTCGATCTTCTCGTAGACTTTGGACAAAACGGTCTCCATCATGACGTTGCATTCGCCCTCGCTGGTCTCCCAGATGTCGGTCAAGTTGTTGATGCCCTGGCACCACTTGTAGACCAGGAGCGGGGGAGGCTCGGTGTCGGCGGGTTTGATCCAGGCCGGGAAAAGACCACGCTTGTCCGCCTCGAAGAACAAGAACTGGTCAAGATACTGTGGACGATAGTGAATATGAGCAACACGAATGCGGAAGGAAGACATACAGCGTCCGTGATCTTCTCCACCGGCTCGATGTCGTAGCACGGGATAAGCTTGTCATACGTGTCGAAGAACTCAATGCCCGCCTCCTTGAATGCGCGCTGAGTGAGTAGCAGACGCTTTATGCGCGACAAGCACTCGTGCGGGTTGTCGTACGCCTGCTCGATGAGCGCAAGCTCCTCACGCTGCGACTGGTTCAGGCGACCCTTCACAGAGTACGCCTCCTTCAGCTTCTCCAGCGCGAGCACCAGCAGCTTCGTATCGTGCTTGTACGACAGCGGCGGGAAAGGAATGGGCGCAAACTTGCGGCTCTCGAGCCAGTGCACCGTCGCCGTGTAGATCGCAACGGCCTCCTCGGCGCTGATGTACGGTCCGTCCTTGAGGTAGCCGTGCTGGCGTTCCTGCTCGGCCTTAAGGTAGAGACGAGTGAGACGCCCAAGGTTCTTCTTGACGACGGCCTTGTCGACGGTGGCACCACGGCGGATACGCTCGCGATTGTAGTGCGCGACGGAGCACCACCAGTCGGCCTTGCTCTTGATGTATCGCAAGATGATGTTCTCGATGGCGGTTGGCATGCCAGGGACCTTCCAAGGAACTGCAAGAGCTGGTGAGCCGTTGAACGACAGTGCACCTGAGAGGTCGACTTACTGTTGGCCTTCCAGCAACGCCACGCCTCCGACAAGTGCTGCAGGATCGTCTTCGACTTGTTCTGCTTGATCGACTCCGGCATCATGTCAAGGATATCGTGCATGACCGCGGCACGAAGCTCGAGGTCGTAGTGCGACTCGACACGCTGCTTCGTCACCGTCTTCGCGATACCCTTCGAGTTACGACCCTCGAATTGACGCGCGAGCAGGTTGCCGAGCCAGCGCTCAAGGAGGGGCACGATACCGCGCATGAAGAACAGCCAGACGCGCCAGCCGGGAGCCCAGAAACCGACACCAGGACCCTTGCCAACAGGACCAGTGTTGAACCTGTAGTAGATCAAGTGCTTGAGATCCTTCGTCATGCGCACTTGCCGCATCAACTGCAGATTGGTGAGCCAAAGGAGGCGGTGCGTCAAAGGACGAAGCATACCTTGTACTTGTATCGGTACATACCCGTGAGGGCACCGATGTGAGCGAAGATGTACTGAAGAGCGTCGGCGAGCTGGAAGGCGTCGACATTGCCCAGCCGGAACTGAACGTTGGCGTCGACAACAAGCTTCGTCAAACGCAGGATCTCGCGACACAAGTGGAAGGCGTTTCCGAAACGCGACTTCTTGCGCTCCTTCGTGGTGAGGGTCCTGAGACGGATGTCAGAATTTGCCCAATGTGCCTACACGAAGCGAACTTACTTGACCGGCTTCAGGTTCAAGTTGTAGTCGAGATGCAGGTAGTTCAGGTTCTGCGACGCGCGTGAGTAATTAGAACGTTGAATATACCATCAGGCTCGCTTACCTTGCGATGGATGAGCAAGTTCAGCATGTTGTACCCCTGCCTGCACACTTGCAAGCCTGCCTCCACCCAGTCTAACCGCGTCGTCTGGAAGAACTTGGTCGCCTTGAGCTGGCGGAACAAGTTCTTCTTCGTCATTGCCTTCTCCGGGCGCGTGTGCAGCTCGTTAAGGACGTAGCATTTCAGCAGCTTCTGGTACGACACGCGAACCTTAACTGGCTGGTTGGGCGGGCAGTGCTCCATGTACCAGTTCTTGATGAGTGGGATGTCCTGCGCGCGGCGCATGTGCCCAGAGCGACGGCAGTAGGGCTCCGGCGCCCACCAGATGGCGATGGCGTCCGAAGAGAGGTCGTTCTCGAGGGGCTTGTCCTCCAGGAAGGGCTCGACCTCGTCGGGGATTTCGAAGTCGTCGTCGTCGTTGGGCCCGATAACAGCATCCTCGTGCGCAATAAGGGGCATGTTCTTCGGTGTCAGACCGCGCAAGGATATGGGATTGATGAGCGGGTCGAAGTAGAAAGTGGGGAGGTCGGGGTCGTCGGTACGAATGTACACGTTCTTTGGCGCATGGTAAGGAGAGATGTGCACCGAGCGCGGCAGCGAGTTGTACAAGTGAGGGAATGCAACCCTGTACTCGGTGCGGATCTGCTGCCGGATGATGACCTTGTTGATGTCGTTAAACTCGTTCCAATCTTCGTCAAAAGTGTCCATGTCACGGTATAGCGGCTCAAACTTCGGGCCACCGGGAATGGCCATGTTGAGCGCCTTCGCCGTGAAGAAAGACTTCTTATCGAAAAGGTATTGAGCGTTGTTATCCGCCTGGTCGGAGAGTAGTGTGCGACCGAGGCGATACAAGTTTGCCATGACAGGCAGGCTGAGCGACCAATACTTGTACGACGGCCCATTGACGGACGGCGTGTCGATCAATGGCTTCGGGTCGTAAAACCAGTCGATGATGGCTGCGTCTTCCTCTTCATCCAATTCAAGCTGGATGGCCTCGAGCGGCTCCACGTCCAAAACGTTGTCGCCGTAGTCCAGAGGCGGCTCTTCGTCATCAAAGGGAGGGAAGCGCATCCGCTTGAAGTGGCGACGATCACGCTTCTCCCTCCTCATTGCCAGCCACATCGTGCTCCACTGCGCATGATAGACGGGCTCTATAACGCGGGGAATCTCGTTGACGAATGTGATGGCGCCCGTGATGTGGTAAAGGACAGGGACCTCGCGGACTTGCTCCCAAGGGAAGGGCAGATTTTCGAGTAGCTTCATCACCGCGTGCGGGACGTACTTCAGTGCGCCTAAGTGTACTCGCTTGTCGTTGCGGAACTTGCGGTTGGACATGTCACCATGGTCCTTGATGATTTTGCGTACGTGCTCGGGGGGCAGGTCCTGCAAAGACTTAGTAAGTACGCGTTCACCTTCGAACACGTCTCAGCACGCACCTGCTTGCCCATATCAACATAACCACCGCGGCGCTTCTCGCCATAGCGTTTCCTTTGCATTTGCACCCACTTCAGGGACTTCTGCGCCAAAGCTGAGGGGTATGAGTTAGCGGGGAGCGCATCCTTCCTGGCGCCAAACCCACCTTCAGGCGGCATACGCGACCCAGACGCGCCAGCATTGTTAGCCCCTGGCATCCCCGGGGGCGGGGCCATAAACCCAGGAGGGGGAGGAGGGATACTCATGTTCGTCGTTGTCAGACGCAGCCGACGTCAACGTTCAAGGTAAGTGAGAAAGCACAATCCCCCGATGGAACAAAAGTTTGGCTGACTAAGTCGCCAAACAGCGCCACATATCTCGGACCGGTCTCCCGTACCGAAAAGCGAGCGCGCGCCACAGCCAACCTTGCCTCCTGCCGCTTCACAAACGCCCAGCACAGTCTATTCTTTTCGTTGCTATCGTCTGGACTCCATATTGACGGCCGCATATCTTGCTGTTGGCTTGAGGACATCCCTCAGTAGACTCTTGCAGATCAGCCTTAGCACAGATGGCCCAGCAGCTACAGTCCATCGAGATGAAGCCTTCGGATTCCTCGTCAGCGACTATTGGAGGGAAATCTCGCTCCAGGAGTACTTCGTTGACCATAGAGGTCTCGCCGACGCATGACAAAAAGGTTAGTTTCTGAGCGATTATCCAGCCCCAGCAGCTCATTTTGGTCAAGTCTGCGCTGCGCATCCTCTCAGATTCAGCTACTCCGAAGGCTTGGGAGAACACCTGCGCTGAATACACTATGGCTTGGTCCAATTGTTCTGCCGCCAACCTCGACATGGTCAGCAGTGATCTGGTGGAACTGGCCTCCAGCGAAGAAGTACACTTCAGACGTCTCCGCGAACCCGCCGAGTGGACGCGCACACCTCTGCTCAAAGCGCTAGCAATGCCGGACACGCCTATCTCGCCCATCTCTGCGATGCCGTCTCCGCTCTTGCTCGCCAATGGTCGCGCGCTTCCTGCCTGCGCCGATAGCACCATCGTGCCGCAACACCTCAACGCAGGCTCCGAATTCCAGACGCAGCAAGATGCCTCTCCCAGCGGCCCTGTCCAGCCGGCTGCTTCTGGTGCTCACGCCTCGCTCTGTGCCCATGACTTGGAGAACCGCCTTGTCGAGTCTCAGTCTACGCCCGTAGGACTCTGCGACGGCCTCGGTCTCGGACTTCCTGGCGTACTTTCAACTTCGTGGTCTGCACAGGTGCCGCTCTCGGAGTATTCGAAGGCTCGTCCAGCCGCGGAGGAAAGCAGCGCCGCCTCCCCCTCCGGCTCCCACCACAAGCTCTCCCACATGCGATCTCTTCGCAGCATCCGCGGGTCGCCCTCGCCTCGTCCGCGGTCGCCACTGTCGCCCAAGTCGCCCTACCCTCGCGTCTTCACTCCTCGGATGCCTTTCGGGCAGAGCTTGCAAAATGTCCACAGCCCTTCGCCGGTCCAGGCTGCCTCGCCCGTCTTTGCGGCGTCTCCGGTCTTCGACTACAATACGTCTTTGATGGCTGCTAGCTCGGAGTCCATCGCCAGCATATGCTTAGCCGACGAACTGGAGGCGTCATTCCAGCTGGGTGGTATGCCTGTGTCCCCCGCCCTCTTCTAGTCTTATTGCCGATGTGCACGATGGCAGTCATGAAGAAGGTTGTAACCTCGTAGACCTACACTGCACCCGCCTGTTCACACCTCTATACCCACAAAACCATTGTATCCGATCCAAGAAAATAGATAGGCAGGGGGATACAGACAGATATCTATAGCAGACCGCATCACTCCCAGCGTAGTAGGCCCCATGCAGGATTCCCCCGAGGTGCACCATTACCCCTCTGCGCCGGCATTCCTCTCCCCTGGCCCACCGGGTCAAACGTCGCCGGTGGCCTCCCCTGTTCCCCTTGCCTCTCGAAAGTCCGCCCCGCCTCAAACGCCGTCTGCGGTCGATGCGCCAGCTCCGACTCCGTCGGCGGCGCCTGCGGCCTCCGCAACGGGTACGACGGCAGCAGCCCTAGCATCCGCCGCAGCTCCGCGTTCTCCTGCTCCAGACGCGCGAGCTCGATCTCGCGCTGCAGCGCGTGGTCGTAGGACGTCGGCGCGACCATGACCTCTTCGAAGGTGGGCGAGTTGGGCTCCTGCCCGTCTTCGTCTTCCTTGGGGGCGGAGAGCTGCACGGAGGCTTCGTCAGGGCCCTCGGCTGCGGGTTCGTTGGTGGAGGTGGTGTCTTCCTCGCCTTCGACGGGTTCGCCGCCCTCTAGGCGTGAGAGGCCGCGGAGGTATTGGCCGAGGCGAGCGAGGGCATTGGAGAGTTCGGTGGTATATTGGAGTTCGGTCTTTGCGTTGTCTTCTTCTAGTTGCAGTAGTTTCTCTTCGTATGAGCGGACGAGGGAGAGTTCGTGATCCTGGACATCTTGCTGTGGGGTACGAGTGAGAGGGGAATATGGGACTGGGTATGGTGGCGCATACCGCTCTATTTCTGAAGTTCGCTGTACGGGAGGGATATGAGACGATGCCCGGCGCAGTGAAAGTGCCACGCACTCATGAGGGTGTCCAACGTCGATTCGTACTCCTTGATGAGCGCGCTCAATTGCTTGTTGTCGTGCGCCAGCGCCTGATTCTCCGCCGCCATGGATTGGTTCATCTGCTCCAGCTCCGCATCATACTCCTCTGTAGCCGTTGATATGATGAGTTGCGGCACCTTGCAATGGAAGGGGAATGAGCCAACATACCCTGCGACTTATCGAGGTTGAATCTGCACGACTTTAGCACCGCGTTCTCGCACTCCGTTGTGCTGCTCACCTTCTCAAAACGAAGCCATTCTGGGAGTGCACGGCTTGGTTCTACGGCGAGAGCGCGTCAGTCCCTGATCCCCTCTCCCGAGCGTCATATGCACCTTGATATCTGCGGCAGTCGTGTACAGCGACACCGAGAGGCTGCGGTTCTCATTGAGCTGCTCGCTGAGCTCGGTAATGAGTTGCCATAAGTGATTGAGTTCTGAGCCATCTTGGGATTCGTGAAGGAGAGCCATGATGAGTCCGAAGAGTGAAGAAGATGGTCGTGCAGGGTAAGGTACGCGGAGGCGCGTACCGGTACAAGCGCGTGATGGCTCGGCACATTATCCAAATTTGGTAGCCCTTGTACTCAAGGTCCCACGGGAGTTCCATGCATTTGCAAGACATCGGGTCTTACAGCATAGACTCAAGACGACAAGAAAGCTCTATAGCGCAGCCCCATGCCGATCACATCCCAGCATTTCCCTAAACACCTTCGCTACCCCATCCTCTTCGCAGCCGATCTGCATCCCGTTGTCTCTCAGGATGTAGTACTCCCGTCCAGGCGTCTGCACGACGGCAACAGCCGCATGAAGTGCAGTACCCTTCGATGTTGCAAGGTGCACACTCTCGACGTGGTGGTGACTACGAGGCTCAATGAGCACAGGAAACGGCCGATCGACGTTGCCAAAATGAAGCTCACCCTGGCAAAAACATATTCAACTTGACGGTCTGCTTCTGCATGAAGTGCTCTCCGCTTGCTATGCCTTTGGCCTCAGTCCCGTGGAATTCCTGCGCCATTTCGGTCAACCGCATATACCGACCGCTGACACTGTCAAATCATCAGCGACGGCTTCGTGTCGTAGAGGAAATTGTTCGTAGCCACCTATTCGAGTACACGCACGCATACACGTACCGCTTCGCAATCTCAAGCTTGATGCGACCCTGTACACCCTCTGCCTCTATCCTCTTCAGCCACAACCTGCTGATCCCGCGCTCATACTCGCCCCTGTGCTCCCAAAAGACATGCTGAAGCAAGGAATCCGCACCAGACATCTCTCGCAGAGCGATGTAGGCAGACCAGTCCGCGCGGACAGGCAGATATGAGTCAGCATCGCGCGAGGCGGCTGCGGCGCCCAACGCGGCAGCAGGTTTAGGCAGCGAAGGGTTAACGCGACCGATGACCTCGCAAGTAGCTTCAAGGACGTAGCAGATCTTCGTGACACCGGCCTCGCTGGTAGTGACTTCCCAGATCTCTCCTGGGAGAATCTCCTGCGCATCCGTGATAACGAAGTCTTTGCGCCGGGTTTCTCGCTCTTGCACGGAGACATCGAAGAAGAAGCGCGTCATGAGAAACCTGTAAATATTGTTAGCCTGCGCGTATAGATGTACAAAACCAGTCAGACCGACCTTATAGCAATGGTCGCCTGCTTCGGGTGATCTGGACATGCCCACAACCGCCACGTAATAGGACAGTGCGCAGAGAAGGGACGGGCCAGCCAGGATTGCTCGAAGATAGCAATCCTCGCCTTCAGCTCTTTCTCCCGCACCGCAAGGTACGGCCATAGGTTCGCCTTGTTCATCGTCGTGTTCTTCATGTCGGACGCCAACCGCTTCCCGCTGAAGTAGCGCTCGAGTTTTACACCAGCGGACAGGTATACTTCAAGCGGTGAGGTCAGTGCAGCAGCCACGAGTATGATTGTATGTACTCGCCGGCGTAGCGAAACATCCTCGAAACTAGCGCGCAACGCAGCAGATCCTCCCGCTCGACCGCACTCAGGATAATCGACCATGGGACAACGCGCTTTCTATTCCTGATCGAGGGAGGCAGAGATATCGGACGGTGTGTGGTTGGAATTAGCAGGGCGATGGCGTCTATGTCAGACAATGGCCTCTCGTCCATCGCAGCTTTCGAAGGTACTGAGGGCTTTTTCGATTTAGACTGATCGACTACGTTTGATACTGAGGGCGCGATTCGAGCAATGGGGTTCGCGGGCTTCGTGACGGGTTTGGCGACGGGTCGAAGAGGGACGAATCGCTTGGAGGAGAGCTTCGCAACGGACTTTATAGGGTTCGATTCGAGAGAGATAGACTCGAGTGCAATTCGCTTCGAATTCGCAGGTCGTGCCGTGGAGTGATTCTCTGGCGCTGGACGTTTGGCAGGCACGGTCGACGTTGAGCGAAAGGAGGCGAGAGCAGCGTTCTGTTCTTGGAGCTTATGCGGCAAAGATGATGACTTCGACTGAGCAGAAGGTTGCATAGTATTCAGACGAGGGTTTGATGCGGCGAGAAAAGTGGATTTCTGCTTCTTCGCAGGAGGCGGTACTGTTGGCGGATGCGCTAGTTTGGTACGCTTAGCGGGCAAAGTGGAGGACGCAGAGACCTTGTGAGCAGCTGACGATATCGTAGCATCCAACGCCGGCGCTGTAAACAAAGGCGGCGTTTCGGAGGACAAGCCGGATGAGCTGACTTCGTGCGAGATGGTCGCCGGCTCAGTAGGATCGATGGCAGGCTGAGTATATGCTGTCGCAGCAGAAGATGATGTCGCGTCTAGCACGGCAGGAGTGCGCGGCGTAGACGGCGATGCGGCAAGAGCTAGAGGCTTGTTCGAAGGTGCAGGTGGACCCAACGCAGACTTGGTGGAATCCGAGGTAGTAGCAGCAGTCTTGTGGGCTTTCGCTGATTTCTTGCTGGGACGGCGTGGCTTCTTCGCGGGCGCGAGAGCAACTGCAGGGGAGGATGGCGCTGCGGAACTCACACTTTGCGCATTGCCTGAACTCGTCGGCTCGGCAGCAGCAGCCGGTGTAGCTGAAGGCACTGGCACGGGTTTCGAAAGCGCAGTCGACTGCTGTACTGTCGACGCATCGTTCGGCGAGACAGCAGGGGCTATAGCAGCCGTAGGATGCTGCAGTATCGATGCAGCATCGGCGCCTGATGAATAAATCGTCAACGAGGGTGATCGAGCAGACTGTCCCGACGGAGCAGACGGCGTGGTCGTGTCATCGGCGCTACCATTCTTGGCTTGCCATTCGAGCAGCTTGGCGACGAGGGGTGCTTTGCTAAGTTTCGAGTATCCAGCGACGCCTTTCTCCTTGCATATAGCTTTGAGCTGGGGAACAGTAGCCTTCTTGAGTTCGTCCTCGGTGAGCTGCATAACGAGCAATAGTGAGCGAGCAAGTAATGGAAATGTCGAGCAGCGGATGAAGATCAGATGATGATTGAGCAGAAGACTGAGGGAGCCGCAAGCACAGCAGGATGAGAAGAGCAAGGAGCAGGCCGAGATGATGGTCGGAAACAAGGAGCTCGACGGCATCACGCATCAGCACCGCTGATCACCTCGGCTGCCTCCTGCCCCCATCTCTCTCCTCGACGCTCGCGGCCTTCGTAACGCTCATACCATGGACGCAAAGGAAAGAGTCGAGGCCGCCAGCAACTTCCTCCTCCAGTCACCTCCAGGCGAAATCAACGACGTCCTGAACGGTGCGCGCACCCATCGCGTCGCGTCTAGCCCACCTAACCCTTGTATCCTTCCACAGATGTTCGAAACATCATCTCCGACGATGACTCTCTGCAGGATGGCATTCAAAGCACTCTGAGAGAATACAACCTCGAGCAGTTCATCACCGTCGACGTGCCGGGCGCGCAACATCAGGTTCGGCTGGGTATGGCGCGTATGGTTGACCCATCGATGACCGGCTGCGCAGACACTCATCAGCCGCGCTGCTATTGTGTCGACGGAGGAGGGTACAGTCGAGCGATTCCTCGACCCACGATCGAAGACGAGCTTCCTGTTCGACCACATTGGCCTGGTGCGTAAAATCACTTTGAGACGCGTAGCTGGGGCTAATACGCATGCAAAGGACGCGTCGGACCCACAACCTCATGAACCGAATGCCGAGTCTGAGGAGTTCCGGTACGCTGTTAGTCCGTCCAAGTGTTCCTCGCACTCATCGCGCCTCAGATCGGCTCTGGAGACTGCGACGCAGACCTACCTCGCCGCTCACTTCGTGGAGGGTGTAGCCGCCGTATTCGCGTCGCCGGACGCGCCCAATAAGTTTACGATACAAGTCGTCTCTAACAAGTACAACCCCAACAACTTCTGGTACGCCCTTCTTCTGAAATCCTGTCACTCAATTGACTGACGGTGTTTGCGTGTAGGTCAGGCCGGTGGCGATCCGAATACACTGTAGATCTGAATGACAACACCATCAACGGGAAGATCTGGCTCAACGTGCACTACTATGAGCAAGGGAACGTGCGTAGCCTATCCCTCTTACCCCTTCTCCTTCCATTCTCATCCTCCGCCTTCACTTCACGTCAATCTCACCGTACTTCAGGTTCAACTCAACACCACCCACAACATTACCATTGCTCTCCCACCTGCCATCGTCACCTCCGCACCTCCTGCTGCCGCCTCCAAGATCCTCGCCCTCATCGACTTTGAGGAGACGAAGTATCAGACATCGCTGAACGATACGTACTCGGAGATGGGCGAGAAGACGTTCAAGGCACTCCGCCGCGCGCTGCCCATGACGAGGCAGAAGTTAGATTGGGATAAGGTGAGTTGAGGGCTCAATATTGTGGCTGTGTGGATTGGGAAGGAGATGCGTTCGAGACTAATGTCTGTGTAGGTTCTTGGGTATAAGATCGGTCAAGAGATTCAGGGTAGCAAGGGCTTGCCATAGGGGAGCACATAACCGCCGCTCAATTTACTCTGCGTAATCTCGACCGGTACGACAATCAGCTTGAGTTGCGAAGCCACGGATGTAATATATTTCCCCCACACACACGATGCTCAGTATAATCCTGCTAGGGTTCCCGCATTGTTCCCGTTCCGAAGACGAGCAACAACTGCGCGAGACTTCGCCGGCTCGTTGAGTCGCACGACCCTTTGGACTCCCTGGGGGTTGGTTCCTGCTGAAGACGACGTGTATTGTAAACTAAGTGCTGCACTACCACAGAACGCGGAGACTGTCGTAAAAAGCAGATAACAGTATTCTACATACGATGCCGATTTCCCGGAGGAGGGATGGTTTCCAAAGATTTGCCGTCTTCTGTCGACAAAAAGCAAGACTCCTCTCCGATATATCCTTTCGCTGGTCATCAGAAACGATGATCAACTACTAGGACGTATTCTCAAGAAGTAGCCCGCGCTTCGTCGATGCTACATGCAATGTACCGCCTCAACCGCGCGTCCATGGACGGGAGGTATCACTGACAATATACGACTGTAGCTGCGGGCGCTGGCACAATACCTCCACTCCCCATCGCCTCCGCCGCACAAGTCAAGGAGAACGACGAGCAGCTTCAGCGGCACCACACAAGCGCCCGCGGACACAAGCCCCGCCCATTGTGGTGTTCGCAGACCAATGAAGGCGCGTGGCAACTCACAATGGGCCCGACGCTGTCAGGTCTCGCCACCACTGGACGAACTGTCTATCCGACAGCTCGACCAGCAACAGCTTGTGACGACCCATCCATCACTTACCCCGCGCAGCTGTCGCCCAATCGCCAGCAGATCACGCACAACCTACTCCCGAGACGAGGATGGTCGTGAGCATCTAGCAGTAGGCGCTCATCCGGAATTACCGTGATGGCCAGTTGAGCTTGTGTCCGACGTCCAACGTTGAGCAAGCGAGAGCGAAGTGCTATGCAAGCACATACTCGAGCGCTCTTGTCGACGAAGTGCAAAGGATCCTCTACGACACGTAACCTTTCGCTGAACACCTGCGAGGGCGAGCAGCTACTGGGAAGGATTTTCGAAGATTGCCTGCACTTTGTCGACGCCACAGATCGTGCTCCACCTCCGTTGCGCATCGAAAGACGGAAGACTTCACTGGCAGAACACGACTGCAGCGCTGCAAGCATTCACGCAACACCTCCGCTACTCGTCACCCCACTTTACAGGTGAAGGGAGGAACGAGCAGCCTCGTCAGCGCCGCGCAAGCGCTCGCAGTGAACACGGGCCCACTCACCGCGGTGTACGTATACCGGCCGAGACCAAGGTACCATAGCGGCCCGCAGTGAGCCCAGCGCTGTCGGGTCTCGCCGCCGTTGCCTTGGCTGTCTACTCGACGACCCAGGCAACGTCGACGATGGCGACCCGCCTATCACTCCGCCGCGCAGCTGACCCCCTATCGAGATCGGCACAGCGCCCACAGCCCCTTCTTGGAAAGAGGAGGACCGTGAACGTCTGCCTGGAGGAGGCCCATCCAACGTCGTGATAGCCAGTTGAGCTCGTGTCCGGCACCCGGCAGTAAGCAGGCGAAGATCGTCTCTGAGAGAGACGGGGGTTTCCAAATATTAGCCGTATCGTGTCGACGAAGCGCAGGGGTCGCTCTGACACTTCCTTTCGCTGGCCATCTGGACGACAGCCAGCTACTAGGACATACCTCGAGTGACCTTGCACTTCATCGATGCCACACATCATGTACCCCCTCCACCGCGCGTTCATAGACGGGTAGCATCATTGGAAGTACACCACTGTAGCTGCGAGCGCCCGCTTAGCACCTCCACCATCTATCACCCCCACTTCACAGTTGAAGGAGGACGATAGGTAGCTTCAACGGCACCGCACGAGCACCCGCGACACAAGCCCTGCCCGCTGTGGCGTTCGCAGACCATAAAGGCGCGTGGCAACACACAGAGGGCCCGTGACGCTGTCGGGTCTCGCCACCACTGGATACACTGTCTATCCGACAGCTTAGGCAGTGGCAGCTGTGGCGACCCATCCATCACTTACGCCGCGCAGCTGGCCCCCATTCAACAGCAGAGCACCCCAGACCCATTCCCGAGATGGCAACGGCCGTGAGCGTCTGCCTGGTGGGAGCACATCCGGCATCACCGTGACGGCCGGTTGAGCTTGTGTCCGACGACGATCTTGACGATAATGGTCTTTGGGGAGGAGGTGAGCGCAGTTATATACGCGGCCAGCGGGCGATGAATGTTATATTGTGACATGCCTGCCGTCACGCTCACACCAAGCTTTGACCTTGTCCTCATGTCAGGCTCTGCTGCGCGTTGGCAGCGCCACCGTTACTCTGGTCTCTGGGCTTTGAACGCGCCTATGCTTATCTGGTTCTGCGCTGACGTCCTTCACATGTCATCGCGGTCTGCAGGCGCTTACTGTTAGTAGTATCTGGCCAAAGCTAATGGCGAAAAGGGCTTGCCACTGCGCGAGCTCCAACTTACAGCGTGTCTGTACCTGCCGCCGGCATCAACACAAGCACAATAGCTCTCGCCTCGTGGCTCGCGAGGCTGTCGAGAGGCTTCGCTATCAGGAAGCTTTGACCTGCATGGCCATGTTCATAGACGCGGATTCGACGCCTCGTGGACTGCCTGTTTGTGACGCCGAATGGGCATATTGGTATTTCTCTAGCCGGAGCTGCGTCTATGTGCATACATCTTATGACCATGGGCGGTGATTCTCTGGTCTATGACGGGAATCATAAACATGCATCCTCCCCGTATAAATTTGCCCTCTGCTCAGCGAGAAGTACCATCCACCAGAACATCTGCCCTTCAGTGAACCAGTCTCATCCTACCCACCTCTATACTTCACAATGGGCCGCCACTACTCAGAGAAGCAGAAGAACGCGCGCAAGGAGAAGCATATCGAGTATGTGGTGTCAGAAGGGTGAGTTAGAATATTCCACTTTGCTGTTGTGATACTGACCCACGGACTCAGGCAACGCGGTCGCAATCCTGGAATTTCCAAGGCACTGAAGAGGGTGCGCGATATAGGCTACAAGAGCATCCTACCCGGGGAGCAGCGCCGTACGTCCTCTGATTCATATCCGTCTTTCTCCACGCTAACTTGTCACCCAGTCATCCCCGCGAGCTCTTCGAACTGGCTTTCGCCCGTCTACCCCGCGCCCTACCTCAACTTTACATGGCAAGTCGCCGGCATAGACAAGCTTCTGCGCAAGCTGCAGTGGTACATCAAGTCCAATCTGGGCCCCTACGGTCTCGCGGTACAGGAGTACCTCCAGGCCGGCTCCTCGAGCTTTCCTTCTCGCATCTACGCGGCTGGTCTCGTCTCCCTGGTCCTCTGCGACCCCGCCCTCGACGAAGAAGCTCGCGCGCAGGTCCACGCCTTCTTCAAGGTCTTGCATCCGCCGAGGCTCACCCGCGCTCATATCTCGCTCGCCGGAAAGTCGAAGAGGGAGCACGACCCCGCGATGTACCAGATGCTCGGTCGTGCGAAGGACTCGCTCACCCACCTCTCACTCGAGCTCTCCTTTGCCGACAAGCTGGCGTTGCAAGCGTACCTCAGCTCTGCCGCTGCCTCGCGTCTTGTGTCGCTGGAGCTTAAGACGAACTCGGACATACAGGAGCAGGTCTTGAATGCGCTGCAGGACGAGGACTCTGCGCGGCTGCCCAACCTGGAGCATCTCTGTTTGAAGATTAAAAAGGTTGATGTCGCGGCGCTCATGGTTGCGCTGGAGAGGCGTCGCGCACGCGGCTGCAATACTCCCCTCCGCGTCGAGATCAGGAACGACATTGACGACGCTGTGCGAGCGAAAGCGCGCGATATGGGGATCACCTTCGATAAGCCCTGCCCCATGCGTTGCGGGCTATAGAACATGAACTCCTTACTATCACTGTATGGCTCTTATGTACTGTATACTACTTGCCCTGATTTGTGGCTTAATGGCTTGGTCTGTAGCTTGGTTTTACATGTATCTCACGCGCATGTCTATGTATGCACTAGCCTCACTTACAATATGATCTCGTTCTGTCTCGTTGTCGGCCAAGGTATGACCTGCGTTGAGTTCAAATGCGGTCACTATCGCTCGTGGCAAGCCCACTTCAGTGGTTCTCAATGCTGAAGCGCACGCCGATTGACATCAGGATCATTACTCCTCCATCACCTAACGGTTGGTTCAATGTATGCGAATTGTCGTGCGTGATATACAAGCTTAGTAGATGTGTACAAATACAGGTGCTAGTGCAAGCCCATGCTAATAAACAACTTCAGACCTCCACACCTTCACTAGCGTCTACAACTTCGCGCCGAACTGCGATTCCGTGACGCCCTTGCCCATAGCCGCGGTCGACGAGATGCCGCCGGTGACGGTCTTGAGCAGGTTGTCGGCGTAGTCGGCGCCGGACCACTAAGAAAGATGTCAGTCGCCGATGATAGCAGACCGTACAGGATCGAACTAACCTTCTGGTGCGTGAGGACATCGGTGCCAATCTCGCGCTCCTTCCGCTGCACAAGCTCGACGTACGCCTTCATCCCCGTCTTCGCGTACTCGCGCGCGAAGAGGTCCGAGATGTACGCATTCGAATGCAGGCCACCGAGCGTGATGAACTGCCACACAAAGCCCAGCTTGCCCAGCTCCCACACGTACGACTGCATGTCGTCCTCGCCGAGCCCCGCCGCGTCCCAGTTGAACGACGGGCTGAGGTTGTACGCGAGCCAGTGACCCGGGTGCACCGCGTGCACGCCCGCGGCGAACTCCTTCGCCTGCGCCAGGATCGGCTTCTTCGTCTCCATCCACAGCAGGTCCGCGTACGGCGCGTACGCGACGGCGCGGTTGATCGCGCACTGCGTGCCGCCCTGGTAGCGGTAGAAGCCCTCGCGCGTCCGCGGCGCGTCCCAATCCCAGAACGGCACGGTCTTCAAGCCGAACTCCTTCTGCGCGACCGCGACGGCCTCGGGGTAGGACGCGTGCGCGACGCGCGCGAGGAACTTGTCGACGTTCGCGGCGGACGCGCCCTCGGCGGTCAAGGCATCCGCGAGCGTCTTGGAGAACAGCTGGAGGTTCGCCTGCGCGAGCCAGTTGTCCTCCGTCGCCTGCAGCTCCTCGCCGTTCTTGCCCTCGCGCTCGGCGGCGAGCATGACGTCGTTGAGCGCGCCGATCGAGGGGTTGGTGCTGCCGAGGATGAAGGCGTGGTCGCGGGCGTCGATGTTGGACGTGATGAGAGTGGCAGCCTCCGAGTCCGTACGCGCGATCGCGAGGTTCTCGACGCCGAGGATGTCGTACTGCAAGCGAATCGCGACGAGGCGGTTGATGTGCTCGGAGATGGGGACGAGGACCTTGCCAGCCATGTGTCCGCACTTCTTGGTCCCGGGGGCTTGGTCCTGGGATGGGGTCAGCAGGTGCGCGGGCGAGACTGAAAGGTAAGACATACCTCAATGTGGATGCCCGCTGCGCCCTTCTCAACGAAAAGTTTTGTCAGCTTCATGACGGCGGTGAGGCCTCCGTGGCCGGTGTCCGCATCGGCGACGATGGGGCGGAGGTAGTCGATGGAAGGGGTGCTGGTGAGCTCAGAGTCGCTTAGGTGGCTGCGCGCTTCCCGCTGCTTGCGATCGTGGAAGAGCTGCGCCTGGAAGAGGTGCTCAACCTTGTTGGGCACGGTGTTGTAAGGGTAGTCTGCGCGGACTTAGCACAGGATCCTTGATCGCCGAGGAGGAAGTACTGACCAGCAAGATCGGGGCCCGGCTCATTGGTGCTGGACGCCGTGCTTGATGATTGCCAGCCAGAGACGTAGACCGTCTCGAGGTACTTGGCCATCTGCGTGACCTGGACAGGATCGAGCCTGCATACCAATTAGCATGACTCGACCCAGAGCTAAGGCGGGAAGTACTCACGCGCCATAGGTATGCGATGGTGTCCCGCGCTTTGCATGCTCGCCGAGGATGCTCCAAAGCTTCTTGCCCTGCACATTCGAGGGGTACTGGATCGGCAGCGTGCCGCGCTTCGAGACGACATCCGCGGCGGTGTAGGGGCGCTTGACGCGCTCGAAGCGGGGGCTCTTGAGAGATAGATCAGTCGCGGTCCTGCGCGCCACCTCCTGACCAAACACACCTTCCACCACTGCTCGACCTCGGCGACCTCCTTCGCGAATGCGGCGCGCTCGTTAGACATGGTGAATGGGATTGGAGGAGGGTAGGGGTGTTCAGGGAATGCACGAATTCACGGAGGATGGGTTATATACGCGGGCTCTCAAGTGATTCAAGTGATCGGGGGCATGTGATATCGCCCAGGCCCGCCAGCGCCTCCCGTGCGGAGTAGATGCGGGGCAGCATTCTGATCCAATTTCCCCCGCCGGCTCCCCAGAAAGAGACGGTCTGCCGGCGACTCGGGGCGCTTATGGGTGAATAGGAGATCGCGAGGAAGCACAGGCGCGCACGCAGTCCATAGCACGTCGAGCAACGAGATACACAGATAGTACGACGACGAGCGCGCGGCCTGGCGCGGTGTCTGCCCCCGTCCGCCGCCGCTAACGCCGTCCCGGGCGCGGAGGAAGAGAGGCGCACGCAATGCGCGGAGGCCCGCCCTCGGGGGGTGGCTGCGCCCCGATCCCGGCCGAGGCGCCGATCGGTTCATAGTGGCCACGAGTCCTGCCGTCGTGCCGCCCCGTCCACCACCAAGGTCATCGTTCATCATCTCCTGTCCCCGTCGTAGACGAGCCCGGCGAGGACGTAGCGCACGACGAACGCGAACACGCTCCCGGCTACCTGTCGGGACGTCAGCGCCGAATCACGAGAAACAAGGAGAAGTATGAGTCACTGACCTGGACGGTCATTAGGACTTTCACGAGGGTGTCTTCGCGCAGGGGGCCGAGATGCACGAGGAAGAAGTTGAGGATGGTGAGGTTGGTCGTATGGGTGATGGCGCCAGTCTTCTCGTCGACTGCGAGCCGAGTCAGGCGCAGTGCGGCGAGCAAGCGGAGAGTCGCATTCGTGAGCGGCTTTACGGGCTGCTTGATCTCGACACGCGAGGGGTAGAGTATGTTCTCTTCAGCACGATATCTATCACCTAGTCAGCAACCATCGAAATTGGGCACGCGCACTACCCACTCTGGCACCCGATGTCGAGGGCAGGGCACGATGCCGAACAACTGAGGACATGACAGTACGAAGTTGAAGATCTGGGGGATGAAGAAGAGCAGAAGCGTCTTCGAGAAGTGCGCCTGTATGCCCACAACAGCGAACGTCATGCCCGTCACGTAGCATAGCGTATCGCCAGGAAACACACGCGCCGGGTACCTGCGAGAGGTGTCAGTATCGGAGCGCTCAAATGTCCACTCGAGCCCCCTAGAAACTCACCAATTATGATACACAAACCCCAAGCAGACCGCCACGAGCGGCAGCATGAAGTACAAACTGAACAAATGCCTCTCGACAAGTTCCCTGCTCCCATACGCCATCCCCGCACTCCACACGCCGCCGACGCCGACCTCGCGGTTACTTCCCAGCAGGTGGAGGGGGATGCGGAAGTTCAGCGGCCAGGGGAGGTACAGGAGGTCGTTGAGGATGACGGAGAGAGCGATGATGAGCGCCTGGGAGACCTCGGAGCCGTTGATGCCGGCGAGGATGTTGATGCTGTTGGTGGCGAAGGTGGAGAGGAGGGACATGTAGAGGTAGTAAAGAGGACCTGGGGACGGGCGGGTGAGTGAGCTCGAGGCAAGCCAAAGTGAAGAGACGACGTGAGAGGGACAGGTAATGTCAAGTGACGAGAAGTAGGGCGAATGGCAACGAATATGATAAAAGCACATACCTAGATTGACTAGCGTTCCTAGTAGCCCACGAAGAGGCAGAGGAACCACGATTTGCGTGTTCCCTCGCTCGGCATAGTACACAGTAAGGAGGGGTATAGATGCGATGATGGGTATCGGGATCTTGTGCCGCCACCGGATGTCGAAGAGGTCGTCGAGGAAGCCGAGCATGGTGGCTATCAGGATGGACAGCAGGGAGGAGAGATAAAGGGAGAGCTGGTATTAGGGTCAGCTAGTTAATTCGCAGACTCGGTGAAGGAAGTATATAGGTCCAGCGAGGATATCATTTGTATGAGCCTCACCTGATATAGAGGGAGCTCTGTGATACTGATACCCTCGCGAATCTTCTTGGGGAAGCTTCGCATACTTGAGGAGAACGCGAACGGAATGAAGAGCACCATCGTCGATATATACACCGCCGCGCACACCAGGCCCAAGCTCTCTGGTCTAAAGTCGTCCTGTCAGCACCATGTCCCAATCCCAACCACATCCCCACCACGCCAAGCAAGACCCACTCACATCGGATCCCCATACACCTTCAGCAGGTCCCTCCCATACAGCTTCACCTTGCTATCCCTAAACACCGGCGCGAGCGCAGGGACCAAGTACAGCGTCGATACAAACGCGATGATGGAGAAGCCCAAGCATGTGTAAAGCGCCGGGATCGCGGGCACGGGCTCGAGGAAGGGGCGCGCGATGAGCCAGACGGCGATGGGAAGGAGGGACAGGAGGGGGAGAGTGGGTAAGGGGCGGGGTTTTATTGCGGGTGACGGTCGGGCATTGGTGGACGGGGAGGAGGGCACCATGGCGGAGGGAAGGTGACCGGCAGGCAAGCGCGCTGCGGCGCGTCAAGACGCGTTCGACACGATCGGCGTGACGTGTCAAGGTGCCCGCACGTGATAACTTCATTTTGGACCCACAACTCACTGTAGGTCTCTCCCGCCCTTATTTGACCCCATCAATTTGTACGGTGCTCTTGGACAGCGACCGTAAAGTCACGCGCGCCACACGCGTGCAACGAGAGTCCATTGCGCAAGCTCAGCGCACGATCTCAGGTGCTAGGCAAGGTTAGAAGTGGAGCTTCCTCTAGTGAGATATCGCGCCTTTGCGGGAGTTGGACGGTGGAGATAGAGGCGGAAAAAAAAGGAAGAAGAAGGAGCTGCGGTAGAGGATAATCAGGCAAAGGATGGGCAAATCGTAGATGATGAGGCGATGATAGAGCGACGGTAGGAGGCGACGAGACGCAGGAAGGAGGGGATGATGCTAATGACCAGCAAGAGGCAGCAGCGGAGGCTACGGGAGCTGCGCAAAACACGATATTATGCTGATTTGGGTACCCATGGACTGCATGCGCTCAACACAAACAGTCTCTGAACGATAAGGTACAAAGTGTTTGCAGCTACAGTATGATGCGCAACAAAGCAACACATAGGTTAATCGACCAAGAGCCAAGGAACCGCCATTCCGCCCTCGATGTTGCAGCTGCGAAAAAAGAAGTTCAGGAAGATATTTGTATCGAAGGTGCGGAGGCGTACCGCGCAGAAACATAGCTATCGCGGAGTCCATCATTAGCCAGTGCGTCGAGCCCGTAAATCTGCGAGCATGTCAGCGATGGTGGTAGATATCGAGGACTCGCCTTGCAAAGGACTAGAGAAGGGTTCGGGATTGGCAACAACTAAACGCTCCAACGACGCCCGGCCCTGAGTCCGAACGCCGCCTTCACTCTCCGCACGCCAACCTCAGCTTGCAGGCCAACGTGCATCGGGAGCGACGAATAAAGCCGGGCGGCTACCGCACTGGAATGGGAGTCGAGACTGCTTTCCGCCCCTTCCAGCAATCACGACCCCCATCCCGACACGACATGTCCACCGACCCGCATCCCCGCTTACCACGAATCCGCCTTGGGAGCGCCCCCGAGGGACGCCCTTAGGCGGGAAGCTCTGTCGCCAGTCCGCGGTCTGTGAGAAAGAGAGCCGCCGGATTATATACCCATCGCGGAAGTAAAGCCTGGTGGCGGTGCGGGATAGATGTTTGTTGACGAGAATCTCGCGTGTGTCTGTGATTGTTGATGCGCCTACACATGTCACATGATCTTCCGCATGTTGCCGGTGGCGTCGTCGCTCTTTGCCTGGTGCTTTCCTCACCATCTCGAGCTAGACCAGTGTGCTTGACCATGATCAAAGGTCATTACATTACTTTGCCTTGCAAGGTCTCTTACGCCCTCAATTAACCCCATCATCTCGTACGGTTACAGTGCTCTTGGACAATAGCCGTAAAGTTACGCGTGCCACACGCGCAACGAAAGTCCTGTGTGCGAGCCCGGCCCACGATCTCATATGCAAGGCAAGCTAGCCGGCGGAGCCGGAGCTTCCTCTAGTCCATTGAAGCAATGGAAACGGAGGCTCAAGGCGCCAAACTCGTGGTGGCTCAAGTCAGGACTGTCTGTACTGTACAAAAAAGAATTACGATAGCGACTGGTATATTAGTGTCCCACAATAAGGCTCGTATATACTGAGAGTCCGGATGGTATCGAACGCTACTTCACAGCAAAAAGATCGTGATTAGTCGTAGATCGGAAGAGGGAGAAGCCTTGGGGACATGATCAACTTCTGACCAGCTCTCATAGGCTGATGAGGCTTACCTGTCGGCATTGAACAAGAAGTTGTTGGCCGCATCTTCCGCCTCGAGGAACCGGGTCGGGTAAAACACTGCAGCGCATGAGCAACATACCCTTCCAAGCTCTCCGCACCACTCACCAAGATGCCCATTCAGCTCCCCAAGCAACCTCTCCATCTCATCCCTCTCCCACTTCTCGAACGGCTCCGCACCCCTCGTCGGCCGCCTCGGCCGCCCACCCTCCTTCCCCTCCTTGCTCGGCGCCCCATTACCATTACCATCCCCGAACGTCGACACGTGCGGCGAGCTCATGCCCGCGGTCGTCGCGTCGTCCGCCACGCCGCTCTCGTCGACCGTCGGGTCCGCGATATCGCCCTCCTTGTTCGGCGCGCCCTCGTCGGCGGTTTCGGACGGCGCGCGCCCGACAGGGTTGGGATCGGGCGACTCGCTGTCGCGCACGGGCTTGTTCATGCGCTCGTGGTGCACGACAAAGTCCTTGTATTGCTTCCAGGTTGTCACCATGTCGTCAGGGATCGCGTGGAAGACTTTGCGGAAAATTTCGGTCTGGATGAGATTAAGAATCATCTCCTACACTGAGGACGCCATATTAGCACTCACGTTATGCGCCGCACTCGCCAACCAGACGCCCTTCCAGAACTCGTCGCACACTGGGTCCTCGAAGCCCTCGGGATCGACCTTCGGCCGTGGCGTTGGCAGCGTCCACGTCTTCGAGCCCATATTCTTCGCCGCCATGTGCCGCCGGATCGTGTCGCGCGCAGCGGGAGCAGCCTTCTCGTCCGCGTCCGCGTCATTGACGCCCGGACGAGTAGCCGGCGGCCCGTCGTCCGCACGCGATGCATCTGCAGGCGCGCCAAACAGCGTATCATCCTCCGCCCTGAGATCAGCGTTGTTGGCAGTGTTGCCATTGACCTTGGGCGTCTCGCCACCGTTGGCCTTGGTCGCGTCGCCCTTCGCCTGCCCATTCGCTTTGGGTGAATCGCCCCTCGGTGTAGTGCCTCCATTCTGCATGGGCGTCGTCTGACCACCGTCCTGCATCGGCGTTGCTTGCCCACTGCCCTCCCCGTCGTGGTTCGCGCGCAACTTCCCATCTTCCTCACTCCCCTTTTCACCCTCCAGATCCGCATTCGCCTCCGACAAACGCCCCATCACCACCTTCTCCTCCTGCGTTGGCACCACTGAACTCGTGAAGCCGGGCACCTTCTCCCCGTCGCGGGTGTAGGTCGTCCGCTCCTCCGTCATCGCCGCATCGTCCGCGTTCACCGCCTTGGTCATGCCCATCTTGCGCGCCGCCTTACGCGCGGTGTGCGCGGTTGCTTCCGCGGTGCCGTTGTACACTGAGAGGATAGATTAGTAGATGACCACTTACCGTAAATCAACGTGATACTCACGATGCTGCACCCCATCCATCGTCGTGTGTGCCAGATTCGTCCCCGGTGTCCGCTGTGTTGGCTTCGTCACCTTGTCCGCACCGAAGTCCTGCTCGTCCTCCGGGTCCCACGCATCCTGCTCGTAGCTCTTCTGCACAGGCTCGTGCGTCATCAGGTCGTCCTCCTCCATCGTATCGACGTCGACGCCAACGTGCTCGCGCATGAGGCGGACGCGCAGCGTGTGCGCGAAGCGGCCGACCTTGAAGGGCTTGCCGGCCATGGTGCTAGTAATGTGAAGTTAGGCGGATGTTGGGATAACGGCAAGAGAGAACATACCCATCCATGAGGTCCGTGTCGCGAATGACAGCAGCGATCTCAGAGTCCCGATCACCACGTTGAGAGCGCTCGTTGATGTTGGCGCTTCCGATGATAGCCAGACGATCATCGACGATGCAGACCTTGCCGTGGATGTAGACTTGCTCGGTGGTCAAGACGCCGCCCTTGAGCTTGCCCCAGTTGCGGAGGGAGAAGACGGTGATGTAGTCGTCGGGCTACGGAGCACTGTCAGCAACGTCGAGATAGCACGTGTTTGGGGGGTGAACGCACGTCAATGCCCTCCTTCCTCAACCGAGCGAAGATGGAGTTCGGGCCTCGGGCGATGGTGCGGTTCTGGCACTCAAGAATGATGCGGATCTGCATGGCATCGTTAGTACCTTCGCTGAGTACTGGGAGAAGCACGTACGGCACTGCCATCGCTGTGGTCCACAGGGAAGGTAAAGCCAGGGATGAGCGGTATCATGATACAACACTTCCATGGCGTGCCCTCGCGGTGCGCGCGGATGATGCGGTGAACGAGAGCGTCGCCAATACGGTTCTCGATCTTCACATCGCCGACAGTGGTCCTACAGCAATGTCAGCAAACTGCCACCGGGATCGAGCCTTTACCACTCACGAAGTGATGAAGAACTGGTTCTCGATGTAGACGAAGTGCTCAGACAGCTGGATGGCTGGAACTCCTGTGAGCATACGCTGTGGGCAACATTGCTTTCGCGCTGACCTTTCAGGTACGCATTCTGGATGGAATGCTCGACCTTGTTAGGGGTGCCCATAGACCAAGGCCCCGCAGACCGACAGATCTGCATCTCGCAAGTTCCCGTCAACCCCATCTCCGTCAGCTCCCCAGGCTTGAACTCCGGCGGCGGCAAAAGGAACGGCATGACCCGAGAATGGTTCTTAATCCTCAGCAAAAAGTTCCACCTCTGCACAAAGTGCCTCGCCAGATCCCTCGCCGGCTGGCCCACAATCTGCATCGCCACGTCGTGCCACGGCATCCGCGGGGTCTTCGTGCGGTCGTACATGTCTTCCTCGGGCTTGTTGAGCGTGTGGAAGTCGAGCACGCGCGGATTGCTGTAGTCCTTGCCGGGCCAGATCGTCGAGCCGTCGGGGTCCATGCTGGGGTCGTCGATGATGACGTGCTGGGGCGTGTCCCAGCGACCGAAGCAGAGGTCAAGCCCGCCCATGAAGGCGATGGCGCGGTCGATGACGCAGAGCTTCTCGTGCTGGAGGAGGATGCGTGAGCAACGGCGATAGCGACCTTTCAGGATGCACGCACATGAGCCCAGTAGAAGGTACCGGTCTGGAAATGCGACGGCGAGCGCTGCACTAAGATGTTGGGGTGAAGAGAGGTAAGGCGCTGCTTCGCGTAGCTGTTGTGCTTGTTAGTATCGTCAACAACACAACGAGAATGTTTAGGCGCACTTGCTGTCCGTCGGCGTCGTTCGGTTGGACACTTCTTGGCTAGAACAGGGTAAGCAGACGGCCTTCATGAAAAAAGTATCACGCACTAGACTATCACGTAGATCTTGACGCCCTCCCGCGCCTTCCTTTGCAGGAGATGGTCCAGACGGTACCTATCCTTGTGGGGTCTTCGCATCTGGAGTTCTGTGTCACAATTAGTAGATGTCTCGAGAACAACGACAATGTCATACCCGGGGAGATCCACCAATCGTGAATGTAGATCGTCTCCCTTGCCATGAGGATAGCCCGCGAGAGGTTCCAGAAGTAGTCGCGCTGTAAACACAGGTCAGCAACTTCGCAAGGACATCGACAGCGGACTCACACCATCCACGAGCCACTGCGCGGCCACGTTTAGTCGGATTGGCGCGAAGCTGTCGAAGCGATTGCCACCCGTGTAATGCGACGTCGCCGCGACCTTCTCCAATGCCGTGATCCACTGCAGCATTTGGCGCTGCAGAAGTCATTAACCCACTTCCCCCTTAATCCACAACTACAACACTAACCTCATTTCTCGCCGACAACTTCAACCTCATCTGCGAATTCGTCACATAGAACGTATGCTTCGACACCTCGCCCTCTTTCTTCTTCTTCCTCTCATTCTGCGCGTCCCACTTGATCTTGTTATCCTCCGTGAACCCCTCGTGCTCATCGTCTGGCCCCGCCGTCAGCGGATTCGTGTTCGTCGACGGGTCGAGCAGCTGCTCCCGATCGCCTGAACCAACGGAGGAGTCCGAGCTCGACGACGAGCGCGAGGTGACGTTCGACGGACGCCCGTCACCCTCGATGAGGTTCGGATGGCTCTTGGTGCGCGGGTGGAGTGGGTGGAAGACTTTGGAGAGGCGGGAGCGGATGGAGGCGGCGCCGGCGACGGAGGATGCCTTCGGGTGGTTGCCCTCGTTTGCGGTCTCGGGGTGGAGGAGGTTGAAGCCTTGGCGGTAGTAACGCTTAGGTCGCTCGATGACGAAGTCGCTGTCAAGCAGGAAGACATCCCATACTTTGAGCTGAGGAAATTATCAGTAGACGTACCAGCAATCGATGCCTAGACCTCACCTCTCCAGGCTCTTCCAGCGCGACGAGGTAGCTCTCGCGCACAGCGCACCAGCGCGTCTGTCTTTTCTCGCGCAGACTAGCACCCTTGCGGCCGAACCCTCCCCTCGAGCTCGAAGATTCGATCTGCAGATAACCTGCCTTGTACTGCGCACCACCAGATTGCGCAAGTGCGATCGACAGCGCGCTAATTTCCAGGAAGCCGGCCAACCGGTTCGTCTCGGGATGGAACATCTACGGCAACTCATCAACAAGAAACCTTGCTCGATAGAAGCGTCACTTACCACCGCACGGATGAGTTCGACGAGATAACTCTCGAGCGCTTCCCGCTGCAGCCGAGCAAAGTCCGCCTGCGAGATGTCATTCCCCTCCTTGCGCAGGAACTTGAAGTAGGGCAGGCTGGTGCGAGGGAACTCGGGCAAGTTCTGGATGTCCCGATTGTAGATGTGCGAGAGCTGGTAGCTACCGTGGAGAGAAATGAAGTCGCGGAGTTGACGATAGACGACCCATCGCGCGGCGCCGTTTGCGTACTCGCACTCGATCCGGAACACGCTTTTGTGGCCATGGAGGGGATGTATGCTGTCGCTGACTCGAATGCGAAGCCGGTGGAATAGAATGGGTATGCGACGTTGTCCCTTGTCATTACGTTCGAACCACAGTGCCAGCATGAGGGCCGACAGGCCGCCGGTCATGAGCTCGTCCGTGATGTTGACCGTTTGCGGTGCGACAGCGATCTGTCCAGAAGCGGGCTGCGCTTTATCGACGACGTGGGGAATGAGCGAGCGCAAGCGCTTCCATTTGGCGTGCCCTGCCCGGCTAGTGCGTGGACTAGAGTCTGGGACCGAGCTAACGCGACGGAGATGAGAGGGGACTCGAGGGGCGGTGACTGGGGTGGGAGGGGCGCCGGTGGAGGGACCTTCGTGCCCATCGGTGGTATTGGGCCCTTGAGATGGGGTATCCGCGCCACTGAACTCGAAGCCTTGCTTCTCATCCCGCGGAGACTCTTGGAACCATCGCATGGGGTTCCACGGCTCGTCAATGATCTTGCTGTCGCGTTTCTTGCCCTTCTTGTCGTCCTTCCACCTGCTCTCGAGCGCGCTACGAAAGTCGGAAGTATTGAATGGGAAAGCCTCGCCATGCTCGGTCGTCATCATGAAGTCGCCGTTCTCGTGCTTGCTGTTGGACCGGGACGCGGCGGGCGTCTGCCCCGGCGAGTATGCGAAGGACAGCGATCGTGGAGGACCTGTTCGTGTGCTCGGAGTGGAGACCGACACGTTTCTGAGATGGCTGCGAGCCTTGTGCTGACCGCCGAGCGAGGCGGTCGAGGATGGGTAGTCGTCGGACGGCTTGCGGGATGTCGTGGGACGGCTCTGAGATCGCCGCTCAAGTCGCTGTGAATCCAGTGACGGATGATGCTCTGTGTGGTCGGGTGACTGGGCATTATCCTGCCCCGCCGACGCCGCCGCGTGCACGACGGTTGCGAGCGACATTGGAGAAGTTTGTGAAGGAGCGTGGGCTGGTGGGTATATATGCACAGACGCCCTGGACGAGGAGGAGAAGGAGCACCGTCGCTGACTTCACCGCTCGCGGGCTGGATGAAATGGTTGACGTTTGGCGGCGCCCTCCATCCTGACGCGATGACGGTCGACCGCCGGTCCGGACATCCGATCGGCCATCAAATCTTCACGTGCCGGTGCCTGAAGTTCAACTTGAACTTGGAGTAGGGCGCCATCTCATGTGGACGGCGAGGAGACACGCATCGGCTACTGCGGCCCAAGAGAAAAGTCGTGGAAAAAACGAGCGATATATTTTGTCAAATCCAGGCAAGCTTGTAGAGTATCTTCCTCCCAGAAATCCCGGGTCCCCGACTCAACAATGGGCTGCCAGTCTGCAATGCGATACCCTTTCGCCTCCTGCGCGACGGCAACCTTTTCCAACCACGACACATGAGAACACACGACACATGACTGGTTCAATTCTTAACCTGGATTTGGGCGTATGGCCGCAACTCACCGCCGATTGCTAGGGGCCGGTAAGGTGCAGCGCGTCTTTCCGAATGGTAAAATAATGTATGGCTATCACCTCGATGAGAAAGTATCAAACGGACTCGGGCATGGCAGGTGTTTGCATTCTCTTGATCGTCCTTCTCGACCAATCTCGTGCCCATCTGAGAGCCAAACAACAACTTTGCAAAGAATATCCAGCGACAAGTTACAGGAGGTGTTGCCCAGAGAGCTTGCCATAACTAAGCCATATTTTCTATGATGGGCCGCCATTCCGCGACATGATACCCTCCTTCTACCACCGAGGCAGCATGCTGCTCCAGAAATGATACAGAGGAGCTCACAACCTTGAGGTCTATGGTTCCGCTGCGCCCCGGGCCTCTCATGCAGGCCATCACGACTACGCTGTCTTCTGGGAATGACGGGGCGTTGGTGCTGTAAGCAACCGTGTACTGTGTCGGTAGTTTGCTCAAGAATACGGTGACCACGTATATGCGCGATACCCGGGATCGTGGAAGACGGCTCTGCACACGCCTCAAGCTATGACAGATGGTAGGCGAGTGCGCAAGGGTATACCAGCGTGTCCACATAGCGACGAAGTGCGCATCCCATGGCTTAAGATTCCCTGAGTAATACAGGCCATCAGTGCGTTGACGCGTACGCGGGGAGTATTCGTACCCTGCGTGAAGCCTAGGTGACATGTCCCTTCCGCTCCCTTGCCGCAGTCTTTCTTGTGCGACGCCCGATGAGCTCGTTGGCAATCTTCCGAGCAATATGAAGCATTGAAGCAAGGACAGCGTCGTATATGTACTGATCCATGCGAGGTACGAGACGGGCACTGGGGGAAGAGTTCAAGGATGCTCCAATGATTGGTTGAGGCACTTACCTCTACATTATCGCAGATGTCCCGATACGCATCATTCATGAGCTTCACTCGGCATTCCAGCCAGGCGTCAGAACTCGTGAATGGATTGTCTCCAGGTCTCGATGGGAAGATCGCTGGTATCTGACCATCAAGAGATAGTGCACGCAGGACGCGGACATGGTACGCATTTCCCAAAATCGCTTCCAGGATCGTCGCTTTCTGGCCCGTCTCAGGCATCCCAAGCGCCAGAGGAAGAAATCCTGCTCGCAAGGCCCATACAATAGGTCTTTCATCGCGCGCGCTAACCCAGATTGTCGCTACGATCAAAGCCACCCCTGTGGTCCAGTATGCACCATCGTCCCGGCTAGCGATCGTGCGCAAAATAGACACCAAGTCGCAGATGATATCGTGCGCAGGCTTCAATAGCGGGATGACCTCCATCGCAAGCCTAGTGAGCGCCAGTATTTGGATAGAAGCTGCCGTCGGTACAGATTCGGGAGCCTCTGCTAAAGCGAGGCGGATCTGAACCAGAGCTTTGCGATAGAGGCGCCGCGGATGGTATCGGACAGCGGAGAGTGCCGCAGGGGCGCATACCGGGCTGATATACGGGGGAGATACCTGGCAGATACTCTCTTGTTCGGATCGAGTACCGCCCTCAGCCTCCCAGCGACGATCCTTTCCGGCAACGAACATGGCTTCGGTAACCGCGTCCCCCAACATATGAAGGCAGTAGAGGACATCAGTGCTCTCACCGACATGGTAGGTGTCGAAGTGTAGCCAGAGATCGAATAGGAGATCACAAAGATTCTGGGACTCCGCACGCTTCTTTTGTGCTGCACTGTCTTCAAGGGCATAGATAGACCCGAAGACGCTGCAGAGATCGGTTAGAGGGATCATTGATGGACGCGCGTTGCGGATGCGATGCTTTGGGTGCAGAAAGTCCAGCCATGGCACCAGCGTTGGCCATACAAGTTGTATGCATTTATCGATGTCCTTCCCGATGCCCTCCACGTCCCTTTGTACCGTGAATATGGTGATCAAATGTCTGAGGTCTTCCGGCACGCCGGTGATGATGGGCGAATGAGGGATTTCGGAAGGATTCAGCGTGCTCGGGTCGCAGCGCAGGTACTTGAAAGCATCCAGGCTTCTCGCATATCTTCTACTGATATTGACGTCCTTGCGCGATTCGTCATCAAGCAGCATCGTATGGGAGTTGGATTGGGCGCTGTGGATGCGGCTGATGGACTGCAATTCGTTAATTGATGCGAACGCGAGTCGCACTTCAACAGAAATGTACCTAGACAGTATTTGGAGCGGTCAGGTGAGCGCCTATGCGTATGGAGGGACGCGATGGCACCGTCGATGAGCGTGTAGAGAGACACAGCAATCCGCATCCGTCCGAAAGAGTGATACGCACCGGCGCTTGCCGTCATCACACGTGATCAGTTCAACTGTGCGCATCAGTCTGCGGTACTGATACTGCCCAACACTCGATCGTGTACAAAAAAAGTCATAGTAGCGACCAGTGGCACTAAGCAGCCAGCCTGATCCCGGCGCCTTTGCCGGCCTGACGTCCAAGTACGGCTCCTGCAGTCAAACCACTTCCTCCAGGATAATTGTGGTAAAAGAGGCCGCCCACGACCTCTCCAGTTGCAAACAATCCAGGTATAGGGGCGCTTCTCGCATCGGACAGAACGCCGCTCGTGTCGCAGTCGATGGCCAGGCCGCCGAACGTGAACGTGATACCACAAGTGACAGCAACGGAGACGAACGGCGGCTCCTCCAAAGCTGTTGCCCAGTTGGTTTTTGCTACACTGAGCGACTTCTGCGAAGACTGGGTCGACAGGCCGTCCTTGACAGCAATATCAAGCCTGCGATCTGGATGCTCCGTCAGGTGCAAGCGAACTGCCTCATTGAACTCCTTCACGGTCTCCACAAACCGCCGCTTGTCCTTCAGTCCCTCCGCTTCCAATCTATCGGCCAGATCCTCGATGCTATTCGCCGTCATCTTGCGTACGACGCCGTCGCCGTATTCTTCTTCCCGGAGCTTGGGTACCATCCGCCCATCGAAGACTTGAAAGGCCACGCCCCCGGGCTGCTCCAAAATCGCGCGGCCAAACTTCGCGTACCTAGAATATTGTTCAGTGAATGGCCGTCAAGCGACAGTCTCCATGACAGGGAAGACGGGCGGCGCGCACTAACGTGTAGTTCCTGAAGTCCTCTCCTTCGTCTACGAAGCGCTCGCCGAGAACATTGACCATAATACCGAGCGGATATCCCGACTTCGTATATGCATTCGTCATCTCCAGGTCACCTGCTTCCAGGCGCGCGTTGGCGTCCCAAGTGGTACTGTGGCACCCAGCAAAGTCGCCTGTCAGACGCGCACCCACGGCCTCCGCCAGCGCCAGGCCGTCTCCCGTGTTATGCGGCGTCCCTCGGATCTTTGGATGAGCAAGGCGCGTGAGCTCAAGCATTGTCCGGTTCAAGGCGTTCTACATACCCGAGCATGGACCCAGCCCTCACCCAGGTGCTTCGCGCGCAGAACAGGGTTGGCCTCAAAGCCTCCGCAGGCCAGGACGACAGATAGGGTGGTAACGCGCACCTCTGAGCCGGTCCCCGAATCACGTAGAACGACGCCAACGATGCCACGCTCTCCGTCGGTGAGCAAAGAGACTGCGGCCGATTCGTACCGCAGCTCGATGCCTGCTTCCCGGAGCCTTTCATGGTGCGCGCGAATCAGTCCCTTCCCACCGTCCTCTACCGCAAGGGCCATCCCACCCCAGAATTTCTTCCTGCCGTGTACCTCGTATGCTTGGCGATGGAAGGACAAGACGAAGGGTACTTGGACCGAATCCGCTAAACACTGTATGGCGTCGCGGGAGCCTCTGACCACCGCTTCAACGAGCTTTGGGTCGGGCTGACCCTTCCCTAGTCGCATGATATCCTCGCGAAATTGCTCTGCAGAGTACGCCTCCAGATCGATTTGGGCCTTCATTTCGGGCGTCACATTGCGCACGAGCGGCGCCAGGTCCTCTAGACCTCCATGGACAGTACGCATCGCTCCAGCAGTGAACAGGCCATTCCCACCTGCCCACTCCTTGGGGCACTTGTCCGTCACAAGGACTGCGAGCGGGGATTAGTGCCAGCTCCCCAAGCTCCCTCGTTCTCGCTCGGACCTCCGACTTGCCTTTCTTACAACCGAACTGAACCGCGGAAAGCGCCGCACAGCAGCCTGCATGACCTGTACCCCGTCAGCGAGGGCGGCGCTCACAGACGGCGCGGGACTCACCAGACCCGATCACAACACAATCGAAGCGCAGATCCTCGCTACCTGGCTCCGCTCGTCAACTCTGCGCGCGCCCCGCACGGGCAATGGCGGAAATACGTACCTGACATGGGCTTCCTGCTTGGCACTCAGAGGCAAGAGACGAATCGATGAGTCCCAAACTTCGGTGTGCACGTGAACGCATCACAGTCACTGACGGATTTAGCGCCCCATTTCCCGGTAGGCGAGCTGGCTGTTCCCTAAACGGCCTTGCGGGCGTGGGCAGACAGCCTTTGCGCGAGCACGAGATGCGTGCCGCTGAATAGGCGGTCCGTAAATACGAGGAATTCGCGCCTGTACCATCAGTTCAACTAGTCGCGTGAGCTGCTATAGCGTGTCTTCGCATCACCGCAAAACAAGCAACTGAATGCATGCCTTTACGTGTAAGCATGCGGAGAGATATCGGCGGCCCGGCAACATGCGAATAGGGATTGACGCTCAGGAAGGTAGAGAGGCTCGGCCGCAGTAGGAAATTGCCGTCGTGGGAGATCGCACTTCGTGGTGAACCCCAACATTTGCACGATGCACCTGGACGAGCCAAAAAGGAAAGATAAAGTGGGACATAACAAACGTACGACGAGGAAGGTGCCACAATCAGGGATCGCACAGTTCGTTGTACGCCGCGGCTGATAGGTCGAGAGAAACGCATGCACGGCGAAGAGAAGATATCGCATACAGGGCATAGTATTGACCTATGGGATGTTCATACGAGTGACGGTCCCGGCGCCCGTATGGCCGTCGAACGCGAAGAAGTTGGCGATAGGTGCTTCGCGGGCCGCGAGACTTTTGAGGATATCTTGACCGAGCATGCCACCCACGACAGCGCATATGGGATTGAACTCGTGAGCAGCGGTAGTGGCCAACGCTCTGCCAGAATATGAATAGACGGGAAGATATAGAAAGAGCCACGCACTCGACAAGGTCTCGTGGTATGCGCGTCAGGACTTTCTTGTCAACTCCCGCGCCGGCGATGAAGTCGTTCGCCAGCTGCTCGAGAGAATCGACGTCTTTGACTTCGGCAGGAAGCCGACCGTTTCGGGCCTCGAATTCCCACATGGCTTCCCCGGAGCATCAGTCGTGGGTTCATGAGAAAAGGAGAAGCCTCCTGACCGAGAATTGTGAACAAGATGGCGGGGTTGACTTCCTTCGTTTGGCGCTTCGTCATTGTTGACCACTTGTGCTGGAGCGCTTCCTGAAGGGACGGGTACTCGACGGAGACCTTGACGCTGCGGGGAACGTCTTTGGTGCCAGTTCGGTCCCTGTGTGGGGGTTGAGTGGTGTTCTGTAGGTAAAGACAACGTACTTACGGAGAGATAAATTCGTGGCGCAGCAAGTCGCAGAAGATGTACCCAAGCAGGCCATAGCTGCCACCAGAGTAGAAGGGCTTCTTCAGCCGTCGGCATGCCTCATTGAGTCGGCTCTACCCGAGAAGGTTGTTTAGCATCAAATTCAGGACGCAAAAACGAGCAGGCATCGCATACCAGTTCAGCACGAGATGAGTCAGTTACACAGACGAGGTCCACCGTTTGGATGAGTGTGTCCAGGGCGGAACCGACAAGAACCGAACCGTCTGAGATGATCTCTACAGTGACCAGAGGATTGAGACTTTCCACTCTGCTTTTCGCGGCTTCCACTCTCTGCAAAGGCCATGTGAGCCGAAGATACCCCAATAAATATCCGCAACCATTGCCCGAAGACGAACACTGACCTTTTTGCCCACATCTTCGTCTCTGAAGAAGAAGCACGCGCCCAGGTCTTCTTCAGCCACGGCCGCCGGGTCGACAATTACAAGCTTGCCAATTCCAGCGAGAACAATGTTTTTGATAGCTTCCGCGGCCACCCCCTTGAGGTTTATGACCAGGATGCTGGCATTTCGCATGCTGCCAGCTGCGTGTTAGCATGCGTCTTCGAGAACGTATACACTCATGCGTCCACCAGCATTCAGTCTATCATTAAAACGTACCGCTGCTGCGCCTCAATACCCCAAAGTCTGTCAGAAGTTGGTTCAGTGTTCTAGCTTCAGCGCGAGAGGAGAGGGTCCCCACCGTATTTGTCTGTCGTATACGGCCGCTTCATCTAAGAGGGCACATTAGATGCTTCAACGCGGGTGTGGACCTAAGGTCTTCGTATTCCTCGCACCTTCAGTGATCTGTACGGGTACGGTCTTGCTGCCAGCGTCCATTTTGACTCCACAGCTTGGAGCGCTGTTTGAGTGCCGCATACCAGTAACATGGAAGTGCCCACGTACCCCAAAATGAAGTCAAAATTCTTCGATGAGGTTTCGTATGTTCCAAGACAGTTGCTGAAACAACACCCTCGCCAGTGCAAGACGCGCCAAAGTCAACCAAGTTGTGACTGGCGTCCTCGCGTCGCGTTCATTTGTCACAATGCGTCACATGCGTCACATGGACCCACAACTTCGTCTTGTACTCCCGCCGGTCCATTTAGAACGGATCAGGATCCTGCCTGAACGCTACACTTACATCCAGGATTCCGAGCCAGACTTGATTGCGATAGCAAAGCGATTTTGAACATTAACATCGACGGTAAAGGACAGAAGACGTTGCGACGTCCGAAGGTACAAGATACATAAGTACAGGAGAAACTACCAGCAGCCTTTGTATAATACAGCCATAATTCACCGGGGTATAGTGTCAACAAAGCGAGAGTAGTTGTGCAGATTTCGAACCAGAAAACGAAGTAACGCGATGCCTCCACAGGAGCCCGACGTAAATAAAGGAGCCCTACACGGTCCCGACCGTTGAAAACCCGAAAGCCAACGTGCATGAAGGTACGCAACGCAAGCGAGTCGCAGAAATTGCGAAGACTGCGATTGAATCGACCAGCTACTTCAACCCGTCTTCGACCGGGAGAAGATGAACGAGTTCAGCCAGCCGTTCACCCCATCATCATGCCGTCGCTGGAAGTACCGTCCCTATCGTCATCCAGCCTGAGGGAAGGACGTCAATGTCAGATAGAGCTAGCTTAACGCATGCGACATACAGATAATTGCGTTCGATCTCAGAAAGAATACTGAGGAAGTCCCCTGCATATGCTGTGAGTCGCACGCGAAGACACCAAGCGATAGCGACGACATACAGAGGAAGGCGTGCGCGCGCGCTGCCGACGCCGGCGCGGTCTCTGCCTTGCGGACCGCGTCCAGCAAGGTGGAGGCTACGAAGCGCACCTTATGGACGAGACTCGGGCCGTTAGTGGCAATCGACTGTATCGGAATGCTGCAGACAAGGTCAGTCGCACGCCAAAATAGTTATTGATTCGTGGCACACCTGTGCAGGATGTTGAGAAGGTCGCGCGCGACGGCCTCGCGCTCGTTAGCAAGGTGGTATTCGTCGATGCTTCCTTGCAGCGATGCGACAAGTTCGTCGCGGTACTGTTCAATTACGAAGCGGACCAGTTGCTGGGCAAAGTGTGCGTGAGAACGACGGCCGCGACGTGGGGAGAACAGCACTCACTTGCGTAACATAGAGATTAGCCTGCATCACCAAGAACGGGTTTAGCGCATTGGCCCGCGAAGCGTTGGGGTTGTCGAAGAAGTCCTTCACTTCCGCGAAGGTCGCCTGGCGGAAGCCTGCCCCTCCATAGTCCGCCGGCAGGGGCGAAGACGCGTGCGGCTGCTTCAGTCGCAGCGGCTCGGGGGCGTGGCTGAGAGCCGCGATAATCCTGCTGTGCAGAGACTGCACTTCCTCGAGACGAGCTGTCGCGAACTGCCCCTGCGGCGGTGACCGCTTGTCAACGCGGATGCGCACGAGGATTTCGCCCAAAAGAGCAAAAATCCGGGAAGTGTAGTTCAGCCCTGAGACGATGGCCGTCTTGCCCTGAGGCTGGGGTAAATAGGCGCTAGGCGTGATGCTGAATAGAGCGGGGAAAAATTGCGGAGGTGAGCGGGGAAAACCTCGGCGGGGGAAAAGACGCACTACTCGTCATCGAGCTCTTTCGGGAAGTGCACGGTGCAGTCCTCGTCCCGGAGGCAAATCGGCCGACCGAGGAGAATTGACATAGACTTGTCCGCTGCGCACAGTTAGACTCAGATCTGACTGGCCATCAAGTGATCGTATGCTTACCTCCGAAGAGTAGCCAGAAAATGCGCCGCCTTACTTCGCTTTCAATGGGGTCGAGGCCTTCGTACGAAGACTCTTCGTGAAGACGCAGGGTCACGGCAATGTGCGCGGATTCCCCAAATGCGGCGTGCTGCGTAGCGTCGTGGCCTTCGCAGAAGTGGTAGACGCAGTCGCTAAAGCCACCGTGAGTAGGAAACGCGACGAAGGTTGACTGCGGCGCACAAATAACGGATAACGACGTGCATCGACGTCGGCGGGTCATACGATGCGATCGTGATGTGGCGACTGGCCTCGTAGCAGGTCTGAAGACGGATGAGCAGTTAGATCGGGTAGGCAGAAGAAGTACCGACCTGAGCTAGCTTGCGTACTACCGGGCGTTCCATAGGCAGATATGAACGCGGTACTTGCACCAAAGTCGAAGCCACCGTCGACATGACAAGGGCGAAGAATAGGGGGTCGCGCTCCTCCCGCCGTGCATGCAGGTCAGCCATGAATGACGGCTTGTGCACGCAGGGCGTCAATGGGTAGACGAAGTCGAAGAACAGAGCGATGATGAGAGAAACCGTGTCTCGCGGCGCGATTTCCTCGAGTCTTCGCGGGCGGTAGAAAGCGTTCAGGGCGGGGATAGGTTGCATGGCGAGGGTCTGGTTCTGCTTATAGGACCAGTTGAACATGGGGTAGCCATTCATGAAGTCGCCGCCAGGGTAGATCGGCGACTCCTCTGTCTTCGGAGATGAGATGAGGCTGTTGGGGGAGCCCGTCTCGAACGATCGGGGGCCTCCGAACGAGCCGGGGGAGACGGAGGTGTTGAGCTGGGGGAAATGAGTGTGGTAGTTGTCCGCCGCGATAGGATAACGAGATGGGGGGATAGGGACCGAGGGGATAGCCATGGTAGGCGTCTCCATCGATGGGCTTCTGTTCGTCAAGGAAGGGGGGAGGAATCCTTGTGGCGAGGCAGAGGAGGGGGACGTGGAGTCATCCCCGGCCGCCTGCTCTGCTTGCTGGGCTGCCTTCGCCGCATTCGCCTCTTGGATCCGGCGCAGGTAACTGAACAGGGTGAGATCGGGAAGGGGTCGGGGGATGGGTGCACGCACAGGTTTGGCGGGCCGCGCTTCTTGGGCTGGTACTCATAGGTGCAGGGGATGCCTAGGGATATGCAGTGCTTGCACGACGTCTTCGCATCCTCAGGGTTTTCGCGCGCGCAGCGGACCTTGCGGGCTCTGCACGCATCGCAGCCTATTCATGACGGTGATTAGCGGAGAAGGTGGCGCGGGGGATGGGCCCGACGCACTCTGTGATTGACGCCTGTTCATGGAGTTCATTGGTCAGCCTGCGCTCTTTGCACGAACAGCAAGGGATTGACATGGATCGCGAGCGCACTCCGGGGCCGTACGGGGGACAATGGAGGTTTCGGGAAGAGCAGCAAGCCCATAATACAGGCCCGCCACCAAGGAGTACACGGAGGAACCTCGGGCGTCACATGGATAATACACACTTTCTAGCCTTTTTCTCGGTGGACACGTCTTTGCTATCGTCGGACGGCGGAGTGTTGGATTTCTTGACGCGAGCGACGGGCATCGCGGGGGTAGGTTAAAGGGAACGGGGAGAGGGGGTATACGCGTCGGCGGACACTTTTGGGAGGGATCAGGGCATCTCTACGCCGCCGGGCCCGTGCTTAAATACCGCACTGGCCTGTGGCCCCGTGCTACAAAGTTTGCAGATGTGCTCTCGCGCTTTTGGGTGAAATCCTCTTAGTCAAGATTCGTCCACAAGATCGCTCGAACCACCAGATCCCTCAAACCACCAGCTCGCATACAGCTCGCATACGCACAACTCGACAACCAGGTCACAAGCCTACCGAACCGTTCTCACAGCAACATAACCGGTTCAACTCCGACCCACTCCGTCCAGACCGTCCCTCTCCAGGCAACAGGCGCTCGAGATCGTATCACGCGCTGACGACGGGTCCGAGAACCATATGGAGATGCTTCTCGGTGTCTTTATACGCCGTGGCTACAGGGAGCCACGCGAGACAACGGTGTGCCTGACCGTGTCCTTCCCGCCGTTGCATCCACCGTTGAGAGCGAGCGCGACACCGAGGGCGATGCCGCCGAGGGCAGAAGGCGATGGAGCACAGTGTTTCACTGCATCTGGGGATAGCCTCGGAACGAGGAATGCTCAGGAGCATGACCTGTAGATCCGTTCAGCCTCGGGCAGCCGCAAGCACGTTCAGAACAACGCACGTGTTACGACGACGGCTGAGGCTCGCTCCGCAGAGGGCGAAGCATCTCCCTCGCCGTCTGCTCGTCCAGCTTCTGCTCCTTCACCTCGGACTCCACCATCTCCGCAATGAGCTCCCTGAGGAACTGGTGCTCGCGGTCATCCCAGTGCGACGCTCCCAGGATGATCTTGTCCCAGAAGTCGAACGCCAACACCGGATCGCGTGCACGCAACGCCGATAACACGAGCTGCTTGCCAGTCTGGTACGCAATCCTCTCCTGCTTCTTCAGCCGCACATTCGAGAGGAAATCCCAGGCGGCGCGCAGGTTTTTCCTAAGCTTGTTGCGCGCCTGCTTGATGACCAGCGGCAGAGGGGAGTCGAGGCCGTTGACGGGGTCCGCGTAGGCGAGAAGTACGCTGGTGACTGTCGCAGAGGTCAGGGGCTTGTGCCGTTGCTGGCTGAGCTCCTGGAGCTCCTTGACCATCGCGTCGACGATCTCTCGGTCCTTGTGCAACCGGGCCGCGTGCAGGATAGTACCCAGCATTGTCTCGTCAGGGTAGATACTTCGCGTGCGCATACGCTTGAGGATGCCGGCTGCCATCGAGGGGTGCTGCTCGGCCAGACCGCTGAGCGCGACGTTCACATCTGTCATGTCCAGTACCTCCTGCCGATCGACCAACTGCCGCAGCGCCCCAAATCCATCAACGAATCTCCCAACGACCATGTACGCCCGCGCAAGAGTGGTAAGCACATAGTGATGTGCCTCCGACAAGGGGGAGTGCGCTGCGATATACTCGTCGATTATGCGGTTGGTGAAATTCTCTAGGTCGGTGGCACGCTGGACCATGACGTTGTCGTTCAACAGCGCCTTGTTGCGCAGGATCGGGTCCTTGTAGCGGTAGTCGAGCACATGCTTGGCCCGGTTCGTCAAATCGTAGAAGAGGCTGACCATCTTCATCATCAACGCCCCATTGCCGACAACGACTTCCTTGTCCTCCCCGTCCGCATGGCGCTCCCACATCCTGCGCGCGGCCATAGCATAGCCCTTGTCCGCGGCGGTCGTTATGATCGCCACCCGGTGTGACCGTGGTAGGATCTGGTCCTCGTCCGCAAAGTCTTGTATGAGGGTGCGATGGAGATACGCCTGTGCGTTGTGCCTCTCCAACCGATTGAGCAAGAACACCGCCAACTCGGGAGGCGGCGGCGGGTAATGACAGGCATGCATGACCTCCGGCTCGCGCGACCAAGCGTAAACAAGTTGGACGGCTTCACCCAGGTTACGCGCAATGGCTGCCCGGTAGAAGTCCGTGATGTACTTGACAGGGATGGCCCCCAGGGGGTGCGCGCGACGGATCATGTAGCTGCAGGACCGCAAGGACAGGTCGTTCGGGTGCTCTAGCAAAGTTCGCAGAATCTCCATGCAGGCTGCGACGACGCTGTCCAAAGACGCCGCAGGTACGTTTCGGGATAGGATGTCGCGCGCGATGTAGACGGCCAGCAAGCGAAGGTTCCAATGGAGGGCGGTTGCGATCATTACGAGACGCATCTCCGTGAAGCTCTCGGTATCATGCAGTCGCCGGCGAACGTGGACGGGGATCATGTTGGCCTTCGAGAGCCGCAGCAGGATATCCTTCCCTGGCTCGTCGAGGCCCCACCTCAAGCATGAGGTAGCGACGACCATTGCAGCCTGTGCCAAAGGGGGGAGTGCGTATTGCGCGGTGGGAGGTTCGGGAGCGTGAGGAAGTTTGTTGAGCTGATAGCGAAAGACAGGTAACATATACAACCTCAACCGCCTGACGCGACTATTCGACGGTCCGACGGGGGAATGCCTGGTTAGCGTCGCTGCATAGTGGATAGCCATCCGAACCTGCGTCACGTCCGTGAAGAACTGCTCGTACGTCCGAAAGAATACGGCTATGCGCAGGAGTGTGGGTGAGGAAAATAAGAGTTTCTCGGGAGCGGAGATGAGGATGGACAGGACTGAGGCAGCTGTAGTCTTGAGTTGAACGCCGTGGTGAATGACGTCGTCTACAAGCAGGTTGGCGATGGTCTCGTTGCCGGTCAGCACCGCGCTGTGCGCCACCGAAAGCCAGGTCTCTTTGGGGAGCTTCGCAAGCTGTCTCTTGTTGCGCTCGCGGATCCACGGGTAGGCTTCACACTTCACAGGAGTGTCAGGGCGTTTGTACCCTGTTAGGAGCTTGTGTTGGGATTCTGAGGACGTCCATGATATGATGGGGAGTGTGCCGACGGAGATTGTGCCGGGATTATGGTTGAAGGCGCCCGTACGTCGCCCGAAGGGCGTTATTGGCTCGGAGTAGAGTATGCGATGAGTGGTGGAGAAGGACCGATATGCTTGAAGTGCGGAGGTGAGGGGGAGTCGTATGGCTCGGGATGGAACGCGACACAGAAACATAAGTCAGCTGAGCGACGTGAGCGACTGCAAATTTTGCGAAGACCTGGGACGCACCACATTGCGCGACTAACGCACACGCCCAGTATGTGCTCTGCCCTCCGCGACGAGCCTCCAGCGAATCTGAGCAGAAATTTGAAGGACGAGACGAGAACAACAGCGCGAACTTCGAAGACGCCCACGTGTTCTCGCGACCGGAACGGGAACTTCGACTCGGCCCGAAAGCCGAAGGTCAGAAAGTCGAACCGTGACCGCTTGCTTCCTACTCTCACTGCAACTGCCCGTCTTGTCTGCGTCGCCTTCAAGTCACTGCTGAAATATCTACTTTCTTGTGTACCTTTCCGCGATATATAAAACAAGGCAAGGGGCTCGGGCTGCACTGCTACTTCGTTGAATGCAAGTGCCCAGTGCGTAACTGTAACAAACTGGTCAACTCGAAATAACTCTCATCCTAATCCACTATATCTTGAGAGCCTCCGAAGGACGCGATCTCTTTATCCTGCCGGACTCGGTTGGCGCTTCAGTCGGACTTCGAGGGCAAGTTGTTTTGCATGGGTTCGTCTTAGCGTGGGCGAGCTTCTTTCATATCGCCAGGTCCGAACAGGTTCTCGCATGGCTACGATGTGGTACCATCAGGTGGAGAGGAGGAAGAAGAGACGGACAACTGCAGCAGCATGGGCATCTCATGTCGGCTGCCGGGTCTGGGCTTGTGCATGTCCGTTTTCCTCTCTTCTCGGTTCTCACGGCAGGCAATCCCTGCGTGGTCCATCTTCGACTAGGGTGCCGTAGAGCCTGGTCCTCACGGCGGGATGGACCTCTGTTCTACCAGCTACGGCACTCCGTAACCCTCCGCCTGGTCTTTTGGTTAGAAATTCACGCGATCTCGAAGCTGACTCTGGGGTCTTACGAGAGCGGTTCGTCCCCCACCTGCAGCTCGTCTTCGTGTCCGCTTGCTTTAAGACGCTCTTTCCCATGCTGAACGGCCCTCAGGAGCGCCGTAACGCCCTTCGGGTCGCCGTGCAAGCACTTTTGCCGCCCACAGCGATTGCTCCCGTTTGTCCCCTTGCACGGATAACAACTGTCTCTATACCATTGCCTCTCACGCAAGGCTGGTACTCATGCTCTCGCCGCGTGCCGTCCGCGCGGATGCACTCGCCACCAACATCGTTGCAGGGTGGGCAGTGATCTGTCATCAAGGACTGCGCGTCGCCTTGACTCGTCGTCCAGCTCGCTGCACCTATCTCCGGACTCGAACTCACAATGAATGGATCAACGGGCCTAGGGCTTCTGACTCTTGAGTCTATTGCCCACTGCCGATCTCATCACTCTGAAGCTTCCAGGCCGTACCTCCGCGAATAGACGCTACACAAGTGGCGGCCCGCGCAGAAGGCCTGCCAACGGCTCTCACGAACAGTCAAGCTCTCCGGGCTGGGCTGGCTATATGCTGCTCAGCCACTCCGCGAATACCTTCTTGTCGTCTGCGGAGCATGCTCTGTGTCACGGTGAGTGTATGGACTGGATCTTGGATAGCCAGCGAAATCAGGCTATGTATACTGACGACTTTGGCAGTTCCGTACATACGAAGTCGTCTATTGAAGGGCAATGTCCACTCATTCCAAAAGATCTCGACAGGTGCGAGCTTCGCGAAGTGTTATCCTCATTGCGATCCAGTTCAAAAGGACCCCACGCGCGCAGCGTCTCTTCTCCATGAAGTACGCGTGGATGCAAGCCGCTGAACCGCTCTTCTTCCCCTGGTCACCCCGCCCGCCTTGCACCGGACCGACTTTGACAGCTTCACGAACCGCCCCCTGCGACAGCTTCCCGAACGCCCTGATGTCCGAGCAGCATGATAGCCATGGAGCCTATATTGAAAGTGGGTTCCTAGAGTGTATTGTCAATTTACGGATGTGGAGCGCCGACCTGGCGACCGCGCCATGGGAGAGTGGCGACCAGGCAACATACGCAGGTGCAGTCAGCTTCCGCATTTTGCGTGAGGCACAGGTCATTATTATGAAGCAAGCTATGACAGTATTTGGCAGGCTCGCGCAGATAATGACCGTCTCCCTTGAAGTCTTACGCGCTGTGGCGAGTGGTTGGCCTGGAGGTGGCACACAATATCATTTGTGGCACGCCTTATCTGGCTTCAGCCTCGCTCTTGCTATCGACCTCGGTGTCCTCACGCTTTCAATGTCGCCTATCGCAAGCAAATGAGCCACAGTACCCGGGAGAACGGCGGAGAGCCTCACTTCTGAGCGCAACGTGCTCTGCTCTCGCGCAGAGTCGTGGTGTCGGACCGCCGCGGGCCGTCCCCACAAGTCGTGACTCACCGCTTTCTTCCGACCATCATCTCGCATGCTTCCTTCACACAGGTTTACCTTTCTCTCGTGCGGCGAATACAATACAGCGCAACAAGCTCAATCTTTTGTCTTTGACGCCAACCTCTCGGCTGCAGGACTCAGGTAGCTCTCTCCGAGCAGCCCGACGAGCCGTTCCCCAAGTCCCCAACGGTTGTGAGGTCCATGACGGTCTGTAAATGGCATAGCAACAGCCCGCCGTGCCAAGAGTGTGCTAGACTGCCAGCCGGAGGCCGCTCACAGGTCAGCTCACCGGCTCGCACGGGTCGAAGGAGCGCTCTAAAGTTGTAGGTCCCCGACCAAAAGACCACGAGAGGACGCTCCCGAATGGCGCAAACAATTCCCCCGCTGAAAGACCTTCGACGATGGACTCTCAGCTGGTCTCCACAAATCCTCCATGCAGCACGCGCTAGATGCTGGCCCAATCATGAGTCGGCGGCGAGGATATTCCGCCCCTTCGTGCGCAGGCGCGACGCCGTTCATCATATATAAGTACGACGCTCGCGACCGGCCTCGTCGCTCTTTTCCTTCCCTTCTTTCCGCTGGTCATTCGTTCACTCCCCCTTTCGCTCTTTCGCTGGTATGAAGTCCGTTTTCTCACTCCTCGCGCTCGCCCCAGTGGCGTTCGCCGCCTTCGGCGTCCAGACCTCCGGCTCGGACATGGTCGTCGACTCGGGCGACAAGCTTGTATTCACGGGTGCGTTGGTAACCTCGCGAGAGGGAGGCCTGTACACGGCTGCGTGGTCGATTGCTAAATTCCGGATAGAAAACGATATTCGTTTCACAGACTCAGACGTTGGCCGTATTTTGGCTGATGAACATCTGGATTCGAGGTGTTCCGTCCCATCGCTGGAAATCAGCTATTCGCACCGCATGCTGCACCGGTCCGACCAGTGATTCGGTCCAAATTTGGTTTTGGACGACGCCACGAACTTGGATTCACAACACGGACAAGCAGGCTGGCTGACACACCGCAAGCGATGCGTGAAAAGACAAGTCGCTTGTCCTTGACGACCATGAACCGACTGCCCTCACGCAGTTCCCGCGTCCACCCCTCCCCTCCCTCGCGAATCTCATGCCCGTGTCTCCCTTCCGCCTCCGCGACTGCTGCCTGCCTCCGCTCGAGGGGCTGAGCAAGACCGATAGCGGTTTCCGCTTGAGCGCCTTGCGACGCCATGTGTGCTCTGTCCCGTCCCCTGTTTGCGACTTGCGCGGCATGCCGCTCACAGGCTTCGAATGCGTCAGTGACGCCCTCAACGGCCCGATGTGCAACTCGCCACTAACGATGTACATTGCAGCACCTCGACATGAGTTCGTTGTCTACACCTCACGTCGTGAAGCCTGCTGACCATGACCGCCAGACACCTCCTGGCAGTGGAATCACTTCCAGACTATCCAGGTGTGTCGACCCTATTCTCTCTGTATATCAGCTGCTGAGAACTTCGCAGGTGTTCACTGTGTATATAGTGCAATTCCCTCGGCTGCAGAGCCCTCACAGTCGGAATGGTGCGGCGGTCTCGGGCGCCTACGGAGGTAGGGCATTACGAGGGGCTTCAGCGGGTTCCGTAGCGTCCGACGTCGTGTACTCTATGTAGATCGAGAATAAAATAATAGTATTCTTTATCTCTTTTATTCTGTGTGATGCAAAACGAGGCAACGGGAGTGGCGACGCGCAGAGCGGCGCGCGGCCCCAGCGGGCACGTGGCCTGTGATAGCCAAATTCTACCTGTTTGCCGCGATACCTAGGATTCGACTTGCCCGGATTACCTAGGAAACTGCTCCCAGCAGGTAAATTGCGGCTGTTCTTCCGTTCACCTGATTTCCAGGTGTGGACGACGCGGCCGTGTATTCATGCAGTCTCGCTTGCCGCATATGCAGTCAACACCAAGAGTGGTGACATAACCTCCATCAAGTACTCCGGCACCGAGCTGCAGGACAAGAGCAAGTTCACGCAGCTGAGCTCCGGCCTGGGTGAGTGCGAGCAGTCGGTCTCACGCGACCGGGTTCTCAAGCCCGTTCTTCGTCGCGCGTGTGCAGGCTCAGCCGACGTGAGCTCGACCGCCGACAACGGGGTCGCCGTCGTTACCATCAGCACGGATACCATCGTATGTTCTCGCCTTTGATTCGCGGGGAGGACTTTCGAGTCGGCTCACATGCGCTTGCAGAACCACTATTACATCGTGAAGGAAGGCGAGAACACGATCTACATCGGTACGAACGCTTCGAAGGAGCCCGATGTTGGCGAACTCCGCTTTATTGCGCGCTTGAACAAGAGCGCCCTTCCGAACGGCATTCCGGAGTCGGTGCGTTCTCGCCTTGCAGTTATCCGAATCAATTTGAGTCCAATGCTGACTTGCGTTTAGGATGTGGATGGTGGCGAAGCAATCGAGGGCTCCGACGTCTTCAAGATTGACGGCGAGACGAGGTCCAAGTTCTACTCCAGTGTAAGCCAACTGAAGTACTTTTTCTAGCAGCAAGCTTATTGGGATTTTAGGTGCGCCACATCGAAGACAATGTTCACGGTGTTTCTGGCGACGGCGTGGGCGTCTATATGATCATCCCGCCCACCAGCTACGAGAAGTCCTCTGGTGGTCCCTTCCACAGAGGTCAGCATGCTCGTGAACGAGAAATCCCCTCACCTACTAACGTAGAACCCAGACATCAACAACCAGGGCACCTCTCAGCAGGAGCTCTACTGGTACATGAACAGCAACCACGAGCAGACGGAGGCGTATAGGACTGGGTTTTTCGGCCCGTAAGCTTCTTGCGCTTCATCCAAATGAAAGAAGGCACTGAAGCGGTCTCGCAGATACGCCATGGCAATCACTTCTGGTGATGCGCCGTCCGCGGATATAGACCTGAGCTTCATAGAAGATCTTGGTCTGAAGGGCTACGTGGCGTCCTCTGACCGCGGCAGCGTCTCTGGCACGTACAGTGGCACTGCTGACGGTCTTGACGTCACTATTGGCTTCAAGGTGCGGCGCACTGGGCATTTGTCTGGGTCTCTTACTCACTTTGGTTTTCAGAACGACGACGCGCAGTACTGGGTCTCTGGCTCTGGGTGCGTCGACTTGTTAGATGGACGTATCAACTTTTTGAGGTTCTGCACAGCGGCAAGTTCTCGCGCGACTCCATCATCCCGGGGACCTACAATGCGACCTTGTTTCAAGGTAGCTGTCCTTATTTTTTGAGGTTTCGATTTCGCTCACGAAATTATCAGGCGAGCTCGAAGTCGGTACGGGCTCGGTCACCGTCGCCGCCGGGAAGTCAGCCGACCTGAAGCTCGAGTCTACTCTCGATGCCCCGGGGACCGTCTGGAGCATCGGTACCCTTGACGGCACTCCCGCTGGGTATGCATGCCCTTTTCTTACTGCTTACACTCAATAACCGTCCTTGCAGCTTCCTCAACGCCGACAAGATCGAGAAGATGCACCCCTCCGACTCGCGCATGGCCTCCTGGGGCCCGGTCACCTTCACCGTCGGCACTGACGACGCGAGCGCGTTCCCGATGGCGCAATTCAAGGCCGTGAATGACCCAACGACGATCTCGTGGAAGGCAAGCGACAGCGACATCGGCGAGCGTACCCTCCGCATCCGCACGACGAGCTCGTTTGCGAGCGGCCGCCCGAGTGTAAAGGTCAACGACTGGAACTCGGACTCGCCCGCGGCGCCGGTGAGTGCATGTTAAGTGTGAGCTTGATACCGAGTCTGATGCGTCGACAGCCCAAGATCGACTCGCGCGGTGTCACCCGCGGCACCTGGCGAGGCTTCAACCAAGTCTGTAAGTAACATCGTTGCAATTGCCTCCTTATTATTCGCTCATGCACCCTGCAGATGACTTCGTCATCCCCGATGGCACGCTCGTGTCTGGCGACAACACCATCGAGATCTCCGTTGTTTCCGGCAGCTCAGGAGACTCTTTCCTCTCCCCCAACTTTGTCTACGACTCCGTTGAGCTCATTTGAGTGCCCATTGGCGAGTCCATGGTGTTTTACCTCTAAAAGGAAGGATACATACCCCCTTCCTCTTCTACATACGACTGGCTTGTTGGGACTGCACTGGCTGCTAGTAATCCGTTTGTACTACTACTACACTCGTTTGAAAGGAACAATGTGAAATTTGGGAACAATATATTCTTCGGCTGACATCAACTGCGACTTTGGGCTAAAAACTTGAAAGGCTGGGGCTGCTATGCGGCTGCCGACTTGTTTGCATCTGCTTGCAGTTGTGGGCGCAAAGGTCGGCTTGACGGACCGGACTGACGACCGTGACGCGATCGCGTCAAGCGCGTCGCCTCCTCGTCTTGTTCCCCCACGACGTGCTCGCCTTCGCCATGGACGAGAGCGGACTCGATGCACTAGCCGACGTACTCAACAAGATTTCGGAGAAGCCCTTCGATGTCGCGCTCCACGTCGAGCACATTCGCCTTGCCGAGGCGGCTACGGACCCCACGAGCGCAGAGGTCGTCTCCGCATGCGAGATGTACACGAACTTCTACGCGGCAGAGGATCCTGTGTGGGCGCGCTTGATTGCGAACAAGGAGTCCACCGTCGATCTGACAACTGCTGCGGGAGTGGAAGAGCTGCTCGACTTGTATAACAAGGCGGAGAGCGACTACCTGTGTGCGTGTCTTTATGGCGACAGAGTACCATTGTGCTGATATCTGAGCAGCAATTGACCTCTTGAAGAAGCATCTCGACTTCCTGATTGACCGCTATGACCACTACGCGGACGCGGAGAACATCAAGCCGGAAGAACTGGGCGACGTCTTCACAACGGAGTGGACTCGCGCCCAACTGCAAAGCGTCGTGGCGAAGAGTTCCGGTCACATCTCCAAGGATCACCTCTTATGGGATGCATACAGAGATTGGGAGCTGCAGCGATTAGAGGAGGCACCCCCGGCCGCCAAGTACGTCCACCTTTGCTCCGTCATTCCTGATACTCACGCACACGCGCAGGTCGCAACTGGTAGAGCAGATGAACTTGCTATTCCTCAGCCGCTTACAACAACCTCACTCCAGTCAGTACGTCCGTCTCATCTTCATTGCGGACTAGCTAACGTCCCACAACGCATAGATTCCGACGATACTTTCCAAGCTTATTCATCCTTCACTACCAATCACCAGCCCCCTCAGGCATACGAGGAGATGCTCGTCGAGGCGTCGAAGATCCGCGGGAGAGCCGTCAAGGGCTACGACCGAAGAGAGCCGTTCGAGAGGGAACTGGTACGCCTCATTCTCTCTTCCGTGCGTGTAAACGCCCAGTTCACGCCTCACATCCTTAGGCTCAGACGGGCAACTCTCTTGTCGTTTTTGACCGCTACGCTGCCTATGAACGCCGCGCGAAGTACCCAGACTTAGCCATCCTAGTCGCGGTGCACGAGCGCGCAATAGCAGAAGCAGCGAAGCGAAGAACTACAGGTGAACCTGGATCGGAAGAGGCGCTGAGGAGCTTCTGGGTGGCATATCTCGATGCCCTGGTATGTACCTATTGTTTTTTTTTTCAGTAATCCATTCAATGCTGACCACGATTTATTACGCTAGCGCATACAAGGAGCCCCAGAAGAGATCCAGCATCGAACGTACAAGCGCGCAGCTCGTAGCATACCGGGTAGCGGCGAGATGTGGGCTCGGTATATGCGTTTCCTGGAGCGGACGAAGGACGAAGTGTCGGAGGAGGAGGAGCCGAACAGAGAAACTGTTGCCGGTGCGCTCGCTCTCGTCTGCAGTGTCGAGGAGGTACATGCACTGACTTCGTACTTCAGCCATCTACGACCGCGCCTTCGCCACTGGCCTCTTGCAGACGGACGCGGAACAAATCGTTCCCGTCGTGCTTGCACGAGCGGGGTACGACAAGCGGTCTGCCGAGGGTGAGCTTGTGGTGTTTTGCACATGCCTAGACGCGTAGCTCACTTCTCTCCCAGACGCAGACGCCATCGCCAGCCTGATCGCCGTCGTCGAGACTGGAATTGGGATGGTTCGAGCAGGTCAGTCTGGTCGCCATGATAGGCATCGTTTACATCTGTGCATTGTGAAGATTTGTGTTGCTGATGCCTGCCTTGCAGCTTCGCGCGCAGGAGACCCGAGGTTGAGGTTAGAGAAGTTTCTCGCTGATGTGGTAAGCTATCGCTCTCGTTTCCTCCGGCGTTCGTTTGCGCAAGGCGTTCGATTCGCAAGGCTTTCTTTTCATTATAACCTTACCGATAACCTTACCAAACCTGACGACGATGGCAGTACACCGAAGTCGCCTCGCTACCAGCCGGTGCGATCGAAGTCTGGCAAGCCGCTGCCAAGGCGCACAAGATTAGCTACACAGTGTGGCTGGCGTATACGGATTGTTTGATGTGAGCTCCTCCCCCTCCCCGTTTATGCATTCCCCCATTCGTCTACGCATTCCCCCACCCCGATGTATACACATTCCCTCTGCTGATCACAAGTAACACTTCCTTCCTCTAATCCCTCTGACCGCTCGCTTCGAACAAACCTCTAACCAACGCCCACCTACAGCAAACAGGGCCAAATCGATGCCGCCCGCCACGTCTTCAACGACGTGCACGGCAAGCACCTCGACTGGCCGGAAGCCGTGTGGGACGCATGGCTCAACTTTGAGCATATCCATGGCTCGGTGGACGAGATTGAGGATTGTTTGGACAAGATCGAGCGCGCGCGTTATCAGGTTAATGCGAGGAGGGCGAAGGTGTGTTGCATCCGTGAATCCGAGCGAAAGACTCTCTGCTAACCACCTATCATCTTCAAAGGAAGCTGAGCGCGCGGCCTACCAATATGCCGCCGAGCAGCAAGCAAATCAAGCCCAAGTCGCCAACGTACCTGTTCCGAACGCTGACGCACCTATGGATGTCGATGCACCCCAACCCGCTGGCGAGCGCGGTACGAAACGGGCAGCTGAGGACGACGCCGGCCCTGGTGATCAGTCGCAGAAGCGTGCAAAGGTCGAGCCGAAGGGCCCGCCGCTCAAGCGCGATCGCGAGAACTGCACGGTGTTCGCGTCGGAGCTGCCGCCGAATGTGCAGGAGGATGATCTCCGGGGGTTGTTCAAGGATGTGAGTCGGTTGGGTGGGGGCTCGCGTGAGTAAGGGGCTCGAGAGACTGACAAGAGGTTGACAGTGTGGGTCCATTCGCGAGATCAAGATCACACATTTGGAAAAGGCGGTCGTGGCAACGGTGGAGTTTATCCAGAGGGTATGTATGGGTTCATCATGTTGCTTAAGAGATTGTGCGCTGACCTCACAACAGGACAGCGTGCCGCAGGCCCTCACGAAGGACAAGAAGCGTATCCAGGGCGAGGAGATCGCCGTTCACCTGGCATGGAAGTCGACCTTGTATGTGACGAACTTCCCGGAGAAGACGGACGACGCAGCCATACGGGAGTTGTTTGGCAAGGTGAGAGGGAGATCATCATTGTCATATACGAAACGATCGCTGACAGGCAAGGTAGTTCGGCACGATCTTCGAGGTGCGCTGGCCAAGCAAAAAGTTCAAGAGCTCGAGGCGGTTCTGCTACGTGCAATATACGAACCCGGTGCGTGCCCAAAACTCGTGCGTTCCGTGCAAATCCTCATCGCCCCTCGCAGACTGCCGCCGAAAAGGCACTCGAATTGCACGGTCGCGAGCTCGACCCGGGACTGCCGCTCAATGTGTACATCTCGAATCCAGAGCGCAAGAAGGAGCGTACGGACCAGGACGCACAAGAGCGTGAACTCTACGTGGCTGGTCTGAGCAAGTTCACGACGAAGCAGGATCTGGAGAAGGTTTTCAAGACGGTTCGTGTCTCTACAACAACTCAGCGCCAATGCAAGCGAACTGACCCACCGCAGTATGGGACCCTCAAAGACGTCCGCGTCGCGTTGGACTCGAAGGACAATACCTGCAAGGGTTTTGCGTTCGTCGAGTTTGAGAATGAGAAGGATGCGAATGCGGCGTTGGCGGCGAATAACTACGAGTTAAAGAAGCGGCGTATTGCGGTGACGATAGCCAGCGCGAGCACGAAGGCCAAGTTCAAGTATGTCTACAACGGCACACTGGGGAATACTGGCTCATCTGCATTCTTCGCAGGAACCAAGCGCAGGCAGATACCGGCTTGGGTCGTCAGGACGAAATCCGCAGCCGCTCGTTCATGGTCAAGAACCTCCCGCCGGACGCAGACGATGGCCGACTACAGCAAGAACTCGAGAAGGTCATGAAAGTCAAGCGCGTCGAGGTCTTCAAGGACAAGAACGAGGCGGTCGTAGAGCTCGAGTCCGCTGCGGTATGTCCCTCTCACCCATGCCCTCCCTCCCATACTGACGCGCCCCCAGGACCTCGGCGTGCTGCAACTTCGGAAGGAGCCCATCGTGTTCAATGGGCGGGAGCTGAAGCTCGTGTTCGAAGGCCGACAGGCGAAGGACGCGAAGCCTGGCGCGGGCATGTTTATACCTAGGGCGGCCGCGTCGCGCCCGCGCGCGGGCCTCGGTCATGCGAGGAAGCCGCCGGCAGCAGGCGCGGCGAAACCTGCCCCCGGGGCTTCAGCGGCGGGATCTGGGGCGTCGGGAAGCAAGCCCGCGGAGGGACGAGGGCAGGACGATTTCAGGAAAATGCTGGGGTGAGGGGGTGAAGGACATCCGGCCCGATGACGGCACGACTGAATGCCTCTTGTACTCAACCACTGACGACCGTGATATACTGCTCGATCTATGCGATTTTACGTGCAGAGTTTTCGTCGCTGAGCAGAACCGCCCAGGCGTACTGAGTTCCGAGCTTCGTGCCCTGCGTGCCGCCGCCCGCGCCTCCTGAGTATCGGGCGCACCGGGCCGCGGCTATAAGTGCCTGCGACCCCGCGCGGTGCCCAACCCCGCTGTCGTCTGGGGTCCCCCACACTTGTCTATCGCCCCCATCTACCAGGACTACAGTGCATCGCAATGGCCTCCTTCGCAGCGAAAGCCCTATTCGATCTCAGCGGCCGCGTCGCGGTCGTCACGGGCGGCGGCACGGGCATCGGGTACATGATCGCGCGCGGGCTGGCGTCGAACGGCGCGAAGGTGTACATTACAGGGCGGCGATTCGAGGTGCTGCAGAAGGCGGCTAGCGGCTTCAGTGGGGCGGGGTCTTTGGTCCCGTATGTAGAGCGTCTCTGGAGTGGAGAGGTTGGCTGATCCTCCTCAGATTGAAGATGGACGCGACGAACAAGGATAGCATACTGAGCGCGAAGAAGGAGATCGCGGATAAGGAGGGGAAGCTGCATGTGTTGGTCAACAAGTGCGTCCCGCCCCCCATCCATCGCCAACGGTAGCTGACCTTCTACCGTCAATCAGCGCAGGGCAGGTCGGCCCGTGCTCGAACTTCATGAGCAACCCGGACGCGCCGGAGAACAAGGACCCCGAGGCGTTCGGGATGACCCTGTTCAAGGAGGATCAGCAGGGCTGGTCAGATGTGTTCGCGATCAACAACCACTCCATCTTCTTCGTGTCCTCCGCGTTTGTGGGTCTGCTCGCGAAGGGCGCGACGGACTATGGCGCGTTCTCGTCGAGCATCATCAACATCACGAGTATCAGCGGCACGATCAAGGTCGCGCAGGACCACGTACGTTCTTATCCTCCCCTCTCAACCTATGCTTTCATCCCCCCCTCTCCGTCACCACCATCTTCATGCCACATCTATATCGGCCCCGTATGCCCTATATCCGTCCCCCACTCGCTAACCCGCGCCACAGTTCGCCTACAACTCGGCCAAGGCAGCAGCCAGCCACCTGACGCGCATGCTCTCGACTGAGTACGCGCGGCGACAGATCCCTGTTCGCGTCAACTCCATCTCGCCCGGCGTCTACGCGTCGGAGATGACCTTTGACAAGATCCCCGCGGACGTGGTGGACAAGATCGGGAAGGGCTTGGTGTCGGTGCCGGCGAGGCGCGATGGAACGTGAGTGATCATGTCTCCCTTCATCGTTCAAGCTAGCTAAGTTCGACCCTCCACAGGCCCGAGGAGATGGCTGGCACGGCGGTATACCTCGCCTCTCCGGCAGGTTACTACATGAACGGCCAGGAATTGACTATCGACGGTGGCTACACTGCGGTGAACCCCGCTCGTGTATAGAGCGGCCAACTCTGCCCTGCATACATCATGCGCGCGGGCATTGTGAAAATATGTTTACCGAAATGTAACCTTGTTGTAAACAAACAATTGCAAGTGTAGATAGAAGCGGAGATGAGTATCCGCAAAAGAACGTATTAGTTGGATGAAATATCAGCGGGTTTTGCATCAAGTGCTCATTGTTCTCAATGGGCAGTAGATGCAGAAACTTCTGATATTTATCGAATCTAATACGTCCTAAAATGGGGTTTTATGGTCTGCAGCGCGAGGGAGCCTTGGGGAGCTTACCATGTCTGCAAATTGTATGACGCTACGAGATCAAGTGTGAGGAAGACTCCGTCGAGGACGTACGAGAGCAACCATGACGGCCGTTCCTGGCCGTAAAGTTGAACTTTCGGAACCGAGCAGCAGTCTCCGATCCCCATTTAGAATAAAGAGCTTGCACGTGACAATGTTCCTAATCTCCCGCCCTCTGCTTCCGCTAACCCAGCTGCCCTGATTTCTTCGTCATTGCGTTCTTGCACAATGCCATCGTCAATGGCAAATTCCTTCGACATCGGTGACCAAGGCGCAATGCCCGATTTTACGGCCTTTGCCTGCACGAATGCTATGGTCATCGGCGCCTACTGACCGCGACACATCTGCTCCTCGCTGCTTCAAGGGGATGCGTATCTCGCCGCAAGCATGGGCTGCGTATTTGGCCGCAAATGTGAGTTCTGGAGGACCGTCCGCTCGTTCTTCTACTGCCTATATTAGGTGTTTGTATGGGTGCGATCCACCGAGGCCAGAGGGCTCGGAACGAGATCCTTGGGATGCAGGTTTCCTGATTTTTGAATGAGAAACAGGACTAGGGTCCTACTGTAATTCAAGCGCAACGTTTCCTTTTGACCGAAGTCCATCGACTTTCCCGCCTCGCAGACGCACCTCCGTCAATTATGCAGCCTGAACTATTGCCTCCTCCGCCGGCCTCGCGATAGCGTCCACGAGGAACCTTCAGTTCCGCGCCCTGTTTCATTTCGGCGACTGACAGCGCGCCGAGGGTTGGAACTTGCCCGAAGGCTTCGAGCAGGGCGTGCTGCTGCCAGGTAGGCAGATAGGCACCAGGTGCTGGCCTGGCGTCATCATCGATTGGCATCCCCCGCCACCACGCTCGGGCAATTTCGCCCTTCTGTCCGCCCCGAGAGCACCCATGAGGCAGCGGATCGACGGCTGACGTCTGTGGCCCTGAATGGGGGGATGCAGGTACGCGCGCGCGTCAACCGTTGTTGAGCCTTGTGTGCGCAAGGCCGTCGGGGACAAACAAAGGAATTATTGGGGGACGAGAAGGAGGGCGCATCTCTGGGAGTAATGGCTCGCGGGCGAAAAACGCACCTCCCGCAGATTAGAAAGCAGCGATATAATTCAGCGAGCGTATGGGCGCGCTTCGGACGGGGCCAAGCATGTGATGTGCATTGAATTGTGATGAGCTTCGTGATCCACGCTTTCGCCGGCGAGGTGAGGACGCCCAGCAGCTTCCAGTTCGACGAGGAAAGATGAGGGCGGGTGCGCGCCCTCCCGCGCTCGCACGATGGTGGAAGAAGGAAATCGAACAATCCGAATGTCCTGGCCATTGCCGAGGGTCACGAATCGCATCATCCGTGACGTCGCGGCGAGGGATCGAAATACCCATGCGAATTCTTGGAAATTAGGCGGACCCCGGGTCACTGCCCGCTCGGGTGTGTGGAAGGCGGCTGCTGGAGGGGGAGGAGGAGGGGGAGGGAGAGGGTCAAGGTACTTACGCGAGCGGCTTGTATTGTCGCGGCTGTGAGCTCGACAACGTCGGTGGGCAACCCAGGCCGCATCGTCTGATGTGGACGGCGAAAAATACAAATTTGCCGAATTCGGCACGTGTGAGGATTAGCGTGGGAAAATACACCTGCACTCGACACTTCCGCCCTTCGCCTCGCCGCCGTTCGCCGTTCACGACCGCTGTCAGCGCTGAGCCCATCGTCGACGTCCTCGACGACACCGCCCCGTGTCTGGTATCGCTGAACGAGCCCTGGATGCCGCCATCTAGACGCTATCTACCCAGAAGCCAACAGTCTTCCTAATCGTCTACATCCAGTCCCCGCTCGCCGCACTAGTGGTTCTAGCCACCTCCTCCACTCTTCCCTACGGTCCTATAATACCCTCCCTACATGCCATCCCCGACAGAAAGCCCATGGCCGCAGCAGACCCCGGCTCCCGATGCCGGCCCCTCGACTATCGCGTCCCAAAGGAAGCGGCGACGAACAAGCGACCGTTCCCTCTGGCAGAACAGGGATGCAAAACTGCCCCGGCAGGACATCGCGGACCAGGCCGCCATTGGTGTGTTACGCCCGTTAGCCTGATGTCGGACATACGCTCATCACAGCCCGTCGCGCGCACTAGAGGATGCGATGTACGAGTGCGAAATCATGACGGACAACTCGCGCCTCTCGTGCTTTCCGACCGCGGACACGGTCATCCCTCAGCACCAGTATGCGTCCTTCGTCTGTACGTGTTGCACCAACGGCGTGTCACTTTCGCATCTGATCCATTCCCAGGGAATTCGCGTCTGCCGCAGTACGCACAACGCGACCTGGTCGACATATACCTCTTTCAAGGCGACACACTTCAGCAAATACTCTACTTTCCGAACGAGACCAACCCCAAGTATGGCACGCCAGGAGTCATCCGCGCGCAGGTCAACGATAGTTGGTGGGGCGATCGAGGCGAGAATTGGGATGGGAGCAACGTGACCTACCCGTTCTACTGGGTAGTTACCCCCGCGGGCAACGGCCTCGATGGTACGGAGACAACACAGACCATCTTCAGCGCCGTCCGTACGTGTGCTGCAAAACTTTTTTCTCCCGGAACTCCTGCTCATTTTCGCTTCAGAGACTACGTACGCGGACTCTGTGGCGTCATCAATGTCTTCCTCCTCGGCATCCGCCTCATCTGCGTCGGCCGCTTCCGCGTCGTCGGCGTCGCTTACTTCGTCTGCGAATGGTGCCTCTTCTACTGGCGGCGGGAACAACTCCGACGGCTCTGATGGCGGCCTGCAATCTGGTGACAAGGATGGTGGTTTCCCACACTGGGCAATCGCCGTTATTGTTGTCTTGGGCTTCCTGGCCGTGGCCGCCAGTTGCGTCCTTGCCTTCCTCATCATCCGGCGAATGCGCAGGCAACGGGAACTCGAGTCTCAACGCAATTCCATGGGGTCATCATCCCCTATGATGCAACACGTTGATAACGGAGGACCCGCATCGCCGCTGCTTGTCGGGGGTGCGGCCGGCGTCGAACGCCAGCAGAGTTCCGCCGGTCACGGAGGTCAGAATGCGCCGAGCATTGTCTCCCCAGATGGCGCGTCGACAATCTCGCACGCGAACAGCGCAGGCGAAAACGCACCATTCTCAGGCGCGGACGCGGCGATCATGGCTGACGCGTTCCGCAAGGCGCTCAGGAAACCTGACTTCGCCGCGCAGCCCGTAGAAGAGGGCGAGAGTCCGGAGAACAAGGAGCCGCCAGAGGAGGAGCTGATCAACCGACAGTTAGCAGAGGAAGGGCGCGACATACGGAGCGTAAGCTCGTCGCGCGGGGTGCGTGTGGAGACGCTGAGCGATGCGGACACTGCGACGGACCATCAACATTGATCCCCGTAGCGCGCGCTGAGCGTGCTGTCCCATAACCACCACCCTCACGACCTCTACGACCTTTCGTTTCGTCACTCTCTTTTGGGCTTGTGGTTGTCTGTCGTTGCGCTGTCTGTGTTATTACTGTCACCTGCATCGTTGCACCTCTTCTAACATTATTCGCTTCACCCGTTCCCGTCGTCGCCGTTATGCTCTTCCCCCACCCCTCGACCTAACACGCCTTGGCCGGATGTCGGTCGGTGCTGCTCCACCTGCGGGAACTGCACGCGATGTCCGCGAGCTCAGGTCGCCACCGTATCCGCTTCGCTGCCGCCCCCACTACCACCCCTACCATGCACCCTGCCGCTGGTCCACCTCCCTCACCATCTTCTGACGTCGTCGTCGCTGCGTTGGCTTACCCGATTGTGTTTGTGCCCTGGACGCTATAGCTACATTATTACACTCTTCCCTTCTCTGCAAACCCCCACCTCGCGGGCGTCTCTTTTGCTGCTCGTGCAGCGCATCCCCGTTGCTGCTGCCGCAGAAGTCACTCGTTTATACCACCTTGCCCTTCGCTTCCGTGATTCGAGTATGCATACCGTGCTGCGAGTGCGCAGTGCCGATTCCTATTGTTCAGACAGACAGACATTAGTAGCTGGTGGGTGTGGCTCGTCTGACCGTGTTGGTTACTCTAGCTCTGGCCGGTTGTTTTACCCTTATTGTCGAGCTTTCTCATCTTTTATCTTCACTTGTGTATAAGCTACGTAGTTCATGAATTCGATACCGTCGGCGTACTCGATGCGATAAAGGTTGTCGACATGATTCTCGTGCAGGATCCAGCATGGCCATAAGCGTGACTATCTCCTTCCGCCAGCGCCACGAATGGCCTCGAAACAACTCGCCCTGAACTTGTCCTCTTAGCTCTCTCGTCCATGACAGCTGCACCTGGTCTTGATGTTTTCTAGCTCGTACACTTCACCTCCTAGTCCCTATCACTGGGAAAAGGAATCGGCGCGAAATTCACTTGATATCGAGTGAATTTCGCTTTTCGCTAGAGGTCATGCGAATCCGATTCACGTTGAGCGAGCGAAATTCGCATGACCTCGAGCGACACTGTTTCGCTCAACTAACAACTGGGTAACGTCGAGCGAAAGTTACAGAGGGATAATCTTAAGTAGCGGGCTGGGTAGAGGTCTTAGGTATCGATGTATTGAGAGCCCAGAGGGTACGGCTTCTCTGAACAGCATTAATATTCGGCTGCAACTGGGTTCAGTAAATGTCAGTCGCCATCATTACAGAGGTCGACATAAGGGCATGCGCGGCGATGAGCAACTGGCGAGGGCCCGCTCAATATGTGGCGTTGGCGCCACACAGTGACGTACGCGAAGTCGCAGCATCGTCGAGTCTTGGTCGAGTCTTGTCCTCAAGCGCCATCATCTACATTGCTCGCTATGATACTCAGCGTGCGACGCACGGCCTCGAGATCGAGGTATAACGAACGCTGATGAGCGCTGCCCAGACCCGCGGGATTATGGTGCGTGATGGGATTCCTTGTTCAGAGATGAGCGCTAACCTGAGTGACGATTGCAGACTACTCCCTTCGTTCCCTTGAGCGCCGCCCACCTCTATCTCTCACTTCAACGTTCTACTCCCTCTCACTTGATACCCCAGCCCTTGCACACCATACTTTGGATTGACGAGGATTGCAGTCCATTACGCCGTCCTGCGACTTTGGTTCAGGATATCTATCAATTCGGCACCGCTCGTAAGTCTTGTCTTTTCGCTCTCTATACGGGCTAACGACCATCAATGTTTATCTTCTAGTTTTCATGATATGAAGAGTTCTCTGCAGCTTCCTTCTACCTTTGTGATTCTGTCGTTTGGCCGAGGCTGAACAGCTCGCTTCTTAGTCTATCCTCGTAGAGCTGCTGTGATCAGGTTGTAGTAGTAGTCATTTGAATATATTGATTCGATCCCATACGAACGCGGTGCCAAGGAAAAAAATGGCAAAAAGCAGCAAAAAAGCAAATACTGGCCATTTCACTCTTCGAAGAGCGATTTACGCTCGAAGTCGAGCGAAACAGAGGTCGCGAAACGCGACTTTTTTTGGCGTGAAATGTTTTCGCGCAAGGCCGAGCGAAAGTCACTAGATCTTGTGTGAAAATCACTCAATTCTTAGTGAATTTCCCTCGAAGCTAAGCGAAGTATCGAGCGAATTTCACGTCGATTCCTTCCCCCAGTGTATGCCGGCGATCCTCCTCTCGATCCCATGGTCTCCGGCGTGCTCTCGCCAGGCTGCAACGCGACATGAACGGGCAATCCCGATCTATCGTGCCTCGTGTTAGAAGCGTGCCGTCCTCATCTCGAGTGCGCGGCGGGCACGGCCAGCGAAGATCTGATACTCTGCTCCCCTCTCTATCTGCTGCCGCCACTACAGTGGACACGAAGATTTGCCACAGCCCAGAACTCACTAGCACATCCTTTGGCGACATACTGCATCAACCTCAGCACACTAGACCAGTCAGAAATCTGTCTACCAGTAGGACCTAATCAATCCTCGATCGACCGAGATATCTTTGAATCTCGAATCAACCAGAGGAACTGCGATAATGGACAGTATCGGCACCGTCCTCCAAAACGAAGAGGCACGCTTCTTCTTCACCCTCCTGATCGTCGCGTCCGCCTTCGTGTGGATCCTGTCATCCCTATCTAGCACGACACAACACGCGCCCTCTCACCCACCAGAAAGACCGCACAGAAAGCGCCGCCCTGTCATCCGCAGACGCGGCAGCAGCCTCAGCAGCACGGGAAGTCGAGGGGAAGGCACCGCTGCGCGCGCTCTAGGCATCGTCGAATGCCCCCCTCTTCAGCCGCGTGCCTTCCGCTTGGAGGACCTCCCCTCGGAGCTCATCCTCGATATTCTGGAGACCAGCGCACTGCGATGGAATGGGAGCTACTCATCATTGCGCCTGGTTTCGCGCCGCCTGAACGCGCTCGCGGACCGCGCGTGCCTCATCCACCTGCCCGTGCTGCTCACTACGGCGCAAAAGACCGTGTCGTTCCGCGCCTTCTTGGACGCACGGCCGAGAGCGCTGCCCTATGTGCGCCACCTGTATATCGCGAATACGCTGGACGCGGACGCGGGCGACGTGGGCTATGTGGCGGCCATCATCATGCGGAGGTGCACGAACCTACGCAGCCTAGCCTGCACGGCGAGGATGTTGTACGAGGCGATCGCCCACGCGCCTCTGTGGCGGACGGAGCGGTGTAAGCGGCTCACCATCCTCGCGCCGTCTACGCCTCTCGCGCCCGATAGTGGTCTGAATCATGGAAGTTCGGATGATACCTCAGTCTGGGACGACTTGCGAGGAAATGCGGTCGCAGCCGCCTTCCTCGCTCGCGTCACGCACGCACGCATCGCGGGGCCGATGCCTTGCCTGCGCGATGGTGGCGTTCTCGCGCGCGTCTCGCACCTCTGCATCGCGTACGACGGGCCTGTGGGGCAGATCACGCAGGACATGGGGCAATTCGTCGATGACGCGAGGACGCATGAGAAGCTGAAGCGGGTCGTGGTGACGGTGCGGGGGATGAGCAAGACGGTGCCGTATGGCGACGAGTGGAAGACGAAGGGGCAGCGGTGGATGGTATTGGGGCTGCCGCTGGGGTGGACTGAAGTGGATATGTGGAGGAATGAGATTCGGGGGCGAGGATTGTGGGAGATGGTGTCGGGTAAACTGGCGAATAGTAGGTAGTGAGTGGTAGTTAGCGCTGGTACGCTGCCCACAATGTCGAGCCCCTGAATGTACAGATACTCTTTGGGTACTTCATGTCCGCGAATGTAGACAATTCCATGAACAGTCGTCACACGGAGACTTCTTGCAAGCACACCTTCTGGGCCGAGATAGAGCAAGCCTGAGATAACACTGCAGATGGAAAACAAATGATATGTGTAAGTACAATGGACGTGCAACCATACAAACTACCGAAAGTGCTATGCTGTCCGTGCACCATGCGACAACTGCCTCATCAGCAACTCATATCTGCGGACGATACGTCAGCATGACATGTCCAATATACCAGGCGACATCGAAGGGACAAGCCTCCCTCTGAAGAAAGACTCCACAGAAAAGGAAGAAACGACACTCACGTCAACATCGTCACCGCACTGTTCGGTACCGTCCGCAACAAGTTGATCGACAAGCCCTTGTACAAGCCCGACCATCCCTCCTTGCGTACCAAGCTCTCCACCGTCTGCCACAGGCTGCCGTATTGACCATGCCGCTTCACCATGCCGTCAGACGACATGGCGTCTACCTCGATGGGTCGCCGTTGTGTTTGTAAGCGCGTGCGAATGACTTCGTGTGGGTAGGTGACGATGGATGCAACCATCTTGGAGGCCGCGGAACAGAGGAGGATGGATTGTGTGGTGAGGGGTTCGTCGCCGTTGCCTGAGGAGAGATAGGTCAGTAAAGGTACAGGGGTCCAGCGTGATAGTTTAGCGCAGGGGTAGAGTGCGCAGCAGACAGGAAAGAGGCGAATGGGGGCCGGGTAGTGCAAGAGCGGGCGTAGACGGAGTGAACTACGCACGCGCTACTATTTTGAGGTGCTCGTAAAGCGGGAATTGCACGGTAACGTGTGTGATGCCGAGAAGACTGGGTAGGAGGCCGCGGTAGAAAGCACTAAGCCCTTCTGTGCGATAGATGGTGCGTGCGGCGTCGAGGGTGTGCCGGTAACGGATTTCTCCTGGTGCTTGAGTCTACGAAAGGGGGATTAGATTGCAAAAGTGACGAGGAGATCGCCACATACCATGAATCTAGTCTTGATGACCCATAGCGGTGTAGTGCACACCGTACTCGCCATCCCGGCGCCCATGGCCGAGAGAATGTGTAGTGACCATGGGTGCTCCCGCATTACGGGTTGGTAGCCCTTGGGCTGCGCTGCAGGATATAGCCGCTCATGCGTCTCTTCGCCCAGTGGAGCTTCGCCAAAGTACGTCTTGACGCCATCGTAGACGGAGAAGTATATTGCCCATGTGGGCAAGTAGCCGAGAATGGTGGGTCCCAATCCTCTGTAGTAGCCGCGGAAGCCATCTGTCTTTCCAATGTACTTGATGGTATCTACTCTCCGCGTCAGTCACCGCGCGCAAGCAAATAGTCGGCACACGCACCTATGATGCCCAGATAACCCGGCTGTCCTTGAATGAAGCGCTGCGCCTGAAGCTTTGTCTTGATAACGTCAAGCGGACAGGTCGCGATGCTCGCGACGAGGCCTCCCCCCGCGCCCGCTGCGGACGACGGCTGAGCTGAGGGCTGTGGCACGCGGGCACGGCTGGAGGGCTGACTCACCGATCATGCTGTTAACGGACCATCTTGACGGGGGCGCCGACGACGATGAACTCATGTCTCTGCCCCGCCGCGCGGGACAATGGCGAGTATTTCAACGCCGCGCGCGTCGTCGTCGAGGCCGATGTAAACGAGCTCAACGAGCATCATCAAAGATTATGCCATCGCAAGGCGCCTGATGCCGATCCCGGACCGCCCCGACGCCGACGCCGGAGCCAGCTCGTCTGCCCTCAAGGCGCGTTGCACTTTGCAGAAATTCAAGTCAGATATAGAGGATTTGCAGAGCATTCCGCAGAGGTCTACGTAGCCCCACGAGACTTGGGGACTGGGCAAAGCACCTCACAAGTCGCATCTCTGGAATTGGTCGCGTGGCCACAATTGTTTATGATCTTCGTCGAAGTACACGGGAAGACTCGAAGAGGAAGCTTGCGCATTCACAGGATGCCAAGGGCATCGGTCACTTGTGCTCCCCAAGCAACCACATATTCAGCAGCATCACAGCTGCGCAAGCAACTTGTTCTCCTCTTTGCCCTTTCCCTTCCCCTCTGCTCCCTTCCCTTTCTCCAACCCCACGGGCGGAAACACATCCCGGTTCGCGTACCACCAGCGTACTGCAATTTCCTTCCCTGCGTTGCCAACCTTCTCGGTGATCTCCTCGAAGATGGCGTCCCGAAGAGCGACGCGTTCTTCGATGGTGAAGGTGGTTACCGAGGAATCGTCGGACGAGTGCATTGCGAGCTTCCTGAGCTCATCCAGAACTTGCGGAAGTAAGGAAGTCGGCAACGAAGAGATAGTCGACGCCAGCGTGAGGCGTAGGCGCTGTTTGTGTACAGCTTCGCGCTGCATCGTGCCAACCTCGCTTGCCTCGCCTTCGCACAACGCATCCAGCAACGCCTGCACACAGTACATCGCCAGCGCGTCGTCATGCGCGCCTGCGCAGCGCACTACCATCGCGTACGCATGCCGTAGCTGGGCGAGGCTAAGGTGGGAGGGGGAGGAGTTCTGTGAGGTATTTTGATCAGTTGGCAAGTCTTGCGCGTGCGTGTCGAAGAGACGACAGCAGCAAGCGTGGGCAGAAGAGCAACTCACCTCGATCAGACACTGTGCATAATACGGCACCAAGCGCGCGACATAGGCGATTTGCTCCGCCTTCTCTTCCCTCTTATTGACGTCGCCTTCAGCCGGAGCGTACGCGTCGAAGAGGGCGAGCGCGGCGGAGTGCGCGGCTTCGTAGGGGGCGCGAGGGGTGGGTGAGGACAGAAACCTGAGAGACGAGGGTTAGCATGAGTATTCGGTGGAGTAATGATAAGATGAAAAGAATGAGAAGGTAACTCACTGCGCTACAAACCCCCACGCCTCCTCCACCGCGCCCAGACTGAGGACTGGCACGAGCTGCTCGACGCATGATAGTGCGAATGCGGTGTGCGAAGGACTGGCAGGCGACATCTGCCTTGAGCTCGAGGTCGCAGGCTTGCCCAAGTCATCGGCTCGCTCAACTCCACCGATCACGATTCCCCTCGCAATCCCTCGCACCAATGCATCCGCAGCGCCTCTATCATCCGCAGCAATTACATCCAGGGCAGCATAGAAGGCGCGCGCAAGCTCAGGAAAGGTCGCCTTCGCGGGAGAGAGGCGGGCGAGCGTGCGTAGGAGGGTGAAGGCAAGGGCGGTATGGGGTGAGGTTGGAGTGGTGGATGGAGCAGGAGAGGCCGCTATAGCACTACCGGGCCGCACGTATACCACATGCGCCATGACCGCGTCCGCAACCATGACGATGCAGAAAAGCAGTGTCTTCACGACGGTGAAGAAGTCGGTGATGACGGGTCGGGCGGAAGGTGCGATGTCGTCGTTGGACTTGCTGCAAAGAATCAGACGTCAGTGAGATGGGATATCCTTTACAGAGGACATCAAAGAAAGAAAAGTGAGAGGGACAGGGTAATGGGGTGAAGCGCGAGAGGGCAAAAAATGTACACGTACGAGTCAAGCAAGGCAAGCAAGTCCGCATGAGCGGCAACTTCGTCAAAAATATTCAGGACAATTTGTACTGGAGACAAGTCCGCTTTCGAGGTCGAGAGGGGCATGGTCAGGGTGAGGGATAGAAAGCGGCACAAGGATGGCAGGGCGCCGTATAGCGGGTCGCCAGTGACTTTGAGAATGGTGGTCGCATTTCCCAGAGACTAGGGATTTGTTGAGGTCGGCGCGAATATGACTTGATAGAAAAACCTACATCAAGCACTACCCTGCCTGCATTGTCTACCGCAACATTGCTCAAGAATTGCGAGAAAATGCTTCCACCCCGAAAAGCTTGCCAGATGGCGCAGGCAAGCAAATGCGAGACTGAGTCGAGAGGAAGAGCTGCGAGTTTGCGCCTTGGAATTTGGGAGAAGATATGCGAGGCTAGTATGAGCGACACGAAGAGTGGGTCTGTCCAGTGTTCAGTGCCGTACTGGTGTCAATTCCGACCAAATCATTACCTGCTGATGCATGTCCATATATTGAGTCATGTTCCTTCGCCCACTCAGCAGAGTACAAGTCCGAACATTCGGCGACAGCCATAACCGCCTCGTCTTCCAATTTACTCCGCGTATGCCCGGAGAAGGTTAGCTCCGTCTTGGCCTCCATGTCCTGAAGGCCGAGTAGCAGACCAGCGCATGCAGCGAGTCTAAGTAGTGCGTTTCCGTTCTTCAAACCGGACAGCACATAGGACACCCATTGCAGAAGTTGAGTTTGCTTGCTTGGCGTGAGTAGACCGGCTTCGAGTCCCTTCCAGCAGAGATGCACGGCCTGTCTGTAGGCTGTCTCAAATGCTTGCAGGTGCTCGAAGGAGTATGGGGTAGCAAGGAAGTACGGAGAGGAGACGGAAGCAGCTGCCAGCGGTGTCGGTGTCGGCGTTGGTGGTGCGGCGAGATGATGAGCGAGGAGCGACTGTATGACGGCCGGTGGCTGGGTCGACGAGCGCAGATGGGTCAGTACCACAGTGTAGGTGCGCCATGTTATTGGTGAAGACATGGTTCAGGAGGGACCAAGTTCTTGACCGTCGAGGTTGTGTTCAAGTCTTGCCGCCCACACGTGATTGTACCCGAAGCCGAGCCTCGAGTCGGTCCGTTCGGGCCGCATGCCGAGCGGATTCCCCGCCCCTGCCAACCGTCCGCTAGCCGCAACTTATCCTCTCCCACTCGAATGGTACCTGCCGCGCTCTCAGTCCCCCGTTCTCGTTCTCTTGGCATTGTATATCCCTTACTCAACCTCGCAAGCAAGTATGTCGGCAGCATCGTTCGCGGCGACGAAGTCCGAGACGCGTCCGTGCATGGCGCGGCCCTTTGGAAGCGGGACTCGCACAAGTTCGACCCGCACGACCCCAAGAAGATTGTTTTCGTATGCCTCATACCCGTCCTAGTGCTCAGCTCTGGCCTGTTTGCTGGTACGTGTTGGGGAATTGAGTCCGCAGTGTATACTGATTGGCGCCCGCGCAGGACTTACGCTTGGTAGCTTGGCCCTTCTCACCGGCTTTCTGTCCCCCATCTGACGCGGCTCCAGGATACATGAGTCTCGACGAGACGCAGCTCAACGTGCTGAGCATTAGCGGCACTCCGTACGTCCCACTCTCACGCCTGACCAATTCGTTCTGATCATACGACAGGAAGCAGAAGGAGTACGCGCGGAAGATCCAGCCCATTCGCAAGAATGGACACCTGCTCCTCGTCACTCTCCTCATCGCCAACATGATTGTCAACGAGACCCTGCCCATCATCTCTGACCCTGTCCTCGGGGGCGAAATCTCGAGTGTCGTGGTCAGCACCGTCCTCATCATTATGTAAGTGCGCCCTATCGAATCGGCAGCCCACCCCTCCCCAAGCGCCCAAAGCTGTAGACGTGCGATTATCGCGGCCTGCGCAGGCCCTCTTATGAGCGCGCCTGCCGTTGACATTGGCCGCCCTGCGCTAGCGGATGTCATGACGTCACGCGTTTATGGCCGCCTCGTTTATTCTTGGGCGGCTGGGTATTCTTGGCTTGCAATTGTCCACTTTCAGCAGTCCCTTTGTCGAACGGCTTGGCTGATCAGACTTCGACAGATTTGCCGAGATCATACCCCAGTCGATCTTCACTCGGCACGGTCTCTTTCTCGGCGCCAAGCTCGCTTGGTTGACCAAGATCCTCATCTTTGGCCTGGTAAGGAAGTGAGGCGGTTGAAGTTTACGTTTGGGCTCATAGCGGTTAGGGTATCATCTCGTGGCCTGTGTCGAAGTTGCTGGGTGAGGAGAGCTCCGAGGATCTCGAGGGAGGCGTACTGACCATACCTGCAGAGTTCGTTCTCGGCCCTCACCATGGGATTATCTATCGTAGAGGCGGTACGCATAGTCCACGATGAGACCTCCGCCGCTTCCTCATTATGCAACAGAGCTCAAGGAACTCATCGCCATGCATTCGTCCATGGCTACTCTCGGAGGTACGCGCCCTGCCTCCTCCCCCATTCATTAACTTACCCCCAGCCAGGCGACCTCAAGACCGACACCGTAACTATCATCGGCGCGACGCTCGACCTCCAAGAAAAGGTCGTGACGCAAGCCATGACGCCCATCAAGGACGTCTTCATGCTCTCCATTGACGCCAAGCTCGACTATGAGACGCTGAAGAAGATCACCGAGACGGGCCACAGTCGCGTGCCCGTGTACGAGGAGGTGGATATCCCGGTGGGCCCCGGTAAGGCGCAGAAGGCGAAGAGGATATTGGGTATCTTTCTGGTGAAGCAGTGCGTGTTGTTGGATCCGAATGGTGAGTTGTTAGGCGGCAGTGGACAAGAAGGAAAGGGGGAGCTGAGATGCCATGACCTCCAGATGCGACGCCGCTCAGGGATATGCCGCTCAATAAGGTGCCATTCGTGCCTATGAACGAGCCGCTGCTGGGTATCTTGGACAAGTTCCAGGAGGGACGCTCGCACATGGCTATCGTCAGGTAAGTTGTCTTCGCTTTGATTCCGCCCCACCGTCAATCCGCCCCCCTCATCAATACCTATGCTGACTCCACTCCAGTCGCTTCAGCGTCGACAAAGCCGCCAGTGTCAAGGCTGCGGCCAAGCGCAGCCTCACGCAACGCCTCCGCGAGCGCGTCGGCATGGCAGACTCTGACTCAAGCTCGAGCGAGGAGGAGGACGGCAAGCCGCCGCATAGGGACGAGAGGGGTCGGCTGCGCTTCCATAGGCATAAGATCAGGGACATCGAGGAGGGCGTCGAGGATACGGGAGAAAGCCCCACTCCAGATGGAGATAACGAGGCCAAAGCGCTTAGTGACGACCATAAGCATCACGACGGCAAGAAGGAACACAATGGCCAGCAAGACCACGACGGCCGCCGCCCCTCCTCCGGGCACCGCGCGCGTGGTCGGTCGACGAAGCCGCGCAACTCGGACAGTGTGAACCTGCAGATGACGCCGCGCGACTCGAGCGACACAGTCGACGCTGCGAAGGCAGGGTCGAAGAGTCGGCGCGGCAGCTTCCAGCTGCCGCGTGCTGCGGCGGGGATGGCATCGCTGTCGACGCTAGAGCAGAGCATGCCAGCGGATGCGGTGCTGGGAAAGGAAGGGATGAACAACGTGAGTGGATTTTCTACCTTTTAGTCGTTGAAAATCGCTGATATGAGGTTCTAGTTCTTGCAAGGCCTGGATCCGGCGGTTATGCCACTGGGAATTATTACGCTCGAGGATGTGCTGGAAGGTGAGGGAGTTCCGGGCTCACTGGATATCGCAAGTGCTAAGATCTCACCACCAGAACTCATCGGCGAGGAGATCTGGGACGAGTTCGACTCTGAAGGCGCACACGGAGACTACCTCGCGCCGAATCCGCCTGTCGCCGTGCGCGACTATGCCGTCGCCACCCCCGCACATGAGGCCGCTGTCCCGCTTCGGACCCCTGTGGCTCTGAAGCCACTCGCGCTGAAGGGTCTAAACTTCCTGCGCTCGCGCTCTGCGCCACCGTCGCCCAAGGACGAGCGCCCGCCGCCTCTCGAGTTCAGCAAGAGCGGCTCCGAGAAAGAGAAAGGCATCCCAGAACGACCTGTCTCTGTCGCTCTGGGCGCTGAGGACGCGCCGATCCCGAGTCCGCGACCCAGTGTCCGCATTGAACCTCCAGCGCAGCCGCAGCATGCGCATCCCAATCCGCATCAGCCCGCGCATGTCGTTGGGCCGACACGCGGGGCGTCTCCTGCTCCCTCGTTGGAGGCCTACCTCGTTGAGCGCAAGCGTAGAGGTGGGCAGGCAGCCGTCGGGGTAACGAGCGGCGCCACGGTTGCCCGTGGTCCCAGCATCAGCGCAAAGGGGACGATGTTCAAGAGCAGTCCTCTAGGCGGCGCGGCGGCAGACGGTCCCAGTCCGCACGAGAAGGGGGCAAAGGCCGGTGGCGACGAGGTTCGTATACCTGATGAGAGGGATAAGGAGGGTCCGGACAAGAACGAGAGCAGTAATAATTGACGTGATGGGCAAGAACTTCGGATTTTGTGCTTTGCTTGTGGATAATACCTATCAAGGTTTTGGGTCTTGACGTATATGATGCTTGCTATGCCTGTAACTTCTTATGCATACTTCACCGACGAGCCATGGAATTCAGTACACGCTCTCGAGGATGCGGTTGACCGCCCCTACTGATTGGTTGTCGATATCTCATCTCGCACCTACATAATATGGCGACTATGTCTGCGGTCATTCAGTTCTACGACTATGACATGATGCGATGTCGTCCTTGGTCACGGGCACAGAGTTCTGTGCCATGGCCACTTCGTGACAAACTTTGTAGGTCCATGCATTGTCGGGTCACGTGGTTTAATCATTAAACGTTCCCGCGGGTCGGTTTCTGACTTGAGTCTTGCATTCCCTTCTCGACACAAGCCTCCTGGCGATGTTGTCACCGTCCACAGTTCAAAGAGCTTTGAAAACCTCTAAGGAAGGGCTACGTAAACAAACTATCTTTCCGTCCTTACGATGTGATCCTTTCGTCCTCGATGATCACCACTGGAGTCTCCAGTCTCTACAGGTCCGCCAGGCCATTCAAGAACTCGAATCGTTAGCATCATTAGTGAGCCCTGAGCTGCACGAAAAATACGATGACATGCTGCGAGCCGACTTGCACTGCTTCTTCCAGAATCATTGGACTACGATCGTTCTCTGGATGGATTTCTTGCACCCAGTGCACCACGTTGGCACCGAACGCCTTGAGCGTGTCCCGCTGCTTACGCTATGCAGAGCCTTCCATAGGCTGACACAAACGGAGGGTCCTGTACACGAGTTTGCAAGAGAGACGCCTCGGCTTTACCAATTGCTTCTTCTGCTGTATCTGCGCTTCGACAAATACAGGCCCGTCCAGATCGACAAAACGACCGTGCTTAAGTGCTTAACGCTATTGTCGCTGACCGCGCGTCAGGCCATGTGGCGTGTCGACAAGAGGCCGTACGAGCACTTGTACGGGGAAGGTCGATTTCATACCGTCATGAAGGATATCGCCAACACACTCTTTATCGATGCCGCTCTCTCTGCAGTGGGTCATAGGCCCCGCCGGCTCTATCGGAAGGTCGTCCTGCATCTCCAACTATTTGTCACAGCAATTCGAGAATGTCCGGATGCCGACATAACCTTGGCTGACCCCGCTATCTCAGCCTTCGGGGAGCTGGCTGGTGAAGTCCTGCCTATCCGTGCCCACTCTCGCATCGTCATTGAGCAGCTTGTCGACCTCGCGCGCGTGTTCTTCAACATGCCCGACGGTCGGGGCAAGAACGGCGCGCGGCTCATATGCAAGTTATTCCACACGATCTGGATGACTTGCTATGATGGGCGCTCGGTGGCTTGGGCTCTACGCGCAGGCGTGCTGCCACTCATGGTGGCTTTGAATGCGGAAGAGGAGACTAAGATGGTATCGGACGCACTCTTCGCTATCACGGGCAAGGCCTGTCATGTTCGTGTCATACGCGCCCTGCGCTCTTCGGACGGGGAAGTCATGTCGTTTCGGGGCAGTGCTTTTCGGAAGCCTGAGGAGCTGGACGAGCTGGATAGATGGCTCAGGGGCCGCGCCGACCTATGGCACTGGGAGTACCAGAACCAGAGGTGTCATTCTCAGCAGGTCAGCCGTACGCTCGTCCCGTTGGAAATGATGGGATTAACACGTACCTAAACAGTGTACCAGGCGGGAGTCCAGTGAACCGGCAGCCGTTCGCTTCTGCCATTGTTACAACGTTGCATATTGCTCCAAAGAGTGCCAGCGCGCAGACTGGGAGGAGCATAGGAAGACATCCTGTGTAAATATGGATTGGGGCGTACAATATATTGGGTTTATGCAAGGTGCGAATGTACGCTTCGTATCGAACGAATTGCCTCTGACGAGTGCGGCACTACAGGAGACCTATCGCCCCTCGACGCGCATTTCGTCGCCTGCTGCACAATGCACTACGAGCGTGTGCACGCACAAACAATCTTGCTCAGCATCGAGCGCGCTCTACAATCTGTCGATACTCGACCATGCAAATTCGTGGTCATGATCCACATCTGCTTCGCGGTCTCGACCTACGAAGTTCATCTCGGATTGCCGCCTCGCAAACCTGGCGGTGATGATGTACACATCCTCTTCGAGGCTGCTGTTGGTTACATGGACGGTGTCACCATAATGCAGGTCGACTACCGGAGCTTGAGGGGGCTCAGGGAAATGGCGGGGAAGCAGGTGGCATTGGGATATCCAAAAGAGGGTTATGCGTTGCAGCGTACGAGTCTGGAGCGAGATGCGCCGATGCACGCGGTGGGACAGACAGGACCTGGCGTTTGGATATCTACAGCCTGAATGACAAACGCCCCTCACATCTTCGCCTTCCTGAGAGCCTTGGCCTTCTCGCGAAGGAGACGCCTGAGAAGTTTGCCTGCAAGAAAAAGGGATGAATGACTTTTTTCCACAATGGAAGTAGTCATGAACCAAGTACCTGACGGATTTTTGGGTATAATATCCACGAACTCGACGCCACCCTTGAGGTGCTTGTAGGCGACTTTGTTCCTTGCGACGTGCTGCATAATCTCTTCCGCCGCCTTGCCCTTGTCCATTTCTGCAGCAGCGTCGGAGAGCACGACGAAGGCAAGGGGAACTTCGCCGCCTGAAAAGGAACAACATCAGTGAATCTGCGAGTCATGCGGCAAGGCTTGGACCCAACTGTAAGCATCGGGCACGCCGACGACGCAGCAGTCCGCCACCGCAGGATGGTCGAGCATACAGCCTTCCAGCTCGGCCGGCGCGACCTGGAAGCCATTGACTTTCATGATTTCCTACGGAGGGATAGTCAGCGACAAGGGGCATCATCAAGGAAGCCAGACGCTCACCTTCAAGCGGTCGATGACCCAGACTTCCATGTTGCGGTCTATCCTGACTTCGTCGCCCGTGCGGACCCAGCCGCTGGTAGTTGGTGGAGTTCAGCACGTTTTGGACTAGCTTCTGAGGCTGCTCACCCATCGAGGTAGGTTTCCCGGGTCCTGCGGACTCATCATAAGCGTCGGAGTTATTAATGAGTGAGGGTCGAGCAACTCACGCTTCCTCGTCCCCATAATATCCCAGCGTCACGCTCGGCGTGGAGACCACAAATTCACCTGGTTCATCGAATCCCACTAACGTTCCGTCTGGCTTCACAACCCGCGCGACGACTCCAGGCATGAGTTGCCCGGCACCTAAATGGGAGCCAGTGAAGCTCTAGAGCGCCGACTCGGATAGAACGCGTACTGCCCGACGTCCCGATCCTTTGCGACGCAGGAAACATGGAGACGGCGGTGCTCGTCTCCGTCATGCCGTACGCTTGCCCGATCTGCGCGTTCGGAAGGACCTGCATCTTTGGTGAGGACGCTGGAAAAATAGGGAGACTCTGTCGATAGCTACCTTGAGCAGCTGCATCGTGACCTCGTGCGATACCGGTGCGGCGCCCATCATCATGAAGCGAACGCGTTCGAGTGCTTGTCGGTACGAGGCAGTTGCTGGATGCTATAGTACGTGTGAGGAGTCGCATATATGTTTCTCGAGTCGCAGACTCGCACCTTGCACAGAAGGACGGCTTGGGGAGGTACAAGGCTGCACGGAGGTCAAGTAGAGATGTGAGTTGCCCCACATCGACGTACGAGAGATGTGTAACGCTGTACCGCTCGATGCTTGCGAGCATGTCGGTATACTTGAACGTTGGGACGATTATTACGGCAAGCTATGTCGCTCATTGGCCCCCATCTGACGTGGACGGTAACTGACACTCACGCCTGCATAAAGGCCAAAATGGAGCTGTCAGATGTCAGTGCAGTGAATTTAGGAAGAAGTCATGCTACTCACGCTCATGAGCAATCCATAGATGTCTACCCAAATTGTCAGTAAGTCTGTTCATAAGAAATGTATCGACGCACGATAGAAAGGCAGTACTGTCCGGAGAATGTTAGTGAATAAGATAGCTCTTACGATGTACGTTCGACTTACCTCCCAAGCAGACATCGCCTACCCGAAATCTTCGTTCTGGGGAGTCCCAGGGAACGACGCGCTTGCTCCCATTATAGTAGCGCTCGTTGATGTCGTTATGTACTGCCAGCTGCACGATATTGGAAATAAACGCATAGTGGGGGATCGCTACAGCCTGTGGAATGGCATTGAGGACGTCTGCCAATGTCCTTCAAACGATGTACGCACTTTCGGTTTTCCCGTTGTACCGGAGCTGAAACAAAATAGAGCGATTTTCTTCTTCGCGCCGCCCTTCTTCAATCGATATCCAGTAAAGCTCTTGGGCTCATCAAGGCCGAATTGGAGTAGCTCTTCGAAGCGGGTCATCCCGTCAGACGTTCTCGCAGTGCCATCGAACGACGAGCCATCTTCCTCCAACACGACGATGCGGTCCATAGGTATGCCCACGTCCCTCGCAGCTGTCCGAGCTACACGCAGTGACTCTGCGTCCGGGTAGGTGAATATCATGCTAGCCTTCGTGCGTTCGATCTGGTATTGCAACTCGGATGCCGTGAAGGACGGATTGGCGGGGGAGACGATGGCGCCGAGGCGATGGGCAGCCCATATGACTACGGGGAAATCTGAGAAATTCGGGCTATCAGCCTCGAGAAGGGCACAGGGCATAGTAGTGTCCCACCGACGTGATTCCTGGAAAATAGCAATACTGAAAGAGCGCCCTGGCGTCAGTCCACATGTCAGACCAAGTGAACTAGCTCTACTCACCGACATTGTCTGCCTTAACGCCATATCGAAGACTCAGAGCATTGGCGAGCCCGTCTGTTCTCCTCTCAAGCTCGTCCAACCCGATACGTCGCCCCGTTTTGTCCTGAATCAACCACGTATCTGCGCGCGCATCTCGCGTAGGCCGGTTGGAGTCCGTGTGCGCACCGAGGATGAACTGAGGTATGGTCAAATCATCGGGGATGAGCGCCGGGTCGAGCTCTTTGGCAGCGCGAAAGAGCATCTGAAAGATGAGCAGCAGCAGATGGACGAGACAGGGCCGCAGGCAGAGGGGAGGACCGCTTGGTTCGGAGAACGTAAGGATGCAGACTTATAAGGCCCCCTGGCGCTCACGTTTAGGTCCCTACGGCGACATGCAGATGTCACCTGGTTCATATAGGGCGTCGGGCTATAGAAAGCTGCGGTACGAGGTCATCAGAACATTGAGTCGGACTCCGGTACGACCGATCGTAGTAGCGCCAGGTGGGATTCGACTTGCACATCTCCGCGCGTGAGCAGTCAGAAGACACCTTCCTTGTCGAGCATTGGCTGACCCCAGTGTTATTTAGACAGCGATAGCGGGCTTGCGTAAGGCTCAACGTCTTGTTAAATCCTTCCTATACGAAATCTCATTGCAAGCGAGACCAGACACTGAATTCGACGAAGTCGCTCGGTGGGCGGTCTGGCAACGGCCGGATGACGTCAGCAAATGGGCGGCCTTGCCAAACCTGTCGGCTCAGTCAGCGCAACGCGTCGTTCACTGGCTTCAAACGCACCTTGTCCCCGACCATCACGTATTGGAGTCAGCATGAAGGCCACACTGAACGGAATCGTGCTCGCCGAGTCCGGCAACACTACGGTTGTCGAAGGCAATCATTACTTCCCGCCTGGGTCCATCAAGAAGGACTTGTTCAAGCCCTCCAGCACGACGTGAGTACCCATACACAAACTGTTCATGTTGGACCTTTCGTTGACGAGTTTGCCAGCACACATTGTCCTTGGAAGGGGTCAGTGGAGTACACACTCAGTTGCGGGTTTACTCACTTACTGTTGCAGCAACGCAAGCTACTACAACGTCGAAGTCGATGGCAACACCATCAAGGATGCAGCGTGGTCAGTTGCTGAAGTCTGGTCTGCATCACCATCTCTAACGTTGCACGAAAGGTACTATCCCAATGCGTCCGAGAAGGCCAAGAACATCGAGAACTACGTTGCCTTCTACAAGGTGCGTTCGGGCGACGTCCGCGAAAGCTCCCATCCTCACCTTACCAATCACAGAACAAGGTGACCATCGAATAGGGAAGTGTGGGGTCAATGACGCAGACGCCTGCGAAGAAGGTTCAATGTGTACAGAAGTTAAATCCCGAGATACAGCAGAGTAAATACAGCACACTTGATTGAAGCTTGCTATGGTCGTGCGGAGGCGGGCGCAGCGCCCTGTCCCTTGGGCATCTTCTTGTCTCCCGTGGCAAGTTGCTCCAGGTCGGCGGGCTTGAAGTAGTGAGGCGCCACTGCAAAGTTGGTCAGAAAGCTGTCTTCGATGAGCTAAGGCCAGGGCGTACCTTCCAGCAACCATGACGGCTTGATCTCCATGACCTGTCGCATGTACGACTTGCTCGTCATGACGAGCTCGTAGTACAGCACGGCCCTGACAGGGGGCTGGAACTGGAACAAGCTCGACGAGGGGTGGATGTAGACAGTGTGATTGGTCTTTAACGTGCGGTACGAGTCGCCGCCCTTCTGCAACTGCGCCTGCACAACGTCGTCAGCGGTTACATATCATGAGCGGGAAAGCACGGCTTACCGTATTGTAGAAATACCCCGCCGTGATCGCCTTCTGTATCGGCGTAATATCATTCGAATTCGGATTCGGCTCCACCACAATCTCCACCCTCTCGCAAAGCCCCGCCAACTGATCCCTAATATCCCGCGCCCGACTCAAACTCTTAAACTGCAAAAACTGCTCGTAGCAGAACTGCTGGCTGTAGTTCGTATCCGCCCACTGCTCCCACACGTTCAGCAGCGTGAAGTGATCCCCGCCCTGGCGCACGAAGTTCTGCCGCGCCTGATCCGCGTGCAGCTTCTTGTCCTTCGGGCGGTAGAACAGGGAGGCGGACTCCTGGAGCATGGAGATGATGGTGAGCACCTCGTCGGTGCAGTGGTACTGCTCGGAGGAGATGATCGCCTTGGAGAGCATGGGGTCGACGGGGAACTCGGCCATGCGCCGGCCGAGCTTGGTGAGGTCGCCGCGGTCGTTGAGCGCGCCGAGGGCGTAGAGAAGCTCGAGAGCGCGCATGAGGGTCTCGCCCGGGGGCGGATCCATGAACTCGAAGCCGAGGAGGTCGTTGATGCCGAGGGACTTGAGCAATAAGACGACCATGCCTAGGTTCGTGCGCTGGATTTCGGGCACGGTGCTCGCCTCCAGCTCGTTATTGAATGCCCACTTGGTGTACAGGCGGAAAGCCTTCCCGGGCCCAACACGGCCTGCGCGGCCTGCTCGCTGGTTGGCGGACGCGCGGGAACATGGTACGACTATGAGAGAAGACATCCCAGTGCGCGGATTGTACGAGTTCTGCTTCACGAAGCCAGGGTCGATGACGAAGACCACACCATCGATAGTGATGGACGTCTCGGCGATATTTGTCGCAAGCACGACCTTGCGCGCGCCCTCCGGTGTCGGCTCGAAAATCTTCGCCTGCATGTCACTGGGCAGGTTGGCGTAGATGGGACATATGATGAGCTCCGCGATCTTGTTTCCCAGCGCGCGCGCTGTCTCTTGCAGATTTTCGTGACATGCCTCGATTTCGTCTTGTCCCTGTGCAAAATTAGCGGTTGACTGGAGTGGAGAGCATGTACGACGTACAGTAAGGAAGACAAGGATATCACCCTTGGGTTGTGTGGTGTGGATCTGGAAGACGGTAGTGATGGCGGCGTGGAGGTAGTTGGCTTCGGGCTGGGGGGTGTAATGAATGTCGACAGGGTACATGCGACCGGGAACTGAGAACCATCGTCAGCGCACACCATGATTGAAAGCATACACGAGCGTACCATAGAAGGTCGGCGCGCCGTCAAAGTACTCGCTGAACTTCTCGGCATCCATAGTGGCACTGGAGATAAGAATGCGCAACTCTGGACGGAAGCGAGCGATATCCTGTTAACCAGTTAGCCTGGGTTTCTTGCGCTCAAGATGTAGTCACTCACCTTAACCAGCGCAAACAGAATATCCGTACTCAACGTCCGCTCGTGCGCCTCGTCAATGACCAGCGCCGAATACCCCGCCAGATCCGGTTCCGTCAAGAACTCTCGCAAAAGCATGCCGTCCGTCATGTACTTCAGCACCGTCTTGTCGCTCGTGCAGTCCTCGAATCGGATTGAGTACCCAACCTCGTATCCAACCTTCGTGCCCATCTCGTCCGCGACACGCGCGGCGACAGACATAGCGGCGACGCGACGCGGCTGCGTGCAGCCGACCTTCTGGCCGTTCGCGGTGTAGCCGGCTTCGTGCAGGTATTGGGGGAGCTGGGTGGTCTTGCCGGAGCCGGTTTCGGCGACGACGATGAGGACTTGGTGCTCTTGAATAGCTTCAATGAGCTGCTCGCGGTATTGGTATATGGGAAGGGACTTTCGAGTTTCCTCGATGGTCTTGGCTATGCCACTGTCAGTATTCCAGCTTGTTACATAGCGCGTAAGACACGCACCTTTCTTCTCCGCCTCCTCAATCTGCGACTGAAGCAGCTTCTCCGCCGCGGACATTTGCGAGCCCTTCAGCTGAGACGCATTGTCCTGTATGAACTGGATAGTCTGGCTCTCGTCGAACACATAGTCGTATGCGTCGACGAGCTCGGGCTTATCCAGCGCGCCAGTCTTGAATGTGCTGTTCTTCGTCTGCGCGGCCTCCCACTGGTCGACGTCCGTCACGAACTGATCGTCCTTTGGCTTCGCATCCTCGTACCGCGCATATAGAGCCCGCTCCTTCTTCTTCCGGTCGATCTTCCCCTGCTCCGTGAAGTAGTCGTCCGGCAGCTGATACCCGTCGTACGAGTCGTTGATCTTCAGGCGCTCCTCGACCAGCCGAAGCAGCTCCTTCTTCCTATCCAGCTCCCGCTGCTCGCGCTTCGAGATCTTCATGCCCGCGAACAGCGCCTCATCGTCCGCAATCTCCTTCCGCAGGAGCTCTATCTGCTGAATCTCGCGCTTCGTGAGGTACTCCTGCCGGGAGTGCACGCGGAGGGAGGGGAGTGCTATGGAGCGCGCTGCCGCATCGTCGGCGAGCCTGCGGCGTTCGGCGGCCTCGGCTGCGGCGCCGCTGCTCTTGGAGGAGCGGTCCTCGACTATCTTCTTCGTCTTTTCCCTGTCTCGCTCCTTCACGCGCTCGGCGAATGCGTCGCGCTCGCGTAGGTCCTCCAGCCGCTCGCGCTCCCTCCGCGCATCCTCGTCCTCCAAGTCCATCTCCGCATCTGCGTCTTCGCGCGGAGGTGTGGGGGGCCGGGGCTCTTCCTCTCGCCGCCGCTTCCGCGCGTGCTCCTCCTCGTCGCTTTCCCACTCCTTGCCGTCGTATTCGCGTTTGCGCAACGTGCGCTCCTCGGTCCGCTTCTTCGACTTCTTCACGGGCGCAACGTCGGTCGAGACAGAGGCATCATCCTCGAGCACAAAGCTGTACTTCTGCGCGCGGAGGGCCTTCGAGTCTTTCTCGGTCTGCTTGCGGCTGGCGTCGGCCTTTTGCTTGTGCTTCCTGGGCGCGCGGGAGTAAACCTCCTGGACGAACTCGTGGGCGTCTGAGGTGTCTGGTAAGCCGAAGGCGTTGAGTGTTGAGAACAGTGCCTGTGGTGACTTGGAGGACGACGCTGGGTGTAGTGTTAGTGATTGGGGAACGAGTGCAGTGGAGGTGACACACCTGACGCTACCACATAATCTATGATGCTCCGATCAGCATAGCCAAAGAACTAAAGCACCCGAGGGTCAGTATAGTCACAAAGACAGTATGAGGACCTGCACGCACCCTGAGGGAATTGTCGCTGATGTATCTTTCGAGGTCCATCAAGTTCAATGGTGAAGGCGTCCGCAGAGTGCGCCGTGATGCCTAAGCGCTGTCCGGCCCGAGGTCCGGACCCCTTCCGAGGCGCGCCACAAATGACTTTGACTTCGACTCGAACTTCCAACATCACGAATACGGCCTGCGACTGCAGCTCTACAGCGCTTTTCGGGAGCTATCCTAAATCAAGGAAATTAAGCTGGCCTTCCTCTGCGCTGAGCGTCACCGAAACCACAATGATCCTCAACGACGCTGTGAACCTGGTCCAGCAAGCATGCAGTGCTGAAATGTCCCACTGGAAGAAGACCTCTGCGTCTAGGAAAAGGAGCTTTGCCATAGATGTGGCTTTGGTCATATGTTCTGTTAGGTACACGATATACTCGTCTTCAGATGCCTTGTGCGAATCGACATTATCAGGACTGGCCATCTCGTCGATGCTATCAATCACTGGCCCGACGAGCTCGCGAAAGCTATACAAAGGATCAACGAGGCAAGTCTTGTCGCCAGAACTTCGCATTCTGGTATTTAGCTAACACTTGCAACCATGTAGGCGTACAAAGCCTTCGTGCTCGTCTGCCTGAATCGCAACGACTGGGATGCACCCCAAATGTTTATAGTGAACAGAGACAAGTTCTTGCAACGCACACAGCCAATATCGTCATCGAGTATGATTCCAGGGCTACTCTTCATTAGTCTAGCCACCTGCGACTCCGCTGAAGAGGTAAGCAGTCTGTATCAGGCTTAGATAGTGTTTGCTATACTAAGCACGCAATCCAGATGGCTTCAGCGCCTACCGACCTTGTCGAATCCATCATCAACTATGCTTCAAAAACACAGCGTCTCGCCCCTGACGACCCCATTGTCACTCTATCCTCAGATGCAGACATCGATATCCTCGTTCCGCTCGCCACCTTCCTCCTGGAATATCCCGTCGCCTACGTCCCCAACCCCAAGCATCATCTATTCCTTGGTCAGATTCCTCTCGACGTCCACGAAGTCATTCTCTTGGCTGGTCCCACCCTGCGCAGCTCCCGTAACGTCACGTCGCACCGTATCCTGAAGTTCTCTGTGCCCTGCCACATCGCCGCAGCGCACCCGCACTTAGCGCCAGCAACGTTGCAGCAGACCCTGCGAGAAGTCTATATGCAGCGAGTGCAGGAGGCATTTGGCGCGGACTTTTCAGTCAGCACGTTGCACACAACGACGACAGAGGATCGACTCGCGCTCTGAAGGCGTCCTCCGGATTGTCATGTCACGCAGGCGCTCGTAGCAACAGTACATCGTCCACGTTTATCCTGCATAGTCGAGTCATGTCTCGCACCTGCTCTCGAATGAGCGCATCTATCGCGTCAATTCAGCCGCTTTTCCCCTTCATCAACTCTGCTCTCGGGTTTGGACCAATGTCACAGGTGCATATCCCGAAGATGAAAGTTATGCTTAGACGCGCGAGGTCGATCTTGGTCGCTGTCATCCCATGCTCGTTGCCCTTGTATTACTCGACCACTTGCTCCTGGTGTTTCGCCACCCCTTGCGACCCTTCAGCCCACGATCCTCAATTTCAGCCTGTCCAACTCTGTCGCGCTTCCCGCACATCCCGCACGGCCCCCCACACACTCAGACGTGCCTCCATTGATGCACCCGCGCTCGACGTTCGGAAATAGCGGGACGCACGCGGTGGACGCGCCCGCTCACCCCGTGACCTCGCCCTATAAAGCCTCCCTTCGGGCGCGTCCTAATTTTGCGTTCTTTCCCCACCACCTCTCTATCAACGAACACCTTCGACCTCGTATACGATGCTCTTCACGACCCTGATCCCCCTGTCCCTCGCCGCGCTCGCCGCCGCTACCGGCGGGCCCGCCATCGAGAAGCCTGCCGCGAACAGCGTGATCCAGCCGGGCGAGGAGTTCGACTTCCACTATTACAGCATGGCGGACTACCTGCGCACAGGGTACAACACCAGCATCTTCCTCTTCACGAGCGAGATAGGCGCGCTGGCCAGCGGCGGACAGAACGAGTCGGTGACGACGGGACACTTCTTTGGCAGGTGGTCGACGGGGTCTGTGCCGAGTGAGTGATGACGGCTATCTGCCGCGGGCTCATGCCGTCGTCTACTGCCGCTGCACGACGACGTGCGGTGATGTGTGAGGATGAGTGCTGATCATACGTGCAGACAACAACCACCCAGTTGAGGCACTCCCTGAGAAGCTCACCATGCCCGACTTCTCGGTGAACCCGGGGGGATTCGGCATAGGGAAGACCGCATCTGACGCGCCCATGTTCCTCGCTGTCTTTGAGGAGTGGGCAGAGCAATCGGTGAGTAGCGCAATCTGACCACTGTTGACTGCCATCTCTGGCGTCGGAGTCAGTGATGCTCGCCGTGTTGGCTTCGCTCTTCTGTCACCCTTGGCTGCCTTTCTGATAGAAACGCATCGTTCACACCGAGTGCTGACGACATTCAACAGGGATCTGTCGGCCACAAGATCGCCTACGTATCGACTCCCATTATTTACAATGGCACCAAGTCAAGCTAATCGCATCTTACCGTTGGAATATGGAGCCTACTGGCGTTAATCGTTCATGAAAAACAGCGCTAGCCAACCAGGACATGTTTTGTGTCGTACATTATTTTGACTTATATCTTGCTGATTGTGAACGACTGCCGTTGCCGTTGTGCTCGTAATGACCTCTCTATTCTTGATGCACTGCATCTTACAGACTCTGCAATGATGAAGCCAGTCAGCAGCCAGTGCCTCAGCCAGGAAGTTCGACCACGACTCACGTGGTCCTCGCGTGGGAAGGCGGTCGCGTGCGTTGAGTACGTCCCGAAAGAGGTAATCAACTCTTTGTTCTGCGCCATGATGGTTTGGTATACAGTGTCACTCTGCCTGATGGCTAATCTCCTCACTTTTTCCTGGCAAATACTTCGTGGACCGACTAGCGCGTTTACGACCGAAGCGATCTGAGGCGCTCAAGCAGTCCTATTCCCGACGGTGTACTTTCTACTTTACCAGGGCAAAGTCGTGTTCTCCTCGACATCTAGAAACTTCCCACCCGCCGTCTCCCGCGTCGCCTTTTCGATCTGCTCGAGGCATTTGCGCGCGTTATCCTCAGGCTTGCTTAGCTGAGGCAGCGCATTCTGCAACCACGGCTCATTCGCGACGGTAACTGTCGCCATGTCGGTGTCCAAAGCGCCTGGGTTCATCGGGAAGATTACTGGGAAATCACGTCAGCGCTTCGGCCTCTAGCATAGCAGCAGCTCCAGCGGTCCGAGATCATATAGCTCACCGAAGTCCTCAAAATCATGATGCAGCTTGCGCACTACCCAGTTGAGCGCCGCCTTCGACGTCCCATACGCATAAAATCCGCCATCGAAATTCGTGCCACCCGCCGCGATACTTCCAACTACACTTGAAATGGCCACGAACTTGGGATCAGAGCTCTTCTTGAGCACGTCATAGGTCGCTTGGAACAGCAGAAGAGGGCCGTTAACATTGATCTGCAGGCCAAGGTTAGTGGACTTCAATCAACAAACGCAGACGAAAACCCCGTACATCAAAATGCCTGGTCATCTCCTCTGCCGGCATAGTCAGACCACCCTCGAAGCAATTGCTGATCCCAGCATTGGCTATCACGATGTCCAGACGGCCTGCAACTCGACCGATCTCTTCGGCGGCAGCGGCATTGTTGTTCTTGTCCGCGGAGACGAGCTTTACGATGTGAAGCTTGTCTGGATTTGAATCTTTGAGCTCTTTGAGGCTCGCGGCGCTGTCGGGATCGCGAGCGCCGGCGAAGACAAGGACGTTCGGACGCTCGAGGAGGACTTTGACGAGACCGAGACCTTGAGAGTGTTAGAGATGAATGATCAACGGAGCAGCAACATGGCTGGGATGCGTACCGAAGCCACGGTTGGCACCGGAGACGAGGTAAACAGTCTGTGCAGACATGGAAGTTAACTCTGGAGGTATGGTCCTACCCCTTCATCGCTCAGTGATCTTATAGTCGGTCATACAGTAGGTATCCCATGCCGTCCTATAATCACCGCGTACAACGGTTTGTATCAAGCACTGAAACTCAGCGCTCAGCGTCCGCCCTTTAGATGGCACCGAGGGACCGTTATTGTATCCATCCACGGCGCCGATGCTTTCGTACGCTTCGGCAGCCATGCTAGTCGGCCAAGACAAGGGCCAAGATGCGGGTTCTGTCCGCTGTTGTGTGTCGAGGTCACAGTCATCGGCTTACGCTGAACGTTCACAAGCCGTCGGTACTCTATCCGACCTTCCGTTCCTCAAACAGACGGGATTAGAAGGCTACTTGGGATTTATTGAATCGTTCACAAGGTTCTCGACTATTCACGGCGACATCCGCTTCGCTTCCGTGATGCTCTACCAAGGGAAGACCGTCTGGCCATCGAAGTTAAGGAACTGGCCGCTCCCCTTCTCGCGCGTCGCCTCGTCGATCTGCTTCAGCACGCCACGGCCGGCCTCCTCGGCTGAGCTCATCGGGATCGCCTTCAACCACGGCTCCTTCTCGATGGCCAGTGCACCCATGGCCGTGTCGACGGCACCGGGGCTGATAGGGAAGGTGACTGGCGGACAACCGTCAGCACAACACAGTATTGATTGAACAGGCATTCGCTCGACCCTCACCGATGTTTTCGAAGTCATGGTGCAGCTTGCGCAGGACCCAGCTAAGGGCGGCCTTGGAGGAGCCGTACGTGTAGAGACCGCCCGGGAACTGTGAACCCGCGGTGATGCTGCCCGCCGGGGTGGAGATGCCAACGAACTTGGGATTCTTGCTCGCCTTCAGCAGCTCGTACGTTGCCTGGAAGAGAACGAGGGGACCGTTCACGTTGATCTGGACGTCGCGTAAGCCAACCATCTCTTCGCCTAGACAAGGCCCTCACGTCGAAGTGCCGAGTCATCTCCGCGGCGGGGACTGTTAGCCCGCCCTCATAGCAGTCCGCGACCCCAGCGTTTGCGATGACGACGTCGATGTGGTCGGCGACCTTGCGAATTTCCTCCGCGGCGGCGACGTTGTTCGCCTTGTTGCTCGAGACGAGCTTGACGATGTGGAGCTTGCCCGGGTTGGCGGCCGCAAGAGCTTTGAGGTCCTTCGCGCTGTCAGGGTCGCGAGCGCCTGCGAAGACGATGGCGTCCGGCCGCTCAAGAAGGACCTTGACGAGTCCAAGGCCTGCGGGACATGTTAGCCAACCTGAACGTCAGACGAGCATGTCGCGAGGATAGCGTGCATACCGAGGCCACGGTTGGCGCCAGAGACGAGGTAGACGGTGGAGTTGGACATTGTTGGGTTTGTGGCACAGGGAACTCGCTCGCTGGACTGGAGGACTGGGGATGTTGGATTGCCCTCACGTCTTCAGCCTTATATAGGGCTAAATTGGCCCCGCATATGGCCCTCGACCTTCCCAGATCTATATAGTGTTGTAAGCCGAACACTAAGCAATCCCCCACAGCTCGCCTGTCCTCAACATTGGCGAAGTTGCTTGACGAGTTCGACATTACGCGCCCGAAAAGGGTATTCCGGCCTCACGGGAAACCACCGTGGGATCTTAAAGCGTGATTGTCACAGTTAACCTTAGGCTTTGTCATCGCACTCCATCGGACTTCAATGAGTCAATCACCCCTGCAAGAAAACAGGTCAAGAAAGGGGGGACATATTGATTGGCCAGAGAGACGCTATCTAGGGCACTGTCCTAGGAATACATGACGGTAGGTATGCGGAACAGGTCCGACTTGCTCAAGTGACAACATTTTGTGACACAGGTAGCGTCCAGTCACCGGGCAAATCCGTCTCAAAGCGTTTGAGGGCCGCCAGCTTTTCTCCCTCATACATGCACGCCTGCGACCTCGATGCTACAACCTCCTTCACAAGGGACACTTTGCTGCGACCCGGTCCAGATTTCGCTGTACCGCCGAACGTCATAGTCAGATGGGTAAGGTTCGGCAACCGCGCCATGGACCGACTGTCGTCCGTATCGCGAACAAGGATGTAGATGAGGGATCGCGAGATGAAGCTGTCCTGTGTATAGCGAATGTTCCGGATGTCCTCGATGACGAGATGCGAGAGAGTTGGGAGAAGGTCGAGGCATTCCTCGAGGATGCGCCACACGCCGGCGAGGTTGGTGAGCGTGAGCGATTCGAGGTGCTTGCCAAATGACGACGAGCTCAGCGCGTCAGCGAAGTAACTCAGGCAACGTGGTTCATCCTCACGAGCAGATGAAGCGCGGCCTCGAAGGGCCGCCGACTTGAGGTTCGGCATGGAGAAGACTTGGCAGAGTCGAGCACCGTAATTTGACGCCTTTAGGTGCTCGAGGTGAGGGAGTGTGGTGCTCCTCAGTCCGTGGGTGGTGGGCGAGTAGCTGCACTGTTTCTCTCCGACGTCCAAATAACGTAGGGACGCGCTGCAGCTGGATATCATGGGCAAATACTGTGCGAGGTCACTGCTCCGCGCACTATAACAGAAGATAGCCAGTCTAGTGATGCGCCATGACGAGGGGAGCTGGGAAGGCACAGGGCGAAGTGGTTGCGCCAAGTCAAGCTGGAGCGACGTGATAGGCGCGCTGGCGAGAGCAAAAAGCTTGGCCGGCCGGTATGGCGATGAGATTTGTAAGTGTAGCTGGGTGAGGGTCGGGAAGTGGTCAGGCCAGGGAAGCTGGGTATACCGCGCCGGCATCGGGAGCTCGTCCACGGTCAAGCTTCCCCATCGGTGCGAGTGCGAGTAGAGGAGAGACCAGGCCTCTTCAAATGAAGTGGTCACGTTCCTGACCGGATTGAATGTCAAAGATACCGATAGAGGTAAGTTTCCAGAGCGCGCAAGATGAGCCTCCATGGCTTCCTTCCACCGCGTAGCGTAGAACAGAAAGTGGACGTTGATATACCTCCATAGCTGGGGCGTGCTCAGGGCGACCGCACGCCATGTCGAGCAGACCGCCGCATAATTTAAGCCTGGTCCGCCCATGCATTCGTCTGTCCACCTTTCCGGGAGAGCGTATTCGAATATGACTGAAAGGATTTCTGGAGGCAAGAGGCGGACGGGGGAAAGCATCGCGGCGCTGCGGGCTTCCTGCATCATGACCTGCGCCTGCTGATGGACGGTCTGCGCGAGCTTCAGAGAGTGGAGCACGATCTCGGATTGAATGCTTTCTCGGAGACGCGCCATGGCGTCCAGATCTGTTGCGATGTCGTGTCTCTCTCGATCGTTGGGTATGACGCCGGAGCGGAGAAGATTGAGGTTGCCTCGCGTAGCGGCGGCGCCCAGAACTGGCTGTATATGCGCATCCGATGGTACAGAAACCTGTTGGGGATAAGCATCTGTCTTGTTGGTCTGCGCAGAGACTCACCGGTACATCTTTGCTTTGCACCAGTGCGGCCAGACGCGTTATGCAGTCAGTCAGTTGGGTCATTTCCGCCGCACTGAGTTGTTGGAAAGCCATTGCTTGCAGGGAGTTAGCCCCAGGCGCGTTCTAAGTTGAACTGTACCTACGTGACCGTCGTGATGAAGGGAGAAAGGCGTCGGAATCCACGACGCATTCACGTGTTGGACGGAAGCTAATGCACACGTGGATTTGAGTCCGTACTTTGAGTAAGGTCGACGCTCGTTTGCACTATACAGGACTTACAGCAGTACCATTTGCCCGTCCTGACCAGCGTGTCGCAAGCGACATTTCCATTGCCTGCATGTTCAAGATGACGGTAATCTCACCACTCGCGAGGCGACGTAAGACAGACATCCTCAGCAGATAAATAATGCAAGCATCGACAGGTCATCACAAGGAAAACACAATCAGAGTAAGACAGTCAGGAAAGTTCGGTCCCACCATTCCATGACCATCAGTCCGCCGACGTGATAGCTTTCCGGAAAATCCTCCCCTCTTCACCAGCATCGCATAGCAGATATGCTATCCGTGCGTCTCCTGAACTGCGGTCGTCTCCGGCATCCTCACGAATAGTGAGCGGTGGACCAGGGAATAGTAACTCTCTCGACGAAGAGTCATCTCGTACCAACGCGAGCGTGTCGGGATCGATGGAGAAGAAGGATGCAAACAAGGAAAGCAGCCAGTTCCTTGGTCTCCGAGGCTCGACAGGGACCTGACGTTGTAAGGCGGGGGATAGCTTCGGCCGAGATGGTAGGGAATATACGACATTTCCTTGTCGCTGCCGCAGCTCCTCCCATTGCCAACTACCCCGTTGCATGCCCGGCCGTGCGGTCGGCGAACAACCAGGTTGTGGGGGATATGCAGGCAGGGGGGTACGGCGTATGGCGTATACATGCTGCAGTGTCTCTGTATGGTCTCCATATCCCTCTCCTTGGCTACGTGCCGACGTCGAAGGGGAGAGATCTGAGAATCCGGAGATAGATTCGAGATATGGGCTTCGTTCGGAGGTGGAGAGAGGGCTGAGATCTGCAGTAGACAGAGCGCTATAGTCTGCGTCGGATAGCACACTAGAGCCTTCGTCTGATAGCGTGCCGAGGTCGGTGGGTGTTGTGATGATACGACTGGGGAATATGAACATGCTGCTGGACGCCTGATCGGGTGACGAAGAGGGCTGCGCGGACGTGCTCTGAGCCGTCTGGGATCCAACGTCTTCAGACGCACGAGAGCGCGATGCTTTGGAGGACCGTGGCGCGGCGTAGAGAAGAGACATGATGGTAGAAAGCAGGTTGCTGTCGCAAGAGCGGAATCACCGTCCGGGACGGCGGTCGAGAAGTGATCTCATTCCCACGTGTTGCGGATTTGTGGCGTTATCCCCCTGCTAGATGCGTGCGCCGTGCGTTCACCGCGAACACTGAACTGCTCATCGACGACCCCTTCAGTGCACTCTTTCTGCCAGAGCAGGGCGAATATTCGTCTTACTAGGCCTTAAAGGGCAACACCCACAGTTCGCACAGAATGCCCCGCTCTCGCTCGCCTCCCCCACGCCGCCGAGACTATGATCGAGGCAGAGACGACAGAGACTACCCACGGCGTGAAGACCGCGGGTATTCACGTAGAGACGACCGAAGGGACGATCGAAAATACTCTCGAAGAGACGACCGCGACGACGAGGATTCCAAGTACGGACCGCCGCGCGAATACAGCGAGCGTGATCGGGAACGGGAGCGCCAGCGGGACAGGGATCGCTATGAGCGCCGACGGGACGACGACAGAGGGAGGGGGGACACTAGCAGTAGACGGGGCTCGGAGAGAAGGTCAGCTTCCCCGCGGCGAGAGGGCTCGAAGTCCGTGCCGCCAGAAGACAAGGGAAAGCCGAATTACGCGCCGTCGGGGTTGCTGGCGGCGGAGACGAACACAGTGAAGACTGCGGACGGCAACAGTACGCTCCTCAAGTACAATGAACCCCCTGAAGCGCGCAAGCCGCTGCAGGGCTGGAGGCTGTACGTGTTCAAGGGTGACGAGCAAGTCGGTGCGTAGACCATGTCCCCACTCAGTAGTAGACCCGGCACTTATTGTCTCCGCCCTCGCAGAACTACTCCATATCAATCGCCAGAGCGCCTACTTGATTGGCCGCGACCGGCTGGTCTGCGACATCTACATCGAGCACCCATCCTGCTCAAAGCAGCACGCCGTCATCCAGTGTACGTTCTCTTTCACGACGGCCGCATGTCCTTGCGCTTACTTCCCTTCAGACCGCCAGATCAAAGAGAAGAATGAGTTTGGCGAGGTCAAGGGGGTAATCAAGTGCGTGGGCTCATTTTTGTCTCGTCACCCGCGTGCCACTAAATCCCCGCCCCAGACCCTTCGTCATAGACCTCGAGTCCACTAATGGCACGCAGGTAAACGGGGAGAAGATCCCAGAATCGCGGTACTACGAGCTGAAGCTGAATGACGGTGCGTGGGCGTGTATACATCGCCACAGCGCTGTACTGTACTGACGCATTGATGTCAAAAGTCATAAAGTTTGGGACGTCCGCGCGGGAGTACGTCCTCCTGCACGACGATGTATCGTGACCGGTCCTTTAGGATCCAAGCTCGGTCCTCCGCTATCCCTAGCTCGCTGCATTGACCTGTGTGATATCGATGCCACAGGCGCGGGGAGAGATCCTTGGAGACGAGTGGAAGGATGCCTCGCGTAGGTGAAGAGGAGCGTCACGCCAGTAAAGAGAGGCCTCGTGCGCACCTCATTTTTTCCATAGGCTTTCCTGCCCGCGCGCCCGTGGGTGGCGAACATTGTACCCGGCTTGCTTTGTTGTCTTCAATCTAATCACACCGGAGACCTCGAATCGGCGTGACAATTGAATTGCGGCCGTGACCGTTCCCACCGCGAAGGTCTTCGCAGCGTTCATCTATCTTTCCCCCTCAGGCAGGGAGAGACGCTCGATTGCGGCGAACAATAGCCTCATTAGACGTTGATGAATGGACGCGGTCTCCCCCTGTTGAGTCACTTTGCCACAGTCCGTGCTGCTGATCTACGGCCTGGTTATTATTCGCGGGGCTGTGATGAATGGTTGGGCGACATGTGGTTGCAACATGCCTCCCGGCCCCCCAAATGCAGAACATAGACCGACCCTGAGTGCGCTATGACCTGTGGCTGCGCGCCACACCGCAGATAAAACCCTCGTTCTCCCTGTAATCACACCATCCCCCCAGCCCTCCCTCCCTCCCTTTGTGCACTCCCTCCAGCACTACCCGAAGCGGCGCGGAGATTTGTCCTCCCTCCCATCCACGCCCACGGCGATTAGAAAAGTCACAAAGCAACAGCCGGCCACGCGGCGCGATAGCATTGCCGAAAGTGACAACAAAGACCATCCGCTGATCGCCAGCGGCCCACGCACCGTGACCATAGCTGTGCGGCGTCTTTTGTTGGATCTGGAGGGGGTCTTGCCACGCCGCTTATAAGGCGCAGAAGTGGCTCCCGTTGCAACCACACCAAGCTATCTCTCTCCCCCTTCCTCTCTCGTCCAGTAAACGAGTTTAGCGCCGTGCTCTCTGTGCTGCTGCTGCGCCTCGATTATCTCATTACACACCTATTGCGAGTATGCATCCCCCATTCCAGTCCACGGTGCCACAGCTCGACGACTTCGGGGACGACGCCCCTTTCTGCCCACCGCCGGTCTCGACGAAGCAAGCGCCCAAGGCGCGAAACAATACGCCGCCCAGCCCCTTCAATTTCTCGTCGGTGTCTGCTTCGTCTGGCAGTCCGTACGGGAAAGAGGACGACTCCTCCAGTTCCGACGACTCCGACAGCGACGCGAGCTACGACTCCAGCGACGACGTGAACCCGACCAAAGTTGAAGAAGTTGAATGGGTGTATTCGCAGGACGCTGGAGGAGTAATTGCCCTAAACAAGCGGTCAGTCCATGAATGATGTTGTTTGTCGGCGCGTATTGACTGTTGATGGCAGCCCCGAGGGCGAAGAAGTCGACCAGATTGCGGTTGAGGGCCCCCAGGCTGAGCACTGTGAGGCGGTCGAACACTACGAGATGGTGGACGCCGACGCCGACGCCGAAGCCGAGCACGATGCGGAGGCAGATGCAGTTGGCGAGCTGACCGAGTACGGAGCGGACGCCGACGCAATTGGTGAGCCGGCCGACTACGAGGCGGACGACGAGGTCGACGTAATGCTAGGCGAGGAGGTCGACCAGTTCGAAAACAAGACCAGCCAGAAGCGCACCTTCGTCGACGTGTACCGCCCGCCGCAGCCGGACCGTCGCGGGAGTGCGCACGAACACTACTCCTCCTCCCCCGAGCTGCCCCTCTATGATTCCTTGCGTCGTGGGCGCGGGTCCACGCACGGTGTCGCCAAGTCCACCAGATCCAAGCGCGCCGCCCCCCAGCCCAAGCACCGGCGCAGTCCCTCACCGCCCCCGTACAGCGCCCCCAAGCGCGCGCGCCGCGATAACTACCCGCCTCTGCGCCTCGCGCCCGACGATGCTCCAGCGCCCATTCCGTCCTCCTCGTCTGGCCCACGGCGCCACACTGCGTCCGGCATCCCCCTGCCGCCCTCGGACGACGAGGACGAGGACGCTCCGCACGCGCCCTACCGGCCGCCTCCGCGCGCGATTTACCAGCGCGCGCGGCCGGACGACGAGTACGTGCCCGACGCGGACCCGTACGGGCCCGAGTCGGAGGACGATTACGACGAGCGCAGGTCGCGCACCCACCGCAGGGCTTCTGCCTCGCCCAGCAAGCCCTCGACATCGAGCCGCGCGCCAACGTCCGGCCAGAAACGCAAGCGCGCCCAGTCCCCCTCCCCCTCCCCCGAGAAGCCCCTGAAGCGCAAGCGCCACTCCGCAAAGAACGGCCACACGCGCAACAAGATCTACTCGAACGCCCAGATCGACGAGCACATCAAGCACATGAAGAGCCGCGAGGGGAGCGACTTCTCCTGCACGCTGTGTCAGCGCATCCTCAAGCGCAAGCCCGAGCTCTGGCGGCACGCGGATACGCACCGCGGCAAGAGCCCGAGGTGGGCGTGTCTTGGCGTCCCGGTCGCGATGCGGGACAAGGTCCCGGCGTCGCTCCGGGAGTACGGGCCACCTGAGGACAGGCGCGTGGGTGGCTGCCTGAAGTTGTTCAGCCGGAAGGACTCCCTACAGCGGCACCTGAGGTTGGTGCAGGCGTATGTACCGCATGAGAGGTGCTATGGGGATCATGCCCATCTTGGTGTTGATGACGACAAGTGGGATATGTGGCTGCCCTTCCTTCAGGGGACGGAGGTGCCGGCGCAGTCACCGTAATACCATGACCCAGATTTCTTCTATTTCCTCTTCTATTTCTTCCTCTCTCGACCAGTCTCTGTATCAATAGTCAGCGCCTCCGTCTCTTTTCACTTACCTCTCTATTACTGTATCTGTATCTTTCACATTAATGAGTTTCGGGCAGCCATCAAATGAAGTGTGTAGAATAGACCGATAGCGATAGAAGCACAGAATCGATTACTCCTTCTGGTTCTTTAGTCGCCGAGAGCGGATACGCTTGCCGTTCTGCACCTTCGGTCCCCAACTAGTGGAAGGTTAGCAAACACGGGAAGCGCGTGCTTGAGCAGGAAATGAACGCACCCCCGAATCGTCTTCTTGGGCTTCGGGTCGTGTGCAATCTCGCTGGGGGACACGCCCTGCCTGTACTTCTCCATGCACCAGAGAATGTAGCTGTAGTCCAGGTGAGACGAAGTCTTCGCTAGCCGTATGCAACGTACCGTCGGTCCTTCACAGGCAAACCCGCCGCTCTCAAGTCCCTCCCCGACATTTCCCAGAACTTCTCCCACTCCTCGATCTCCAGCTTGGTCTCCAGAGACCGCCCAATCGACTTGAGGAAGGTCTGAGGGGAGTTCATGCCCGCTAGGTGAGGGCAGGAAGGTCAACAGACGGAAACCGCGGCGGAACGCGTGAACGCACGGGTTGGTGGAGGCACTGTTGGGCGTTCCGAGACAAACGTGGATGCATTGCGCGCGGTAAGTCTCTGCGCTGCCGCGCTGAACGCGTTCGGGCGCAGCTGGCGGCACGACCGGAGTCCAGCGAGCACAGACATGGAGGGAAGACGCTGAAGGTGCCCGGCCCGGCGCACCCGGCAAAGTGATCGCCTCCGTCAGACGCCAACACGGGCAAACAGATGCTGAAGTTTACAAACAAATGTTCCTGCCAGATCCTGGCTTCTTCCAGGTAGATAGGGCAACTTGAGATTTACGGCACACTATTTGACTACTCGACGTCCACATTGATGATCTTAATGTCCTCGTACGGCTTATCCGCCTTGTTCGTCTTCACGTTCTCAATCGCATGAACGACCTCCAGCCCAGACAACACGCGCCCGAAGATCGTATGCTTCTTGTCCAACCACGGCGTCGCCGTCGTCGTGATGAAAAACTGCGACCCATTCGTCCCAGGCCCGGCGTTCGCCATGCTCACCGTATACGGGCTAAAAACCTCGTCAGCAAATCACCACTCAACATCCCAAATCCCCCACTCACCGATCATGCTTCAACTCCTCACTAAACTCGTCCTCAAACTCCCGCCCCCAGATCGACGTCCCGCCCGTGCCATCCCCCAGCGGGTCGCCCGTCTGGATCATGAACTTCGGGATCACGCGGTGGAAGATGATGCCCTCGAAGTACGAGCTGCGCGCGTGGCCCACGAAGTTCTCGACTGCCTTCGGCGCGTGCTCGGGGAAGAGGCGAATGTGGATGTCGCCGAGCGTGGTATGGATGGTCGCGGCGTCGGCGAGAGGGGACGGGCCAGACGATGCGGCGGCGGGCGCAGAGGAAGCGATGTTCTGCATCTCGCGGGTCGGGCGCTCGTTGAAGACGTCGCGTTCGCCGGACTTTTGGTCTCTGAGGAAGGATGGGAGGGTTAGACGGAGAGTCAAAGGGTAAAGGGGAACACGCACTCAGGTTCGGAGCGGGTGAACATGTAGAAGCGCTCGCGCTTGTACCCGGTACAGAATAATGTAGGATCTCGCTGGCCTTTCTCCGCCAAAATGGGATTCGCGGATGCGGCCATGGTCTGTGAAACCATATTAGTTGCCGTGCAAAGCATAAGGACAAATACTCACCATGCTCGTAAGGCTCTTCTTCGTCGGTGCTCCCTGGTACAGGCTCACGTTGATGAACCTCACCGCCTCATCCTTACCCAGCAACCTCGCCACCCGATTAGTCACCGTATTCACCACTGCAAAAGCGCTAATCAGTCCCTCGCCCCTCCCCCCTCACACAACACGAGCCCACTCACCTTTAATTCCCAACAACGACGCATAAATCACAAAGCTCCCACTCTCATCCCACACCGCATTGCTCCACCTCGCCGGCACCCTCCCCTCCGCGTCCTCCAGCTCCAGCTCCCGCTCCACCGCCAGTCTCCTCCCAAACTCCATATCCTCCACCCGGTGCACCGCGGTCCCCGCCTGCTGCATCTCCTGGATGGCGGCGAGCGACTCGTCGTACTTGCGCGTGAGCTTGCCCTTGAGGAAGGAGAAGACGCGGATCTGGCGGTCGGGGAGGGAGAAGGTGACGAAGGAGGCGGAGTCGGGGGAGAGGGTGATGCAGGTGGGGGTGGATTTGTGCTGGGGAGAAGTTAGTTAATATGTTATGTGGATGGGAGGCGGAGGGAGAAGGGGCTTGACATACTTTCTTGAACTCAAAGAGGTCGGTCTCGCTCTTGTACAGCCATAGACCCGGAATATCCTTCCGCGACTCGTACGGCTCGCGAGGCTCCCAGTATTCGACGAAGCCACCCTCGTCGGCGGAGATGACGGTGTCATAGCGGTCGCTGTACTGAGCGTGCATTCACGTTAGTCTCCTCCTCACTTTCACGAGCAAGCGCGGATACTCACCGCCATAACATGCACAGGGTACCTGTGCACCGTGTCAACGACGGACACGGGTGTCCCATCGCCGCGCGCGTCGTAGATGCGGATGGTGCCGCTGGCGGCGTCGGAGCTAGTTCGAGGTGTGAGCAAAGGTTGGGTGCAGGTAATGTCAGACGACGTACATAGCGAGTAATCCCTGCGACTGCCCCTCTGGATGCACCCAGCAGCAAGCGTGGGGCTTGAATCCGAGCTTGACGATGTTAATCATGTCTAGCAAGGCATGTTAGCCTCGTCCATGCCTTGCCATTGCAACTGGCCCCATGTGCGCTTCGTTCTCACTATGCACTGCGTTTCCGCTTTGCACTCTTCCGCTTCACACGCTGCCTATGCTTTGCGCTGTACACGCGCGACAAGGAGCCGGATATTCACCAAAGTTCACCACATCGAAGATCTTCGCCGTCTCATCCTCCGACACGCTGGCGAACAGCTGCCCATCCGTGCTCGCCGCGACAGCAGTGACGGGCGTGAGGTGCGCGCGGTAGTGCTTGACGAACTCGATGCCGACCTCTTGCTTCTTCCAGAACTTGAGGTGGCCGTCAACGGAGGTGGTGATGATAAATTCGGTCCTGGGATGAGGAGTAAGCCACGCTCTCAAAGGAGGGCAAGAGAAGCGAGGGATGAAGGACGTGTGTGGATGGAAGGGAAAAGTGAGGGAAAGGGCAGCCTACGCACTTGGTCACGACGACAAAGTTGACCGTATCTCGGTGCATAAAGCTCTTGTAGTACTGCTCCGCATTGGGCAGGTGCTCCAAGTAGAGCTTCTCGTGGGGAAGGACTGTCGCGGACTGTTAGCTTTCTGTTTCCCTCGCGCGCGTCACCTCCCAGCTGCATCATACAACTGCCCGGTACAGCCGAGAGCACGACGCGCACAAGCCAGCCAACGCACCCTTCCTCTTCTTCTTCGGCACCGCAGCCGCGTCTGCAGGCATCGGCATCGGCCCAACGTCGTCGTCCGAGTCGTCCATGTCTCCTCCGCCGGCAGCAGCGGGCTGCGGCCCAACATCCTCCTCGTCTGCGCCATCGCGGGCGTGTTTGCCTAGGACTGACGCGTCTTCTGACTTGTCCGACATGTCCAGTTGGGATGAAGGTCGAATGAAGGTGAGGGTGCGGGCGGAAAGCGCTGGACCGATCGCGTTGGCCGGGGCGGCCGGGCCGAATTCAGAAGTTCAACATGGTGTGACTGTTACTGCCTGCAGCCTTCAGTCGCTTTATTCACTCTGGGGCCTTCATATCTTGCCTTGCAAAGATTCTTCCGAGTCATCCTCGACTGTGCCATGAGGTCCAACCCCCGAAAATACCTCCTGCTCTTGCAAGCTCGGTGAATTTACCAAAGCTGTCCTGGCAATAGTACAAATGGCAGAGATGCTACTTTACTGCAGCAAGTCGCGAAGTTGCCCTTCCATCATCTTCAACTCGAACCTACGCTGTTCACACATACGTATCAAACCTATGTCCACAGCCTATCAGCGTCGGTGCAAGCATGGCCTGGCCATTTGACTCACCCCAAACACGCATGTTGTGAAGTCCTACCCAGGTCAAAGCCAGCTGCAGGACGGCCCGAGCAGCGGCCACGAAGACATGAATCAAAGACCATGCAAAAAATCCTGCCCAAAGATTATCGCATGAGGATACCTACCCGCCACCGTCACGTACCAGTCTGGAAGTAACGTGTCCAGTCTGCGCACCAATGCCACCATTGAGCTCGGCTCCATGGGCTGTCGAAGCGATACTCCAGAAAGGGTGGCGCCAACGAATCGCGCGCCGCAACTCGAGGCGACGACGCTTCGGTCGTTGGCTCATCCCATCTAGCACGCTTGAGGGGCCTCTGACCGTCTAATTCTTCGTCGGAGGAGTCCTCGTCGTAGTAATCAAGTTCGCTGATACTTTCGGACAGTAGCGACGTTCGCCTGCTCCTTGTCCCTGCTGATTCAGAGCCACTGCTAGACTCCTCTTCACTGTCGAACGAGCGGTCTCCAAGATCCTCAAGAGTTGGAGGACGCCAGTGGGCCATGACCGTGGGTTGAAGATGCGCATTTGGCGCAAACTTGCCAGCCACGAGTTGTGCCGGCACCTGACCTCGTCACTGGACGGTGTAACTCTTGAGCAACGATACGACTGGCAATCCCTACACAACCATCGTATGAGTGTGTAGCTGCGGCATGTATTATACACATAGATGTGGTGGTCAAAATGACACAACGCTTCAAGACTGCCCGATCATCGGCGTCCAATCGAACTGGTCGTACTTCTGCTTGAACTGCGCCACCCTCTGCTTATTGCTGTGAAAGTCAATCCGTTTCGGCCTCCTCCACTTCCTCGGCTCAAGATCAAGGACGTTTCCGATGATCTCCCCAGCGAAGTATCTGTGGGTGCGCGTTAGCATCAGCGCATTTCACTTCATCCAACCTCGCGATGCCACATCAAGAAACAGAAACTTACTTCGGGAACTCCCCACCCCCCTTCTCCCCCTCTTCCACGCCCTCCTCGTCGCCGTCTGCCGTCGCCCCGCCTTCGATGACGTGCCCATACCCTTTCTCGCCCTTGTAATCGAACTGGATAGCGAAATAGGGCAGGTTGGGCACCATGGCGCGCCGGAAGCCACCCGGGCGAGCAGAGAAGTCGATGAGCTTCTTGTGTTGAGACCATTCGGCTTCGGAGGCGAGGATGGATTCCTAGTGGAAGGCGTTGAATTAGATGAAGGGTATACGAAGGTTGAGGGAAGAGAAAACGCACCTTGAAGTATCCCGGAATGACCTCGAACTGCTCCCAGGGCAGAGGGACGCACTCAATGACGGTGTGCGCTTGCCATTTGAGCGAGATGACGGTCTCGTAGAACACAACACCCTTGTCCTCTTCGGCGAACATGCGCATTAGGCACTTCATGAAGTTCTATGAAGCGAAAGTCAGGTTCGCCCACAACGCGATGGTAATAACTCCCACTCACCTTCACCTCATCCCACACATCGTCGTCCGCCTCCAGCATATTCAAATGATGCTGAATCGGCACAATTAGACAATGCCCCGGCACCAACTCCTCGCTCGTTGTACACGCCAGATACGCGCGCGTGCCCATTGCGACGACGGGCGCCTTCGGGGGCGAGTCGTCCGCGCCATAGCAGTAGATGCAGGAGGAGAGGACCTGCTGCGTCTTCTTGTAGTCGTGGATGGCGAACTGGCGCTTCATGGCGTCGGTGCGCATCTTTTGGCGCCCTAGCTTCTCGGCGTTGTCGTCGATGTAGTCGAGGTCGTTCTGTAGGGGAATGGGTGAGCTCTGAGGGAGGGTGGCAGGGTGATGGAGGAATAAACATACCTCGAACTTGCCGTCAGTCATGATGGCGCGGGCGAATTGCGCGTCAAGGTCCTTCTGGTCAGCCTGGCCGGCACCGAAGCGCTCCTGCCGCAACATCTCGCCCAACGTGAGCTCATCATCGTCCGCGTTGATCCTGATAAGTTCGCCCGTCTTGGGATCTCTGGTCTCTATCTGCAACGAAGCCACCGTCAGCGAGATGCACCCTATATATGACGCATGAAGACTAATGCTTACCTTCTCTTTCTTCTTTCTATTCCCCGACTTCTTCTCCGCTTCGGGCTCCTCCCTGCCCAAACCCACATCATACAACCGACCGCGCCCGTCCAGCGTGGGTAGCACCTCGACCTGAGTGCGTACGCCTGAGCTTTGGCCACCGTCGTCGCCGTCATCCGCGCCGTTTGCCCTTGCTTGCTCCGCCTCGTACTCCTTCTCCAGCGCCTCCGCGTCCGGCGACCCCATCAACTTCGCCCGCAACACCTTTGCTTGCAGTTTGTTGAGCGACGACGGCGACATCGCGCGCTTCCCTCCTGCGCGGCTTCCACCGCCACTGCTCCCACTCCTCCCAACGCCTACCGGCGGTGTCATGACGCTCGGAATCGGCGTGTGCGACTGCGCGAGCTTCGAGCCTGCTTGGGAAGGTAGCCGGAGGGAGTCGAGGCGCCGATTCGCGGGTGGCGAAGGCGTGCCAGGGACGCTGCTATCCTGTCCTGGCTTGCGGAAGGATGAGCTCCGGCTTGAGGCACCGCTCAATGGCAGGTCGTTGAACATCATGCCCTTCGGGCCGCCGCCTTGCACGCCTGAGCCCTGCCGTCCTTGCGAGCCGTATCCCCGCTGCGAGCCGTTGCCCTGCTGGGAGCCGTATCCTTGCTGAGACCGCCGCCCCTCGCGCTCGTCCAGAATCCTCCGCTCCTCCTTTGCCTCTTCGAACGCTTCAAGGCTACCGAAGCGGTCGATGGCAACGGCCTCGATAGACAGGCCATCCTCTTCCGCAGCCTCGTAGACCTTGCGTAGGCGCATCATGCGCCAGGAAGAGCCGGGCCCACCGGGAACGTTTTTCTTGGGCGGCGGTGGGGGCTCATTGTCGTCTGGCGGTGGAGGGTTCTGCAACATGTCGGCGTTGAGTTCACGGGAGCTGATCTTAGGCTGGGTGGGGCTTGCATTAGCGATGTTGCACAGAGGTGGAAAGGAGAAAATAGCGTACCTTCTCATCCAGAGGTTTCGGCGGTGGTTTCTTCCTATGTTCAGTCCCGAGGCTGGAGAAGAAGTCGACGCCGCCGCCAAGAGTGCGCGAGCTGCCTGAGGGTTCGCCGTAGCCATCGGTCAGAGAGTCGTCTTGTGCGGTGGGGATAGTGGAGGATTGCTGAGGCACTGTGGGCTGCTCAGGCTCCATAAGCATCCAGTCGTCGCGCTTGAGGGTGGACTCGGTAGGCCGGCTGGGAGGGACTTCGGCGCCTGGGGGAACGTCATTGACGTTTGATTTCAGCTTCAGGCTCTCGGCAGTAGGGATGTCAGTTGCTAGTGGCTATGATCTAGTGAGCAGAAAGTTGAGATGCAAGGGGAATGTCCTACGCACCTGTTCCCCTTCCATGTCGATGTTCTTCTCGACCCAAACGTCCTCGTCCATGTCATCGTCGCGTATGTGAGACTTCCCCTCGTCCGTGCGTTTCCGTTTAGACTTGTGCTTCCTCTCCTTGTCATCGTCGTGGTGCTTGTGTCGCTTCTTGCTCTTCTTCTCTTCATCACCTTTCTCCCGGTGTCGCCGTTTGGTGGAGGTGTACTCGTCAGGCATTTTCTAGCCTCGAGAGCAAGATTAAAGTGAGAGGTTGGTGGTGTCGCTCGAGGCAAGGAGGGATGAGTAAGCGAGGAGACTTCGGCGTCGACAGAACGACTTTGCACGTCGAGGACGACTGGCGGTCGGTGTTGAACGCGTGACGTCTTAGCGCCACATAATCACCGGATCTCCGGGCCTTCATTCCGTCCGTGATGTGATTGGTGTGCTGGTCGTCGCCGACGTTCAGCAGACGTGCCCGGTGCACTTGACAACGATGCCCATCCATCTCTCTCCTCCCGCCCCATCTATGACTGGCTCTGTCGCCACGGGGACCTCCTCCATCACCCTCGTCAATGGATCGTCCTCCGAGAACGAGTCGTTCACGTTCGCTGACCTGGTCGCTTCGCTCGAGGGCAGGGACCCTGCCCAGCAGGTGCGGGGCACACAGAACATACGTACTATTTGACTAAGTGGTAGTGCAGCTTGACATACTCAATGAACGGCTCGTGCTCGAAAACCGCATTAAGGAGGGTGCAGAGAACCTGCTGAACATGAACTTGGCTGTACGCGGTTTCCCTTTCCCAGTGAACGATGATTAGATGAGGGAACAGGACTCCCTGCGCCTGAAAGTGGAAACGGAGCTGGAAATGGCTCGAAGCAAGATAGATGCCATCGTGAAGCGGATCGAGCAGCAGCGTGCGTTGTTAGCCGATGTGCGCGTGCGGTACGACTAACACACGATATATAGAGGCCGCATTGAACAAGTCTCGCCAGAATCAGGCGAACACGGCCCCCAAGCACCAGATGTTCGTGCAAAAGCGCCCATCGCGCGACGCCCTGCGATCGCAGCCCGACGAGCGGAGTGCGTTCCCTTCTCACCTCGCTGCTATTCATAAGCTCACGCGCATAGCAGCGGCTGTTGATCAGTCGAAGAACGCACTGCAGAATGCGAGGGCATGTCTGAAGAAGCTTGCTGCGCTGGACGCGCAGGCGAATGGCACGGCGTCTTCCTCCACCGGATCGCCCGTCTCTGCGCCCGATCTCGACCGTCAGAAGATTCAAGTCATGAACGAGCTGGTGGACATCCTGCGTAAAACTCTGCGCGTCAGATATGAACTCAATGTCACCGAGATCATCGAGAGGTGCGTACCTACCCGCTCTGAGACTTGGCATCAGTCTATAACATCAGGCGCTCACACCCTCCCAGTGTCATTCCTTCGCTCGCAGACCGCAGTTCCAAGCAATGTCGCGCTGCAGCCTACCGTGTAATCCGGCACGCTCTCGTCGACGTTGACTCCGTCAAGTGCCTCTCCGAGCAATATCTCGACTGGTACATCGTCAAGTCCCTCACTCGCGACAATAAATGCGCCGTCGAGAAGGAGCAGGTTATCAAGCTCATCCGCACGATAGTCGAAGTCGGGTCAGAGCGCAGCGAGTCCGCCCCGCGCGTGCCGCTGTCCGAATCCATCATGCGCGCGTTCATCGCCGTGGCGGAGCATATTGAAGACCCATTCAGGCTGATCTGCGTGCAAACACTCGTGGAGATCCTGCTCATTGATATCGATTTGGTAGCCAGAACGGGTGGGATTAGGTTCCTTCTGCATGTCCTAGGCGACGGGCCAGCGGAGATATCGTCCTTGATTGCGTCGGCGTTTCTGCATATTGTGGATTCGCCGAAGACGAGGAGGTATTTACGACTGGGGTATGACATTGAGGTATGGTCGATGTGGGACAAAAATGATAGTCGTCGCTGACAAGCCATGCAGATCGCCTTGACTGCCATCACGGACGCATATGGGAAGGGTACAGAACATGCTGATCGAATGCGAGGGTGCGCGAAGATCGTCCAATTGCTGCTACGAAGCTGGAGCGGTGAGGTGGCAACTACATTGACTGACCTTGGGCTCACATCGTTCAGGCTTGATGTATCTCTGTATGGGCAATATGGGTGCTATTAGATCTCTCATCGACATGTTGACGTTACCCTCCTTGGAAACTCGAGTAAGTATAACGGAATGCCGAACATATAATTGCTAACTTTCTCAGGATATCATTCTCGACATGTTCTTCGACCTCCTCAACATACGAGCACCCGACTGGTACCAGACCTTCATCGATGGGCGACGATTAACTAGTAAGCGCTGTCGCTGTTCACGTGGCACTACTTCGCTGACCATGTTGCCCAGTGTATCGCAAGAGTCGGGACTCGACGGAGAAAGCCCAGTCCGAAACTACCGAACGGCCCGTCGTTGCGCCTTACCAGAAGCTCACGGACCAGTACATCGGCCTCCTCATCATGGTCTTCACCCATGCTGGCCTTTTCGAAGTGCGTATTCACCCCTTAGTCACGTATCTACTGACCTAACCTAACCCCAGGCCCTCACCTCCATGGTCACCGAAACCACTACCGGTTCGAACCTCTCCCGCAAAGCCACCCTCCTCATCGCCGAAACCCTCCACCTCGCCAACCGCGTCCTCCCCCTCAACGCCGCTGCTAAAGTGCAAGCCATTAGCCGTATCTTCTGCATGGCGGCCGATAGGTCGAATGTGGATTTCCGGATAATCGGGACGACAACACTGGCGGCGATTGACAGCTTCAACCGAAATCGGACGAAGTTGGAGCCGAATGCGAGTGTGAAGCAGGTGCGGCCGAGGTAAGGTCACGTTTGTATTTGGGTGTTGGCTGCGCGAGAAAATGGGCTGATGAGCTCCATAGAGCAAACTCGGTGGAGGACGCCGTGCGCAGAGGGCAACGACAGGTGGAGCAGGTCAAGCTCAAGATGGGAATGAACATGGACGACAAGCAGTTCCAGTCGACCTTTGTGGAGGCGCAGGTGAATAGCGCTTTACCGAGAGCCTTCGTAATTCTTGCTGAAAGGTTTCGCCAAGGTCCTCGCGCAGAAGGACCACACAAAGTGGAACTTCGACACCGTCGTTGAGCTCGTCGAAGGGCCCTTCCTCGTACCCAAACGTGTCGAGGAGGCCATCCGCGTGCGCTTCATCCGACGCGTTATGTCGTTCTACCATCCCTTCAGCCATAGGTTCTCCGATATGCCGCGCAACAAGGTATGTTGGACAACCGGTCTAAGTTCTTGCGCTGAACCAAGCAGACGAACCAAAAATGGGTCCGACTTGGATGCTCGCTGCTGAATACCCTCATGTCGACGGCTGAGGGCGTGCGGTACCTATCCAACGAGGACCAGTTTCTTACACAGATTGTGAAGGCTTTCGCACAGCTTGATCCGGTGAGTGACTCGTTCCGCGTCTCCTATTCCTGCTCAGTTGACATCCATAGTTTAACGGCATGACCGACAGCGACCCCATCTTCTCCAAAAAACGGGTTGCGGAGACGCTCACCTATGGCTACCTCGAGATGCTAGGCACCATAAGTCGGCATAAGGAAGGTGTAGAGTACGTCTTATCTGACTCTGAGATCGCGACATGTGAGGGTTGACCATGAAGGCAGGCTCATGGAGAAGTTCAAGGTCTTCACTGCGTTCTATCATCTCAGCGAGTTGCGCAGTCGGGAGGATCTGATCAAGGGAATCATCGAGAATCTAGACTATAGCATGTGAGTACGAGTTCGGCAATGATTCTTGTAGCATCGCTGACGGGTGGTATAGTGACGGTCATCCTCGGATAGTCCTCTCGAAGGCGCTCACGTCCAGCTACAAGGCATGTCCACTCGATGCTTCTGCCGAGATCGCGCTTACCTATGCATCGCAGCACATCCGTCTTTACGCGACGCGGCACCTCGGCGATCTCATAAGAGCTTCACCGACCGCGAATGCGTGGACGCTGCGCCTGCTAGTGACACAGCTGTATGATCCAGCGCTCGAAGTGTGCTCCTTAGCCGTACGCTTTCTGGAGGATGCGTGCGAGTCGAAAGACATCCTACAACTCGTGGTCGAGATGCGGCCGACGCTCGACCATCTGGGCGATATGGGTCATCCGTTGCTGTTGAAGTACGTGACCGACTCATGGGCGATGGGCAAGAGTAAATGCCGACTGCGATAATTCAGGTTCATGTCGACGGCGATCGGCTTCCGATACTTGTACGACGCCGGTTACATTGACCGCGAGATGGATATCTGGTTCAACGTACGCTGTCGCCTGCGTTGCCTCGTCTCACCAAGCTGATTTTGGACCAGGAACGGAATATCTACTACGTCGTCCAGGTCGAGGTCTTCCTGTCAAAGGTGTTCAGCGACGGGGAAGATACCCCTGACAAGCTGACCTTCGACGGCGCTGTGCCGCCACACTTTTACGGCGAGATGGCGAAAACCGACCTCGGGTGTCAGATCCTGCAGGAGAAGGGGCACTTCTCAGAGTTCTCGCAGTTCATCAGGAGACACGGACTAGAGGGCGAAGACGTTGAACTCATCACGAAGCTGAAGAGCATATTGTGGGCAGTGGTGCGTGTGACGGGATATCTGCAATAGGCGATGACTGATTTAACAATAGGGGAACGTCGGTGCAACGGAGGGCGGTCTCCCATTCTTGGAGGAAGAGGACATCATTCCCGCTGTGCTCGACATTGCGGAGCAGTCGCCAATATCTTCCGTCAGGGGGTAAGCCTGCTTCAAGCGACAGTCAGCGTGTTCTGAAGACTTTTAGGACATGCTTTTTCGTGCTCGGTCTGATATCGTCGACATCGCAAGGCGCCGAGATATTGGACGATTATGAATGGGAGTCAACATTATCGCCCCTCGGGTTACCGACCGGGCTGTGTATGCCGCAGCATGTAGAGCGCTTCGCCACGGTACGTTCGCCATGCTCATTTGCGAAGTTGCGAACTGAGGTCTCCGCGTAGCTGCCGCCTTGGGAGGAATACCAATCGAGCGACAGCACGATACGCCTGCTACCGCCGAAGGAGCCCAAAGAGCTGGAGGTGTTGACAGCCATCCAGAACCTGGCCAATACGGTTATCGCGAACACAGCATCGCGGTCATTAGCGAAGTACGTGCTTATGTTCTTGCGTCAGATCTCGCACTGAACTACCGTTCTAGAATGAAATCACGTCCGGAATACCACGACATCTTCTCATCGCCAGCCATGTTCTATCGCGCGCTGCAAACAATATCTGGGCAACATTACCGCTTGCCAGTACGGCGGTACATCATCGACCTCTTCAACCTCGAATTAAACGCGGAGACGGTCCAAAAGCTGCACGAGGCGAGCAGGACAATGGTGCCGCATCCATCACACAAGCCATCGTACTCGGAGGTGAACCGATACAGTATGTTGGGACGACTAGGGCGGCCGGCTTCGGACGACGAAGATTCGATCAGCTCAGTAGCGTCGATACAACGCACGACGGACGAGAAGCCAACGGAAGAGCCAGAGCCCTTGGCGATGCCCGCCGTGAACAAGATTGTTGGTTTCAGTGCATGACCAAACCTTTCACCTTCTACTCATGTCAATAGCATTGTCGCATGATTAAATATACCTCTTAATCTGGATGGACGAATACTTTAGGGCGCCTAAATGCGCGTTGCTCAAGCATCCTGGTCTAGGTTAAAGCAGCTTTAAGGCATAGCGCAAAGCTTGGTCGGCCTGCACACTGTGCTCAGTTCGGACCCAGAGCCACGTGGATAGCGTCCGTTGACACATGGATGTGACCGGAATTGAGGGTGTCGATTTCTTATCCTTCCACATCGACGAGCGTCTACGCTGGCCTTACAACTGGCAGGATGGATTGCAAACGATTCAGTTCTGACGATATATGGCGACTGAGGGACGGCATATCGCGTCTCACCGCGCTCATTGAAAGTAAAGGAGGGCCAGTGAGTCTGCACGGACACGCCCAAGCTCTAACAGGCCGTGCTGATCCTCCATCCAGGTCCAGGCAACTCCAGATGCAGGCGCACAGCTCGTCTTGGACACTGCAGCCCTGCGTAGCAATCACGATCTCCTCCGCGCAGGTGTCGTACCCGACGCACGAGGCGAGCAAGACATCACGGACGATCTACGCGCCATAGGACGTCTCCGAGAACGCAATTTGTCCGACATCGTGTCGCTGTGCTCTAGACTGGCGCAGATAGTCCATCAAGAAGCGCAGAGTAGAAACCAGGAAGCTCTCAGCGCCGCCATGCTTTCCCCCATCCGCCGCCTCCCCCCTGAAATCCTGTCCGTCGTATTCGAGTTCGCTCTCACGGAAAAGTGGAAGCGCAACTGCATAGGGCATTCGTCTCTAAACGTTGCCAAAGTCTGCTCGATCTGGCGCGCGACCGCTTTGAGTACACCTCAGCTCTGGAAATACATCAACATCGACATTCTATTGCTGATCAACCACCCCTGGAAAAAGGCAATAGAAACACATCTGCTGCGCTCCAGGGAGATACCTCTCTCCATACGCCTGAGCTTTTATTCGATCAATAGCGTCCCCGCCTCCCTGCAGCAGGTCTGGGTCTTGCTCTGCGCGCAGTCGCACCGATGGGAGAGCTTGACTGTCAACACCATCCCGGCTTGCTTTGCTAAGCACCCCTGGCCCGACCACTTCCCAACTTTATCACACCTGCACTACCTCCATGCCTCAGTTGATGAGACAGCGGATTTCGGCACCCTCGCGGACGCGCCTATCACATCGCTGCGGCTCGAGATGTCGAAACCACCGCGCTATGTCCCGCTCCAGCTCCCTGCATCCTGGCGCATCAGCAGACTGGAGATCGAGTGTAGCAGCATGCACAGCGTTGGCCTCGCTCGTTATTTGCCCATCATCTCCAATTGCAGTACGTCTCTACGTTACCTCGGAGTTTCTGCGAGTCAGTGGGTTTACGCTCACTCCGCCACACTCGAGAGCACAGAACTTTCCTTCCTCGAGCATCTGAAAGCATCCGGGAACGGAATGCGGGTCTGCCAGGTCTTCACCATGCCAAATCTCAAATCGGCCTCTCTTTGTGGCTACGCGTCGTCCGCCCGCAGGTACGACCCGTGTTTTCTGAGCTACTTCGCCAATATGTTGCGCTCGTCGTCCATGGGTGGGCAGCTTCAGTCCCTCACGCTCACCAGCCTCGCTGGCGTGTGGCGTATTCTTGAAGAATGCCTCGACCTTCTTCCTGCCCTCTTGCATCTTCGCATCGAGAAAGCCCCATACATCCGCTATTACAACCCTGTCGACATCATTTCGCGGTCCCTCATATCTATCCTTGTACGCGACCCAGGCAGTGGTCGGTCGATGGCACGTCTACCGATGCTCACTCATCTCGTCATGAAGTTCAGGAGCGCACGAGGGTCTCCAATGGGTGCTAGCAAAGTTGCGCTCGTGAGGGAAGTCGTTGCGTCGAGATCGCAGGGGTGCGTGTATGAGGGCACAGAATTGGCGTGTCTCGAGCGCTTCGAGACCGACATTCCTAGTGACTGGACGCTCCCGATGTCCGCCGATGTTGTATGAGCAGGCCATGTATGCTTTCCACTGTGCTTCTTCAATCGCGTTAGCACTGAACGGGACGTTCAACCAATGCTCTTCTGCGTCCATGGCGATTGTCTTCTTTTCTAGCAGTTTCGTCCTTCCAAAATCATTCGTCATTGCTGTTACCTCCTTTACATCGCGTATGCAATCCAGTATCTTGAAGTTATCCAAAGGCGGGTATATTCTCCCATTGACAATGAGCAGACACAAATATTTGCCTGCCGCTGACGAAGAATTCTCCGCTTGACACCTACCATTTCGGTCAGCGTCCTTGTCTTCCCATCGCATCCCAGGCTATATCTTGAGGCTCAATCAGCAGCCTCTCTCAGATCTGTCATGAGCACAACATTGTTCACTCGACGCTGGGCGCTTGTCGGCCGTACGCGAGTCCCGCCTGACATCATCGGCACACGTGCCATGAGTACATATGCGCGTCGACTGGCGTGCCCATCTCATCCTCAACCCTCACTGCGCTACCAACCGTCCAAACTGAAGCGCACAATGACGACTCAGCTTGATATCGGGACTCGCGTTCAGACCGATAAGGATGGCTCGTTCGTGCGCCCTGCCTCGTCGTTCCGCAACTTCATCGAGAAGGGTGGCAAGTTCGCACCAGAGCGCGACCGCTATCATCTATATGTCTCGTACGCTTGTCGTAAGTAGGATAGGTTTGAGCAAGAGCAACTACGAAGTATTGACACGCATTCTCAGCCTGGGCCACTCGAGCCTTGATTGTGCGCAAGCTCAAGGGTCTCGAGGACATTATCCGTGAGTTCGTCACTGTACTCGAGATCGCACTCATCTGAAGACGCATCTCCAGCTTTCACCGCCGTCTCCCCTCGCATGGGAAAGGACGGCTGGCCTTTCAGACGTGAGGACGACGAGGAGTCCATCTTCCCCGCCGCCGACCCCGATCCGCTCTACCAGTCCGCGCACGTGAAGGACCTCTACTTCCGCGCGGACCCAAACTTCTCCGGCCGCTTCACCGTGCCCGTGCTCTGGGACAAGAAGCTGCACACCATCGTGAACAACGAGAGCTCGGAGATCATCCGCATCTTCAACTCGGAGTTCAATGACCTGCTCCCTCCTGAGAAAGCGGCGCTGGACTTCTATCCAACCGAGCTGCGCTCAAAGATCGACGAGGTGAACGAGTGGGTTTACCATCAGATCAACAGTGAGTGTACATTCATAGCTGGGTATATGTAGGTCGCTAATCACCTGCCCAGATGGTGTATACCGCACTGGATTCGCCACCACGCAGTCGGCCTACGAAAAGGCTGTGAACGAGGTCTTCGATGGACTTGACAAGGTCGAAAAAATTCTGTCGAAGAGCGAATATCTGGTGGGTGACAAGCTGACCGAGGCGGACATTCGCCTCTGGGTGACCATCGTACGTCTCTTCTGTCTGGCGGTGCTGACATGCTTCAGCCTCACCTCCAATATAGATCCGCTTCGACCCCGTCTACGTCGGTCACTTCAAGTGCAACTTCCGCACCATCCGAGCTGGATATCCCGCCATCAACGAGTAAGTCGCTGTATGTCCCTTTTCCACGTCGAGTATGACTGACGAGACCTGTGCAGGTGGCACAAGAAGCTGTACTGGAATAACAATGCCTTCAAGTCCAGCACCCGCTTCGACCACATCAAGACCCACTACTACTGGTCGCACCCTCACGTCAATCCCCTCTTCTGGTCGGATAATGATCTCGAGCTGACGCCTTTCATAGGTGAACCCGACCAGAATCGTCCCTCTTGGGCCAGTGCCCGACATCGAGCCGCTGTAAGTAAGTCAGGTCAAGGCATAAGACAATGTACTGTTATACGACTTGTATTCTTGGAGATGACAGAACTCAACATGAATCTTTTGTTTGCACCAGTGTGTATGCAAGCGTGAGCCTCCGAGCGCACGTGCGAAGTTCTTTTTCTTTTTTTTTTTTTTGTCTCTGCATTTTATTCGCGCAGCAGGTAACTATGCAGTACCAAGACGCGCTAGCCCATAGGCGGGCACCTCTACTATGTTGTCCGTAGTGTCCGATCTCCTCGGCGGTCTCCGCATGTGACGTAGTTTCCTGTCTGGTTGAAGCCACTGTAGGCTGGTTCGGTGTAGAGGTCGAAGTGCGGCTCGAGTCGCGTGCAGTCGGTGCGCCGAAGCGCTGTGTGTGTTTCTCCCCTCCCCTCGTTGCCCGATCCCTCACTCGTCTCGTTCCTCCTCCTCCTCGCCCGTCTCCCATCCCTCGTCCTCCATTCTCCCATCCTCCCCCACCGGATCAGGCTCATCTTCCCACCGCGGCGCGCGCGGTTCCGCCCGCGGGTGCCCTGTCTTCGTGAACGCGCCGCTCTTCTTGAGGAAGCGGGCTAGCGCGTCAATGCCCTTTGGCGTGCCCAGGATCTCCGCCAGCGCCACGTCCTCGGACACCTTGCGGAGTATGTGTCGGTGCTGTTCGTAGATAGGGCATTCTTGTAGAATGTGAGGTCGTGTCTGTAATGGTTCCCCACAGGGGCAGTCAATGTTCTCGCTGGGCACAAAGTCTTTGTAGTACTCGCCGAAGAACCCGTGGCCCAGGCGGCACTGTACGACTCGTCCATACAACTCCCGGTCCCCGCACAAGTCCCGAAAGTGTGCGAGCGGTTTCAACGACGGTGCTATGCGGTTGGCGATGGCGAAGCGTCCGGTTATCGGGCGGCGGTCCCACTCGCGCCTCCACGCAGACAGCGTCTCCTCTCGGCTTCTGCGTAGAGCGTTCGTCCTCGAGCGTGATTCCGTCGAATGCTCCTCCGCTGCGCGCTTCGCGAGCTGGTCGGCTCGTTCGTTGCACGTGCGAAGTTCAACATTTCACGTGTCTATTCCGCCATGCCCAGGGTTTTCCTAAATGGAAGGAGATTCCCACAGTTGGTCTCACGTGCAACCAACTTGGTCGCACGTGAGACCAACTTGGTCCGGCCACGAGGCGACGCCACATCGCGGAGACGCAGGCGCTCACGCTCAAGCTTGACATCAACCACCATCCAGTGCGTTAGCGCAGACGCACGAAGGACGCCCGACTACAGACGGAGGCCCCGAGGCCAACTCGGGCGTACGAACAGGACGCCGTGGCGGAAGAGGAGGGTCAAGCGGATTAGGGGAGGGCGAGTGCGCTACCCGCGAGCAGTCGCGGTCGCTCTCGAGGTCAAATTGCACGATATGGTGAGCTCCATCAATATCATTGCTGCTCACGCTCTCGCAGCACGCTCAACAAACGGGTCGATGGTAGACAGGCAACGGCGACCGCGCGCGCCCTCGCGCCTCCGCTGCCCCGCCCCAAGTAGTGCCGACAAAACCATTCAGAGCGCCCGAGCCCACAACAACAGCGGCTAGCATAAACTGCGGGCGTAGTCCCTCCCACCGCGCCCCCTCCCTCCTCCTCGCGAGAAAATACACGCTCGCCACCCCTTCCTTCCCCCCATCCGATCGAGCATTCCTCAATGCCGCCGGATTACCCGCTTGCGCACGTCCAGTAACGTTCCGATGATCGCACTTAGCTACCGCGGTGCGGTACGATCCTTCTTGGTCCTCCTTATGCCTCCCCTAATTTGACTCGGCGAGTTTTTGTCCCTCCTCTTCCTCTCTTTCTGCAATTGTTGTCTATTCAGTGTAGCTTCTCTTTAAATTTGTTACATGTACAGCGGCGGCCAGATCAATTGCGCGCTGCCTTTTTGGGAAAAATCACCGAGGCGAGCGTTAGGCATAGTTTGCGGGTCTCGGCGACCTCGCAGAACGGTAGAGCGCCCATGAAAACCCCCGTCTGCATACCAACTTTGCCGCAGAGCGTCCGTGATCCTCTTCAAATGTGCCGACATGCGTCATATGGCACTGCGCGCCCTCAGGTAGTCTACGGCACATATCTCACGAATTACATGCCCGTTTCGCTTCAAAATTCGTATTCGGGGGTTTTTGGCTACGCTCTACCGTTTTGTGAAGAAACTGGATTTTTCCGACCACGCCCAACACCCGCCTCGGCGATTTTTCCCAAAAAGGCATCGCGCAATTGATCTGGCCGCCGCTGTATAGTACACTAGTATGAGAATATAACACTTCTTCTGATTTACAAGCACCAGAGACTCTCGCAGGGCTATCAGGACCCCAGAAGGCTTCAAGACTGACTAGATCCCATCAAGTTGAACTTGATGTGATGTGCATATGTGCGTGATGATCCTCCGTTCGCTTGACGAGATGCCGTGGGGGTGGTGGCGGCGCGCAGGGCGCGCCGCCCGACACAGTCGAAAACCCTGGGTGGGCGCCGCGCAGCGGCGCGGAAAACCCTGGGCAGCTTCACGTGAGTCGTCGGGATAGTCGGGCAGGACCCCTGACAATACACACAGAGGTCGGATACTGAAAGTCGGCCTTTTGGGCATTCCTGTCCGGACCCTCGACGGGGGTTCTCGCCATTCTTGTCCGGAATCGTATTTGGCCTCCAAAAATCATCAAAAATCGTCAAATAATCGATAAAAAATTTCGGGGCGCCTCTGGCGCCATAATCTTGCGGATAACGCCTGCCTGAGCCTCTGTGGCTCTTGTGCATGCTGCTTAAATCCTCTCAGCCGCGATTGTTCAGTGAGAATGCTGAGAAAGGCCATTTCATCACAAAAAGGTCTAATACGCGAGCCTCACGCCATGTTCGAACTCGTAGACGACTTCGATATGAGCCGCGCCATTCCGTTAGACCACGGCAACCTTTCGGGCCCGGGGCGCACACATATGTGTGGCAACCGTCCACCACAACAATCTTGTCCGGACCTGAATCTGCCTGTTGACCCCTCCAAGCGGTTTCTGTCCGGATTTTTATCTGGGTGAGGGCCCGATTTTGGGCCGTTCTTGTCCGGATTTGTATCTGGAATATAACCGTATTGTCAGGGGTCCTAGTCGGGCGGCCTTCGGCCGCTTGGAAAACCCTTGGGTTGACCACCAAGCCTTTCACGTGATCGGCAATGGCCGAGGGCCGCCCAAGAACTTCCCGTCATGCTCGACGACCGACAGTTGACGTTCGGGTCAATCTGTCTCTACACTTGCCTTTGAGGCGCAATCCCACTCATGTTTAGTGGGTGACGACGAGGGTTTGTGCCACATAGTTGTGGTGGGTCGCCTGACTCAGTGACTGTCGCTCGCAAAGCCTTCTCGATACAGTACGGTCGGCATTGGAGGTGGAAGCCTACTTGAAGGCGATATTCTATTGAGAGGCAGGATACGTAGATGAGGTAGTGACCGCATAGGTAGCGCGCGGAATGGCATAGAACAAAGAGGGAGGATTGTGCGTCAACATCAAGGTGAGGTTGAGCTTGGGAAGCATCGCCTCGGCACCGGCGAGTGGGGCGAAAATACTCTATAGTTGCGTGATGGGTACTTTGAACGCTGGTCCGATTCGGGCGTACTCTCATTACCTCCTGTACCTTGTGGCCCTGCCTTCGGTCTTCACGACCCCATAGTCACCGTTTCCCGCAATGTCAAGGTCAAGGAGCGTCAGCTCGTTCATGTTCACATACATCTGAAAGAACGCTGTCATACGAAGCAAGAGGAATACCTCATCCGCGAGGCCTGCATGGGGCGGCAACGTTCTCTCCAAGTCCGTGCGGAACGGGGTGCGAAGGATTCGGAGCCGGGTGGCCTCACGAAGCCTTAACGCAGCGGAAGAACCATGCAGGTTGTATGCAGTGAGAGGAACATGCACGCTGAAGTGGGGACTCACTGAAGTAGGCCTCGAGGCGTTATTCACCGCTTACCTTGCGGTATACAATGGTTACCACACGGAGATCAAGGCAGTCCTGTCTTTGGCACATCCCATGCGCCCGGCGGCGTGCCCCAAGACCTGGCAATCAAACCAAGAATGACGTGTTCCGTAACTTCAGGAGCCCGGCGCCGGCTTGCAGCGATCGTCAGGCTCGTAGTCACCTCCCTGCTTGTGGAGCAGCGGTGATTTTTGTTTAGTTGGAGCACGTACAAACAGAGCTAATAGCGCACGGCGGAGACATGAATGGTGAGCCGTAGTTAGCTCTCTCTTCTGCTCGTCCTCCTACTGCTGTCGGAGGCCACAAGAAGGTGGAAGCGTGGGATCAGGGCCCCTCCCGCTACGAAGAAAGTCCAGAAGCCCAGGACCCCCGCCTGCCGAGCGCTGACTTCGTTTGTTTGTACACGCTCCAACTAAACAAAAATCAAGACCGCTCCACGAGCGGAAGGGTGACTACTAGCCTGACGATTGCTGTGATGGAAGGGCATCCTTGACATGGAAGGGACATCACTTACATACTGTGTACACACATATGTCGCCGCGGGGACGATCGTTCATCTGGAGTGGTCGCTTACATCGAGGGTCCCGATAGAGTAGGTCAACAGCGTAGAAGAATGCTTGTCGACCTAAGCTTGGGCCCGGCAGTTGCGAACTGGGGTAATCGTAATAGCGTTGGCGTGAGCCCGGTTGGCCGCTAATGCAAGGTCGTAGCAGTGGCAGGCGGGTGGCGATGATAGCCAGCGTAGGCGAATTTACGATCTGAGCCGCGCATCAGACGGCGGTACAAACCGTACATCGATCAAAGTATACATTCGCCTCTGCCTGTCCCCTTCGTCCGATGACCATGAGGCTAGGTTCGAGCGTCAACGAGTACCGTGAGATCCTTTTGAAAACGATAGACATGCATAGAAAAGTCCAAATCGATAGCGCAGCAGTAGCTCGGGGGTTGGACTCCAGAGCGGCAAGAGATGACCAGACAAGTTCTTTCGGACGGTGAGCTGTGGTAGTAGCCTCCGCTGACGATCCAATATAGTATATGTTGGCGAGGAACGGCAGGGTAGGTCGAATCGTCCAGATGCGAAGACGGGTCTGACCTGTCATCCTTTCTGAGACTTGGGCAGACGAATTCGTAACGTCAGAGGCGAACTCGTAGCGCGAGAGGGGAAAAGGTATAGGCAGTCGCTGTCACCCGGCGGCGCGTAGCTGTAGCGTTTCCGCAGGTACGAGGCCTATCGTGCTGGAGAAGCTGGTCGAGTCTGCAGACCAGGGTAAGGACGGGGCAGCGAACGAGGTTAGATCCAGTCTGACAAACGCCTCGGAGGTCAGTAATTGGTCGCGAAGTACAAGGGTAACCTGTAATTCTCATACGCTAAGCGCAAACAGTAGACAGGTGCGCGGGCACCTCGGGCTGGGCGCAGGTACCAGGACAAGGGCAGCGGAGGCTAACGTGGGCATCACGGCCGACACGTCGGTTCCCTCGTTGTCGCTCCACCACAAGCGCGCGTATAGTCCAGGCGTATGTGATAAATTACACAAGGATTGCGTGTCGGAAACTCGAGGGGGGACTTCCACGAGCGCCGAGCGGATTTCCCGAGCTGGCGGAACGGAAAATGAGGCGCGCTGATAAGCGCCGCCCACTGCGCTGATGCGGATGACATTGTACATGTCTATGGTCAGCGGCACCTCGCGAGTAGGTTGAACGGAGAGAGGGTTGGGTGGGCGATGGGACGCACCTTCGCACGCTACGAAAGCTGGGTGAGCGATCCGTGGCACACATCGAGATCATGTGGTGTGGAGGGTGTGGTCGTCGCGCGGCGCTGCGCAGGAGGCTGGACTTGTTGAATGGCATCGAAGTTCTGCGGTGGCAACGAATCATTCGACTGACAGGTCGGCAACAGGGCGGCGATGGCTTCTCGTTTCCGTGGTAGAGCTGAGGGGGGTGTCATTTTAGCGCTTGAGGTCGCTCGTCTAGAGGCTCGGCGGCTCTGGAGACAAGCAGCGGAGGCGCCAATTGCGCTCGGCGCCTAAATAGAGCGCGTCTGCCTAGGAATTTTAGGCCCTATTTCAAATTCAACGTCGAGTAGAATTGTCCATAAAATCTTTGAGAACGCGTGAAATCTTTCGAAGGCCCCAAACAATTTCCACCTCGAAATGACATCAAGACCCACGGTGACTCTCTCCCGCTCGCGCCGCGCAACGAGAAACGCGCTCTTGTCCTCCAGATCACTCAGGGAGGTGAGCGGCCCCTGCGTGGACCCATTCCACCACGCTTCGGGGGCGCATAAGCGATACGAGACGCTATAGAGCATGTTTAGCGCTGACTTCGCCGCTAAGATATTCTCCGAATACAATGAGATCATCGTGGATATCTTTGTGCTTCCTACAGGATTTTCGTGAAAAAACATTGCTTTTTCTGTAACTTTCGTGTAAAATCCTAGGCAGACGCGCTCTAATCGTGCTGGCGAAGATGAACACCGGGTGGCGTGGGAACGCCAATCGGGCGGCACCTTGATAGATGACGTCAGTATCCCCGTTTGACGACAAACATTAATTATTGATCACGATCCGACCACGTGCCAGCGCCCCTTTCATCAACAGGCGCGATCTCTGTGCGCGGAAGTGACGAAGGATATAAGCGAGCACCTTTTCTTGACACCGGCGCTGTCTCGTGAGTCGCTCGACCGCCGTCCACCGCCTCGCCGCCGATGCATCCCACAAACAGACCGCAAACAGACCACGCAGCCCCTGTCCCGCTCCTTGCTTCCCAACCACCGCCATCGTTGCACGCTGACGTCGATGGCGACGTGCGGTTCGACAGCTACGCGCCCCGCCCCGTCAACTACCTCGAGGAGGCCATCAACATTGTCCCCCGCCATGCCCCTCCCTCGCAGTCGTCGCACCGAGCGATTCACCATGACGCCCTGCCTCCTGCCCACCCCACGCCTCACCCTGACGATGCCATCCCCCGTATCAGCGGTAGCAAGGGCAATCGCGATCCGGACGGCGAGTCCACCGATGACGCTTCCCCGTCGCACAAGCGCGCACGTCGTGAGAAGGGCACGCTCCCACTGGATGCCAACCAGCCGCTGACGACCCGTGGCAAACCCCGTGCCCGCGTGTACGTCGCCTGTCTGCAGTGGTACGTCCCCCACATGCCCCAGCGCCTTCCCACTACCCGCCCTTCCAGCCGCAACCGGAAAATTCGCTGCGACGGCGCTCGGCCTGCGTGTCACAATTGCACAGTGAAAGGAAATCCGGAGTGCAATTATGATGCGCTGCCACGGCGGCGGGGGCCTGACAAGGTTCCTGGTGCGCGCCAGCGTCCGTCTGCCGCGAGCGGGCGTTCGACGTCGCGGCGGCGCACGTCAGCTACCGCAGAGTCGTACACCGTGCCTTCGCAGTCGACGAGCCGCCGCAACAGCGTCGATGAGTTGGACCTCCAACCGCAAGCGAGCTACCCGCAGCAGCCACGCGAGGAGCACCTTTACTTTGAGGAGTACGACATCCAGCCCTATCGACAGCAGACGCCATACTACCAGGCCTATGGCGACGTGTCACCTGAGGTGGCAGGTCTAGCCCCCCGCTCATACGGCGAGCCCAGCACCTCGTACGAATATCCCTATCACTACGCCAATCAAGTGAGTCCATTACCTTTACCCCCAGTCTTGTGTCTAACGCGTCAAGAGCAGGGCGCCTACGACTATCGCGATGACTATGCCCCACGTCCCTCCACCACATTTCTCTCGCAGCCCTCCATGCAGTTCTCCCGCTCCACGTGGTGGGACAACCTCCTTTCCCTGTACTCCGCGCCCGCCGCCAATTACATGCCGCACATCAGCGCCTCCCAGCGCGAGTGGGCCGCCCAGCAGATTACCTCTGACCTCCGCTTCATGTTCCGCGTCTCCAATTACTGGTTCTCCTTTTTCCACGTTCCCACCTTCTTTGGCACCTTCCACAATGCCTACCGACGCGACAACATGCAGCCCGGACTCGTCTATGGCGCGCTCGCGATCTCCATATTTTTCCGCAGCTCGCAGTTGGAGGGAAAGGAGATGGGACGGGAGCGCGCGCTTCGATTTAGGTGAGGGTATTCAGACTGATCTTCGGCGTCTTGCTAATTCATCCTTGCAGAGACATGGCTCAGGGATACATCGACGCCGCGTATAATGCGCAGTCCATCGACTTGGAGTTAGCGCAGGCGGCTTGGGTAGGTCTCCTATTTGTTAATGCGCACGTGGGCTTACAAGTCCTAGCTGGCGGCGCTCTTTGAGGTCTGTGCGCATCCTCTGCACTCCACGCCCCGGTGCGCGGCCGCTCTCCGCATACTGGACGCCATAATCCAGAGCCTGCAATTCACTTCGATCGACTTCGAGGACCCGCGCACGTCGATGTTCAATCAGAGCAGTGTCCCCATAGCCCGCGCGCGCGTTGAGCACGCTCCGGGCACCGATCTTGCCCGCACACACGCCCACACCCAAGGCCCCTGCGAGTGCCTGTCCTTCACGCTCAAGCACAACCGCCGCCCGGAGGAGTACGTGCCGCCGACGTGGGAGATGACGCCGGCGTGGGACCCGAAGTGGACGGAGGCGGAGATCGAGAAGGAGTCGTCGAGGCGGCTGCTGTGGAGCTCGCTCTACTTGTTCTCGGGGCACCATACGTATAACTTGTCGTATGGGCGGGCGCCGGTGGCGTTGCATATTTCTGCGCCGTCGAATGTGAGTTGTTTTCCTTACTACCTTACTTTATCTCATCCAAACTAAACGTCCCGCAGTACGCCGTCTTCTTCACAGGCGAGTCCTCCATCTACTCTATGCGCCCCTCCTCCGCCCCACTTGCCAAGGAGACCGTCTGGGCCCTCTTCGAGCGCAGCTTTTTGCTGTGGAACGCGACGATTCTCATGGTTATGCGCACGCGGTCGCCGCTCACCCGGATGTCGGACGTGGAGAAGGCGCATTTTGCGATTAGTGTGAATCAGGAGGCTGATGCGATTGAGGCGGCGTTGAGGGGACATGCGTGCGAGATAGAGCGGGCGTTTTTGTTTCATAGTCGGGATTATCTGTTTAGGTGGGTTGAATTGGGATTGGGAAAGGAAGGAACAGAAAGCTGACGGCCGTCCTACAGTGCCAGGATGTGCGTGGGGTATGAGTACAGGAGGGTGTTGCCGGCGACATCGTGAGTGATTCTCTTACTATAAGTGGCCAATCACTGATGATCTCCGTAAAGGGTATTCTACGGAACGGAGGATATGCTGAAGAAGAGTATGCGCCTGATATTCTTTTAGACGCGCGGACACTGATACAACCTATATAGTGAGCTACCGGATAGCCATTGGTCGCCAGGTCATGCAGGGGTTGCACACCGTCACCGGGAATGCGACGAATACGCTTAATCGGCGTCCGTTCTTCGTCTTTTGGTTTATGGCGCAGATTAAGTCGTACGTCTACCTCAGACCCGAACCCCTCCTTTCTTTGCTCCGGAGCTGACGAGCATCCCAGAGCCATCCGGCTGTACAAGAGCACGGACCTGCCCATGGCATTGGAGTTGTGCAAGGCGCTCATGCCTTGTGTGGACTAGTGAGTCGATTGCCCGGTCGTGGCGGGAAAGGGATGCTGATACTACACGCGAACTCCAGCTTGTCGACGCTGTTCCCATGTCCGGAGCAGAGGGTTCGGTACGCGGCGCTGGTGCAGGAGGTCAATGAGGCCTGCTTGGAGCACGGGCAACCGTTGTACGAGCAGTTGGACTTCACGTCGGTGATGTCGAACCCGAATCAGAACTCGGCGCGATTGACGACGTATGAGGATTAATGAGGGAGGTGGTGAGTCTGATGAATGGCTCGTAAAGGTTTTGGACCAGGACAGTACATATAATATCGTGCACGCTGGGCGACGACGATGGACAGGTCATAGACCATGATGTTGGATAGGCAATCGACGATGGACACCTTTGATATTGTAGGGCCCCCGGTAGAAAGAGCATCGGTGTAGCAGTAATATATACGTATTGTATGTGCAGTAGTTGCCTTGTTTTGTTGTTCTCTACGCGTCCGACGCGCGTCTAACGCGTCTGATGAGTGCACGTGGGAGGCCTCATTAGCAGTCTCCGGAGGTTTATCCGAATTTGGGGGGCACGCGGCTCATCCACTCAAAGCGCTTTGGCATCCCTCTTGTCTGCAACCACCATCTCGAATACCGCATACATCCCAGAACTTCCCGTACAACCCTTAGATGGATCACGAGTCTAGCGAGCGAGCTCCGGGCACGCATGTGGCTGACGCTGCGCTAACGCTCAAGCGCAAGGCGTCGCCGTCTTTCGACGCCACGGAGGACCCCGACACGCGCACAGGCAAGCGGCGCAGGGAGGACACGCCGCAGACGGAGGAGGACAGTGTCGAGTCGGCCAGCGAGCGCCAGAATCGGCTCGCGGACGAGCTCGCGCTCGACCTCCAGTGCGGCTGCTGCTCTGATCTCGTCATCAACCCGGTCATCGTGCTGCCCTGCCAGCATTTCTTTTGCGGGAGGTGCGTGATCTGCCTTCTTCGTACACTATATCTTGTGCTCACTCGGCTGCAGCTGTGTTGTACAGTGGATAAAGGTGCGCCTGACTGCAGGACCGAGCCTGGTCCATGCGCAGAGATTGAGTCCGCGGCACAGAATGGTGGGACGAATTGCCCCGCGTGCCGGAGCGTGTCGACGTCGGTGGCCCCCTTCCGTACCATGTCCGCGGTTGTGGACACGCTCCTGCGCATCGCCCCGGAGAAAGCGCGCCCCGAGAGGGAGGTGCAGCAGGCAGACGCGATCTACAGGAAAGGATCCAACCTCCGGGTGCGTGCGCCACTATCCATCCATCTCATTCACTCCTTGCTCATGGCCACCGTTTCGCAGATCCCCGTCCCCCGCACCGCGTCCCCCGAGCCCAATCTGAACCCGAGCACTGACTTCGCGCGCCCCTGCCCCCACTGCGCGCCGCACAACCCGTACGGCTGGCAGTGCCCCCAGCCGATCGCGGATCCCAACATCGAGCCCGACAATGCGTGGCCCCTGGACGATGGTCTCCCGCCCGGCCATGGGCACTGTGGCAACTGGTGCGGTCACCTGCGCGTCGTGTGAAAGGAGGCGCATATCTGACTTCATTTGTTTGTCTTCCAGTGAGAACCTGATGGCGCTGAACGCGCCTGCGTCGAGCAAATGCGACTTCTGCCACATTCACTTTTGTGGCATCGGCGTGCGGGGGCGGTGCCAGGCGGGTCCGCTCTTGCACCAGCAGCCGCATGGGATGATGGACGTGGCCGACCTCATACAATCGACGGATGTGTACGAGTGCTTCGATAGCAACTATGTGGAGGTAGAGATTATGCTGGATTACCTAACAGGTAAATATCACTCTATATCCAGAGCAAGTGAACTGAAGATTCTCCAGCGCAAGAAATGACACCAAGGCACATCTACCGCGAGATCGTCATGTACCTGCAAACGCAGCCCCGGGGTTTCCAGCCTCTTATTGACCAGGGTCTTTTCACGGACTCTACGGGTGGCGCGCCCGTGCCCGACCCCAATCCCGATGCACCGCGCAGGAGGTCAGTGAGGTGGTAAACAGCCGATGCTCTGTACTGACTTGGCTTGTAGGATTTGCCGTGTTTGCGCGACAGAAATTCTGCTGTGGGGTATCCGTGACTGGTGGGTGCGCGAGCGGGCAAAGGGCTTTTTGGAAGAGCATATTCTCGCACGCAAAGATTGCCCCGCTGGCAGCGCATGTGGGAATCAGAATGACACGGGTGCGTTTGGGTTCCTCTGTTGTATACTAACTCCATCACTCGCCCATGTATATCCCTCCTTTCACAAATTCCCTACCTATCTTGAACGCGTACTAACGGCTTCCCTCAGCCCACGCGAAGGAGTTCAATCACATCTTTGCCGAGCGGACGCCCGATGCCGCGGGCCCTAGCAGCGAAGGCGAACCCCCCGCAAGGCACCCTCTTCAACTTCCGACCGAAGGGGAGCACGACCTCCCACCCGTCGCGGTGACTGGCCTGCCACACCTATCGCGACACGCACCGGAAATACCCCACGACATGCCGTCGGTCTCGGTACACGATCTGTCGGCAATCTCAGTGCACGAGATGTCGTCTGCCTTGGTGCATGACCTGCCATCTACCTCGATGCACGACCTGCTTTCAGCCTCTGTACACTCGCCGGACCTCCCGCCCAGCTACACGCCTGAGAACACGCCGTCGCGCTCATCGCTCTCGTCGGCCGCCATCGCGTTCATGCTGAACGAACCGGACCTTGTGGAGCCGTCGCACTCGGCGGGCTCCTCGCGGGTGGGTTAGAAGGCTAGGGACCTTCAAGGAGAGGCGATAGGTGGACGTTGTCAAGGCAAGAGGAGGTCGAGATGATAACGGACGCAGCAATTTAGGAGGAGAAATGCGACCTGTGGCGTTGGAATGGGTGCTTGGCGGAGCGCAGAAGAAGGTGTAATACAAGGAACATGGTCATCATCGAAACAGTAGTCGAACAGTATAGACCAAGGGGATGGGGAAAGAAAAAAGCGAAGCAGGTACTATATCTCCGATTCCCTATGTATAATCATCATCGCAGCTACAGCCTATAGCTCTATCATGGTTCTTTAGTACGGATTCTTTTCTTTACATCCATCGCGCTTTCTACCTCTTTACTCCCATTCCTCCATTAGGCTTTCGTTCTTCGCGTAGTATTCTTCTGCTTTACTTCCATTATTATACTGACGAATCGCGTGTTTCAACGATAGTTCATCCCTGCAATTTGCGCAAGCGCGACGTCGGTACCGGAGTCAGGTGACATGTTGAGCTTCAGCGTCTTCGCGAAGCATGCATCTCAATCTGGGTTTACTTCAGCAAGAAGCTCAGCAATCACAGACGTCGAGTCAAACCGCATCGCGGCTCCTTTATCAAGTAGTGTGTAAAGGTGCCTTCCAGGTGAGCATAGAACGAGTCAACCGATCCCAAGGGACAAAGCGCCAGGCGTCAGTCCGTAAGTACGAATGTGTAAACCAAGGGTGAAAAATCAGACAGCGACGAATAAGAACAGAACGTGTACGCTATGCTAGTAATAGCGCACGCGCGTTGTGAGTACAGGTATGAGACGAGAAGTGGGTAAACCAAAAGGGTATGAATGAGAAAGGGTAAAGGGGAGGTGGGGAGCGTAGTGGCCGGAAATACACGATAATTTACTTCCAGATAGATGGCGCCGATATACGCATCGTGACACTTAGTATGTTCACAGCCCGAGTTCTGCAGGAATTGAGTGTGTTAGCATAGATTGGGAGTTGGATCAAAGGGCAGGGACGCACCTTCCAGCAAGCGGTTCCTCTCGTCCTCAGAGATGTTCGCGGTCGCTCGCCGCGCGAGAAGCTTTTCAGTCCGGTATTTCTCGTACAGAACCTCCTTTGTGCGTGTCTTGAGTGGCTATCATAAATTAACGCGTCAGGATTTCTTTTCGGACCACGCTGAGTTTACCCACCTTCAGATGCGTCGACAACACCGCCGTGCGCATCATCGCGAAGTCGCAGTGCCGCGGGTCGAGCACGTCGATCACGCCCCACCGGTACTTTCGAACGAACACGCCCTTCAAGTCCGCCGGCGGCGCGCTCTGGTAGCGGCTCAGGCGCGAAACGCCCCCAGGCGATATCGGCGCGCTCTCTTGCCCTTCGTCCGGCGACCCCGGAGGTGCACCGTTCGACGCAGCGCGCCCCTGCCTGCTCACGCTGTGCCTCCGCGGCACGCCCCGCCGACTCGCCTCGGGCGCAATCAGCGCGAACGGCATCGCGGCGCCCAAATCCGCGTTCGCGACGACGCTGGCGGAGAAGCGCACGTTCGCGACGCTCTCGGGGTCCGCGGCGGGGCTCGGCTCGTCGTCGATGACGACGGAGCGCTCGCGCCGGGAGCGCGAGCGGTGGCGGCTGGGGCGGAGCTTGATGATGCCGCGCGACTGGCGCTCGGTGTCCTTCGCTGGGCTGGTCGCGGGGCTGGTGGGGGTGCTGGCTTGCTTGACGGGGCTGCCGGATGGGGTGGCAGGGGAAGGCTCGCCGCTGGTATCCGCAATTGGCTCGGCCACGTCCTTGATCTCTCCGCCTGCAGGGGCGCTTGAGTCGCCGTTCGCAGGCTCAGCGTGCCCGTTCTGTGTCTCTGCGTGACCGTTGAGGGCCTCTGCGTGGCCATTGGTCTCTGCGTGACCATTCGTAGCCGAAGCTTCCGCCTTCGGGGTTCCCTCTTCGGCCTCCTCAAATTGCGTCTTGCGCGCGCTTGACGGCGGCGTGGCCGTAGGCTCCGCATTCGGACCAAACACGCCAAAGCCCAGCCCTGCTGCCAACAGATCGTGGCGCACGGCTTTCTTAACAGCGGCGAGATTCTCGTCCGTGAGCGAATCTGCGCGCGCAACTACGGGCAAAACGTTGCAGCGTGTAGATAGACGGCGGATGACGCGAATTTCGGCGGGAGAAAGAGAAAGAGGACCTTCGCTGCCGCCTTCGTCCTCGCTATCGTCGCCAGCCTCGGAGGATGTGTCGGGGACGAGATCAGGGGTCGTGGAAGAACCCTCTTGGGGGATAGATACTTCGGGGTGGTTTTCCTGGGGGGTGGCCTTGGGCTCTGAGGGCTTAACGGAGGAGGGGTCGATGAGGTAGATACAGCTGGCACAAAGATGAGCGCCGACTCATGTAGATTATCACGATCCCTCACAGGTGAATATGCTGATCCCCTTTGTTCTGACGGACCACTTTGGACTCCTCGCTCATCGTATCCGCATACTGCGCGTCGACGTACTTCATCACGCTGTTCACTTGACGCTCCAGCTTGAGCTCGCGGCCGGCCGAGAAGTCGAGGCCAGGCGTGTCAATGACGGACAGCAGGACACGGTCGAAGCGCGACTCGCATATCTCAACGCACGCGGTCTCAATGGCATTGGTGGTGCGGGGCGGACCGCGGAGGAAGCGGTCGAGCGCGGCGCGCTGATCGTTCGTCGCTGCCGGAGACAGGTCCGCAGTCTCCAACAGAAGACGCAGGAGGCTCGTCTTGCCAGTTCCAATACCGCCGACGACCTGGCGCGACACCGATCAGCGTTGCTACATAGATTGACACCACAAGCCACACACCATCAAGTTGAACGTCGGCGGCAGGCGCGCGCGCCGCTGCGTGTAGCGGTGCGACGGCGTCTGGCTGTGCACGGACTTGCGCAGCTCGAGCTTGTTCGGCTTCTCCGCCATGTACAGCGACGAGATCTTGCCCGACGCGTCGGCGCCCGCGTCGGACTGCGACTGCGAGTTCGAGCGGAAGGGCTTGTGGAACGAGACCGGCGGGTGCTCGCGGTTGTGCAGGGACGGGCGCGCGCCGCCCGGGGACGGGGTCTGCATCCCCAGCTCCTGCTGCAGCACGCGCGCGTCGACGAGGTTCTCGGGCCATGGGATGCCCTGGCTGTTAAGCTCTGGGAGCGAGGGCGTCGCGCGGATGCCGGGCGGCGGTTCCGTGTCCTTCTTCGACGGCTTGCGGCGGAAGGAGGAGAACATGGTGCTGGTCCTGGGCTCTCACTGGGTGCTGGCGACGGTGGGTGAGAGGGGGAGGGGGTAAGGAGCGGAAAGCTGGGCGACTGCTCCAGCAGCCTGATGCGTGAAAGGCGCAAAGTTGGATCCAACAATGGACAGGCTATGTGACTGTGAAAGAAAGTGGCGGCAAAAGGGGAAGGGCTTTGTTGTCGTGATCGCGCACTTGGCGAATTCACCAACCAGGGCCGCCGTGTGAGAACTGGCTCGCGTGCGTTTGAAATGGGTGTGAGCCTTGATGCTGATCGTGATGTTCGACTTGGAGGTGCTCGCGTCGAAGATGCGTTGAAGTCTTCCAAAGTAAAGGCAGCGATCCCGAAGTAAGTAGGCTGCGCTCATCTACGTCGAAGGCCAGTAAGGTGGACTCACTAAATCTCGCGAAGTGCTCGACGGGTTTGAAAGCAACCAAGATGCAGCTCGTTCGTCCTGTGCTGACGCTCTGGCTAACGCTTGAGGCAAATTTGCTCACAGAAAAGATGATCCTCATTCTCATTGCCTGTGGAATGGTGATATTGAAGGCAGGGTGTCAATAATGTGACGCGCAAAAGTCTAGAAGGCCACCGAAAATACCGCCAGAGAATGGACAATCAGCACCCCGACGAAGGCCCCGAGCTTTGCTGGAAGATGGAAGTCGAGAGAGGTCAGCATGGAAGGTCGTCACAAAGTCATGACACAAGATGCGTCTGTCAGAGTCCGACCCGAATTACTTGCGCCACCCAAAAACGCATGGCATGCTAAATTGCTGCGGCAAACCATAATAAATCCGAGATACGTGAGGACTGTGGGGAAGAACGGAAAGATCACAGGGTGACCTGTGTTTAGATGGAAGGCGCAGCAAACATCGGTTCTCTAGCGGACTGCGCCTGACGAGTGGCAGGTCAAGTGGCATCACTCATTAACTGAGGCTGCGGCGTGGAGACGCAGTTCTATCTTCCCTACAGTATGTACTGTCATTTCTAGCATGTTTCGTCTGAGAGTAGAGGTCAAAGACGCTTTCCCGGGTCCTTCATGGCCGAGTCTAGTTGAGTAGAAGTTCAACATGTCACGTGCCGCGCTTCGGAGATGCCCGATTCCGAGGCTTTGCGCCGCTCCGATACAAATTCGAGGAAAGCGGAGGGGCCAAGGAGTGCCGAGGGAAATGTAAAGGCCACTGAAAGGCCATCTCGAAGTCTCCAAAGACGTGCTAAAGGGGATCAGATCGCACGCTGGGCGAGTCTGGACGGTTGGGACGGCCTCGGAGAAGAGAAAAGAAGAGATGGAAATCGTCCGAGGTTTGCTTCGATTGTGTGTCGACGAGGCCAGGACCGAAGATATTCGGAGGGGTCATAGCGCTGACGCAAGGCCATTGAGTTTGCTGTCTTTGGCCTTCATATCTATCTCGGCGTTATCATCCCCGCATCGCGTGGCGGCATCGAAACCGCGTCATCCATCGATCCGCCCGCCTGACGCGCCTCCCGTCCAATCCCGTGCCGCGCGGGAGCCTGGGCCCTCCGCCGCGCCGCGTATAAAACCACGACGCCGCCCCGTCGCCACCCATCTCCTCCTCCCCCATCGCGTCAGAAGAGGTGTGTAACCCGTGAGATCGTCCAGCTCGTTCCTGACATCGTCCCCAGCCACCTCCGCTCCTCTCACTCACCCACCACCACCAACCACCATGTGCTGCACAGCCCACACCCAGCCCTCCTCCACTCCCGCCTCCGCCAAGGCCACCACCGGCGACGCGGCGGCGCCCACGAACGCGAGCGCGCCCCAGTGCTGCCACTGCGGCTGGCGCGGCGCGCACGCCCCGGACTGCCCGTTCAAGTAGACGGCGCGCGAGCCTGGTCCGCGCGTGAGAGGTGCGCTTCCCCTCCCGCCGCTCTTTGACGCTCCCCGCTGACTCCCCCTCCAGCAGACCCTCCGCGCTACCACTCGGCACCCGCGCTTCGTCCCCGGCCTCCCGCGAATCCGTGCCCTCATCCATCATCATCTCATGATCGCAAGCTCACTCATCACGATTCCCCGCCCTCATCATCAGCATGTACCACCACCCCTGCCCATATCTATTGCCTGCATCGCGGCTCGCACCGCGTATCGCTCGCCCCCATCGCGTCTTGCATCTCGCATCCCGCTTGCTGCACCCATCTGCCAATCTGCTACCCACGAGCAGCGCGCCGCATCCAGTGATTGCATGCCGATCCTGGCTTCTATCTGGACAGCCACCACTCGCGCCGCCGTATACCCCCGCAGAAGAAGATGGAGAAGCAGCAGAAGCCTCGGCTGGCAGCCGATGTGCGGATCCTCATCACTTGGTCTCCGCCAAGGTGACTGTCCCCAAGCGCCTTCGCGAACTCGGCATCAGGCTTCTCGAGCTCGCTATCGCGCCTTCGCGAGCTCGACATCGCCCGCCCACCTAGAGGCTATAGCACTACCAAGCCTGCTCCTAGAGGCTACCGCAGCGCCAGACGCAGCGAGCGCAGGCACGCACCACCACGCACTGTACTTGTATATTTGTTTTCCTGTATCTATTGTGTATTTCTATCGCGTACGTGACTGGAAGTGCTATCAGTATCTGCATGTCTCTGCTCCTCCATGAAGTTCGTGGTGTTCTTTGAATGTCGTCGATATCCTTCAAAGAACATGCATCATGCTGTGATCTTGCGTCCCTCGAAGCTCTTCGAGAACTTCTGGCGGTGTGGAAATTATGTTTGCCTCTTTGATGAAGTTGAAAGGCGGGTAAAAGGAGGATCGTCCTCGTCACAAGCCTTGCAGATGCTGAAAGAGAAGAGAAAGTTATGCTGAAAGAAGCGCGGATTACGGATGTTTGCGTGTGTTATGAACGCATGTGGTTCCTTTTCATGGCATTTACGGACTTCAAAGCCTTCCGCATGGAGTTGCCGCAGTGGCGGAGCCCTTGAAGCCTGAAGCCCAAGATATAGCAACAGAACACGATATGGGGCATGGCTGGAATAGACATCTTATTTGCGTACTCGAGCGTGAACCACCCACATAACGCTCGATCCCATAGAATACCCAGCAAATGGCAACATACATTCCAACCAACAGGCTGTATACAAAATACAAAACAGGGCAGCTATACGGTCCAAAAGCAGCATTAGTGTATGCGCGTGCGATAAGCAGAAGGGGGGAAGGGGGTTGGGTGATAATGGGAAGAGAGGCGCAGGGGTCAGGAGAGACTGAGCGAGGCGCAGGGATCAGGAGAAATTGAGCCGCAAGGGATACGCCCGTGAAAACAAACAAATGCGGCACAGAACGATGAAAGGTAAGAAAAGGGAAGACAACTACACATGTCGTATGTCAACAAAATAGATAAATACGTTGTATGTCTGACGAGCAATTCTAAGTACACAGGAGGGCGAGAGGTAGGGGGGGGGGGCGCACCGAAGTGCGGGGAAGTGGTGCGCCGGGGAGGAATGGCGAACCACGGATTTGTGAGGTAGCGCGACAGGGTAACGCGACCAAGGTAGGGTAAGGTTGATTGGGAGGGAGGGAGAAAGGAAGAAGGAAAAGAAGAGAAGCACCACGTCAGGATATACAAAGCACGGGCGCACCGAGCCAACGAACGTGTCCAAAGTCCCCAAGAGAGAAGTAGGCTATAGCATAGGAGATATAACATCGTGGAGGTGCGCGTGGGCGCCACAAAGAGGGAGTCGCGCGCTTGACTCTCAAACTTGCGCGCCACCAAGTCAGGGCCCCACCCCGACCGGCGGCACCTCCGCGAGCGCGTTGACAGACACATCGGTCTTCATTTTCTTCGGCGGGCGCATGGTGTCGAGGACGTCGATGGGGCGCTTGAGGGGATGTGGGGGAGAGTGGAGGCCGGAAAGGGGACGATGGTTCGCGTCTTCGTCGGCTTGGGCGGGTGGAGAGCCAGACGCTTCCGTGGGCGCCTTGGACGCGGTGCCCTTTCGCGGAGCGCGCTTGGCGCCGTTGGACTGCCGTCGGTCGTTCGCGTAGTGACACGGCAGCGACTTGCGCGCGCAGCTCGAGCAGGACGGCATGCCACCGTCGCATTTCGTCTTGCGAGCTGAATGCAATATCAGTAAATGATCCTCTGCATCTACAAGGCCACTCACATCGACAGAGGTCGCAGGCAACCACCTTCGGGCCTGACGACGTCAATCGCCCAGTGCCCGACTTGCCTGGCACAGTCGCCGCCCGCTTCCTCGCTGGCGGCGCCTGCATCTGCTCCCGCGAATCCGGCGGCCTCGTCTGCAGCTCGCGCTCGCGCATCGCTTGCTCCCCCCTCATCCCCTGCCCGGGCGCGTCCCTCACCATCAGCGGCAGCCCGCCCGCGCCCATCCCCCGCATCCCCGGCGCGGAGCGCGTCTCCTGCGACGGCGGCGATCCCCGCGGGAGCAGCGTCTCGATATGCGGCAATTCATTGTCCGGAAACATGCTCCTCCCGGGCGGCCCCCGCGGCAGCGCGAACCCGTTCTCCTGCATCTGCATCGGGTTGAAGCCCTTGCCGTCCTGCATCGAGGGCGGGAAGCCCTTGTCGCTGCGCGCGAGCGCGGTGATGGGCGGCAGCGTTGGCCCGTCGTACGCATTGTGCGGACTGTGGTCGTACGCGCGCTGCTGCTGCTCCGTGGCGTTCGAGGCCCTCCGCTCGGCGGCGTTGCTCGCCCTCCGCGCCGGGTGCTGCTGATCCGCGGCGTTAGATTGCCTTCGGGATGGTGGCGCTCCGGGTGACAGCTGGATCTGTTTGTTGTCAAGGTCGCCTGATGGCTCGCCCATAACTGGCGCCTCGCCCAACACGGACGGCTCTCCCACGCTATCGCTGTCGCTCAGCTCGTCTGCCGCCTTGGGGCGCCCTGACCGCCGCCGCTGAGTCGCACTGTACTCGCAGGTGTGCGACCGCTTTTCGCACTGTCCACAGCCCGGCCGTGCGCCATCGCATTTGAGTTTTCGAGCTGCAGAAAAAATAGCAAAAAATCCAGAATGGAAGAGAAGAGACCGTCAGTAAAACAGCGCCCATACAGCAAAACAAAACGGACGGACATCGGCAGAAGTTGCACGCAATCGTGATCTTCCTCGGCTTCGAGCGAAGGTGTCCACCTATACAAGCGATCCCATTCAGCCGAAAACTCAAAAGTCGCGGGCGAAACAGAATACGCACGGCTCTCCGTCTTCGTAGACGGCCCAGGAACTGCATCTGCCAGCGCGCGCGCAGTAGGCAGCGAGTCCGACAACGAGCGCGCGGGCAGATGCACATCCTCTACCGCCCGCCCGACGTCGACCATCGACGCATGATGCGCCAAGGGCGGCTGTGCAACCGCCCCCGTATTCACCGCCAGCGCCGGCCTGCTGCCCGCGGGCGGTGGTTGTGGCGCAATCGGATTTGCGTGCACCGACCTTCGGTAGTTCACCACGTTCTGCTTGAAGAGGTAGTCGCGCGTGTATTTCCGCAGCGTCTGTGGCGCCGGCGCGGGCGGTCGTCAGCACGATAGCTCGCCGCTAGAACCCGCGTGGCCGACGTACCTCCATGTGGTGGAAAATCGCGCCTCGGAGCGCCATGAAGTCGCAGTGCTTGTGGTCGAGGACGTCGAGGTAGCCCCAACGGTATGCGCGCACGTACTTGCCCGCCAGTAGCTTGGGTCGCGACAGCAGTGAAGGCCTATATTGCTCAATGAGGTCATGACGAGATGGCTGCACGCGCTGTACGCCGTCGCTATGGGCGTAAATATCAGGAGATATTAGCGCGTACGGCAGTCGCGGGATTGGCGTCGGTGGTGACGCCCGCGACGAGGCGATAAGTTCAGGCTGGAGTGCATCGGCCGCCGCAGCAGTGTCTTGTGCGGCATATTCGTCGAAGATACCAAAGCCAATACCCGCGTCTGCGAGGTCTTTGCGGACAGCGGCCTTGATAGTCGCCAGCCGCGCGTTTGAAAGCACGTCTGCACGCGAGATGACAGGCAGGACATTGACGCGCGCCGAGAGGTTCTTGATAGCGAGGATGTCGCCGCGAGGTAGAGAGGGACGCGCAGGCAATGGACTCCCTCCCGACGGATCGAGAAGTACCGCATCAGGCTCCAGCTGTGGGAATCCTGGTCTGCACGCCCTCGAGGCAGCGGCTGGCGGCACAATGAGGTCGGGGTCGAGGAAATAAATACATCTGTGGCGTCGCGGAACAATAAAAATGAGTCACCGGCGAACAGCGAGAGGCGGCAGGCGTGCTCACAGATGAATAAACTGATCGCCGCTGGCCGCCCGCCTAGCATCGCGCTGTAGAACCCGCATCAGCAACCCCGCGCGCACCCGGGCACAGGCACTGCCACTCACGTCTTCCACAGCTTCCGCGAACCGAGTGTCGATGAAGCGCACGATGTCCGCGAGCACGCGCTCGGCTGCTGGGGTGTCGCGCGCGTCGAGGGCGGGGGTGTCAACGAGGCCGAGCGCGATCGGTGGGGCGCCCGTTTCGGGCTCGACGTCGAGGGAGGCGACGCGCAGCTGGGTGGTCGGCGCGGCGCAGGTCTGGACGAACTTGGCCAGGTGGGCGACCTGGTCCTGGGTGGTGCCGGACGCGATCTCGCTCGTGTCCGCGAGCAGGCGGAGGAAGGACGACTTGCCTGCGGGGGGTGAGGCGGGGGGCGCGCGGGGAAGAGGGGTAGCTCACCCCCTGAGCATCCTGCGACGAGGAGATTGAATTCTGGGCGTTGGGAGACTGGGGCCGTGAGGAATGGCGCGCGGAGAGGGGAGGGGGGCGTACCGAGATTGGCGGGCGGGGAGAGGTCGAGATGGTTACCGGTGAGGACGCCGATGGCGGGGAGGGAGGGGCGGTCACGGATGTGGCGGTCGTCGAGCATGGCTGGCGGCGTCCCGGAGGCGCATTCACTTCACGGTGCGCTCCGTGGGGCGAGATGGGCGGTCGGGAAAAGAGACGGCCTGCGCATGGGCGCGGAGGAAACGGATAGCTAGCATTCGGCCGGCATCAATCCATCAACCTCCGACGCCGTGAGACGCAGATTCTCATCATTGAGTGCGCCGCCCCGTCTCCGTCCAGGTACTCCCCCGCAGACCGCATACTCCGTCGATACACATTATATTCGCTACAGTACGCAATTAAGAAGGCAGTTACTGGGAGACTTATAAGGAGGCAGCTACTAGGAATAATCTTCAATAAGCTAGACACCCGCACACAGCCGCACTCCGGACGACAGCTAGCGACGGCAGCGAACGCCCCGTCCCCGATAGGCGGCTCGGGTATGAAACGGTCCGCCCGGCGCAGGCGACCGCGGCGAACCCCCGGCGCGCTACATGCGCTCCCGAGGGCCACCATCGTGCCCGCACACCAGTCGCAGAAGAGGGTCGGAAGGAGAGGCGCTAGCCAAGCGCGCGCAGCTGGCTAGCAACCGGGATACGTAACACAAGAACCTCGGAACCTGACAAATCCACCCGCCCCGCGGACACGCCAGATGAGCGGTCATGGGGGCGGCGGCTGGGAATTCAAGGCACGCTGAACCGTGGCCTGCTCTCCGCCGTGTGCGCCCGGACGCCCCGCCGACGACCTCCCAGGCAAGCGTACTCCCAGCCAGCTCGGCCTGGGCGCGCGGAGAGCAAGCGCGCCCCCGACGCCACCCTGCTACCGCCCTCGCCATTCGTCCGGCCGCTCCGTCTCCTCGTCTTCCTCCGGTTCCTCCGCATAGCTCGGGCGCGTGGGAGTCCGAACGCTTCTTCGTGCGGCAGGCGTCATGGGTGGCGGCCCCGTTATCGGCGTCGGACCTGGCGGTCCCGGCGGCAGCGGTGGCCCTCCGTGAGGTGGCATATATGCGCTACTCGGCGGGTAACCATAGGTATAGGACGACGGCGGGAGGATGCTGCCTGCGTATGCGGACGTCGCGGTGGTATGGCTCGACGATGAAGACGAAGAGCGTGCGATATCCCTCTCCATCGCCGTCGCCTCCGCCTTCCGTCGCGCCTTTTCTGCCTTCGACATCTTGCCGGGCCCACGCCGACGGGGCGACGACCGATACGTGCATACATTGCTGCGGGACAGGCAGTTGCCGCAAACAGGCTTGGCCCCATCACAGCGGAGCTTGCGACCTGTTCACGCGCCAAAGCTCAATCTCATCTTCGCGAACGCTAATCGTGAGAGCTCACCTCGACAAAAGTCGCACGCGATCTCTGTTTTTCTCGTCTGCGTCTTGCGCGGCTCGGTGCTTCTGGGTCGTTTTTGAGGCGGGGGTTCCATTTCTTCATCTGGGCGAGAGCGACTTGGGTACACGGACTGCGAAGAGGAGGGGACTGGGGTATAACTCTCGTGGCGGCTGGGTTCCATCGGCCTGTTTCGCTCCTCGTAGCGACGCTCCTCATACCGAGGTTCGTCGTAGCGGTGGGGCTGTTCGGGAGGAAGATAATATGGGGCGTATGGGTCCGGCGAGTAGTGCGGCAGTTCAGAAGGGGGAGGCAGGGGGCGATACTGGTGTTCTACATCTTGATATTGTCTGTACGGTGGCTGCATTGAAGAAGAGGAAGAAGAAGGAGCTGAAAGAAAATTATCCGGCACGTCAACATGAAGCAAGATCCTCAAAGAACGCGCGTGACGTACCAGATGGGGGCGGGGGCATTGGGTACCGGGCAGGCTCTGGCTGCCACGGCGATTCTCTATGAGGCGCATACGTGCCACTCGGCCCGTACTCCTCCATGGGCGGCGGCGGGTCGGGGTACGAAGGCGCATAGGACTCATAGCGGCTGTCTCGACGCTCCCAGCCCGACTCGCCAGTATAGGGGCGGAGGTACTCCATTGGCGGGGCGGGCGGGACGCGCTCTTGATGCCTCCGCGGGGGCATAGGGTCGGCGGGCCTGAAAGAGGACGGCACGGGAGGCTCGTCTCTGTACAGGCCGCGCTCCCTGTAGGGGTCATAGCCTGGCGCGTTGTAGTGGAACTCGAAGGTGTCTTGGGTTGGCGCGCGCGGCGGCGGGGGCGGAGGCGGGCGCGCTCGGTAGGCGGGGTCTTCGGGGGCCGGGACGGGCGGGGTGCTATAGTACTGTGTTGAACTACCATGAGGAATGGAAGAAGGGCCCGCGACTGGATGCGGCTCGCTGTGGAGCGCGTAGGCGGGCACCTGGTGCTCCCGCGCGTCGTCGATAACAGGGCGAGCGGGCAGGTAGCGGCGAGAGACCTCCTGCTCGCGCTGTGCCTGGGCGTGCGCGGCGGCTTCCCAGGAATCGGCGGGGCGGAGAGGATATGAGGATGAGGAGGGGGCGGGGTAGGCGGAGGCGGGGTACGCCTCATCTCTGTGCGGCTCGTCGTCGTCCCTGGGCTCGTAGGTGGAGCGGGAGGCGGAGTCGCGGGGCGGCGGGGGCTGAGGCTCGCGGAACATGAGGGGCTGGAGAGTTGGCGGGAGCGAGCTTTCGTGCACGCGGTCTGCGTCGTCGTCGTCGGCGCGCTGGTCCCGTCTGCGGCGGTCCATGGCGGCGGCGGGCGTCTGTTTGAGTGGGCAGAGAGAAAGGCGGAGTGTAGAGAACGGGCGTAAAGAGGGAGGGGCTCTTGGTGCTAAAAGAGGGAAAAGGAGAAGTACGCAGTCCATCCAGTCGTCGGAATGACGAATAAAGTGGACGGCGAGCAAGACGATCGGGATGCGGAGGAATGTAGCGGAACGAAACAAAAGAGCCTCCAAGCCTCCTGTTTTACTTCCGACCATAACAGGAGCCCACAGCGCACACACACCCGGCGGCGAGCGCGCGGGAGACAGCAGCGCGCAGCGGCGGCGACGACCAGCAAAGTCAACCAACAATCTCTTGTTTTCCGTGTTTTATTGTCTCCTGTTTTGCCGCTCTTTTTTCGCCCGATTTCCCAGGGCCGTGCGGGGCCGCTGCAATTTCATAATTCTGCGCTCTCGTTCCTGTCCTTCCCGAATGGATTATCCATTGTTCGAGTCTTTTCTGAGCCTACGCCGACGCTTGCCTACCCTACGCCCCCGTCGTCGCGCGCAGCGGCGGCCAGCCAGCGTCCGGGCGGCTGAGACACGATCGCAACAGGCATGATAAGATCAGCGACCGTCCGTCACATGGCTTGCCCAGTATGGCGAGGTCCGCCCGGGCAAGCGGCACCCTAATCACCAACTCTAATCGCTAGGGTGGGAATCGCGAACCTTGCCCAAGTCCGTGTCCGCGGCGCGTAAAACGCGTCCCGCGTAAGTTGTCCAGTCCGCACCGCGCAGGACCCCGGATAATGGGCGGCGAGGTTAGTTCCGGAAATCCTCAAAACAGTGGCGTCCAAGTCCGACATTTTTTGGCCAAAAGGACGGCCAAAGTCCGACTTTTTAACCAACCTTGTCGGCCGCCGAAACTCTTTATGTCCCGATTAGGGAAATCAATTATTTGTTTTGTCACGTGAGCGAATATTCAGAATTTCCTGCGACTTTCTGTGCCTCTCCCGAGGGCCTGTTTCGAACGGGAAACCACGCCATTCGACGTATTTCGTTGTTCGCTCGTACCCAGTGCACCATTTAGGCATTTTTGTGCTATTTTGTCTGACATCGAAGTCAGGCAGGGTCCCAAAAGTCCGACTTCCAAAGCAAGGTGACGCCCTCAACCTACCCATTTTCCGACTTTCTCAGAGACATTTTGAGCGTTTGAGGCCCCAAAAAATCCGACATCGCAAACTACCCCTCCCCCCAATTATCCGGGGTCCTCACCGCGCCCGTGGAAGCTGTTCCTGCGCACGCCCGCGGAGGGTTATCCAGCTGCCATCCCGCGCCGCGCCCCCCATCAGTGGTGCTCCCCCGCCCCGACAGATTTAATCAGGCCATTTCCAACCGAGACCGCGTGCGTCATTCCGCGCCCCGCACCAGCGACACAGAGATCGCCACGTCGTGTTCTGTCTGACCGCCTCGCCGTCTGCGCGTGGCAGCATCCATCCGCGCCGTCTGCCAATCATCCTAACCGACTGATTCAGCCCTGCAGAAGCGTCCTAGACGTCTGCCACTAGCTCGCCTCGAAATCTCGTGTTTTTCTCCACCCTTCCTGCACCCCCAATTATCTCCCCTTCGCCGTACTCCCCACCAGCCTCGCGTCCTCTTCTTCTTCCATCGCCTCGTGTACTCCAGCACACGTTCCCCCTTGGCGCATGTATCTGAACTCTGAGGCTCATGTCAGGTCTGCACGACGTGTCCGTCTTATCGATGGACGAGGCTCACCGCCCTGCGGTGACACGAGCCACCTCCTGCGAGACACACGGTGTCGCGCCAAATAGACACCTACAAGCCAAATAGCCGTTCCGCGGGCGGTATCTGGCACTCGACAGCGCAGATCCCGACATTCATTTCCTGTTAATTTTACTGCCAAATAGACGTTCTTCACTTTGCATCGAAGGACTTCCATGTCCGAAGATCCATCTCCCCCTGAAAGCCCATCTCATCTGCGAAGCCCTCGAGGTGCATGTGGGCAGCAGCATGCTCCCTCCCTTCTCTTGGAAGCCTTACCTACTCGCAATCCCACGCCCGAGGTTCGAACACCCATCCCACGAAACGAACATTCATCTCCCAATCGACCATTCATCTCGCGCATCTCGCCCTTCATACCGCCCGGGGAAGAGCCCATCTCCCGACGATCGGGAGATCTGGCCGCGAGATCGGCTCGGATGACACCCATTAGGAAGGTCTTGTATTATGCGGTATGGCGATGTTTGGCTCGGTGGGTCTGGGTGTTTGGTTGGGGGCGTTTCCGTTTGGCAGAGCGACAACGCCCGTTTCGTCGAGTGGCGTATGTATGCGTTGAGTGGCACATCCCTTTCAAAAGGTCGTAACAGGGACGAGTGTTGCCATCCTTTCAAGGGTGAAAGACGACCGTCGTCAATGAAGTGGGTGCGTATAAGCATCTGCCTTCTTTTCCTTTACGCCTTTCTTCGCGTCCGGATATGCCGCGCGCCGAGGGATAGCAAATGGTCATGGGTTGAAACTACTCCTTCGTAATGGAGATACCGTGATCGGGAGAAAGTATCGCGAGAGGCGGTGGGTCGGTCGGTAGGGCTACAGAGAAAGCTCTCATATCTGAGGATATAGATGCAAGCTGTCGCAGTGAGAGTAGGTAGACCAGCGCGTTCAAAGTGTGTAAATTATTGCGGACAGGCCAAACACGCGCAGTGCGATTGCCAGATGCCCAAACAACCCGTGCCACTCAACGGACATACTATCAATCCATCGCCCATCCGCATCCGCTCACCTTATTGTTCTCTTTGAGGGTCTGCGGCTTCGTTGTCTGCCTCGTTGCTCGACTGGCCTGCGCGTCAATGAGCAGTAAAGTCGTTCGACAAGTGCAGCATCGATAGGCGCTCACAGAGGTGATAGACGCTTGAAGATGCGATAGACGCTCAAAGGTAATGAGTAGTCGGCGCTGTCATACGGCCTCAAGGTGAAGGTGCGCGTGAAGCTCTCGAAGAACCATAGGGAATTCACTCACCCAAGCACTGCCATAATACAGATGAACGCCGCCGTAATACAGATGAACGCCGCCATGATACAAATGGACACCGTCGTAAATCAGACGAACACCGCCTCGCACAGATAGGCGCTCGAGATTCGTAGATCCAGACATCAGATAGGCGTTTATCGACGCGCGCACAACCCAGTGAGGCAACTTCAAAGACACATATTGCCTATCTGGGTAATCCTGCGGCGAGGTGGGGGTCCGGCGAAGGAGGTCGGGAAAACACACGGGTGCATACCTTGAGTACACGAGTACATATCCTGAACCCACGAGTGCAGACCGTGAAAACACGAGTGCAGACTGTGAAGATGAGTACACAATTCGAACACACGAGTACATACCGTGAACCCACGAGTGCATACCTTCCTATCGGGGAGATATCGAAGAGCGGATAGGCAGAGATGGGTAACTTGAATACGGGCACGAGGATAGGACGAGATGAGCGGGAGGGCAGGCCCGTTATGTGCGCGAGAATGTCCGTTTTGACTTCGAGGGTATGCCCGTTATGTGCGCGAGGATATGCCCGTGATGAGTGCGGGAACATGCCCATGATGAGTGCGAGGGTAGGCCCCCAACGAGCGCGGAAGCAGGCCCAGAGCGAGCGTGACGGAAAGGCTCAGAGGAGCGTCCGCAGAGCGCCACAATTGTGGCGATGCCACATTGCGCGGCTGGATGGGTGGTCGTAAGCATATGCACAAAGTCGAACGTGGGTCATCCGGTCTTCAACAGATCTGATAGTTCAGTAATAATGCAGACAGCGACAAAAACACAATTAATGTAGCTCAAAAGCCATACACACCATCGTTACCCGCGGTCCCCATCCAACTCGGATGCATCACATACATTCACTATACCACTCTCCAAATTAGCCCACCCTAAGCCCCCGGCGCCCGATACCGCAACAACCTCAGCGACTCGATGCTCTCATCGCTCCTCCGCACCATCTCCTCCACGGAACTCATGATGAAGTACACCGTCGGCGCAATCGCCCACCACACCGTCGTCTGCCACGCACGCCACAGCAGCAGGCTCGTCACCGCGATATAGAATGTTATGGCAGGAAAATTCATCGGCGAGAAGGGCGTTGTAGGTGTAGCGAGGCGCGGCCAAACAAATGGGACAGGCGGGTGAGTGCCTGGGATGAAGGCGCGTGAGGCGGGCGGTACGGGAGCGTAAGGTGACTCGTCCAAGCGAAGCCAGCCGCGGAGGGGTGGCTTGTAGAAGCTGCGGGGGCGGAGACGAAGGAGAAGGATGATGTGGGAGAAAACATTGAAGAGAGCGAGGAGGGTGGAGAAAGGGAGGGGAGGTGCGGGAGCATCTGAGGGAAAGATGGAGAGGAGAGGGCTTTCTTTTGAGGTTCGGAAAAGGTAGTAGAGATGCCTGAGATAGATTCAGCATGAAAGGTGCGTGTGAGTTGGGATGGGGATCAGTGGCTACATACAGCAGCAGCGAAAGGGTAACAAGGATGTGCGCTCCAAGGATGGCGGATTTGAGACGGGGCTCGTTATCAGCAGCTATCTTGTTGATTGTCTCTTCTTGTTCTGAGAGAGCGAAGGGCGTAGCGAGCCGTCAGCAAGGTTTATGCCGGCGGGCGCTTATTTGGACACACCCTGCTCGTCCAGAACGCGCTGATCCTCCTCCTCGGCATCGATCCGGAAATTCTCGACGAACTGGAGCGGTAGGCGCCGCCTGAGCTCGTTGATGATGGGGCTTTCTCGCTCGAGCTCCATCCTTGCAGACGGTCGTGGAAGCAAGAAGCAGGTTCGACTGTGGCACGCGCCCGACGCGCCCAGTGCGGCTGGGAAGCACCGGACCCCGGGCCGAACGCGCCGGGCTGGCTCATCATTTTCGGAATCCATTGTTTTCTGCCATCAATCACCATGTCTGCACCCGTTGCCCCCATCGACCCCGGCCAGTTTGACGATGCACCGGAGGATACAACTGCTCCTGCGCCAGGCCTGAGACAAGATACCGCTTTCATTGATCTATCGGACACGGAGGAGCTGTCTGACCTCGACGCTGAGCTTCCAAGCGATTCGGAGGATTCGATTGACGAATACTACGATGATACGAGGGTGGAGGACGAGGATTGGGAGAATGCTGAGAGAGGTGCGGTACTCTGCATCGGCTTTGCGGATGGAGTACTGACTTTTCCAGACTTCACCAAACAGTACAATCGATTGCGCCAACATGTAGCCGTACGGACAGGGAGCGCTGCTGGGACCTCTTCCGCAACCAAGAAGGGCGCTTCTGTCGCCCCCCTTCCTGCAGTGAACCATCCGACGAAGCAGCGCGCCAGCAGCTCAACGACACATGCCAAGGACAAGACCGCCGATCAGCTGGAGGCGCTCTCGAAGTACTCCTCCCGGCTGGCGAAGATCGACGTCCCGTATACGATGGGTGCTGGTGTTAACCGCAAGGGGCCAAGTGCGACCGCGAACATGAAGGACAAGTCCGACCGCGCAACAAGTGAGCAGGTACTGGACCCTAGGACGAGGATCATTCTATTCAAGATGATCGGGAGGGGGCTGATCCAGGAAGTGAATGGATGTGTGAGTACGGGGAAGGAGGTGCGTGCTAGATCTTCATCGCGTGTGGTCTCTAAGATACTGACATACGCAACCCTTTCCCCCAGGCCAACGTCTACCACGCCCTCACCCCCGAAGGCGCCCACCTTGCGCTCAAGATCTACAAGACCTCCATCCTCGTCTTCAAAGACCGCGACAAGTACGTGTCGGGCGAGTACCGCTTCCGGCGCGGCTACTCCCGCCACAACCCGCGCAAGATGGTGCGCGTGTGGGCCGAGAAGGAGATGCGCAACCTCAAGCGCCTCGTCGCCGCGGGCATCCGCTGTCCCTCGCCCCTCGAGGTGCGCGAGAACGTGCTCGTGATGTCCTTCGTCGGCGACGCCGAGGGCTGGGCGTCTCCGCGGTTGAAGGACGCGAGCCTGCCCGCGGAGGCGTGCGCGGGGCTCTATGTGGAGCTCCTCACCGTGGTGCGGACGATGTATCAGAAGTGCAGGCTGGTGCATGCGGATCTGTCGGAGTACAACATTCTGTTCCATGAGGGGCACCTGTGGATCATCGACGTGTCGCAGTCGGTGGAGCACGACCATCCGCATGCGTTCGACTTCTTGAGGAACGACCTGAAGAACGTGGAGGAGTTCTTTGGGAGGTTGGGCGTGGGGTGCTTGGGCCTCAGGCGCGCGTTCGAGTTCGTGACGAGGGAGAGGGTAGCGAAGGATGAGGCTAACACGGAGACCGACGAGGATGCCCTTCGGCGGTGGATGGAGGAGTCCGCGCATGGCGAAGGGGAGGGGGACGCTGCCGATGAAGATACGACGGCGAAGGAACAGGCCAGCCACGAGGACGCGGTCTTCATGCGCTCGTATATCCCGCGGACGCTCAACGAGGTGTACGACCCGGAGCGCGACGTAGAGGTGCTGAAGAGCGGTGGCGGGAAGGACCTGATCTACAAGGATGCGGTTGGGTTGGTGCTGCCGGAGGATGAGCGGGCAACGAAGGACAAGGAGGGAAAGACGGTATCGTTCAGCGAGGATGAGGCGTCGACATCGAAGGCAGACGACGCAGCGGCGTCAAAGTCAACGAAGGTGGAGGAGGAAGACGATAGTCCAGAGGAGGACGCGTCGGAAGAAGAAGACGAAGAGTCCGGCGAGGAGAATGAGGCTGGGGGCTTCAAGGAGAGGAAGCCGAGAGGGCACCGACACGAGGACAAGGAGGCGAAGAAGGTGCGTGTTGGGCTCGTCCTTCGCGTTGTCAGACGACTGACCAGATCACAGGAGCGCAAGAAGGCTGTCAAAGCTGAGAACAAGGAGAAGAGGAAACAAAAGATGCCCAAAGCGGAGAAGAAGCGCATTATGAAGAAGAGTCGTGGTGGCTAGAGCGACATTGACTTGACCTCATTCGCTGCTGGTACGACAGTCTCCATCAGATACTCTTCCTTGCTTTCAGACTTTTCTCATCTTTATCGGTCATTACTATGTTGTATGTACTAGTACCGGTGTGTTTGTACACTATCAGCCCACTACAGGCATGTCTTTTGGTTGAGCCACCGGATGAAGCTCCCTCGCGCCACGCCACACCTACATCCCTCACGCATCCGTAATGCACCCCTTGCTCGCGTCCGTCACCGTCTTCGTGTACTTGTACAGCGTACCCTGCGTGACCTTCAGGGGCGGCGCCTTCCACGTCTCGCGGCGCTTGGCCAGCTCCTCGTCCGACACCTCCAGCTCGAGCGTGTTCTTCACAGCATCGATGGAGATGACGTCCCCGTCGCGCACGAGCGCGATAGGGCCACCGACCTGCGCCTCGGGGACGACGTGCCCGATGACGAAGCCGTGCGAGCCGCCGCTGAAGCGGCCGTCGGTGAGGCAGGCGACGTCGAGGCCGAGGCCGGCGCCCATGATGAGGGAGGTGGGCTTGAGCATTTCGGGCATGCCGGGGCCGCCCTGGGGGCCGAGGTAGCGCAGGATGACGACCGTCTTCTCGCCCTTCTTGATCGAGCCGGACTCGACGGCGTGCACGAAGTCCTCTTCGCGGTCGAAGGCGCGGGCCTTGCCGGTGAAGCGGAGACCCTCCTTGCCGGTGATCTTGGCCACAGCGCCGCCAGGTGCGAGGTTACCGCGAAGTATTCTGTAGGACATGGTCAGGAAAGTCGCTTGAGATCAAGTTAGCCTCGCCTTACCTCAAGTGCCCGGTTTCCTTGATCGGCTTGTTGAGCGGGTGGATAACATCCTGGCTCGTGAAGTCGAGCTCGCCGTGCTTGTGCACCCAGCGCTCCAAGTTCTCCCCAAGCGTACGACCCGTCACCGTCATGTTGTTCCCGTCGATCATGTTCTGCTTCAGCAAGAAATGCAAGATCTTCGGAATCCCGCCAATCCTATACACGTCCTCCATCACATACTTCCCACTCGGCTTGATGTCTGCGAGGAAGGGTGTGCGGTCGGACACGTTCTGGAAGTCCTCGAGCGAGAGCTCGATGCCGTAGGCGTGCGCGATGGCGAGGAGGTGGAGGACGACGTTGGTGGAGCCGCCGAGGACAATGGCGAGCGTGATCGCGTTCTCGATGGCGCTGCGGGTAAGGATGTCGCGTGGCTTGATGTCGCGCTCGAGGAGCTCGCGCATGGCGGCGCCGACGGAGGCGCACTCCTCGGCCTTCTCGGCGGAGGTAGCGGGGTAGGAGGAGGAGCCGGGGAGGGTCATGCCCATGGCTTCGGCGGCGCTGGCCATGGTATTTGCGGTGTACATCTGGAGGAGCAGTCAGACTCAGCATTCAGGTGGATGTAAGTAAAATACGCACGCCACCGCAAGCACCCGGACCAGGACATGCGTGCCTGATGATCTTCGCACGTTCCTTGTCCGCCTCTGGTGTTTGGCCGTCCTTGATGTACTTGCCATACGCCTCGATCGCGGACACGAAGTCGAGCTTGGGGGAACCTTCACACGCGCCCGGGCGGATGGTACCACCGTATACCATGATACCTGGGCGGTTTAACCTGCCGACTATATAGCGTTGAGCATGTACTCAAGTGGGAAGGGGGAATAACTCACGAGCTATCAAGACACCAGGCATGTTCTTGTCGCATCCCGGGACGACGACCATGCCGTCGAGGTGGTGTCCTCCCGCAGCCGTCTCCACAGCGTCCGCAATGAGGTCGCGAGACTGCAGGGAGTACGACATGCCCTTGGTACCCATGCTAATACCGTCACTGACGCCGACAGTGCCGAACTGGTAGCCAATGATGCCAGCCTCCGTTAGCGAACGCTTGACATCTTGACCAAGCCCCAGAATGTGCTTGTTACATCTGTACGAGTTCCAGCATACTGGGGAAGGAGTGAAAATGAAGGGGGGCTCACGGGTTGCCCTCATACCTGCAGAATATGTTGAGTCATGGTCATGTAATAAGAGGGAAAACGCACCATACGCTCGCGACACCGACCATCGCCTTCTCGAAGTCAGACTCCGTGTCCACACCATCCGTGGCGTACAACATGGCCTTCCCAGGTCTCAGCAACGATATTGACGACATGCATACGCCCGGCATACCTGACTCGCGCCCTGGTCCTTGCGCTGGGTGATGAGCCGGCTGTACCGGTTCATTATAGGCTTCTCCTGGCATTTTGCGGTCGTGGACAGTGCCCTGGACGAGCGCCGGAGGGCCGCGGACGGGCGAGCCTTGCAGAACATCGCGGTCGACGGTGAAGAGAACTGAGTCGTTAGCGCGCGGTGATTTCGTTCACCTCGACGATCATTGGCGGACCGGACCCAATGTCCGACGTCCGAAAGCGCCGATCCCATTGTTCTCTTCGCCATTGTCCGGATCGCCGGAGCTAGCCGACTTCTGGCGCACTTCTCGCTGTTGCGGTCAGCAAGCGTTTTACGTGCATGATACGGTTACAAGCGGCTCCAGGAACTGTCGTCGAACGCTAGGACCCCATTCCAAAATCGCTCAAAAAATCCAGGAAAAAACCAGTCACATTAGGGGGACGATATTATGGCCAGCTATCTTCAACTCCAAGACAGGCTTATGTACAGTAGGAAACATATCTTCTGGAGGCTTCATTCGAACCTTTATTCAATTTGGCGAGAGGTCGGTTTCTTGATCAGCGCCTACTGCAACCCTGTGAGCACGCTAGTAAATCACAGGTGAGCCTCTGCCGCATTCAATGAGCATCTCCGCATGTTGCTCACCTTCGCGGAGATTCGCCTAGCAACTGAAAGACAAGCTGTGTTCGGATGCAGTCGAGAGCGCTGCACGAGGCTACCCTCCTTCAGCAGGGACGTCATCGCGCGGTCGCAGATGTGCTTCTCCTGTAGGCTTGCCGATAACCTGTGGGCGCGCAATAGAGTCTGCCGCGTACCCCGGCGCATGGTGGTATGGCGCCGTCGGTGGCTGCGGGTCGTCGAACAAAGGCAGCTCGGCGGACGGTCCCCCTCGCGGGCCCTCTCTTCGCCAGCGTATCGGGGGACTGAGGGGCACGGAGTTCGCGTCCTCCAGCTCGTTGTCAGTAGGCGCAGTGCGCGGCCTGCGCCTCGCTCCGACCTTGTCCCTCTTTTTTCCTGGCCCGCGTCGCCGCAGAATGGGAACGTAAGAGCACTCCTGGTCTCGGGTGACGCAGGCCTCGCAGCGCGGCTTATCACCTGTGCAGCGGAGTTTTCTCTCTGCCTAAGGTCAGCAAGAGAGAGAGAGAATTGTAAGGCGCTTACGACGGCAAAAATCGCAAGCGATATGGCCAGTTGACGCCCCGCTCTTCCGGCGAGTTTTCTCCTCCGGAGCGTTAGGTCCCTCCATGATAAACGTGTGTTGCTGCTGTCCCTGCGCCCCTCTATCCGACTGAGTCTCCGCCTCAGATTCCAGTTGGATGAGCCTAGGCGACGATCCCTGAGCCAAAGACCTGGAGACGCAGAATTAAGCATTAAAATCAGAAGCGCCTCGTGCCTTGCGACTCACGGCTCGTGTCTGTACTCCTGCGCCTGCTGCTGCCAATAATCGGCGTCTGCCCGCGCGTACTTGCCACCGCTACGTGGCATCATCGTGATCAGCGCTTGAGTCGAAGGAAGAAGAAGACGAAAAGACGTGCGCGAGCACGTGCGGATGGCTGAGAACTTTCTTTACTTACTGAGGAATCGGATTATGCCCGCTGCTGATTGAGGCCGCTGCCGGCTGGCTGCTGATCCCACGTCCAGCACCGCCGCACTGGATCACGGGAGCCATCATGGTCGCTTCTGGCGGCGCGTACGCATAATTCAGCGAAGGCGCCTGCTGCTGATCCGGGCCCCTTTGTGCCGACGCGTGCTGTGTCGTAAAGTTCCATTGGGCTTCCACGGGTGTCGCGAGCGCGCCGGTCTGCGCGTAGTAGTAGTGCAGATACGACTTGCCCGGGTGCGAGGAGGGCGAGGGCAGGGGCGGCGAGGCAGGGTGCTGGGGGTAGTCGGCGTAGGCAGCACTGTGGTGAGAGGGGAGGCGCGGCGGCTGCGAGATAGGGGACGACATAGGGTCGCCCGTGCTAGCATCGTCGTCGGTGCTGGCGGTCGTCGGCTCGTGGTCTCTGCCATGTTGCTCAGCCCACGAGGTAGCGCGGAGAAACGAGAGCTGATGGGCAGCCGCCTCGTGCTCCCAGGTCATCTCGTGCGAAGCCAAGACAAAAGTCGGTGGTGGCACGAACGGCCGTATGTGAGTGGGGAAGAGAAGTCGCGTATGTGGCGCAGGGCCAGGTCAGGACCCAGGTGCACCGCGGTGAGATGATGGTGGGAAGAGGAAAGGTTAGTTTCGCCCCTCGCGCGGTATTTATCTGTGGTGTGAGCCTGGATCGACGTCGTGGTTCAGAATCAAGAGAGAAAGGCTCGCGGAGACAGATCGGAATCAAATTCCAACCACCATGCGCCACACGCACCGATCGGCTTCCTCGCCTCCATTGGGCGTTTCATTTCTCCCCGGGCTCGACGGCTCTTCTGATTTGACCATATCCAGCAGCGCAATGTCGGCCTCCCGGCGCGGGAAGTCCCTGGAATGGAGAGAACAGCCGTCTCTTCATTTTAGCAAGTGCTGTGTTGGAGATATGTCGTGCAGACACACGCGTCATGTCATGATACGGAATTTGCAACTATTTCGTGGCAACTGCCATCCGGGCTTCGAGGCGCTAGTACTAGCCAGTTACCCTGTGATTATTTGTTTACATTGGATGGATGAACCGGACGAGGAAATACGGTCAGACGTGAGGGATAGTCAGGCCTGCAGCCTTGGCCATGCTGATGACTTTCTCAGCCTGCGAGATAGCGTCAGAAATCTTCCTCGTTCTTCGTTGGCTAATGGCGCACCTGCTTCAGCATAGGAGCGTCAATCATCTCCCCGTCAATGCCGACGGCTCCCGTCCCCATTGTCGATGCATACGCCGCATCTAGCTGATGAACAATCTTCGCAGCCCGAAGGATCTCTGCAGGCCAGATTAGCCACTTCTACAACGGCCGCCGCGCGCAATCCTACCTTGCTCGGTGGGCACAAATGTAGACTGAATAGTCTCCACCTGGACGGGATGGATCGCTTGCTATTACACGCGGTCAGAATTAAACCTACCGGGACGGAACTTTGCGGGCACGCACCTTTCCATTAAACCCTAAATTACGACCGTCCTTGCACTCCTCCTTGAGCTCCTCCGGGTCCTTGTAGTGCTTGAAGACCATGTCAATAGCCTCTAGCCCGTGCGCCTTTGCCGCTATAACGATCTGCGACCGCGTATACAGGAGCTCTCGGCGAGAGTGCGTGCGGATGATTCCCGTGTCAGCGCAGACTATGGCCATGAATTAGCTCTCCGGCACTTTTCGAACCCACGCAGCAGACTCACAATCCTCCGCAGCGAACTATCATTTTCGTCAGCGCATTGTCGGTGCCAGCGAATACAATAAATTGAGCTTACCAACAACGCGCTCAACTGCCCGCCCATAAGCGGTCCATGCTCCGACTTCCAGTGGCTGATGGACCCTATATTCCACAGCGCCTGCGCGCTCTCGATGCTCGCGACGAGGCGCAGACCGCGGCCTGGGTCGACGCGCGTAAGTTCGCGGATGACGTTCGACACGTGGTTGAGGTCCTTCGTGGAGTTGACTTTGGGGAGGACGAGGGTGCTGACGACGGGGGAGCGTAGCTAGGTTACGAAGGTGAGTGAATATGAGAGTAAAACGCGAAGGGTTGGCTTCATCTCCGGGCTGTTTCGTAGGGCGACGAGGGAAGTAGGTAAACTTGCACTTACGACATAGGCCATGTCCTCCTCGAAGAACTTGGTCGACACGCTGTTGACGCGGACGGCGACGCGACGACGGTCGAGCGTGCGCTCCTCGTGCTGGCAACGTACGCCGTCAGCGAAAGTCGAGGGTTACATGGGTGAAACTTACCTCCAAAAACGATTGCAACCGCACTCTAGCTCTTTCCTTGTCCGCAGGGACCGGAGACACGCTGTCCTCGAGGTCATAAATGACCATGTCGGACCCTACCTCCTTGGACTTCGCCAGCATCTTGTCGGACGAAGACGGCACATAGAGCCACGAGCGTCGTAGTTGCAGCTCCGAGGGAGGCGTGTGAGGGCTGTGAGCGGGACGGTTGTAATACCTCTGGGCGGCGCAGCCCGAGTATGCCAGGAAAGCCTGTGAAATAAAACGAGTCGTGGCGTAGGTCGCGAGTGGCGAGCGGAGGCGCGAGACAAACATATTCAGAGTGCGAAGCCAATGGGAGCGTAGCGAAAGTAGTTAGAGTTCGGAAAAAGCAGTAGCATTCGCGTTCAGCTGTTCCCTGTCGCACCCGCGACGGGTTCTGGCAAGTTCAAGTCCGGGCGCGTGCGTCATGTCTGCCACGTGCGGAAACTGCCGTTCAACTGTGACCGGTCATTGCTATTCCGCCCATCTCATCCCACCGTCCTCTGCTGTCCCTCATATCTGCCTTGATTTCAGAACCGGATAGTTTTGCTTCTATCTAAGCCCTAACCCCCCCCCCCCCCCCGCGATGACTGGTCTTGCCGCGATGATACCATTTTCGCAGACCGTAGAAAGCGGCAGAGGTAGAAATGTTGAGGAAGAGAAGGAATCGGACGCTGTTTATATCAACATAGCAGAGGGTCAATTTGATACACTTTCCATCTATGGTTGTTGACTTGTAGGATGTACACCGTTCGTACTGGGTGCTGAAGCGGGAGGAATATTCACCGCTGCCTTCCCCTTCGTTCTCAACTCCTCGATCTCCTGTTCGGACAACCCATCTAGTCTTTGTAGGAGGTAATCGACCTGCGAACGACTGCGTCAGCACTCCTTCCCTCACCAACATCAACCACACACTCACCTCCACATCCTTCGTCAACGGAATGATGAAGCTCTCATACAAATCCACCAACCCCTCCACATCCACCTTCTGCGCCGTCGACACGGTCTCCCCGTCGATGATCTCCTGCGCGTACGTCGAGGCTTTCTTCCGCACGCGTTGCAGGAGCTTGCGCTCGACCTCGGGCTTGGTGATCAGGCCCTCGAGCGCCTCGCGATTCGGGTTGAGGATGTGGGGGATGAAGGCCGCGGGGTTTTCCTGGAATTTGGACTCGGAGACGAATTTGCCTAGGGGTGGGGGTGGTCAGCATAACCGTGCGTACGGACAGTGTCGAAAGAGAACCAAGTACCCACCATAATGCACCCTCTTGCTAATCGCTTGCAGCAACTCCACATCCACCGTCGCCGCCGACCCATGGTTGCCGTCATCGTTGTACAGCTCGCCCTCGTCCGCGACGCCCTGCGCGCGCTTCGCGGCGGCGAGCGCGAGCGACGCGCGGCGCGTGATGCGCGGGACGACGTGCTTGACGTAGTGCGCGAGGATCGTCGGGTTCGCATTCACCGTGTTCGGGTAGAGCGTGCGGGGGAAGGTGGGCGGGGCGATGACGGGCGCGGGGAGGTCGGTGGTGAAGGCGTATTCGTCGGGGGAAGTGTAGCGCCGAGCTTTGGCTGGGGGCAAAGGGGGAGGTAGAAAGGAATGTGAGACGATGGAGTCACATCAGCACAACGCATCCCACACCCAATCGACCAACGGTCCACACACCATGAAAGCTCTCGATCTCATGCAAGAACCACTCCAGCCAGGACCCCTCAAACCCGAGCGCGCGCAGCTCCGCGAACGCGCCGGGCTCGTACATCTTCGGGTTGTGCGCGAACTGCGCGCGCTCGATGACGGAGAAGATGATCGTCTCTTCGAGGCGGACGAGCACGGAGCGGATGCGCTCGAGGTTGAGGGGATCGCCGGAGAAGAGGTTGGATTGCATGATGGGGGAAGGGGCTTGAGATGGTGGGCGGAGTGGGAGTGGAAGGGGGAGGGCGCGAGTTCGGTTTACGGAGTTCGAAAGTAGTCAGCGATGAGTTCGTGCAATCAACGATCGAAGGTCCGGACTAGGTGGACTGGCGCCGTCTACGCTGGATTGCTGGAGCCAAACGTGTACCGGTGCAGCTAACGGCGGAGGGGAAGAGGAAGGGGGGACCAGGAAACGCAGGTGAGGGAGGAGGATAAGAGCGGGGGAATACCCCGATCTCATGACGGAGGGGGGCATTATGACTCGGGCCAAGCGGTGCTGCCGGGGAATCCATTACAGCGAGGTACTCGGCGGCCGTCGCCACCGTATATCGCAGGGGGGCGTTGGGCTGTGGTGAAGCCTGGATGTAACGTCGGAAAGAGCGTCGGAGGAGGTTCAACACCTCAGTAGAGGCCGGAAGGTAGGCTGAAGATCGAGGATCACATACACTAGGCAGTATACGCCGTGCCTGCCGGATCGACTAGCACATCGAGCGCCTATTCCATCCCCGAAGTCAAGCCTTCGACTGATATCTGAAGCAAGCAAGAACCCATCCATAGATATCCTACATACAGCAAGCCCGGCAAGCTCCCGAGGCATTAACGTTCGATGCTGCAGAGCGCTAACATCCGATGCCGATCTCCTACAATCGACACACACCAACCCAGCTTACAACTCATCCTTTGGATGCTCCGCCTCCTGCGTAGCCTCCGCAGGCGTCTCATGCCCAGGCGTAGGCACGATGGGCTCGTCGACGACGATGGTCTCCTCTGCCTTAACGTCCAGCGGTGTCTCGTCCAGGATGACCTGGTCCGGGTTAACGGCGACAGGCTCATCCTCCGGCAAACGCAGATCCGCCGTCCCATCAAGGATACTCTTGAAGAAGTCGGTGAGGGGCGCGAGCTTCATCTTGCCTGCGGCGTAATCGTAAGCCATCCCCATCGTCCTTCTCAACAGAAAAGAACAAAGACCCACCCTCATAAACCACCGCCCTCGTCTCCCCCTCGGGGAACACCAGCACCATCGACTTCCCCGTCGGCGCGTGGCCCAGGGCTCCCGCCGCCTCGCCGTCCTCGTCCTTGTGCACGCCCAGGGAGAGCTTCTTTCGGAAGTTGTTCGCGAGGACTTTCCAGAGGAGGGGGACCTTCTTGTCCTTGGTCAAGAGGAGGAGGCGGGGTTTGGAGGTGTCCTGGGAGGAGGGAGTGGAGGTCAGTACATGGCTGGGAAGCACAGTGCATAGCTGGGAGGTACAGTACATGGCTGGGAAGTACAGAAGGGGGAGATGACGGCACGAACACTTTCTACCCAAGGCGCGATATCTGTGACCTCCTTCAACTTCTTCACTAGTGTTGGTACCCGCCGTGCGGTCCAGTCGTGGATAGCCTTGGCTGTGCGTTCGCCGTTGTAGGGCATGGGTGCTTGCTCGCCACCCTGGGGGAAGAGCTTCACGGTGGGGAAGCCTTGCACGCCCTACGAAAGTCCCTTAGTGGGTCTATACGAGGAATACGGTGTAAGGACGCACCTGCTCCGCGCAGATGCGCTTGTTCTCCTCAGCATCACAGTCGACCGCATATAGCGGCACCATGGGGTCGAGGGACTTTGCCGCCTTCATGTACTCGGGCACCAAGCGTTGGCAGTGCTGCACGCATCAATCAGCTTCCCGGTCGTCCGCCGATTGCAGCGCACATACCCCGCACCAAGGCGCTACGAACGCTACTAAACTTGTGTGCTACATTTGGCGTCAGCATCTCATACACCCACTCAGACCATGGCTACGCACCCCCTCTTTCATAACCTTTTTGAACTCCTTCGGATTCAGCATCTTCACCTTCGAGTCCCCGCTCGTGGGGAACAACCCCGCAGACACGAGCGGCGCCGCCAGCGCCAGCGTCAGTGCGAATGAGGAGAAATTCAGCTTCATGTTGGTTGTGGCCCTCGGCCAGAGGTCACTGAGATGGATGCGAGGTGAGGGGGAAGCAGAAGCACTGATCGGCCAGCGCGTCTAAATACCGGCTGACGTGGCGCGTGGTGGCAACGCGATCACGTGTGTCGAGAGAACGTGCTGGTCAATTACCATTTTGGGGACAATAGCGGGCTTGGCCTCGATTTCGCAGATCACTGGGTAATCATCAATTCGCAAGCCACATGCCCAGGTTTCGGGGAGTACAAACAGAATTTGACATTGCAAAGAAACAGACATAGGACAAATAAGGAAAGTACACGGTATCATGACATTCATTTCAAAAGGGTTTCGAGACACAACTATGTGCAAGAAGCGAACGTGAAGTCTCGGTGAGTCACTCGATGAGAGGGTGAGTAAAAAGAGAGTCAACATGGGTCTAGATACACAAGATAGAAGCAGCAAACGAGTGCCTGGGGTAAAGGAAAGAAGGGAAGGAGGCACGCGACGCCATCTGGCACAACAACAGCAACAACAGCAACGCACAACCATAACGTAGTACAGACATTTGTTGGTAGATTGGGTCAGCGACTTAGATCGAAGACCTATACGACACATTAGCTTCCCTGCAAGCAAACGATGCAGAGAACCCCCACGCACCATATATACAACAGATCCCCAAACTCCTCACATCGTGAACCCCGTCATCCCCCCATACATCGCCGCCGCGTCCGCATTCGCCTTGGACCGCCGCCTCGTGCTCGAGCTGCTGCTGCTCTTCCCCGACCCCACGCTCCGCACCTCCGCCGCCGGGGGCTTCCTCGCCGCCTTCGCCGCGTCCTGCCGCTTGCGCAAATCCTCTGCCAGACGTTCCCGCCGGATCCTTGCCTCCTGCTTCGCGATCCGCTTCGCCTCGGCCTTCAGGTCCTTGTCGGAGAGCGGCGGCGTCGAGCTGGGGAGGGGCGGCAGCGCGGTGAAGGTGGGATCGGAGGTCAAGGGCGACTTCTTGCGGCTGAAGCCGAACTTGCTCATAAGGCCGCCGCCACCCGAGGCTGAAGACGGGCGCCCGGAGGCAGCCGACGACGACGAAGTGGAGTGGGAAGAGGTTGAGGAGCGCGCGCCGCCGGGGCGCGGGGCGGCGCCGACGGGGGCGAGGAGGACGGCGGACTTCTGGCGCGGCTCTTCTGCGATGTCGCCAACCATGCCGTGCGGGTAGTGGTCCTCTTCCATGTCCGTGGCGTCCTCCACAATACTCACGCCATCGCTCTCGTCGATGATACCGAGGCCCTGCGCGGAGCTGTCGCCAGTCTGCGGTCGCGACGGGGTATTGGGGTACTGGCTGGATCGCTGCGAGGAGGTCATGGAGGAGCCGCACGACACGAGCGAGGGCGTGTCGCTGTAGGTATCGTTGGACAGACGATCCTGACGGGGAGCAGAGGAGCCCGACGACCGCGTCGCCGTGCTTGTCCTGGAGGCATCGGAAACGCGCGGCATCCGCTTGCCCTCGAGCGCCATCGCCGCACCACGCCGCGACGCGTCCATCCGCCGCGCGCGCTTTGCCTGCTCCGCCTCCAGCGACCACGTCCCCGTAGCAAGCGACTGCTGCGGCGACGGCGCATCCGGCGACGCCTGCTCCAGCGCCGCCGGGTGGTGACCGATCGCGCTGCCCTCGTCCGCCGGGTACACGGAGTCTTGCGAGTACAGGCTCGGCGCGGTGTAGATGCTCGGCACGACCCTGCTCCTGCGCACCATCGGCTCAGGATCAGAGTCCGACTCGTTATCCCAACCCGACGTGTCGGAGTGGCTCGACAGCGGCGAGCGCGGCGCAGACCGGTAGCTCGACAGCGACATGCCGCGCTCGCGCATCTGCGTGCGCACGCCAAACTCCTCCTCGGGACCAGACAGGACGATGTAAGAGTCGTGCGCGCGGCCCTGGTCGTACCCATCGGTATTTGTCGACATCATCGACTCGCGGCGATAGACATCGAAGTCGACGGTCTCGTCGTCGGGAATGGTGTCGTCGTCCGCATAGTTCGCCTCGATGGTGGCGAGGCTGGCTCTGTCGGCGTCGTCGCGCACGACGTGGTCGCCGAGATGTTGGGGAGGAGGGGCGCGCCTGGGCATCTCCAGCACGGAGCCATCGTCCGACGATTCCTCGCCGTCCTCGCCCGCGTAGCCCATGAGTCCTGCCACTTCGAACATCTCCTGATCCGTCGCGAGCGAGACGATGCTGACCTGCCGATGATGCGCGCCCAGCACATCAGACGGCGGATTGCGGAGAAAGGGCGGGTAGGCTGAAGGAGGAGAGAGCAAGCCGTTGCTAGTGGGCGACCGAGCATCGGCAGGTGCTGTGCGATGGTGAGCAAACATCGATCGAAAAGGATGGATAACTTACGAGACATCGCGCCTTTCCTCGACAGGGCCTGCGCATTGAGCAGATCCTGCTGGGGCAGCTGACGCAGCGCGCTCTTCTTCGGCAGCTGAGGCGCATTCGGGGAGGATGCGCTCGACGTCTTCGACGATGAGGAGACCGACTGAAGCGATGGACTCCCGGACACGATCACGGGTGACGAGAACTGCGACGTCCCGGATGAGCCTGCCTTGGGCGTCGACGCTTCAAGCCTCTTCGAGATATCCTCGTCGGGGGACGTGAGCGCGGACGTGGGAGATGACAGGAAATCGCTATTTGGCGAGGAGACCGAGTCGGCGCCAGGCGATACCGGGGAGCCCTTGTGAGGCAATAACGAGGTAAGACCCGCGCGCCGTCCGAGTAGGCTCTTCTTGGGGGATGTCGCGGACGAGGGAGACGTCGGCGTCGACGCAGTCGGCGACGTTGGCGAAGTCACCGAACCTGATCTCATCCTGCCCTTCTGCTTATCCTTCGGCTGTGGTTGCGGCGGAGGTATCTTGCCTGTGAAAAGCGCCTTCAATCCAACACCTGGCGGGATGATTCCTGTGCTATACGCGTAATCCTGCCCAGCGCGAGTGATTCCGTTCGCGGGGCGAGCGGAGGAGTTGGACGGACGACGTCCTGACGCCTTGGATGGGGTGGAGGAGTGACCAGACGATGATGCTGGAGGAGAGGAAGCTGAGACAGCGTCGGAGCCTGTGCTTCGTACGGAAGGAGCAGCTAATGCGGCCTTCGTAGATGCCTCTTTGACGGCAGCAGGATCCTCAACCTCCGGCGGTGCAGGCACGGGTTGGGCTGAAGAGTCACGCCCGCCAGGGATCTGGTGACCCGCGTCGGGTACAGGCTGCTCAGGTAGAGATGCTGAAGCATCCGCTGGTTGCGTGGCTTGAATCCGAGCCTCCTCAATTGGCTCGGGCTGCTCCTTTGTTGCCAAGGACTGCAGAGCCTCCTGCAGCGCAGCGCCGAACATGTCGCCACGCTCATGCTCAACAAGCACGCGCGCCGCGAGATCGGGCCTCAAACCCGCATCGCTAGGTGCCACCTCTAGCATATTAGCAAGAGGCTTCCCTTCGCTTGCCAGATCGTCGTCGAACCCGAAGCCCGTGGCAAATCGCCCGCCGCCGCCCACCCCAAAGCCGCCGCGGTACGTAAGGTGCTTCGGGTCAACGCCGGATGAGGATGTGGGCCTAGACGAATTGACGGGAGGCAGCGGCTGGCCCGGCGCAGGACGAGGGCTCGGAGTCCGTCGAGGAGAGGATGCGGGTATGGACAGCTGGTTGGGGCTGAAAGGGACGCGATTGCGCGCGCCCGGCCCCTGCGAAGACGTCGGGTAGCTGAAGTACGAGGAGACCACCCTCTCCTTCTCACATTCCGGAGAAGTAGGCAACGGGACGCCTGCCGCGAGCGCGATCCCGGGTGAGCCGGCGACGCCCTCCGCAGGCGATGTCGGCAGAGGCACCCGGGCCGCGAGCGTTGTCGGGGTAAGTGCATGTGAAGACGAGGTACCCCCCAAGGTCGGCGAAAACATCGGGATGGGCGACTGCGTCTCTTCCGGCAGGCCTTCCAGGGTGTTCGGTGCGCTGCCATCGTGCTGGAACCCTGTCGTACGCCATGTCGCATCGCTAGTGCCGCGCGCGCGAGACGCACTGAACGAGGATCCTGTGAAGAGCGTGAGTACGACGTCTAGCAGGCTATGACAGCATCGCAATAGCCTTGAGGCCGATGTACGTATGGACGGCGATCAAGGGAAAATGAACCGCAGCAAGGAAAAGAGCTACATGAAGGGGGGTAGAGAAGAATGTGAAGGCTGGAGTTATGATAGGTCGGGATTGGGATAGCGGCGAAGTGAACAGATAGCAAATCGGATAAAAGAACAAGGGGAAGACCCAGATATAGCTATAAGAACAAGAGGAAGGAACAATAACGAGAACACGAGGCGAAGTGGGGTAGGATGAGCGCATGGTAGGTGATGCGATCGTCAGGGCCGCTGTGGGTCATGATGTGCACAGCATGGTTGAATGGGAAGGACGAGAAGGAGCACAAAGGGAACAGTTGAATGAGGTGGACATCAGGTACTTGCGATCCCCATAAGTACAATAGCGTGTGCAGAACATAAGGACATCCCGATTTGGAAGTTGAAAGTGCGACACGGGACTAGCAGTGTATAGTAGAGCTCTGCTCGGCGAAACGATAGCGGTAGTTGGTTGGTAGGTAATCCACGAAAACAAGCAAGAGATTCCAAATCACAGATCAAAGATGGAGACAGATACGAAAGCAGTGAAATCAGGACAATCATCGACGATACCCACCTCCTACGCTGCTCGGTGCACCACCTACCGAACCTCCGCCGGTGCTGGTATCAGTAGCGTTGCCGCCTGCACCACCGCCTGCAGAACCGTCATCTCGACCTGCGATTGCTATTAGCACATTCGCAGCCGCGCATCGGATAAGTAGCTCACGATCACGGTCGCCACGAGACCGGCTCTTGCTCTTATCGGTTGAGCCTTTCTTGGAGGTGTATGCCATAACCTATTCATGAGTCAGTATGTCCATTATCGAGTGGACGGGAAAAGCTCACCGTCCGAAGCGCACGAATCTGCAAGCCACGCTCGCCGCAAAGGGTTGCGACCTCATACACGCCTACGCTGTTAGAGTTGCCCAGCGCACAGTGCATAGCATGTCGAACGAGCGCGCGCAGATGCGCCATACCACCGGTCTCCTCCTCGCCCTCCTCGCCGTCGTCTGCGCATACGCGGCTGAGGATGAGCAACTGGCTCAGCACCGCCGGCGCGTGCTGAAGTGGGGTGACGAGAGCGAGCGTATACAGATACTGCAACAGCGCCACCACAACCTATCAGAGGGGAGAACAGTCAGCATCATCCTATCCCGGATACAAAGACACCACCCACCGGATACGGGGCCGGCACATTGAAGCTCCTCGGCATCAGCCTCGGATCCCTTGCGCCATCCGCATCGCCGTCAAACATGCTGGCACCCCGGGGCGTCAGGCCCGCGCCCACACCGAGCTCCTCGTCCTCGTCGATGCCGCTGGGGCCGGCTTTGAGGGGGACGTGCATGCGATTGGGCGGCATGCTGGCTGCTGTGCGACGCGCGCGCTCGACGAAGCCCTCCATCTGCCGTCGGAACCAGGGCCATCTTGACTCAAGGATCTATAAGGTGGGATCAGTATGTGAGGAGGAAAGTGTCGATGATGGAACACACCTTTCGGCTGCATGCCACCTTCCTGCCATCCTCGCACACTAGCCAGAAATCTGCCGCAACACCCGCCTCGAGCGCGCGTAGACCCAAGAGCTGCGCAGACAACACAACAGACGAGGCAGAGGTTGGTGTCAGAGGCGAGGTTAGCGCTGAATGGATCATTAGTAAAATAGCCTGAATTTCTTTGCTAAACAACTCACCTCCCATGGGCAGCGGAAGCGCTGGGTTCGGTGGTATCCGAGCCTTTGGCGGGCTGTACACGCCAAATGCCTCTAGGTCAACGACAGCGACATGCTGTTCGATCCCAAAATGAGCGAACCGCGCACTGGCTGACCAATTGCTCTCAAAATCTCACCTCCCAACTTAACAGTCGCTTGTTGTAATCGTCAACCAGGTTACCAGCCCGGTCGCCAAAGATCAGCAGCCTATCCGGCGCCGACCCATGTGCAGGAACCAGCACAGAGCGGAACCAACTACCGCTCTGCAGGACAGAGCCACAGTCAATTCGTGACCTACAAACACAAAAAATAGTTAGCATCCATATTCGAAAAAACGATCGGTAACGCGGCTGGCGGTATCAAAGCCTTCGGGACCGTTTCAAAACCCCATCGCACCGTCGGCTAGGTGATTATGACAGACGCCACAGATGACTCCTACCAAAAGTAGAAGATCTCGAAACAGAACTCCCACTCACCAGCTCATCCCCTTCCCGCCACCCCCGAGATGCAATGCCCAGATCGAAAAACTCTGGAAGCTGTGCGCGAGATACGTGCCGCATAGCAACAGGTGCCCTCCGAGAAGGAAACCGCCAGGGAAGCGCAGGCCGGGCGGGAGGGGCATGTCCTGCTGCGCAAGGTGTTAGCTATCGGTACGCGTTGGGTTCATGGCAACTATTGCTTCATGACGAATTGACAGCGCCGGATGGATGGGATGGGTGGATAACCGGAGGTAGTAGGGCTCTGGAGAACGGGATAGGAGAATTCCGGAGGACGTGAGGTGTCAGAGGTAGTGAGGGAGGAGGGGCGGGAAATTGAGCATAGGGCAACGAGAAAAATTATGAGGGATCGGCAGTGTGGAGTAGGAGGGCGCATAAGAGACGGGATAGGGGTGGTGTAATTGATTCTTGATGAATGGATGGCGGGAGAAGCAACGGAGGTGATTTCGGGGGCTCAGAAGAAAGCGACATACCTTCCTCCCCTCCTGCATCGCCGCGCTCAGGTCGCGCACCGCGAATGAGCCATCCGGCCGGGGCGTCAACACTTCCAGCTCGCGCTTCACGTCGGTGAACTACCCGAGCCAAGCCGCGCGGCCGAGCACGAATCACAATTTGGTTCCGAAGGGAGCCAGCAGAGATAGGAGGGCGCGCAGCACATGGCGGGAGCGGACGAACATCCCAAGAGGCAGCCGAGGGGGGCATGACAGGCACGAGTGCAGAGAAAGGGATTCCTCGTCAGTGTAAAGATCGCGTTGCGTGGGCCGCATATACGCACATTGTAGTTGCTGTACACCCAAATCTCGCTGCCGCCGACGCCGTGGGGGCGCCGTCCGGAGTCATGCTGCTCCGCGCCCTCTGGCTTGTCGTCATCTATAGGAGGTGAGGGGCTGTCGGGGTCCTCGACGTCTTGGTATGGAAGATGGACGAGCGCGCGGGCGTTGGTAGCTTCTGGGGTGTCGGGGCAGGTCGGCTGGCCGAAGGGGTTCGCGTCGCTGTGATCGGCTCCAAGGAGGGCATCTGGAAGCTCGTCGAGGGGATAGCGCACGCGCGAAGGGGAAGATACCGCGACTGAGCGGTATGTGCCGCAGTGGCGATTGTATGGCTGGCGCTGGACCCATCTGCCGGCACGCAGATCGAAGACGCAAATATCGTCTAGCCATGTGTTGTAGTAGTCCTGCCCACCGATAATGTATAGGTTGTGGCCTGTGACGCTGGACAGATGTGCATAGCGAGCACGCGGTGCAAGGGAAGCGTCTGAAACGTGCGCAGCAAGGTCAGTAAATCGAGCACGCTGCAGTGTGGGGGGACGTACCATCAGGTGCAGCACTTGTCTGACCGGTTCCCCCAAGTCCTACACCGCCTCCTAGCTCCGTCCAGTGGCCGGTCTGGGTATCGAATGCATGCAGGTCGGCGAGTACGCAGAGATCGTCGGGGTTCGCGGTGCGCTCCGCGGAGTCGGCCGCACTCATACCGCCGAAGACTAGAAGCCAGCGCCCTGCGAACGCATCTGATGAGTGGAAGTACCGAGCGCGCGGAGCGCGTGAGGGGGGTGACGCTGGTGTGATCGCTTCCCAGGTGAATGTCTGTGTGTCGAACGCCCAGAGGTCTGCAACCATGCGGCGCTCCTGGACCAGGCGCCCACCAAAGAGGTATACACGATTCCCAACTACGGTGGTGCTCGCGCCGACAAGCTTGGGAGGCGTCGCACCGCGTGTGCGGCGCGCAAAGGTCGTGAGGTCGTAGATGGAGTGGAGCGCCATCGTCGCTTGTGGGGAGCTGTGCGCTCGACGTCGGCGAGAGTGGGGGGCGCGGCGTCGGCGTCGACGAGATCGCGGACGGAACGAAGAGCAGTTGGTGTGATCCCGGGAAAGCGTTCCTGCTGTGCGCAGAAGCCAGCGCGAGGCTCCCACGCTCCCGCTTAGCGCTGATGGCTGATCAGCTCGTGATCGGCTGTCGTGATCTTGCCGAAATTGGAAATCATGGCCGACCCCGGACCGCAGCGGCGCCGATAGCGCCGACGGACGGACGACGCCGGCGTGCCTCGTGCAACAGCGCCGGCGCGGGATCCACAGTCGCCCATACTCACGTGCACCCATCGATCGCCCCGCCCCGCCGCCTCCAGAGCGCGCGGAGATGCTGACTCGGCGCACACTACCCATCGCCCACCGCACCATCGCATTTTGCTTTAGAACGGCCATGTCGTCCAACGCAACAACCATCGCGACGCCGTCGACGACGCTCACAGAGACGCCGGCAGCACTCAAGGTCCTCCCCCACAACCAGTACGTGACCCCGGACGCAATCTCCCCCGCGACTGTCAGGCCCAACCCGCTTGATGAGTTCCATGCTTGGTTTCGCGCTGTTGCTGCAAGCACAGACCCCGTCGTACCGGAGCCCGAGGTACGTCCCCCCCTCCTTCGTCACTCGCGCCCTGTCTCACAGCTGCAGGCGATGACCCTCGCTACCGCGACTCCAGACGGCATCCCCTCAGCTCGCGTAGTCCTATTCAAGGAACTCGATCAGCGAGGCTTCGTTTTCTATACTAACTATACCAGTCGGTATGCAACCACACTTCTAATCCCCTGTACCTGCGCCTCATCCCACCCTAGCAAGTCCAAGGAGCTCCTAGCCAACCCCCGCGCCTCCCTCGTTTTCTATTGGAAGGAGCTGCACAAATCCGTGCGCATCCTCGGCAACGTCGAGAAGGTCGACAGGGCCGAGAGCGAGGCGTACTTCCGGTGCGTGCCTCGTGCCTTCACCCCCTCCGTCCTATCACATTCTCCCTCGTACGCTCACAATCACATCCCCCTTGCTCCTATCTGCCTATTGCTCCCTCGGTTATCCGCATCCCGTCGCGATATCTTTTGCCCTAATCATGGCCAACTCACGCGCCTTCGTCTTCGTAATCTTCGTAATTATCCCCGTATCCGCATCCACCCAGGTCTTCGCATCCTACTTTCGTAACTGACATTCTATTCTATCACAACCGCTTCCCCTTGCCTAGCCCTCGTACCTCGCCGAGTCGCCGTACTCGTCTCCCTTTCTTCCATCTGCAACCACTTCTTTCTCCTTTCTTTCTCCTCCTCCTTCTCACCCCCCTCTCTCCTCTTCATCGCCTCCTTGATCTCCTTCTCACCTTACCCTCTTCTTCGCTCACACATACTCTCCCGTCTCCCACTCTTCATCCTTCGCTCTCACCCTCCTCTTCTCCGCCCTCGCTACCTCTCCCTCTTCCCACTGACATTTCTTTTTAGCTCCCGCCCCGCCGGGTCGCGCGTCGGTGCCTGGGCCTCCCGCCAGTCCACCGTCGTCCAGGAGGGCGAAGTGCAGGCACGTCTGCAGAAGCTGCGCCAGCGCTTCGGGAGCGACGACCCCGAGAAGGACCCCGAAGACGTTCCCTTGCCCGACTTCTGGGGCGGGTGGCGAGTGGTGCCGTTGTAAGTATCTGCGACTTGATCCATGCCGCGGGCCTTCGGTCTTCTGTCGAGCGGTGTGTCCTACGGCTTGCCGACCCTCGCACCTCTCATATCTTGATTCCTCGCTAATGCCTCTCCTAGCGAGGTCGAATTCTGGTGCGGCAAGCCCTCTCGGTTGCATGATCGCGTGCAGTACACGAGGAAGGGTGATGAGTGGATTATCGAGAGGCTGTCGCCTTAGTCGGCCATCCGGGAAGCAAGGGGCGGCCTTCGCGGGCGTAGACGGTTGCATTTGCGAGCCTGCGCCGTTCCCAGTCAGTTCAAGAGTCTACCGACGGTCGGGCGCAGCTGGTACAACTACTAAAGCTGACGGATAGTGTACACGGAAAATAAGGTGTGTAAAGGAAATACAGAAGGAAAATGTAACTTTGTTGTAGGAATATGGAACCGTAGAATAACAAGATGACTCTCCACTCGCAGTTCGCCCGCGTCTCTCCCATTTTCTCCCTCGCGTGCGACGGACTCGTCTAAGAAGGACGTCCGCCTTGGGCACGTAATGCTCAACTCAAACCTGCTCCGACCCTCGGCCTGATCAGCTCTTCCGCATATACTCGCCGCTTCCCTTCCCAATCAACGTAAATCCGACCTCGCCTGGAAGATGCGTCAACCCTGCTGCCGGCGGAGGAGGCATATACCTTCGCCTGCGGCCTCCTTCTCCGCCGGGCACCAGCAGAATCAGATATATGAGCGAAGAAATGATTGAGTGCGTGCGATTGATCGACCTCGGCTAGATAGTCCATCGCTGCTAAACAACGTTCTATTACTCCTGTACAGCGTTCCATCACACCGGACGCGTAATCCATCGTGCCTCCTCAACGGCTTATCCCATGGGAGCACGTGCATACAGGAGCCCGAAGACCTTCGGTCGTGACCAGTCCAACAACCACGGTGGACCTCCGCGTTGCCGCTCTAGCGAGCTCCGCTATACACCCGGTCAAACAGCTACAGGCAATGTCCAATCCCCGGCCAGGTTCGTCTGAAACTTCTCGAGAGCTGCCAATTCCTTTCCCTCGTGCGTGCGCCGAAGCGCTCTGGATGAGAGCATGCGCTTAATCGGAGGAACGATGCGATCCTTCTCGTCATCGTCCGCGACGAAGAGGAGAGTGAGGCTAGTAAGACAAGGCAGGCGGCCTACGTCCCCTTCTTCGTCGCGAGTCAGCGCCCGGAGGAGGTCCCACGATACGCAGGGCTCGCGCTCGTCTCCCGCCCGCCACCAGCACTCCAGGACGAGCGTCGTCAACGAGGATAGCATATCCAGGCATTTTACGACAGCCTTCGTTATGCCGAAGAAGTTGACGAGTCTGAGCGACTGGAGGTTCGCGGCGGTGCCCTCCTTCTGTACCATGCCGGCAAAGTACTGTAGGACGAGCGCGTCGTGTCCGCCTTGGAAGGACGCGCCATCTCCGAGAAGTGTGACGGATGTGAGCTTGGGCGCGATGATGTAGTGGCAGAACGCGGAGGCGGAGAGCGTCAGGGACTGCAGGGATGGGAGGGTTCGCCTGTTCACCGGCGCCCAATTGCGCCAGAAGGGAGTCCTGACCTTGAGTGTTTGTAGCGTCGGGCTACAAACGATGAACTTCATGATTGGCATGAACTCGCCGTCAGTGCCGATGTTGTTGCATTCAACAGTCAGCTTTGTGATGTTCCAGCACGAGGTGAGGGTCGTCAGAGCGAGACTTGGGGTATGGGTATGAATACCGGAGTATCCGAACTTCAGTGTGGCGACAGGCGAGTCGCGAAACAAGTGAAATGGCAGGGGGAAGGAAGTGAGGACGCATCCTAAGTCCAGGTGCGTAAGGATGGGGAACCGAATAGGCCATGACCACTGCACGTCCTCGAGAGCACCGTCATGCGGCGGATTATATATCGTCAAGGCCGCCCATCGATAGGCCTGAGAAGAGAGCCAATCCCAAGTATCCCTGTCGCAGTTACCCAGATCTCTGTCAACTGAAAAGACCAGTCGCACATGCAGCGGGACGTCCCCACATCGCTCCATGCGCAAGGCAAGCGCACTCTTCCATCGATGGCGAGGAATATGGGCGAAGTCGATGTTGATGTAGCTCCATAGCAGCGGCGTGCCTAGGGCGACTTTGCGCCACAGTTTGCACACCTCTGCTACATTGAGCAGCGCGTTGCCCACGCTGTCCTTCATCCACTGCTTTGACATTGAGAACTCGAATACTGTCGACAAGATCTCTGAAGGGATCTGGTGGATAGGGTGGTTTCTGGTACGGTCATCGGAATCCATGAATTGAGTCCCTGAAAAGTTGAAGATGTCCCAAAATTTCTGCGAAGGAAAGAGGAAACGCAATGGGAGATCGGGATGAGACTCTGTACGAGGTGCTGGCTTGAACCGACAGTAACCGACGTGGACTTCCAGAGTCGGAATTAGAGTCTGATCGGGTGCACCGCAACTCGGAGTTCAGACCCTGGAACTTCTGCCAAAAAAGTACCAGGGAAGTTCAGACTGGAACTCGAACTGGGCGCCTTGGGGTGGTTTTCCGGGGCGGGTTTTACCCTGGAACTCGAGTTCCAGTGCATGCGATCAGACTCTAAGTTAGGGGGCTGGTCAAAGTACCGGTGATTGCCGTTCCATAACGCCCACAGGCGCCTAGCAAGCGCAAACCAAGCGTGTAACTTAAACATGCATCGGGTGGACCTGATCCGCATGCGGCGGGCACTCTGCGGGGACTTGCACCGTATGAATGTCCAGCCACCGACGTTCGAAGGGGAGGCCTGGGGGCGGAGCTTTCTATGCTGGCTGACCGAACATAAGCGGGACGACGTACGCTGAGTTTTACCCTTTCTGCGTGCTGAGGCTTCATCTCGTACTTACACACCGATACGCTACAGCGATAAGAGCCAAAGTGCTCCATCGCACTGTCCTGCTCCTGGACTGTTTAGGGCGGATAGGGCCGTTCCTTCTTAGGGAACTCCCCCGAGTAATAAACTTCCTTTTTTCCTCCTTCTAACTATTGACTAGGCGAGCAGACCACATGCTTGATAGGATAACTTGTCAGTCTCGAGAGCGGGGAAGACCGTAGCAGCGGCCTTAATCTGCCCAGCCGCAATGTCAAGACATTGCAAGGTCGAGTTGCATATTGCAATGACGAGTGGGAATGGCGTGAGGTCGTGCTGACAGTCGATAGTGAGGTTGGTGATTCGCCAAGTAGGGAGAAGAGCCGGGACGGCGCGCGGGTTCGCCGGGTTCTGCAGCTTCAAAGAGGTGACAAGGGTGTTCTCGTACTCGCGAAAGGATGGCGACTTGATCGACTAGAGGTTTGCTAAGGTAGGCGTGCTCTTTGGCCATGTCTGTTGCCATCTGGCGCCCTACACCGGGGACGGCACATTGTGGACCGCAAGGGCTGCCCAGTGGTGCGACTGAGAGGATAGCCAATCCCACTCAGCGGCACCCCAGCTGGGCAAGCCCGTGTGATTGAACGCAAAGCAGAGCTGTAAGAAGCATTTGCCCACAGCGCACGACATGCAAGTCCAACGCGTCTCGCCAGCGCATGGGGTCCTCCCGGAAGTCGATGCTGAAGCTGCTCCAGAGCTGAGGCGTATCCACACAATCGTGCGCCACATCTTGCAATTCATAGACCTGGTGGCGAGTAGCGCCCAAGTCCAGTCGTCCGGTGTAGCGAATGCGAATATCCTCGACATCATTTGAGGCGCCGTTTGGCGAACGGGAGAAAGCATGGCGTGGCTGGCAGCTTGCTGACGTTCGACCTCGTTTCGCCGTCCGACTGCATGGGCGAGTTGCAGAATAAGACCGTCTATCTCGCGTTGGAAACTGGTGTGGACACGCTCCATGGCACGCAAGTCCCCTGTGATGCCTGCGCTGCAGTCACCGCTGGGTACTACGCCGGAGCGAAGCAGATGGCAATTGCTCCGCGTGGCAGCAGTCTGAAGGACAGTTCCCATGTCGTCGGCTTGCAGCAGCACTGTCTTGCGTCAACTTCATACGCTCATGAGATTGGAGAAAATGAACATACCCTCCGTCTTCCAGAGGGGCACGAGTGGAGGTATCAGAAAAGACGCCGATCCCTTTAAGTTTGAGTACGCTTGCCGTTCCATCTTCTTGAGGCGGTGAACCAAGATGATCGCCAGGCCCGAAGACGTGGTGCATGGTGCTGTGCAAGAAAGCAGGGGTAGGTCGATTGGAAGTCAGCATGATTCACGGAATGTCGGCGCCTATAGGTCCGTGCCATGCGGCGACAGGGAAAAAGTCCTTTGTCTCAACTTCACTCATCTCGTTGAGCCTAGTCAAACGACGCGAACATACGTCTCCGAATGAGTGGGGCTGCACTGCAATAGGATTGGCACGTAGAAAATGACGTGGGCGTATATAATCAAGCAGCACTTGCTTGGGGAGTCTCTTTCTCTACCAATAGTGCCGCTCTGAACGAGGTTTTCATCAGTCTTCAGGTCGAAGACGAGCACAGAGAACGTACGGGGCTGGCTGGCCTAGCCCAAGCTTCTGTCCCTCCCTCTCCCTCTCAGCACGGATTTCTGCGAGCGTCGGTTTCCGTGGTGTTGGCAAGAACTCGAGCTCATCTAGCGCCTTCGCCGCCTGCTCCTCGGACACTGGGATTTGGGATGCTGCAGCAGCGACCGCCTCCGCCTGCGCAATCTGCTTCTGTGCTTCCCGTACTCGAATGCGCAAGCCAATACCCAGCTGACCAAGCTTCCGCGTCGGTGTGCGAAGTACGTAGTCGTCCAAACCGCCCATCTGCACAAACCCGGTCAGAATCTCCTCCGCGCCGCGCTGCAGTGAGACGCACCTTCTTCACCGCCCTCATCGCTGTCGTCGTAATCTTCAGCTTCATCAAGCCGAGCGACTCGGAGTGCATAGTCTTCGAGCGGATGTTCGGTAGCCAAGTGCGCCGCGTCTTCTGCATCGAGTGCGGGACATTGTTGCCGTAGCGCTTCGTCTTGCCGTGGAAGAGCCCCTCCTGGGCGCGCATAAACGGCTGCGAGACAGCCTTCACATTGAGCGCGACGGTGGGGCGCATGGTGGGCAACGACGTCGAGCGGAACGGAGAAGGTGAGGGGTGAAGAGCTCGGAATGCGATCACGACGCCGGCCCGGTCATCCGGATGGACCCACAACGACGTGGGCGTAGCCGTCCAGGCCAGGTCAAGGTCAGAAATATTGATACAGCTTCCTTTGCTACATATATACTGCTATAGATACGAAGTGCCCTACTTCCCGAGTATGTACTGCAAGCCGTTGTACATGTCAACGCTACAAAACAAACCAATAAACGGCGAACTGCACTCCGGGAGTTCTTGACTTTCTATCATCTTTTCTAGGTGGGCTTCCAAGGGCGAATCACTTCGGACACGAAGCCAGCCAAGCGTGAACGAACATCTGTCGAGTGCGCTTTAGCTAGGTTTCTTGAAGGACACTACAAATCTTACCTCAATCACTGGCTGTTGCTGACCCACTGTCCGACAGTCGGCCGTAAGGCTTCCCAGTCCCTGCCTTTTCCTCCTGAACATAGTCTCCAACAGCGGCGTCGACAAGGTCGACATTGCAATGCGTGATGAAGAGGTCCTTGAAGCCATTTAATCGCGAAGACCTCCCATCCGGCAAGCATGCCATCGCCTCCTCCCGCTCCTCCGAGTCCTCGGGAAATTGTTCCCATATCGCCTTTGCCAGGAAGTCCCGCCACTCGCTATTCTCTGCCTGCTCCTCCTCCGTCATGCCGTCAACTAAGAAGGCAGGGTACTCGTATAGGTAGTATAGCGGGCCGGTTTGCGCGTATTCCCAGTCGATCACGCTCGTCAGCTTCGGTTCTTCCCCGGTAACGCTCGGGTTCGAGAACATCAAGTTCTGCGCGTCGAAGTCCATGTGCATGAGCCTGAACGGTGGCGCCAGTGGCGGCCCCGGTTCTGCCGTGCACTCGCGCAGCAGCGTCGCCACCTCAGCGAGCTTCGGGCGCAGGTGTTCGGCGAGCTCGCCAATGACACTCAGGTACGCCTCGAGCCAGCTGAGCGTGTCGGTGAAGGGCCCCATGGCGTGTGCCTCGACGCGGTCCGTGCCACGCTGCCCACGCGCGTAGATGAGTGGCCCGACCGTGCCGTCGTCACGCAGCGAGCCGATCTTGTCGAAGCGAAGGGTGGCGAGCTGGGCGAGGACGCTGGCGATCTGGCGGAGGGCGACACGTTTGTGATCGTCGCTGAGTGCTGGCCACAGCGTGTCGAGGGGTGCGCCGGGCGCGCGGCCCATCAAGACGAATTGGGCGCCCACGCCGTTTGCAGGGTTTTCGGAGATGGCGAGGATGTCGGGGACGGGGATGCTGGTGTGCGTTCGCACGTATTGCATGGTGGCGGCTTCGCTGCGCAACTTCGCCGGCTCCTCTACGTAGCGCGAAAAGCGTGCGACGTAACCCTCCGGCGGGACGCCGTCCTCGCCATATACGATGAAGATCTCGTGTGCTCGTCCGCGGGAGGTGCGCTTCCAGGACGTGACCTTGCGCGCCACTGGGGACTCCAAGACCTGCCGCTGGAACGCGTCGAAGTCGAGCTTGAGCGGGGGCAGCTCCTCAGAGAGGAACTCCTCGTCGTCGGTCTCTTCGTAAAAGGACATGGGGGGATGGGTTGTGATGGTGATCGGGAGGTTTGTGGTTGAGAGTAGGAGTGATCTGAAGGGTGAGGCTGCCGCGGGGTCATCGTTGTCAGAGGCATGCGGATGCAGATTGCGCACCGCGATCGGGCGTGCCGGCAGGAACGGGCATGCGTCATTGTTCATTATGGCCTCCCGGCCATTGGTACGGTCCCATCCGCCTAGCTTGCGCTCCGGAGCACCTGAGATCTGTCGGGAACATGATGGAAGAGGCGTTTGCCGTCCGTGGGCCGATGTGCGCCGGTGTCGGGAACAACATACACACAAACGGCACCTATTGAAGGGCGAGTTTGTCGTGCATGTACTAGGACCTGAGGGCGACACACAAAAAACAAACAGACGCGGGATGGAGGTGTGTTGGCCAAGGCAAAGCCGATGTCTGGCAAATATATTACTCGACGTTAACGTAGGAACCTACTACTTAGAAGCAGGGGCCTCAGTTCCCTCGATCGCCGCCAATGCCTCCTTGTGTGCGGCCTCGATTTCTGCGCGTACTTGCTCGTCGGCCGCAGCAAGTAAAGCAGCTCGGTTCGCGTCGTCTTCTGCTCCAGTGAAGGCGGGCCGTGGAAGAGTTCGAGTGAGAACAGCCTTCTTGAACTGAGGCTCAGGCTCGCCCAGCAGTCGTGCTTTCCATCTTTGAGGCTGTAGGGAAGAAAATGAGGAGCAAGCTCAGTCGAAGTGAGAGGCGACGCACCTCAGAGAAGACGTGCTCCGTGTCACCCCAGTTGTAGAAGAACATACTATAGAAGGCGATACCTGGTAGAATAAAGAGACAATCAGCATGGGATGCATGACCAGATCATTGCCCACGCACTAGGAATAGCCGCGAACATCGACAGCCTCGTGAACCTGTAGAACCATGGCGGGCGGAAGTCCCGCGTCTCCCCCTCCGTCTTCGCGTTCGGTGATGAAAGACCAGACTCCTCAAGCGAGATCACAGGCTTCCCATCTTGGGGAGCACTGCCTCCATGTGTGTTGGTCGGTTTGGCGGATGCAGACGCGGTGGACGTCGAGAACGAAGGTCCTCGGAGTTTCCTGGCTCTACTGGTTCCTGCACATGTTGCTGAGCGCGATGCTACTCGAAGGTGTGCTTGTTGGACAAGGCGGGAGGACGCAGTGCCTCTGTACTGGGAGTGGGACGCCGAAGCAACTCTGGAGAATAGCCGAATGGAGGCAGACATGGGAACGGGGTCCAAGAAAATGTGGCGTTGCATTTGCCATCAAATGATGAACCGTGACACGTGTGACACGACTACTTGGTGTGCAGCGGTGCCATACAGTATATTCGAAGTACGGCCATGTTTCACTCTGGATACAGTAGAAAGGAGCAGCTGCTCACGACGGATGCGCTACATACTTATTTTCAGAGAGTGACTACATATTCATGTCACGTCGCCCACACAAGTTCACCTGCAGCGCTTTCGATTGTTCTATCCAAGGTTATGGGTTTATACGTTGCCAATATAATAGGCACATAGAACCCTTCTTTCCGATGACTACGTCTCTCGTCGGCGAGTCCTCCTCGTTCACACGCGTCAGCTTGCGAGAACTAGCGATAGCGTCGATAGCTTGTATTATGTCGTTCGACGCGATCAAAGCTCAGGAGACCCTCAGTGATCGCGGGGAAGTATGAGAGGCGGTTGCAGTCAATTTTTATGCTCCGAAGAAGACCAGGCTCTGGTGTAGGTTCCACAGGGGTGAGGTGGTGGTGAAAAGCCAAGGAAGTGCCGCCCTCCGCACGGAAGCGTGACTAGAGTGATGTCATGTGATGTGACGTCTGCGCGCCTTGACGCGAACCATCATCTCGTGTCTGCAGCGCGACTGGGCAGACCTCCGCACACACCTCTCTGTACACGCCCCTGCTTATGAGTATCCTACGCTCTTTTAAGGCGACACAGGGACTAGGCGCTCGTACTCTCTTCAACTCATCAAGGATGTCGCTTCCTCGGGACATACAAGAGTTCCTGGACGAGTATCACGGTCAAACCGATGACAAGTCCCTCAACGCAAACCTCGAATTTTACTCCAACACACGAAGATGCAGACCGGACAACATGCTCATTGATGAAATGCATGAAAAGTAGGCAAGCTCGGCGGCTGAACGCCTTCGTATTCCACTGACATCGTCGCAGGTGGTTCGGAGAATACGATAAACTGGAGCACAAGCACGGTTTCATACAGTGGCTGTACGAGTTTTGCTTCTTCTAATCCTTCATCTGAAGGAGACGTTGCCAACAGTTTTCCAATCCGCGAGTATGGCGTCAACTACGAGGCGCAGCCTCTGCAACCTCACGAAATCGAGGCTATGAGAGCGGACCCGGCCATAACTGCGCGTCTCATCAAGTCGTATAGCATGATGCTGGACTTCTACGGCATGCGACTCATATCCGAAGAGACGGGGCTTTTGGATCGCGTGCCACCTCCGCGCAATTTTGAGGCGCGGTACCGAAACCTCGTCAGTAAGTGTCGTCCATTTTTCCTACGAATGTGCTCAAACCTGATCTTTTGACTCAGGACATTCCCACAACAACCTGCGCATCTCCCGAATTTTGAAGTGCTTATCTGAGCTCGGCCTCGAGCGACTGAATGCGGGCTTCTTGCTCCACGTGCTCAGTGAGCAGAGCGAAGACGACGAGCTCAACACACCCATGCTCCAGAGCAGTATGGATAGATGGTGGGCGAATTGCATTCGGTGCGTTGTGATAATTGGACCGGCAGGATTCTGTGAACTCAACTCGCATTCTAGCAATGCCGCCGATCGTCAATGGATCGGAGAGCAGATTCGTACAGTGAGGTCAGGAAAGGGCTCATTCACGCGGGACATGTACAAGGATGCTTTGGAAAGGAGAAAGGCTACAGGATCGTTCAGCTAGGTCCCTGCTTTCTTGCTTGACAATGATGATTACCCGGTTTGGCCCTGGCTACGACGTTGTCTTCCGGTGGCTGCCAGGGCTGGCCAGTCTTTTCATCGGGATCTCAGCTGAGAATCCAAGCTGTGAGGAATCGCATTATAATCGAAGTCAGCGGACTTGTGGGTCCAGCGCACGTGAGCTGTGGTAATTGATCGGCCTGGGGTCAACACGAACTTGTCCTGGACCAACTTGCCGAGCGCGCGCAGCGCTGGTTTCCCCCTGCAGTAAGGAGTGAATCTTTGCAGCGCAAGTCGACGTATGTTATAATTGTGGTCGCATTGAACCATGTCTGACCTTGTGGAAGTCATATCGTGCCATGGCCCAGGATGACGAGCTCGAAGCTGTTCTGCAATCAGCGGCAACGCGAGGCAACCGTGACCTTATCCGCTCTGGCCATATACCCGACGCTCAAGGTCGAGCAGAGATTGTCGACGACATGCACGCTATTGACCGCGTCCGAGAGCGTATTGAGGCGCAGATGGAAGCACTTCGCCACCAACTCTCTCGCCTCGAGAGACAGAAGGCCGTGAGCAACGCGATGCTCTCGCCCATCCGCGTACTCCTGCCCGAGCTGCTGTCCCTAATCTTCGAGTTCGCCCTCCCGGATGACTGGTGGATGTACTCCGCTGGACGAAGGTCGCTGAACTTCGCCGAGGCCTGCACGACTTGGCGAGCTATCGCTCTCAGCACACCACCGCTGTGGAATCACATTACCATCGACCACCAGTTCCCAGTCAAGCGATGGCTCCCCGCGGTCCAGCGGCACTTGGCGCGGTCTGGGGAGGTGCTCCTGCACCTACGATTACTATTCGAAACCAACTTACGGACGGTCAAGTGGCTTTCGCCTGTACAGGAGTACCTGTATCCTCAATCCCATCGCTGGAAGGCTCTGACTATGGATGACCTACTGGAGAAGTTCGAAAACCTAGAGTTGTCTTGGCCGCGACATCTACCGCTGCTCACACATCTGCACCTCATAAGGAAGTCCCGCAGTCCGCCGCCCTTTCATCTCTTTGAAGATGCACCCATCACATCCCTCAAAATCACCCAGCTACATACGCCGGAGCGGATCCCTGCTCTTCCCGCGTCCTGGACCATCACCACTCTTGCCATCAATTGCCCGCCTTTTGAGGCCGAACCCGATTTCGAACGTTTTCTGGGCTTGTTCGCCGAGTGCAGCTCGACGGTGGAGCACCTCGATCTCTCTTGTACCCATATGACGAGGACTCCCTTGTCATTCTCCGGCGGGCTCCCCTTCCCCGCACTCAAGACGCTGAAGATGACCTACCACGCATCCCGCCTCTGCGTATACATCGGCGCGCCCAACCTCACCACGGTCTCGCTCCGCGGCTGCGCCTTCTCCACCCGAGGGCGTGACGCGTTCGATATGAACGCCTTCTATAACATGCTGCTGCATCCGCCGTCGCGAGCCTCCCTCACATCGGTCACTCTCTCCAACTTCGCGGGCGCGATGGACCCGCTGATCAACTGCCTGGACGTGATGCCTGTGGTGTCGTATCTGGAGATCGAGAATGCCGGGCGCGAGGTCCCGCGAGGGAATATCCTGCTTCGACCGCTGCTGGGAGCCTTGATTCGGGGAAAGGACGGGGACGCTCAGTCCACGGAGCGCCTACCGAGGCTAACAACCCTGGTTATGAAGTTTAACGGGCATGGGTGCGCAGGGGTGGACTTGCTGCGGATGATTGTTTCCTCGCGAGCGACGACTGATATGTACGAAGGGAAGGAGCTATTGGGGTTGGAGCGGTTCGAGACGGACCTTGGTCAGGATTGGGCTCGACCACTAGCATCCGACCTCAAGGAGCTTATAGTATAGCACTGGAGTTACAGAGTGATGATACAGAGGAAATGTACAGCGGACTGTAAAGTGGCGATGGATTGTGATTTGACATGCCCCTGCGGGATGCTGGAGACAACCGTTAGACTGCGCTCCGACGAGAAGAGAAGTCCACTTGCGGAAAGACTGTCATACATCCGGCGTGTCGAACTCTTCGTCTGTGTCCTCATCGCTTTCGACGGGAGCGAAAGGGTAGCCGAGCACCTCGTCAAGATTGGTATCGACTTTTTTCAGAAGAGACCAGCGTGGGACTGCACCATGCATCCAGCGCTTCACGGTCATCCTCGAGCTCCACATGATCGAAATCATCGCCCAAAGGTGATCGTCGTACTGTAGCTCGTCCGCGTCGACGAAATCGAGCTGGAGATCGGCGAGAACGGGGAGGAATTGCATGGACTCCGGCTCCGAGCGAGTGAGGGCGGTCATGATCTCCGCCGTGATATCGCGGGGTGGCTCGAACTGGTCTCCGTTGTCAGGGTATGGGGCATTCTCCAAGCGTAATGACTGCAGCGATGGGAGGACCCTGAGGGCCTGGATGACTGCAAAGGGATCCGCGGCCGCGATCTTGCACAGCTGCAAGGAGCGCATCGACTTGCAGCCGCCTGACTGTGCGACCATGCGTGCGAACGCGGTATGTTCGTCGACGCCTGAGGCCCGGAGTCCTTCGTCGAATCTCGCATTCCCAACGAGCTTCACGTTCTGCACTTTGGGAGCCGAGATGAGTCGGCACAGATGAATAGCAGCCTCTTCGAGTCGAAGGTCCTGGAGGAACGGGAACGTGATGCTGTCATCGTCGGACAAGTACCACAGCCCCCATCCGGAGCCCGACAGGCGCAGAGAGCGCAGGGTCGGCGCACACCGAAGAACGGCTGGTACACACGTGTCGACGTTCAGGACAAAGCCATGAGTCGAGTCGAAGACGATGGAGAGCGTTTCGAGGGCCCAGCACGAGGGGAAAACAATCGATCGATTCAGAGGCGAGTGAAGGTCAAGCCTGAGATCCTTGACGTTGGGAGCGTCCTGGAAGTACCCCATATGCGCCACGCATGGTTGCATGCCATTGTCGAGACCGAGGGCTAGAGTGTGAAGACGCGGGAGTGGAAGTGGCGGCTTTAGTGGCGACGAGAGGACATCGGTGGGGAGGAACTTCAGGGACGCTGTTTCCCAGCATCGTGACCGGGCGCAGGCTGCGTCCCATACCGCCGTGTTCCAAGCTAGCGGGTGCTTCCTGGACCTGAGGCCGTGGTTGATGAGGAAGGCTCGTTGCACATACGTATCCTCAATGAGGTTCATGTCCAGATGCAGGCTCTCTCCTGCTCTTTTTATCTCCGACAAGGCCTTCGTCTCCCAATCAGCACTGCGACGCATGGTGTCTCGGGAATAGAGGTGAATGGTTTTCCAGAGATCCGCCGTCCGATACGCGAGCGCGCGCCAGTAGCAGCAAACGTCGACGATATTGAGGCGACGGATCCCAAGCGGCATATCGCTCCAATCATCTGGGACAGCCGCAATGAAGATCTCGGATAGTATCTCTGCTGGAATGCGTCGGATAGGGGCAAGCAACGCCCGTTTTTGGAATATCTCCTTCTGGATCAAAGCCTGTCCCTCGCGCAGCGTCGCTATCTCCTTGTCGTATTCGTTGTCCTTTTGTGCAAGATAACGCAGCCTCTCTTCGATGAACTTCGTCTCCTCGGCGTTGGGAGTATACTTGTTGGACCACATGAGTTCGTCCAACCGACGATTGTTGGCCATAATCCGCCCGTGTGTTGATGGATCTGCCTCTTGGATAGTGTAAGACATTGGTTGCCGTCCATGAAGGAGTCAAAGCGTGAAGTAGAGACTGGGCAGCGAGAATCGTACCTCCCCACGCTCTCTGTTGTCCTGCTTTTGGCAGGTGAGGGTTTGAATCAAGGTGCGATGATCCCCGATCAGTGCGGTCTAAGACGCCGAGCACAACGCCACAAAGTAACGCGTCCTCTCCCGCTACCACCATCTTGTCCTCATCATGGGCTTCACCTTTCCCTCAAGCCAATCCGATAGAACGCGCGCGGTCAAGGAGCTGATGAGTCAGAAGGAGGCCACAGAGACTCTGATCGAAGAACAAGCGTCGATCCTGAAGTCCAATAACGCGACTATGCGCAGCCCCCTCGTTGACGCAGATGGCTTCCCGCGCGACGACATGGACATATATGCTGTCCGCGGCGCGCGCGTTCGCATAATTGAGCTGCGCAATGACCTGGATGACCTGATGAACAAGATCGGCAAGGCCCTTGAGGGCGTATACGATCCTGCCCTCATCGCGCCGAAGCCGTCAGAAGATGATTTACGAACGTTTGCGAAGGTCAACGCTGTCGCTCCAGGGAGTCCTGCAGCGGACGCAGTGAGTGCAATATGGTTGCTGCCTGCTGGCGTCCGCTTACCGCTTTCCAAAGGGTCTACAGAAGGATGACTTGATCGTCAAGTTCGGGCACCTTACGCACAAGTCTCTCACAGGAGGGTCACTGCAGCCAATCGCCGAGTTGGTTAACGCGAATGAGAATGTGCGTAACTTTTTCTCCCGCTCGAAACAGTGGCTGAACGTGATCATAGCGCCATGTCGTTATCAAGCTTCTCCGGTCTGGCGAAACAATCTTCGCGAACCTATATCCTCGTCAGGGCTGGGGCGGGAGGGGCATGCTGGGGTGCGTGATACTGCTCCATTCCGCAATATCCGCTCACATATTCCGTAGATGCCATATCGTGCCAGCATAGTCGAATTCATGAAGATGTACAAGACACGCTGTACTATTAGTGTACCAATATGCCAATGGAAACTCGCTTTCGCATCCTTCCTGAATACGGCAAATGCACGTCAGCTATATATTCCCTGATTCCCGCAACCAGGCTATAACTTTAGCGTTCCCCCAGAACCGAAGACCAACGCCCGATCATATGTCGTTCTCCGCTGCCCGTCAACCCTGGCATCCTTGAGCTCTCGAAGGTACGCGTTGGCGCCGCTCTCTCGCGCCCAGCGAGAGACGACTTCCGTGTCAAGATCGGCTTCGGGCTGGTTGGTGCTGACAGACCAGCGAGCGTGCTCGATCAGGAAGAGCGCCGACAGCGTACAACCCATGAGCATCAGTGCGGGCCGCGGTACGAGAGGCGTCGTTGTTTGGGCAGCGAAGCAATCGCTGAGCTCGTTGATGCAGGCATTCAACACCTGGATTTCATTTGCGATCTTCTCTTTCACTGACGGCGGCACGGCTTGCAGCACTGAATGGGCCCACTGCGCGTACGTTAGTACGCCGGCACTGGACATCCTTGAGGTCACTTACCGTTCTGAACACCCCGACAGCATCTCCCTTCATCGCGCGCGCAAGGTCAAGCGACAGTACAGTGGTGGTGCCCTCCCAGATCCTAGTTGAGGAGAGGTCAGTCCGAGCCGCCAACGTTGACTGTCTTCACTCACCTCTCGACCATAGCGTCCCTCAGCAATCTCGGGATATCATTTTCCTCCATATAACCGTTCCCACCCAGGGCGGACATCGCGTCCGCAATTGCCGGCACCGCCTTCTCCGTCGCAAACGCCTTCACCGTGGGCGTCATGATTCGCAGCAAGTGCCGCTCCTCCGTGCTCGCCGTCCCGTACTCGCTCTTTCCTAGCAGGTGCACGACGCCGAAGGAGAAGTGCGTCAGCGCGCGATAGGTAAGGTGGAGGCTGGCGAGCTGCGCAACATGGAGGGGCGTATCCTGCAGGAGCTGGGCGCCGCCGCGGATCTTGCGCACTTTGGCGTAGGAGGTGGCGATGAAGAGGCTCCGGCGGAGGGCGCTGACGGAGTGTACGGCGGACCAGACGCGGCTTGGGTTTTGTCAAGAGGGCAGGTGGAGGGAATGAAGGAGGAGAAACGTACGTGATGTTCAGCACCGGCGTGATGAGCTTGACGCCCTGGTTCTCAGGTCCTACGCGGTAGCCCTCCGTCCCTTCGAGGGAAAGTTCTGCTGTCGGCAGCGCCTTCGTGCCGAACTTGTTCTTAAGACGGTGAACGAAGATGTTGTTGCTGATGGGCGAGACAGCTGGATCGCCGAGCAAAGGCTTGCGAAGCGGGACTAGGAAGAGGGAGAGTCCGCGGGAGCCGCTGCTCGCAGGGCCGCTGCGACCGAGAGCCAGGGCAACATCGCTGTCGGTGGCGCTCGAGAACCATTTAAAGCCATCGAGGGTGTATGCTGGGCCATATTCGTGAGCTCTACCTGTCGAAGTCGCTACGGTCTCCGTTTGGGAGACGTCGGAGCCACCGGGACGCTGGCTGGAAGTGAGTGATCGTGTTGCAGACCAGGGGAAGGTGCGCTAACCTCTGTCATCCACTGGCCTGCAGTGAAGGCATGCTCTGGATTGCGGCTACAGCGAAGTCAACAGATCCCTTCGAGGCATAGCAGGATTCCTACCTGATCAAGCGAGGGAAAATATCCTTCTTCATTGCCGGGGTGCCCATGAGCTCAATGACTCTTGCGCAGCCATCCGTCATGCTGATGGGGCAGAAGATCTATATACCATTTGTAAGTCTCAGGGTCGCTTTCGACGATGCATCGTTGAAGGCTCACCGTATGCATGTCGCCAGTCATCATGAGCACGCGGGCGAAGCCATCGACGCGACTGAACTCGCCATGTTTGCGCTCGTAGAAGAGAGCAGGCAGGCCCTCCTTCTGCGCGATGGCCTTCAGCTTGCGCCAACCCTCGCTCGTTTGGAGGCGGTCGACCCGGCGTCCCCATTGGTCATACTGAACGAGTGTGGGGTCGCTGACTTCACCTCTACGGTGAATATCACGTATAACTGGCGAGTGGTCCAGTCAGATGCTGAAGAACGTGGCGAGCAGGAAAATACCTGTGTTGATGTCGTCGCCCAGGCGCACGAGGTCAGGCTCCAGCTCGCGGAATATTCTGTTGTCTTTGAGATTCTGCATACTCGCTTCATGTCTCGAGCAGGAACGTACTCATCTGGAAGTATCCGCTTCAGCAAAGATTGCAGTACCGGGTCAGTGGTGTACGAGTTTCCCTCCTCGTAAGGGGGAATCTGGAACCCTTGTTCAACGCGCATGGTGGGAAGCAGGAACGTAGACGACTCTACTCAACCCAGGTCTCCTGTAGCCGTATATATGCTGCAACATGCCAACTTCTTGTTCTCATGACCAGGTCCGGTTTCTTGTGAGTCCGGGGCACCGACAGCTCGTGCTCGGGGGATACCCGATTCTGTTTTCGGCATCTGCCGGGTGTACAGACACGTGTCGGATGCTTCCGTAGGTCGTCTCCTGCGCTCACGGCAACTCAGGGATCGTTGGACATGGCCGCTTGCTTACGCTTTACCCGAAGGGTACTGAAAACTGCTTTATCTTCCCACTTAACCCACTGATTGTCTACAGGTATGGAAGTCCTTCATAGACAACAAGGGTATGGAAACGCCCAAGCATTCGTGGAGCTGCGATAGCTGAATTCGCCAGGCCATGACGCCCAATGCTTTCCCAACGTAAGCTCATTCAAACTTGACTGAATATATCTTGGTGAACTATTTTGTAGCTCAACATTGTGAGCGCGAAGCCGGGCGAGGTCATCACTTCGCTCAAAATCGAGCAATATAACCGTGAGTGATGTTCACATTGAATCCTTTGAGTCGGTTGACTCCGTCCAAAAAATCCAGTCAACCGTGTCGGGGTGAGTGATCCTCTCCTCGAATGTGATGCCCTATGAAATGACCACTATCCCTCTCTTAGACCGGTAAGCTCGTCCTGTAATCATTTTCGTGCATAATTTGACGTCTCGGGCTATGAAGTCCACGGTGGCCTGATCATGTCACTGACTGACACCCTTGGATCCCTGGCTGTGGCGACCAAGGGCCATTGGATGACTGGTGTCTCGACCGACATCGGTACCTCGTTTGTGCGACCTGGCGGGAAAATTGGCGACCACCTACATGCGAAGGCCGTCTTGACAGGCCTGGGTAGGCTTGATCTCCGCTCACATGAAAGCGCAGCTGATGAATCTATGGCTCGACATCCAGGTAAACATCTAGCCTACACGCGCGTCGACTTCACGAACGCTAAGGGCGAACTCGTTGCATACGGCCGTAAGTGATGACTTTTCCGTGTGTTCACGCCTAACAAACGACTTCTGCCTTTAGATCATACAAAGTATGTTGGAAAGTCTGGACATCATGATGTGAGCATCCCAACTCGTCCTCTCATCGCTCTTACGCAGGACTGATGGTTCCACAGAAGAACGTAACTTTCACGGAGGACGGGGAAACCGTCGTACACGGAGAAGACCTAGACGTTGACTAGTAGATGTACAGTGGTATGGACTGATTAGACATCCTCTGCTTTCCTCCATGTTCTTGACGAACGCGCATTCGATGCAACATTGAGGCCAACAGCCAGGCCGAATCACGCGCGATAGCACGTGTGTCCCTTGGGCTTCAGCAATCGTTCTAATCTTATCCCAACGATCCTGACTTCTACCACCACCAGCGAGTGCTTGGAGGGTCATCACGTGCGAGCTAATCTAAGAGTGAGCTAGCCGCACTTTCCGTTCCGTAATGTTGACCGGCTTTCGTTGTCAGCTCTTCCCTCGCCTGTGACACACCACTTGTACAATCGCGAAGATCGTCGCAGATCTTCGGCCTCGCTCTCTTGTGCTCGGTGTCACTAGTATCGCCGAAGCATCAACGCAATGGATCATACCACGATCATCGAGGAGGCCGCTAGGCTCGCCAATATACAACTCAACCGCGAAGGCTACGTCCCCGACGCCCATACTGCCAGTCTGATCGCCGCGCACGCTTCTCACCTGGAAGAGATCGAGAAGGGCCTCTGCTCCCAGCTAGCGAAGTTGCAGGTGGAGATTGACGCTGTCCGCCTGCAAGCCGCCGTCAATCGGTCTGTCCTTGCGCCCATTCGACGCCTCCCTCAAGAGCTACTGGCTGACATATTCCTGCGCATCGCGGCTGATACGTGGACCCAGAGTCCGTCCGGGCGTATGCGCCTGCGAGTGTCCGAGGTCTGTCACACTTGGCGCTTGATCGCCCTCGCTACGCCTGCGCTATGGGCCAACATTCATTTTCAGCTTCAAAACGAGGTCGATCCCTCTTATTGGGCTGAAGCGATCCAGTGCTGGTTCCAAAGGTCTCAGAATATGCCAATACGGCTGTACATGAACATCGACCGCTACTACACGCCTTTCACAGAAGCGCCGGAAGCTTGGGACATCTATGGGTCTATCGCGACTCGGTCATCCCAGCTGCGCTCATTGAGCCTTTGCTACCTGCCCGTCCTGTCGTACCGAGAGTTCGAAGGCAAGCACTGGCCTATTCTCCGCGAGCTGCGTCTAGATCTCGGCGATATCAGGAATCGTGAGTTCCTCGATACATACACTATTCCCCTCCACGCATTCGAGCACGCACCACAACTCCAAAAACTACGCCTGCAATACCTGACCTTTCCCGAAAGACTGGTCGTCCCGCCCTCATGGAAGCTCACTCACCTCAGCATCATTTGTGGTGACGGAGCAGAGTATCGGCCTGCCCTCGCACCCTGTTTGCAAGCAATTTTGTCCTGCGCCCCTCACCTCCTGGATTGCCGGATTGCGATAGGCTATCTTGACCTCTTTCCCATTGATCAAGACGATACTTCGCAAAGGACAATCTTCCCCGTTCTCAAGCGACTCAGCCTCTCTCAAGACGCGCTCGACTTCGCGTTCTACATGACAACGCCTGCGATCGAGAGCATTGTCCTCACTGCGCACGAAACATCCTTTGACGATGAGCAAATGCTTCGATTCATTGATTTACTGCAGCGCTCGAGCTTCTGCTCGCGCTTACGATCACTGAGCATGCGTTCGTTCTCTGACTCACCGACTCATCTCCTGCGCTGCTTGCAGCTGCTGCCATCTCTCACAACACTCACCTTGTGCAACAAACCAGAGGCAGGCGTGCGTCAGTCCGGTCCGCTCATTTCTGGGGAGTCACTCAGGGGCTTGACTCGCGACGAGATCCGGCCGGAAACGCTGCGCCTCCTCCCGCGCCTATCCCATCTTACCCTGGTCACTCGCAGATCAGAGCGACACCCTCGCGATGGAATCCTGGATCGCGAGATCTGGAGGCTCGCGCAGTCGCGGCAGAAGCGAGGCATATTCGTCGACGGCCAGGAATTGGCAGTCGTTGAGCTCCATACAGACCATCCTGGGCGCTGGCCTCCAGAGGAGTATACGCCAGACGACGGCGATGTTACGATCTACCAAGATGCATCACTACCCAGCTTGGATAACACCGACGTCGATTCCCTCTTCGACGAGGAGTCGGGGTAGTATTCGCCTTCTGGGCAGACTACGCAGAGATACATACAAGCAGTGGTATCACTCGCCCTCATACATTCTCATTCTTGCGCCTGCATGCATAACTTATGGTATCTGAATCCTATCCACACCCTCCTTCACCTTCCCGAACAAGCTCATGACGCCCTCCCGGATCCCCTCTGCCTGTACGCCCACCTGCTCGCCGCTCGTGCGGTATACGCCCGTTCCAGCGGGGCCGCCCAGGCTCACGTTCACGCCCCCGAGGTTCAGATTCAACACAGGCGCGTTCGACGCGGACTCGGGCGGAGGCTCGTAGACGGATGCCGGAAAGTTTTGCGCGGCGGCGCGCACCATCTCCAGGTAGCTCGACGAGTTGTGGACGCAAGAGCCGCCCAGGAGGAAGCGCGTTCCTGTTGCAGCGGTGACATTCCCATCGGAGGCGGAGACGGGATCTTGGTTGAAGAGGGTTACGGTGCGGGCCTCTTCGTAGGTGGTGCCACCGATCATGAATATGATTACGTCCTGTGGTCTGAAGGGCTGGTGTTAGGTACCGGTAGGGATGGAAAAGATGTATACGAACCTTTGCAATCCCGCGTTTGGTCCCGGGCTTTCGATAAAGGGATAACTGGTGTCTCGTAACCGACCGCGAAGGAGGTTTTCCATCGTTGTGGATAGGTGTGGTCGATGTTGCGTGTAGACGTTTTCGACACCCTGAAATCATGTCAGTACGCCTAGTGGCGTCCGTTTAGGATGAGATTTCGCACCTTCAGGCCTTTCAACGCAGACCGACCTTTTGCTAGGAGCGACTCAGTGGAGAATAGGTCGTCTTGACGTTGATCATGGCCGGCGATGTTGAGGAACACGTACACCAGCTGCATACTATCAGCTCAATTGCAGAAAGACCATCGAGACACGAACCCGCGCATCTTCTCTTGGTACACCGTTGGACAAGAGCAGGTTTATCAATGTGGCGATGTTGGCCGTCTGAGTCTTCTGGTATCGCAGCGCATAGAGTATAACTAGCCGCAGTTTATGCCAGGGCGACACCGTCGAGTCTGTGACTATCGCTTGCACTTCCTAGACGGTGGTTAGCGTACATGGCTCTGACGGTTCTCGCGGATGCCCACCTTGATATCCGCACCAGAACTTGTTGCTAATCCCTGCTCAACCTCGCCGATGACGAGCAGCTTGTCCCGCTCTACCAGACGACTGAGCTCGCCAACGAGGGCGACGTGTTTGCTGACATTGCCGCCAAGTTTACGGAACTCAGGGTACTCCTCGACAAACCGCTTCATGTCGGATATGGAGTTGATAGCATTCGGTGCGTGCGCGGCGGATCGCGCTTGGTACGACTGCACGTACTCCTTCAACGAGCCACCGAGATCACCGAAGGTAGATAGGTGGTGCGCTTGGAAGAATGGGTCGGTGGAAGTGGTGAGGGTGATTTCCTGTGGACAGATTAGCACTAGGCATTGTTACTACGAAGCGTTCGGCGGACGTACGGATAGCTCTGGCCTAATATCTGGCACGGTACGCAGACTGACGCGGCCATTCTGTATCCCGAGCAACTCGTGAACCATCGCCTGGTACGTCCATTGGGATAGGAGAGGTGTCACAGGATCATTCCGCCTGTCGAGGATGAGAAGTAGCGGTGGTATCTGGGTAGGGCGGAAGTCGAAGAGTTGCTCTTCTGCATGGATGCGGTGCTGGATCTCGCCTGCAAGCTTGTGCGCCATACCGCTCATCTTCTCGTAGCGTATTGTCGGCTTCTTCTTGAGACTGAGTAGCACTGCAGTGATCCCCTGTACGGCACGTTCCAACGCTTGTGGGTTCCATGAGTTTGGATTGGATCCGTATAGTGGTTTCTCGGCGGAGGGTGTCTGGTTGAGGGAGAACAGGGATGGGAGTAGTGGTGCATAGTCCGCGAAGTACTCCTAGGCGCGAGTTAGGGCCAATCTATGAGCGATAGCATCGTACGCACCTGCACCTCCCTCACCACCTCATACTCGTCCGCTTCCGCTAACCTCTCAATGGCCGACTTGGTGAGGATGTTGCTGAAGTCTGCGCGTCGGGTTAGCGAGCCGGCGAACGCGCAATGCACGGTGTATATGATTCACCACGACTGACACAGGTAATACTCTCCGTACTTTGGCTCCTTCAGCTCAAGTTGCATCGCTTCGAGGCTGTCTTCATTGTTCTGGAGGAAGCAGACACACTTCATGTGCGTCATGCGCTCGCGCTTCTTGTTGTCGATGCGGTCGGTCAGGTACACCTGGTGGGCCAGTAGTGTGGACTGTGTTGAGGCTAGAGAGACGATGGGGGTCTGCTATGATCAGATCCCTGCAGCTATGGGGGGAATGCACCGCGCACCGTATGTGAGTCTAGCAGGAGGACCTTCATCGCCGAGGGTTCTGAGACCATCCGCGTAACATAAGTCTCGACTGCCTTGACAACGTCCATCGTGGCGACTGGGCAGAGCCGCTGCCGATGTCTACGACTTTGGGAGAATCCGACGTGAACGTGAAGGTCAAGGCGCGCTACGGCGCGGCATCATTCGCGAGTCGCGACGAACCACGCGTCGCGATCTCTTTCCTTCTACCACCATTACCCAACCTCTTGCTCCATCTTCTCACCGTATGAAGCCTCTGTAATCCTTCTCGAGTGGGTATCCATACGTCGTACTGCATCGAACTCTTCATAGACCAATCAGCAGTAACATAAGTTGCGCGAAGGTAAGCCCTCACTTCAGCATCGAAAACACTCTCGTTGTTCATAAAGGTCCAATATACAGTAAATATGGATTCTCCAGCAGAAGTCTTCCTTCAGCAAACAGGGAATACTGTATCATACCAACATCTACGTGACGGATATCTTCCCTCGGAGCAAGCTACCTCGGGCTCAGCGCTCAACTAGAGCAGCTGAAGGACCTATCTAAGCGACTGGAGGAAGACGCAGCCCGCTCTGTGGAACTTCGCACGAGGGCTACGGACCAGGCGAACATTCACACCTGCCTGCTTGCACCTGTACGCCGACTGCCCGTCGAGACTTTGACGCAGATATTCGAACAAGCCGTTCCTGTCGATTGGCGACACCACAGCATCGGTACGAAGACACTCAACTTCGCCCAAGTCTGCTATAGATGGAGGATGGTGGCTCTGGGGACCGCAAAGCTGTGGACACATATCAACGTTGACGCGAAATGCCCCACGCACGGGTGGAAGGACGCGGCGCTCGCATTCCTGCAACGGTCTTATCCTGCACCTCTCGCCATCAGCTTCGATCTCTTCACGAGGGTCGGCTGGTACAAGACGTTCGAGGATGTTTACCTGCACGACGAGTTCTGGAGCGATCAGGTTTGGTCGGCTATGTGTGCGCAGGCAGGGCGATGGAAATACGTTGCATTCAAGCACATGCCACCCCGTGCCCTGCATCAGCGACAGCCTCCTCTAACGCTTTCCGTCCTTGAGCGACTGGCTATCACCTCCCATGAGACAGACGGGATCGCACTGGGCTTCTTCGAGGGTGCCCACAACGTACAGCGCCTGTCCATCGACTACCACCACATGCCTACCCCGTTGGTCCTTCCAACGGCATGGAAACTCACGGATCTGACTATCAGATGCGGAGAGGGTGCACTCGGCAACGTCAGGGCCAGTCTTGGTCCATGTCTCCAAGCCATAGCCGCGTGCAGTCCTACGTTGGAATACTGCCACATAACAGCCATCGGGTTCAACGCTCGTCATTGTGGCACCGAGAAGCCGACGGCGTATCCTGCTCTCAAGGAGCTCATCCTCGTCGGTGCTGCTCACTTCCTGACCCTCATCACCGCGCCGAGCCTCGTCGGTGTGCACCTCGATACCACATCCGTACCACAGGCCAACTCCTGGAATGACCTCCCCGCCTTTGAGGATATGGTCGTGCGGTCGTCTGGATGCCCTAACCTACGCGTCCTCACGCTCACCAACGTTCAGCAATCGGTGCATAATTTGGTTCGTTGCCTCAGGCGTCTTCCGTCGCTCACCTCTCTATCGATCACGGACAACGAGGGCCTCGAATACCCCGGGGCGCACGCGTTGGTGCAGGAGGAGCTGGTGCGGGCATTGACGCGTACGAAGCGGTCGAAAGAGAGCCTCCTTCTCCTCCCAAGTCTCAAAGACCTCTCGCTCTTCTACCATCGCTCGCTCTACGAGGAGGAAGACGAAGACGAGCTCCAGTACTACGACCCGGACAAATACATGCGGAGGGCCATGAACAGGATGGAGGGTTCGCGTTCTCGGCGCATAGTCGGAAAGGGCCTCGTGCTCGAAGCGCTGGAACATATTGAGACGGACTGTCGGGACTTCTGGGACGGGGAACTGGAAAAGCTCGAAGATTGATCCGTACGCTAGCTTCAACTCGATATCAATAGCCGAACATCATCCTACCTGTTCTGCTCGGACTGCGCTCTCGAGACATTCAGAGTGCATGGGCATAGTAGCCAAGGTAGGCTGCCGACACCGTGTTATATGCGCGGTCGTGGCCGTAGGCAAGCGACTTCCGAATGGCGTTCTTTCTCTCCAAACTGATCCTGAAAGCTTGAAGGTGATCATGAGATATGCGAGTAAACAGGACTAGTGAATCCAGATGCTCGTATACATCCGGGGGTACATTCAACAGGCTCGCCACCTAATCACTGTCGATTTCCTCTGAATCCCATTCCGTATGGCGCACCTTTGGGTCAAGGCCCTCGTCATAGTGGATACAGTCCGGGTACTGTCCCGACTGCACGATTCCCGCGGGTGGCAGATAACACTGTGCATCAACCTGCACCTGCAAGACAGCCAGTTCACTGCCATCGAGCATGAGCCCCTTCTTGCTACGTGACCGCGCCATCAGCCATAGTGCACTGTCCACATCCGTAAGATCTACATGGAAATCGGGGGAAGAGCCGAATTGCAGGCGTAGGCGCGAGAGGTGAGGGAGCAGGCGCAGGCTGTCCGCGTCCGCTTCGTCTCGCGTAAGAAGCTGCAGGATGCCTTCCGATATCACCACAGCGTCCGTCTCTGGAATGTAGTACGCTGGGTTACGCAGTGCGAGCGTCGTGATGGAAGGAAGAAGCATGAGGCAGTCGTCGATGTCGTCGCCGATGTCGGGAAACATGCGCAGGTCGAGCCTCTGCAAACGCGCGCAGAACGAGGAGTGCTGCACCATCTCGGTAAACGCGGAAAACAGTACACCATCGTCGTCATGATATTTCCCAGTGAGCACGACACTCTCGATCTCGGGAGCGCTGATGAAGTGACAAAAGTGGATAGCTGCTCGCGAGAGGTGAAGCCGTTTCAAAGCAGGAAAAAAGGTGCGCTGCTGCTGGCTGAGCATAACTGCAACATCATCGAAGATGTCCGCCTCGAGAGTGCAATGCTCCAGAGAGGGTGCACGGGAAAGCACTGCCTGGACGCAGGGCGCGATGTCGGGCTGGAATGCCCCTATTGAATCACCGCAGACAATTTTGAGGCGAGTGATCCTCCACGAGGAAGGAAGGACAAGGTTCGACGGCTCCGCACAATACCAGAGGTGAAGCGTCTGTACGTGAGGTGCATGCTTGAACGTATGAAAGGGAAGAGGACCCGCTAAGATAGATTCCCAGTTGTCTGCTCTGGGAGCTCTGAAGCTGAGCATGAGCTTGCGAAGGAGGGGAAAATGTTTGTCTTCAAAGACAGAGTACTGCCCGATAGGAACCCTGGACAGAGAAAGTGAGTGCAACCTGTGGGTTTGACTCGCAATGTATGACCAAATATTTGTATCCTCCGCCGCTTTGCCAATCTCGCGGTCAAAGTTGGACGCGTCGATGGATATGCGCAGGGAAACCTGCCTCGACCTGAAAAGGTAGCGGTTCGCGACGTCCACCCACTGCAGGGCTTCCTGAGCACTGCTGGGCCGGATATTGAGATTCGCCCAGAGCGCCGCCGTCCCCAAGGCTGTTTCGCGCCACGTATAGCACACCTCAGCTATATTGAGCGGGGTGCGGCCAGCGGGGTGATGATGATAGTCCGTAGGCAAAGCAAGCAGGAAGATATCAGATAGGATTTCCTGTGGTAGGCGCCGGACGGGTGCCAACAGAGACTTTGTGATAGCTGACTGCCGGCGGATCGCACCGAGACGCGCCTGCGGTGCTGCTATTTGAGCATTGATCTTTGAGTCAAGATCGTCTAGACGTAAGGCATGTGCGAGCAGGACTTCAGTAGTATGGCTATCCGGAATGTAGCCTGTTCGACAACGATCCATGGTAGCAAATCTGGCAGCCTCTACGATGACTGGACCCTCGTCGATGTCCATAGTGAAACGAGTGCTCAGGACGCCGAATTGGCAGGAAAGGAGATGAGATTGTTGAATGATCTCAGCTAATTAAAACATCAACTGGTAAGCGCGACAGGAAATCTGGTACTTACTTACGACGGCACCCTGAAGCCTACTTGGACGATGCCACAAGGACAAGAAGCTAGCTCTTTGGACCAGCTTCGACCTGAACTTGGTGGTTTGAGAGAAGATTGAGTTCACGATGAGTTCATGTCACATGCTGCCCGGAGCGTCGAGCGGCCGCACGGGCCGGACGAACGGAGGACACGTCGGTGCGGACAGTCGTCGGTGAAGAGCACACCTCTCTTCCCGAACTATCATCAGACCTTGGGTCTCTTCCCCCTCCATTCGCCTCTGTGGTAGGCGCGGGCCCTCCCGGTAACAATGGCGAAAGGCTTCCTGAGCCATCTCAAAGGCATCGACGCATTCGGCAAGGTACATTACTCCAGACACGTCGTTAAACGACCTCCCTGACGCGTAGATTTTCCTGTAGACCGCGGAGGATGTCAAGGTCAAGACACGGACGGGCGCTCTGCGTGAGTGTGCACGTATGCAAGGGAGAAAGAACCGAAAGATCTAACGCAAGGCTCTACAGTGACCTTGATTGCTGCGAGCATTATCCTAGCCTTCACCACCCTCGAATTCTTCGACTACCGCAAAGTCATCATCGACACATCGGTCACGGTTGACCAGAGCAGAGGGGAGCGTCTGACGGTCCGCATGAACGTCACCTTCCCCCGCGTGCCCTGCTACCGTACGTGCGCCACATCCCCGCCCGCTCACACATATAATCCCCCCTTTAGTCCTTAGTGTCGATGTCACCGACATTTCTGGCGACGTCCAGCGCGACGTTTCTCACAACATGCTCAAGACGCGCCTCGACAAGGACGGCAAGGCCATCCGCGGCGCCCACACCGCCGAGCTTCGCAACGAGATCGACAAGCAGAACGAGCAGCGCGGCGCCGACTACTGCGGCTCCTGCTACGGCGGCCTGCCCCCCGCGAGCGGCTGTTGCAACACCTGCGAGGAGGTCCGCACCGCGTACGTCAACCGCGGCTGGAGCTTCAACAACCCGGACTCGATTGAGCAGTGCAAGAACGAGGGCTGGGCGGACAAGCTGCGCGAGCAGGCGAATGAGGGCTGCAATATTGCTGGCCGGCTGCGCATAAACAAGGTTGCGGGGAATATTCACCTGTCCCCAGGCCGCTCCTTCCAGACGGGCGGGCGCAACGTCTACGAGCTGGTCCCGTACCTGCGCGACGATGGCAACCGACATGACTTCTCGCACACGATCCACAGCCTGTCGTTCGAGGGTGACGATGCATACGACAACCGCAAGCGCGAGACATCGAAGGAGATGCGCCAGCGCATGGGCCTCAGCTCAAATCCTCTCGACGGCACCGTACGGGTGGTAAGTTGCATTCAGTTGTCCTATCACAAACGGTGACTGATGATCCACCTAGACAAATAAAGCACAGTACATGTTCCAGTACTTCGTGAAGGTCGTCTCGACGAAGTTCCGACCTCTCAACGGCCGGACCGTCAACTCGCACTCCTACTCGGTCACGCACTTCGAGCGCGACCTCACGGACGGCGGGCAGGCGCAGACCGGCCAGAACGTCCAGGTCCAGCATGGCGTCACCGGCCTCCCGGGCGCGTTCATCAACTTCGACGTCTCGCCCATACAGCTCGTGCACACGGAGTGGCGGCAATCGTTCGCGCACTTCGTCACATCGTGCGTAGACCGAGTCCTGACTGAGCTCTAATCAGTTTGCTAATTCCCATGCAGAACCTGCGCCATCGTCGGCGGTGTGCTCACCGTGGCCTCGCTGCTCGACAGCGTTCTCTTCGCGACGAGCAAGGCTTTGAAGAAGAGCGGGCACACGAACGGCAAGCTCATGTAACTATGCACCATGTACATATATTTATGCTGTCGGAATGCTATGCGTGCTGGCTGGGTCTTTCGTTCCTTTCCGAACCGACGTGATATTCATGGCCGAAGACCGATAATGTACAATAAGACAGATGAATGGACAACATAGACAGCGACACGACATATACAAGGTAAGCCCATCTCCGAGCTCAGTGGACGACTCTCCGCTTCGGGGGCCCAACGTTCGTTTTCGTTGTCGTAGTTCGTCGTTTCTTGGCGTTGGGCGGAGGAGATGCAGGAGTTCGGCGGTTACGCGGGTCGTGGAATTTCTAAGGTCCTCAGTGAGCGCATAGCCCTCCTTCAGAGGCAGACATCACATACCGGTTCACTTAAAGGAGCCAACTCGTCCTCATCGTCACCCTCGTCCTCCGTCGGAGGTGCCGACTTCGCAGGCCGCGACCGCGATGTCGACCTCCCCTTCCTTGACTTCTTTGGCGGTGCAGGCTCATATGCTTCGTCGTCATCCTCCGACGTTATACGCGTCGTGTGCTTGAGCCGCCGCTTCGGAGGCGGGACCTCCTCCTGCTCATCCTCCTCATACTGCCCGCCACCACCGCGCAGGATCTCTTCCGCGCCCGAGTCCGTCTCCTCCGTCTTCGCGCGCACGACAGCGTGCACGCGGCGGATGACTACAGGTTGCTGTGACATTGGAGCCGGCGGCGGTGGGCTGCGAGGGCGCTTTCGGCGATGTCCCGTCTGAGTGAGCGCGGTAAAGTCGACCTGCGTGGGTTGCGCTGGGCGTGTCGGTTGTAGTGGTCGCGCGGGCTGTTCGCGCTCGAGCTGCAGCGGCTCAACGGGCGCTAGCGGGGGCGCCGCCTTACGAGGGGTCTTCCCTGCAGTACGCGGGGTTTTCGGCCGCGGGGTCTTGGGGCGTGCAGGTGTCTTCGCGAGGTCAATACTGATGCTGTCGTAAAGGGTGGGAGACATGTCGTGCTTGGCCGGTATGGAGGTCGTGGATGCGCGCTTGGTGGTGGCGGAGGAGGTGCTAGGATGGGTGTTCTCACGCTGAGGGCGGCGAGGGGTTGCGCCGGCGTAGGTAGTATACTCGCGCTGAGCAGGCTGCAGTCAGCGATACAGTAAAGGAGAGGGAGGGGGAAGCGCACCTGATCGTGCGTCAACTCGTCGATCTTTGCTTGTAGCTTAGCGCGCTCTCGGTCGTGTTCCTCCTCAACGCGAGCTATGTCGGCCTGCCAATTCTCCTCTTGGGCTCGCCACTGCGCGTTGAGCTTCGTTATCGACGCCTTCTGGCTTGCAATCTACCGCGAGTCAGATGAAGCTTCAGTGAGAGGGGGACCAACATACTTGCGCCTGCGCTTGCTTGAGCTGCGCGGGGTACTTCAGCACTATGACGCCGATCACACGTCCTACGACGCACCATCTTCTGACACGCCTCCAACTCCTGCGCCAATCGGTCGTATTCCATCTTCTGCTCCTGCTCGTCCGCCTCCCTCTCCTGCTCCTCGGTCGCTCGCTCCATCTGCATCGCGCGCACGGCCTTGATCGCCTCGTCCCGCTCGCGTCGCGCGTCGCGCAGGTCGTCCGCATACTTGGACTCTGCTTCGAGGAGCTGCGCAGGCTTAGTCTTACTCTGAAGCTAGGTGGGGGTTTACTGACCCTGCTAAACTCCCCCTCAATCATAGCAAATGCCTCTGGAAGAACTGAAGGCCCCGGTCGCGGCATGCTGGGCTGGTGGTGGCTCTGGAGAACAAGGAACCTGTCACGTGTTACGTTCTTGCCGGAAGTAGCGGCCCGGGAACCGGAGCGCGACGCGTGGGAAACACCAGAGGCGCGCCTTGCAAACGCCTTTCATCTCATCGTACTTCTTTCAAAGTCATCTACGTCCATCGGAGCGATGAGCGAAGAGGTAGCGAAACCGACACTCATGTCGGATAACCAGCGTGCGCACTCCGGCTCCTCCCCAAGTCCATCGGTCCTGATTGTAGATTAGCACCTGCACAAGCGCCGGAGGAACCGCAGGAACTTCTGGCGCTCCAGCCGCCCAATTCGCAGCCAGTTCGCAAACTTGCTCCTGAGCTGTTGACAATAGTCTTTGAGCACGCGCTGCCCGCCGACTGGACGACGACGGAACCCGGACGACAGACCCTCAATTTCGCACAGGTCAGCCATACATGGCGAGCTGTAGCTTTCTCCTCGCCCTCGCTCTGGAAGAAGATCTACTGGAAAATCCCCTCCCCTTACGCAGACGAGTCGCAGTATGAGGAAGCCCTCGAACTCTACCTGCAGAGATCCAGAAAGGCGTATCTCAGCCTGCAGGTGTCCTTCGAGAGCCGAAACGCTGACATCGTCCGCGCATACATGAAGGAGAACAGGGCCTGGAAGCGACTACGCGCAGAGGCATATCGCTGGCAAGCCCTCACGCTCGCTCGCGTGCCGCCTGTATTCCTCCGTCATACGAAGCGTCTCTCGGTGCCAGCATTGCGGGAGCTGCATCTGCTCCTTCCTGCCAGACGTTCGGCTGCCTCTGAAGAGCCGTTGATGCTTTTCCGTTCAGCTCCCGAACTGCGCCACTTCGAGATCAAATATCCAATCCGCTACGCCCCTACTCACTTGCCTAATCATTGCCGCATCACAAAGCTTGAGCTTTCGCTCGGCCATCCCCATCATACGTCGACGGTCTTTGCCTGCGCACGCATTGCCCGACTATGTGCAGGGACTCTCGAGGATCTCTATGTCGTCGGGCACTCAAAGCATGTGGACTGGAGAAGGTGGCCTGCCCAGCGCGTCTGCTTCCCGGTTCTCAAGAAGCTCAGCTTGATAGGTTACGCCATCCAGCTCTGTCATGCCATGATCGCACCTGCGCTCAAAAACACCGCCCTGATCTGGATCTATGTGTATCCGTACCCGACAGACGGCCTACTGGGGCTTTTCTTGGATATGGTCAGGCGATCTGCGGGCTGCACAGAGATGATTTCACTTGCACTAGGTGCTTTACAAGAGTCCACACAAACAATCACCGAATGTCTCGCGCAGCTAGGAACAGTCAGGGAACTTAAATTCTTCAGTGCGCAACGGCAGAGGACGGAAGTCTGCGTGTCCGAGGACATCATGCCCGTACTCACACGTCGGGACAACGATGTCCAGTCCTTGCTTCTGCTTCCTCGATTGTCGTACCTTGGCCTTGGGTCCACAAGTCACCGTTTTCATGACGAGGCCGTGACTGCGTGTGCAACACTGCGCGCTTCGAGGGCGGAGGAACGTATATACGAAGGGCAACGTCTCCGCACTTTGAAAAGATGTCATATGTACAGTGACTGAAAGAGCACCGAACGCGGAGAAAATGAACAAACATGTATCAATATCAAGCACATTGTTCTCGGTCGCGGATTTTGCTAAAACGCACGAGTTCAAAGTAACTTGCCTCGGAGAGCCTGAGGTGCCCTTTGTCGGGGGGCACTTGATACTGGTGTAGAATTACTGGTAAAATTACAAAATACAGACTACATACGCCTCTCGCATTTTTAATCGTGGACTTGCCCACGGGCTGTGAGCATGGTATTGCCCATTGAACGCTTGGAAAAGACAAGGGAACGACGCAAGGGCGTATGTTCGCTGAGAGCTTGCAGTACCAATGCCGAGGGAGTCTCATCTGAGAAACAGCGATGCGAACCTGCGAGTTGGCATAAACCAGTATGCGCCCCGACAGCACATAACCCGCAGATAACAAGTTGACGCGTGACGAAGACCCAACCGCGATACACACTGCTGAGGGAGGAAGCAGGTGCCACTGCTCGGTCCGTGACCTATTCGTGAATGGCTGACAAGCAGTCTGTTTTGGTTGCCGTTCACGGTCGTAGAGAGGCTTATGCAGATATATGTGCATTATATCACGTCTAACCTCTAGCGGATGGGAGGAGACAGAGCAGGACGACATACTTTGGCGATGCCAGTGCCAGAAGTTATTGGCACGGACGACATCGACTTCAGCGCTTCCAGAAAGCGTAGAGCGTAGGCCGACATGCTAAGTCGGTCATGAGTAGGCTCTCCCCTGCTCTGGCACATCTGGATATGCAGAGTCAAAGCCGATGGCACTGTAAAGTCCTCTTGTTGACGTGCCCGCCGACCGTCGACGAAATGGATGTGTTGGAGGCCTTCGACGTGAATAATGATCTTTTAGCAGTGCATTTTCGTACAAGGACGTATAATGCGCAGTCCATGTCGGTGAGTAAGTAGTCGCACTGTCGCCTTAGTAGATTATCGAGGTCGTGGTCAAGATGCTGCAGTGATGGCCAACGCGCGGAGAAAACGCGTCTGCAAACACGCGCATTAGCTCTCCCTCTTCCACGACACACCGAGCCCGGCTTGCTCCCCTTCACAACGCGCGCTCGACGCGATGGACATGGACAACTCTGTGCCCACGGACGCGGGGAAACCAGACACCCTCCGGCAGCGCACGATCTCACTTCGCAGCCACCAATCACACGGACGGGCCAGCTCCCCTCGCCTCCACATCTTTCCTGACCGGACCGGGACGCTCGTCTCACAAAATCCCAGGTGCGTTTGGTGGTGATGACCTTGGACAATAGTGCTGATAGAGAGCAGGCTGACCCCCGACCGACCCCACATCATCGCGCCCAAACCCAGACGCCATCACTTCCTTGACGGTCCTACCCTCCTGCGCACACCCTCCTTGTCCCCCGACTCCTCACGCGCCGCCTCTCCCCCATCTCCCGCACCTCTAGCGCCAGCAGATAGGCTCATTCGCAAGAATGTAGGCCTCGGCGCGATCGCGGAGTCGTTCACCACGCCGACTGCATCCACGAGTGCGAAAGCAGACACGGAGACATCCATGGCGCGCCGTTCTCTGCGCTGGCTGCACAAGCGCGGCTTGAAGCACTATACTGTCCCCCTTGCCATACTTTGCACCACGCTGCTGAAGCTCGCCATCGGGACGGGCTCGTATTCCGGTGAGTACGGCGGCATTCACGTCCAAGTCGCGATGCTGAGCTATTGATTATAGGGCAGGCCACACCACCTATGTTCGGTGACTACGAGGCGCAGAGGCACTGGATGGAACTCACTGTACACCTACCAACACGTGAATGGTACCGATACGATCTTCAATATTGGGGGCTCGACTATCCGCCACTGACGGCCTACGTGTCGTGGGCTTGCGGCATTGTGTACGTCTTCAAGTCCATCTGTTGGCTCACACATTCATTGTCATACAGCGCACATCTCATCAACCCCGCCTGGGTCGCGCTTGACGCGTCGCGCGGCATTGAGTCGGACACAAGCAAGCTCTTCATGCGCTTCACGGTCCTCGTCCTGGATGCGCTCGTTTACGTTCCTGCACTTCTGATGTTCACTCGCTCATGGCTAGCGTGTCGATCGAGACGAACGCAGGTGTGCTTCCTGAAGTGGACTCATTGTCAGTTGCTGACTATCCGGTAGCATGCAGCTTTACTCCTCCTACTCACCCAACCCGCACTCCTGATCATCGATTTCGGGCACTTCCAGTATAACAGCGTGATGCTGGGTAAGTCTCGCCTTATGCGCACCTTCTTCATTCTGACGACCATCCCAGGACTCACCCTTCTTGCCCTCAACTACTTCTCCGCCGGCCGAGACACCTTAGGCGCCGCGTGCTTCGTCCTGAGCCTCGGGTTCAAGCAGATGGCCCTTTACTATGCCCCCGTCATCGGCACCTACCTCCTGGGCAAATGCTTCTACGTCGGCGGCCGGAACGGGTGAGGCCGACTCTTCCTTCTCGACCAAGTCCAAGCTTACTTCTTCCTGTAGACGCATACTCTTCGCCCGTCTAGCTCTCGTCACCTCCGCAACCTTCGCCCTCTTGTTTTCTCCTTGGCTTTCGCCGCCTACCCTCCTCCTCGACCCGCTTACCCGTATCTTCCCCTTCGGCCGCGGCCTCTTCGAGGATAAGGTCGCCAACTTCTGGTGTGCGTCGAATGTTGTCTTCAAGTGGCGCAACTGGGCGGGCGCGACAACGCTCATCCGCTTGTCGACGATGCTGACCGCCTTGGGCTTCCTGCCTGCTGTGATGGTTCTCGCCCGTGGCTCGTGGATCCTATGGAAGGCAAGGGACACGGCGGAGAGGGAAATACTGGCGTTGGAGACCGGCCTTGAGGAAAAGGGCAGGTCCGCGGAAGACGGTGCGGCGTCCACAACCAAAAGCAAGCCCGGCAAGATCGAGCAGCCGCTTCTGCCCCTCCTGCCCTACGCGCTGCTCACCAGTTCGCTCTCGTTCTTCCTATTCTCCTTCCAGGTGCACGAAAAGACGATCCTAGTGCCGCTGCTGCCCATCACCATGCTTATGTCGAGTGCGGCGCCCGAGTCAGCGTTGTTTGGCTGGGGCGCGTTGGTGAACAACGTAGCCATGTTCAGCATGTGGCCGCTGCTGAAGCGCGATGGGCTGGGTGTGCAATATATTGCGCTGCTTCTGCTGTGGAATCGGTTGATTGGGTACAATCCTGCGAAGCTGCCGAAGTGGTCGTTTGTGCAGGTGCTGTCGGTGGTAGGTTCGGTTGCTTTTGGTATGCGGCAGGATGCTAATGACGTCCCAGGCCGTCTACGTCGCCTCGTTTGGTCTGCATCTACTAGAGCTTGTCGTGTCCCCACCCGCGCGCTACCCGGACCTCTTTCCCGTCTTGAACGTCCTCGTCAGTACACCCGTTTTCGCCTCCGCCTGGCTCTGGAGCATCGTCTCCATGATACGCGTCGGCTGGGCCATCGGCCCCCTCGGCGGACGCCGCGACCCACGGACCCTCGGCTGCCAGTCCATAACGCGACAAGTATCCCAGTCGACCATGCGCGATGCAGGCGAGAGCGATGTCGGGGAGGGAAGCAAGAAGCGGTCAGGGAGACGGTCGGCGAGCGTGACGAGCACGAGCACGATTGCGCCTGGTGGGAGCATGCGAAGTACGGCGGGTGGTTTGCGTCCGCCGATACCGTTCTTTGAGAGTACGGGGGTAGAGAGGGCGAGGGGCGGTAGGACGCAGAGTTTGACGTACTCGCATGGGAGGGGCGCGAGGGGGAGCACGTCGAGCGTGGGTGGTGGAGTACGCGAGTGAGGTTGGGGATCTGTTCTGGTTACGAATGGCGGATGGAATCGTGGATCTGTACGAACTTACCTAGCATGTAATATGCTCTACAACATATTGTACTGAGCACCCACCGAGTGGAGTTGCTTCTCGTTGGCCAGTACTCATTCATCCGGTGTCAACAATAGCTCAGCAATGTCAAGGAGGCTCTGAGGTTCGAGCAGCGGGATGAACGCGATGTTTATCCTTGATTAACTCCCTATGGGGATACGGTGGACGAGTCTAAGCGCTTCCTAACTTGACTCCTGCGGTCGTCATCACAGTAAATTACTGCTTGGTGAGTTTGCCGCGACCTCTGGGGAAGGTCATCGTTGGTGTTGACGTTGGCCTCGCACATAGGCCCAGGATGCTTCCAGACGTCGACGCGCTGCTCAAGGAGGTCCAACCCGCTGGGAATCTATCTCGTCATCGCTCAGGCTTCCTGCCAACGGGCCAGGATGCCGCTGTCCTCGAGGACCAAGGGCGTCTGATGGACAAGGCAGACGCTGAATATACGGCCGCGATAAAGCAGCTGACGAGGCAGAGAGCGCGCATTCGGAACCAGCGAGCGATCCATCGCGCCTTGCTTTCCCCCGCGCGTCGCTTTCCCCAAGAACTCTGGTCCGCAATATTTCTGCTCGCTCTGCCTGACGACTGGGACCTCGAGCCCGTCGGCATACGAAGCCTAGCTCTTGCCCAAGTCTGCTATGCGTGGCGCTATATCGCGCTGAATACCCCGCGTATATGGAGCGGCATCCACATTTTTGCTTGGCGCCGGCGTGGGATCGAGCTTTGCGATGAAGCGATCATAGGGAGGGAACTACAGAAAAGCGGACAGGTACCGCTGCGCCTGACGCTTGATATGACGAATTACCAGTATGAGCTCAGGCCCACGGCCGTGCCAAAAGGAATCTCTCGCTTCGGTCGGCCACGGCGTTGGCGTGACACTGTCTGGAGATTGCTATGCGCGGAAGCCAATCGCTGGGAGGCGGTACATCTCGTGAACCTCAGAAACCTGCTCTTCCATAGGCACTCGGGACCTTTTACCTACCCCACACTCCGCGAACTAAGCTGGACGACACGAGACATCACCAAGGCAGACATCGTATCCAAAGTACCTCTTCACGCCTTCTAGGATGCACCGAACTTGCAGTCGCTCTCTCTCTCGTACCAAATCGCTCCCGATTCCCCCAATCTACCCGAGTCGTGGTCGCTGCGTGCGCTGAAGATTGTATGCGGACGAGGGCTTGCCGAGAACTTGGAAGAGAATCGTCTCGAGGCCTCGGATTCCGACTCAGAATCTGACGTGATCGACGACGAGCCACCGCCGCTTGCGCCTTGCCTGCCGCTGATCCTAGCGTGTAGTGCGACGCTGCGTACATGCACTGTCCAGTCCACGATATTCGGCTCAGTCCCTGCGGATCAGCCACGCGTTACCTTCCCTGTACTCGAAAAACTCCTCTTGGAGGGCGGGGCCATCCAGCTCTGCCGATGGATCTCCGCGCCGAAGCTCCAGGTGGTCACCCTGTTGGATATTGCAGAGGACGAGGAGCGCATGGAGGAGTTCGAGGCCTTCATTGGCCTGTTGGACAATTCTGACAACTGCCCGTCGCTCCGCGCCCTCGCCCTTGATCGGCTCTCCTGCAGCGCAAGCAGCGTTGTCGAGTGCCTCGGGCGCCTCCCCAATCTGGAAAAACTGTCTGTTATCAACAGCGAGAGGTTCGGGGATGAGTCTGAGCCAGAGTACCATATGGAGCCGCCTGTCTCTTACCGCCTCATCAAGTATCTACTCCTCCCAGCTCACGGACGTGACACACCCCTCAGGCGCCTGACGGACTTACAGCTCGGCTACAGTTTCGGCAACAACCATACAGACGGGAAGGAGGAGGACGCCGTGCGCGAGATGGTGGAGTCCAGATCCATGAAGTGGGAGGAGGATGGCCAGCCTATCGCCCGGCTGAGGCATTTCGTGTGCGATAGTGCGGACGAGTCGTTGGATCGGCATGTGGATGATTCCGAGTGGTAGAAAACGTGCCCGAGGAAAAGAGTTACCGCTCTCGAAAGCCTACACCTCCACTTGACTTTCCTATGTACGCTTGGCCAGTACTAGTAGCCCTATGTAGAGTGCCAAGTGCTCGCGCTCAGTGATCACTTTGATTGGATCAGCCACGGTCTTTCCTCCTGCCATCACAATGCAAGGCCTCGACAGTCTCCTGGCGGAGACGGCAGCTATGGGCACTCTCGAAAAGCTCCGCGCGCCTTATGTCCCGGATGCGGCAGATGCCCAGATATTCTTGCAGCAGGCGTCAGACCTAACCGAGCTCAAGCGCGAACTCATTCGCAAACTGGACACTCAGATTGACAGACACAACACCCTTCTCGCGTTTGTTCGCCGACTCCCGCACGAGATCCTCTCCGAGATATTCATATACGCTCTGCCAGAAAACTGGAGCATGGTTCCTGCTGGTACGCAGGTCCTCAATGTCACCCTGGCAGTGATTAGGGCTAGTACCTTATGACGGGTTATACTTACTGAACGCAGCGCAGCGCCTGTGCTCGTCTTACTGTAGAAACCCACTGTTGTGCTGTGGAACTCCCATTCATCGACTTTCGCACACCCCGGCAGAGTGCGCGCGTGCACACCCGCTTCCCCGAAAGCACTTTGCAAGGCCAAGAAGTTGCGGGGCAGCACGCGGTTGTGGGCGCATTGCATTGTTCCCGTTTCAGGAAATACTTCGACACGCGACGCGATCGGACAGACGCGCCGTGGTCACGCCCGTCAAGCGCCTTGTCCCGCACGCCCAGCAGCGTGCGCATCTCACTGAAGCAGAGTACTCGCGGTGCCTCTGGGTAAGTACACCAGTGATTGTTGAGCATTATACATCTCAATCATCATAATGAAAATAGCTTGATCACGCATAGCAAACGCGCTGGATAGGAGGGGTCTGCTTGCGAACAGTGTCAAGGTGCGCGTGCAGACTGCTCTCCTCAGCTTGTGCTCTGACCACGAACAAAGATGGACCCCATAGACCACGCTATCGAGGAAGCCCGCACCGTTGCAAATGTCGCTCTCCATCGCACACCCTTTGTCCCGGACGACGCCTGCGCCCGAGTAATCAAGGACAAGGCACAAGAGCTGCGCCAGCTCGAAGACGAGGCCAACCTGATGATGATGAGCATATACGCGAAGCTGAATGCGCTCCGCAATCAGATCACCATCCACGATGCGCTGACTTCCCCGTGTCGCCGTATCCCTCCTGAGATCCTTTCGGAGATATTCCTGCTCGCGGTGCCCGAACAATGGAAGTCGCAGTACGTCGGGAGCAGGACGCTCAACTTCGCGCGAGTCTGCCACTCTTGGCGACGTGTCGCCCTCGCCACGCCTCGCCTGTGGACGACGCTCCGGTTCGCGGCCAACGTCAACCCACCTGCGACTCATGTCGCTGCTCTCAGAGACGACCTGATGAAGACCGCTCAGGCGCCGCTGGAGCTAGTACTCGAGATGGATAGATACAGCAGTGACCCCGCTTCGGCGGAGGAGTCATGGAGTGACGAGGCTTGGGCGTTACTGTGTGCTCAGTCGCATAGGTGGAAACGGGCCTCATTCGCGGGAATACCTATAGGTGCCTACGAAGATCTCGCTGTATGCGCCTTCCCTGCGCTGGATGATCTGTCAATACTCCTGGACGACGGCGATGATGACGAGGCAGGCGTTACGATCCGCGTGCCCATCCACGCCTTCCAAAATGCGCCCAAGGTCACCAGCGTCAGCATTGAATACCGCGCGCCAATCCTCCCCTTCAACTTGCCCTCAAGCTGGTCTATCACCGACCTGGGCATTCACTGTAGCGAGGATGAGTGCACGCTCGCGCCGAGTCTCGGTGCCATCTTCTCCTGCAGCAGAGCTCTGCGGAGGTTGCGTCTCAGCGCGGATGAGCCGTGCGCAATTGTATTGCCACCCACGAGCTTCCCGCACCTGGAGGAGCTCTATATAGGGGACGGTGCCATTGTACTGTTGCATTCCTTTACAGCCCCCGGACTTCAGACCCTGTGGATGGGCGGATATTCCCAAGACGGTCCTTTCGAGGCGCTGCAATCCATGCTCGCGCGCTCCGGGAATTGTCGCTCACTTCGGTCCCTCACTCTCGAGGGGCTGACCCCCGCCGGGCCTCAGGTGCTTGATATGATCCCATGCTTGCGTCGGCTCCCCTCATTGGAGGAGCTGGAGGTGCAGAACAACGAAGAAGTTGAAGAGGTAGCGAGCCTCATCACGCCGGACTTGTTGCGCGCCTTGATACGGGATCCGGGCGCGCCTCAGTCCATGGCTTTCCTGCCGAATCTGGCTCGACTTGCCATTGGCTTTGGCGCTAAAGTCGAGGACGCAAAGAATCCCGAATATGGCTCCCTGCTCAAGGCCTTGCTTGCGTCAAGGAGGCAGGAGACGTCGGTGGATGGGAAAGAGCTCGCTCTGCTCCAGGCTCTTGAGACGGATGGTCGTGGCCGGGATTGTCGCTGGCCTCCTCGAGATGATGATGATGACTCTATGGACACGGACTCCGACTTGTGAAAGGTAGTTTACACCACATACGCAATGGGCTTACTGTAGAGGAGACTAATCTATGATCTGTTGGCGCACCTTACTGTCTTGTGGTAACAAGGAAGACAACGCGTGCTGCGACGCGGGAAGTGTGGGCGCCTCTTCCTCGTATGGAAATTCATGGTCCTGCGAAGCACGTGGTGCGCCACGATCACAAGTCAAACTCAACCACCACCATCACATCACCGACAAAGTGGCTACTTGGCCCTTATTAGTTGCAAACCGTATGCAATCTGCCTGCCCCGTGCGCAATACACTAACAAATAAGTAGCAAACAATGCGCACCATCGAAGAATTTCTGGATGACGCTCGCACTGTCGCCAACATGCCACTCCATCGTGCAGCTTTCGTCCCCAGCCAACAGGACAAAGCCGCCATTCTGAAGAAGACCAACAAGCTCCGGAAACTGGAAAAGGCTCTCTCCGTCAAGGTGACCCAGCTTCTGCGCGACCAGGACGCGATCCGCGCGCAAATCGCCTTGCACAACGCCCTCATAGCGCCGTGCCGGCGCTTGCCTCCGGAGATACTCTCCGAAATCTTCGTTCTCGCGCTGCCTGACCACTGGGATGATCAGTACGCTGGGAAGCGGAGTCTGAACTTTGCTCGAGTCTGCCTGTATTGGAGAGAGGTCGCGCTCCTGACGCCCCGTCTGTGGACATCGCTGCGGTTTGACGCTATGCGCAATCCCCTCGCCAAGCATGTCAACGCCTTGAAAGCCGAACTAGCTAAAACCGCGCAGGCGCCGCTGAGTCTCTTCATGACCATGCGCGTGAACACACTGGCTTGGCTGCCCGCCGTGCCGCCCATGAAAGAGGATTTGTGGAGCCGGAAGGCATGGACCTTGCTCTGCGCGCAGTCGCATAGATGGGAGAGGGCGCTGTTTGAGCAGCTTCCGGGCTTCGCGTACGACGCTGTGGCCGGCCGCGCGTTCCCGGCGTTGCAGGATCTAGCGCTATACATCAACGAGGAAGACGATGAGGTCGCATACGAGACCGTGCCACTCCATGCATTCAAAGATGCCCCAAATCTGCGAAGTTTATTCATCCATTATACGTCGCCCGTCCAGCCTTTCCGCCTTCCGCAGACTTGGACGCTCACGAAGCTCATCATTCAGTGCGGCGACCACGCCGACGTTACCCTCGCGCCATGCTTGGACGCCATCATGGCTAGCGCCAGCACCCTGCGGTCGTGCGTGATCTCTGCAGACGAGAGCTTTGGCGACTTCCCTGCGGGGCGGGAGCCGACGACTTTTCCGCTCCTCGAGGACCTCGAGCTCCGTCACAACGCCATCTTCCTCGGCTACCTCATGACTATCCCCTGCATCAGAACTTTACGCGTATCCGCGTACCCGGACGTGGAGACGTACCCCTTCGACGCGCTCAAGTCCATGCTCGCGCGCTCGGCGGGGTGCAAGTCATGTCGCTCCCTCTTGCTGGATGGCCTAGAGCCGACGAGCGCAGACGATGTCATCGCGTGCCTCCAGCTCGTCCCGCACCTCACCGATCTCGAGCTCAAGCACGACGAGGCGATCGAGGACATCGAGCATCCGTTGATTACGCTGCATCTCATCCTGGCATTGTCGCGCGACTCAGGGAGGGCCGGCGCGCTGACGCTCCTCCCCGACCTCGCGCGCCTCGTCGTCAACTTCGGCGGGCTGAGGAGTGGGACGTATGATCCCGATATGCGTGCGGCGCTAGCGGAGCTGTTGCGGTCGCGGAGGAGCCCCAGGGAAGTGGATGGGGTGACCCTCGCTGCTCTTCAGCAACTTCGGACTGGCGATAGGTCTCTCAGCTGGCCACCCGAGGAATTGGAGGACTTCGAGACCGATGAGGAGTGCACCGATGAGGATGATTTCTCGGACTTTGACTCGGAGCCTTGAGGTAGTAGGAAGGTGCGGTAAACGATGTTCGGCGCGTTTGGTCATCCGAATGATAATGAGTGCTTTTAGATTGAAATACTGAACAAGCTGTACAACCATCACCGTGTACTTTGCCATCGTGTCCCCGTAGCTTATTCCCTGTACATGTAGCACCAGCGCTGCTTTTCCGTCAAAGCAATGCCAGATCCATGGCCAAAGTCCCTCCGACGCGCTCTTCGGACTATGAAACCCACCTCAGTTATAATGCACCCGTGCTCTCAATGGGTTCAATTACGCCGCCGCATCGTAGAGATCAACCACGAAGTTTGTGGACCCGCCAGCGCCCACTGGACATGTCACTAAAGCACATTCTTATCACCTATCAGTTCCGGCTATTCAATGCATCCTGAAAGGGAACACTCTACAATGTTTCTCTGTATCTTGATATGTAGTTCACCAACAACCTTGCGAGTCGCTAACCCTGTTAAGCCGTGTCGTCTGCTTTGGTTACTCTGCAACGAGGTCTCTGCATACTCACAGACTATAGGCGTATCAGACGCGCAAAAAATAGCGCAACAAAGGACTGCGTCATGTCAGAGAAACTTCTCAGGATACCACCGGGGCAGTTGTGGGCGCGCCTCGCATTGTTCCCAAATCGGGAAGTTCTTCGGCACGCAGCGCGATCAGACGCGGCTTGTCCTGAACGCTCGTTGTCGACTCTGGTAATCGAAGCGAATCACTGTTAGGGTGCCTGGGTGCGTATCCGAATCCTCGCTGAGTGCTGTCTATCCTCATACATATCCAAGAAAGCATAAGTTTGGTAGCAACGCGAGCAGGAAGGTCTTTGAGCGGCGAACAGCGCTCGCGTCGAGGTGTGTGTCAAGACTGGCCTTATCATCGCGCCTCCTGACCACATAGTGTGTCCAGAGATGAACATCTTGTATGACCCTATTGAAGAGGCTAGCAGCGTTGCAAGTATAGCCCTCCATCGTACACCCTACGCCCCAGACGGCCAAAACGCCAGCATAATCAGGCAAAAGGCGCACGAGCTTCGCTGGCTTGCGCACGAGGCGGAACTGGAGATACTGGCGATACAGGAAAGAGTGAATGCACTTCGCAAGCAGATCGCAATCCACGACGCGCTCGTTCACCCATGCCGCCGCCTCCCTACCGAGATCCTCTCGGAAGTCTTCCTCCTCGCAGTTCCAGAAAATTGGCACGAGAAGCTCGTCGGACGAAGGACCCTCAACTTTGCGCAAGTATGCCACCTCTGGCGGAACGTTGCCCTCACTACGCCCCGCCTCTGGACGACGCTCCGATTCACAGACCACATCAACCCACCCGCGAAGTACGTCACCGCCTTGAAGGACGACATGGCGAAGACCGCGCAGGCGCCACTGGAACTGAATCTCGACGTCAATTGGTACTCTGAATCCGCATCTGCACTGTTCTCATCTGCCTCGACGGCCAAGACGCGATGTGACGAATTCTGGGCGCTATTGTGGGGGCAGTCGCATAGGTGGCAACGGGTCACGCTTGACGGATTGCCTACGTCCGCGTATGAACGTCTGGTCAATCACGCCTTCCCCGCGCTGACTTCCCTGTCGATAACCATGTACGGCGAGTCAGACTCAACTATCCGTCTACCCATTCACATCTTTGGGAATGCACCCAAGGTCCACAGCCTACACATCACCTGCGATTCTCCATTCCATCCTTTCACCTTTCCCCCAAGCTGGTCTCTCACCGAGCTTCGCATGTACTGCAGCGAGGCCGGTACGCTCGCATCTGCCATCGAAGCGATCCGATCCTGTGGCGAATCTTTGAGGGTGTGCCACCTTCTGTCCGATGAGTCTTGTGCGAATGTACAACGGCCCACGAACTTCCCGCGCCTCAAGGAGCTCGATCTCTTCGGCAACGCCACGGCGCTGTGCTACTTCTTCACTGCGCCCAACCTTCAGACACTGGCCATGGATACGTATTACAACCTCGACGACGACCTCAATGCATTTGTCGCTCTGCAGTCCATGCTCGCGCGCTCTAGGGATTGCCCCTCCCTTCGCAAGCTCAGCCTCGAGTCGTTGGATCCAGGGCCACAGGGTCGGGATCTTATCGCATGCTTGCGTCGACTCCAATCACTGGAAGAGCTCAGTCTACACAACCGGGATATGACGGATGACTTGGAGCCGAGCCTCATCACATTGGACCTGTTACGTGCCATGGTCCGCCATACGGGCGTGCCATCGTCTTTGACCTTCCTGCCCAATCTGGCGCGGCTTTCCATAAACTTTGACTCTTCTTACAACAATGACGCGGACCCGAAGGATCCCGAGGTCCGTTCTGCACTCTTCGCTATACGTCGGTCCAGGAGGCGGGTCATATCAGTGGATGGAAAGAGATTGCCTCTCCTTCAACACTTCGACAACAATGGCGGTGATGACTTGAAGGGTTGTTGTTGGCCTCCCCGAGATGACGATTCCGCATAGTGTCGTATGTAACTGTAGAGGGGCTTTATGATGCATACCGGGTATATATAAACAAATGAATGCACGAATCTCGTTGTCTGCGACCAAAGCATGAGTCCGATATGCAGACTGCTGACCGTCGACACCGTCTTGCTGGAACATACGCGCCTCATGCAACGAGACGCAATGGAGCAAGCTTGCGAAGGTGACAATTTGGTAGACATACAGTTTTCTTGTACAATTTGCGGAGGAGTAACTTCACCCAACGACACGACCATTCGCGATCCTGGCCGTCTCGAATATTTTGATAGCCTCCGTCGCAGCCTTCACCCCACTACCAATCATCGCGCCGAACGTCGGGCCCATGCGGTTCGAACCGTCGTGCTCGGAGAGCTCCATGCCCGCCATGATGAGCCCGGGTGCGACCTCGCGCGTTTGGTTGACGACGGCGGGCTCCGCACGATTCATGTCGAGGCCGCGCATATTGCCGAGCTCCTTGAGCAGGCCCGCACTGACGAGGCGCTTGGCGGAAAACGCGCCCATAGGGCCGTCGTGACCCGTCGCAGTGATAATGACCGGAGCCGTGACTACGAAGGGCAGATCAGCATATAGTTATCGATATTGAGGCGGTAGGACTTACTGGTGTTCGGGTCCATGCAGCTCTGCGTGTCATGGTTGAGCGCAACGAGCGTCCAGTTGGTGACGACGCCCGCGACGCGCTGCTGGCCCGAGTAGTCGCGCTGGATCATGAGGTCCTCGACCGCGGTCGCGTTCATCAGGACGACGTTGGGGAACGCGAGGACCTTGGAGAGGAGCGTCGAGGTGAAGAGCGCGGCGTGCTTGACGACCACGAACGCGCCCTCGTCCTCGTACTCAACGCCGAGTTGGCGCAGGAAGGCGTCCGCGGGCTTGCGGATGACCATAGGCGACATGAGCTGGCCGCCGAGCCATGCGCCGCCGCCTGGGGCGACGTTCGCCTCGAGGATGGTGATCTTGAGGTCGGGGCGGTTCAAGGCGAGGTGGTACGCGCATGAGAGGCCTGCGCTGCCGGCGCCAATGATGACGACGTCGGACACGGCGCGCTCGTACATCGTGTTGAAGTACCTGCGCGGATGCATATGAGGTTTGAGAATTGTTGCAATAGAGAACAAACGCACCTCTTGATCATGGCGCGCGAGACCTGCGACTCCTCGATGGGGGCGAAGCTGTACTTGCCCGTGTAGTCCTCCAAGACATCGTACCCGTTCGCCTGCGCGGCCTTGAGCGCGCCGATGCCGTTGGACGCCGACTTGCCATTGGGCGTCGTCGTACCACTAGCGGGCTGTTCAAGTGCAATGGGGGACATTCTCGGGGTGTTCTGAGCGAGGCTGCTGGCCTCCCCAACTCGATGCACGCCCTTTTATACTCATTCGGTCAATTGTGGAACGCACTGACTTCATTGCCCCGAGGTCACCCGGCGCACCCCAGCGTCTTCCAAGACAGGTCACCGACTTCCAGCACCAACCCTAGAAGCGCCGGGCGGAGCTCGCGATTGAGGGGGACTGAAATAGCTGGGCTCGCCTATATCCCCTCGAGGAGATACAGCGCGATTTTCGGTGTGCGCAGGCCCATTGGGGTGGCGATTGCGTGGGGGTCGTGATCGCGGGAGCGCAGGCTGGCCAGTAAGAGCACGGAGGGGATCATAGATGGTGGGAGACTGACGCGTGTATGAAAGACCGAGCACGGAAATATCGCCCGACTGAATTGGAGAACACGCCACACCCATTCGCGACAGCTGTCTTCAGGGTTCGCGAAGGATGGCTGATCATTGGTCGAGCGTTGACTCGACGGTGGACTGGGACCGGCGCGGTGTGGACGAGATGACGACCTATAGGACAATCGCACTACCCTAATCAGAATTGAGATAATGATCGTCGACGAACTGAGAGATGCGCTTACCATGTACTACACTACCTACTGCTAGACTTGTCCTTCTCCCTCGTCCTCTTCTCCTTCTCCTCGCCCGACGCAGCAGCTGCCGCCTTCGCCTCCCGCTTCATGCGCTTGCGCTCCTTGCGCGCCGCTTTATCTTCCTGATCTGCCGTCGTAGCCTCGTCACGTTCGTCTCTCTTGCGCCTCTTCTTTGGGGGCTCGGCAGACGTCGGTGCATCATTGAGGCCTGACGTATCGGGCTTGGCTTCCCCAGTCGAGTCAGAGTCAGAGCGATCTTTGCGCTTGCGCGACTTCCTGTCCTTCTTCTCGTCGGAGGCGTCCGCCGAAGACTCCTCGCCCTCGACTCCTTCATCATCTACCTCCCTGCCCTTGCCCTTCTCCCTCCGCTTCTTTTCTTCCTTCTTTACCCGCTTCTCGACCTTCCGTCTCCTCTTCTCCTCCTTGGGGTCCAGCGCGACGCTCGCGTCGGCTTTTCTTTGCTTTTTCTTCTCCTTCTTGTCTTTCGACCGAGACTCGGAGGTGGCAATCGCGAGGGGGGTATGCGCGGAGGTGGCGGCGGGAGGGGCAGAGGTATCAGATGTAGAAGGCTGCGCTGTCGACTGGCGTGACTGAAACTCCGAAGCGGGAAAGTCGTCCTCGGATTTTATGACGAAGGCACGATAGAATCGCCCGTATAGATTGCGTCTCGCAGTCTCGCGCTTGGCCTGTGCGAAGATCGACAGGGGAGCATTGGTGGTGGTGGGCGTGCTCGAGCCGGAGGACGTCTCGGAGGAGATGGCAGAGCCGCCAAGGATGGGAGCCCGGTTCGAGAGGATGCCGGTGCTGGTACGGTTGAAAGCCGGCAACGCAGGAGTATCATTGCTTGACTTGTCCTGTGAGGATATGAGATGGTGAGGACGTACAGTGAAGGTGCAAGGGTCTACATACATCGCTCTCGTCGTCAGAGTCGGCTATCTTGATGTTGATCGTCTTTACGGCAGCATCGAATACGCTGGAGGAACACGATCTTTGCTCAGTAGGAACTGACGCGCTTCGGGTTGGACGACGCACTGATTCCAGAACTGAAAGCCGTCGTCTCGCTCCTTTCCCAGTCCCTTGTTGTTCTTCTTCTGAGCGATGATAATGGGTCTGGATATAGCTCCATGGCGAAGTCCATTGCCGTGGCCGGACCAGCCTTGCGAGGAGAGGTACTCATGCGTGTCGAGCACCATCTGGTTCGGTTTCAAGCCTCGACGTCGTGAAAAACAGTTAAGAGGTGTATCCCTACGTGATGGCAGGGAGCAAGGGGAAGTAGGCAAAGCAGGCCAGAGGGGGAGGCCGAATGTGATGGCGATCGTGTGGACGGAAGAAAAACGATGAAATTCCTAGCAAGGGCAAATGTGGCGTACACTGTATGTTATTCGCACGCCCCTGAACTCGCTTCCGCCGGCCATGCCGGGCTCGCTCACGTCCGCCACTGTGCAACGCGCATGTCCTCTGCTCACCCTGTCGCGCGATGACTGGCATGAACAGGGGAAGGCTGTCTCAACGATGACGACCATCTGCTTTGTCGGACGACATCGGCGTCTCGTCGCCAGCTTCTGACTGGCCCGTATCTGTGCGGCGAATCTTCAGAGCTTTTGTATCCCGGCAACGCCGGGATAGATATCTGACGGTCCAGCGGTACTCGAGAAGCAACCTAGCCGCTATGCTCTTCTCGCCCGACCCGAAATAAAGCCACTTCTCAGACCGCCAGTACACCCATCAGAAATTCAGGTCGCAAGGTTCAGATGGAATATCTCCTGCCCTACTGCAAGTGGTTCCTGGCAGTATTACGAACTATCTATACTCACGGCATATTCTCGCAATTTTCTTAAAGGTATGTCTGATGAACGACGCGCTGCGTGACAATGGGTATTTCAGTTGGCCATTGTTACCTCTGGTCACTTTTTCTCGAGAAGTATTCCTTGCAAAGAGCCATACCTTGTCAGTTTACCTTCAAGGATCTACCCTCGACGGGACGCGAAAAGGAGAAGAGTCGCACCTCCGGATAGGACCTGAACCATCGCTACGTCGCACCATGTTATCTCTCTCAACACCGCGACACCCATCCTGCAGCCACTTCTGACCTCAAAACGCCAGCGTCTAACCTTCCAAGGACGGCCGCCGCTCTATGCTTACAGACTACGCCACGTTCGACGCACGCCACACGCCAGGAATGCTGCTCGGTGCTCGACATTGTGGCACGTGGCGTGCCCCGCGTCCCGAACGCGGACGCGCAGACATTCATTGTACGGCTTAAAGTCATTCAATCGACAGCTTAAGCCATTCAGGACAGCTCTGCTACTCCAGAGATGGCGCAAGCTATCCTGGAGACAGCCCAGGTCACTCAATCGAAGGCCGGCAGATGTAACTCCGCACCACTGGGCGTGATCAGCGCGCTCCAAACGGCTCTACTCGACAAGCGTGGTGCCAGGCATGACGGCGCGACAGTGTCTGCGTAAGTATAAGAGGAGCGTCGCCCTTGCTTCAGTCATCATTCTCTCCTCATCAGACCGACATTCCCTCTTCCTCTTTTCCTCTCCCTCTTCGCTCTTTCACGATCTGGTCTCTACACAGTTACGGATCAGTTGTTCCCCTCGCCATGCTCAACCCCGCGCAGATAGCGTACGCTCTACAAAGGCTTCTCGTCGCCGGTACTCATCACATGCAGACACGGACCTATGCTCATCGGTACATTCCTCAACGTGCTGCTATACGGTATATCCATCACGCAGACGTACGCCTTCTTCCTTCCCTCCATCCGCGCGTTATGATCATTGACCTTGGCCTCGCAGATATCTGTATTGGAATGGCTACAAGCGCAAGTACGTCGCCACCCCCATCGCGCCTTCCTTCTATCTCACTGATCACCACTCATCGTCTCGCTCATCGCCGCTCTTCTCTCTAATCTATCGCCAACCTTATTTCCCCCGTCACCCTCTGTCTCATCCGTCGCTAGGGATCCCCTGGTAATCCGGCTCTTTGTACGCGCGCCTTCCTTCTTCCTTCTTCGCGCTTCTCTGACAGAACCCGTCGTCGATCGGCAGGTGATCTTCCTCTTCGTAGCCGACACCGCTCACACGGCGTTCACGATGGCGTATATGTATATCTGTTTGGTTAACCATTACGGTGAGCTCGTGCAGTGTAGATACCGCTCAGCCGCGTCGAAGCTGAGAACCTCTCAGGTAACCCGTTGTACCTCGCCAACGCCAACTGGGTGTTCTCGGCTGGTACATCCTACGGGTAGTTGCGTTGTGGACCACACCTGACCTCGTCATAGACCCGGCCCTAACTGGCATCATCGGCGGCAGCGTGCAGATATTCTTTAGGTTTGTTCAGTGGCACATAAGATACTGTTCTGCTGACCACGCTGCCTTCAGCTGGCGTGTCAAGATAGTAAGCTTGCGCCGCCTCCGCCCTGATTCCTCAAGTCTGAACGCTTATCCCAGCTCACTGGTCACTCCCTCCTCGCCGGCACCATCGCCACTTCTTCCTGTGCCTCTCTTCGTGAGTTCTTCTCAACCTCCCTCTGCGTGATTTTACCAGATTACTGACATATCCTATTAGTATGCGGCATCGCCACGGCCATAGCATGCGGTTTCGTGCCCGCATTCGCGCAATTTCAGAGGTTCAAGGTTGTCGTTATCATTTGTGAGTACATGTTTTCTCGTATTCGCTGCCCGTGCTACTGTCTGGATCGCGTTCTGATGCATCCGCAGGGCTCGCCGCTTCCTCACTTTCTGATATCCTCATAACGGGGAGTCTGGTGAATCATCTGGTGAGTATTCTCGGTGATAAGCGAGGAGGAAACATGTGTAGGGGAAGAGTGGAATGTGCACGGAGAACTGACGGTCTTGGCAGCGAAGTCACAAGACGGGCTTTAGGACCACGGATACACATGTCGACAGGATAATACGGTGTACGTGAACGGCTAAAAGCAATGGAGGTTTTGCTGACCGCGTTCGGTCTCCTGCAGTGACCGTACAAACGGGTCTGATCACTTCCTTATGGGCGTAAGTCGAATCTGGGCCCTACGTCCGCCGTCGACTGAAGCTTCCTTCGAAGTCTTGCCGATATGCTTTTGTATCTCCTCGACCCCGCTGGCTGGTGAGCGCCTGGATATCCATGGGGTAATACCGTCGTATCAAACATCCCACAGGCACCTCATGCTCAACTTTGCGCTCTCCAAGCTCTACACCAATTCCCTCATGTCGAGCCTGAACAGCCGCAAGGGGTGGCACTACTCCGACAGTCGCACATCCGGCGCTTCAGGGCAGCCATCCGGCCAACGAATGCGCAAGGTACGCCTTCTCCATGCATCACAGGCTAGCAGAAGCATCACACACGAGCACGAGCATCGCTCTTCCAAGCAGAAGCCCCTCTCCCCCTGCTTACTGACGGTACCTTTTCCCCAGCACGACATCGTTACAGTCGGCGGGGGCCGCGCGGAGGTGAGCCGGAAACATCAGCTGGGCGGAATTGTGACAACGGCAGTACGAGAGACTGACGAGGCGCCGCCGCAGGTGTTCGTGCAGGTCGAGTCGCACGAGATGGTCGACGAGGGGAAGACGATTGCGCTCGGAGACCGCGTGACCTACGGTGGCGCGTCGCGATGGGGAGACGGAGAAGCTGGCAGGAAGGGAACGGACGAGACCGTCTAATGGGAATTGTCGAACGTCTAGACGCCACCGACGGCTGCGAAACCCTGAAGGAGTCTTTCGGGGCGGGGGCGCGGCGCTCCGCGCGCCTCTCAACGGCGACGACGTGCGATCATCGGGGCGCGCCGCGCGAAGTCGATGATCTACATTGTCTGCGGGAGAGACTGCACGCGGGCGTGGCATCCGGTACTGTATTGTATGAGGACGATCCTCCTCTGCCCGGGCGACCTATAGGGGTCGTGCTGTCGGCGCGGGGTTCATGACTGTCATAATCTTGCTTGTGGCGCATCAACATTGGACAGGGATTGGTGCTGCCAATGACTGTGGTGTCTGTCGTAGCCTGTGACTGTATTTTGACGCCTATTGTATATGTTAGCGTGCGCAGCACACGCCGAATGTCCGTGTTAGCGAAGTGCCATGTTGAAAACGGCGTTCAAAACCCGTTTTTGAGTAATGCTATCGATGCGTCTTGTAGCGGCGTACGAATGCAGATAGGAGGACGACCTTTCCCGTGGCAATTAAGCACAAAAAGAAGCCGCGAGCGGCGAAACTGCCACCCTCTTGTTCTCCTCCAAGCCTCTGATTGTCACTCACGTGATATGTTCGACTTTGCCTGATGTGACATGCGTGACGTGGAGAACATCAGAACTGATGACGGCGCAGGTTCAATCTTCTTCGCCGACTTCTGACCTCCCTTTGCATGCCTTTCCGGAAGAGGTTTTAGGAGAGTATGCTGCGGGAGAGCGGGCGCACCCTCGGCTAAGGGCCATCTTGCCCAGGGCGTATACAAGTATCCTTTAGCAGTCCTCCCCTTGCGCTGGATGGGCGCCGATGGCCAGGGATTTCAAAGATGGAGAAGTACAAGACGAGCGCACCCTGAATGACACCCCCTTTTAGAACAGTCAATATAAGACCCCCGGAGTTGGAGAAGGTTGGTGGTGAATAGGATGATGGATACCATGCGGCACCTGGGAAGACCTCGCACGATCGACTGCACTTTCCCGCAGATCAGGACGGAGCAAGCGTCGAAGTCACGAGAAGATAGGTGATCTTGACTCGCGATATACGATGTCCAAAGACTCGCGGACGGTTGTCATGGGCAGCAGCAGGACGGCGAAGGACGGGGAACGATGTAGCGCATGTTTTCCGGCGCTTTGAAACGACCAGTGCCACCAACAGACCACGACAGTTCGCAGTCCGCGCCGCCAATGGACTGCAACACCGTCGATATCGCCCGCATGTCAAGAGCTATTCGTGGTGCTGGCAGGGTTATCCGTGAGAATGGTGGTGCAAAGAGACTCTTCGCAACAGGGCCATGCCTCTCGGTAATCGGTTATGCGCGTGCAGTACCAGGACCCCGGACGACCAGAAGAAGATTCCGCGGCATCTGACTTGCTTGACCAATTCAAGTTTACCTCCGCATCTCGGCGTGGTCATGGCAATCAAGGAGGGTATATATCGCCCTTGTCCTGCGCGCCCTCCTTTCCTTTCCGTCCCGCGTGTTCCACCCCGCGAGCACCGCCGTCATTACCGTCGACCTGCGTTCTCCGACGCCTGCCCTTTAGTCAGCGACCATGGCAGATGCCTCCCCCGCCCCCTCAGCTATGAACCCAGCCCATGCTGCGTATGTGTCCTAATTTAACCGCCTGATCGACCTGGCTGAACGCGTCGTTGCGCGCCGTAGACATGGCCCGATGCTGCTGGGCACATTCTTCAACTGCATCTTGTACGGGATCTCAATCACACAGACGTGCGTGACCCACCCATCCGACTCCGACCGATCGCTCACCTTCGTCCCCTTCAGCTACTTGTATTGGAACAGCTTCTCCAAGAAGTACGTCGACGAGCGCGATACTCTGCAGCCTCCTGCTCACCCCGCGATCTTGCTAGGGATGCCTGGTACATCAGCAGCTTCGTGCGTCGCCTCCACCCATCTGTTCGCTCATCACTGACATCTCCTCAGGTGGCCTTCCTATTCGCAGCAGACACCGTACACACCGGCTTCACGATCGGTTACATGTACAACTGTCTCATCAACAACTTTGGTAGGTTTCCCGTCGGGCGCCGATGATCCCTACAGCTCTGACTGCGCCTCAGGAAATGGGAATTTCTTGGCGAAGGCGGACTGGCTCTTCTCGACGGGTGAGTTTTTTCCTCCCCCTCTCCGATTTACGCATCTTACACCTGCGGTAGACCCCGCATTGACCGGTATAATCGGCGGCACCGTGCAGATTTTCTTTGCGTGCGTAGACCCCAGCTATCGCTTCCTACTTTCCCGCTCACGCAACCATGGGTTAGATGGCGAGTCAAGATCGTGCGTTGCTTACTCACTTATCCACCCTTGTCCCGCGAACTCAATCCCCTGCCAGCTCACGGGGAACATATGGTTGGCCCTTGTTATCGTCGCCTGTTCCGCGGCATCGCTGCGTGAGTGCTCTTCCACATGATCTTCCAGGGTCGGTGAAGATCTCGTTCTGATGGATGCTCCTCCCCGTCTCTTGGATCTGTCTCGCATCTTGCCAATGTTCCTCCCATCCTTGTAGTGGCCGGCATCGGTACGGCGATTGCGTGCGGTATCGTGCCTATGTTCGCGGATTTTCTAAAGTTCAAGGTCGTGGTCGCGCTTTGTAAGTGGTATCTTCTACTCGGGGGAGGGCTGATGGCTTATTTGCATATCCCCGTCCCGCTCTCTAGGGCTCGCCGCATCCTCTGTCTCAGATGTGCTCATCACCATCACGTTGGTGTACCACCTGGTGCGTCTGTATCCGACTCCTTACGACGATTGCGTGCTCATTCGAGCAGCGTCAACACAGGACAGGCTTCGTGTCCACGGACTCGCATGTCGACCGCATCATCCGACGTACGCCTCCTTCTGTCTGCCTACCGTTAACGTAGCTAACATGACTGTCCAGTAACCGTGCAGACAGGCGAGCCTGATATGTCAATCGCTCGTCTTCTATCCTGACCGCCCGATAGGCCTCCTTACCTCGCTATGGGCATTCGCTGACATGCTGTTGTACCTCCTGGACGACGCGGAAGCATGGCAAGTCGCTCGAGTTGTATGCATCGCTTGTACGCCTTTAGCTGACAGCCACTGCCAGGCATCTCATGCTCAACTTCGCGCTGTCGAAGCTGTACACTAACTCCCTCATGTCGAGTCTGAACGGCCGCAAGGGCTGGCAGTACAGCGACAGCAAGCAAGAGACGTCGGGCATGACCCAGTCAAGAGAGCGCGGCACGCGCAGGGTAAGGAATCTTCATCTATCCTTCTTGATTGAACATCGTCCTGATTACCTATCGCAGACGGACGTCGTCAACCTCAGTGGAGCACGACCCGAGGTACGTATATGCGTAGATCGCCTTTCAAGGGTGTTTACTGATTTCTTTCTCAGGTATTCGTCCAGGTTGAATCGCACGCCATGGTCGACATGGTCGACGAGACGAAGGGCAGTCTCACCGACGGCATGCGCAGCGGTTGGGACGACAGCAAGCACCATCAAGGCAACGCCGTGTAAGCACCCAAATCTGCTGTCTCCTTCCTGTACTCGTCGCTCGGACTGTTCTACTACCTGCATACGTCCCGCCAAATACGCCCGACGTTGTAACAAAATACACGCTCCCTTTTCTCTAGACGGCCCGCCGCGCCCGTCGTTGTACTTTGACTGACGGCTTGGTGGCCATTTGCCCGGCGGCACTATTGCTGTCACGGACGTTCTTCTTACCTGTATACGCAAGGTCGATAATTCAGCTTCGGTGATTGGTTGGACTTCGATCGTGGTCGAACGTGCGCGAGATATGCGAAGGGGATGGTCTCGGCCTGAGGGTTTTGTTGTCCGTGAATGAAGCAGTTCATTGGGGTGAGCAAGATGTGCTATGGTACAGCTAACGATGAGCATTGCGGGCTTTGCGTCTGGCGAACGTTGGTCAGCGACGGCGTAGAGGAAAAGTAGATAAGATACGCACTGTTGGTTCAAATGCATTCTACACTTCTAACGTCCCTCGGGCTTCCTGCCACCAGCATCCTTGCTGTCAGGTCCACCTTTCGAGTATTCCTCGATCTCAGGCTTGTTGTCCTTCCCGTACTCCGGGCGCCCACCATAACGCGTCGGCTCGCCAGGCGCGTCATACAGCTTGTTCTTGTCAACCGACCCGTACGCGTCCACGCCAGCATCGACGCCCGTCTCTGAGTACTTGTTCTGCGGGGCCTCGTGCGGGCGCTGCACGCTATCGCCGGACGAGTCGACGCGGTGCGTCGTCGTGTCCTCGGGCGCGTTCTGATCGACGTCCTTCGCGTAGCTGTCCGGCGTGTGCGGGACGCGGCGCGCGGCTGAGGTGGCCAGGGCGCGCGCTGAGGGCTGCAGCGGGGCGCGACGGGCAGCGGCAAAGACGGTGGAGAGCATGGTGGTGGTTGTGGTCAAGGTTGGAATGGTTCTTCGCGCGCGGGCGTAGCGGGGAGATGATCACCTGGGAGCGAGCGATGATGTCACTGACATACGTAGCGATATGTGGCGTGCGGGAGCGGTCATGGTTCCCTGACCGGGTTCTCCGCACTTACGAGCATCTCTCACATGCTCTGAAAGGCAGATCCAACCTCTATCTTAGCAAGTGGTGGCTGGCAGTGAATTGTAAGAAAGAAGTTACCATTTTTGGGAATTGTGTGGATGGACCAACAACGATCATGTGATGTTCGCGTGGCCAGCAGCATGGTCATCGCCGCAAATTTGAAGCCAGCTCCCAATGCCAGCAACGACGAGCTCATTGCATTCAAGTGCGTTTGAATAACCCAGACGAACCCATATGGCTACAAGGAAGGTGGATTCAGAGGCGGCTGACTCGGATGGCTGAGATGTCAACGCTGGCAGCTTCACGAAAGTCACTCTTTCCTCGAGTCGTGCACGCTGTGTCTACAGCTTGCATAAGATCGGTCCGGTACGAGCTCTCCCGGACTCAACTCACGCTGGTCTATGTTTTCACCAGACCTAGATCTCAGTATTCACAAGTGCAAGGTGCGCGATTATTGTGAGCTGATTCGTGAATCAGCAAAGGATAAACACGGCGCGCGGATTGAGTGGCATATTGAGCGGGATGGCCTCCGATTGGCTGGGCCACAGTTTGCCCTTTCAATCGACCCGTCGTCTTTATCCTTCGCTTATTCCCAAATTAGCTCACGATATTCGTACACCTTGCGCTCGGGATTATTGAAACCTAGGTCTAGTGTTTGCGAGCTCCTAATCCTGAACCGATGACGAACCGCACAAACCCATAACCCAGCCTCCCTTCCGGCAATCAACAGCTTTTCTGCAACGCGGTCGCCTCGTCGTCGCCCACGCGACCGCAGCCCTCGCCTTGCGACCCGAAGGCACGCAACCGCGCGTCTATCTGGCGATTTCCGAGATTATCTGCGCCTCCATCTCGACAACGCGCTTGTTGACGCGCGACGCGTGTCGCCCAGTCGCGGCCCTCCCGCCGCCTTTGTAACCCATATGCGGCAGGCGCGCCTCGTGCGCTTCATATCTCGCGGATCCATGCAATCGGATGCCCGTCGCATTCCGTCGAACGGGGACGCTTGACTGTACGCGTCCCGCTTACCGCGCGTCCTCCTCAAGTACGCAGGGTCACCCGTCCTCCTCCGCCAGCTAGCCGCGCGCATAACCAGGCGCAAGAGCCTCTCCTGAGGCGGGGAAGTACGTTCTGGACCCTCAGCTGGTCATGGGACGAGTTGCCACCGACATTTCTGCCTTCCTCGCAGTCGGACGCGCGTCCTCCTCCTCCCTTTGCGACGCGTCTCTGTCCTGGCGAAACGCCGCGGCAGGCTCTTCCATGACCCAACCCCCGTCAGCTGCCCTCAACCCACTCAAGCTCGCCATTGCTCTGACATTCCGCGCTCAGGCTTTGTGGCGAGCGCGTGTCCGTTCTATACGTCCTCGAGCTGTGGCGGGCGCCTGATTACACAGCGATTACCTGTGTTGTACAACCATTACCTGTGTCGTCGCCTTCTGCCGCGGACCTGTGCGGCAGAATCACGCTCCCCAATGCAATCGCCTTATTTGTAGATCAGCATCCCTTGCAGGCGAAGTAGTCGCCATGACTCATCGACGCCCCTCGTACGTCTATCGGCAGCTTGCGCTCTTTCATCGAAGCTGATCCTAGGTATCTAATCTTCAGACGAGCTGGCTCGAAGCGCTTCATCTTGGAGAACCCTGGTACGCTCCGCCCCTTCATCTCTTCCTCCTCGATAATCTAATCGCCGCGAATCGCGGTAGGTTTGTCGAGGTGAGGCGGCCTCGAAATCATAACTTCTGCCTCACAATCATATGCCACCCAGGGCGGCGGCCCGCGCAGCTCACTAACCCGCTGCCCACGGGAAAGCCGCGCAAGCGCGCGTTCATCTTAGCCCGGACCTAACGCACTTTCATCCGGAAGGATCCTGCAATCGCGACCATCACTGAACGTACAAACAGGTCGAGGACAAAGGGATCAGGTACGTGCCACCAAGGCGCGCAATCGGATTGGACGACGAGGTCCTGGCTTTCATCGGATAGGCGCGCGTTCATGGACTTCATGCGGTGGCGCCTCTTTGATGTAGCGCGCGTCAACTCGACGATCCGATTCGATGAAGCGCGCGGAGAGCAAAATGAAGTTCTGGCCGCGGCGCCGCCTTCACGCTCGAACTCGAGGGCAGGCGTCAATCTGATTTCTCAAGCCACTGCTTTGTCCTGTCGGGTGCCCCCGAGAGACGCTGGGAGCGCGACAAAGCGCTGGGAACTCGACAAATTGGAAGTGATTGGCGCGCGCATAGACGCTGGCGCCTGAGAAGGCTTGGTCATTTCTCTCGACCACTCACGTGACCGCGTCTTTGGCGCCACCGGATGAGTCACCGACTTCTTCTCATGGACTTTCATCAGTGCCGACCTAGCGCTATCAAAGGCGCACGCCGAAGTTCTTGGTCCGACATCGCAGGCTGCTCGACTGATTCCCCATGGTCTTCGGCATCGCAAAGGGCGCTTTTGAGTGCTTGAACCTACCCCTCGTGTCTTCCCTCGGCGCCAATTGTACACGTCTCCCGCGCCCTTCGCGGAAGGCACAAGCGCTCCCGTGAGCCTTGCGAAGCCACTAAAGGGCGCCTTCGCCATGTCATGAAGCCCCTTCCCGCCTTTGGCTGACTCATCGGCGCCTGTACCTTTGTCGAGGACTTGGGGGCTCGGCGAGCTCTTTAGAGTCCACAGAGGGTGTGGTCTGACGGTCGCCTGACACTACGAATGAATACGGCTCCTTCAGGCGACGGGCGACAACACAGGATTGAGCGTCTTCCTCTTCGGTGAACCTCGGCTTTGCCACTGTGCAACCACTATACGCTCAATGGCCCTTCCACGCTCAAAGGCCTTCGGTATCATGTTCTTCTGCGTTCTACTTTTCGCGGCCCTAACCGCGTTTCTGTCTTCACCGTTCCTCCGCCTCTCCTCTGAGTACTCTACCGCCTCTTCAGCTGGACTTCCCTTCGTATCCGCGAATGCGGCGCACTAGCGCTATCACCATGTCAATAATCATCGAAGACCTTGGGTGTACACGCTGAACTTCTCGTAAGGCGCCGCCCGCGCGCTTGCGGTTTATGTCGCGATCACCAGCGAAAGGTTTGTGATCTATGTGCTATGATCGTGCTCATGAGACCTGCACAAACCGTCGATTATTGACGCCGATGTTTGAGACCGCCTCTCACTGGTCACTTCTTTATCCTTTTCCGATATATGCCTTTCGTTGTCGTCCGACGATTACCCTTCACCCATCGCAGGCTACGGCGCACCACCGGATGAAGGATGACTTTATCCTGTAATTATGCGTGCCGACATTCAGGCCGTCGCTTGGCTTTCGAAGGTCCGAATCGTTCATGCGCACGACGATATTATTCGCCGGGTACGCGGTCAGCACACTGGCAAATTCTCCGCCCACGCCGGCAGGGCGTCGGGTTGATTCGAGTCTCCCACGTCCGCGCGAAGCAGTTCTTCACCGTGTCCTCCGCCCTGCCCGTACCACACGATACCTATCCTATCTGCAGATGGCTATTCAATGCCCTAGCTCTATCGCTGCCCGTCGCCGCACTCCCGCTCTTTCATTGGCCAAGACACGATGTTTTGGTCCAAGTGGCGAAATCGTATGTATCCCAGCCTAGCGCTTCGCTCACTCGTCGGCGTTTCTGCACTTGAACTTGTTTCCGGGCCTTCGGCTGTGCTCTCGTCCAATCGTCGTCCGTGCCCGCCCGGATCACCAACATGAAGACCCAGCCCATGGGGCCCCGCACGCGCTACCCGACCAGATGATCCCGCGCTCGGTGGCAGTAGGACGAAGTCCAGAATATCTTGCGACTTGATGACTGGCGGGCGCTTGCAGTGCAGGTTCCAGGTGAGCCCGATGGTGCAGGGTAGTCCAGCGCAAGATGATCAACGCCGGTGAGCAGTGGCGCGAGCCAGTTCAGCGGGGAAGACTTGCATAGCCGGCTGCGTCTCTTGAAGCGAGCAGTAAGGTGCTGATATGAACTGTTGAATCTTGTGGGTCCTTTGTTTGTTCGTCTCGGCTTGTTTGTCACCTCGGACATCGTGGCGCTGCAGTCTTTTGCTACCGTTCGTCCGAGCCACGACTCACCCCTCTGGTGACGTACTTCACACAGCCTGAGGTCCCCCAAATTATGCGACGTCCTGCCAGCCCGTACTCTTCCCATCGTCGGTGAAGTCGGACTTGCTCTATAGCCTGCTTCAATCCGCATGACAAAGTACGATAGACAGAAGACCTGACGGACACATTGTACTACGCACACGTACCTACCCTACCCCATATTCTTGACGTCCTTCTCTTCGTGAAGCGGGACCAGGTACTGTATGGCCATGGTATGTACTGTATAGGGAATGATAGACGAGCCCTCGTGTCCACTGACAGCTGTAGGGAATTTCGTGAGAGGCGGCCGACGAAATGAGGGTGCCTTCCTCGATATCCGCGTAGTCCTCGGCGCGACGGGCACACCGCTCGACATCGAGCAGAACTCGTGATAGCCTTGCCCTAGTGGCGTGACGCGCGGGTCGTGGCTGAAGATGCGAGGCCGACCGAGGGATCTGGTCTGCATTAATCTGGGCGAAGTGAGTAAGTAGCGCACGAAGGCGAGAGCTCGCCGGTCCCGATAGCACGCACATTACCCCGCGAACATATGTCTGTGGCCAGGGGAAAGCTGGGGCAACGACGCGGGGCCGTGGGGGAAGCGAGTTGCGGTCTTCAAACGTTAAAGGCTATAGAACCCAAGTCGCCGGTAGTCACGGCGTAAGACGTACCACCCATAGGAACATGTTCCATCACGAATGCCTGAATCCATAAGCCTCGCAAAGCACCCGGTGACACTCACCATATTCAGCCTGCGCTGCGAGGGCGCAGGTAGAAGGCACGGCAAGTAGACCGCGCATATATGTCGATGACGGTCTGCGTACGTTGAGACATACGATAGAACGCCGCACGCATCGATGACACATACCTGTTGGAGAGGATAGCGGGGATTACTAGTTATGCGATCCGTGCGCGCGCGATAGAGCATGGATCTACTACTTAGAACACCGAGAAGGCGCCTTAAGCTGCGCGCCAAGGGCACCGTCGGGTCCGCACTTTACGCCAGGCCGCAACAAGTTGGGCCGTCAAGCTGATCCATCGCCGTCGAGCTGATCCATCGCCGTCGAGCTGATCCATCGCCGGCCAATGATCCATCGCCGGTCAACGATCCATTGCTGTAAACGACACGCCACGCCCCTCTAGTCGCGACTTACGCGTGCATGCGCAGTCCCCGGCGCATGTGAGGTACGAAGACCTGCCTTCTACAGCTTCAGACGAAGCAGGAGGCCGCCGTCTGTGGCATAGACGCTGGTCAGCTGAGCTCATTACGGTAGACCATGCACGCACCGGTGAGAAGACGGATAGACAAATAGGACCCCAAAAACTGTTTGAATGTGCATGGTAGAGGCACCTGACGATGGCGAAAGGGCCCGCGAAAAAAGAAGGGATGAAGGCGGCTCACCACTTCGAGCTGGCAGTCCTCCTACAAGCCAGTGGCACCAACGACTGTTGCGATCTCGGCGAGTCGGTCCCCCGCCATCGCATCGCGACATGGAAGGCGACGGTCGGGGCACGAACGCCGCCCGACGTCATGCAGTCTACCGCGCTGCGCTCAATGGCCTGTGAAGCCGCCGCTGACATGACTGCCCAAAGCTGACATGACTGCCCAGCGTTGACATGACCGCCCAGCGTTCGACGTAGTCAATAGAAGGGTAGATAGCCGGTAGAAGGCTCGCATGCTTACTCACTGTAGGTAACCGCGGTGCGGAATAGGGGATAGGCTGGCGGTGACGAGAGGGTGCGCGGAATTAGTGGTGACGCGATCTTGGGCTTGTATAGTGACGGCAGGGCAAGCTAAACTGGAAAGCAAGCGGGTCGGCTGCGCGAGAGCGGGCTGGGAAGATCAGCTCAGTTGGCTTGAGACTCGGCTTGGATGGGATAGAATTTCGCTAAGACAAGGAATGCATGATTAAGGACGGTGGCAGGCTCACGCACGCTTCATACGCTTTCCATCCTTGTTGCCCTCCTCACCATGCTCTGTCCGCACCCTCAAACAATAGCCAGGACGCCACCGTATCGCAAGGGAAGTCAGGAGCCTCTGAAGACAAGCAGTACGAACTCTGAAAAGACAATGAGCACAGATCACCGCCGAAGACATTGTACTCGCCCAAAAAGGAAGGTAATGGTCTATTGTACTTCGGCGGAAGTAAAAACAAGGCGGCAATAGCCGACAAGGACCTTCCCTCCGGCGGAGACGAACATAAAGCTGCGTGTGCGTCCCCGTGTGATAACGAGGGTGATGAACGAGAACACTAAGAGCGGAGATCGGCGACGTATGAGCGCGGGTCCGAGGATGCAGATACCGTCTGGTCAACGAAGTCGTCTAGCTAATCTTCTGAAATGAAGGCTAGCTATAGCGTCGTCCACCAACGTACGCAACATTACCTACAGTAGACAGCCACTCTCCACATCGCGCGACGATAATCACCCCCGCGTGGCAACTATCGCCCTCAACGTGCTCGTCGTCATCAACAGCAGTCGCGCCTTGCCCTGTCTCACCGCGAACGTGGACGCTATCGTCCCGCGCGCGCCGCAGACGCCCTTGATAGCCTACGGTGCCGCATATAATCTACCACATGCGCTGGATAACCGAGGACGTACGAGATAATCGAGGACGTACATCCAGCCTGTTCGCGTAAATCTTCTGTATTTGCGTAAGTCCCCTGCGCAGGAGCCAGCCGAAAGATCACACTCGAGGCTACTCGAGGTCAGCTTCGTGTTAGGAGAAAGTTACCGCGAGGGCGCGACTTGCCTCATAGGGAAAGAATGCGCAAAGGGTACGGCTCGCGGGGATGGAGAAGCGCGGAGGCGGGAGGGCGAGAGCCTCGTGCTATGTGCGCGAGGTAAAATTGTGCTAAAAATTTTCAGGATACGCAATCATACGCGATAAGATGCGAAGAATAGCCGCAGGGAGAGGGAGGACTGGGGTCGGCGAAAGGCGCTTCAGCTGCCATCACGGTCAACTAGATGTAGAATGGCGAAAGGGAGCGGCGTCGGACCGTGCCGGTGATAACAGGGAGGAGTGGCGGACTTGGACCAACTTGAACCTTGGTGGCAGCACCGCGCGCGAGCCCCTAGAATCTGAGCTCGAATATACACCGTCGGTCACTTGACGAGCTCGAAGCTGCTCGAAGTCCGGACAGTCGCGCGCCACAGGGTTCTCCCAAAGCCAAAAGCGACCTTTTGGTGTATCGAAGAGCTGTATGGCCGAGACAGGGAAGGTGGCGTCGGCTGAAGATGCCGACTAACCTTCCCCTGATCCTCACCTAAAGCTCTAACTGAACCCCGTTCTGGTGCCCCCGCAATGAAGACAGCCGATGGTCGACAAGACCAGAAAGGGAGCCACGCCCTTCGCGAGGTAAACAAGGACGCGCGTGATGAGGAGCAGCGCTGAGCGGAGCCGGCGGGACGAGATTGGCACGAAGAAGAGCGTAGGTGTCGTGAATCTTGGGGACGCACCGGAACGTGATGAGGAGCGCGAGTGACACAGCGAAGTCCGGGGGTGGGGGTGACCGGGCTTGTTGACGAGATGGAAGAACGCTGCCGGGGACCGGACTGGGGTTTGTTTGACCTTTGAGCGGCTCACACGGGTGGCGGACCGGAATTTTGACCGGTAAAAAGGTGCGGGAAAAGGTGCGGAAAAACAAGCGTAAAAGGGAGTAGTTTTAGCGCGTCAATAAAAAGCTCTTTGACTTGCGAAACCGGATGTAAGAACGAGTGTGAAGATGAGTGTGAAACCGGGCGCTTTTGGCAGGTCAAAAGGTGCGTCAAATGGGCGCCTATTTGCGCGCGTTTTTCCGTGTAAAAAGATGGCTGAAAAGAAGTT